AGCGTTTTACTACCTTTAAAATACCGATTTCTTTTCCCGCGGCCGTACCGCGCTTACGCCGAGATTATTATACGGCCGTATAAAACCTAGTAGTTATTTAAAGCGTAGCGTAACGACGAGTAATTAAATTAATATAATCGAATAATTACCTTTACTTAGCTAATTAATATCGATATTTCGCCCTATATTAGCGTAGAAGCTATTATAAATTACGTAGCGAAGTATTACTTTAAAGCGGAAATTAAGACCGATAGTTATAGCGTCCTTACTAAGTAAATCCTCCTAAAGGTCTCTAGCGTAAATCCTTTTCTTTTTTTTATATCGAAGTTAATAAATAAATTAATCGAAGAGCGAGATTACTTTACGTAGGAGGTCTATTATATATTATATAAGCTACCCTTATAAGCTAATTCGCGTGTTATACGTAACGTAAATTACCGGCCCTTAGCGGAGTAAGATTATAACCTCGAGCTCGGCTTTAACGACGTTTCTAACGGACGTAATACTTATAAAAAATATCTCTAACGCGATTTAAAGGTACTAGAGGTTATTAAATTAAACTTCTTTTACTTCGTATCGATCTAGAATTTTAATAAGCTATACGCTTACGATTAACGCCCTTTCTAACGTAATATAAAAAAACGTATACTTAATTATTATCCTATTTACCGCGTAAATAAAGGCCTTAGCGAGTTAGAGTCGTTTTACCGCGTTAAACTTATATTAAATTATCCATATATTAACGAGGACGAGCTATTTTTAATTAACGGTACTTAATTTCTAACGTATATACTAACGTATACGCGATATTAAGTAACCTATTAATACGAGGATAACTACTACGGCGACCTTCCCGGACCCGACGAAAAGGAGTTCGAATTCCTAGAGGAAAAAGAACAGGCTTTAAACGAGGAAAACTAGGCTAAACTAACGCGTTTATTCCCGAATTAAGCGCTTACGTAGGAAATATTTAACGTATTTAAGAATAAAGATATCGACGTAAATTACGATTAAGCTATATACGTAACCCGATATAAGTATCCTTACTTTTACGATTCTACCTATTAGCGCGAGATAATAAGTACTACGGATACGCCGGAGCAAGAAATCGTTCCCTTAGATATCCGTAATACGTTAAATCCGGAATAAAGGCTAATTTACGATACCGTTCTCGGCTACGTATAAAGTCGTAGCTAAGACTAACTCTTATTTTAAATTAACGGTAGTAGCGGTACTAAAAAATCGTATCTAATTAAGATTTTAACCTCTTACGTTCGCTAGGTTTTTACTTAAGACTCGGTAGCTTTTATTATCCTAACTAACGCTACGAATAATAATATTCGCGGAAAGACGATATATTCTTTCCTTCGTTTACCCGTAAAGCGTAGCTTTAAGCCGCTTTTTAATAACGCTTTCGCTAAGGTATAACGACGCCTTACTAACCTTCGCTATTTAATTATCGACGAAAAGAGTATATTAAGGCTACGTATATTTAGATTTATTAACCGCCGTTTACGGTAAATATTCCCGCGTAGCTCGCGGGTTTTTAATAACGTAAATATAATCTTAATCGGCGACTTCTTCTAGTTACCCTTAGTATTATTAAAGCCTATCTATACTCTTAATTCGACGTATCTTTCGGTAAACGAATTCGTCGGTTATAATACGTATAGAGTTTTTTTTAAGTCGGTATTTCTATCGGTAGTTTAACGCTAAGTAGGCGAGGACTAGGCGCCTTTTCGAAAAGCGTTAAACGAATTACGTTTAACGTAAGTCTCCGCCGAATCGTTCTAGCTCCTATCTACGAAAATAACCGCGGTATTAATTAAGTAGGATCGTTTCGGCTTTAAAAAAGCGATACGTATATATTTTACGCGTAAAGAGGTACTTTAGTATAATTTTAACTATCTCGTAACGCTTAATTCGTTAGTTATTTAAACGTACGCTATTTATTACGGCCGAGGAGCGCTAAACGCGCCTAACGACTTAGCCGGTAACCTCTCCTCTAAGCTATTACTTTATATAAGCGCTCGAGTAATATTATTACGTAATATCTCTTCCGAAATACGGCTTATAAATAGCTCCTAAGGCTTTATTTACGATATAAGTTAAGCGTAAGGCGTTAATTTTAAACGCGAGCCGCTAATAGTAGTTATAATAACTTTCGACGATTACGACGGACCCGGGTTTAAAAATACTTAGGGAAATAAGCTACGCGATTTTCGAGGGAAAAAGGTAATATTAATATTACGCGAGCGCTAGGAGTTCGACTATAAAGGTATCTCCTATATACGAAAATAATTCCCCCTAACTATTTTATACGTAATAATCGTTCATAAAGCGCAAGGTATTATTATTCTTTACGTTATCGTTAGAATTATAAAGAAGGAATTCGCGTTAGGATTAAATTACGTCGCCTATTCTAGGGTTACTTCGTTATAAGGCCTAATATTCGACGAGCCGTTTCATAGAAATACGATATATAAAGAGCTAATAAATAATAAGTTTCTTTTTACGTTCGTTAATATTTAAGCTAATATATATTTCGCAGGCATAAAAGCTAAGCTAAAAGATAAAGATTTCCGTTTACGTATATAATTATTTACTTAACCTTTATACCTATTACGATACCCTTATAAATAACGTACTCTAGCGTTATAAATAACGAATAAAAGTAGCGTATATATGTTAATTCTATCGAGCGAATATAATTTATAATACTTTAATTAATCTTTATATAGCTAAACCGCGTAAAAGTAAAGAATACGGGTATAAAAGTAACGTAGATATGCCATTTTTTATATAGGAATACGTTTTTCTTACTTTAATTACGGAGCGTCTCTTAAAGTACGCCGCTCCTTCTTAACGTATAAAAATATCGCGACTTCTTTAATAACTAACGCTATACCTTCCTTTAATCGCGACTTCCTATAACGCTTCCTTATTTACGAAATAAAATAACTTATTTCTTATTATTAATTACTTTTATTATTTCCTTTCCTTTTTCCTTACGCCTCTTATCCTTCCTATAATTACGTAAGTTTAAACCTTTATATATAACTAATTAAGCTTAAAACGAACGCTAACGATATTTCGTAATCTTTTATTTAATAAAATAAGATTAAAGCAGTTAAAAAAAGTAAGAAATTTAATACGCGCGCGATAGATTTAGCTAATTAAAGTAGTATCTAGGATTTCGACTACTAAGCTTACTAACCTAGGCCTCGATTAGCTATCGGCTAACGACGCCTACCGCGTAACTAATACTAATACTACGATAGATAATACTAACGGCCTAGCGGCCGCCGGCGGCGGTAGCGACCCTCCCCCCCTTAGTATACCTTATAAAGTAAGTTATACTTTACGAACTTTATAATATAAAAAAAAGTACGCGATTAAGTAATAATATACGTAGGCGTTAATTTTATTATATAAAATCTACCTATAAACCAAGTCCGCTTCCTTATTAATAGCGACGACGACGACGACGACGACGATAGCGACAACGGTAGCGACGACGGTAGCGACGACGACGGCGACGAGGAAAGAGCGTTACCTTATAAGGTATGCTTTAAACGAATTAATCGATTATAGGCGAACGCTTACGTAAAAAGAACCGGTATATAAAATAACGTAAAAAACGCGGAAAGTTACGTATACGCGATAACTAATAAGTATAAAAGATAATCGCTACTACTACTACTATAAGGGCTATTACGCCTACGCTAAGGTACCCCGGGAGGCCGAGCTAGAGCTCGTTAAATTTATAGAATTAAAAAAAGCTTTCGATTCTAAAAAAATTAATAAAAAGGTACGTTAATACGTAATAAAGTACGCTAGCGTAGAAATTCTAATTTAAAGTAGGCTTTTAATAAAGTTTATAAGAAAATTAAAAAGGTAATCCGGAAAGCGGAAGAGCGGGTTATAAAGCAATAAGAATTAGATATTAACGCTCTTTTTAATAACGAATTATTACGAGAAATCTTACGTATATTACGAGAAAAAAATACGAATACGTAGAAAAAAGCAGAAAAGAAACGTAAAAAGAAGTAATAAAGATATAAGTTTAAGGGGTTCGTAGTTTTATTAGGCATAGCGCCCTTTTTTAATATAGAAATTACGTACCTACGTAATTTTAACTTTAAAAAAAATTTTCTATACTAGATTTCTTTTATGTTTTATTCTTCTTAAATTCGTTTTACTATATACGTTTTTTATCGTAAATAATATACGCTTTGCTTAATATAATATGCGTTAACGTAAAAATTTAAACTAGTTTCGAATTTATAAAAGATAGTTTCGTATGAACTATAAGTTTTCTATATATAATTTCTTACGTTTTCTAGGTTTTCTATAATAAATAAAGTTCGTAGCTCTAAAAATCGTTATTAAATAAACTAAGTATACTTTCTATATCTCTCTATCCTCCGGATAGGTTATTATTTTTAGCGTTTACGTTAAAAATAAGCCCGAATTATTCTGCGAAGCAGAATAATTCGGGCCTTATTTTAAGGATTAACATAGACACGCCGCAACCGCAGAGACAATCCAACGGCGAGTTACGAGGCACGGATCGCAATCAAGCCTGAACAACTCACTGTGCGTCACAATCCCGGCTTCGTTGTCCCATATTTAACGTCAAAGTTAGCCGGTGGAAGAGTCTCGCGTAGGTCAAGATGGACAATCAAAACTGTACGGAGTAGAATTTTTTGCCGATTGGCGTTGGGGTATATAAGCAAGCCCTGGCTTGTTGGCCTATTGTGCTACCTCCGAAATCCCCATAACATAGTCTCCATCCCGTCTACCCAAGACAACAGTGCCCACGACAACGTTCCGAAGTCCCACTGAGCACTACATAAAACGAAACAAAACGAAGCCATACGAACACTCCAAACGGCGGGGAGCTGTACGAGCAACGTTCTTCTCGTGCACCATTCCGCATTCCCGTCTACGGCCTAGCTGCCCGGCGATCCTCCTCGACATCTATCGATACGTTCCCACTAATGCGACACGGCTGTCCTCGACAGCAAGGACTGGTCTCGTTCCCACATCAGCCACACGACCGCACCGGCAGGCCCGGTGGCCAGGCTTAGTGTGACGATCACGAAGGCCGACTTGGCCCAGCTCCTGGCCTTCATAGGCCTCTCTCTCGCGTTCACATACAACGCGTAAGCCCAGATGATGGCGCCAGTAGAGCCGATGTACTGATCGTATAGAAAGAAGTCGTGCATCCCGGTTGCCATCGATTCCATCTTCTCGGTAGACCAGAAAGGGTGGGGCACAAAGACATTGGTGATAGTCCAGGCTTCGCTCAGACGAGCTGGGAACATCGAAGGACGCAGGTAAACCGCCGCAATTAGCGCGAGTGGGATCACCTGAGACAGAATACACCATACGAACGCAAAAAGGTAAGACTTCGCGAGCGACCTCTTCTCATGCGATCTAGTTGACAAGACGGAAGACAGCGAACCGCCAGCGAGAGATTGCTGCTGCTTCGACGAGCTCGGCTGGTATACGTTCGGGGTATGCGGGCGAGCGTGGGGGGAGCGCTGGAGCGCTGCTTGCCGTACTGCGAACAGCTTCTGCAGGAGCATGGCGAAGATTGGCGATCCCTGCCATAGTCCGCCGAACCACTGGTGGAGGCGGTTCGAGAAGAGCGGAACACACATCAGAACAGCCGGCACGACATAACCAAGCGTGAAAGCTTCCGACAGGGTCGATAATTCCAACGGGTTAGCAGTTGAGACTACTTCGACGAGCCTCGGGCTGATTTCTTCCGCGGTGGGCGAAGTGAGAAAATGGAAAATCCCGTAAAGGGGCATCGTGCAACCATAGCTCGTTGCTTGCATCAAACATGCCCAGACGGAGAAACTGGCAACGAGGTCATTAGCACGCCGACGCCGACACAAAAGTCGAGGGGGAATACTCACAATCTGATCGTGTTGGATTGGTTACCGCGTCGCAACCCCTCGATGGTGGTAACGATGAGTATCGCGAGATATTGCCCGGCGAAATGGAAGGAGTAGAGGGAAAGCTGAGGCGAGCTTCCGTCGGTCACGTTTGCAAACATGACCGTCGCCAATGTGAGCAGTTTATCTAAAAAGCCGATCCCGGTGTAGCGAGTGAGGATGGGATTGGTGGTGCCCGGCAGGTGGTGCGGGCCCTCGTCGCGAAGTCGGATGAGGGCATCGTAGTAACCGTTTCGGAATAAGAGACCGTACAGTGCGTTCGCTCCCAGGGCGTAAACGCACAACAGAGCCACCACGACACCCGCCCTCCTCAGTAGCGGGGACAACATGGTAGAGAGGAATTTTCCTGCTGACGACGTACCAGGCAAAAATTGGTCAGCGAACGCAACGAAGACAGACAATCCGAACTCGGGGCCACAGATTATAATGAAGGTCTCAGCACGCCGGTTTTGCCCTCTCCAAGTTCGGCAAGAATGAGGGCTCCACTCAGTTCTAACAGCTACTCCCAAGTTGGTGGTCCAGCCTACATACGGAACCCGGGTATCCAACAGAGCTCCCCCAAAGAGACGGGGAAACCATCGGTTATGTATGCGAAATTCAGCAACATGCTGTTGGTACGGTGCATCTGCGTGGAGAAAGGGGGAGGGGCAGTTCGTCGGCACTATAGAGACCAACCTCTTGCTGCCTACTGCTGCTTACGGATGGCGGATCACCACCACCCTCTCGTTTATCCCAATAACAAGACTTTCATATACATGGTTCTTGGAGTTGGCGATGCAATCAGCCAGGTTGCTCCCAACATCGCGAAACTCGGCTGTTCTAGACCAGACCCTCTCGAGTGGTAGGGTGGTGACGGGTCTGGCGGCGGCGCATAGCTGAATCCCACGTGCAACCCCCTACAGGAACCCTTGAAAGCTTCAGATTGGCCCTGTCGAAGTTGGTTGGGGCTCTCAGTCGCGAACCACCATCCTACGGCCACCCTTCGAAGTCCAACACCGGGGCGAGAGGGAGGGAAAGCTATGATGCCATAGCACGTCGACCCCTGGACCTGCGTGATACTCAATGAGGATAAGGGTTCGCGCGATGTGACGTGGCTTTTCGCGTGTGTATTGTGGGTGGAGTCTGAGTTCTAGAGTGCAACCCAAGGAAGAAGAAAAAGAGGATAATCGTACGGCATCACAGGACGATCACAGCTCTTAGGTGCGGCAGCGTCATTCCGTCTTTGGATATCCTACCCACGCGTTCTATCTACCGAACAGGGGCCGGGCCGCTTTCTAGCATCTCTTCCGACCCTCCCTCCCCCTCCTATTACCATCGTCCTGCTATCTCTGGGTTGTCGCAAAGGAGGGGAGAGGGGGGAGGGGGAAGACGCTTCCTTTACCAAGAGACTCGCATGACGTGGAGAGTCTAGATAGGGCAGCCTGATATCGAAGCGTCGCGGGATAGACTCGGCAACACCACCCAAGCAGCTTCTCAACCGATATGAGAGGAGCGTACGCCTTCCCGGAAAGGCTAACGGGGGTCTGACGGCTGGGATTAGGGGACCTGGATTTGAGCCTTTCCTTCGGACCCGCCCATCAGCGTGACAATATAGCCTTGGAAGGTGGTGGGGAGGAGAACTTGTCAACGAGACGGCACGGGACGAGGAGGGGGGGGGGGGTTGAGGGAGGGGTTTCATGGGAAGGGATTAGATGATGATAAGAATGGCTATGCGCTCGGCTCGAAGAGGTCCCTGAAAATGGGCTCTACGCTGGCAGGCATGTGAACCCGACCTATTGGAGTTTACGCAGCCCAACTTTTTATGTAAAAGGGAGCTGATAGGACGCGACTCGTGGCCGATTTCTCAGTGCCCGACGGCACCATACAGCTCGATCAATCATGTGGCGCGACCGATCCGTCGGTCTCGATATCAAGGGGCAGGGCTCTCTCTGCTTGTCCGGCAAATTACTCACCTACCGGTGCGGACAGGCACGGTTTTTTTTTTTTCTGTGATGGCGCAGCTCTTGACCTACCTAAATCATCGACTTCGCGGACGCTCCGCGAGCATATTTTAGGTCACGCGAACGGCGTATGCCAACATGATGTAGGCGCATGTCTTACCTTAACTTCGGAAGCGGTGATGTCGCCGCGGTCGTCTACTGATAACTGGCGACAAGACAACGGAGAGGGTCGCGGGAATCCCCCGGGGTTTCAACAACAATCACATGCGATCAACCTTGGTTCTTGAGTCTCGCTAGAGACTCGATGTCAATAGCGCGCTTCGCGAGGTCGTAGCGAATGCGAGAACTCGATATCAAGCCTGGTCCTATTTGCGTCCGGGATGGCATCCCCTGGCTCGGCACATGTTGCTAAGCGATATGAGCTAACCGCTTCCATCGCCAAGGCAGAGTCTGTTAGATAAAAACAAGCTCCGCTCCCAATTCCATTTCAGCGCAAGTCTCCTTGGTGCGCCCAACGAAATGCGAGACCCAGCGAAAAGCCTCAGCAAAACCACCCTCCCCACTCCTGTGTGTATCGCGGGCCGTCGGTAGTGGCTAACTGGGGGTAGGCCGGCTGCTCACAGGCGCGAGAGATGGAGATCAGGCCTCATATCATTAGACTAGCACGCTCGTGGCCCTTCGACACAACGGGTATAGTAATCGGAGGATGCCAGCCGAGACCCAGCCAGGGAAAGCAAAAGAAAAAGTTCTACAGAGGCCCATCGGTCTCGGGCAGCAGCGCGCAAGCTGGCGAGAACGGCTAGGTAGATGCGTCAAAGACAAGTAGCAGACGGGTGCGCCACGTTATATTTTCCGCAATGCCTTATTTGAGGCCGGACGAATTCTTCTTATCCATCAATCGCACAGAGAGTTCGCTGTGGGCAACGTCTTTCGTCCGAACTCTCTAGACCCCGAACGCAACGCAGCACCCTGGCCTATATTTAGCCCGCGTGATAACGGGATGGATTTTCTTTTCGCCGCTCACCTTTTCCCCCTGAATCCGGTTTTCCTCTAGGGGTTCGTTAGTTCATTTTCAGTAGGCTCTCAGACCCTGGGGTCGCCCTGGCGCACGTGTTTTCGTGACCTGGTAAGTCTTGTTTCAAGATAGCCAGGCTTGGTCTCTCTGACGGGTCACTCAGATCTCAACATGACAGTTCATGGTTACCAACAGATCATAAACAAGGTCGCAGACTAGCTACCTAGCTTTACCTACATGATGGAGTCGCCACAGCTCCCCATCCCACGATCCGGTCTCTTTGGCCCGGGAGACCTGCCTGATCGTACACCTCGCCTCCGCGTGGCGCCACCCAGCAACCCCGCATTCTCTTAACGTCGGTTATACGGGCGGCAGTCTGACCAACAATAGCCTCTTTATTCGTTGGTTGCGCGGGGATAGATTGATCACGCCCAGCTAGGACTAGCAAGGATTTCCCCGCAACACCCCGCGCTCCTAGCCCGGCGCTTACTCTAAGATGGGCAATTCTCCGACTCCCAAGCCCGACGATATCAAGCATCGTGGAGAGCTGGAGGTGAAGGGGGAGGAGGAGGAGGAGGCGGAGGGGGAGGATGAGGAGGAGGAGGAAGGGCTCTGTGCTGAATCGTTCAGGATATATACCTACCTACGTGTAGCTAGTGGCTATACGGGGAAGACGGGCTGGGGGGGACGACAAAGGTCTGGCCGCCTTGGATTGCTCGCAACTGGTCCATATGCCTCTCTGTTGGTTATTTTCGGAACTGAAATTGGCTGCCAATCTCAGAGGGGCCCGTCCCACCTTGTGTCTGTCCTCGCTATCTGAGCTCGTCGGTGGAACGGCGCATGCGTAATCAAAATCCCCGCTCCTATTTTCATATAGAAGGATGGCCCGGTCCAGACTGCGTGATTGGCGTCGGCTTACCTACCGGAAAAGATTACCCCAGGCCCACGTTTCGGTAAACATGCACTCTTTGGGATACCCCAGATTTCCGGCTTAACATGGCGCGAGACTAGATGGGTGGATGGGAATCCACCACGAGAGATCGATACCTCGGCCGTGAAGCACGTCGGTATCCTCGAGGCAACACCCAACTGGATTTCTCGTACCTAGGTTAGTCATCGGCTGGTTCTCACCAGTGAGGTGCGGTGTCGTGAGATCTGTTCCTCGGTCATTGTGCGCCTTGGCAAAGGGACCAGTGAGACCGTCTTCAGCTGGGAAGGATAGTGTCCTGCGCCAAGCTACGGAATATCAGATGTTTCGAGAGTGCCTCGTGTAAGACTAGAGGACTAGGTATGCAACGTTGGAGACGGATACTTATCGACTGACATGTATTGGTAATAGTAGAACGCGACGATGAGAGTCTTTGCACGAGAGTCACTGCGCTTTAGGGGATATGTTGTCATTTCTACACGTAGAACACTTGTGGTGCCAGATAGGCCTATTTGCCTCGTGATCGAACGCCACCGCCTGCCGGTGATCCTAGACCGACAGCTCAAAGGCCCGCTTCGGCCCAGATAACAAAGCCAGGCTACATCGTGGTGCCGTACCGCTACCAGCACCCTACGGTGAAGAGGTCGCTGCCAAGCGAACCCCTCGTTCTCCAACCTCTCCGCACGGCTCCTCCCTGAATTGCCGCGCTGCAAATCCCACGAAGTTGTGTTATAAAAGGGATCCTACCGGCTCCCCTGCCATGAGCGTGGGCGATATTCTGCTACCCCCAACTTTTTCCCCCGTCCCTCGCGCATTCGACGAATATTACGGTTCCCGACCTCCCCAATGACCACCGCGACAGCCATGGATCGCGACCACGAAAAGGACGAGCTGTCCGTCGGACACGTCGAAAGCGGGAAGGGCAAGCTCTCGGACGCGGCCGACGACGAGTTCGACGAGAAGGAGGCCAAGCGGATCATATGGCGCATCGACCGCCGGCTCGTCACCCTGGTCGGCGTCCTCTACTGCGTCAGCTTGATGGACCGCACCAACCTGAGCACCGCCGCCGTCGCCGGCATGCTCGACGACCTGCAGCTCGTCGGCACTCGCTACGTGAGAGAGAACCCTCCCCCCCCGTGCCCCCGTTTCTTTTGCCTCGTCCGCGCTGCTTCTTCGCCGCTTGGCTGCCCCCCCAAAACCCTCCCTCCGTCCCTCTGCGACCAGGCTTTGTTTCTGACCCTTTGCCGCTGCGGCGGGCGCTGCCGTCTGTCTAGTCCGTCGTGACGCTCGTCTTCTTCATCACGTACATCATCTTCCAGCCGCCGTCGACGGTGGTGATCCGCAAGGTCGGCCCGCGCATCTTCCTGTCGACCATCACGCTCTCCTGGGGCGCCGTCATGATCGGCTTCGGCTTCAGCCCCTCCTTCGAGGTCCTCGCCGCCCTGCGCCTCATCCTCGGCATCTTCGAGGCCGGCTACTTCCCCGGCTGCGTCTACCTGTTGTACGTGCGACTTCGCTCCCCCCCCCCCCTCCCCCTCCGAGCAAAGCGCTGCCCTCGTCGAGGGGGCACCGCGTTGCGCCACGTGTGTGCGTGTGTGTTGGCTAATGATGACGACGGTGCTGTCTGCTCGTGCTACAGGTCCACGTGGTATACGCGATGTAAGGTCACGCCGTGGGAGTGTGTTTTCGCGTGTTGACGACGGGGCTAACGAAAGGTCAGACGAGGTCGGTCGGAGATATTCGGTCTTTTACCTGCTGGGCTGCGTCGCCTCTGCGTGCTCGTGAGTAGTCCCTATTATTTCGATGTCGTCCACATATTACGTCCGACGGGTAGCACAAGGCCGGACCCGGAGTTCGTGCGTGAAAGGGACAATGGCTTACTTGCGGACTTACTAGTGGCATCCTCGCCTTCGGCCTGATGCAGATGGGCGGTCTCGGGGGCTTGGCCGGCTGGCGATGGATTTTCATCATTGAAGGTCAGTCATGCCCATCTCATGCCCGCTACACATGAGAAATTCGATCTAAATACTCACGCACACGCGTGCTATCACCTTAGGCATTTTAACTTGTGCTATCGCCTTGCTCGGATATTGGCTCTTGGTCGACTTTCCCGACTCGAAGCGGCAGTCCTGGCAATTCCTAAATGCCAGAGAGCGAGCTTGGATCATCAGACGCGTCGACGCGGACCGTGGCGATGTCGTAGTCCCCAAGTTTGAGCTGAAGAAGTACTTGGCATCTGGTAAAGATCTGAGAGTCTGGTACGTATGAATGTCGGCAAAGAAAAACAGTCATAAAGGGACAGCGTTTGGGGAGATGACCTCCTTGGACTAACATCATGCTTCCATCTTCTAGGTCTTACAGCCTGATCTCGTTTTGTACGAACACGCTCACTTACTCCATGGCGTACTTCCTGCCGCTCATCCTCTACGAGAACCTCGGCTTCTCCAGGGGTGCATCGCAATGCCTGGTAGCACCTCCGTATGTGTTTGCGGGCTTCTACATGTACTTCACCGGCTGGATCGGAGACCGGTTTCACTTGCGCGGCCCAGTAATCATCGGCAACATGGTCCTCGCCCTCATCGGCCTGCCAATCCTCGGATGGCATCCCAACAACGGGGTCCGCTATATGGGTACTTTCTTTGTCACCGCCGGAGCGTCCGCAAATGTCCCGGCCTCGCTCGCGTTCCAGGCGAACAATATCCGCGGTCAGTGGAAGCGCGCCTTTGCCAGCGCCTCATGGGTCATACTTGCCAGCATTGGAGGTATTGCTGGTAGTCTAGTTTTCAGGTAATGACGATCTCTTCCTACCATCCTCGTTGTCGGTTCGCCAATGCTGATGGATTACTCTAGGTCTCAAGATGCCCCCACCGGCTACAAGCCGGGGTTGTATGCCTGCATGACCTGCTGCGCTCTGTGCATTACCATCGTATGTTTATTGGATCTATCCTTCTATCTCGACAACAAGAAGGCAGACCGAGGCGAGAAGCAGCTGGAAACGTCTCATGTAAGATGAACCACCACCATGAGACAACAACAACCCAAACTGACACATGAATAGGAGGAGCATCAAGAAGATTTCCGATATACGTATTAAACGGAGGCGACCTTTAAGAAACACACATTCGGTGTTCTTTAAAACCGAGCCCGGCGCGAATGGATTTCGTAGCGTCTCAGCAATAGTCACCAGCGTTGCAGTAAACTAGGGCTGCAGTAATATTAGAGAGCTATTACATATAGTCAAGCCATCTGAGATCATGTGGTCGCGTTTAGAGGTAGACAAACCCTTTGTTAGAAGGAACCGCCGAGGGGACAACACCCTGTAGTATAAAGTCCTAGATGCCTAGACTATGACTCAGTGAGCTAGCTTAATGAGATATGACAGCCAAGGGTCCCTGGAATGGGAGATGAGTTGTAACACTTTATTGGGCCTTTGAATCCGCGCATTTTCAGCCCCTGAACGGCGTGAGGAAACCCGATTCGGCATTTTGTCGGGGTCGGGGATAACAGTTATAGTGTGTTAGAGTATTGACAACTAACCACATAAGACCCAACACCGCGACGATGTAAGTTGAGTGTTGCACCAATACGAAAAAGTGATATTCATGATAGCGTAAACTACTTGTGCAGTTTCTGCCTCACTATTTTATTTTATTTTTTTTGTTAGAAGAAAAAAAAGAAATCTAAGGTAAACACCAGCGAAGTGGACTTTGCTATGCACAACCACCATGGCTCCCCTAAGACCTGTTTCTGAGCTCGCATCCATCATCGACCGTCACACCAAAACCTTGGAGAACTCTCTAAAAGGGACTCCAAATGCTGCCTTCTCGCTTGGCCTCGGAGCGGCTCCGCAAATCCATTTCCCCGGTCCGCTTGAGGCTACGCGCGGGGAGCTTCTCGAGGCCCTCGATGAACTCCGTGCTCGCATCCTAGGCCCGGTGGGCTATTTTATGGCCTTACTAATCCCGACGGTACGCAAGAACCTCTGTTATGATATATCCTTGTACGGGATTCGCATTGTGGTACTTACTATGCGCCCCTACAGCCCGCCCTGCTGGCCATCTTCCACACGCTGTATGCCTTTGACGTCGCCTCGCACGTGCCCCTGACGGCGAACGGGGAGATCACGTACGAGGAGCTCGCGAAGCGCTGCGGCCTTCCGGAAGACGACGCGCGCCGCATCGTGCAGGCCGCGATCGCGTTCCGCGTCTTCGAGGAGGCCGTCCCGGACGTGTCCGTCCGGCACAACGCGCTGTCGGCGGCGCTGGCCCGCCCCGAGATGAAGGACGGGCTGGGGCTCATCGTCGAGGAGCAGACCGCCGGCGTCGCGAAGCTGGCCGAGAGCCTCCGGCGCTTCCCGGGCAGCGGCGAGCCGGGCCACTCGGCCTCGGTGCTGGCCTTCCGAGAGGCCCAGGCGGTCCGCGAGCACGCGTCTCTGCAGAGCGAGCTCCCCGACCCGAGCAAGAGCTTCTTCGACTTAATCGCCGGCGACGAGAGGCGCGTCGCCCGCTTCCGCTCCGCGATGGGGCTGTCGACGAAATCCGCCGCCCTCTCCGCGACCCACGTCGTTGACAACCTCCCCTGGGCCGACCCGAGCCAGTGCCCGAAGACGATCGTCGATATCGGTGGCGCGGGCGGCGAGCTATGCCAGCTACGTGAGCACATTCCCTAGCCCCCTATTTTTTGCCCTGGGGCCATGGTTCCTGGGGCCGAAACTGCTTGCCTGTAACTGGCTACTAACACGCTTTCTCGCAGTGCTCCGGAGCTTCCCCGCGATCAGCAAGGCGGTCGTGTTGGACCTCCCGGAGGTCGTGGCCGACGCCAAGGCCCCCGAGGATCTCCAGGGCCGGCTGGACTACGCAAGCTACAACTTCCTGACCGAGGAGGTGACGCAGGTCGCCGATGCGTACCTCTTCCGCCACATCTTCCACGACTGGAGCGACCAGTACTCCGCCAAGATCCTCAGGAACCTGGTACCGGCTCTCCGAAAGGGGAGTAAGATCTTCGTGTCCGAAGTGGTGCTGCCGGATCTGAGTGACCGGAAGCATACGAAAGACCAGAGACAGCGGTCAGTGCAGCCTTCTGTTTTCCCCATTTCTTTTTGAATATCCGGCTGGACTTCAAGTGTGTGCGGCTTCTTTCTTGTACGAGGTACTGACTCCTAGACCGGTCTCCCAGGAGCGCGGATATCTTCATGAAAATCGGCTTTAACGGCAAGGAGCGCAGCGAGCGCGGCTGGGAGACCCTGGTAGCAGCAGCAGACCCGCGCTTCCGCATCGCCAATATCATCAACCCCGAGGGGGCGCACGACTCTCTCATCGAAATTGCCTTCGACGTGTAGGGTCTGGGAAACGCTAGGCAATATTGCAAGGCGCGGGTGGGTATGAATGGGGAAGCGAGCGGCTAACCGGGTGCAATGGAAGGTTATGCAGGGAAGAATCTCCCCTTATCGCGTATAGGAGGCTGTAGGTCCATATTTCAACATCGTGGAGGAGTGTACGATTACTTTGGCTCGCCTCATAATACCTCTAGGTAAATTCAACGTAGACGATCCAGTATTGGGCGTCGTACCTAAAATGCAACTGATACACCCACATATATAGTAGAGGTGAGAGCTTCTAGCTATACGTGCAATTACGGTACGGAGATTTCTATCACACGGTCGTGGTGTTGCATTAGGTGCTACGTAGCATATACAGGCCTGTCTAGATAAGGAGGCCCGACCTTTCTTTTTTTCTTTCAACAAAAGTGGAACACTTCAGTTATCAACTCATTCGATCAGTCTTATTTTGACATCGTGCTCTGGATTGCTATGATATTACTGCTCATATACCCATGCACAACCGTCCTAACGGTGGTCAACACCAGGGCCAAAATGCGGGGTATATATAAGAAGCGTAAGACTGGTCTGGGTAATAAGGTCAAGAATTAAGCTTGCGGGCTTGATCCGTCATGTATTGGAGGTGTGAGTCCGTCACCGGGCTGGGTATCTGACCCATGATGTTTTGGACCCGCTCTAGCAGGAACGGGCCCGGATTGCACTCGTTATGGTCGACGTGCGAGTTATCGGCGGTGCCAATGTCGTGGATGATGATGTTGGTCGTCTTCGAATAGACGGCCATGACGCTCTCCCCGACCTCGGCCGCGTCCGGCACGGGCCAGAGGCCGGCCCTCATGAGGCAGAAGGTCAGAGAGCCCAGAATCATCGATTCGCATTTGTGAGGACCCATCCAGGTGGCGTGGTGGCACCATCTCGGCTTCTCGTCGACGACGGTAAGGTTCGAAACCATCTCGCTGAACGTGTCTAGTAAAGCCTGTATCGTCTTGATGCGAAGTGCAGATATCCGTTCTATGGTAACCCGTGTTAATATATGGATCCTTGCCCGCAGATAACCGAGTAGGCTTAGGGGACTGGCAACCTACCGATGATATCCGGGGGGAACTGGATAGCCATTGATTGATTATTATCGACGTCGAACGCGTCGGCTTCAGACTCTAGCAGCATCCGCCGGCAGATGGCCGCAAAAGACTGCTTCCAGCCGAGTTCCCACGATATCCACAGCATCTGTAGCCTCAGCTCGACGGACTCCCGCTCCTGTTTTTCTATCGTCGCCATCCACGTCTTCGCCCAGGGCCCCAGCATGTGCGTAGCGTCGTAATAGTGGGTCAGGACGGTGAGGTCGTATAGCTCTCTGATGGAGAGGGACTTGGGCACCTGGTCGAAGTGCCCATGGGTAATGATCATCAGCACTTCCATCGGTGCGGGTTTGTCTTCGGGTAGATCTACGATCCAGTTCTCGGCATCGTTAGCCTGGTTGGACCGCGCCTCGGCAAATCCCCCATATAACATACGCTCGAAGACTGGCGATACACGCGCGAGGGACCTCGAGCAGACGGTGAATACAGCGGGCGCCGAATCCGTCCCCTGCCGGCCGATCCGAAGCTTGACGTCGCCGCGATGGTCAAATTTTGTGGGTTGGGTCGCCATCCTGACGAGATGCTTGGCGAGATCCTTTTTTTTTAATGCTTCTATTCTTCCCAGAGGTGCACCGAATCTCACAAACGGCGGCCTGCATGAAAAAGATCGACAACCATCTTCTGGATATATATGCGCGATCGATCGCGAGTCATTGATAATCGCCGGCGCGAACCCAACTCAACACGGAGCGTAATCACAAATAAATTCTCCAGCCCGGCGACCTCTCGTATCGGTGTTTAGTCGTAGGCTGAGCCCATCGCCAAGAGCCGTCTTGGCTGCCCGGATATGCCGACCGAATTTAGAGCGCCCCCCTTTTTTTTTCAGGGTGCAGCGCGCGCACGATCGAAGGCGTGGCGCAGGAAGGTGAGCGTACGGACTCAATGCGTCGACACGAACCCGGCTGTACGCGAAAACAGGCTGGTATACGCGACGGCCTCGCGAGGAGTTCTGGTAGATCGGCATGCTCGCTTCCTACACGTGGCTGGAACCGAATTACAAATGCGACAAGCCCAAATATAGGTAGGTAACCAAGGCGACTCCATAAAAATCGACGGACTGTTCGGACACGACATCGCTTTGCCCAGTCCAGGTATTCTTTTTGGCTATGAGGCTCGAGAGGACATTAATAAGCTGTTCCGTGGCTCAACGCTTCTGTCGACATTCCTTGGCCATGCGGTTGGTTCTGCGATACTCCGCGTCTGCGAGTCAGAACCTCTCCACCCATCTTCGGGAAAACAGGTATGTAGAACACACCACATCGTAGAACCGATAGGCCGCTTCGAGACGCGTAAGAAGCGGGTAGAAGTATTTTTGGACGTGCGCTAGCAACCCGATCATAGGGTGGTAGATACTTACCTGCTACTGAACTAACCTGCCTACTAACAGGATGATGGTGAGGTTGGTAAGTGGCGGAACTGTCTTTCGGCCGCGAAAGAGACAGTAGAAAGCCGGTTAGCTAGTATTGACATGCGTTAGAGCATGGCCCATTTCTTGTTAGGTTTGATCCGAGACACCCGGCTATAGAAGATGCCCTAGTTCACTACTGCGCGCACCCGTCCCCCAACTATACCAGCCTCTCGAGGCGGACCCGCTGGTAGCTGATCCCGACGGGTAAGAAGCTGTTCTGAGCTTCTGGGGCGGACACCTGTCCCAAGGGAGAGGAGCGTGGTCCCTGAAGAACTCCACGGCAAAACCATAGTGGCCCAATTGGGGGATCCTTCACGCGCACAGCCAACCTTGGCAAGGGATAAGGGGCAGGAAGTGCCGGGAGATCACCTTCGAAGGGGTCGATCACCCCTGTAAACCGTCACGACCGGTATCTCCATATCATCGCGTGCTGCGCAATAGCCCCCTGCGCGGACTGAGCGCACCCTAGAATACATATGTACGCGACTGTCCGCGAACGATAATTTCGCTACCACCATCAAGAACGGTTTCTCATTCTCGGATCGAACAGCACTGGCCAGTCAGCTCGACAGAGCGCACCGCCATAGCCTACCGCACGACTTGGCTGGGGTTATCGAGATTGTAGCTATAATACAGGCATCTTTACGCGAATGGCACTGTAGCAATCTATATGTCGTAGCAATAGCATAGAAATAGCTTGGATGTATATAATAAAAAGGTGCTGTATGAGCTCAAACCAGCCACCTTTCACAGGGAAGGCCAGCAATACTATAGCGTGGCTGTGCGGTATAAGTGGGACATTGGTACAAGGTAGGTACCTACCAAAGTTAGGTAGGTACCCCTACGCAGTAGTGGCCACAGCCGGCATCGGTGGGTAATTGAGCTAGAACAGCTGATGGCAGCTGGTGAGTACCACCCCCCCGTTCGCAGCAGGATCGCAACAGCAGACAAGTGGGGTGGGCTTAGGCGACTTTTTTCTCTTCCCTTACCTACCTATAGTACAAACTCCAGTCTCCGCCCCGGCAGTAATGCGAAATCACCACCGTGCTTCAACATGGTAGCCGAAGATGGTGTGCGTGGCGAGCCGAACGGCAATGTTCCGTCGACATCTGAACCCAAGGGCAATCTGTCCAAGAATCCCTCCGATGCACCAGCAATTGCGGAACCGACGGCAGACGCAGGAGAGGGGCGTGGCCGCCATGATGGCCGCAACAAGCAGCACCGTAGACTCGACGCCAATGGCCGCCGCAAAGGACGAGACACTAAGCGCAAGGACTCCCACCGTGGCGGAGACCAGTGAGTTATACTGCTCCTACTTGGCTGGCGCTGGGGATCGAAGCTCGCTAACTAACCCGCAGCCGTGATCCGTCAGACAAGCGACCGCGAACCTACGAGTGGCAGGAACGGAAGCGTAGGAGGCTCGACGAGGATAAGAACTCCGGCAGACAACCCGAGCCTAGTTATATGAGCATCCAGTTCCCCGAGGAGGAGATCGCCGCCGAGGAGCGCCGGCCGAAACGCAAGGTCGCCGTTCTGATTGGCTATGCCGGCACGGGGTATCATGGCCTACAGATCAATCACCGGGAGAAGACGATCGAAGGCGACCTTTTCGCCGCGCTGGTCGCCGCGAAGGCCATCTCTAAAGCGAATGCCGACGACCCGAGGAAGTCCAGCTTCGTGCGGTGTGCGAGGACGGATAAGGGGGTCCATGCTGCCGGAAACATGATCTCTCTGAAGCTGATCGTGGAGGACTCGGGTCTAGTGAAGAGAATCAACGACGAGTTGCCGCCGCAGATTCGTGTCTGGGGCATCCAGCGGACGAACAACGCCTTCAGCTGCTACCAGTCTTGCGACTCGAGGTGGTACGAGTACTTGATGCCCAGCTACTGCCTCCTGCCTCCCCATCCCGAAAGCTATCTAGGCAAGAAGGTTCTGGAGTCTGTTAAAGAGAAGGGCGTCGAAGATGAATATGCGAAACGGCTGAGCGACGTCAAGGACTACTGGGAGGAGGTGGAGAAGAACGAAATCCGTCCAATCTTGGACGCCTTGGATCCCGACATTCGGGAGACCGTCATGCGGCGCATGCACGTGGCGGACTTCGTAACCGGCAATACGACCTTCAACACAGGGGAGACATCCAAGCCCGAGGCCGATCTCGAGCCCGGGCCTTTAGATGGGGAACCCACCGACAAGCCTACGGAGACGGAGGAAGAGATACCCGATACTAAACCTGAAGGCAACCCAACTGACGCGTCTGACGGGGAGCCGGCCTCCACCGGAGAGGACTCGGCCGCCACGGCAGGACAGATACCTGAGCCGACGGATGCCGCAATTTCTAGACCGATAGAAACGCCGGACGTGGAGCCAACCAAGCCGAGGGAGTTGCACCCTGTAGAACGCGCCCTTAGGCAGATCAAGGCTACCTATGTCGCGGCCAAGCGACGCTACCGCGTCACGCCGGAGAGACTGTCACAGCTTCAAGATGCGCTGGACCGGTACACGGGGACGAAGAACTTCCACAACTACACGATCCAGAAAGCGCACGGGGACCCGTCGGCGCGGCGGACGATCAAGTCCTTCGTGGCGAGCCGGGAGCCGATCCAGATCAACGACACCGAGTGGCTGTCGCTCAAGGTGCACGGGCAGTCGTTCATGATGCACCAGATCCGCAAGATGGTGGGGATGGCGGTGCTGGTGACGCGGTGCGCGACGCCGCTCGCGCGCGTCGACGAGAGCTACTCGGCCGCGCGCATCAGCATCCCCAAGGCCCCGAGCCTCGGCCTGCTGCTCGAGCGGCCCGTGTTCGAGAACTACAACCGCCGCGCCCGCGAGCAGTACAACCTCGCCGAGCTCGACTTCGCCGCCCACGAGGCCGAGATCCAGGCGTTCAAGGACGCGCACATCTACCGCCGCATCTTCGAGCTCGAGGAGAAGGAGAACTCGTAAGCGAAAACCCCCTACTTATAGATCCCCCTCTCCGGGGGGCGTCGCACCATGTCCGGAGGACTAACAGCCCCCTAGCTTCCACACCTTCTTCCACCAGATCGACCACTACAAGTCGGCCTACTTCCTCTGGGTCACGGCGGGCGGCCTAGACGCGGCCCAGACGAGGGCCGGCCCGATGGAGGCCGTCCCCGAGGGGCTCGAGGACAACGAGTCGGGAGACGAAGAGCAAGACCCGGCGGGGAACGAGGGCTAGCGAGTCGTCACTTTCATAGTATTCGCCTGGCGAATAGCCTGGAAGGCTTCCACATCTCACAAACGCACATACGTATCTACTCCGGGTCCTTATGTGATAAGGGGATGCACACTATCGTACTTTACGCAGTCAAATGCAAGCTTGCATCACGTACACGGCGAAAATAGGGGATTGTCGTAAAGCTAGCGAATTAGATGGTAACTAGCCTATCATTAAGTACGGGAATCGTGTCGTCGAGAGAACCCACTCTAGGTCCCGGTCTAGCGCGGCGTGGTATCATCAAGGTTGACCCTCCCGTCCCACCTTTTTCCTGGTCGCAAGTAACGTGCGGCCACAATGCAATCCCCGAACGCCATATGTGTGCGTACCTCTGTGTACGTACGTCTGTCTGTGCGGACCCTTTCCCCCCGTGATGCAAATGTAACTGAGACGTGAGAGGAGCAAGGAAAAGGAGAGAAGAGGAAAAAACGAGCGGAGCAGGCGACGTAGTACAGGACCCAGAGCCGCGAGGGTAGTCAATCATTCCTACGTCTCGCGCGGGCGGTCCTCTAGCTACGGGGCCACTCAACCCGACTTGGACGGGGCAGCTCCGTCGCCCTGGCCCTGGCCTTGGCCCTGGTTCTGCTGGCGCTTCTTCTTCTGCTGCTCTTCCTCCATCTCGCGGGCGACGGCAGCGGCGCGGCTCTGCTTGCGCATGGCGGCGTCGCGCATGGCGAGGACCTGGTCGTAGAGGTGGGTGACGCGCTCGGCGGTGCGGTCGATGTCCTCGGCCGAGGGGCCGCCGGCGGCGCTGCTGCTGCTCGCGGCGCCGGCCGGCGGGTGCAGCGGGCCGCGGATCCAGAGCGTCTTGATCTCGCGGCTGATGGCCAGGAGGCCCTCGATCTCGGTGATCTGCGGCGAGGGAGGGGGGAGGGTTCGGTTAGCGCAGTGCCGTAGGAAGGTAAGAGTTAAAAAAAGGGGGGGGGATCCAGGCACACGTACCAGAGCGGCGGTCTCGGTCTCCATGGTCAAGCGGTTGAGGGCCGCGCGCTCGATGATGGGGCCGTCGCGCGGCAGAGGCTCGGTGGCGGCCGCCATGATGTTGCGGAAGCGCGTGAGGATCTGCGCGATGGTGCGGTTGTGGCGGTCTAGAATGGTGCTGTGGTTAGCCCGTGGCTGCGGACGCGGCTGCTGCTCGCTGCGTGGCACTGCGCCCCGGGCGTGGGCCGGGATGGCGGGATAGCCGGCGTACTGCTCGCCCACGCCGCGGTTCTCTAGGAAGCCCCAGATCTCGTCCTCCTGCTCGGACGTGAGCGGCTCCTGGCGCTGGCGGCCGGCGCCCGAGCTGGGTCCCGCTCGGGTGCCCTCGGTCGGAGCCGGGCCCTGGCGGCCATCGCCTGAGGCTGGCGACGACTGCTGGTTGCTACCGGCAGAGGACATGATGGGTGGAGGGGTCGTGAGATGGGAGGGGGGGCTGGATGGGATGTTGATGGTAGTGAGGGTGAATGTACGACGGGAGGAGAGGTTGAAGATGGAAGGTTGGTGGTGGAAGTCCATCAAAAGCAGTAGAGTATTTATAGCCACATAACTCGGGCGACAACAGTCATGTCGCCAGCTCCATTGCCAACAGTAAAGGTACTTTGTCCTGGAGGTGATCGACTGACTGCTTCCCTGGGGTCGAGGAGACGAGTCAAGATGGCAGGAATCAGGTAGCTCTTCTTGTTGAGGATGTCCATATCCATCCAGCGCATAACACCAGGCCTCCTTCTGGAGACGCCTAGCACGACCGTCCCTCCTTTGCGATCTGGTCCTTGCCAAAATTGAACGTCCCAATATCCAACGCCAGCAGCAGCAGCAGTAGCAGTGGAAGCAGCAAAGCCGAAAAGAAGAAAGAAAGAATAATTGAAAAAGGATGCAAAGCGCCTGGGTGCGTTTGGACTCCTGCAGGCGCAAGGGGATGACTTACCAAGAAGATTGCTGGGCTCTCCTCGTCGACTCATTTTGGCGTGTCTTTCTTCCTGAAAACGGACAATTACAGATAGATGGGGACGATACAGGTCCTGGGCGTCGTGACGGCGATGGGTAAGGAGCGTGAGTGAAAAGAAGGAAAAGGTTTGTGGGAGAGTTGGTGATTTTGTCCTTCTGTTCAGCAGTTAATAATAAAAATCGCCAGGGGAAGTTAATGGCACAGGAAGGTTGTCGTCGGAATCAGTCACGTGACAGGCCTCTTCTCCTGCACAGCGAGTTTCCACTCTTACCTTCACCTGCCGCATACTGTAGGTGGGTACTTAACCTAGCCTTTAGCAGAGCTTGATTTCATCATATTTAATAGGCACATGTAGACACCTGTACAGGTAGGTACCTATGCCTCCTACTACTTGGTGTTGGCCTTGAGATGTACATTAGGAGGTAACCCCACTGTGCAGAGCTCTACCTGTTGTTTCTTTGGTACCTCCTCTCTTGCTTAAAAGCGGTATCAGAGGTAGGTACCTCCTAGGTTAATACACAAATCTGGTACCTGTCAAAACGTAGGCGCCTTTACCTTAGGTACCTCCACTTAATGTACCTACGGATACGTACCACAGCATATGGTATAAAAACGAGCTCTTGAGCTCTTAGTGGAGGATGTACCCCGGAGGTGTTTATTAAAGGAAGGCAGAGCTGTTTGCAGGGGTAAGTATACTGTAGGTACCTAACCTAGGTAGGTATACGTAGGTATATACCTATAAGCATCGGTATTTCTATGCCCAGATGCCAACCCTCCACCCCCTCCACCCCAACAACCATTTTCCGGAGTTATCTATGATCTCTGTCGAATATCAGAGCTACCATCCTCGTTAGCTGCCAAACATATATCAGCATATATCAACATGTTCTGGATACGTACCGCGAGCACCTGATCCAGATCGTACCGCCCCCCGCAGCTCAGTTGCGGGATCTGGGAGTACTTTTTCGCGAGCTCTTCTCTCGTGTTCTGGAGTATCTGTTTCATTTTCGGCCAAGGTCAGCCAGGGTTCTAGTAGGTAGGTAAGTGCTCGCAACGGGAGACGCGCGTTGATGTACGACTGCTCCGGGCTTTCTCTCAGCGTCCTGACGAAGGCCCACGACATGGCCCCGGTGGGCGCGCCGGCGATCGAGGTGTCGGCCGACGTCTGGTTGTCGGCGCAGCCGGAGAACATCCACACGTCTTTTCCCTCCGTCTCCCAGTGCTCCTCGAAGTGCTCCGGCGCCAGCCCGTCCTCGTCGACGTCGTCGCCTCCGCGGTGGTGCAGCCCGTTGAAGAAGTCCGTCGCGCCGCCGAGCAGCATCTTGGCGTCGTCCAGCTTGGACAGCGAGAACCCGCCCTCCAGGAGCTCCCCCGCCGCGCGGATCAGCCCCACGCCCTGCTTGATCGTGTCGACCATGTTGACGTTGCCCGCCTCGTCCGGCCGGTACACGTAAGGCAGCTCGCACGCCGAGCCCGAATGGCAGCAGTCGAACAAGATGGTGAGGCGGCATTCCGGGTGCAGCGGCGAGACGATCGCTCGGTGCAGCTGCGCGACGAGCCGGTTCGGTTAGCCCCGCATCCTCTAGGTATTAGGAGACGCCGGTGTCTATCTCATATTAGGCGTGGTAAGGCCTCACCATCTCGCTCGTGATCTGGCCATTCTCTTGAAAGTCCACGGGACAGATAGTATCGTCAAAGCTAACCGCAATTAGCCAGAATGTAGCGAGACTAATAGCATCTACATCCTCACCCCGACGGTCGGTCGCCATCGTCGTTCCTGACCTGGCCTAAACGAATAAAATTCCGCCCCTCGTTAACTGTAGTCAAAGGGGGCAGAGGGGAGGAAAACGAAACAGATTAACGAACCCCCGTGACCGGAATAGCTCAGCCAGAGGACGTCTCCGGGCTGGTTCCGGGTCACCAACCATTGGATGGCGGCCAGGATATTGGCTGCCGTTGGAAAGAAGGGAGTGCCCTCGTTCTCGGGCGTGTCCAACATCATCACCATGTCGCGGGAGCTCGGGGAGAAGCCCCGGTCCTCGATAAGGAAATTGCGAATATTTTCGGAATCGTTGATGCAACCACGGAGCTCGTACTCAGTGCCGAAGTAGTTAATGCCGATGAGCAAGGCCTTCTTACGCGCCATGATGCGAAAACACCCGTCGAGGGTTTACCCGAAGAGCGATCGAGTTTGATGTATGTCCCCTCAACGGATCTAGGCAGAGTTCAAGCCGCGCGGAGTTGTCGTTAAATGCCTCCTCTAAAACAGCAAGATGGGGATTAAGCGGGTATCTCCGGACCAGATCATGCAGGTTCCGTTCAGATGGATCACTGTGTGACAGCGGAATCAGGGGAGGCCTCAGGCTCAGGGCTGGTGGATGTATTATTCCCCGCATCGCATCGCGCCGCACCGTACGGGATATTAACACCGACAGGGGCAGCAGGCTCCCACTTCATAGGGGACTCGTGCGGACGTCTCTGCGTCTGCAGAATTCCCGATGATCTCAGAAGGAGAACCGACTGCGCAGATAAAAACAATACCGAGGTATCGCATCGACCTTAATAATTTGACAGAAATGATTTTGGAAGGATGAAAATCGCTATGGGAGAGAGTTGCTTAACCTAATGCTGGAACACGACAATGGAGCAGGCTTGTTCTGTCACGGACTGAAAACCCGCCTACACTTGCACACGCTCTCGTAACGAACCTGTACTGAGGAAAGCAGCGGGTGTGTCGTTGAGACTAGGTACGGGTTGCCTTCTAAGTCAATGCATGTCATCAATGTCCTAAATTGATAGTTCGCATGAGAGAGTGTGTTGAATTTGGTAATAGTGTTCGAGTGCGAGTCCGGATCCTAGTCGCGTGGGGCCATCTGATCGTCGCTTTGTCGATCTAGGTATAATAGCAACCAAGTCCCCCATACTCTTCCCCCAAGCGGCGGTACCATGTCACTGTAGCCATCCATAGTATATGGACTATTTGTAGTTATTTAGCAGACGGGACAATGTTCTAACTGTAACACCTCTTTCCGATAAAATGACAGTACGGAAACCTGCCGGAATCTCACGTGGCAGAGCTGAAATCTGTGCCAAGTCAACATATATCACCAAGAGCGGAGATACTACCTATGTGATATGCTTCCTGTTCCTAGAAAGCCCAGTGTTATCCTTAAAGCAGCCAAGGGACATAAGTAGTCAAAAAGGTATAAACGGCCCTAGCCCGAATACGGCTCTGGTATCCCACGGGAGGCAGTCTTTACGGGCGTTAAGCAATACTATTACTACTACTATTAGACGATTGCATAGTGAAAGGGAGCAACGTGGGCACGCTGCTCAGGGAGATGGATAAGAAAATCATAGCTGACTAAGAGAAGAAGGACGGAGGCATAGTCACCAGGACAGGGCTCGTACGAAGTGCACGGCGACGAGGATGGTGATAAAAGAGTGTAATATCATATGCTCTCTATAGCGGTTAAGAAGTGAAAAATATAGGTTGAACTACGATGGTGAACATATAAGTGGGAGACCTATATAAGTACTCATCCGAAACCCTACAAGGACTAGTCCCACCGCACCACTACACTAATGCTCTACTACCTGCCAGACCCGTACTGCACATCATCGAAGATCCTGGATGTTAATAACGACATCGCTTTCTCCCTGGCCTGGTTGTCGCAAGAACAAAAGACCAAACTCTAGTCGTGAAGCCCCATTAGTGGCGCTGTACGACGAAGGATTGAACCGATCCGCCTCGGAAATGTCAGGATCCTGCGTAATGGTAATGACCTGGCTGCAGGTGGGCTTGAGCCGGGCCGGGGTCTCTACCCGCTTCTCGAGAATGATGTTCCTTGAGCCGCGGTCGAACCCGGCGAGGAGGATGATCTTGACCTGGTGGTTTGACGTTCTAAACCACCATCTCATGTCTCTTCGCGAGCCCTCTAGTGTTTCCGAATGCCCCGTTTCGATGACAAAGGTTGGCCAAGTTTCAACGTTGTGGGCTCGGACCGCCGGTCGAATCGCCTTCTCCACTATCTCCATTTGGGTGGCTAAGTGCCCGATTCGTTGCGCTACCCGTCGAAATCCAACTGTTCTCTAGGCCCATCTGAAGAATTTCGCGGTCGGTTTTACGCCAAATCCCAAGGTGAAGTGCTTCTTGTAGTCTAGTCGGGATAGTGATGATGAGGATCTCGCCTGAGGCCTCGAAGCGTCGAAGCCGGAAGCGCCTTCCATGTTGTTCTCTCTCGTTATCAATCTCAGCAAACTGCTGGACGGAGACGCCTGGGGAAACTTAGTAAAAGAACAACACGTATGTGTATATTTTACTTACCATAGACAATGAGAACATCTCCGATAGCGCGGTCGATCTCGTCAAAGAGCCTCTTGACGGTGGTGGGCCCGGCGACGGCGCCGTCGACACACTGATCTAGATGGGCGCCAACGTCAAGGCTGGCTCCCCCGAAGACGTCGAATGAATCGGCGATACAGCAGCCGTGATCGGTGGGTGCTGAAGGTAAGAAGTTGTTGTGGGAGAGAAGATGCCTGGAGGTGGGGGTTGGCAGGAGGGGAGAAAGCCATGATTTGTTTGTGAAAATCGAGATTCGTCTCAGATATTAACGGGCTGTTAGAGGCTTCCCCACCTTCCTCCTCCTCCTGCAATAATTGTGGGCAATAGGTGCTCACTGACTACGCCCATAGTTACGCGATCAGCCAAGAACGTCATGGGCGGGTTGCGAGGCTTGATACATGGCGACAATCGCTGATGTGTGATATGAGCATGTTCGTCGAGGTGAAGACCGTGGAAACTACCGGCGATGGTCTCAAGCAGAGTGGAGACACCACTAACATCCGCAAGGGTCAGTTCCAGGGTTTCTCAAAAAGGGGTGGGCAGAGACGGCGGCGAGGCTTACCTTCCGGGACGGCTCAAGACGAAGAGCATCTCGCCGCTCCTGACCAAGCCGCCGAAGCTTTCCAGAGTCTGGATCTTCCTCCATCTATGCGATATCCATTTCCGGACGATAAGGGGTGCCCGCCAAAGAACGTCGAGAATGTCCTTCTGGTAGTCTGTGTCCTTGCCGAGGCCGTGCACCGATACCTAGGTCGCGCCAAGAGATCCCGACCGGCGGTCGAGGGTACCTTTAGGGATCTTGAGCGAAGGCATGCAGAAGACACTTCTTCGCGTCGAAGTCGGGGGAATTTGGGTCCAGCGCCGGAGGAGGAGAGAGAGAAACGGGTTTACACCCAGTTGCCGAGTTGCACCCAGCTACCAATAAGAGTGGGCCAGCAGTGTCGGCGCCGAACTACTCCAATTGGTTAGTCTCGTCCTCGTTTTGCTGGAGTCTCGTCATCGCCGCCCATCCCGTTCCCATGCATCTTCTTCCCATCTCTCTTCTCCATCTACCTGTTGGCTTGCTTTTCTTTTTCTCTTCTTTTCTTTTTTCGTCGCTCTGCTCTTGTTTCGGCTTCTTGAAATCCGGCCGGCCCCCGCCTGGACGAGAAAGATGGAGATTCTCAAAAGTTGTGACGCATGCAAGGCGCGAAAGGTCCGATGTAACCGTAAGTTACCTAGCTGGCAATGCACACATACATACCATTCACGTTCCGTACCGCGAGAGAGGCTCAAGTCGGCGTACATACAGGGTACCCCGGTCCCTGCGAGAATTGCGTGGTAAGTCCCAATCCGCCGCCCAATCCGCCGCCGTGTCGTCGCCGTGTCGCGTCTTGGACGAGCTCTAAATTCGTACTAATACTTTCTCGTCAAGCGCCGTAAAGTGCAGTGTCACTTTAGCCGCAAAAGGGTGCCCCAGAGACGGAATGGTGAGTGAGCGCCGCCTCCGGGTCGAACGGCTTACTAAAGGGTCAACCGACTAGCCACCAACATCTACACATCACCCCCTTCGACAAGGCGACAATCCCCCGCTACTCCCCAGGTGAACGAAAAGGTCAGCGTGTGTGTGGTATAGGTAGGGTCGAGATGGAGAAGAGCTCTGCCCTTGCTAACCCGCAGATACTTCCCAACAGCCTCGGCCATCGTTGCCTGAGCTCTATGTTGATCGCCTGTTAGCTGGGGCGGGAAGACCGGACGACCCGGCCAACGATAAGCCCCCGTTCGCTGTCAAAGTAAATATGTTAAGTCTTTGGCTCGTGTATTGGTACTGATCCTCCGTAGGGACTTGGACTTACCAGTATGTCTCAGTTTGGCCTCTGCTAACTTGGGATAATGATAATGCACGACTAATTAGGTGTAGTGGGCGGTACCAGTTTAACTTTCTTCTCCGACAACCGATTGTTATACCTGTCCTCCCGGTTACGGAATGATAAGGTAACAAAGTTGGTTCAAAGAATATCATACATAATCGCTTCTCGGCTGAATCACAATGGTGAGCCCCAAGGAATACTCCTCTCCGCCCCTAACCCCCTTTTCTCTCGTAGTATAAATTCCGCAGGCGGTCACGCTGCTGGAAATGGCTGTGCGATACTGTCTCCCGGAGCGTTTCTTATTCAGAAAGTATCCCGAGAGAGAAGCGCTAATTTTTCACAGTGGGAGTGACACCTGGCTCTCTAGGGAGCCTAAAAGGAAACCAGAAGGATACTTTAACATTCTCGGACAGAGCCGAAGTAAACCCTCACATACGGCGTCAGTTTTCTCTGTGTGTAGCTCTAGTCATCATATATTCTGTTTGTCTAACCTAGACCTAGTATACTTTGAGAGGGTCCATCCGTTCTATCCGTTCGTTGATCGGACTGAATTTGAGGCCCTGGCTTTCGGCCCCGATTTCCCTGGTCCCTTACTTCATAACAAAGCTCTATACGCCCTATACTACGCTATCATCGCCCTGGGATGCCAGGCCAGGGGTGGGGGGAAGTTTGAGTCTGGAAAAGGGAAGGCCTGGCAGTTCTTGGTCAGGGCTTTCTCTATATTCCCTGATATCCTTGCCCTCCCAGACTCTTTGGATGTTCTTCAGGCTATGACGGCTATGACTATATTTTCGCTCAAGTAGGTGTATTAAGTCTTACAAATCCCTACACTACCTTTCGCCTTACATCCGTCGTTCACCCCTAATATCGTCCGTTCTATATTTTCCCTGTTACCACCGCAGAAAGCAGTTGTGATGGTTGCAACGCTGAAGAGCCGTCACTAACTCCAGGTGCTATAGTATATCCTGTCTCGCGATCGAACATTTCATCTTGTCCGAGGCAACCAGGAGAGCACAGAATCTTGGGTGCACGAATCTCCGAGGCAATGCCCGGGCAACCTACCACAAAACCTTCTGGGTTCTCTATACAGTCGAGAAGATATCCAACTTCCATTTCGGGAGGAACTCTGTATGTCTATCTGCCGTATCCATCGTCTTGTTAAGTCAATGATTAGCGGTATGGCGTTCCAGCACTAAAGATTAACGGTTGTAGATGTTCACCGACCACGATATCGCAATCCCGGTCCCATCCGTACCAGATGCCGTCATTGGAGAGCTTGATTGGTTTCTTACCACTGCGAGATACTCTCGTCTTCTCTCTAGGTCCATGTCCTCGTTATTTTCTGCCGCGGGAGCAGATGACCCAAAGATGTACTACATGTCTATAATTGACCAATGCGAAGCCGAGTTAGATCGATGGCGCATGTCAATACCGGCGAACATTAGGCCCGGTGAGCCATATCGAACACACGCAATGCAAGGCACATTGCTACGAACAGCAGCTCTCCGCATTCACCTATTCTACTACAGCTTCAGGCTGAGCCTATGCCGGGCGACATTGAACCTGGCTGCAAACACCAGTCAGGTAGTGAGCCAGGCTCGCCAAATTGAAAGTACGAGACTTATGATGGAGGCATCACGGTCAGTACTGGAGTTGACGACTTTCGTTGAAGTGGAGCCGGGTACGCCGCTTTGGTAAGGACCAGACACCTATACGACTTTGTGTTCCGCCCTTAAGCCCTGTTAATCTAATATCGGCGTTATTTCTTGACTGCAGGATCATAGCAGGCATTCCGATTGTAGCCCTTTTCATCCTGTTCGATTTTGTCGTCACAAACCCTAAGCATGCCGGAACGGCGACAAACCTTGCCCTCCTCGACATGGTCGGTGGCCACTTCAGCAGGATCGAGTACGCGAGCGGCGGCAGCCTTCCGGGGTCACTCATTGGCGAATTCGGGCACATCGCCCGAGAGTATGTCAACACGATAAAGAGTGAGGAGGCTTTGAATTCGGCGTCCGACAAGCCCGCATCCGTGCAGCCAAAATCGCCATCTATGCCTCTTCAATCACCTAGCCAGGTCCATAGACCTATCGAGAATAGAATTTCCCCCGGGGTTGGTTCGTCTCTAGGCCTCGACCCCGCACAGGTGAGCATAAACTTCCCAGTGGCCGTGAACACTGTTACTAAGGTATTCTAGATGACGGACAACCTTGTGTTCGACGGTGATGTCGCTTTGCCAATCGATGAGACCCTGTTCTTCCCCATCAATGACAGAATATTCGGGATGGATAACGACTTTCCTACCGGCACTGACATCATGGATCTTTTCAACTCCGCCATGCCTGGTATCGATCCGTTCTTCAACTAACTTCTAGGTGGCAACAGCCAAGACTAACCCGTATTCATTGGGTTATGCCTGAAGATGTGCTCTGGAGAGTTGCCCTAGGCCTATCGGTCGTAAATAACCTCTCTCCAGTCTTTTATGGTATATGTAGATCGTTAGGAAATTCGGAAGCGCTTTTAGAAGCGAGCCGGGTTTGACGGGTGCAAGTCAAAATAATAGGACTCGTCAGCTTTCTTTCGGCTTTTCCCTTTCTCTAGTCTCTCAACTCCATGATACCCCATCCGTAAACTTATCGGATAAGAAACTGGCTTCTTGTTAGCAACAGAAGTTTTAACAACGAACGGATTTAACAGCTACACGGCTGAAGAAAGTATTCGAACTTAGTTGCCCTGATATACAGTGTCAAGATTTTCCTATTGCGTTCCAGGAAAATATAGACTATTACACTGTCTACCATATTAATTATGTCGCAGAGAAACATCACCTGTATAAACCTACATATCCAAACGGTACAATTCATATATACAACTGTGTTTTCATGCCGAAATTTTAGAAGTGCAGTGTTATGTAGCTTCCACGACAGAAAGACATTGGTGACCATTCCTCACTACTCTACGAACACCGTAATTCTCGTTGTGTGTAAGCAGGACTCTAACTTATGACAGCTTTCCCGCAGCGTAGTCCCTGCCAGCTCACTTACTGATCGATTCTGGTATTATTAGCTTTCAGCCCACTTTATAAATTACATGGGGAATAGTAGCCAACACCTCATATACCGCATCTTTCAGTAGACTACTCGTCGTGTCGGTGGCTGATCCTCTTCACGGTTTCGTAGACCCGGGCGGCACAGCCGACGCCGCCCAAGGCGAGCATGATGCCGTTGAAGAGTATCAGGATTCCGTAGCTCGTTCCGTAGCTCTTCGGCCACCAGGCGGTCTTGCCGAGCCCGTCGGCTATGAGCCTCTCGCTTATAGGGCCGCTGGCGATGCTGCCGACACCCCTCGCCGCGGCTGCGAACCCCCATAGCAGGCCGAGATCGGCGCGGGGACTGCGTTTCTGCACTTCTAGGCCGATGCCGACCCACGTCGAGCTCCAGCCTCCGGCGAACACGCCGTAGAGAAACGCGAAGGCGCAGAGAGCGCTAAAGTCGGCCGCGAACCCCCAGGCCAGGAAGACGGCGGCGGCGGCACCCAGCGACAGGAGAAACAGCGACACGGAAACGTGGAAGCGATCCACCAAGTAGCCGGTGCAGATGGCGCCGATCACCGTGGCCGCGTTATACAGCGACAGCATTCCCGCGGCGTCCAGGGGGGACGCGCCGAAGCTCTGGGCGAACGCTGGAGCACGATTTAGAAGGCAGATTACCGGAGGGGCGCACGCAAACAAGGCTTACATGGGAGATGTATGCCGGGCAAGAAGTTCCCCAGCGCTTGGAAAACGTTACCCGCTTGGAGGACAGCGAAGATTGGCGTGGCTAGGAAGCCTAGGGTGCCGAGTCCGCCGGCCGCGGCGTCGACGGAGGGCACGACGCGGGGGCGGAGGAAGTAAATCGACGGCACGGACAAGAGGGAGATGGCGACGAACCAGGCGACCAGCATCGTGCGGTGCCCGTACTTCTCCAGGCCCCAAGTCATGAGGACACTGGCGGCGCGGTTAGCCACAGAAGCGGGAGGCGGGGAGGCGGGCGCGCACGTACGGGATGATGACGCCGCCCATGCCGGCGCCGCTCTCCTGGATGCCGAACGCGAGCCCCTTGCGCTCGACGAACCACTCGTTAAGGAACTGGATCGTCACCGTGTTCGCGACGCTCGCGCCCAGCCCGTACAGGACGCCCTGCGTTAGCAGGAGGTGCCAGACCTCGGAAGCGAACGCGGAGGCGAGCACGGCCAGGCACGTCGTCACTGCCCCGACGATGAGCGCCGCGCGCCGGTACCTCTGGTAGCGTTGCAGGACGAGGAACGTCGGGGGCGACGACAGGTATATAACGCCCTAGAAGACGCCGTCAGAACTAGAGACTCGGGGGGTGGGGTGGCGTCTCGGGCAAGAAACCAAGTAAAGCCCTCGCACCTACCAGTGCCGTCGTGCCGACCGCCGGCAGCCCCTCGGGATGGTTAGAAAAGGGGGGTTGGGTGGAGTAGTAGCTCTGGAATACGCCATAGGAAAACGGAAAGCCTGAGGCCCCCTGGTTAGCCAGATCTCGAGCGGCGGCCGACGCGGAGGAGGAGGTGGAGGAGGCGAGATATAGTAATAATCAGGGAGCGGGGCAGAGGATGGCTAAGTTATCCCTCGCTAACTTACCCCAGGTCAGCGCGATCATCAGAAAGCAGCCCATCCACAAAAACAGCCAGGCGTGCCGGCCACGGTCCGGCTCGGGGTAGGCGGAGACGGAGGCCCGGCGCAGCTCTTCGCCCACCTCGCCCAGCTCGACCGACTCGGTGTCGGGCTCGGCCCCGCGCTCCTGGGACCTCATAGCTAGGACTGAAAACCAAAACGAAAAAACCCTTTGCGACACTTGATACTTGTATTCGTTTCTCTTCAATTTTTGATATTCTTCTTTTTCGAGAAGAACCTTTCCTCCAGGCGAGAGAGACGACGGTGAAGGCCCCACGAGCTACAGGAGGACCTGCAAAACGGCTTTATCTAGGGACCCGGGCGCGCGCCTCCACTTAGCGGGTGGGGAGAGAGACCCTCTTCCTAGGTATTATTCCTTTAGGCCGGGATCGGCCGCGCCCTTCTCTTCTCTCCCCCCGCGCGCGCACGACAGCGCAGGGCGTGGGCGGGTGCGGTAGAGCAAGGCGTAACCGCGCTAGACGGGCCGCGTCGAAACCTGGGCGCCAACGCCGTGTCGTACACGCACCGGCCGGCCCTGCCGCCGCTTCAGCTCCCAACCCACCAGTATCGCGTGTACGGAGCCTGTCTTCCCCCCGCTCCACCCTCCCAAGACGAATTGCCCAACAATTCGGCGCGGACGTGGTCGGTGGGCGGGGGTGTCGTAGAAACCGGCTCGAATACGTAATGAGATTTGAGAAATAATCGATGCTGCCGGCGGCGTCACGGCTAAAGCCGCTCAGGACCGCGCCAGCTTTCGTTCGCTCTTACTCGCTTGCCAGCCGCTAGGCCCGTCCCGAGCGCGCCCAGCGCCATGCTCTCGGCTGCGCTCCTGGCGAGCGGCGATTCGGCACCGCTCTGGCTGGCCGTAGCGTAGGACTGCGAAGTACATATAGCCGCACAATGCTAAATACAGCTTCGCTGTCGCAGAGCTGGGAAAGCGTGCTAAACTAAACTAGGGTGCTGGCGGAAGTGCTGCGGTTATCGGGTCTTGGGTGACATCGAACTTCTTCTGCCGTGGAACGCCTTGATAGTCAGGCTTGGCAGAGATCCAATATAGAAGCGGCCTATGGTATCAAGGTGCATGTCTATAAATTCAATTGGATATCTTTATGAATCTGTTAACTAGGAGTTAGTGGCTCGTCCTAGGTAGAGGGACCGCAGCTCGTCAACGACAAGACCGGAAACGACGACAAGCAGAAGTCATGACATAGGTAGCCGAGCGGTGCATCTTTACTCTTAATGTGTTCTCATTCTTATCTAGGGGTCTCGTGAAGCCCCATACAACCGTAGTTTATCCACCCATCGTGATGAACACGAATTATACCTAGGTAATAAAGATACAGCGGAGGGTTAACCGCAAAGTTCATTGCGCGCGAACGGCCATGAGTCGAGAATTTCCTCCCCCGTCTCCCTTTCCGAGATACAGCCATAGCCGGAGACATGCTATCTCGTGCGCGCTACGGAGCGGCAGCGAAAAGTCTGCAGGAGACGGCCGTCTCGGATCGACGCGAATCTGGTTTCCCGGCGCGGCGGGGTTAAGCTGAGGGGTATTGTACAAAGATACAGTGGACGAGGTTTTCGTGCGCGCACGACCGGAGACGACGTGGCAATTACGCAGCGCCGGGCCAGGGTAGAAGCAATCTGAGTCGGTTCGTCGCGAAGGAGATGTTCTACAGAGCAGGCTGTGCCTCCCTACCGAGCGCGGAGCCGACCTGCTGCGCAGTCGCCGAGCCGCCAGTATTGCTGCTTCCGGCAGTAAGGAGCTATTGTGAGCCTCGGTTAGCTATCGCCGCCGCCGTTTCATCCCCCTAATATACGGGTTGTCGCGCTATTAAAGGAGGAGGGCGAGGGAGGAGCGGTATAGGACAAAAGGAGCACCGACCTCGCCACCCATCTCGCGCATCTTCATCTCCTTCTCCATCTCCATGACCTGCTGCTCCTCGGCCCACGCCAGGGCCCACGGCACGCCCAGGATCAGCGCGCTGGTGCTGATAACCCAGAGGCTCCGTCCGGCAAACGAGAGCGCGGATGATACGGCGCTGGTAGTCGTGCTGAACTTGCTGGTGACGGCGCCCCGGATCTGGGGAGGAATGATGTCTTTGAGGGAATACAGGCGCTCGGCGAAGGTCTCGTTGGAGGGGTCGTAGTCGGAGTCGTTGGAGATCTCCGATTCTAGATGCGATAGCAAGGTTAGCAAGCCGCCAACCACTGTCGAGGCCCTAGCCTATAGGGTGAATCGCGGCGGTGGTGCGCGCGCGAGGGGGGGCAGGGAAGCGAGCTTGCGTGCGCCGTACCAGTGTCTGTGTAGTCGTCGTCGTCCTCGGGCCCCGGCTGGCTCTCTTGGAAGTGCTCGTCGACGACCTCTGTGAGCTGGACCATTTTCGGGAATAGTCTGACCGAACGTTGCCTAATACTTTGTGGTTAACACTGCGAATAGCTGCTGCTATGAAGCGGGAAAACCGGGTGCGAAGTTGTCGATTGCGAGAATTGCCTGGGCAAGTCACCCGATGGGAAGAAAATCTGCGCGAACAATGGATTTTCTTATCGGCACGTGTCGAAGTGGGATGCTTGCTGCTTAGGTAAGCAGGTGACGTCGCACCCTTCTCCAAGTCATAGGTAGCTACTACTACTACTACGACTACGACTACTACGACTACGACTACGACTACGACGACGAGTTCACATTGGCTTGCCAGATCCTACCTCACAGACTGGAGGGTACGTAGGTGGATAGGAACTTAGGTACGTTATGTCTGCCGGACCCTTAGACGGAGTCAACGTAGATAGGGCGCCTGACCTACGCATCCTCCGCCTCTATAGGGCCCCATCCTCCTTCTCGTATCCGTGCCTCTGAATAGTTACCTGTCACGTAGAGAGCCACCTATACCTAGCTCTCTACTTCTTCACTGGTTGCTCGCTTACCTAACCTAGTTCCCAGCTCCCTATCGTATTGTCACGTAGTAATTGAACCAGCCTATATAAGCCTACATACCGCAAAGCGTGAATGTAGGCGTCTACGTTTTACGCGACACGTATATATATACAGGTAGCTCACATCTTCTTTATTCATTTCCTTCCTAGTTAGCTAGTCAGTTAATTCAACCTCTTCATCCCATCTTTCATTGCTCCCGCAGCAGAGCAACCTCAGTCCTTACGTAGCTCTCCCGATCTACGTAATACTACCCAAGGGGGCTGGATCCGGTCTCCGCGGAGATATCACGTATCCTCGCTCCATATCGCTACGACCTGTCAAGAATAGTCATTAAAATCCTTTCAGATCATTCTATAGTTAAGCGTCCCCCTTATGACGGAATGCGTATGCGACGTTGGTGTTGGCATGAGCCACGACATACCCAACTCCCTCGGCTCTAAAAAAAGCACACACACACACAAAAAAAACGCAAGTTTTCTCATGCAGTTCTCCTCCTCATAATGCTAATCCGTCATCTCCCGTCATCGTAAATACAATAACTTTAATAGTGCGCATGTGCGCTAAGCCTTGTTGGACGGGGAATCTGCAAACCGGATTCCTCGTCTGGCAGGCGGTACTCTAGGGGTATCATCGTCGTCGCTGTCGCTGTCTTCGACCGTGTTGTTGTTCACGCCGAGAGCCGCCTCTCTTCTCCTCCGCTCAGCCGGCGTTTCTCCCGCCTCGTAGTCCTCTCCGACGCTAGCAAATGCCGCGAGTCGTCGTCTCTTCTCGGCAGCCGTCTCTACCGCATCGGGGTCGGCAGCCTGTTCGGCGCCGGTGGTCGTGCTACGCCCGCGACCGGACTCTAAATCGGAGGGAGATGTACTCGTCTCTCGCGTGCTATCACTCGCTTTGGTTACGCTAATCTGGGGTTGTTGGGATGCGTGCGCGAGAGGGGTACTGGCCGCAGGCTCTTCCATGGCCGTCAACTTGATCGCCGGCGTGGCGGTGGACTGGTCGACAACCTCGCGACGCGTCCGGGAATCCAATTTCCTCACCTCGTGGAGGAAATCGTCTTTATTCATCCGCCGTCCATGGCCGCCGATGGTAAACCGGATTCCCCGATCGTCTTCCTCTTTATTTTCAACGGGGTCGGCCGCACCATTTACTGGGTGTTCGGTAGCGCCGCCACGATTGAAGCCTGGCCAGCCGGTCTTCGTCTTGGCCGAGGGCTTGCTGCTACTAGCCTGTGCAGCCTCCGGTTCTGCTGCATCGCCAGCTGTCTTGTCAGAGGGTTTCATGAGGCCCCCCATGCCCATGTATTTTAAACTCGTAGCGATATAATCTTTACTCTCGCCGCGGCCGGCGGGCAGGTCGTATTTTCGCACCACTTCTCCGTTCTCGTCTTCGACGATGATCTATCCGCCAATTAGTCATACTTCTCGTCCATAGCCTGCGATGGCAGAGAGAGCTTACCGTGTTACCGTACTGATATGCTCTTGCGGGCTCATGCTTCCGTTCGGTTTTAGTCTTCTCCTTGCGCTTCTGAGCCTCTTCATCGCGCCACCTCCCAATGCTTCTCTTGAGTGACTCGTAAGTCCAACCGGGCTTCTGCGTCTCAGCCTTGGCCTTTTCTTTGATATTTTGCAAGTTCGGAGTTGGCTGAGGCCCAGTTTCCTCTACAGCAAGCACTTGTCCATCTCGATCTTCGATAATGACATGATCGCCCTCTTCGTATATCTCGATATCATTGCGCTCCTGCCTGGGGGGCTGCGGATGGCCGGGATTGATTTTGGGCGCTTGCTCGATTCTATCCTCTGCCCTCTCCATCCCCTTATCAGGCAGTTCTTCCGACGGCGGGGTAGAGCTTTCTTGTCTCGGAGAGGCGGGGTGCACAGAGTCAGACGGCGACATAGCCTCCAGAGGTTCGCTAGTACTCCGTCGCTTGGGGAAGATGGCTGACTGACTCACCGGCCCTCCCGGCCCGATGCCGTCGTCCCACTTCTTTCTACTCCGACGTCGGCCGGATAGGGATGACGCACGGCTTCCTGCTCTACTTGGGTTCTCTTCTTCGCGCTGACGTCGCAAGAATTGCCCAGGTATGCCAGTCGGTGGCAACGTACCAGGCGGAAAGTCTGGCATCTTCATCTCGTCATAATCGGTGTCGGACATAGTTCGTGCTTGCGATCGAGACTGTGACGAGATCCGCGGTAGGCGGCTCATCCACGCGGGTCCATCTTCGGGCGCGGTGGTGAACGACATGGTGAGAGACAATGTGTTGATTCGCTTGCCTAGAGTAAACACGGCTATCGAGGATCCGTGGACGAGGATAGAAGATACCACCATGAACGTGACGATGGGCCACACCAGCAGAATCACATTATAAAATTCGGTACCGGGCTCCGGAATCTGTGCTAGCGGGATGGTGTGCTCGGTTTCCAGTTCGGCCCGGGCAAGCAAGGCAACGAAGATGGCTCCCACACCGATCGGACCGAAATGCCCAGCGAACAACGCTTCTCTCCAAGTTTTGATGTCCGGAATGATTGGTTTGAGCAACAACATAACGGGAATCCGACGGAACAATATGACAAAGATAGCCATGACAGACAACCTCCAAGCAGAAAGGCCGATGGACAGATCGTTGTACATCTCCCAAGGAATAATGGTGCCGAGGTAGACGAAGTACGCCAAGTTGATCAGCAAGTCGATAACGTTGGACACGTGGGATTCCTCCGTCTTTTCGCTAAACCAGCCATCATTTGAAAACCCAACCCCGGCAGCAAACCCGACTAGCAGGTCATCCGTACCTAGGATGCTTCCAGAACCAGCACAGAAGAGTGCTAGGGTGAAGTAGAAGACGAGAAAACTCTCACGGTCAATCAGGTCATGCTTCTCAGCATACTTGATACCATGTCGCGCGATATACCCGACCAGGAAGCCGTAAATAGCACCGAAAACGCATTCGTAGAGAACGGTGTACACAAGCCAATGGAAGGTGGTTTCTCGAGCGCTCAAGTGCTCTTGGAGCAGGTATACGCCCAGATAGATGAAGGGGAAGGCCATGCCGTCGTTGCAGCCGGACTCCGCCGAAAGCAAGTCCCTGAGATGCTTCGGAACCCGTTTCGCGAACTTTCCTTTGCCTACGACCGAGGAGGCAAGCACCGGGTCCGTAGCCGTAACGCAAGCAGCGATCACCAAACTATCGAGCCACGAGAGCACCGGGAACATCCACCAGACGATTAAGCTCGTGATCAACCAGCCAAAGGTCATGACGGGAAGCAGCAAGAATATGACGGACTTCCAATGCCTTTCCATGTAGTATTTGGGCAACTCGACGCCCACGGCGAAGCATTGGACGACCAAGACGATCCGAGAGAATTCGAGGGTGGTTTCGTCGACATTGCCCCAAGTCATGGGGTTGATCAGATTCGCGCCATGGGGGCCGAAGATGACACCGCACAGCGTAGCAACGGTCGCTTCGCCAATGTACATACGCTCCTTGATGACCGAGGAGCACAGCATAAACAGAGAGGTGAAGCCGCCCAAGATGATATACACCAGATGGGGCTTAGTGATGGAAAGATGATCCCACGCCATGGTTGATCGCCAGGCCACGCCGGGGAGGAGAGGCGGTCGGGACGACTCGGGTTGGGAGGCCTGGACGAGAAGGGCGAGGACGAAGGTAAGGAAGCAGCCTGGGACGTCGCGATTTAAGGAGGGCGCTGGTCGGAGGAACGAGCAAATATTGACGTCTCGGCCGATGGCGAACGGAGCCCAATAGGCAAGGCAGGATTAGAGACTGCCCAACTTATGGACACGACCTTGAAGAATTTCTGATCTAGATGCATTCAGGACGGTGATTGCGTGCCAAGTACCTGGCGAACTAGCTATCTAACAGGCCCAGACAAGCAGGGCAGAAAACCGAGGTAGCCGCTGGACGCGAGATTCGCGAGAGTCCCAAGTACCATTATTTGTTTACGCGTGCTGAGCGCTCATAACAGTGCGGGATGTGATGCGCCGGTGGCGACGCCAGCACGAAGCAGGTCTGGCGTTGGCGAGCGAGATTGGTCGGCCTTTCAGTCTGCGGCTTTCGCTCTCGCTGTCTCTCGGAGTGGGATGAGATGCTCCACGAGGGGACGGGGGGAGGGGGCGGGAGGAGGAGAAGGTTGAAGAGAACGCAGACGAATATGCAAAGGCGGGCAAATAAGAAATCGAGACAAAAGACGGACAAAGTTGCGGGTACAACAGAAGGAGGAGGAAGGAAAAAAAAAAAGGTTTAGACAAGATTAAAGGAGGGAAGTCATTTGTTTTTATTATTAAGTAACTATGGAAGCTTGACTATTAATAACCACTTCTCCAGGTACTTCTTTCTTCTGTCTTTCTCCCACAAGGCATACACGTTAGGTACCTACAGTAATACAAATCACGACGTAAGCCAAAGGGAATGAAGAAGAAGATGGAAAAGAAAGACAAAAAAAAAGCTGGACCCTCATGATAGCACGTCCCTATCGGGGGCAGCTGATGCGACCCGCTTCCAGGTGCTAACGAGCTACCGCTCGCTGCGGTGGGCGGCGCAGTCCAGGGGACCCCTGAGAAGCCAGGGAGAGCTTGGGTGCTGGGAAAGGCTGCAATTGGCTCCAGAAGGGAATGTATCTCTCTGGTACCGGGCACTCCCCGAAAGCGATGCTGCTTTTGCTGGCAGAGAGTGCCTCTGCATACGGGTGCGTCGCCCACGATCATATAATACCGAATCTGCGAGTGCAAAACAAAAACAAAAACTATCGCTGTCTGCCCTTGAAATGGGCAGCAAATTCCACAGCACCTTGTCCCAGGTAGCGGGGAAGAGGACGAGGTGGAGAATGCGGTGCTGTGGTGAAATTACATAATTGCGCACAACCCCTAAACTCATCGTCGAACAATACCAACCATCGTCCTCCCGCCCTACACCAGGTCGGACGGAGCCAGTAATCGAACGCAATTGGCGTCTTACAAGCAGACATGTGCTGCGAGGCCGCGGATCGTCTCAAGCGGAGAGGAATCGACCTAAAATATGTGTGTGCCCGGAAAATGCGGAGGAACGCGAGCGAGACACGACGGTCAACACATTGCATTACCCACACCATGTACGCAGAGCCGCCTCCGTCCCAAGCCTCTTTTTTTCTTTTTGTTTTTTTTTCTGTGGGCGCGAATATTACGAATCGATATCCAACGGTAGCTACCTCTATGCCGGTCAGCATACACGCCTACACATGTCAATTATTCATCAGTCTACGCACGCTTACCCATACATAGGTAGCCGAGACGTGCTCGAGCAGGTGGGTAGGCACCGTGCTACTAGCGACTGTCACCGTGCGTTTCGAGTATAGATGCTCGAAAACGCTGAATCGTGAATGGGGGAGGGGGCGAGACGGGATGGACGTCTACGACTCGGCTACCCGAGACCGAGTGCTGGAACCGGTACCCGCACCCATGCGGTCATCCCACCCCCAATACCGACCGCCTGCATGCGACGTAAGTCAGGTTAGATGGGTGATATTAGGCACCTACGTGATCCGAACCTCGGTGGACGCCCGCATGCAAGTTGCTGACAGCAGCAACAGCAATAGCAGCATCCGACAAAAGTCAACGTCGTGTCCGTCGAGTTGCGGGCAGCAAGCGAAGGAGACTCTATCCAAAGTACCTCCAGCTTTTCGTAACATAGAACCTACCACTCAGCTGCCCACCTACCTAGGTACCAGGTAGGTAACTGTCCCCCACCAGAGGTATTTACTTGCTGCCCATACGCGACAACAAGGTCGGTGGGACAGGCTAAGAGGCACCCAAGGTAGGCATACTCTATATGTAAATATACCTAGGTAGCTATATATATGTTACATATATCGATGTGATTTATCAATGGCCTTGCCGTCTTCCGTGGATCTGTTCATTACCCTAGCATCTGTGTTGAGCGAGCTCCCAGGTGCCACCCCACATGACGAGCACATCCACCTCTCGACGTTAAGATGCCTGCCTGATGCAGCTCTACCGACCGGACGGAGGCACTAGGCGGGATCAGGGCGATTAAGGCTCAGCGAGTTCGACCATACCCGTGGGCAGCTGGCTCGAAACATGCCCCCTCACCGATATGGAAAGGCGCGTCTGCCCAGAGTCCCTCGGGTGATCGAATTCTCTCACGGTTCTGTAGCAATCCCTCTGAGGTTATTGGATGGATCCAGGGACCACGTAAGGTAGTAGAGTAGACTCAGGGAAATTATATTTTAAGGAAGCGGTAGGCAGGCAGGTACGTGCGTACCGGGACAATCTTGGTCATGCTAAAGCAGCGCGACGCTAAACCCAGACCGGCATCCCCGCTTCAGGCCCAGGTACATCGAGGTTACTCCGTATTGTCATGCCGACAAAGGTACCTGACGCCGAGAGTTTATGCTAAATGGGCCATGTTTCTTTCGTTTCTGTGCTCTCCATCTCTCCATCAAATTTTTTATATTCTTCTTCCTTTTGCCAGACCCTCCTCGAATCGGTCGCGACAACATCAACAAGCCCCCCCCCATGACATCGTTCTCTCCCGCAAGTAAAATCACTCAACCGTCGCCAGGCTGACTCGTGCGCGGTGGCGTAACGGTTGTAGGGACGTGGGAGGGTCGAGAAGGAGGAGAAAACAAAGATCGGACAATCTCCCGCCCTCGCCCAACGTGACATCCAGCCTTCTTGGCGGCTCTTACGAAGCCCCCTCGCCCCCCAATCACCTGACGTTATCTTGCCCATGCATGCCTTCAACCGTCCTGTCTTCCTCGCCTCCAAGCGTGCCCAGCACGGCTAATGCGTGCCGTGGACTCGGCGTTCTCGGCGCAGTCGGCGACAAGACACTGGCAAACAAGATCCGTCCCTCTCGTGTGTGCGAGCAAGTGCGAGCAAGGTCGCAGACATCGCATCAAGCTTTGTGCAAGCTTTTAACAAGACTCGACAAGACGCTTGTCGTCTTCGCCCAGTGGTCGAGAGCAACCGTGCCAATGCCCAGCGTAGCTTGGCCTTCTCGGACATGGCGTATCTCCGAATCGCGCCGCTACCTCACCGTGATCCCGACCTGATCTTTCTCTGGCCCTTGCCCCGACGTTCTACCTAGATCCCGTTTCATCTCACCGATGCACGCGGAGTTGCTGCATAGTCCTGCCACTCACTTTGACGGGTATGTGATGGGCAACACAGCAGGCCCTCAGGTCACCGGGCTATTTTGACTCTCGGCATCACCCGATCCTAGCTCGCGGCTTCGGAGTGCCGTAGCGTTTTCTGGACCGCCGGCCCCGCCCAATCATTAATATCGTCGTTGATCCGTTACAATGTAGGTAACTGACGGCCGCAGGGCTCTATGCATTTTCCTTTTGGTTCCAAGCCAGTTCCGACGCTGGTACCGCATGGTTCCAAACCCGCCAGCTCATTGCTCGCAACCTCTCTTCTCAACAGCAGTCGGCAGTTACTGCCCTCAAATCGCGAGGTTCCAGTAGGCGCACTGGGATGAATACGAATGAACGTTTCGGTCTATAAGTTGGGAGTGTCATTTTGCGGTGTTCTCGACCAGCGGATTCTAGTGTCTACCTACCTACCTACCCTACAAGCACCCTGTTTCCACGACATCATCCACGTGAAGTCTGCTCTGGCATCCGTGCACCTAGTCGCTACTACGGCGTTTTAACTGCTACCTTTGTATCTACCAAGGCCGGTTGTGCGGTGCCACGCGGGAAATCGGCCGTCACGGGACACGTCGACTCGAGCCCGACCACGTAAACTATCGCCCTTTCTCCCAAACTATGTCCGAGCCTGTGCGTTAATGAGATGACCCGTCGCTGTCTGCTTTCTTGCCTTGTCACTGTGACGAGCTCCTGCAGGAATAGCACTCACTCGATGTTATTTCTATCTTGAGTACAGGGGACTTCGATCTTTCATTGTGTGCTACGTACATTGGCCTTCCTCCAACTTACATGTGTCGCATCAGGTGCCTTCTCGCCCGCCACACACCGAGTCTTGCGAACCGCCTATCCTATCACGGACAACGATGGAGGAAAGAAAAGAAAGACGGGACACGCCTCACCCGCAACCGCCTACCTACGGCACGCGGGAAACGGGGGAAGGTATTATGTTCCCGAGGTTGTGAAGCTTCTCTTGCTCACTGCTGGCCCGTTTCAGCTACTCGAGACAGCTGCCTCGGTCGCGGCCTGATCCACCCCTTCTTACCAAAGGCGCGCTGTAGCGGTGAAATGAATTAAGTGTGATTGCTGGCCGCAGATCTACAGGCTTTCTCGACCCTCAGCCGCTGCGTCGCGGTACCCTATTGGCGACTATACCGATGGACCCCATCTCCTTCGAGCTGACACGATCGCGATCCCGAGATCCCCCTTCCGCATTTTCGCTCAGGCCTGGATAGGGATGTCCTCAGCCTTTACGTCGTCCTGACCGTACTCCTCCCGGCCGCCCGCGAAGACCTTTTCGAAGTCGTATTCGCTCCAGCGGATGTCCGGGCTGAGCCCGGCGAACTTCCAAACACCGTCGACCTTGCGGTACCAGTGAACGTTGGTGGAGTGAGCGTGACCCTTGACGGCGACGACGGAGCGCGACATATCGGTGTAGCGCTGGTGTGGCACGCGGAGCTGATGCGTACCGACGACCTCAGTATCCGACACGCGCTCCCACTTGCTGCCGCCGATGAAGTGTTGGGTCTTGAGCAGAGGGTCCCCGAGCACGGCCGGCGAGGAGATCATAGCGATGAACTCTTCGGCCGGCATGGCCTCCCAAAGCTTGTCTAGAAAGGAGCGGTAGTCGACCTAGTATCGGGGTTAACCCGGTGCCAACTTTTGCACATGGATACGGGACGAAAGGAGCGGGAACGCACCCGCAACGTGGGCGCGATACACTTTCGCAGCCGAGCCCAGTCCTTAGTGTCGTAGCTGTCGGCCCACTCGACTAGGCAGACTTGGAGGCCCAGGAAGTCTGTCTGAGGTCAGCACGAAGGGCGCGGTACGTGGTTTAAGCACGCGCGCGTGCTCTAGGGCTGGATCTCTCGTGCCATACCCTCGAAGCTAATATTTCCGTCGACGGCAATAGACATTTTCGGGGGTAACTCTGATGATGTTACGAGGGCACTCGGTTCAATGGGATGAAAGCCAACTATCTCTTCGTGCCTGGCGAGGGTGCACCAGCGGCACTTTATGTACTTGCGGCGTTTCTCCCGTTACCTGGCTGGTATGCGGAACCCCGACGAGTCCGGACTCAGGAAGGGAGGGGAGCGCGGGTGCTGGACCCAGCAGCCAGTCTCGCAACGCCTCGGCATGCAGTGAATGGCTCTGAGGTGTGCTTACATTGCCCTCGCCGGAGTTCCCCACTGGTAATCGCAAAGCGGAGAGCGCCATCCTTGGCCGTATTCGATCATATAATGTCATGAAGCAATTGTCTCTCATCTGGAACCCGTCCATCCGGCCTCCTGGCGTCATCTTCATAGCGTCCGTGTGGTTGGAATGTGGGGTGGCGCCTCGATTATGGGGGGGGGGGGGCTTCTCCCCCCTTCCCCCGTCCCATTCGTCCCAACCAACGTTCGGTCTGTTAACCGGAAGCGTCGCACCAGCAACAGATGCACGGCCTCCGGACCCCGTTTGGGGCAGCATGGCGATCAGAATAGGGAGTGACCGTAAGCGCCCAGCCGAACACTATTCGCAACCGTCACGATGATGGACCCCAAGGTGGGGCCAGAAATCAATGTGTTGCTGCTACATTGATTTCCCTAAGTGGTATTCACAGCAGGCGAGCACATCAAGGGGGAGGTGTAGATATAGTGACCCGCGGGGTTCTTCTGCAAGACTTTGGGGTCTCGTCTCGCCAGCAGCAAATCCGAATGCGATATCATCGCTCACCTTCCCCGATTTCTTCTCCGTTGTCGTGGTTCCGACGACCGAGTAAGCCCCGGACGTGGGATCCCCAGGTTGGCCTCACGTCCTTCCCTCCCACCCCCCCAAAAAACTGCTACCTACGATGATCAAGTAGTGCATATCTAATTTGCTATTGTCTTTATTGTTACAACGAAGCAGCATCTTCTTCGCGTTTTGGGGGGTTCCAGACGTGTGATCAGATGATGACAAACGGGCGGAATGGGTTGTCACTGGACGTCACTGGGCGTCGATGATGTGCTGCTGATTGTTCGGATAGTCTGACTTGGTCCGAGTCGATTCAGTTGGCCCTAGAAAGCCTACGTTATAGATATTCCGAGTACCGGCCGGAAATGCATCCGAAAAAGTCTGTCCGAACTGAGAGGGCTTCATCCTCTCGGTAGATCTGATCTAAGGAGGTAGTGCTGAAAGTTGGGACGACGGTGAAATCGGTGGCGAGAGATACGGGGGGTGGAAAGCTAGTACAAGTTCGGTTTAAGCTTGTGCTCATCAGCAGCAGTCGGTAGGTGGTGGGTGCAGCAGAAGAGGCGCAGTTAATCCGGCGCCACATGGGAACCCGGGGGGGAAGGCAAAAAAAGGCCGAAAACAAGAATACCTAGCCTCAATTCGGATAGCAAAACAGCGGGCCGCGGCGGCATAGACCGGCGGTACTTGGATGTACTACGTACCTACATCTCTGGCAGGTTGCCTGTGGCATTAGTGTTGAACAGTAGTACCAAATACATACATACCTCCGCTGGGAAGTACACCTTAAGAGGTATTGTACCTGAGATGGAGAGGCGAGGTCCTGATAATGGAATAACCACCTGGTTAGGTGCAGGTACCTCTATACCCAAAGTCCCTCTATATCCAAGGGTACATGTCTAAAGTACCTACCTAACCTAGGTCCACCAGCTAAACTGCTGATACCACACAATTCAAGCCGAGGTGCGCACGATATGAAGCGAGACCACCGGCAAGGACATGGTAGACGCCCTCCACTTCTCCCCCCATCCCATCGATAGAACGCGAGCCGTCCCAGCCGTCCGCCCTAAGTGCCTACCCGCCAGCCTGCGTCCGGTGGAAAAAAGGCTGGAAGGATTAGCGAGGATAAAGAGGAGAGGAAAGGAGAGAGAGAGAAAGGCATAGCCGGCCGAACCAGCGAGCTTGTGTTCCCCATCCAGTCACATCGCCTTGCGTCACGTCACATCCAGCCGGATTCCCCCGCTCCAACATGTCGGTGTACCTCTGGGCCCTGCGCCAGCTCTTCCCGGGCACGCCCACGTACACGGAGCAGCACATCCCAGACCTCGCGGGGCGGGTGTACCTGGTGACGGGCGCGAACACGGGCGTGGGGTGGGAGGTGGCGCGTGTGCTGTTCGCGAAGAACGCGACGGTGTGGGCGGCGGCGCGCAGCGAGGAGAAGGGGCGGGCCGCGCTCGAGGCCATCCGCGCGGCGCACCCGGCGTCGGCGGGGCGGCTGGAGCTGCTGCCGCTCGACCTGAGCGACCTCGAGGCGGTGCGGCGCGCGGCCGCGGCCTTCGTCGCGCGCGAGCCGCGCCTGCACGTCCTCTTCAACAACGCCGGCGTCATGATCCCGCCCGCCGGCAGCACCACCGCCCAGGGCTACGAGCTCCAGCTCGGCACCAACTGCCTCGGCCACTTCCTGCTCACGAAGCTGCTGACGCCCACGCTCGCCGCCACCGCCGCCGAGGAGCGCCAGAGCCGCGGCCCTACTGCCCCCTCCCCCGCCCCCGCCCCCGTCCGCGTCGTCTGGGTCTCGTCGTCCGCCGCCGAGCACCTGATCCCCGTCCGCCGCGGCTTCGAGATCGATAACCTCGACTACTCCAAGAAGGACATCCTATACGTCTACAAGTACGGCGTCAGCAAGGTAGGCAACTACTACCACGCCACCGAGTACGCGCGCCGCCACCGCGACGACGGCATCGTCAGCATCGTACGTGATCTCCCCCTTTCCTTCCGCCAGTTATTTCTCCTACTGTTCTTAGTAGGTAGGTATGTGTGTAAAAGAAAAAAAGCCTGGTCGAGCACCAACCAACGCTCGGTCCGACGTAGGCAGATGCTGCCCGTGGCGGTGACGAAAGAGGCGTTGGCTTGGTGCGAGGAGGGGGAAGGGGGGGGGGAATATATACGTACACACATACACACGTAGACTATGAACACATGCTGCAACATAGCGTCCCGGTCTGACAAGGAGTGGTTCGATCGCAGTCGCTGAATCCCGGCAACCTCAAGTCGGAGCTCGATCGATATTGCAACCCCATCGAGATGATCTTCAGGAAGGCCACCGTCTATCCGCCCATCAACGGGGCGTACACCGAGCTGTTCGCCGGGCTCTCCGACGAGGTGACGCTTGAAAGGTCGGGCGATTGGAGTAAGTGTGCTTGCCTCACTGCCCTTCCTGCTTTATTTCCCTCGAAAGAACAAAGAAATCGTTTCGGCGTCTCTCTTGTTCATTCGTTTCCTCTCATCCCATCCCCTGTACTGTGCCGGTACAAAGGCTAATTCCTTCCTTCAACCCAGTCATCCCATGGGGTCGATTCGGCGAGATACGGAAGGACTTGGTCTTAGGGTCGAAGCCCGTGTCGGAGGGCGGTACGGGCATCGCGCAACAGTTCTGGGAATGGTCGGAAGAGCAGGTGAAGCCGTACGTGTGATGATGCGTGGGCGGGACGGGGCGAGACGAGACGAATCTGGATGACGCTCACATCGCACGCCCTCCGTCGCTTGGTTGCGGGGGCGATCCGTCAATCCATAGGTAAGGAGGCGAATTTTTTTCTCCCGCGTCGTGTTGGAGTTGATTTGCGCGCAGGCGAAGTCCCTATACATGTAGGCAAATTGAGAGAAGTGACCGCGAGGGGTGTTGTGATGTTGGAAGCTGTCCCCGTCTGCTGCCGTCAGCGACGCACTGCTACGCTGCACAGGTGACGGGGACCGAGCAAGTCCTAGGCTGCCGCGTAATCTCTCGTCAGAAGTATCAAATTTCGGCTTGTGTCCCAGATTTCCGGTCAGCTTGCGAGGCAACGATGGTCGTCCCTCTCACCCCTGCGCATCCGCCCTGTTGGTATGATCGGCGCCCTTGCTTAATTCCTGGCTGGATGCCCCTTATCTTCTACGCCGTTGTCTTATTGGACCCGGCAGACCGGGTCCTATTGCGGTTGTTAGGAATGGCCGTGCAATGTCCCTTTCCTTCATGCGATGGATAATCGAACCCGCACTCGCTCCTGATGACCTCGCCGCTCGGCACATGTATAAGAGGGCACGCTCTCGTGCCGGTCGGGCTATTCCCGATGGCTCCAGGCGCAGGCGGGTTGGCAAAGCTTGTTCGAACGCGGCATCTCGAAGACTACGGTAGCGTTGACAGACGCAATAGGTATATTAACGACATTTACGCCGTGCCACTAGACCACCCTACCCCGTCAATCTGCCGGTAGCCGAGAAAAGAATCGGTACGGTTACCCGCGGTAGTTTAACCGGTGTTGGGAGCCTCTCCACGCGAACCTCACCCGGCTAGTACGCATACGGCGACCCGAGTAGCAAGGGCACGCCCATCGTAGGCTTAGCCCGCCCAATCGACCGGGGTGACACTTGTCAAGAGGCGAGGGATAGCGTCCGTCCCCGTCCTCGGGGGGGCAGGCTAACGCGGGAAGTGTCGAGTTGCCGTGCCGCAGGCCGCCGCCCGTTCTACCTACAAGAAGATGAAAGGGTTCCTCTTCTTCTCGCCTTTCGCCGGCCGCGAAACCGCCTCCCCTTCGCCAACCGCAGTGGTTCTGAGACATAAGCTGAGCTTCCTGAGCAAGGTCATGGGTTCGGACAAAGAGGGTTCCGTGCGGGAGATCCCCGCGCCGCAGCTGAGCGATAATGACGAGTCTGTCGTGGTTGAGGAGGCCCCCCTCCTCGAGCCGCCGCCCGACGGCGGCGCCGGATGGGTTCAGGTCTTTGTCGGACAGTAAGTGGACTTTTTGGTTTCGTTCCGGCCGCGCGCCGCCGATCTCGCCCTCGGTCGGTAGCCGAGTCGGCGTCGGGGGGGTTGGTCTCAACCGCAAAGGGCGAGAACGTCTCCTTCAACTGCCGGCTAGAACAGCGTCTCGACATAAGCAACATCCTCCTTCCTCTCCCTCTGCCGATATATCAAGCTAACCCGAGCCGCCTCGGCGAAACAACACAAGCCTCGCGCTGTTCAACACGTTCGGCTGGTTCAACAGCTACGGCATCTTTCAGGACTACTACACGTCGGAGCTGAACCTGCCGCTGTCGGCGGTGTCGTGGACGGGCAGTGTGCAGGTGTTCCTGCTGGCGCTCATCGGCATGTTCTCGGGGCGGCTGTTCGATGCGGGGTACTACCGGTCGCTGATCGCGGTAGGGTCGGCGCTGCAGCTGGTAGCCATCTTCACGGCGTCGGCGGCGACCGAGTACTGGCAGCTGTTCCTAGCGCAGGGGGTGTGCGGCGGGCTCGGCGCCGGCATCCTGTACTGCCCGGTGATCGCGTGCGTGGCCACCTACTTCGCCCGGCGGCGCGCGCTCGCCATCGCGCTCGTCACCAGCGGCGGCGCCACCGGCGGCACTGTCTTCCCCCTCCTCGCCCAGCAGCTGCCCGCCCGCGTCGGCTTCCCCTGGACCATGCGCTGCATGGGCTTCGTCGTCCTCTTCAACGCCGCCCTCATGCTGCTCTTCGCCCGCACCCGCCTCCCGCCCCGCCCCCGCGGGCCCCTCGTCGAGTGGGCTGCCTTCCGCGAGCTGCCCTACGCCTTCTACACCGTCGGCGCCTTCTTCCTGCTCTGGGGCGTCTACTTGATCTACAACTACGTACTTCCCCCTACGCCCCCTACCCCCTCCCGCTCCCCTTTTTTCGAAACCCGTGGCCTGAGAAAACCGACGCATCCGCGAGCTAACCTACCCGTGGCGCAGATCAACCACTTCGGGCGGACAGTGCTCGGCATGGACCGGGACAGCGCGCTGACGACGCTGTTCGTGGCGAACGCGGTCGGGGTGCCGGGGCGGATCGGGCCGGCGCTGGTGTCGGACGCGTGGCTGGGGCCGTTCCGGACGCTGGTGCCGCTGGCGGCGGGGGCCGGGGCGCTGTACCTGGGGTGGGCGGGGGTGCGGGACGCGGGGGCACTGTACGCGTTCGCGGCGCTGAGCGGGACGGTGAACGGCGGGGTGCAGAGCATCGCGCTGGCGGGGCTGCCGGCGCTGACGCCGGACCTGCGCAAGGTCGGCACGCGCTCCGGCATGGTCATGACCGTCGGCTCCGTCGCCTGCTTCACCGGCCCCCCCATCGCCGGCGCCCTCGTCGACGCCGCCGCCGGCAGCTACCTCTACATGCAGGTCTGGGCCGGCGGCCTCATGTTCGTCAGCGCCGCCTTCGTCGCCGCCGCCTGGTTCGCGCACGAGGGCCGGCAGCGCCGCCAGGAGTAGTCCTGTAGATGTAGATGCCGCGTGACGGGCTGCCGTGGCGTATTGCCAATCTCTACCGAGTTATCGAACGCACCCTGTGCTTTCTCCAGGAAGAATCCGTGGTAGAACACGTTCGTCCGTCGAATGACAGCCCTTTATCCTCTATCCTGTGGTATTCGTCTATAAAAAGTCTAGTTCATTGACCCCGACCAGTGGCTCATTCTAGCAGCCCTAGCCCTGCGCCTGCGGGTTCACGTTGTACTCGTGACACCTCTTGAGCGGAGTCGCCGACTCCGGGATGGTGGCAGCGTACTATAGGTGGGACGGGACATGCCGGTTCCAAGGCCGCCTTAATAACAATACGCGCCGCCGCAAGCCTATTCTCCAAGGACTGGGCTTATGTCCCGAGTCCTAGATCTACTCGAGGGTGGTGTTCGGGCAGGGGTAGGGGAAAACCCGGTGTTGCACATCAACTTTAAGCTGAGATCATAGGTCAGATAGGTCAGAAGGTGGGCTAATGAATAGGCAGAGCCTCAATAAGTACACATAGTCGGTCACCCATATAATCGTCTGACGGCGTAACATCGTGGACTCGAGCCAATAGGGTTTGCCTGTGGCGTCGTGGAGGTGATGACATGCATCTCCGGCCCCCATCCTGGTTCTTAAAACGCGCATAAGGCTCTCCGTAGGAAGGACTTCGGGAGAGCCTCCTTTCGCGCACTGGCTGACCCTTTATATATTGAAAACCAGCCAGGGCCATGCCGACTCGATATCACAGCCCTCTTCTCCCAGTAAGGCTAGGAAACAACAATTTCGACTAACGGTAGATTCAGCGAGATGGGAATCTCTAAAGATGTCGGAGAGGTAAGGATGCTCTTTTCGTCTCGTTCTAAGCATTGGGTGGCGATCTATTAACGCTTGATGCCTCGTACTAGGTCCGGGACCAACAGACGACCAGCACACAGGAAATTATTGATTTGCCGGATTCCGATTCCGATGCCTCTCTCCATGATCCAGACTTTCTGGATGGCGAAGGTTACACCAAGCTATATGAAGTCAAGACGCTGTATGAAGGGGAAGAAGCCAGATGCAGCTGTTGCATCAACTGGGTTGAGGAGCCACCCGAGGACGTAGAGACATCAGTCGAAGAAGAGGAAGAGAGCGGGAGACACGCCATTCTTGTTCGTCTGCGGAGGAACCACGGCAGCGGGAAGAAGATGGTTCTCCACTCGGTCGTCGTCCAGAACCCTGATCTGAAATCGCTCCTGGGCGAGGTGTTCAAGGAGTATTCCGGTATTACACCGACTCTTAAAAAGCTCGTGTTCAAGGCGCCATTTCACTGTTTTTTCTACGAGTGGCAACGCCTCGACGAGATGATTGGCGAGATCAATAAACCTTTCTGCAACGTCAGCGGGCGGCTACTGCAAAAGATCCTGGAATCTGAGCTGAGGGCGACGATCTCGCTGAGCAAAGATCTCAACGGGAGTGGCGTCGTGACTTACGACCACCTCTGGACGATCTTCAAGCCCGGCATCGATATCTACACATGCGAGGACGGTTACGACCACATCTACAGACTCTCCAGGACAATCTCGGACGAGTCGGGTTTCAACAGGTTTCAATTGGTAGTGAGCGAGGTCGATTATAATGGGAACGCCTTCGGATTTCGGACGAAACATATCTCTCTCGACAGCTTTCTAGGCACCAAAAAGGTCCAGGACCTTGACGCCTTCCCGGCTTCTTACCACCCGAGGCTAGACGAAGTGAAGAAGACCCTCAAGAGGCGAGGCGAGATGTTCAGGCATATCCATCTCAAGCCATACTACTACGGTGCCTATAAGGGCCCTGTCATCGACGGGAAACACAGACGTAATAATGTGAGCCCTAGGGTACTCGAACTACCCGCACCGATATGTCCTGACGAAGAGTTTAACAGGTAGAGGGGAGGATTGTCGTCGACCCCTCGTCGTATGCGTCCTTCGCTAACAACTACATCCATCTCGAACCTTTTGATTCCGGTTCCCTGAAACCAGGGGTAGACGTATCCGATCAGATGCATACCGCTACCCAGGCCTTTCCTACGCCAGGAAGCATGGGACAAGGAGGGCCGGCGGTACGTGCCTTCACAAATTCATTAACGAGAATACCCAACTGATATTGAAGGAGGCCGGGTACCCTCCCCACCTGCCTCCTCGGCCTCGGCCTCGGCCTCAGCCTCAGCCCAGGAGGATGGTCCATAGGCATATTACGGCCCAGAATGTCGGAAGCGGTGAATAGCATCTCATCCTGTAGATATTCCATCTCGAGGGACTGACATTTCACAGCCAAATGGCCCGACCTCACCGATGATTTGCTGCATTTATGCAGTGCTAAAGTCCTCGGGTACTGCCTCAGGATTAAGAAATGGGGTGAGCGCGTGTCCGAGCAGCGTGAAGGGGCGCTGGCTAACCGTTTGCTGTGCGACCTAGCTGTATTCTACATCGACCACATCAGGGAGATTCAATGGCAGGATCGCGCATTCGACGACCTCGTACTAGACGGGAGCTACAAGCGGCTGATTACAGCTTTCATAGAGAGCCACGTTGAGAATAAGGAGAGATTTGACGACATGATCGAGGGAAAAGGTATGTGTCTCTGCCGTCACTTCCCTGCCTCTAATAGCACGGCTGCTAACGGATGCCACCTCCAGGCCAAGGCATCACGATTCTTTTCGAAGGGCCGCCAGGGGTCGGCAAAACCCTCACGGCAGAAGCCGGTAAATACCTACACGATATAACCTCATCCCCTGAGGCCACTAAGTAGCCCCATCTTCTAACGGGGATTCCTGTCTAGTGTCCGAGAAATTTCGCCGACCTCTATATGCCATGGGCGCGGCGGAGCTCGGGGCCAACCCGGAATTAATAGAAGAAAACCTGCTTATGATCCTTGAAGCAGCGGCGAAATGGGACGCGGTGCTGCTGTTAGACGAGTGCGACGTGCTGCTTGCCAAGCGCAGCGCCGACAGCCTCGACCGCAACAGCATCGTGGCCGTCTTCCTCCGGCTGCTCGAGTACTACCGCGGCATGCTCTTCATGACGACGAACCGGGTCCAGGCCATCGACCCCGCCTTCCAGTCGCGCATCCACCTGACCATCAAGTATCCCAGCCTCGACGCCGCCGCGCGCAGGAAGATATGGGAGCGCTTTCTCCTGCCTTCCTCCTCCTCCCAGGAGTCGGCCCTCCGGCACGAGGACTTCGCCGAGCTGCAGTCGTTCCGCCTCAACGGCCGCGAGATCAAGAACCTCGTCAAGATGGCCCAGCTCCTGGCCAGCCACGAGAAAGTCCCCCTCGCTATGGACCACGTTCGCACCGCCTTGCACGTGACGAAAGCTAATAGCGAGGAGCTTCTGTTGAATACCGGAGAAGATTGAGCTGGAAGGGCACGAAGACGCTTTGGGGTTTTGTGGCAACCCTCGCTAGTCAGGACCGGTAGAACAAGGTTATTTGGTACAAATCGATAGTATCTCGTTGCTTCTAATTTACCTATATTCAAATTTCAATACCTCTACACACGTGTTACGATGTATAAAGCGGTAATTTGGTACAACATCACGATATATTAGAGCCTAGGTGAAATACTTGGTGCTGGGATCAGACAAACACACATTGGCCCCTTTTCCTGATGCCATCGCTACCGAACCCGTCATCTGATGCGTGTTTTGTGTCATGTAGAGGGTAACACGCTTGAGAGTGACTGATAGCCTGATTGTACCTATATCGAAAAAGGAAACAGTGATTATACTATTGTGAGTCGGTTGATTAACGAGCCAAGCCTCAGTCCATAGACCTATTTACATAGGTAGGTATCATATAGGGGTATGCTGCTTAGGTAGTCGGGTTGATCCCTCCACCACCACTGCAGCCGACCTTACCTTCATCAATTCAGTGTCATGACAGAAGCATACCAGTTACCGATGAGTGATCAGTCCTTGAGGGCTGCCCAGCTAGAGGCCTTTGCACTTGAACACCTGAAGAAGGAACTCTTTAAGTTTGTTCTATCTCACTTGGATCTGAGGTGGCCTAATATCACCGTTGATGATGATTTAAACGTTCTCGATATCATCGACCAGGAGTGGATGGGTTCTATCCCCAGACGGTTATTCACTCCGCCCTCTTGGATCACAAGGCGAGAACCGCTGCATGTTACAGGGCTTGAGTATTACTGCGCTGAGCTTGTCCACTTCCGCAAGGCTCTCTTAGCTAATAAAGTTGAAATATCGGACGCTTCTCGTCAACCATCAGAGGACGGGATCTCAAACTGCTGAACAGTGGGACACTATTACCGATTGCCGAACTACTACGGCACCATTCTCAGCTAATTGCCATGTTTTATCGGACCTTATACCCTAAACTCTTTTGAGCGCTGAGCAAAGAAGTAGTCCCGCCCTTTTTTAAGACAACGGGAATAAGGAACTCGCATCAGAGGCATTACAGAGGCAACTGGGGGGCTCGGAGCAGTACACGCAGCATCCCAAGGATAGCGGCACATTTGCGCGCGAGAAACAGGCCAAGGCAGCCCGTCAGTTGGCTGAAAGCATGGGGGAACCGGGAGAACAGTTGAAAATATTAGAAGAGGGTACACGTCTGCCTCGGAATTGCCGTTACCCGTCCGCATCAAGCACCCTCACTATTCGGCGCGGTCGAAACACAGCTTTCGCAACTTTCGTCTCGCCGAACTCTCTTACTATGCTTGTCTACTACGTTCCGGTACCTTCGCATATACGGGCGACGTCTCTCCACCGCCCTCACCTTTCCCTCCCTAAGAGCCCCCCCTTGTTTAATCCCACCAAAGAGTTCGGAAAACGCCCTCGTAAGATGTGTAGATGAGGAAGGCGAAGATGATGAGGCAGCCGATGATCGGGATGAGTACCACCTTGGTCATGAACTAGAATATTTTCAGAGATACATTAGAATAGATGTCCTGTAAAGAGTTATGGATGTTGGGGCTAGGGGGGGGGGGCAGGTCTGCCTTACGAAGTATACTTGCTGTCGCATCCATTCGACGCAGTCGAGGATATATAGCAGAAGCTGAATCCGCCCCATGACGTCCAGCCCTTCGGCGAAGGCGTCATTTCTGAGCTTCAATATGGACTGCTCGTGCGCCCATAGGAGGGCTCGGACGACGGCCTGTTGTCGGTGTATGGAGTCCATGCGGTGCTCGAGGATGAGCTCTTGCTCCACGATGGAAGCTACGATTTCCTGCTCCATCTTGGTGCCGATGGGGTGCTGCTTCGCGGCGGACTCGGCAAGGTAGTTGTGCCAGAGGCTTTCGACACGCTGCTGGTCCAGACAGGCCTCGCCCAGCCGGTCCTTCAAGGTATCCAGCAAGGAGTCGTGGACCAGCCAGTAGGAAGTCATGCGGGCAGCTTCGCGAGCAGTTGACTCCTGCTGGGTTTCGGGGCCAGAATCGGCCGCTGAGGCTTCCTGCTGGCCCTCCCCCTCCGGGGGGTGATACTCCCGGGGACGTTTAAGGGGACGTTCGGGCATGGCTCTCCAGAAAGCGGGGTTCAGTTTCTGTTTGGGGTTTACATCAGTAATGTCTGAATCACACCGATGGGAGCAGGTGTCAAGAACAGTTGGAAGAGGATACGATGGGGATCTTACGGCGTTTCTCTCACAGTAGCTCTTCAGGCGTGCTCTGATGACGAAAAAAACAAACATGGAGCTGTGGGGGGGGGTGGGGGGGCAGAATACCAAGGTGAATTTGTAGGTTTGTTAATTCATTGCCTGTTATCCCTAAGACTTTACAAAAGTTACAACCAAGAGATAATCACCTAGGAGACATTAACAGGAGTAACGTAGCCTTTCATATATATAGTATTAAAAAGTACTTAACGCTGATAACTAGAATTCTCATATGCAATATACAACATAAGCTTCCCTTCCCTTTGATAAGTCCCCCCTTCATGAACAGTAGTGTTAGGCCTTCTTGCTATCCTCCAATTAATCGTGGGTACACATAGGTACTGTATTACCATAATATTGCAACGGCGCGTGCGGCAGGTTCACTCCTTGTAGGATTCCACACGTTATTAGCCACACATGTTCATTTCTATATCTCATGAACATTTCCAAGCATCACAACATAGCACAACTGACTATCCACTGCTTGCTACTTGTGTGGTTCCTTTTTTCACCTAGTTGCCGCCTTACAGCTGGCAATTACTAGTAACAGCTGTTGCAGCTGCTGTTCTTGCTGATCGGCATCTAGAGTAGCCGTTGGCAGCTGTGGCTGTTTCTTCAGTCCGGTTCCGCAGACAGCTTCCCTCCCCTGTTCTTCCTTGCTACGGAATGCTAACCTAATTAGAAGAAGGGATCCTTAAAACTGAAGATTATGGCGAGGTTCCAAGAGCTGATCGTTAGATGAGAGGTGTAGAGTAAAGTGTTACCTAAAGCCTAAGCGCTTATTACAGTCTACGACTTATGGGGTATAGACTCATAGGGGCTTCGTGACATAAGGGCAAAGCTATAGGAGGAGGAAGAGAAGACCTGTCCTCGATAGGGCATACGTCTAAAGTCAGCACCTAAGGCCATTGAGCTGCTTGTCGCAAGGTGAGGGGCATAATTCATCATAGCAATCCCGTAGTGTACGTTTTGCACGTGGATACGGTGTCATATTGATATGTTGAAGCCGTACTGACCGTGGCATGAACCTATTGCGAATACCGTTCTCAAGGCGTAAGAACTCTCCCTTTGGTACGGCCCCTCCTCGTGACCACTCATCGCAGCCTTAGAATGATTGTGAGTCCATCCTACTTGTCACGTAGCAATTGAGCCAGCCCTTATATGCCTACGTACCGTAAAAGCGTAATGTAACATGTCGTGATAAGATAAGAGGCGATGAGTCAAGATGATAAGTCGGCTAGCTTCCATAAGCTTCCGTAGAGCCTTTAGCTTTAGCCTTTAGCCTTAGCTTCGTTAGAGAACCTAGGAGAATCGAGCTTTTTCCATGAGATTTGTCTGTCCTTGAGCCGTGATATAATAGCAATTCACTCGTTTTCTCAACATGCCTTCAACATCCTTCTAGCCTCCCTTTTCTCGTTTTTCCTTTCCAGCTACCGTTTCAGCTAGCCGATCAACTAATTACAGCTATTTATAGCTATAATCTAGTTCGATCGGCACTGGGCCAGTTATTGGCAGTTGGATAGCCATTGCTATACAGGTTCCCAACAGCGTGCCTACGCTGCTCCTGTTCAGTATTTAAAACGATACTCCTTCGTAAAACGATCGGGCTTATAAATCGCTTAGGGAATAAGAAGATGTCACGTAGAGAGCCACCTATACATGGCTCCCTACTTCTTCTCTGGTTACTCGCTTACCTAACCTAGCTTGCAGCTCCCTATTGTGTATATATAGGCAGCTCGCATCCCCTTTATTCATTTCCTTCCTTCTTAGATAGTCAGTTAATTTACCTTCTTCTTCCCACATTCCGTTGCTCTTAGAAGCAACCTCAGTGCCTACGTAGCTCTCCCGATCTACGTAACAGAAGACGTTTATAATAATCCGTATAAAGTATCTTAAAGCTAAAATTAATAGGAGCGTTATTAAAAGGTGTTAAAAAGTATGTTTTTTACTAAAAGAGCGCTTCGTTTATAAGGACGAGGCAAGCAAGCAACGAGGAGGTACCTAGAGAAATTAAAATGACGATGAAGATACCTAAAAATAAAAAACGTAAAAGGACAACTATATTAAGGTTTCAACTCTATAATTAAAAGGCTTGAATGAATTTTAATAATATAAATAGCTTTAATTATTAATAACTAAGTAACGCTTAATCTAGGTAGTCCGTAGAGTGGCTTAGCTTACGTGTTAAACCTTATGGAAAACATGGCAGCATAAAAACCCGTTGCAGGTGCCTCTCTCATCCTACGATTGATTTCTCACTGCTCTTGATGTTGAGGTTTTCAAAAGCACCATTTGTCATCACAATACCGAAATATCTCACCAACTCTACCCTATTTCGCAATGGAACGAACTCAGCAAATCGAAATCCTTACATATTTGTCCTGGTGGGCTTTCGAGTTGGTTGTCGACCCTGTTTATGACCACAATAGACCCTGGATCAAGGCCGTTGGCTCGAAAGGCTTCTACTTCCAAACCTATATTCTACACATCCCACCCCCAGTTGGCTTTTTTTCTTCCGACGCATCTTCTAGACAGGGCGCCGAGGCCTGCTTCTTCTTATGGCTCGCATGGATGTGGATGTCGATTTTGATCTTGGTCTTGGTCGACCGTGGAGCTTGGGGGGCCGAGATTCAGAGGCTGAAGACTGCAGCTGCCTTCGCGTCGGTATTTTATTGGATTTTCTTTTGCTTGGTACGCCTGTCGAAACCGAACGCCAGATCCTCATGAATAATGTGCTAATCTACTTTCAGATGCGACGATTTTTTCCGCGCAATAGGAAGATGGACAGCAGACCTTGATGATTTTTTTCGCAAGTTGTGAGATGGAGGTTGCATGAGAGTTTTAGTCTCTTCGGTAAAGGGAGAGAGGGAGTGAGAAGATGCAAGCCTGCCTGACTCCTCTTGGTAGAAGGCAATAGACATAGTAATGGGAGTGGTCCTCGTGGCGATGACACCAGCAATTCTTCTTCGCAGCCCGGGATCAACCCGGGCGTGCAATGAAAAAAAGATGTGTGTTCTACCCGGAAGAAGTGTGATTTCGACCAGTGAAAAACAGACGTGCCATGTTCCGCCTGGAGGTAGTGTAATACCAGGGGCATGGCTAAAGAGAAGCAAGACGAGCCTGCAAAGGTTCCAAAAATTCCCGTGGTGCCTAAGGCCTAGGCCTGCACCCAATAGCCTGGCGGTTATCCGTTGTTTGTCATCAGAAGACGCTGAGACCAGGCGCGGAGAACATCGACCATGATGTCTGCAACAATCTGAATGGCGTACACGTGTCTGAAGGCTAAGCCATCAGGTTCACCCTCCTCGGCGATGCCTTGGAGCTCTTGAACAAGAATGTACCGGATAACTGGCACGACCACCCAGCGGAGAATGCAACTGAGGGGGCGCGGGCAAAAGGAAAGGAAGAGATGTAAGTAATTCATGATTTGAAGCGTATCGCTGAGTGCAGGACGGCTTGGTGAGGAGAGAAGGAGAAGAAAAAACAAGACATTGGAGCCTCTCGCGAGCTTATTATACCATGGCGAATGAATCATGAGGTTGAGATTGGGGAAGGAGTAAATGCCACGAGCATATGAGTCGGCCTGCAGCGTAGGGAAGAGGCACCAGAGACGGACTGGCGATTACATGGCCTGTCGGGGGTTACTCCCTAGCATGATCTTGACAGCCTCGGAAAGAAGTAATGTAGGTGAAGCGAGGGAACAATAGCCTTGACATCCAGGTTGGTAGAGAAGGAACAACATAGAGAACAGCATTGTACTTCTAGATTCGTGGAACAAGTGAGATGTGATATGCACGGATAAGTCCCCCAAAGCTGAGGCAGAATATAGTGCCGAGTACTCAAGAGGATTCCGATTTCATGCACAGGTAATTCACACCTTGGTAAGTTTCAAGAAATGTGATCGTTCCAAAAACTATGCCGTGGATGGATGGCATTGCCAAGTACATAGATGATGCATGCAGTTGCCGACTAAAACCATCGAAGGATCCCGTTAGCCAGCAAAGTGAATTGCGAAGGACATCATCGGCTAGGCACTCATAGTCTGGAGGCCAAGAAATATTCTCAGCAAGAAGGGATTCGTTTGCAGACATTTGTAACTGCCACCCAGGAAACGGCACCGTGTGCCCTTATCAACCCCGGCACGAACGAACGTTGAAGTCAATCATGACTTGCCCAACACCGACTTACGTGTCGATTTCGCACGCACATTTCCGGCGAAGAACCACCTACCCGAAGCGTAAAGTGAACATTGTGACCGATGAAGTAAGTGGGCAAGTACCTCCCATTCTATCAAGGTAGGTGAGCTATCTAGTACTTGCTGGATGAAAGAACCGAATCTTGCAGCCTGTGCCATCGAAGGTCTCGCAGCACAGATATTTGCTTGCTATCTACAGGTGTGCTGCCCGATCAGTTTTTTAATCTTGTTTAGCTTCAGCCAGATCCACGGGCAGCTTTAGAGATCTCCCCAGGAAAAGCAGTCGTTTGACATGATATTACTTTACCCGACTGCAGCTGACCAGTCTCGAAATGAGGAACTGCTGTGAAGAATAATTGTTAAAATCCTCAACGAATCAATTGAGGAACTTGATCTTACTCGGTTACACCCATTTCACCTCGCGGCCAGCTACTTAGATGGGGCGAAGTCGTGTTGTTCTATTGTTTCTGTACTGGTATGGAAACTACCGCAACAGAACTCGATTCGGAATCTTTACACCAATGAATACGCCACACAAATTGTACTCCCTCCATGGTCGACAACCATTGGACAAAGATGGGGCAATTCCCCGGAGAGGAAGTCGATATTTGCGGGAGATGGGACATCCGTACAGGCGGTTTGTCATTGTATCACTACCATCTTCAGCAACCACCACGCACCCGACATAAACACCCCTAGTGGCCTCTTCGTGAGGACATGCGGGAACTGTAGTTACAAACGGCAACTTCGACCGCTTCATTCCCTTGTTCTCGTGGCTTTCTACCCGGCCTACAGAGGGTGTCACGGCGAGAATCTGCTTGGAGCATTGGCTTGTCTGGTTTCTTTACTCGCAAGCGGTGCGAATCCACTCGACAAGGCGGACATCTCGGTCACAGCTCTCATGGGAAACGATGCGCAGATGGAATGTACGCACGTTCCATCAGAACCCCTCGAGCTTGCGAGACAACTACCCGAGCGAATATTGGAAGCGTGGACAGCAGAATTGTGGCTTGCATGGGATGTGTTCATTAGGGTTCTCGAGTTAGCTCAGAGGGAGAGGAGGCAAGCTCAAAGCCATGCCGACCGAACGCACCAGCATCGGTGCGAGCACAATGAGTATCACAATATTTACAGTGGCAGCAACGATTTGGGGGTGCTGCGGGCGGCTGTTCAAACCGAACTAGTCACCTTATAGGAGAGTGAAGGAAGGCGATGCATGGATTTCGGACAATTTTGATTCTCGCTGTTACCTCTGGTAACAAGAAGCATGATGAAACCTTTTTGCGAGTGCGGTACATTCCTCGAAGGGGATTTCCTTCTAGCCACGGCTCCCACTGGATGTAGCCATTATTTTTCTAATCTGGAGGACTGGTCGCGCTCTCCGTATCTCGCCATACGATTGGGGAATATGGGAGATGAATGGGTTACTCAACGGAGGACAGGTTCGATTCCTAGCAGCGCTACTTGGTAGTCTTCATTATTTCAGCTCATCTATGGGCATATACTGATAGTTTATGCGTAATCTTTTCGACATTTCGGATAGGGGAGTGGACTGGTGGGATGAATCAAGTATGGATTACTTTCTCAGCATGGGGATTCTGCCAGGACCCTTAGATGACAAAGCCACCTTCGGCCGGGGCAGTTTCCTTCTTATAATATCTAACACGAGGTAATATTCTCATTCCCGCTAAGAAAGAATGGCTGCTTGGAATGCTTTCGCTACCAGTGTCCGCCTATCGACTGCCGATTGAGGCCGGAAAATACGCCATAATAGGGGGCCTCTTGCTAATGTGCCTGATGAAAAAAAACCCTGACTACCCACCGAATTACCATCCCCAACCAAAAGAAGGTTACGAGCAATTTAGCTGTGAAGAAGTCGGCGCCGCAAACCGTCAGCATGGGCGCCACGATCCAGCTGCCGAGACCCATTTCGGTGCAGATGGACCTGACTGATCCTAGGCTGGACAATGCTCTGCATCATCGTCTGACTTGCTGTTACGATTCACTTAATAATGGAAGATACCATCTACGTACAACGGCGCCCAGCTTCGTACTTGACAACCCCGAAAGCTCTCTGCGACCACATTTTAGCTCGGGTTCTCTCACTCTTCCCTGCAGGGTGAGTTATGCATACACAAGATCATTATGTAAACTAGACCAAAGAAGTATGTAGTAAGCATTCCACCAACATCCTTTTCATCAAAAGGCCTCCTGCCTTCGGCTGCGAGGAGCTTCAGACAGCCGAGCGAGACCAAATCTCGTTGGCCCGCATCCAAGCGTGCCAGAGACCCCGATTAAGAGCCTCAGAACCAGCACCACATGCACAGCCTCTTCGACGACACTCGGCGAGGCGCAAATATCAAGTAGTTATATATAGACGCATATACAGTAATATGTTCAATAATTGATTCTACACTATAAACACGTCGCTCGTTACGCGACACGCAACTGTTCCCTCCAAACCCGGGGCCCGCTCTGCGCTTAGGTAAGCAGCAGTAGATGGGGGCCGCACAAAGTAGTAAGTACGCCCAGCCAGCAACAAAAAATAAAAATATAAAACGCCCTTCTCCATTGCCCATTTGTTCCCTGACACGCCGGTATCACCCGTGGCGGTCCCCTATTTTCCCTCCAAAACGCCGTGCCCAAAATCCCAGTGAACATGTATCATCTCATCCAGTTGGTCTTCTGCCCGTCCCATCGGACCGGCGCCAGGCCGCCGACAAGTACTTGGTTGTGTTGGTGTGTGTGTGTGGTTTTTTGCAGAGGGGTGATAGTACAGTGGGATCGGAAGCCGATGCATCACCGTGATAATAGTGGTAATAATAATCGCCATCATCGGTGCGTTGATGATGGTGATGATGCCGTCGTCGTCGTGATCCCGTGTTTTTTGGGGGGTTCTATTTCTCGTCTCGTGGTGTTCGCACACATCGTTCTCTCTACCGCCGCTATCTGCGACGAGGCAGCCGGAGGTCCTCGTCACTCATGCCTCTTCTTGTGCTTGTGCTGCTCCAGAACGGCCCGGGCTCTTCACATCCGCCTATGGAGGAAGACGGGGAACTCGAAGCCGTTCTCGAAGCTCAGCGCGTTTCTCCGGTGGTGGGAAGGCACGTGGATGTTGTCGAAGGCGGCGTCGTCCTCGTCGAGGGCCGACTCGTAGTAGCTGGAGGCATCGCTCCCAGCGTCGGACACGGGCGATTGTGTCATGTCTAGGGGGATGACGACCCTCTTGCCGTGACCGGGGATGGGGATGGGCTGGGTCTGGGAGGTGTTGATTTGCATGTTGGTTTTTTGCGCCATGTTGACGGATGTTGGTGTCGAGGTTGGTGTTGAGGATGAAGGTGTTGGCGTAGATAGATGGCTAGCGTCCGTCGAACTGAACGGTGCTGATTGGCTGCTTTGGGCTGGTATATAGCTGTGTTGCTACGTAGTATAGCTGTTGGTGGTTTCGTTGCTTACGAGGCGACGAGAAGAAAGATTGGTTGGTTGGTTGACTGGCTGAGCTTAGTCTCTCTTTTCCTCCTCTTCCGGCTTCGAGCTGGCTGTAGATATATAACCAGATCGCGAGGAGCCAAGAGGTCCTCGCCCCCCGTGGCCGTACCCCCTACCTGTTCCGTAGTAGCGACGAACCCGGCCGAGTGACCGTATCTCGACCAAGCTTCGAAGACCGAGCGATTCTCGTCTCGTCCGATAACTTCCTAGTCTCTTGAAGTCACTAGACAATGCCCTCCCGTGCTCTGGGCAGGAAGTGGGCTGAAGATGGCATGTTTTCCAAGCCCATCGCACCCAGCGGGGTCTTGGAAATCGTATGATCGGCATGGGCCGCCCACCATCGGCCATCGCGGCCGTCGGAGTCCAAGTCGCATTCGAGGCGCTGTTAGATTATTTGTGCGTCGGTTGTGCGTGACATTGTGCCAGTTGTGCGTGTTATGCACTCCCGCGTCGCAGCGTCAGGGGATTTCCACCTGCGAATGGCTGCCGCCTGCTGCCGCTGGCGGCTGGCTGGACGCGCCGGTCTGTCCCCTGGAGGTGCTGCGCGCTACTTACTCGCCATGACCTGACTCAGCTCATAGTACGGGCCTCGCTGCGACGTCGTCATTACCGCCAGGTACCGAACCCAGGCCCTGGCTGGGTTCATCGTTCGGCCTCGACCAGGGCGCGTTCCTTAGGTACGGAGCATGCAGAGCCGTCGTATCGTCACATCGCTCTGGCGTGGCGCGACCTCCAGTCTAGATCGGTTGAGGCCATCGGCCAAAGTCTCAAACATGTTGCGCGTCGTCCATCGTGTCGTCTCGTATCGATCATTAATCGCCCGCCGCTGCTAGCTCTGCTTCCTACTCATAGATCCACGCCCAACGGCCCACTGCCCTCTGCGAGGAAGAGATAATAATACCGGACACGTCGAAGAATGCTGCTGCATTGCAGCCTCTCGTTCTCTCGCCGCCTGTCACCTAACATTTTAGGGAATGCTCAGTCTGTATGGACGTATCTACATACCACAATATGGATGCAGATGCATCCCTATACTGAGTATCCATCGCAATCCTACGCGGCGTAGTCCACGCAGACAACTAGGCAACCTACCTTTGAAAAAAAAAAAGCATCGCCCTCCCCCATCGCATTAATCGAGATGATGCGCACGCGCGGCATGCTAACCTCCAATGCGACGGGCTTATCGGTTAGCAGTGCTCGGCAGCCAGCTCTAGAGCTCTAGACAGCTGACAGCTTCAAGTGTCAGCCTGCTATTCGCGACGAGAAGCTGAGTCAAGCTGTCGCAGATCACGCTGCTTTTGCTACGGGGAGAGTACATGCGTGCACGCAGAATGTGGTTGGCGGACAGGGAATTCGTGGGGAATTAAGAATCTGACCTGTAAGGTAGCATCACCTGGAGGAATGCCATGAACGACCCTAGGGGGGAATCCAATGCCGTTCGTCGGCAGTTTACAACATCCCATGGTTGCAGGAAGCTCAGGTTATCTGAGCAGAGCCAAGTAACAGCCAAGTAGGCAGGTCGTTATCGGTGACAGAACTATCTCCCCCCAACATCCGCCCATCATGCAATACCGCTGGTAATAATCACGAACTCCAAGAGCGAGAGAATGAATCGAACGGTAAAACTCCTCTGTGTATTTTAGTAATTCCCACCCTAGGCCACGACCCCGTCTCCAACCATCCAGGTAACCTAGTCATGTGTCCCTCTAGGACACGCGGACTCGAAAGAAGAGAAAGAAAAGAAAAATGCACCGATCCCTAGCGTAAGAGGTAGGCAAATAATGTACAAGAAAGCCCCAAGATTTCCAAGGTGATGCGTGTATACGTGTATAATATAAGCCAAATCGACCCCAAGAAGAGAACAACAAAAGAAATTCGCACCGAGGAATGACGAGAGAGAAAAAAAGGGGGGGAGGTACCTAGGTACCGCGGCGTAGGAATCGGAAGCACCGGCTGTCTCCCGTCCCGTCCCTCTCCCTTCCCATCTCCCTCCCGCTCCCGTCCCCCACGCAATCCAACCCTTGCCTCTCACTTCACCTCCACAGCCAGCAACATCACACCACCATTTCTCCTCTCTGCCACCTCGAACCGCCCGAACCTCCCGAAACCGACCCGATCCTATCCGACGAGATGAGATCAGATCAGATCAGATCGAGCCATCCCCGCGCCTACTCGCTACCCCCGCGCCTGAACCACCTGCGCGTCGCCGCCGTCGGGTACGTCGCCAGCGGCGCCGTGCCCGTGCCCGCGCCCGTGCCGTAGGCCCCGCCGCCCGTCGCGTACGGCGGCTCGACCGTGCTCGTGTGCGTCACCGTCACGTAGACGGTCTGCGGCGGCGGCGGCGGCGGGCACTCGCACGCCTTCCCCGCCTCCTCCTCGCTGTCCGGCGGGCACGCCGCCGCCTCCTCGTTGTCGCCCGCGTTGCCGCTCCCCGCTGGGCGCGGCGCCGTTACCGTCGTCGCCGCCGGCGTCCGCGTCTCGTACACGGTGCGCACCGACGTCACCGCCGCTGTCGTCGTCGACGCCTGCTCCGTCTCCGGCTCCGGGCTCGAGGTCGGGTACGAAGACACGCGGATCTGGTAGGTCACGGACTCGGACGGGGCTTGTGCCGCGGGGGAGGACGGAGAGGGCGAGGCGGCCGGGGTTTCGCCCGTTTGGTAGGTCTGTTGCTGGGCCGGGTACGTCTCCTGGGTCTGGTAGGAGGACACCTGGGTGGTGTATGTCTCCTGTGCGGGAGAGGTCTCTTGCGTAGGGGCAGATGGTGGCTGGGTCGGGTATGACCCCTGAGCCGGGTACGTCTGGTAGGAGGACGCTTGGGTGATGTATGTCTCCTGCGCGGGAGAGGAGGACTCTTGCGCAGGGGAAGATGGCTGGGTCGGGTACGACTCCTGAGCCGGGTACGTCTCTTGGGTCGCATAGGACTGTTGGGTCGGGTACGTCTCGGGTTGCGCAGGATAAGTCTCCTGCGTCGCGGCGGCCGCCGACGAGGTGCTGGAGATGGGGTAGCTAGCCACAGGAATCACCGTCAGCTCGCTGATCACAGTCGTACGAGAAGGACTTGGGCAAGAAAAGTTGAGCAGGCGAACAAGAGAAGATGGGGAAGAGGAGAGAAGGGGGAACTAACCTCGGAGCAGGAGCGGAGCTCGCTACGACGACGGACGTCGAGGCCGAGACGACCGGGGTCGACGACGTCTTGCTTTCCTCCGAGCTCGCCGCGGGTGTGGACACCGTGAAGTAGCTAGTAGAGACGACGACGGAGAAAGACTCGGAGCCGCTCGCGATAGGGCTAGACACCGTGTAGTAACTGGTCGAGACGACGGCAGAGGAGGACGCGGGGCTGCTCGGGGTGTTGCTGTTGCTGTACGTCGCGATCGAAGTGGCGTATTGCGACGACTCGACAGGGTAGCTCGACGCGCTCACGCTGCTGCCGCTGCTAATCGCAACCGAGGCCGTGGAAATCGTAAGATTCTGCACGGAATACGACGACACCGTCGGAGCCGGTACACTCGTCTCTGTCAGGACCGGAGGCGCCGAGGCGGACGCCTGAATCGTGCTCTCAGATTCGGCGACCGGGCAGACGGTTGTGTAGAGCGAGACGATGTCTGTCGTGACCTGGCCGGTGGGGCAGTTCGTGACACCGGGTGCACAAGAAGTAACGGTATAGATGTTCGTCGAGTACACCGTTGACGTAGTCAACTGAGGTACGGAGCTAGATGCCGGCGTAGAAGCAGGCGGTGTTGACGTCGCCGAGTAGCTGCTGTAGGTAACAGTAACGGGCAGGCTGGAGCTCTGCGGGACACCGCTAGAGCTGCTGAGCACCGAAGAACTAAGTGCCGAAGAACTGGCTGCCGAGGACGCCGGACTGCTGCTCTCAGAGCTGCTGCTCGCAGGATAGGAGCTGGAGCTGCCGGAGGTAGTTATGAAATAGGAGGGTACCGAGCTTACCAAGCCGCTGCTTGCGGCGGAAATCGTGCTAGAGCTGGACACCGGATACGAAGATACCGAGCCAGCCGAGCTGCTGCTTGCGGGCGAGACGCTGCTAGAGCTATACACTGGGTAAGAAGACCCCGCCGAGACGGCCGAGCTGCTACTCACGGCCGACGAACTGCCGGGGCTTGAAACCGGGTAAGAGGTTCCTACTGCGTCCACTGAGCTGCTTCCGCTAAGGTACGAACTGGTAGCGAGTTGCGAACCGCTGACGGGGTATGAGCTGCTGCTGGCGGGATATGAGCTGGCACTGCTGGTAGGGTATGAGCTATTGCTAATGGGATATGAGCTAGCGAGGCTAGAAACCGAAGCCGACGCGCTCGAGCTTGACTGGGAGCCCGCTGTCGGGTACGAGTAAATAGGGACCGACGAGCTACTCTCCGCTACCACCGATCCGCCATAGGTCGTGCCGTCGACAATAGTCTGCGTGATAGGGGACAGAGTGGTGGACAGAGACACCGTCTGCGTTGAAACTTGGCCCACCGGGCAGTTCGTCACGGAAGGGGGACACGAAGTGATAGTGATAACGTTCGTGGAGTAGACGGTAGACAGCACAGATGATATAACCTCGCTGCTAGCGCTATATGTGCTTGGGATCGCTAATGAAGACGAGCTAACGGCGGGAATTTCGCTAGTCGAGTATGGAATTCCGCTCTCAACGGCAGAACTTGGCGCCGAAGGTGTCGAGGCTGTAGATGCCTGTACCACGGATGCCGAGCCGACAGATTCCGATACCGTAGACGTCGACGCCGAAGAAGGACCCGAGGCTGAGTAAGAGCCAGGTTGAGCCACGCTGCTAGCGGTGTTCGCGGCACTGGAAGAGGCTGGCGCGGTTCCTTCGCTAGAAGCAACGCTGCCAGAGGAGGCCGAATACGAAAAGGCCTCCGTGGCACTGCTGGATGCGCTTACTGGCGCAGACTCGGTTTGGGAGACGGACGAAGCCGCATAACCAGAACTCGATCCCGGCGAGCTGGCGGGAACGCTCGCGCTAACTGCCGCGCTGCTTGAGCTGGCCACCAGAGTAGGACCAGACTCGGTCGGCTGCGACGCAGAGTACGTGGGCACGCTCACGGCACTAGAGCCAGGTTGGCTGGCCGTGCTGCTGGTAGACCCAAGAAGGTACGAGCTCAAGCTGCTCAAGATACCCTGGCTGCTAGTTTGCGAGCTCGCCGAGTAACTGCTAGCGGGCGAACTAGCGGGATAGCCGCCGCTACTTGCGGAGCTGGCTGGATATCCGCTGGAAGTACTCGCGGATGAAGCCTCCGCCGATACTGTCGCGGACGACGGTGCTGGCTGAGTTGCCGCGTACGATGAAGGCGAACCGACGACAGAAGCAGACGACTCGGCCGAAGAGGAACCTACAATGCCACTTGCCAACACGCTCGAGGCAGTGCCGGTAGAGGCAGATTCGACGATGGAGGAAGTAGCCGAAGAGACGGCGACGGATGACGACACGCCCGGGGATGTCGGATAGCCACCCACGGAAGAGACAGGGGAAGAGCTATCCAGGGACGAGTAGATACTAGAAGAGCCCGTCGAAGACACGGCAGCGGACTCTACGGTAGAAGATGCAGAGAAAGAATCCGCGGAAGGCGAGCTAAGCGGATACGTGGAATATCCTCCAGCAGAAGACGTGGGAGAATCGCTGCTCGAGAGTTGGCTGCTAGCTTGAGTAGCAGCAGAGCTTTCGACCGAAGATGTGGGCGAGTAGCTAGAGGACGGAGAATTGGCCGGGTACGTAGTGCCCTGGGCGGGAGAGACGGCCGAGGTAGCGCTGCTAGAGGGCGGTACTGCCGAGTAGGTAGCAGGCGACTCCGCTGCAGCCGAAGACGTAGACGAATCGCCGCCGGAAGGCGAGCTCGCGGCATAAGTGGGATTCTCGGCCGGAGCGGACGTCGGCAGCTGGGTGCTAGAAGGCGACTCGACCGGATACGTAGCGGGGGACTCTACAGCAGAGGAGATAGGCGACTCTTCCGCCGCAACCGAGCTAGCCTGGTATGTGGGAATCTCGATGGTAGAAGCAGGCGACTGGGCCGCAGGGGTCGTTTCAGCCGCACTGGCAGCCGAGGCTGGAGGGCTCGCGGAATACTCGGCAGCGGCTGGGTCCCTCTTGACAACTCTCGATGACGCGGAAGGGCCACATCCGTCCTGGATCTTCTCGATGGAGCCAATCTTTCCGGTCTAAGATATCATTAGGGCAAAGACCATCTCACTACTACGGGACGTTTACTTACCTTGTCACTATATTTGTACTGGCAGGCGGGGGACTTGTTCGTGATATTGACACTCCTCACATATAAGGTATAGGGTGCGCCCTTAGGATCGATCTCGCCGCCGGCCCACTGGATGGTCCAGTCGCTGTTGTCGGGGTCCCCGCCTCCCCAGACGCCGAGCTGGAGCTTCATCGGAGACTGCGGGAAGACGAACTCGCTGGGGACATCCTCGGCCCGCGCGCTGCGGACGATCCGGTCGTCGACGTACCAGTCGATGCGGCTCTCGTCCCACTCGACGGAGTACTTGTGGAACTGCTCAGCGGGCTTGTATGCGTCCTTCTGGTAGGCGGCTGCACCGTCCCACATCTTGCCCTGGGCGAAGACGTTGGTCTCGACCGTCCACTTCCCGTCGCGGGGCGGGAACGGCTTCTCGCCGTGCTGGTTGCCGGAGAACTCCCAGTCGACCTCGTCTTGGGTGTCCGACCACAGCGACACGCTGCTGATCACGCCCTGGCCCGGTGCGATCTTCAGCTCGACGTCGTAGCGGCCGCCGAGCACATAAAAGTCGGTCGACATGCTCGGCGCGTCCCCCTTCTTCGCGTAGGTGAACGCGGCTCCCTCGGTGGTGAAGTTGACGGCTTGGTCGTTCGGGATGGTCCAGCCGGGCGGCGGCCGGACCTGCTTCGTGAAATCGATGTAATAACTCTCGTCCGCCAGGCCCTTCTTCGGTGGGCAGACGGCGTTCAGCGGGTTGCAATCGGGCTCGAGTTGGCCCTCGACGAGCTGGGCCGCGAGGCCCAGCGCAGTAAGATAACCTGCAATTCCTTTCTTAAACATTCTGATGACCTGTCAGGGGTCTGTTACAGCTTCAAAGTTTACGGTACCCCCTGGGATACGGAAGAAGGGGAGGTTTTATTCCACGAGCCCTGTCGGCGGCCCACGCCGCTTCTCTCGAGGCACAAAGGGTCATTGTCGCGCCGGCTGCCCGACGCTCGAGCGACAATGTCAAAGCAGCAGCCGAAAGGGCTCCCTTAGCCAACCTGCCCGTTCCGGTCGGATAAACTACTCTCAGCTTTCGCCTACTCTGCGACCATCTTTATCCGCCTAGAGATCCACCCCCTATTCCGCTTTACACAGAGCAAATCTAAGATTACGGAACAATTTGTTCTTGTCTAGAACCTGGTCGCCAAAGACGAGACGACAAAAGAGAAAAAAAGGAGACGCGGGTTCTTTGACGGCGGTCGGAAAGCCCTTCTGCCTCCCTTCGCTCCGGTCGAGCTCCCTTGTCCGACCATCTCCAGCAGACCCGCGACTACACAGCGTCGCCCAGACCCGATGGCGCTTCGGCGCAGGTCCTGCCCTACGGTGCCGAAGGCTTACGCGTTTCAGGGGAGCAAGACAAAGAGGCGGGTCTGGGTCGAGGAGCAGACGGATTTGTAGGATAGAAATAATACCTAGTTAGAGTAGTAGGCAATAATGGTCTAGTCTCCCTACCAATGCAAACCCTTCTCCCCCATTTCTCCCCCCCCCTTTGCAACGCTGGAGAGCGCCCATCGAACATAGAACAGACAGGACACGAATATAAATAGCTCAAGCGAGACAAAACAGCAACCCATGGCGCGGGAGACAACGCACACAATGAAAGAAACCCCAACCTCGCCCCGCCCCCTTTTCCTCCCCCCCAATTCTTCCCCTCAGAGGCATCGCGTGCTTTGACATTCGTACGACGAGGTGAGACATCCCACCATCACTACCAGCAATGTGCCTATACTATACCTCTAGGTACCCACAGAGGTATATATCTGAATCTATACACAGGCACCTATACAGATATATATACCTTCCATGTATAAGTATATATAATATAAGGTAGGTATATAAGTATACCTAGGTATAAGTTAAGGGAGGCCAGTGTTAACTTCTTTAGCTAGCGTTAAGTACATTGATTAGCTGGTAGCCTACGCTAGAATTATCTAATACAAGGTTATAAACTAGAACATGTACCTACTTATATACCTAAGCTAGAGTTGAAAAAAAAGTTTAGGTTTTTAAGTAAAGTTAAGTTAAGTTAAGTTAAGTTTCTTTAAACTTAAACTCTTTTTTTCATAAACCCTAACCTGAGCTAGATACTAAAAATGTACTTAGGGTACCTAGCAAGTACCGCTCGCAGCAAGCACAGCCAAGTCCCGGCGCTCTGGGAACGGCCAGGCAGGCGCGACCTGCTTGCGCCTACTCATAAGCCAGTAAGCACCTGCACCTGCGCCTTCTAGAAAACCCCGGTTCCTGCCTGCCTCCCTAAAAAGTGCCCACAGAGGCATGGCGCTGGGCTATGTACCTAGATACCTAAGGTACGCGTATGTACACGGTACCTGTGTCACTTCTAGGTATCCCTGGAAGATACCGCATTAGGTACTTATACATCCACTTATCCCCTCACTGGTAGGTATTAGGTATAGGTACTTACCTACCTTGTACATAGGTACGTGCCTTGGGTCAGGTACCTTATGAGGTACCTAAACTCAGGATAGGTAGGTACCTAGGTAGGTACCTGCCTAAGGTACCCTTGCCGGCTGCGCACCTAGGACTTACCTACCGACCTCTTATGAATAGTGGCCTGCCTACCTACCTGGTCTCTTTGGACGACCATCTACATACCCTCACCTGTTTTCCCTTTTTTCCGCCTCGTCCTGTTCCCTCCTCCCACCCTCTCAAGCGGCACTCCTTCGCCTTGCCAACATACGTACATTCGCAGCATTCATTTATCCCCCTTACTCCTCTTCTTTCTTTCTGGTTCCTCGCGCTGTACATCGTTTCCTACACACCAAGTCGCTCACTCTCATCCGGATCTTCGCCTACCCATTCCTTCTCCTCTTCCCCCTCTTCCGCTCGTCCTCCATGCCTCTTAGCACGCGACCCCGAGCCGTAATCCATGAGGGCAGCCGTCAGTAGACTAGAATAGCTTTCATCATCCTGCATTCGTTATAATTTTCAGCAGCTGCTTAGACTACTCATTCCCCGCCTATCCGCCCGTTCATCCCACCTCCGCGCAATACGTCGACCCCCCTGTGTTGCAGGGCTAGGACAATGGGTATTTTTAACCAAAAATCAAAACTCAAACCGGCGCCGCAGGAGATCCGAGTCGAGAAGGTCATCGTTCCCAGCAAGTCTCGCCTCAGCTCCACGCCAAATACTCTGCGACCCCCCTTGAGCCACCATCACAAGTCCACCTCGCCCCGCCTCTCCCCGAATCCCCGACTGTCGCGAACCAAGAGCGCGTCACCCTACCTGTCCTCATCCGACGAGAAGCGAATCGCCGGACGGAAGCGCAAGGCCGTAACCAGCACCCCCAGGGACTCCCCCGCCTTCGGGAACGACTCCGACTCTGAAGATGGGGACAGCGACCCCTTCCAGAAGCGGATGCGACGGAGCGAGTCGAGATCGATAGACCTCAATCGCAAGCTGCGCCACAAGAAGGCCTTCGGCGCCGAGACCAGAGACTCGCGCATCATCCACGCCGCCGACGTCGCCTCCGTCGCCACCAAGTGCCCGCCCATCGCCGGCGCCAAACCCGACGAGATCGCGATCGAGCTGCAGTATCCGTCCCGGTGCAAGCGCGAGAGGTAAGGCCGGCCCCGGGGTACCCGATAAATGCGTGGCGGCAGACTAAAAGAAAGCTAACGCGAGACGGAACCAACCAGGTACGAATTGGTGTGGCAGAAAGATAAGATCGACGCCGTTAAAGATATCCTTGCCGTCGTCGAGCACGTGGCCGAGACCTATCTCACGGACTCCGAAGCGAAGCCCTTCATCGACCACAACGCCAGCTTCCGCCGCCAGATGGAGCGGGCGGTAACCGAGAAATACCGGGACGTCGCTGTCTTTAGGACGGCACTTCGCAATTACAACGACAAGCTGCTCGAATTGGTCGAGAACGGCACGGTGGCCAAGAACCTAGAAGGCCTCCACCACCTCCCGCCTAGCCTAGTCTCCTTCATCCTCACCCAAGTGTACGACCGCACCGTCGCGCCCAAGGTGGAGATGCTCACCAAATACGAGATGGGCAGCGATAACGTGTACGGGGAGCTACTACACCCGTTCGTCACGAAGTTGCTTGTAGAGCAGACCAAGATGACCTCGGATCAGGTGTTTATAGATCTCGGCTCGGGCGTGGGCAATGTCGTGCTTCAGGCTGCCCTGGAGATCGGCTGTCGGAGCTACGGCTGCGAGATGATGGAGAACGCCTGCAACCTCGCCGAGGCCCAGGAGAAGGAGTTCAAATCGCGATGTCTCCTCTGGGGCGTCGCGCACGGGAGGGTGCACCTGGAAAGGGGGGACTTCCGCACCAGTGCCAAGATTCTGGAGAAGCTGAAGGAGGCGGACGTGATACTGGTGAACAACAAGGCTTTTACTTCGACCCTCAACGACGCTCTTATAAACATGTTCCTCGACCTTAAGAAAGGCTGCAAGATCATATCTCTCAAGTCCTTCGTTCACGAAAACAAGACCGCCATCAACGATGTCGCCAACAGTATCCTCGACGTCCAGCACTACCGATACCACGAGAACTGGGTCAGCTGGGCCGCCGCCGAGGGAGACTACTACATCTCGACAAAGAAGTGATGATTGGGAAAGGCTATTCATCCGGGGCGAGGGGGGGGGGGGGGGGAGAGACGATCGAACCGAGTTGGTGAAGCATGCCATTCGTATAGAATCGGGGTTAGGCGCGGCCCAGGGTTGGGCGCGGCCGGGAGAGGTAGAAGGGGGATAGAAAGGGGATAGAGGGGTCGAGAGGTAGACGAGGGCGAGTCAGGATACCACGTTTGCATAGAGGCGCTTTAGCGAAAGGATACCAAAGCAGGCGTGATGTCGAGCACTTACTATACAGGTCGTTAGGTTGTATAAATGAAGAGGGTATCGCTCGTAGCAGAGTTACGAATATTGCTTGCTGATGTCTCCCCCGCCCTATATATATATATATCGGGCTGTCACCTCCGACTCTTAGTGCTATTGCTCACGTTGCCAGGCGATTCGTTCTCCAGGTTCATGGCGTCGGCCTCGTGCTTCATCCTCTGCATCCACCGGTCCACCAGGTCCTTGTTGTCGGCCACGAGCCGGGCCGCCTTCTGCTCGGTGACGTCGAGCTGGATGTTGAGGGTGAGGTTCTCGTCCTGGACGTCCTGCTCGCCGGCGCGTCAGCAGCCCCCTCGCCAAGGTCGCGGTGGAGGGCGGCGCATCCATACCTTCAGCAGCTTGTTCTTGCCGGCCAGCTCCTCGTTGCGGTCCTTGAGCCGCGACTGAATACTATTGCGCTCGGCGGCCAGGTCGGCGACGCGCTTGGCGTCGACCTTGGCCCGGGCGCGCAGCCCGCGCAGCTCGTCCTCGGCGGCCCTGAGCCGGGCCTGCAGCTGGCCCCGCGCGCGCAGCGCCTCGGCCAGGTCGAGCCGCAGCTGCGCGGCGTCGGGGTCAGCGGTAGGGGGAGGAGGAGGAGGAGGAGCTCTGGCCGACGGCGAGGGCTGAGGAGCCGCCGCCGCCGCCGCCGCTTGCCACACGGCCTTCTCGGCCTCGAGCGCGGCCACGCGGTCGACGAGCTGCGAGCCTGCGGCCTGTCAGCAACTAGCGCCGCTGAGCGGGTGGCGGGAGGGGGGGGGGCGACGCACAGGCTTCGACGAGGTCCTTGTTCACGGGATTGCTGCTCTCGGCCTCCCGCAGGGAGGCGAGGTAGTCGCTTCGCCAGTCGGGCATGGTGGCGATGGTCGTCGTCGTCGTCGTCTACATAATAGGACCATTGGCGACGGGTGCGGCGGGCGGTGCGGCGCTGTCCGCAGGACACGGGCCGGGTCGGTTGGGCGGGAGTGGGAGGGCCGACACGTAGGTACACGCAGACGAGGCCGATGGGGGGAGGGTGAGAGAGAGAGAGAGACGGAGGAGAAAGAAAGCTGCGGCAGGCAGGCTGGCTGGCTGCTAGGCATCGAATTTGTCGTCTCGATCTGCCCTGTGGAGGGGCTGCTTGAGGGGCCGCTCGCATGTACCTGCGTACCCGCGCCGGGGCGTTACCTTGGGTAGGGGTACCTTAGGAGGTAGGAGGTACCTAGGGTTACTTGAGGTACTTGACCTGCAGTTATAGGTACATCTGCGCTAGGCCAGGCTGCCTCCTCGATTGGTTAGGTACCTATCTACCTAATGTACCTATGAGGTCATACCTATAGTGCGGACTGAATTTCACTTGGGTTGAAAGTAAGCAGGTCTATAACATTTCTTATTGCTTCTCTTATAAGACATATATATATATATATATAGGTACTCTTTAGAAGTGTACATTTCTAAGTTTATATAGGTATACCTAGTTTCGGTACCTGCGTGGCAATGAATGGTCTCAACTCGGCGAGAGGCTTGCACTCAGACTACAAGTGTCTATTAGGCAAATAGACATCTTGGGTGTGGACAGTTGAGAACAATTCCAGTACTTAACGCGTCCATCTCCTATAGAGGCAATGCAACGCTCTTCTTCATGGCGCTCTCTGCCCCGTGCCACCGAACCACAGGGAGAACCCGTGTCCCACACTCCACTGATAAGGAGCGAACATAGATATTTATTGGTGTTAAGAACGAGTGGCGACACTAAGGCCCTATCAATTGTGCGAGTTGCAGCTTCATCCCTAAACAATCCGACGTGCCAAATCCGCCCCCTTTTCCGCAATGGCAGTCTCCTAGCCTACCACTACTTACTTACCTATCGTTCCCTTTACCTGCCACCCTTTCCAAGCTTGAGTTCACTGATTCTGTACGCCCTAGGACTTCGCCTTGGCTTCCTCCTTCTCCTTGATCTCGCGGAGCATATCCGCCACAACTGGGCCGATATACTTGACCATGAACGGAGTTGCGTTCATCAGCTTAGGTCCCAGGACTTTCACCTTGTCGATTATGTTTTTGAAAATCCTCTTCCCTTGGGGCATGTTGATAAACCCCTCCAAGCAGGCCTCTGCGAGAATGGCCCTGTGTGCCAGAGGGTCGAGGTGAGTCGGCAGTGGGGGCAGTCCTCCGGCTTCCGTGCCTAGAAGCAGTGGTAGGCCGATCTTGGCTACGTCCTTGAGAATCGGGCCAGCCTTCTTCAAGGCGCTCCCGATGACGTCTCCGATAGTAGTTAGAGTTCCGAAGAACGATTCCACCGTAGGATCGTCTACCTGGTCCATCAGCCCGTTCAGGAACGCAGATTCCTGCTCGGTCAATTTGCGCCCGAACCCGGTGTCCTTCTCGGCCTCGGTGGAGCGCCCGGTGCGTTTGCGCTTCGTGCTGACACCCGGCGACACGTTGGACAGCAGCAGTCTCATGCTGGGCTCCAATGTCCCCTTGAGGAGCTTGGGTGCCACCCCCATAACGAACGGCTTGAGGGAGGCCACGATCGGGCCCAGGAACTCTGTGAACTTATCCTGGTCTTTCTGCGGCATTTCAAAGAAGCATCCCAGGGCGGCCTCTGCGAGGATTGCGCGGCCGAGGACGCCGTCATAAGGGCGAGTGTTGGCCAGCGCCTCGACGCTGGATCCGCCCGCACCGTCGGCCGCGAGCCTCCCAGCCGCTGCGATAGCTGCAGAGGCTAGAATGCCCATTTGGGGCCCGGCGTCGGGGCCGAACGAGATGGGCTCGTCGGCATCTATAACCGTGTCCTCTATCTTTGCGTGTACGCTCTGCGCGAACTTGATAGTTTTCATGAGCTCAACTTGCACCGGATCGCCCTCGGGGGTTTCGGTAGTTGTCGCATGGCACGTCCAGAGCCACGGCCTCTTATCTTTGTCCGGCCGACTCGAGTCTAGAGGCCTGCTCGCGCCACCAAGTGCATCAGCTACATCGTAATATGCCTTGAATCGGTTCCCGTAGGGCCCGTTGATCACAGAGGCCGAGTTGTAGCTGTAGCCACCGAGAACATGCACTCCGATCGCGATATGAGGGTCCTGGTCCGTCAACACAGGTGATCCGGAGTTTCCTATCGATTTGGTCAATCCCTAGGATGCGCGATGGTGCGATACTGTGCTGAAAAGCAGCATTTCGGAACACATGACTGTACAGTCACAGAACCAAAAGGAGGGAGTAGGAGGGCGGAAGGGCCAAACTTACCACCATTCGTATCGATTTTATATTGCAACATGTTCATGTACGAACCATGCAGTTCGTAGTCCGTCTTCTTAAACATCTTGTACATCATGGCGCCCCTCTCTCCCTTGTCGTTTGCAATGTCCCCCGGGTAACCTACAACTCCCAGGTTGGCACCCTTTTGTGATATTGGCGTCTGTTTCCAGGTGAAGAATTTGCCAACGGTAGTAAACGGTGCCGAGAGTTTTATGAACGAGACGTCTGCAGGCCCATGTCCACTCTCGGAATTGAACCATTTCTCAGTCGTAGCGACGGCCACGCCGTGGCGGAACTCGACCCCTTCCGAATTGACCTTCTCTCTGCCATTGTAGCCGACATAGGCTTTCACTTTGATGAGCCGACCGAGGCCGTGAGAATGGTCAAAGGCACAATGGCCAGCCGTGACGACGATGTCTCCCTTGACAAGCCAACCGGTAGCTATGGCCCAGGCGGCTTCGTCCTCCGTTACAGTGCCACTAATCTGCCCTTCGTAGAGAAGAAATAGCTTGACGATGGCTTGCAATGCATTAGTCTGTGCCTCGAACCGCGGCGAATGCCTTCACGTACCACGGAACTTCCCATCGGCGTGCCTATAGTCGTCTATGTCGACTAGCTCCCTCCCATCTTGACCATTGACAACCGACTCGTTACTATTCTCAGTTTCGCGTGCGGACGGTATGCTCTGGCTGTAGGTAGGTGTGGAGCTTTCGGTGGAACTTTTCTCAAGGTCCCAGTAGTAGACTGACGTAGTCGCCTTTGTAGTGTTAAGTGGTTGGTCAAGGATGGGAGCGGCATTGCTCGGCGGGGGCACGGGTAGTATAACATCGGGGTTGTTGATAAAATGTCCCGACATGATTGCGGTCAAGTGATTAATATCAAAGAAGAGACACGAGCTGTAGAATGTGTAGCTTAGGCTGCTGAATTCAAGTTGATCGTCGAGCTTTTGAGGTTTGTTGACTAACTCCGTGGCTACAAAGGGGCAAAACGCACCATTATATAGTCGTCAGCCTCCTCGGAACAGGGCTTCATCCCGCCTTCGAAACAAGACCAAGCAAGGCCAGCCATGTTCTCACAGCAAGCCCTCACGATGACCGCATGGGCAGTAAGCCTCTTTTGGGATAAAACGCATCTTGGAGACGCGATACCATTGCGCTGTTGCATCTACTATGCTCTTTCAGCTGGCTCGGCGACGCTACGATATACGAGGCAGCCTGCGGCGGAACTAATTCTATCAGAGCGATTACAGCAGAGTATCTCATCGATCCGGAGAGTGTCACCTAGGCGGCTGAGAACTGCATCGTGTAAGAGGCCAATGCAGCTAGGTTCGCGAGGAAGACCCGCCGTGATTCCTTCTTTGACAATGCCGGGGCCAACTTGGGAAACTCTCGCATAGTTCTCTTGAAAGTTACAAGCTGACTGCTAGGAGAACGTTCACAGTGAGTGCCAAGGAAAGTTGAAGTGCATTGAGTGATGGATACGCCAAGTAGACATGTCAACAATCTATAGCCGGCCTGCAGCGAAATGCAAGCCACCTACTGCCCCTTTTCAACTAGGTACAGTTCCTCCATTCAACTAGGCCACGACAATGTAGCAATGATACCATGCCATTTGTATGCCTTCATAGCAAAGGGCAATACGCCCTCATCCTTTCACGCCGTCGCTGCCGTGGAGTAACTGCGGTACGTTCACGTACCTCAGCCAGGTTTCGTCAACATCTGTCTTCGTCTCGAAACCTAACTCCGCGCCATCACCACCTTTCCCCAGCATCTTCAGTACTTCTTCGTAGGCTTGGATTCTGACTCCGTAAGGCCCGCCAATGACGACTGCAGAGTTGAAAGACCCGCCTCGAACGTGTACCCCTATGGCGGCAGCGTCGCTGTCACGTATGACAGGAGCTCCGGAGAAGCCTAGTCCTAGTGAGCGCCAGCTCTGCTCTATATCATAACAGTTAGGAGAGAGTGCACCCACCTCCGTAGAGATCGCCTTGGTACACCAGCATGTTCCACCCTGTACGCTCGAGGTCGACATTCCGCTGTATCTTCATCTCGTACATTTTGCTACCGGGCACGGTCTCTTCACCCATGTCTGCAGGATAGCCAATCACCGCGAACTCCTGCAGCGCATTGACTTCAGGCGTGCCATACGCGATGGGCGTCGCATTCTGGAACGGGCCGTTCAGCTGGAGAAAGGCGATATCCCGCGCCTCGGTCTTGTCCCTGATCCACTCCAGAGGCAGCGCAACTCGAGTGACGAGCCGTTGGTCACCAGCAGCGTCCTCTGAGCTTGCGTTGTAACCGATACATGCTCTGATGCAAGTTGCCCGTTGGCCGTCATGATACAGGCAATGAGCGGCGGTGACTACCAGGTCGTCCTTGAGTAGCCATCCCGTGGCCGTCGTCCAGGCTTCCGAAGCCCCAAAGCGGAAAAAAAGCTTTAGTATTGCTACATCATTCGATATTTAGCTTATATGATTATCTTGGAAGTTCGAGGGCGGCGGAGGCTTAGAAATGGGGGCATACGAACAATAATACTTTCCACCTGGCCCACGGTCCACCTCCTGTGCCGGCACCCGAATATCCTTTGGCTCCTGGAAGATGCCAATGTCGACAACTCCTGAAGTGTGAATGCATGGCTGAACGGAATGAGGCGCAGGTGCCGGCCGTCCCTCAGCCTCAAGGTCAAGCTCCCAAAACGCGACTTTCTCATATCCTGGCTCCATCATGAGTTCCACAGTGACTGTTGTGACGGTCCAGAAGGCGGGGTAGGATAGAGAAACGTTCGATGAATAGGTTGTCCCTTTTCATCTCCTCCCTACTCTACTTATATAGGTAAAGCTTCGAATAGCATCGCCCACTGCTGTTTCAACTTATTGGTCAGTTGGATCACATTATGGACGTACACATATAGTGATTTGCCCATTTGGATGAATATGGGGTAGCTGAAGACAACTAGTAAGACTTTCGTGCATGAACATGTAATATTTCCTTCGTCGTATTCCACGCCGGCACATCCGGTACATAATCTGCAACGATCCGTCCGGCTTCCGATTGGTGAGAAATAAGGCCTTCGACCCAGCTTACTATGGATTTTCGGGTTTATTAGATATAGAAGGTTGCTTAACTAATAACAGGTGCCTTGCGTATTGCTTCCAAACCTGCCTACCCCGATAATCTATTTCTACCCCAGAAAAGAATGCCGGCTTTCGACCAAGAGTTGGTACTACACACGCTGCTGATGGCATGCAATCTATTCCACCAACATCAATGGTCGTCCATCATCATAATTAGCGACGGCGACATTGGCTCTTCTCGCTGTTAAGTATACCAGATCTGTGCAACAATTACCCACCTTAGAAGTTGTCTTGAAAGTATTAATACGTTTAGCCCTATGTAGACATATTAACCCTAGCCCTTGGTGAATCTGAATTGGTCATATACTTATACACTTACATATTTGCGATGTCAAATAGGTTGAAGGACGTCACATTATGCAGCCTACTTTTACAGTTTCTGTATCATTGCCCCCGATCTCTATTAGGTTGAGAGCTTTGAGTAACTATTCGAAGTATACGTCCCGGTAGCGAAGTCTTGCATCACCATATTAGCTTGGGGAGTTTCTCAGGCCCTAGGCAAACCTAAGTATTCGACTTCATAATCCAAAAAGATCTACCGAAACAGGTTCCCCGTCAAACACAGAAGTAATGCCGATGTCATATTGCGTAAATAAAAGAGTCGAAAGGGAGACAGAATGTTGCTGTGGGGCTGAGCACGACAAGCTCTTGTTCTAAGACCCAGACCAGCCAGTTCTCATCTCCAGGCCGGATCTAGGTAGGTAATAACATCGGTAATTGTCGGCAAGTCAAGGCGCGCTGATCTGGGGTGTCAAGGATTTTAGGCTGGTGGTCATATTTTGGACTCTTACCATTATTCCGTACTACGACTTCACGTGGATCTATAATGACGTAGTTAAAGCTCGCTCCTCACAAGAAGCAGCCTCAAAGGTTTCGCAATGTTTTTCACCAACGATGCTGACGGCGACGATATCCTTCACCTAGAATGAGGATGCTCACACGGAAATTGCTGGGGCTGAGTCGTTTTCAAGCTCGGCTAATGCTCTCTGCCGCCCTTTCAGTCGGCGTCAGGTATTTTTTTCAACGACGAGGCGCTCTTGACACGGACGAGACTGGATCGATTCACTTAACTACTTCACACGATCTTTGGTATGTCTCGACCTCTGGGGAGGTTTGCGCCCGCGTCCAGATTAGATTACACAGAAATACCACGACGAAGTCGCGCAAGACCCCACAGCCAGCGGGATGAGTAGAGAACTCCCCCGGCACCACGGTGATCAGCTGTTCATACCGCCTCACTGAGGTGGAACGTGCTGTAGATTCCAGCGTCGCACAACCTCGACCCGAGTCACCCTAAGGGCAATGCCTGCGCGGGGATGTGATCCCCTTTCCTGTGGGAGGATATTGTAGTGATATCACGCCGCTCCACCCATCCTCCCCCCCTCTCTCCCATCGAGGGCCTCTTAGCGTATATAGTCTGTGGTCTTTTAGAGCTTCTGTGGGGTAGTGTCGGGGATGCGAAGCCAAAGAGAAAAGAATGTCTACAAATGCCTGCATCGACGTCGGCGTGGTCTGCGTAATGGACTTGGTGGTCTCTTGAGGCGCTGGTACATTCCGGCACATTTGGCAGAGCAGGAATGGAATGGTGTTATGTTCCCGCTGTCTTATTCCGACGGATTTGGCTGCCAGACGTTGACTTAACCGATAGATCGACAGGCGGCGCTACGGCGGGGGCGGCAAAGCAGAGACAAAGTCCTACGCAAAGGCGATAAATCCCGGATGCTGTGCCGCACACGGGGTCAGGTCCGGGCCACCCGCGGGAGCGCAGGACGCCAACAGCGCATCTCGAATAGGCAAGGGGGCTCAGAGTCACGGCGGTCCTCTTAACTTGGGGCTGCCTAGAGATGGTCCCTATCTCTACGCTTTGCCGTTCAGGTCTCCTGGACCATTTGGCCAGCGACGACGCCTGGTAGCGTCAACCGCGCCAGGGTCGACTGGCTGTCAGTTGTGAGGACGATCAAAATGGCAATATTCCTAATATTAGGACACTGCATACCTGGCTTGCATTCATCGAGCAGTCGGGTATTCCTGCCAAAGGATATTGAGAAACTCGTCACAAGCAGCTTGCTGTGGCTTGTATCGCGGTGGCAATTGGCACCCGCAGATGATATACATCTATCCGACTGGTCTACGAAGCTGGGACCGGCTAGAACACGACACGAATCTCAGATCTCTCTCTCTCTCTCGAAGTCTCGAACACAGCATATCAGCATAGAAGTAGCACGGGGCACCTTGGGGCTATATCTTGCGAGACGGGTCCTAGAGCGGGTGCCTTGGGTGTCGACGATTGGCGGCGGCTACGAGCCTGATATTGCGTGTTTCACATTCCCTCGCGCCTCGTATGAGGGAGAAGGATGCTGCCTCTCACGTCATACATGCCGACCGCCAGTCGCTTAAGTAGCTTACTACGTGGAGTCGTGCATACCGCTCTCGGAGCTGGAGAAACCCGGTCGGAGGCGTTCGTAAAAGATCGCCTTTCGGATCTGCGCAACCTGACGGGGCCGAGATGGAGAGAGAAAGAGAGAGAAAGAGAGGGGAATAAGAGGGGTGAAGCTGTGGCTGGCTGAGCTGCCTGATCCGGGCTTAATGGGATAAGATATTAAGCAGGGATACGCAGCCAAAGCCACAAAGTACGTGCATAGGTGTGTACTACGTGGGCGACAGGGGAGCCCAGGGTAAATCGAGGAGAACCCTGGAAAGATATTTTATAGGGTATTATAGTCCGTCCTTGGTATGGCAACTGGGGGTAGGCATCGAGAGATACCGTCGACGTTTGCGAGAGACTCGCGGCTTGGCGAATACAGGGGGGGGGGGGATCTCCCTTCTTAGTAGTAGCAGCAGCAGCAGCAGCAGTGATAACGTTCTTGGGTATGTGGTTTGAGAGAGAGACTGGGGAGGGAAGGCAAGAAAGGGAAGAGAGGTGTTCACTTGCATCGTACTATGCGACGATCCGTCTGGCGATTGTTCCGTTTCGACCGCCGGTGCCAGGGTTTGTAGGGCTATTCCTATGGGGTGTCTCAACAAGTTAGCGACACCAGCACCGACCGCACTACTCCTTATGTAGACAGATGTACATATATGTAAGTAGTTAGCCATGTAGGCACGGGTGCACGGCCGTATGTATATACGTCTCTGTGTGTGTGTGAACGCGTGCGTCGCTCCGGGACCGTCGAACGACATCAGGTGAAGCATTCCATATGACTCTAGAAAGTGCCCGCCCCTATCTTCGTGAGGCGAGATCGACAGCGTAGAGGTCCTGGTATATCCTGGGGGCTGCAGGCCGAGGACGATGGGTCCGCGAAATGACGGGGCACGGCCCCGTTGCCGCCGGGAATTATTCACTGCCATAAGGTTGTTCTGACAGGGCCAGTTCTGCAGTGGCTTAAGCACCGGCAAGCTGTCCGGCTGGGACGGCGCAACGTCGGACGGGCTACTGGGTAGTTTAATTAAACGAAGGACCTCGGGCCAGACAACGTGATCGGGCATAGCCTACTGGTTTTGGCCGGCTGGCGACGCGTCTCTTGTTCGTCGGCGAGAATTGGCTGACTCGAGGACAGATGATGATAGAATCCATACACGAGACGGGGAGAGGAGAGGCAAAGGGAAAGGAACGAAGACGCAACAAGAAGAGCTTGCCTCCACACAGAAGTTGAAGCCGTCTCGCGACAACGTCAATAGACTTGAGTCGGTATGCGGTAACGGAATGCCGGCAGAGCGCGTAAAGCAAGGGAGTTCGGGGTCGGAGAGAGATCGTCGGAATCTGAGAATAGACTGCAGTCACAAGGACGATGATGTCACGACCACGAATAGTAGGTATGCATGTCTATCTTGATCTGATTTCTCATCCTTAGACATGTACCCAGGGGGTGCTCTCCGGATTGGATCTGCAGCGCAGCGTACATGTATGAGTAGGTTGCGTGAGGAGAGGCATGTATATGAATATGTGTGTGTGGTATCTATGTAGGTAGGTAGGCAGGCAGGCAGGCAGGCAGGCAGGCAGGCAGCATATGAGTAGGAGTCGAGATGAAGACACCCATCTGCTGCATCTCGAAATGCCTGGTCGCTGTCGGCTGATACCATAGCAAATCGCACCCAAACACGTCAAAAAAAGGAATAAATGCAAAAATGCTCATCTGCTGAGTTGAAGGCCGAGCCTGTGTGTGGATTTTGGTGAAATGTTAGGTAATGCGCAGCTGGGCACTTATACGGTGGTGAAGATAGGCGAGAATAGGTACACAATACCTCCCTGGATCCTCTTCGCTACCGAGCTCGTACCCGTCGATGCAAATCGTATGAGACGATACTTCCGGGCGCGTCCCCGGTGACATCCCGCGCCGGCTCTTTATATCCCTGTCTGGTACCTTGGGCACCTAACCTGGGTGGGTATCTACATATAGTACCGTGCCCGAAGCTGGAGAAACATTAGTTTACTCATAGTCGGTGGAATTCTATCAGATCAATAGGTTGCCCCTTTTGTTTCGTATCGAGTGCCCGCACGGGCGGACTCGGCACCGTGTCTCTGAATATAAGGTATGGCTGGGGCCTGGAATAGACCTAAGGTAATAGACCTAAGGTGATAGACCAAGCTGCGGCGTGGGAAGTCGGAGACCGACCACCTTAGGTACTCTCCCTACTGCGTGCCTATCTAACGGGATGGTCCTGGATACGCGAACCTACATACCTATTGTATGCGTTATGCCGTGAATACACGCATGCATTGGATTTGATCGAGCGGACAGCGTTTCGTTGCATAGCAGTGGGATACATCGTGGATTGCCGTTCTAGGACAGATACAGGGCAATTCCAAGGCATCAGGTAATGTAGGTACCTGGAGGTTGGTGCCTCCATGCCCGAGGGCACGGACATACAATAGGTACCTACCGAGGTACCTAGAGGTAAATGTATGATACAGTGATACAGCAGGTACCTAAAGTATGTGCATGCATATTGGGGGGGTACTTACAATACAGGTACGTAATGTAGGTATGCATTATGTACCTATTTACGTGGTGTAGGTACAGGAGGAGTCCTAACCCATTCCATTTATAGTATCCGGCCCCGGTCGAGGGGGAAGCTCCTACAGGTACCTATGTGGTCGATACCTGGCGCTATGGTTGTGCTTCCGCACGGCCACAAGTACTCGGTACCTAGCGCCCGCTTCCCCGGCGGAGAGGCTGCCTGAGGGACGTCGCCCGCCAGGGATGGCGCGAAGTCTCGCAGGCGGGCGCTGATTGGCCGGACGCGGTGCGCTGTGCATAACAAAGAGCGGAACACGGCAGCGACGCGACGACGCGTTCTAGTCCAATCAGGCCGCGGCCTGGTTCATCGCGACCCGTCCGCTCCTCACAACCTCGCTCCTCGCTCCTCTCGCCCAACTCCCACCCATTTTTCGCGCCACCATACCCTCCCTCTTCGTCCAGAGTGCCCGCGACCGTGCGGACCAATCATCTGCCACCCAGCCCAATAATCCCAAACGCTCGTACCATCCGGACACGCCAGCACCCCCGAGCCTAAGGAGTTGGAAGTATAGTGCTCTGCCATCCGGTGTGTGACAGGGTCTCGGGTCTTGAGGATCTGACCAGTCTACCGCCACGCCGTTTGCACAGCGCCACGCTCGCTCGCCCGTGCCCAGCTCGCGCTGCCAGCTGCCCTCGTCGCCGTGCTTATCACCGACCCCATCGTCCGTCGTCGCTGGCCCGGGTTCCTCACGCCCAGTCGGTGTCGACCGTAAGACCGCCAGTCCCAGGCGGCCTGCCCAACCGTAAACCACATGCCGACGTCTATCTCGCAGCAATCCCACCCGCGACGCCAGGGTCTGGTTCGACATTCCCTGCTAGACCAACAGTCTTCCTCTCTCTTCCTCGGACAACCTTGTTAGGCCCTTCCATGGTCGTGTCAGCCCACGGCGCTTCCGTCCAATCCTCTGCCGCACTCCCTGGACACCCGTACACCCAAGGCGGGTCGACCTAAGTGGATCTACTGCTGAGTTGGCGTTCCGTCTTGGACCAATCTTGGTACGTCCTCTGCTCGTCCGCTGTCCCATTCGGCCTCTTCTGCCACGCTCTCAATCTAATCCTGTGTGCCGTCCTGCAGCCTCTAGTCTCGACTCACTCACGCACACCCCCCCCTTTGGCCTCCGTTGGCCTCCATTGGCCTGACCAAAGCTTTTTTCTCTCTCTTTCCCTTCTGCTCTCACATACCCGGCCACATCTGTGACGATTGCATGGCCTATCTGCTTGCGGTACCTACGTCCAACAGGATAGCCAGTCAAGGTTGAAGACAGGCGTGTTCGCTATCGATCCCCCCCCACGATTCTGTGAATGTGCCCTCTGTTCTCCTCCCTCCCCCCCTCTTTCTCTCTCTCCTCTCCTCTCTCTTCTAGATCTCCTTCCAACCTATCTCCGTCCCGCCAATTCGGCTCCCTCCACGATCCTCCCGATGATATTCTTCAACTCGCTATTGCGTATATCGTTATTTGAGGTCTAGACATCGATTCGCTTTTGAGACTTTTTTGATCTAGGCTCATCAACTGCCTGATACCCGTCGCGCCACAGGTCACCCTTGCTTGTCGGATCCACAGCTAATTAAAATCCGCTGCCCCGACCAAGGTGAGTTCATAGTCCCATCCTCGCCGTGTCTCCCATTCGCTATGCTCCCCGGGAAGTGGGAGAGAAGTAGATCCTCTTCCCAAACGAACCTACATTATCAGTCACCGCCTCCGTTGCGCCTCTCCGCTGACATCGAAAGGGTAGACAGAGCGCCTGGCCCAGCGACCACGAACGAGGAAGCAAACGAACGCATTCAACCCCATCGGCCGACATGGCCAAGCCCACGCACTTCGCGGCCAACGCTGAGCCGCTACAGATATTCCAGGATGACTACTTTGACCAGCAGGCGCCATCCATCAGTCGAGCCCCGATGCCCTCCGTCGGCAAGCAATCGTCCCCCCGCCGGGCCCTGCAGAGCGCGAATGGAAATGTGGTCTTCAACCCACCGAATGGAGGCGAAAAGCAGCACTCACCGTTCAAGGCGACTGGGCGTGCCTCCGCCTCTCCCATGACTCCTCTCGGGTCCTCCCACGGCAATAAACTCAATGCCGTATCCATACTGCCCCCAACCTCTCATGGGCAGACGACAGATTCGATGCAGAAGAAGCAACCGTTGATGTCGCGATTCAAGACGGTCGCTCAGAAGCCAACGGTGGACGGGAACGCGAATTTCGGCAAGGAAAATATCCATCCGACGTTGTATCCAGCGCCGCCGACCTACAATCTGAATCTCGACAACATTCACTACCAGAGCGCACCGCCTCGGAAGCGCGCACTGCTCGAGGCTACTATGAGCCAGGACTCGAAGCCGGGAACGAAGGCGCCGAAGCTCGAGGAGTCGCTGCTGCCGCCCCCGGATTCGTTCCCCCCCATTGTCGACGATGGGACGAAGCCTGGTCACAGCTACGCCCAACTCATCGGCATGGCCATCCTGCGCGCCCCTCAGAGGCGACTCACTCTCTCCCAGATCTACAAGTGGATTTCGGACAACTATTCCTTCTACCGCGCGAACGATGCCGGCTGGCAGAACAGCATCCGGCACAACCTCTCTCTGAACAAGGCATTTATCAAACAGGAGCGGCCGAAGGACGATCCCGGAAAGGGTAATTATTGGGCCATAGAGCCCGGCATGGAGCAGCAATTCATGAAGGAGAAGCCGAGCCGGAAGTCGACGGCTACGATAGAGAACACGCCTTTCATGTCCAGTCGTATCGAGCCTGCGCATCCCGAGCCAGTCTCTTTCCCGGATGGGCTCCCATCGCTCCCCCCTGTGCTACCAGCGCAACCGCATCCCTACAACCATGAGTTGATGCCGCCACTCGTCGCAGCCCAGCCCGCTCCTGAGGTGTCGTCTGACGCTACCATTCCTCTCTCTGACAACACCGCCCCGGAGGAGCAAGCCGACAGGACCCACGAGCAAGACCTACCTGTGGAGAGTGGCACGTATTCGCCCCACCCTGCCATGCACTCGTCTCCTCCGATTCCTCGCCACTTGGGAGCGTGCAGCAACACACCTCCTCCTATTAAGAGAGATCCTCCCTCGTCCATTGTCCGTCAGCGCAACCACAAGCGCAAGCATGCCTCTATAGATGCGTCTATAGACGACAGCGGGTACATTTCATCTCTCGAGTCCTCAGTGATGCGTCCTAACAAGGGTAGTCGCCTGCTCAGCTCGGGCACAGACCGCCCTCGGATCAAGCGAGGACGGGCCGAAGAGGAGATTGCTCGCCTCCGTGCCTCATCTTACGACAGCCCTACCAAAAGCCGCTCACATGACTACGCCCCCCCGTCCTCCTCGCCGTTGCGACAGGCCACCGACGCCAGCCACAGGCTGCCACCCTTGACGCCAGCTGTCAAGATGAAGCCGCCCCCTAAGCCTCCGGCCTCGGTCTCGCCTAACACTAACCTCCGTATTCACCGAGACAACGTACGGCACATGCTCAACTCGCCTCTCCGTCGTGTGAGCAACATGGAAGACATGATCCCGTGGAGCCCGGCATTCGCTATGGACGACCAACTGTTCAACTTCAACGATTACATCACCGACCCGTCCGATTTTGACATCTACCAAGACCCCAGCTTAGATTCCTTCTTCTCGGCTGCGGACAACGGCTCGCCCCTGAAGCGCTCGGCTAAGAGGATGCGCTTGGATAGGTCTGTTTCGGCTAGTGCCCTGTGTGAAATCACCAACTCGGTTCCTAAGCGGTCCATCACGTCGGCCCCTCTGCTGAAGGCCCCCGCCTCGTCGCTGTCCCTGCCGTACGATACGCCAAGCAAGGTCTTCGAGGACATGTCCCCTCCCAGCAAACTCGTCTTGGAATCGCCCATGAAGAACACGCCCTCCAAGGGCGACTGGACGGGCCTCGAGGAGTTCTGCACGGCGCAGTTCTTCGACGACGACGGGGACGACGGCGCGGGCCTAGACATCCTCCAGGGCTTCGAGAGGATTGGTGGTAGCCAGCAGGGCGGCATCGGCGGCGGTGCATCTGCGTCTTCCAAATCCTCGAAGCCGGCGCTGGGCCGTAGCTATACGACTGCCTTCTAAGATGTCCTGCTCGGCTCACGGCGTACCGTGGACTTCCCGTCCCACGATGATGATGATTACGACTAATGACCGCATTGCACCGCTTGCCCCTTTACCGACGCCCTCGACACGGCGATTGTCGAGGACCGTCCTCTCCATACGACGACTATAGACCTACCAACCTACCTTCTCGCCTCACGGCCTTCTTGTCTAGTGTTTGGAATCGTAATGACGCCACGTGCCTCGGGTTACACAACACCACCACCACCCGGAGCTATGCCTCCTAAATGAGATCTGGAATGTCTTTCCTTCTCTTCTCTCATTTTTACCGACTCGTATTTGGACGTACCGTGCGGCGACAGGCTACCCCGTCGTACCTAGATTAACCGCACGCGCGTTTTTGCTCTTGTTTTATTTTTTCCCTTTTCCGTTACAAACTCTCTAATCCCGAGGCATACGGCACAGGAAGGGGGGGAGGCATACGAGAAGGCGTTGGTCGGACGAGAAAGGGGGGAAGGGGGGGGGGAAAGGCTGTGCGTTCTTTGAAAGGGAAAGGCGACGAGAGCAATCACCCGGAAATGTACGAGGTTTCGAACCTCCGGAAGGCAAATGGAGGTGAGGGAAAGGAGGGGGAGACGAAGGTAGTCCCCCTGGGGAAGGGGAAAGGAAGGGAAGGCTTCTACGGAGTTTTTTTGTGAGGAACCCAACAATCCTTTCTTGAGCCGGATGGATAAACCCGCTCTCGCGGCGATATTTTTTGTAGGAGTTATTTTTTTGTTACCCTCCCTCCCGCTCGCGTCCGTATCGTACGGGTGCGAGGCGCTGAGGGATGGAGAAGTCCGTCTCGCGCGCAAGCGTTGAGTAACGCTCTCGCGCTCGCGAGTACGCGCGGACACCCGCAGACGAGGCAGACGGTCGTCAGGGAGTCGGAACGGCTCGCGCTCTAGTTTATTTTTCCTTTTCGCCGTTCGTACCCGCTCATACGTACCCGCTACACAAATATGAACGCACTCTGCCCAACTCCATCTGCCGCTCGTGTGATGCGTCCCCGCGTGAGAGGTTAAGTAGTAGTGTGACGTCCTCGGGGCGTGTTCCTGACGGGATGGGTCGTAGCCGGGATGAGACACGGCGAAGTAGGAGGGTTAAGTTCGCCCGAGGCCGGACACGTGGGTCTCTCGGGGCGTTGAGAGAACGCGGGGTCTGCCCTCGCCGCGTAGCACCAGCGAGCACGGCATGGCATGTATACCTAGCACGACGTACATCTCGCCGCCTTCATCTGCGTTATCACCGCCGCCGACGACCCTTGGTGGTAGAGCAGAGCAGAGCAGGACAGAACAAGATAGCAGGGGGTATCATTTTTAGTTTCCATTATCCACGTACGCTACGTAACGTACGTGTACGCATCTAAGCATGCGAGGGTTTCCAGTCGGGGGCGCGGGAGGAATTAAAACACCAAACAGTAGAAACCCCGAAACCCAGACCAGACCAGACCAGGCCGACGGCTCCCCTGCCTACCACCGCGGGACGGGGCGAGGCCAAAGAAAGTAGGGAGCCGGAGCGGAAGAGAGCGACAGAGGAAGGAAAAGGGTAAAGAACCAGAGGAAAAAAAAGGGGGGGGGGACTCCGTGAAGAAACTAGCTCTATCATAGCAGGGCGGAAATAGATCGAATTTCCTGGCCTCTCCCAAACCCATGCCTTTCCGACCGACCCGAGATATATGCGTCCGAACGCCACCGTCGCCACCGGAATTATGATTGCTTTTCTTTCCTTCTCCCCGTCGCCGCTATCGTCCCTTCGCGTGCTAATTACCGAGAGCGGCGATGCGCCCGTCTCCCCTCCCTCCGCCGTCCGCCTTGCCCTCGCTGGCGTCGGCCACGCAGGGCGGCTCAGGTTCGCGTGCCCGCTTTGTCCACTCCCGTCGCCAATCCCCTCCCCTCTTTGCAAGTGCGGCGCACCGTGTTACCATGCGGTCGAGGGCGAGGGAGGCTCCCAGCCGCCGCGGCACCTGAGGCTAGTAGATGCCGATGCGGGTGGCCCATCCGGCGTCCTTGCTGTTTACGTTGATCTGGTAGGGGAAGGGGTTGGCGTCGCTGGTGGTGATGGGCGGGATGTGGTCCTTGTGCGAGTTGACGCTTGTCACGATCTTCATGGCCGTCGTCAGGAGGGTCTGTTCCATGGCCTGGCGGACTTTGGCTCGTTCTGCGAATGCGGTTTTGGGCCCATGTTAGCGCTAGCCGCGATGAGTGCACCCGTCATCGTCGCTCTTCTGTGGCTTCTAGGGCTACCTGGCAACACCGACCAGAAAGAGGGGTGAGGAAGAGAAATAGGGGTTGGAAAGGGGTTTCGGCGACATACCACTGTCTGTGCGTGGCTCGGCGACGGTGACCTTCACGGTCCAACTTTCCCAACAGACCTCCTCGTCGCCGCCGCCGTAGGCTGCCCGCATATACCAAGCCTTGCGTCGTTTCTTCTCGAAGAACTGGACTTGGATGTTACCGCGCCCGCCGCTGACTCCGCTGCCACCACTGCTGGCGTTATTGGCGCGTGCCCGGGCCTGTTGGATGTGCGAGTGCGGATGCGACGAGGGGTGGGAGCGCTCGGCGTCGAGCTCGCGCGCCAGCTCGGCGGTGCGCTTCTCGATCATGGTGTCAAGTTCGGCGTCTTCGACGTACGGCAAGGTGATGTCGAGGACTTCGCGCGAGTGCGGTGTCAGCGACGGGAAGAATCGGTGGAAGAATATGGTGTGTAGAATGCCTGTGAGGTTTTTTTTTCCCCATGCGTTAGCTTTTACATGCGTTGACCGTCATCACACTTGCCCAACCAGGCAGAGCAGCAGGAGACTCGCGGATATAGGAGATGTGCTAGACAGGTCTGCTTCGTGATAGGCAGCAGCGACGCGGTAGCGAAGCCGATGGCGGCGACGACGCGGACGGCGGCGACAGCGATGGGGTCCGAAACGATGGATGACGCGGGGCATGTAAGTGATGGGGGATGGATTGGCGGACTGATTGGTGGCTGCGAACACGTTCACCAATAACATACCTCGCACCACATCGCGTACAGACGCTGGGTCGGCAAAGGCTTCGAGGATGAACTCTTGCGGCGTCTGTTTCTCCATCGTAAGCCGGCGAGCTGATTGTGGTCTGGCCTCGAGTCTCGGTGTGGAGTGCGTGGTCTGGTGTGGAGGATAGGGGATGGTTCGCTTTTGATTCTTGATTGACGGTGCTCAGGAAAGTGTCTGTTTTGTCGGCCTGCCCAAGGTCATGTAGGCAGATGCGCCGGCGCGACGGATGGGGATATGTAAGCTGGTAAGCTGTTGGTAGGTCCTAGCGACGAGACCTGATGATGATGGAGGGGTCCTGTGCCCCCGTCTCGAAGGGGGCTGGAGGAGGAGGAGGAGGGGGGGGGAGGGCGGAGCGCGGCGGCTTTGCTGAGAAGGTGGGGTGTCCCGAGAGCTCCCTCGTCTGTCTCCTCCTTTCTACAGTCAGTACAACGGAACAGCGACGGATCGAGCCGGACACACATGTACCGATGCCTCTTCCCCTCCTTCTCACGGGGCTGTCCTCTCGTATCAGGCGCCAACCCTCGCCCCCTGTACCTAACCTAATCCGCCTGTGCACATAATGAGTGCACTGCCTTATGTACCTTACCTTAGGTGCCTCAGGTACCCAACTTCCACTATGCCCACCACGCTCAGGCACCTTATCGGCTGCTATCGAGTGCCCAAGGTGCGAGGTGGGATGGAAGCGCTCTTCGCTCCCTCTCTCTCTCTCGCGCCGAACTTGGCTGAAAGCAGAGAAGAGAAATATTATGGCGTCATACTTTACCCATTCCCGTTAGCGCTGTGCTCTCGTCCGCCCTCCACAACCCGTTATGAATATATCCCCTTTACTGCCGGACTACGGTGCGGTGTCGACGTAGATACGACGCCCGGCCTCGGCCTGGCTATACCTCATCAGTGCTGTCCGCACAAGATCGCGTCCCAACGCGGTCCCCAGCCCGGCAAGTAGCGTGTCTGGGCCGAAGTACCTATCAGAGGCTCCCGCTCCGTCAGGTACCGGTCATCGGTAATAGCAGATATGCGGGCGTGATGCTCGAGATACATACAGACGACGGAGTACCCGGGGTAGGCAGGAGGTACCTCTTAAAGCCTAACATTATACATGACCTCCTACATGTACCTTCTGTTGTACCGCGTGGGAATACGTCGCGTTTCGTTTGATAAGATAACGCCTACAGCCGTAGTGGCGGTAATCAGGCGTAGCATGGGTACCTAGGTACCTAGGTACGCCCAAAGGGTACATATACATAAGTACATGTACATAGGTACATACATCGGTACATAAGTGACAATTTCGTTTGGCCGAGGCTCGTCGACTTGACTGGCTGGCCGCGATATCTCAGAGCCTCCTTGTGTCGAGCTCCCGAGTCACACCCTATTCCCCTACTCTCATTCCCCTAACCCCCCCCTTCGGCCCCGATCACGTTCGCTTCCTTTCTACCACGAGCAGGAGGCGCAGTCATCCTGTCTTCCTGCGGCTTCGGGGAGCAACATGATATCCGCCACGCGGCAATGGTTCCGCCGCAATAGGACCCCCTTGGCTATCGGGGCCGGTGTCGTTGGCGTCGGCTACCTAGCCACCCAATATGTCCTCAACAAGATAAACAATGCGCGCGAGCGCATGAGCAGCGACCGGATCGCGAAAGAAAAGTAAGATGCCCGACGTTCTTTTCATGACGAAACCCGTCACTCGTCTGTGGTACCCGTCGGTCGGTTCGAGAAGCATGCTAAACAACGTCCCGTGCATACAGTCTGCGCCGGCGATTCGAGCAGAATCAAGAGGACTGCACCTTCACGGTCCTGGCGCTGCTGCCGACCGCCACCACGAATATCCTCGAGACGATGAACACCGAAAAAATCACCCTAGAGATTCAGCAGATGAAAGGTGGCACGAAGAATCTGCGGGGTAGTGGGGAGTCGTCCGGTGCACCGCCTAGTATTGCCGACACGAATATGACCGAAGAGGAAGGGAAGAGCACAGCGAGTTTGCAAAGCGAGAGCGGCGTTCACGCGAGCCAGATGACATTACCGCCCGCCTCTAGCCCGGCCGATGGTGCTCCATCCCAAACCCAAGAAGGTGGCTCGGATGCCGGGCAAGCTGCCCCCAAGCCGAAAAAGACGAAAAGACAACTCTGGGATGATCTAACAATAAGCTGTAAGTACCCTCCCGCCCGCTCACTACACGTCTTGGCCGGCGCCTTTCTTCCTCCGATGTGCTAAACGATACTGCTCTGCTACAGCTATAACGCGCTCCTTCACGCTTCTCTACACCCTAGCCCTCCTTACCATGCTCACCCGAATCCAACTGAACCTCCTCGGCCGACGGAGTTACCTGTCCAGCGTCGTGTCGCTGGCCACGGGAGCAGCACAGTCGACCATAAGCATGGAGAATCACGACGATGACAACCAGGAGCAGGCCTACGGAAGCGACTTTGAGACCAACAGGAAGTACCTGACCTTCAGCTGGTGGCTGTTAAACCGTGGCTGGGTCGAGATCATGGAGAATGTCGAGAATGCTGTCCGGGAAGTCTTCGGACACCTGAGCCCGCGCGACCTCTTGAGCTTCGATACCTTCTCGCAGCTCACGGTCGAGGTGCGGAGGAAGATGGAGCGCAAGTCGGAGGCAGACGCTGCCAGCGGGAGACCGGGCGCCAGGTGGCTGCCATACCTGTTACCCCCTGTCAAGATGGAGGATTTCGTCCTGAGGGAATCGGGTGTCCTGGGAGACAGTGCTGCGGCTACCACCCAAACAGAAAGTGAGGCATCCGCGGCGTCGTCGGTGGCTCTCCGTCGCCTCCTCGACGAGACTTCCGACCTGATCGAGTCCCCCGCCTTCACTCACGTCCTCGGCCTGCTCCTCGATGCCGGCTTCTCGACGCTCCTATACCACAAGGTGTTGCAGGGCGCCTTCGAGCACCCCACGACCGCATCCTCCTTCATCATGACGCCGGAGTCGTCGGCCATCATCGAGCTCACGTCCGACGCGGGGTCGAGCAAGTCGAGGGCCGTCCTGCTACCCAAGATCCTGTCAGTGCTGACGCGGCAGGCCCACGCGATCGGCAACGGCATGCCCAACGAGTATCTGCAGGGCATGGAGCAGGTGCGGGACCTCGAGGCCTTTGCGGCCGTCGTGTATTCGAGCAACTGGGAGAACGAGATCCAGGACGAGGGGCTCGCCGCCGCCGCCGCCCGGCTCACCGCGACGGGGACCGGCCTGGCGTCGACGGACGAGACCACGGTCGCCTCTCTCGGCGCCGACGACAGCACCATCGTCGCGCAGAACTCGCGCGCCCCCTCCGCCCTCGGCACCGGCGACGGTGGAAGCGTCGTCATAGTCGACCCGGTGCCGACGCAGGGCTCGTGGGAGAGCGCGTGGGAGAGGGCTGTCGAGGAGCGGAGGTGAGCGAGACTCTGAGCCGTCGGAGGTTGAGAGGACGAGGCCAGAGGCGGCAAGTCAAATAATGAAACCAAGACTTGGCCCCCCACTTCTCTCTTGGTGTTTTCCATAGGAACAACGGAACCCCCCCACCCCCCTTTTCACCACCTAGGTTTTCTCTCCCTTATGAAGTTTTTAGCATAGCACGGGAAAAAAAGACCGGACGACGGAGAAAGCTGCCTACGGCCAGGGAGTTCGGGAATGATTGAGGATCTATTATGCGTGTGCATCGTACCGCACTGCCACCTACCACCATCGATACCGCCGCCGCCAACCACGTCCCACTACCGCTATTTCTTATCATCTACATCTACTTTCTTCTACCATTTTCAACTTCTACCTCGGGGCACGAGAGAAAAAAAGCGAAAATATGTACACAGGGTTCCTTTACGCGAGTAATAACGGGTTTTCATTCTTGTTTTGGGGTCACTTCGTATCCCGCTACCTGTACGCGACACGAGACGAGAGATACGAGGGGATGAGCTGGAGCGGGAGGGGGGTGCGGAAGGGCAGGGTGGTTGGAGGAGAGGAGACGGCATCGACGTGCGTGCGGGAGCCGTCTGGTTAATACGGCGTGTTGCTTAGTTGGTTGGATGAACGGGTAGGCGGATGGATAGGAGAGGATAGGGCTGGTCTGTGGCTAATGGGGAGGGAAAGGGAGAGACGAAAGCGCCGAGCCCAGCATAGAAACAGAAGACAGAGAGCGGGACACGCAAAGTCGGGGCACGTATGTACCAGTATGTATTCGTGGGTATCGTACAGCATCAGGGGATTATGAACATTATCGAAGCTGGACTTCGCTTTTGGCGCGCCTGGCTTCACCGCGTCCTTGACCTTACTCTTCCCCTATAAAGCGGGCCCCGAGTCAGGAACCGTCTCCATCCGGCTCTAGTTTCCCAGCCCTGCTCTATCTCGCGCGCCGCCGCGCTGTCGGCGCGTCACCCCGCCACCCGGGGGCCCGGCACGGCGCGGACCCCGGCCGCTTAGTCGTCCCAACCTCTGCAATCGCTCTCTTCCTCCCCCTCTACGTCGCCCCGCCCGGCCCCGCGCGCGTCCATGAGTACTGATGACCGCGGCTACACTCTACGGGCCAGGACCAACCTGAGATCCGAGGGGAGACGTCCCTGTCGCGGAACGAGACTCCGACTTGAGAAGAGGGGCTCTCTCGCTCGCGCGCCTGCTTTTTGCCGAGGGCCTCGCTCGCTCGCTCGCTCGCTCGAACGCAGTTCTTTGTTGCGCGAGGGCGATGCGTAGCTACGGATCGCCTCCCTTCCCTCGCCCGTCACTCACATGAGCCCTCGTATGAACTTGTCGAGCCCCATCTCGAACATCTCGTTGCGGACGCCCTCGCCGCCCTTGTGCTCGACGGGCGAGAGCGGATTCTTGACCACTAGCAGTGGGGGGGAGCAGGGGGCACGGAGGTCAGCGGCAGTCCGGGCACTCGTCTGACCCACAGGGGATGGGGAAAAAGCGAGGGCAAAGAGGTAAGGCGAACAACTCACCGTACTCGACCCAGAGGTTGATGTAGATCTGGTGGAGGACGTTGCGCATGCTGAGGGCGCCGGGCTCGGTCAGCATGGCGAAGCGCAGGTTGGTCGGGGTCTCGTAGTAGTGGAGCTTGTAGTGGGCGGTGCGGAAGGAGATGAAGGCGTCGTCGTCGCCGCCGAGCTTGCGCACCATGTTGCGCAGGCTAAAGACGGTGCCGAAGATGAGCTTCGCGTCGTCCTTCTCGGCCCGGCCCCGCGCGAGCTGCTGCTTGAGCTGCTGCTGGTAGAGCTGCTGCTGCTGCTGGTTCGAGGCAGAGGACGAGGTGGGGGGGTTCGCGGCGGCAGCGGGATTCGGCGCTGGCCCGGGGGCCGAGCCCGGGGAGAGGGTAGACCCGGGAGCTGGCTGTTGCGACTGCGGGCGCGACGGAGGGGGCGATATGAGATTGGACGCCGGGCGTGGCACCCATAGCTTCGAGTATACGCACTCGGCTGCGGCGAGTCAGCTAGGAGGCCCCCCACGACGGACATACACGCGTACGGAATATGGATGGATGGACCGAGGGCAGGGTGAGGCTCACTATGGCGGTCGAAGATGTAGAAAGAATAGACCTGTATAGGCATGGCTGCGACCTCAGCTAGAATGACGGGTCCGGCGGCGCAACTTGCATGTCTTGGGGTCAACGGCGGATGAATTGGCCGGGTTGCCGTTCGTGCTGCGGTCCCCTTATCGAGAATTGGAGGGTTTGGCTACCCGGGGCCGGGCCGGGTTGGGCTAGGCGTGTGGGCGAAATACGACGTAATGCGTGGGAGACGATAGACAGGAAGGCTGACTGGGCCGCCGAGGGATCAGCTTGGGAAGCTTTTCTAGAAAGAGACGCAAGGCTGCAGAAAAGCGCCAACGGGGTTCGCTAAAAATAACGGACGGCAAGTCGGCACAGATACAGACGCGACATCGCTATGAATAAGCACCTGAGGTACGTATTGTGTACATGCGCACGACCCAAGCAACGCCTTAAGACGTATCTGAGCCAATCATCGATTCTGGCGGCCATGGAGCCAGGGACCTCGTCCGGACCACACGCACGTGCCGGGGTATATCCTAGGTACCTCTACATATTGTGCTAGAAGTAGGTACCTACCTGTAGTGACTGCGCGCCGGCCGCCTCCTAAAAGTTCGATATCGTTAGATCAGGCACTCCCTCTCCGGTGTATCTGCCATATACTTACGCCGTATGAGTATACCCACACAGTTAATCTCCTAAAGTGTGCAGCGTGTTGCCTTACGTACAAGAGCGAACCTCCAACAACGAAACCTCCTAGGAGGTAGGTACCTGGGTACCTAGGTACGTGACGATAGTGCCATGTGCCCATATAACACGCCACCACCAGGTACGGCTCTTTCCCAGGATACCTCGGCGCTCTAGGCCCGTTAGCGGGCGGTGGTGAGGCCCTAGCCTTAGAGTAAGGCTACGACTGCGCCAGTCATATACCTACGAGATCACAGAGTACCTAGGTACCTACCTGTATGTTGGGCACACCTTGAGTTTCTAGAGACCCTACCAGGTTACCTAAATTCGGCGAGTTGACTGACAGCCCTCTGCCATCACGCAGGTATACCGATCTCTATGAGTATGAGTACAGCTGCCTGCCTTCACCTTGGATAGACTCCTTCGCGTTCCCCTGATTGGATAATACGGGGAAACATGCCGCCCGTCGTTACAAATCTCGTGGCCCATTACCGGATTTTTTTTTCAGCGCCAGGGATGTTTTTTTTTTTCTTCCCTTGTTCTTCCAGTTCCTATTCTTCTTCGCCCTCTGTGGGTTTATAGTGTCCGGATCGGCATACAGGCTAGTCATCAAGAGGCAGCGCAGAGCCCTTAAACTATAGGCGTCTTCCCTGCACCAGCGGCGGGACATCGCATTGTGTGAGCAGGGATGGTCCAGGCGGTAGGTAGTCTGTTTCGGCCAATGGCGGCGTCCGAGGCGCCGGTGTGATGCTGTTAGGCTGAACCTCATCGTAGGCGTGTGTACCCATCCACGTACGTTACGTTGCCAGGGTAGATACATGGAAAATACATGCTGCCTACACGGCAGCTGTACGTACCACGAGGGAAGAACAGGACGAGGTGAGGAGGAAGCTGGGAGGAGGAGCGGACAAGAGAGGGTAATGAGGGAAGCGGACGACGGACTGGGTTCTGCGAGCCGGTTAACTCGGATTGCTCGTGTATATACCCCGTACCCGTCTTGTACCCAATAGGATATCCCGCCTACGTATACAAGCAGGTAATACCTGCCTACCGCCTGTGCTACGAGCTTAGACACCACGAGGTTAGGTGCCTAAGGTACCTTTGGTAGTGGACCGATAGGCTACTGCGCAAGCAACCTGGTAGTCGAGTTAGGTGGAGGAGGTACCTAGGTAGGTGGGTAGGTACATACCAACACATCGTCTAGGTACCTTAGGTACCTAAACCTACCACCTATCTTATGTACCCGCCGAAGGCATGGAACATCAATGCATTCACCTTTCTCATTTCTACACTTCCAATCGACCTCCTCCAACCCAGTCGTTTCTTTCTCCTCTTGTCTAACGTTGGACTAGACCAGCTGTTCTGTTCCTCGTCTGTTTCCTGGCATCTCCTTATATATGCCCGTCAGCCATATCTCCCGTGTGACCTTGAGAGGCAACCACTTTGCCCAGAAATCTGACATCCTCTTCTGACGCGGGGCTCTCAAGGCACGAGAGGAAGTAGAAATTCCCCTCGATATTTACTTACTATCCCCCACGATGGAGTCGGTGTCGACCGCCACCGAGGCCGCACCAGAGAAGCTGATCGAATCGAGAATCAGGGCGCAAACCTTCGACGATGCGCGGAGGTCGCCTCAGTCGCCGCGGATCACCGTCCACCAGGTCATTGATGCGCCAGAGCGGCCCTCATATGCCCCTCTTATGTGAGTGAGCCCAGCGATGAACAACGAGGAAAGATGACTCTCGCGTTCGCCCTGCCTGTTCCTTGGCCGCATTATCCTATAGTTTGTCGTAGCTATACTATGTATAAGACCGCCTATGTGCTTAAGCCAATATCCGTATCGTCTAGGTCTGCGCCGCCCACTGTTCTTCACTTCCAAAGCCCCATGAGGCATCATAGAAGAACCCCCTCCCAGCATCGCGAGGTGAAAGAAACACTCAATGCCAAGACTGAGTATACGAACGACGAGACGGATGGGAGGTCCCAGCAGGTCATCAACCAGTACACCATCCACGAGGAGATCGGCAGGGGCTCTTATGGCGCCGTGCACCTGGCTACCGACCAGTTCGGCACCGAATATGTAAGCTTATGGTCGCCAGTCTCCGAGGTCGCTACGGCGGAATTAATCATATTTTCTGTAGGCTATTAAAGAATTCTCAAAGCTACGCCTTCATAAGCGTGCTCAATCCAACATCCTACGAAGACCAGAAGGTGGCAGGTCGCGACAGCTTCCTCCGGGGCGAAGCCTCTGGAACACCCACAGGAAGCAACTCAGCCATCAGGATGAAGCCGAAGCGAAGGATGCCCTGTTCCTGATACGGGAGGAGATTGCTATCATGAAAAAGCTCAACCACCCAAATCTGGTGCAACTGATCGAAGTTCTTGACGACCCGGATAATGACTCCTTGTACATGGTGCTAGAGATGTGCAAGAAAGGCGTAGTCATGAAGGTCGGCTTAGACGAGTCGGCAGTCCCCTACGACGATGAACGCTGCCGTCACTGGTTTCGGGACCTGATATTGGGCATAGAATATCGTAGGTTCCCATCAAGACGCCATGTCACTTCATACGTGCTGAGAGAACCCCCACAGTCCATTCCCAAGGCGTCGTACATCGGGACATCAAACCGGACAACCTCCTGCTCACGGAGGATGATGTGCTGAAGATAGTCGATTTTGGAGTGTCTGAGATGTTCGACAAACCAGACCGCATGATGACCAGCAAGTCTGCTGGTTCTCCGGCCTTCTTGCCGCCTGAACTATGCCAGGCTAAGCACGGCGACGTTTCCGGCAAAGCAGCAGATGTGTGGTCGATGGGGGTCTCTCTATACTGCCTCAAATACGGAAAGCTACCATTTCGAGGGGCCAACGTACTCGACATGTATGAAGCCATTCGTACACAAGAAGTTCAGATACCTCCCGACGAAGACAAAGACTTTGCGGATCTCATCACCAGGATACTGGACAAGAACAGCGAGACGAGGCTGACGCTTCGAGAGATCAGAGTAAGTCGTGTGTCGCGTTGTCCTGCAGGAAAGCCGAGGCTAACCTGGATAGAACCACCCCTGGGTTACGAAAGGGGGTACCGATCCACTGCTTTCGGAGGAAGAGAACTGTGTAGACGAGGTGGAACCGCCGAACGCATTAGAAGTTAACCACGCAATCACACTAAAAATGGATCACTTATTCTGTGTGGTATTTTATCCTCTTCTTCTCCTCCTCCAATGCGCCCCGCTAACATTCGATGTAGTTGAGGGCAATCCAACGATTCAAGGGTCTCATCTCCAAGAGCAGAGTCGCGACGCCCGACGTCCAAACGCCACGAACACTTCACGAGCAACCACTCCCGGAAACGGCGGTCACCGCGCAAATCTCGGACGTGCTCGCAACGCCGACCCCGGATCCACAGGTTAGTAAGACAGCATCTCAAAGGTCGATCTCGGAGGAGGCAGTTGAGCTCGTCCAGTTACGGAGGGCATTCCTCGCCGCGCAACGAGAGGGGTCGAGCAAGGTCCAGCCTTCCCCTGCTACAGAAGATAGAGGCAACCTCCCCGATTCGACAGACAAGAGCCCGCCCTTCCTGGGCGTCGGCACGGGCGGGCGCGACGACTTCGCCTCCTCGGAGCCCCCGGCTGACGTGGTGTCCGATTCGCCCACCGGCATCGACTTTGACGTCTATGACCGCGCTTTCGAAACTGAAATCAAACGCATCCGCTCCGATAAGAAAAAAGGACATGCCAAGACATATCTCACCAGACTGGTAGGCGAGCAAGAGAGAGACAAGTACGTCGGCGACGAGCGCATGGTGCTAGAAGCTGGAAAGCCCCTGGCTCCCAGCGCATACTCTCATGGGTCTTCGGCTATGTTGTCAGGGTTGAACTACATATACGAGACGAGCCACAGCTTGCATCACGACGCCACCAAGGGAGAAAAGTTCGATGTCGACACGCAGAGAGGCCAAGGCCAAGGCGGCATCAGAAGGGCCGCGGGAGCAATCGAGGAAAAGACGCACAAATTTGCAGACCTCGTTACGGCCGTGACGAAGGACCTAAAGCAAAGGAATACGAACTAAAGGTGGCGCAAAGTGAGCGGAAGGGCACGTCTCCGAAATAGATTGGAGGACCTGAATCGGCCCTGAGAAAAGGGAGGGAGAGGGGCTACCGTTTTCGAACGAGCCGTGATACATGGGGGTGCGCCATTTACCGAACCCGGTTTGGAGGGGAACCTGTCCACTCAAGCCACGGGAGAGAATACTAACTAATACGAAGCAAGACGATTAAAAATCAGGCGAGCGGTTTTTTTTCCCCCTAGCTATTTTTAGGGCTACGAGAGAGGCAGACGAGGAAAGTAATTGCGCATATTCGAAACTTGGATAGTAGTTCTCTTATATCGCACGGGATGCGCAGGTCGCGAGATCGAGATATCTAAGTAAATCGAGGGGGAGATTGGGCGTGTAAGCCATTCAGCCTCCACTCTCTCTCTTGCTCTCCACGGATCATCCAATACCAGGACGTAAAAGGGAACGAAGGGAGGACGAGGGAAAAAGTGACAGATCGAGTTATCGAGCCTTGTCCAGTGATGTTGCCCTCGCGAGCAGCCATCCGAAAGAAGATACCTACACGGCAACGTACGAATTGAGAGGGAAAGGAGATCGATAAGCGGCAGAATGGAGCGGTGGTATGAAGAAGAAGGGAATATGTCGGAATTGCGCCAACTTGCTGTTATGATTACTCTTCTTGTAATGGTTTCTTCTCCGTCCTGGCCGACCTACCCTGCCCGTACCCCTATTCCCTCGTCCCATGCTGCCACGTCGAGGACGGCGGCCGCGTCAGGAGAGGCCCAGCCGGGTCGGCCAAAGACCCTTCTCGAACACATATGGCCAAGGTACGTGCGTGTCTGTATATACCTATATGCGCGCACGCGCGAGGGATACCACCACCTACCTCCCCGGAGCGGGCCGCAGCGGAAACGGAGGAATGGGGAGCTGCCTCTCTCGGCTTCTGATGGGTCTAACGAAACCTCTTTCGCTATCTGTCCCTCCTCGCCCGTATTTCTCCCGAAGAGCATAGGAAGAAGATGTGAGTGGTGGGAGAGGCGTCGACGGAAATCGACGCGTCACTTTCTGTCCTCCTTCATTGTTCCCGCCCGCTTCACTCTTTTGCTGTGTTTGGGGGGGGGGGGGGGGGGGGGGCAAGGATGGGCGGACGGCTGTTTACCTGTCCATCTATCTATCTGCATCACGTACATTGTGTGTGCGAGAACTTACATGCGCAACGGACGTTATGTAGGTATGCAATGTATGTAATCCACGTACGCAGATTACATACATACCACACCTACATACAGATCTGATCACCGCACTTCCGCTTCGGGGCTCGGCTCGCCTGTCTAGACATACCTGCCTGCCTGCCTCACCTCCCGGTCGTTAACGGAGGTTATATATGCACGCACGCACACGCACACGTAGATGTGTGCGTATACGTATATACGCATGTATGCGTTGCTATGCGGGATGAGTGGGGGACGCCGGCGGGAGACGTGGGCGCGCTCTTTCACCGCAGCGCGAGGAAGGGCGAAGCCTTCCTCGCCGCGCCCGTGCTCGCGCCCGTGGTCGAGACACGACTCCTAATCAGGATTGCGGTGACACGGGGAGATCCGAACGAAAGGCGGAGAGACTGAGAGGAGAATATCGAAGGGCTAGGGTGAGAGCGGGAGAAGACACGGATGCCAGGATGAGAGGACGGGCGCGCAGACGACACGAGCCATAGAGACGGCGACGTCGCGGCCACGTGGGAAGGGGAGAGGTAGGGGAGGCGTGGGAGCGGGCTGCGGTTGGTTTCTCGGGCATTGCTGGGGGCGTTTTGTTGTCTCTGCTTCCGGCTGCGTACGGGCGTATGCTAAGTGACGGCGGCGGTAGTGACGGCTGCCGATGACAGCAGAACCAGGAGCGTGGAAAGACGGTGAAGGGGCCGTGCCTACAATCCTGGATTGGCGGCGGTTTACTACGCGCAGGCATATGCCGATAATACCGTAAACATACTTGGAGAGGCTGCCAGGTTCGGCAGATCTGCAGGTTGCGTGCGTAGACACAGGTAGTAACTACATGGGCGTGTGTTGATAGCGCTCGACCATGACCAACCTGTCAGCCGCCAGCCGACGCTGTGGATTGTCTTATCGTTGTCGTCGACGTCGTTAGTGGTTGATGTGTCCATGTTTCATAGACTCTGCACCTGTACGTATGTATATACAAGGCCCCATCCAGAGAAGAAGGCTTGGGTTGAGCAGGGGGGCAGGGGGTTCAGCATGTTGGTAGATATAGTACATACCAACACAACACAGGAGGAACGAGACGGGGGTTGGGAGGTTTCTCGATTGATACAGATTTAGGGGTTCCTGGTCTATCTATTTACATACCTACCTATCCGTATAACTAACCCAAGGCGTCGACCCGATCTCCCCATACGCGTCACCACACACCCCATATACCTACCTACCTACCTATTCAGAATATTACCTATAGGTAGGTTCTATGGAGAAAGAGAGATATTTTATATAACACCGCACTTGCTTACTCACATGGCAACTCTTCCGTGTCCCCTCTAACCTGACAGACTACTCACTAGCCTGGATAGAGACATCCGAGCCTAGCTGTCCCTGGGAGGACGGCGACGACGACAGGGGTGATGAACGGTGGACGGCCGAACCCCCTTCTTCTGGTCCTCGCTTGGCTCTAACCTCCGAACGAGCGGGAACCTCGTCTGGTGTTGATCCTGCGCGGCACGTCGCAACTGGACTCGCTGCCAGCTGCCCTTCTCCCCCTTCATCTCTCTCTCTCGTCTTCTATCCGTCCTCTCGAGCCGCCCAACCGGCGGTTACATCGATCCCGTATGCAACGCACGCTCGTCAACTGTCGTCACCAACAGACGGGCGTTCTCGTAGCATCTACCCCCCACCCCCTCCCCCTCTCTCGTCTCCTTCTCTCCTCTCTCCAGCCTGACCTGTCCGGTAGGCCGGAAGCTGTTTTGTCTGGACGCCAGCCAGCCAGCCAGCCATCCAGCCTACATGTGCATCCCCTCCTCCCCCATCCATCCATCCCTCCATCCCTCCATCCCTCCTCCACCAACCCATTCGCCCACCCACCACACCCCATCCCATCCGTCGATCCGCCCCATTCAGCGATCTGCCCACCTCCCACCCTCCCGCCTCTCCGCATATGTACCTATTCTGTCTACCTACCTAGGTATATCCAGGACGGGCAGCGCAGCCGGGCTAGCTAGCTAGCGACGATGCGGTGCCATCTCGCCTGATCACATACCTGACAGCAGCCACGGCGGCAGCATCGCCGGTCGCCAGCAAGCAACGGGGTAGGCAGGTATTCTCAGCCAACTGCCCTTCTCTCGCCACCACAACCACGCACCGCACGCGCGCGCCAGCAAGAGAGGGTTTGGCCCCGTCGACCTAGTCCTTGGTTTCCCGCTTCCCGGCTCGGCGCACATGTCTGAAAAGAGCTTGGCCTCGACGGCCTTGCCTGGCCCTTTAAGCGAGCGACGAAGGGGGGGGGGTGGTAGGATAGGGTAGGGTAGAGAGCCATACTTACACGCATTCGTCCGTCCATCCATGCCCCCCTCCCCCCCCCGCGCCCGTCCACCCCGCCCTCCCTTCTCTCCTACCTCCACACAGCTACGCACATTTCCCCATGCGGTCCCGTCCAGTCCTCGCCATCTTCGGCTCCACTTTCCCGTCCCGTCCCTCCGTCCCCTCCTCCTCCTCTTCTTCTTCTTCTTCTTCTTCTCGTACCTCTCCGGTCCCTCTCCGAGCCAGCCAACCTGACTGCTCTCGGCATCGCGTCTCGGCCGAGCAAAGACCCGCTGGGGACGAGCTCGCAGGTAGCCTATATCCCCCGCCTACCTGCCTACCTAACCTACCTGCACCCAGGGGCCGTGCTCAGGCGGGCGGAGCTGAGGTACGGGGGAAGGGAGCGGGGGGCGGTGGAGGGAGGGGAGGTCGGCGCGCGTCCACTTGCCGCCGTGCGATTGCGAGCGTAGGTAGGTATCTAACATCTAACGCCCTGCTCTCGTGTCGTCTCGCTACCCTGCCTCCGTAGCCTCTCTCTCCCTTCTCCAGCAAGAGGCGTTCGGTTCCCGAGAATGCCGAACTGGAGGAGGAGAACACAATTGAGAGACCAGGAGAAGGAAGGAAAGAAAGAAAGAAAGAAAAAACATTCGTTTCTCTTCCGTTCGCCGTAGCCGTCCCATCCCATCCATCCCCGACCAACCCGTTGTTGCTCTTCGCTGCGTAGGTACGGGTATGCACCGCCCATGCATATCTGCATACACACACACACACACACATATATATATATATATAAGTCGGTGATGATTCTTGATATCCAGTCCCATAGCTACGTGTACACACATGCATGTAGGCATCTACCTACCTGTATACGCCTGTACGCGCGCGCGCACACATACCTTTCTGGGCACGGTAGGCGGGCAATTTTGCGTAAATTCGCGGCTTGGCTTCGGCACTTGCTGGCTTGTTACGGCGACCAGAGCCCCAAAACATACATCGTTGCGAGCGAGTCCCTTCGCGTGAGCGCCGTGGCATCTCCGATCTGGCTGGGCACATGGTTTGTCCGTCGTATTTTCTCTCTCCCTCTCTCTCTCTCCGCCGCCCTCGCCCTCTCTCTCTCTGTTCCTCCTCCTCTAGAGTGACACGCCGAGCATGTAGGTATGCGTTGTACCGTCGCGAGACCTCGTCTCTCGGCACCAGACATGAGCATCCTTTCCTTCGCGCGCCATGCAGGCCGATGATCAACGTCGCCACCGCCCGAGAGAGTCGTCAGGTGTGTTATGTATGCGTCCCGCCTCGCCATTTCTCGGGCGGGTTAGGCGGTCGATCCCGTCTGAAACCTGGACATGCCTGTGCACACACACACACACACACACACACACACACACACACCCGTGAGACTATATATATATATATACACGACGTAGTGCGTAGCTAAGGGTTCGTTATATGAATGAACAGGCAGAATACTCCCCCTCTCTAAAATGGGCAGAGCCGTTTATTGAGACGACAGCCGCATCTCGCATGGTCCGCAGCGCAGGTGATTCGGTGCGACGAAAATCTCCGAGAGCGAAAGAGTTGCTGCTTTTTGTTACTGCCGGGTGTCATCACACAATATGGGTGTGCCTAACATGTGTCTACGACGGCGGGAGGGATGCGCGCGCAATACTACGCACGGCACCACGAAGCCACCACACGACAGGGAATCGTGGGGGGGGGGGGCGGGGAGTTGTCACACCTCGACGACTCCTCTACGTTCTGTATTCCCGCCTAACCCCCAAGAAAATCAGTCTACAGGCCATGCGACCCCAGATTTTCCGGTTTCCCAGCGCATGTGTGGGTGTGGTAGGGAATGTCACTCCACCGGGGAGACGCCCGAGGCGAGTGGACAGATCCCGGATAGGATCTAGCCTTGTTCCATTATTTTCCCGGTAAGCTCGTCTGACTGAATTGTGCCGTGTGGGTATACCAGGGACTTGGCTTGTCTTCCACGTTACTATCTGCTGTTGGGAGCACCCGGCCAGTCTCAGGAGGGAAACCCCATCCGAGTCATGCTTTGCGTTGGCGGGCGCTATCGCGACCCTCGGGGACGAGGCGGGTGGCATACGCCTCCTGACCGCCGAGTTGGGAGATAGATCATCCGCTCCATCGCTCTCCGTCTTAGCGAGCGAGAGAGACAGGCTGCCACCTCGGCGGCAACCCGCCTAGATCTGCACCCTGCGGGCAAGCTGGCCCAGCCCTAAAATCGAACTTGTCGAATCGACCCAACTTACCCCATCGAACCTCACGCCGGTTGCTTACCTGCCGTACAGGAAGTTTGCTGCCTCTCTGCCTTTTTTTTTTGTCTGCGGGTGCGTGAAGCGCCGGTGCGGCACGCCTGAGATGAGTGCAGGGATGAAACGGCCACTTGGCAGGAACAACAACGACCAGTCGCGTAATATTAGCGGGATAATCAGATAACGCACAGTTATGGGAACGATGCGTGTTCGAGGGATGAGGGATGGTATTGGCTGGGCGCCGCATCGCGGATTTGTCCGGAGCACCAGCTCGTCGATCGCCAGCTCGTGAAAGACCTTCTTCGTGACGTCAGCGACAGAGGAAACACCAGAGTCTATCCGGCCGACGAATCGCCCGACAGCGCGCACTCAGCGCTACGGCCGCACCGCCGTCTCCTCCCAGGTCGTCTGCTCTTGATGTGGGAAGCCCCCCTCGGGTTCCTCGAGAGGGGGACGCACGGTGACCAGTTTGCTGGGCGAATCGCGGATTGGCTACTGTGTCTTAATTGTATTCTTTGCATACGTTTGATAGCTAGACAGCTGACGGCTGGGTCATGGTCCGGTGCAGGCCGGTTGAGTAGGCAGGCAGGTAGAGCCCGTCGAGACCAGGGCCGAGGCCACAGATCAGATATGTTGCTTTCCTAGAGTGGATCAAGATATGGGTACTGTCGCAAAGGGGCCCCCCTCCCAGACTACCGGGCCCAATTGCCATCTCATCTCGTCCGGCCGAGGGCCAAGCCGTAGCCCTATGATATTCTGGCGGTACACGTAGGCTATATGTATATAGCCTACGCCAGAACCGAATCGGAGCGGAGGCTCCCCTTGTTCCCCCCCATAGTGTACGTTAGGGTAGGTATGATGTATGTATGTGTGTATCTGCACGCAGTCAGACATGCAGCCGTATGTCCTGTGCTGTGGAGGCCATCCGGGAGGCCTCCAGACGTAACTAGCTAGATGAAAGAGCACGATGGAATAGCTCCGTCCCGCAGGAGAGAGCTGTCGTGCTTCGATTGGATGCATGTAGCTGTAGCTACCATCGTAGCCAGGGAAAGCTTTTGGGGTTCCTGACTGGCCGGCTGCGGCCAGGATAGCACCGACGGGCAGATAACACCCAGCCGCCCACGGCGAGACTGAGCCGGGGAGGGGTCCTGCAAGGCAACATGGAACATATACCTACATAGCAACGAGAGAGTGTGTGCTGCATATGTAGGTGTGTATGCATGTAGTATCATACATGCATGACGGTCAAGATAGCATCCCCGAAATCGAAGGACAAAACAGAAGATCCCTTCCTCAGGCCGTCTTCCTAAAATCGAACGGCCCCCTTTCTTTCTCGCTCGGGGGCCGAATCATGGACGCATTTGTCGGTGCTGCTCCCCCCCCCCCGTTCGCAACCAGGTACGGTATGTACATGCGTAGTAAAGCTGACATCTGACAGGCGCAAGAGGGCCAGACGATTCGCAAGACGCCGACATAGCGTGTAATTATGGAGCGGTGAGCGTATCCGTACCGGTCTTGACAACTGGCGCGCAGCAGCGACGGAGAGCGCAAGACGTCTGGGCATCACGGATACCCGCGACATGGGGTCTCGGTACGCTATAGCCGAGCCAAGTAGGAATTACCTAGTTAGGTACCCCAGCCCCTACGTTGGATCGTAAGCCGCGCGCATACTCGTAGGAAATGCCTCATAGCGCCTGTGAGCGGCGGGCCTGGTGCAGCGGTTTGCGATGCTCCCGTAAGCTGGTGCTATCGGTTGGGTAATACGTCGTCCTTCGAGGTGGTTATCGTGCTACGGTGAGGCGGCGCCCCGTGACGTACGGTAAGTGTCGGTAGTCGAACGGGAGAGGCGTGGTTACGAGGCGGCGATGCATGCATCTCTGTGTAAGTTGAGTAATGACACACACGGCCATCTACGTCTAGGTCGGACTAGGTAGGAATACAGCCCTTGGGCAAGGTAGGCAAAGAAACAAGAGATAGACTATCTGATGGCACGTAGGTGAGAGTTCTAGCATACTTAGGGGGAACAGTGGACCCCCGGGGGACGAGTCGGAAATATGTCAAATCAAGTATCACGGGATTGGAGGATTGGAGGGGAGGGAGGATAGAAATGCTAAGAGGCGGTGCTAATAATAGAGGCTGGCCGACGGGATCGAGGGAGTGGAATTCACTCATCGCAACAGAGACTCGCACGAGCGAGAGGCGACCAGCACGAGCCCGAATTGTTGTTGTCATCAATCGAGCATGATGAGGCTCTCTGTCGATAAACAGGGCACGCCGTCCGACCTCGTGGCACGCCGATACGACGCGATGCTACGGCACCTGGTCGCGAAATGGGGCGAGTGTGGGATCTTGGCACAGGGCTGCCTTCCTCCTCTCGCTCGTTCGCCCTACTCTAGAAGAGTGGTAGGGGGGGAGAGGGAGGAGAGGCGAGGGTGAGGTACCTGGTAGAGGATGATGATGGAGCAGACGGAGAGGAGTCGAGGTGAACATGAACACGGAACCTCAATCCAACCAACCCAGGCGTGTAGATTTGAGATTACCTACTGGGGCCTCGGCGCCTAGTCATGGGAATTGACCAATGACGGCTCGAAATGGGGACCGGATACTGATGTATTCGGTAGGTATTATGGGATTGGAGCGCAGGCTGCTTTGGGGGGGTGTGCATAGGGACCTCGTCAGTCCACCTAGGGTGTGTGCAGTGAGCGAGAGGTAATTTTTAGAGGGAAGAGCTATAAGTTCTACCTTAGACCTACCTACCTAGGTAGGCAGGTACACAATCCTCTAGGGGGTACCAGGTACCTAATCTACCTAACTCACATTAGGTTAGGCACCCCCAGGGTAAGGAGGAAGAATTCCCGCCCCAAAATAAAATTGAACAATAAAAAAAGGAAAAAAGACATACCCGACTTCTAAGCCCTAGATGACCCCTCCCCTTGCCTGGAGAGGCTACGGTTGAGAGCTACTTACAATGCCAGGTAGGACTTACCTAGGTACCTACCTCGGTACCTATATACCTCTGGTAGCACCTATGTCAGTTCCCGGCTCCCAGTAATCTCAGATGATCAGCATACCCTGAGACCTTATCCCACGACCTCGGGTTTATAAGCACATGTTGCTATGTTCTCGCCCCCCCAGTCCTAGGTGAACTGCCTGTTCTTTTTGGTGGGGGTAAAGTACCTCTCCTAGAAGCACTTTGGTATATCCAGAGTGCATACCCGTCAGGTACCTAGGTATCTATCTCTACCTCTACATACCTCAACGCCTCACTTACTCCGGATGTATGTACCAGAAGTTTTAACCTAAGGTAGGTAGGTGTATATGTATATAATCTATGTACTACCGGGCTATTACTACATGTAGTAAAGCTACCTCCTAGTAGCCTATTGGATATGTGTGTGTGTGTGTGTGTGGAAGACATAAGAGATGTTAGTAGGTGCCTACATAAACAAGGTCTGTAAGAGGGAGACCCGGTAGCTCACCTACCTGCACTTACAGGTATAGGTAGGAGGCACCTCTTAGCTTCTGCTTGTGAACATTCATTCAAGTACTAGGACCTACCCGCCGTTTACCTGTGAGGCTCGAAGCGCTGAATGACCCCAGAAAGGCCACGGATACTGGGCATATTGGGAGGTATCTGTCTGGCAGAATTACCTACAAGATACCCCCAGCATCTCAAGCCTAAAGCATATCAACCCCTTCCACCCCCTCCTTCCCATCCCATAGCTTTCTCTCATCCCGCCCAAGTTTCGCTGTATACATCCCGCGCTGTCCGTCTCGGAGCCCGAGAAGGTTCCGCGTGCCAGGCGAAATACATTAGGTAATTCACATGGCAATTGTGCTCATGGGTCAGCAGAGGAGGTCTGTCTCTTTATATGCTCACTAGCCCAACCGTCAAACTAGAATCTTCACCAGCAACTGTGCCTAACTAAAGGCGGATAGACTATTGTATGCACATGCCCACGTGCAGCACACACATACCTACCTGATATGTGTTGCGCGTGCGTACCTACAAGCAACATAGCATACCTATGCCCACACCACTGTTATAGAGATGTCTAGGCTAGAGGTAGGTAGGTTACCTTGATGTTATAATGGGAGGCAGGTATCAGGTATGTAGGTACATTGAGTAAAGGTACCTACCTCTCCCAGACAGCAGATAAAGACGCAAAAGAGGCGGACGCTAAATATGGGCGCCCTGACATCACTACACCTCATGTAGATACCTACCTCGAGTTCTGTCCTCTCTCTTCTTCATCATCTTCTTTCCCCTCTTATATCAACCATTTTTTATGTCTCCCCATGGGTAATAGCCTCGACCTGCTCCGCAGCTCCGAGTACCTTTTATTTTATTTTATTTACGCCCCCCTCCCCCCCCAGAAAGAACAAGGGAAGGGGATTGGAATTAAATAAACTCATCTTGGCTGCGTTGCCTCCTTAAGATTCCTTATTGTGGTACTGGTCCTCGCCCATCTCCACCTGGATCGGCTCAACTCAAACTGACTTCCCACGATTCCCAATTCTAGCTGCTTCTGTCCTCCTCCTTGGTGTGCGTGTGCCGTGTGCCGTGTGCCCTCTTTGGCTCTAGCCACTTGACAATGACCATCTTCACCTGCTCGCAACGGAATCCGGCTGTCGAATGCTCAATCCACCTCTAGCATTAACTGGAACCCGTCCAAGGTTCCCCCAGCTGGTTTGCCATCAACAGCACCGGAGCAGCAATACCGACAGCCATCATTCATAGCAAGCGACCTCAGCATCCATTATTCCCACCCTTCCTTGCATAAATCCACTCTGTACACAGCTGGCTCCTGTTCGAACGACGTTCCACACGTGTACTAAGGGCAAGTTGTCCACGCCAGCCAGCAACGACGGTATCTGGATCGCTGCAGGTTTGGGGTTACCTGTTTCCCATACGGACTGCGACGGCTGTTTACGCAACCCTGCCTCGCAAGGGCGTAACTGAGCTCGAGTTAACCATCTCAACCTTGTTGTCCCACGAACGCATGGTCATAGTCGAAGTGGTACATCTGCTAGGGAACGGAAAAGGACACTGCGTGAGAGACAAGAGGGCTGGAGTTGGGTTGCTAACTTGAGAAACACTACGCTACTTGCACATTGTACTTCATTGTCTGCCATTATTCTCTCCCTGGTCACTGCAGTCACTGAGGTCATTCTATTTGTCCCCTTCCTTCACTTGGCAGTTCAACACACCTACATCGCACACACCTATGCTGCACGAATACACCACGGAATTGGAAGAGGCGGCAAAGTTGGAGCTTCGTTAGGCCATTAACACGGAAACCCGAGTGAATTCCCGCCATCGTCCGATACATTTACATAAGTCTGGCCCGTTTGAGGAAAGGAGAAGAAAAAAGTTTTCTCTCCCTCGCTCTCCTGCCGACCCTGCTCTTGTATAAAAGAAAGGGAGACCAGGCCAGGTCTCTACACACTCCGCACGCCGGCCACAGACGCAGTCCCTATTTCCACCCATCTATCCGCAGCCTCAGCAAGACAGGCATCGCTTGCATAGCAGGCAGCCAGACGAACAACAACCAGGTGAGTAGGGTATATGTTGCAAAAGCCCTCTCTCTTTTTTCTCTCCTTTTTCTTTCCCTTTTTCTCTTTTTGGGGGTTTTTTTTCTCCTTTTTTGTTTTTACAGACTTTACCGTTCGTAGACTGAGAGGAGCAGGCTTTGGGCATAGGCTAGCTAGACCTACACCACCAAGGCCTACTACATTAGGCATATCCGTCCAGCCCATTTTTGCCTCCCCACACTTGCGGTGCCCTGCCCTGCCCTGCACCACACATAACTCACTGCAGCCACCCACCACTGCTCCAGTGCTCAATCCACCCGCGCACTACCAAACCATTCCCACTACCACTACCACTACCTACTTATACTACTGCCCATACCGCTGTCGTCCGCTACCACCACTACTTAACGCCATTCGCTTCACTTGCCACGCGCTATACACGATACGCTATAGACGCGCTATAGGTAGTTGCCGTGCCCTATCTGATTATTAACTTGTCGTCACGGGAAGAAGAAAAAAAAACCCCTACAAATTCCCACATTCCCGCTCCTAGGTCCATCCTCTCTCCTCCTCCCTTTCTTTGCTTCTCCCCTGTTGCGGAACCCTCGCCCTCAACCACCCCCCCAATTCCAGACACGCCGGTTTGCACTTCGTCATCAGTGTCGCCATCTCCTGGGCGTAGCCCACCCCAAGGCGACCTCAAGCCGCCGCCATCCACCTCCATTTGCCGAACCAAGCCTTCCCTACCCTCCTACCCCCGCCGGTTCTCGTTGCCAAGTGACCTATTTCCTAATTGAGAACTTGACCGGATCGTCACCCTCAGCATTTGCTCATCTCTTCTCGCCGCCCCTGAGAAGAAATGTCGAACGCTTCCGAGAAAACTATTTCCCCTGGCGCCTCTCGGCAATCATCAATAAAATCAGTCGAGCTATCCGCGAGACCTTCGAGTACGCGACCACCCAATGGCCAGCCTGTCGCCGACGGCCTGCATGCCGAGCCGCATCCGAAGCAACCCGAGAAGGCCTCCATCAAGGATCGCTTTACTCGCATGTTCTCCAAGGACGACGTCCCCAGATCCGGCCCCGCCGATGCGTCCCAGCCGTCGAAACGCGCTGTCCCGAGCCCCGCCCCCAGCCAGAATGGCCTCAACGTGCCCGCCAGGCCGAGCCCGATCCCGCGTAAAATGTCCATGGCCGATACTCCGAGTCCCGCCCCCAAACCGGCGCAGTATCAACGATTTGTCGCTGACCCCGAAGCCCCCGGCGGCCACGAGCACCACCTTAGGGGTAGTAAGCGACAAGAGAAGCTTTCGGACATGTGGAAGGCCCTCCTCGGTCTGAAGCAGGACCAGCCTGCCGAACCCGATCTGTCCTTGAGGTCGAGCTGGGTCGACACTGTCAAGCAGGAGAAGGAGTCGAAGGAGCTGGTGGCCACCGACAAGAAGGGGGGTCCCAACCAGAGTACCACTCTGGTCGAGAAGTACGGCAAATGCCAGGAGGTGATCGGTCGCGGCGCGTTCGGCATCGTGAGAATTTCGCACAAAAAGGTGGACAACGTGGAGAAGCTCTTCGCCGTCAAGGAGTTCCGCCGCAGGCCCGAGGAGACGGAAAAGAAGTACAGCAAGCGCCTCACGGCCGAGTTCTGCATCTCGTCGTCCTTGCGCCACCCCAACGTCATCCACACGCTGGACCTGCTCAAGGACCAGAAGGGCGACTACTGCGAGGTGATGGAGTACTGCTCCGGCGGCGACCTCTACACGCTGGTCCTGTCGGCCGGGAAATTGGAGGGGGTCGAGGCCGACTGCTACTTCAAGCAGATGATGCGCGGCGTCGAGTACCTGCACGAGATGGGCGTCGCGCACCGCGATCTCAAGCCGGAGAACCTCCTGCTGACTAGCCACGGCGCCTTGAAAATTACGGATTTCGGCAACGGCGAGTGCTTCAGGATGGCCTGGGAAGACGACGCCCACATGGTGTCGGGCCTCTGTGGCTCGGCTCCGTACATCGCCCCCGAGGAGTACATCGAGAAGGAGTTCGACGCCCGGGCGGTCGACGTCTGGGCTTGTGGCGTCATCTACATGGCCATGCGGACGGGACGGCACCTCTGGCGAGTAGCCAAGAAGGACGAAGATGAATTCTACGAGCAATATCTCCAAGGCCGCCGCGACGAGGAGGGCTACAGCCCGATCGAGTCGCTGCACCGGGTAAGTCTCCGCGAGGCCTCGCCATTCGTAGACACCTTGGACACCTTCCCCATACTGACGAACGTATCAAAGGCCCGCTGTCGTAACGTCATCTACTCCATCCTAGACCCCAATCCTTCACGACGTATCACGGCGTCGCAGGTCCTCAAGTCCGAATGGGGTCGCTCAATCAAGCTCTGCAAAGCTGGTGAGGAAGGTCTCTGAGCGAATTTGCCCCCCCCCCCCCCCCCCCCCCCCCTTCGCGGGTAGTTGGCTCTCCCTTCTTCGTCGTCCCCTTCGTCTGTCTTTTGATTCTTCTTTTCCTGCGACGAAGGAAGATTACTCGTCCGTTTTCGGATCTAATACGAGCATGCTGTGAGCCTTATTTCTGTTCTCTTCTCTGGTGTACCCGTCCGTGAGATGGCGGCCCCTGATGTTTTCTCGCGAAACTAGGGAAGACGGCACCATAGTAGGAGCGCCCCCACACAATGAGCATGAGATAAAATGCTACACGACCAAAATGTGCATTCGTCCCGCACGGAGTTCTGGTGAAGTTACGGTTTCTCGCATTCTTCTTTCGTTCTCGGGCTCGTATTTTTAAATTACATGTTTTTATTTGTCCGCTTCACTTTCGGGCTATGACACTAGGATTCCCATCGCGCAGCGCATCAAGGAACAGGTTCGGCGATAGATGCGCCACGCGCACTGCGAGTGAGCGCCAATGAAGGCGGCTCTTATCTTTGTATAAGAATAGAATCATACTCGTGTTCTCGTGGGAAGCTGTAGAGAGGGCGGAAGAGGGAAAAAAAACTCATACAAGAGGTGCACAGAGACTAGGGGAGGGGGGAGGCGGCTCTCGGTTCGGTTCGCTCATTCGGCGCCACTGGTCAAGAGTAGTAGATATGGCAACCAAGGTCTGGGCGGCTCACTTATTCAAGGGGGGGGGAGGCTATCTGATTCAGGGTACCCTTGGCGGTACATTCGAGATCCGAGGCTCGACCTCGCGACCTTGACCTGCGGCTTTGCTTGTTGGCATTTTACAGTATTAAACACGCGCCGAATTACTTCGTCGTTCACCACCATGAGCAATAGATCGACGGCACCTCTAACATAACAGGTAAAACCTCCTCCGCCGTTCTCGTGTATATCCGCCCATCGAGTCGGGGCCTCCCGAGGAGCGCTCTAGGGTAACAATACAAGGTGGCAAGGCAATCCAGTGACCTTATAACCACGAGGATGTCGTGTCTCGTGCGTGATCTGATGCATATAGTTGCCGCGCCACTGCCTCTAGAGCAAGCATACGATCGACACAGGATCGGCGGCCTAATACAAGCCGTCCAGGCAAACCTACACAGCGAGGGCTTAGTGTCTCGAGGGCCAAGAGGATCGAGGAGGGGCCGCAAGTGTCGCTGCGGGAAAGGGGAAGCGGTGTGACTCAAGAGGGAAGAAAGGGGAGGGGGAAAAAGGGGGGAGAATCGGAACGGCAAACCTCGAGAGTATAACGACGCCGGATAGACGGCACGTTCGTATGGGTCTGTTTTCCTTTTTTTTTTCTTTTTTCTTTTTTTCTCCCTCTCTTCTCCCTCGGAACTTGCTTTTACCCTCGTGACACCGGGAGAGAGAGAGAAAGTTGTCGTCAAAGCTGACTGCCCAGGCGCGTGTGCAGCACGACCGCCGCCGCCGACCCGTCCGCCTGTGCATACATATGTATGACATACCTACATGCATATTAGGTGTATTGCAAATCCCGTAGGTGGACTTGGCGGCTCTCGGGGAACTCGACGGGGGGGACAGCGGACAATGACGTCCCGCGGTGCCAGGTGCGCCATCCGCCCCCCCTCCGCCTCCCTCGGGCAATTCGACATCGCTCAGCAGCGCAACGTAAGCCGTGTTGCCACCCAGCGCGCGGGCAACCCGATCGAACTTTGCTGCTGCTGCTGCTCCGCCGCGAGCAGCAAGGTTTACCTCCCCCCCCGTGGCGACGTCAGACTCGCCCGCACGGTATCGCACACGGCGGCGCGCCATCCCGCATGCAGGGAACTAACACGCTGCGCGTCGCGGGACAGGACAGAGGGAAGACGCTCCCGCCTCGCAACGAAGCACCGCCTCTCTGCTCCTGCGCAAACCCTCTCCGCCGTCCCTCGCCTAGCATATCACAGGTGCTGAGGGTCTGTAGTTGGCGGCAGAGGTATGCTCGGGCATGTACCTACATAGGTACATCTTCTCTCACTCTGCCCAGCACGCATCCCCCGCCTACGCTACACATCTTCCCAGCTACCCGAACAGGCGGACGCCTGCCTAAGTCGGTAGGTAGCTATCCCCCGTCCCGACGAGCGCGAGGCCCAGCTCCGCCCGCCGAGCCGCCGGGCGAGCGATTCCCCCCCGGCGCGCACCTTCTCTCCCGGACCGATCGCTTCCGCCCGCTCCGCCCCCATTTTGCATCTGCCGGTGCTACTTCCGCGGGGGGCGGCGGGGATACGGCAGGCGTCCGGGCCGTGGATATCTCGGCGCCCGGGTTGCGCGTATGCGGCACGTAAGTATAGGTAGGCAGGCATAGCTTCCGCATCCCTCCCCTAGACCACGTAACCCGTTCCCTCCGCCCGAGTGTCTCGATACCCTGAGGGGGCAAGCAAGCAAAGACGGGCGCGGGCGCGGGCCAGGGCGAGGGAGGGGCCGGCTTTTCGCGTGGATGGATCGATCCCTCCTCGTCGCACTACGAGACGTGTAGGGACGTATGGACGTGACCTATATAACTGCGGGATATATATATATATGTACCTATGTATGTGTGTATATATATATATATATAATACAGCACGGACATATAAAGAGGAGAGAGAGGGAGAGAGACATAGAGGGAGAGAGACATTAGAAAGAACCACGGGTAGGTAAGTATGTATTTCGCCGCCCCGGACCCCGCGTCCCCCCCGCGGTCCCGGGTCTCCCCCGTCCGAGCCGCCGTCACCCCCCGCGTCTTCGCCTCCCCACGCGGGCCGCGCGCACACAGGCCGCACATACCTTCTTCCTCCCACCCCCTTTTGGATATATATAGATATACACACGTACATATATATGCATGTGTGCGTGTGCGCGCGCTCCCCCCTCAACCCCATTCCATACGTATTGGTTGATATTCGTGGCCCTCTCCTCCCTCTTCCCACCTTTCCCCCCGCCCGTCGAGATGAGAGGGACCTTAAAAAAAAGACCAGAGACTTCAAATCAGAGGAGACAAGTCGTAAGAGAGGTGATGAAGATTTCACTTCTCGCCAAAAAAACCAAAAACAAAAAGGCAAGACAAAAAAAAAAAAGATCACGTTGCTCCGCTTCCCCCGATTCCATCTCCCCTCCCCGTTCGCGCCCGCCCGAACAAAATAACCAAAAAAGATATGTGAGGAAGTATCGCCTGATACCCGCCATTCCCCCTTTTTCTCCCCGTCGACATCCGGTGCTTCATCACTCTCTAAGATTCCTCGCTCACACAAGTGTCGGTATAGGCAGAATACGTCGGCCTACAATTACCCCGGAAAGAGGCCTCTCCGGCTCAGCGCCGCTCTATATCGCAGCGAGCGCCTGCTATTAAGACATTAACACCCTGTCTCTCTCGATCGCGACCCTATTTCCGCAAACGGGCGGCTCGCGTTGAGAATGTAGGAAGATCATATGTACGATATTCCGTAGCAGGCGTGGGTCGCTGTGCCGAGTTCAGCGTACCGTCCGCCCGGGTACGAAAAAAGGCGTAATATACTCGCCTTTCTACCCTCTGCCCTGGCGATCACTCCCGTCTCGCACAAAAATATATAAAACATTGTCCCCCCCCCCCCCAGAGCCTCGTTTACACGGGGCGGAGCCGCATTTCGTACCGTGGCGTTAAGTCGTGAATTTGCAGCGAAAATCAATCCGATCCGCAGCGGGCAGGTCGTTGCGAGACCTCATGAGTGGAATAAGTCCCAGGCTCTCTCGCACAGCCTCAAGAACTCCTCCCGCTTCTGTCGCTGAGTCTCAGGGCTATCGCGGCCGGCTCCGAAAGGCCCTCGTCGGGTGGCGGCGGGCCCGTGACCCAGAGGGGGGCTGCTCCCTTCCTCGTACTCCGCGCGCGTCCTTCGCCTGCTCGTGCCTCGGCCCGTATCTAGGGTGCCGGCTCCGTTGCGGGGTGACGGGGGCGTAGGGGGTTGGTGTCCCGTGTAATGGACAAGCTTCGGCAACAGTTCAGGCCGTCCACCAGCCAATTCTTGCTGGGCTTCCTCGGCCGACTTATACTCTCTCGGCCGACTGGACAACGGAGCCTGCGAGATGCCCGGAGGCGGGTGGCTGGGCGACGCTAGCGGACCGTGACTTGAGCCGGGATATAGCGGCCGGCTACTCGGTTCGGCGTGCGACGGAAGGCCCTGTCCAGCAAACACGTCGGAGATCGGAGGCAGACGATTCGTCGTCTGGTTTGCGGGAATGTGGTGTATATGAGATGTGCTCGACAGGTTCGAGGGTTGGTTGGCAAGGTGTCGAGTCAAGGGCTGCGGATGGTGGCGAGTGGTAAATGTCTGCCCTAGAGGTGCAGACTGGATAACACGCTCATTAGCGAATTGCTCGTGGGACGGTGCCACGATGCTCAGGCCCGGGGGGGCTTTGTTCCTCCGAGACATGCCCGGCGTCTTTGCGGCGAACTGGGAAATGGGATCCTTCTCCTTGCCGTTGTCGGGGCCGTCTCCCTTGGCCGACTGTTGTTGGAGCCTCGCCTCGATGATTCGGCGTTGTTGTTCTCGAACATTCAAGCTCTGCTGCAGGTGTTCCTTCATTACAGGGTCCTGCGTAACAAACCCGGGGGATAAGCATGCGATGCCAACCTCCTGGATCCCGAGGCCCTCCCTTCCCAGCGCCGGGCGTGCCGTCGCAGCGCCCGACCCGGTAAGGGTATTCTTGGAAAGATCCAGTTTTCGTGGGCGATGGCGCGCAGTCGGGATGTCCGGAGAGCCCGGCTCCTTCTTCACAAAGATCTTGGGTGCAGGAGCGCCGGGTGCATTTCTCGCACTGTAATGTATTCGCGGCAGCGGATCAGCTCTCTGTCCACGCAGAAGACACGAGGAACAGGTGGTTTTGTGTTTCTCGTCCTATGTCTGGGCCACCTCGCGCGTTTCCTCATCCTACGACACGAGGGAGTCGACGACAAGCTCTTCGCATTCGAGGCGCGGGGAGAGGGCGGGGGGAGAAGAAAAGGACATGGACGGAGGGACTTACGCGCTTGCAGGAGAGGACTTTGCCGCGGGTTGGACAGCGGATCGCGGGGGACTTCGGCTGTTAGGACGTTGAGCCGTTGTGGAAGCATTGGCGGCCGGGATGGCCGAGACCGCAGCTGCTGTGCGTGAAGTGGAGGGAGACGAAGCCGACGCAGCGGCAGTTCCAGACGACGAGTTACTGGCGGAGGCAGCACCAGCGGGAGCGCTGGTCGCGGGAGCCAGCTCAGTATAAGCCGGTCTGTCGTGAGGAGCCGGGGACGGGGCCATGGCGATTGCCGCGCTCATCGTGTGCAGGGAACTATTTTTATAGAAGTGCTAAAAAAGAAAACGATGAAAAAAATAAAAAGGTAATTCCGGAGGTACGACGCAGACTTCGGAACTTTTTTCCTCCCCCTTTTCTTGGGCGCTGAATTGCTGTCCTGTCTCGTTTCTTACTCCCGGCTGAAATGGCTATGCGCCACGCGGGAGTGGGCAGGAAGGAAAATGGGCGTCTGCCTCGAAGCGTTGCAGCGATGGGACGGGCGAGACAGTGGCAGAGGGTGATTGGTGAGTTGCGCCGCACTTCAAGCCTCTCCGCCTCCTGACACCTGCGCGCTTTTGCAGCCGACCAGTTGCAGAAGTATTGGTGTCGGGCCCCGATTATTGTGCGATCGCCTGTGGCCAATAATGACCGTCCCTTATCCTCACAATCTGCCCGACTCCGTATTGGCAGCGAGGATGTCCCAGTGCCAGCGCGCCAATGGTTGGCGGATGGTCCGATTTAACCTATTAATGCTTTCTGACGAGCTGCCTCAGCTTGCCAATCACGGATGGCACGAAGACACGAATAGGCAGCGCGCCTCAGCTCCGTCTGCCGTTGCACGCTTGCTATGTGTCGGGACGCGAGCCGACAAACTTCTGATCTGATCTAGACGCCGACCGAGAGGATAAATATGGTTTGTGGCCGGCGGGAGCAGGTCCGGGGACGAAGTAAAATGGGCGAAGCAAGAAGGTTCGGATGGCAATCAAGGTGTCCGTGGTCGGTCTTGACAGATGTTTCAGGAGATGAAGACTCGGTGTCGCCGTCAGCCCTTCTCTTGTTCTTCGCGGTCGGGGTTGGTCGACACTCTACGATTCTTCCCGGCTCGCCGCGTCTTCGCTCGCTCGTCGTCGTCTTCCCGAGGCCGGCTGCGAATCGACCCAAGCACCACACGACGCACGCACGCCTCCAATCGCCGGTCCTGGAGCGACGGCACGGGAAGGGGGAAAATCGGAAAAACGATGACTGCGCAGCAAGTCGTTGTCGCTGCTGGCTTTCAGGTCTCGTCACACTAGTGGGAGAGCGGGCCTGAGGTGAGACGGAGGTCGGAGGGCGGGCGATGGCTAATTAGGTACTATCGCGTTTATAGTAGGGCAAGCAGGTACCAAAAAATGTGGCTGGGGTCGGGGATGGGAGATTTCGAGGGGAACAGCACACTCGAAGATTTGAGCAAATGGGCAGATTTGTATGTACGGCCGCACCAGACTGGGTTTCCTGCAAGCGAAGACGACGAAGAACAAGAAGGAGAAGGAGAAGGAGAATAAGGAAAAAGGGATTTCAGGGAAAGGGAACGGCTAGCGAGAGGACTCGGCGAAGGATTCAAGTACGGCAAGCGTGGAATTAAGGTAGGTTTGGAAGGGATGAAGGTGGCAGACAAGGTGAAGTAAAAGTTATTGGAGGCCGAAGGGAGAAGGGTAGGAAATGTTTCGAGGCGGAAAAGGAGGGGCAGGCTGAGATGGGCCGACCTCCCAAGGGTTACCGACCTGCCTCCAGGGAATCGAGCCAGGTACAGACGTGCGGCACTGGCCTCAGGTAGGTGTACGTACGAGTACCCGGCCCGCCAGGCGGCTTTAGGGATCTGCCTCCCCTAAGGGCGTCATGTGTCCACTGGCACTCGCCGTCGCGTGCGTGGTCGCGCCAGGTACCGGCATAACGCCGGCCAGGCGGGTGGTACACGGACACACGCGGCGCGCACGGCCAGAGCAACAAGTACCCGCAGCGGCATCTATCTTACCCAGGTACGCCGCCAGGGTTGCGCAGGTGCATGTGGGTAGGTCTACCTCGCGCTGCCGTCGAGGCATGTACACAGATTCCTCTATTCCGGACTGGAAACGGTACCTTGGGTACCTAGCATGGGTGCTGAGGTTAGGTGTCCCTCCACAGGCACGGGGTGTTTCCAGAAGCACAGACTTGCATCGCCCTGCAGCTCCTGACAAGTACTCCCTGTCCTCTTTTTTTCCACCACCACTTACCCGATTTGGCACCCTGAGTCGCTAGCGTGCTTTAGCTTCGCTACAGGTCCAGCATAGAGGCGGCCTGGACGCTAGTGCGCCAGGTAGACACTAGAGATTCAAGTCTACCCTAGCCCTCTCTCTAACACCCGCCCCCTTCCTCCCCCCCCCCTAGCCAGTCCACCCTTTAAAGAAGAACCCTTGGCCACTTGCGCCCCCTCGAATGGCGAATGATGAAAGGGGAGACGGAATGCCAAGGAGTGTCGCAGCTCTCTCCGTCCTGTGTGTGAGAAGTGTGGGCACGATGCGGAGAGAGAGAGAGAGAAGAGAGGAAGAAGGCGAGGAAAGACAGGAACAGTGTCAGGCCCGTCCAGGTGATGGGCGCGCGTCCAACATAAGGCCGTCCAAGTCAACCCCCGTCCCTCCCCCACCCCCCTTGTCGTGACTTGCCTACTATACAACGTAGCACCGCTAAGCGTAGAGTACATATACTACGTTGTACGTAGTAGACAGATAGAGACGGGCAGAGAAAGAGGCAGAGAAAATGGGAGTAAGAATAAGGATAAAAATACAAACGAGGCCCAATCCGCCTATGCAGGTGCAATTAATAAAGTTAGTAGGGGAGTAAGATGTGCAGCTGTGCCTCATCGGCGGGCTCCCTCGGGGGGGGGGGATGCCGTGTGCTATGTTAGGGACATGACCGCTGATGGGCGACGACCTTGGGAAACTCGAGAGATGTGTTACAAATCCAATACGCATAAAATCTAACGGATGCGCGCCACCTCCGCCCGCTCTTTCGCCGTCGCAGCCACCACATCGTTTCCATGCTTCGTGTTCGCCTCCTCTTCCTCTTTTTTCTCCTGTGCTTTTCCTTTCTTTCTTTTTCCTCCCCCTTCTTACAACATCGCTTCTTCGACTGCATGTCCGTCGATCGATTCGGTCTAGTTCGGGTGAGGGAAACCATCCAGGAAACAATATGGACAATATGGTGAAACGCAACCGAGGGAGATGAATGGTCTCTCTCTAGCCACATACCCGTTCTGCTTCTTGTCCCCGAACCCACATAAGCCACCACCAGCAGGGCGTAGAGTTTTGTTTCTTCCGTCTCTTTTACTTATCATGCGTTATTTTTACTGGTCCTTTATATATACTTTTTTTTTTTATATGTCTCTTTTCTCTCTCTCTCCAATCACACGCTTCACTTGCCTGTCCCCCTATGTACCTACGTGCAACTATGTACCTACGTGCAACGTATACCTGTATACGTTTCCGGTACGAGTAATCCCGAGTTGCCCCCCCCCCCCCGTCCCGCGGGGCAATGCTAGATATAGCATCCCCTTGCAAACGGTGAGGGAGATGGAAGCCTTGTGGAACTGGTTCTGCTCGTTTTTGGCTTTCCCTCTTCCCGATGGGTTTTGTCGGGTATCTGATGATGGATGGTAGGGGTCTGCGACGGGTGGAATAGAGGGATGGAGCCTGGCTGCCAAGGCGCGGTGGCCCCGTCGCTCTACCTCCGTAGGTTGTTTTACATTGATGCTTAGCAGCCCGCCTTGACACGGTCGAGGTGCGGTGCCAGGAGTTGCCGTGGACGTGATTGGGTCCCAGGCGGCAAGAGGGGAAATCCTGATGATTCCACTCCGGCGGCGACTATGAGTAATACCTGACTCTGTCCCTCTGGCAGAAACCAGGGCTCCGAAGGAAGTTGACAAGACCTTCTTCTCGCCGTCCCCATCCGCAACATGACACTACATATACACGATGTGATGGGAGGACTTGGCCCTGCTGGATTGACACAGACTATTGAAATGTGAAGTTTTAGATCAACCCTTGCTGCCTCGGCTCGGACAGGCGTGCGTGTTCTCATTCGCCCGCTCGCGGTACACAAGTCGCCGAAGTCGTCGCTGTTGGCTATCAGCACCGCACGACAGGAATCTTGGGAGGAAGAGGGCAAGAGGAAGCGCTGATTGATTGATCATCGATGTGACTACGCGCATCGGCTTCCTCCATCCGTCTGTCTCGAGGCCGACCTCACTCGTCGAGAGGCTGCCGGGTGGCCCGCCTGCGGTAGATGAGTGTGACATCCACCGTCAGGTGAATTCAGGTGAAGTTGAGAGCAGCAAGCTGCTTGTGCTTGCACCACTATACGGTACCTACCCACCTATGTATGTACATATGTAGGTAAGTAGGTAGGTAACCTCTTCTGCAGCGGATTTAGGTGCTGTAAATGGCCCGAGGACGTTATCGGCGTAGTTACCAGCAGTAATGAAGCTCCGCGGGCATCTCACTACCTCCTCCAACTCTGCCCATTGACTTTCTCCTACAGCCGAGCACGGGAAAGTAAGGTTGGTTGAAGCTAAGAGGTAAGTAGGTTAGGTACCTAAGGTAGGGCTAAGGCCGGGTTAGGTAGGCGGAGTGTCCCTCTGTAGTTTACTCATATGGTGCTGGCCGCCGGGCCTGTCCTTCTCTCAGAACCCCCCAACCAAAAAGGCCGTCGGTTTGGAACGGGTTCTCCTGCCTTAGCGCTTCTTTTCTTCGCCCCCTCAATTAGAGGTACATACCGACATATAGACTCGACGTGTACCTACCTAGGTATCTCTACACACGCTACAGGTGCTACCTACCTAGGTACCTACATACACGGTGTGCCCAACAACCTTATGCCTTCAGTGCCTGGTAGTACACCAACACATTAAGACAGCCTCCCATACTACATCTCATATACCTACCTCTTGCCACACACTCTTCTACGCACATACACCCACACACATATATAGGTATACTAGCGGGGGATTACATCGTAAAACAGAAATTCCCGGATCCAGTAACCAACCTCCCTCCCGGCGCCTCGCCGCAGCCCAAATCGCGCCAAATCGATCAGCTAACCTACATACGTTGCCTCCCGGTCGGGAACGTCCCTACACAGACGGATGCGTGGAAGTGTTTAACATTACGACGATACCCCGTACGAGGTAGGTAATATTCAAGGCTGGCCACGCACGCTCGCACACAACAGACACACATACAGACATACATACATACAGACATACACACACACATACACATACAATGTCCAGCCAGCGTTTCACCGTTTCGGTCACCGTCTCCAATCCAAAGGAATAAAGGAACAGACTACGGGATCACGGCCTGCACTACCGTGTCAGGGCTAGGAGCGGTGGTCCGTGGGCGATAGCCACTAGCCTTCTCCTCCCCCGTCCGGGATAGAAACAGATCGCTGACATGGATACCAGCGCAGACAATAACTCATAGGTAGGTACGCATGTGGTTCTTCGGCTCGTATCAAGGCCGCCGTAGATCCTGTCCGCGTACGGAAGCGTCTGTCTGTCTAGCATCCCCTGCTGATCCGCCCTGTACCCTGTGAATCGCGATGTGTGAGCAAGCATTGTAGAGTGGAAATAAGGTAGGAGACCCTAGTTAATGGCCCTGCTGTGACGCGCGCAGCCTTTTTTTTTTTTTTTTTTGCCTCGACCCGATCCTCGGTTGGTGACAGCAACATGGTCATCGTCATCCGTCACCACCGGCTGTTAGGACGTGGCAGCATAGGCAAGAAGGGAGAGGCAAGCCCCCCTCCGCTCCTCCTGAGCGGCCAAGACAAGCAGGTCATTGGCATCCATAGGCACGCATTAACGCGGATATCACAGATTTACGAATCACGAATTGCCGAATACCGGATTGTTCGGGCTCGAAGGGATAGCAATCATGACATGTAAGCGCCTTCGCAAGTTGAAACGCGAACCCTTGGCTCGTGTCCGATCCAAAACGGAGAAGGACCTTTTCAGCCAGTGACGACAAGGGAGAATCCCTCGTGACCCCTTCTGGTCCTCTCTCTCTCTCTTTTTTTTATTCGCCCCCCTGCTCTGCTTTCTATAGTAGTTCATTTCCCTGGATTATTAATTCAAGTTCCCTATGCCATTCCCGGCTTGCTTTACGAGAGTCTCTGTCTCAGATTTCCGACTCGGCATCGAGCAGTACGATCTTATCACCGCCACCCCATTGGTAGCAAATGCTTCGCATCGTAACCATGCAATAATGGTCTATTCACAATTGCCCACCCCGACCTTCCTCGACGAGCGCTGGTCAGATCTCATCAGATCGCTAAACCCCTTGGGAGGCTAGATAAACGTGCGGAGGGACGCAGCCATGCCACCTTGCGAAGTGCACTCTCCATATGGCAATTGCCAGGGATGCCCACACGATGGAAGTCCGACCTCGAGGATAAACAGATAGATAAAAAGAACGATAAGAAGAATGACAACAATAGAAGAATAATACGTAGGTGGGTGAGGTACTCGGGCCAAGACGAAAAATGTGCGACAATCATATCTGATCTCACTGATCCTCCCCATCTTTTTTAGGAGGTGCTCTATATCCTGCATAGCCGCCGTCACAAGACCGAGACGGGTACTAAGTACCTAGGTACCTATCCAATCAAGGTCCACTTTATGGCATGCTATGCACATGCATTGCCATAAATGCACAAGAATAGCTCTCTCTAAATTACCCAACATGCATATTCATATGCATAACCAATCACCCTGGTAGGATCTGTTGAAGACCCTATTAAGTTGAAGCTACATTAGGATAGGCCCCAGTCTAGACGTTAAGATAATGGGTGAGGAACAACGAGATAGAAGACGACGTAATGCATGACATGAGCAAATGGGTTTGCAATGTATGTACCATGACAAAAGCATCAACGGCCCCAGACGCGGGTCTAACTGCGGACTAAGCGGTTCGAATTCATTCCAACTTCGTAGGGCGAGTTGGATGAGCTCCAACCACTTGAGGTCGTCTTCGCGGCAGGGCGGTAGGACCACGGCGTTCCCTGTCATCACCTTTTCCGTGAATGGGAACTGGAGAACGGCGCCAGGACGGGCGAGCCGGGCGAAATACAGTCCTAGCGTTAGACCGCATCGCGGGCCTACTGGCGCTTCCGGAGCGAATAGGCTGTGCTTACGATGCAGTGAAATAGGAGATCTAATATCCAGTCGCCGTCGCGTACTCGGGGCCAGGAGCCATGGAAGAGGCCACGAAAGAGTGATGTCACTATTCTGGTTTTAGAACTGGAGTTGTGTGGCCCTCCTTGTCTCGTCCGCCTGTCCTTGGCCCGGTCTAGCTCCGGCTCAGTGGCGAGAACGCCGAGCTGTAGGTACGTAGGTTTTCCCCCCATGTGTCTGGGAAGGCCGAGGGGGAAAATATATTGCAGCCATCCTCAGCCCGAAGACGAGTAGAGCGAAGCCATAACCCCTAGAAATCCTGGGGTTGGTGACGTCTCGATCGCCGAGGACCCCGCCATGCGCCGCGAGGAGAATTGCCCCGCGTTTGGAGGACGGCGGCCCGGATCCCTGTCGCACCGTCGAGAGAGCCGTTATTACCCCAGACTGCAAGGGGGAGATGCCACGCTGTGTTTCCACTAAGCCACGCGACATCTTTTGTTGCCCATCTTCTGGGCGTATGGCGTTTTACCGCAAGGTACCGATTCAATGGCGTACCCATAGGCACCACAGTTCTAAGCATCGCTACGGTGCTTGTCGCTGAAAGAGAAGCCTGCTTTGCGTGCCCCTCAAGGTCAAGCAAGGTTCATGTCATCGATCGGGTCTTATCGTCTGGCGCCGATAGTAGAGCGGGTGTCGCCGGGATATCCCGTGTACTCTAGATGGCTCGACGACTCGTACGAAGGCGTCTTCGAGGGACATGGGCCGACTACCGACCAACTTGCAACGTGCTGGGGAGCTTGATAACAGCTAAGAGAGCTACGAGATGGGATAATTTCCACAACCCTAGCAACGCAGTGTAGGAAATACCTATAGGTAACTGGCTATTTGTGTTGCCTGCGACGCCTCAAAGCAAGCATCGGGCTACAGTCATAGGTACCTCGACCTGTCTGGCCTCGCCAGCAGGTACTAAACCTGCCTTATCTGTGGTCTGGATTTGTCCCAGAGTCTTGGAGTACCTACGCAGATTGCTTAGGGGGACCCACATCCCGCTACCACCCGATCTCGGGCGACGCGCTCTAGCTTTTTCCTCAACTTTTTTTGCCTTGAAGCAAAAGCTCGGAACGACCCTGTTCCTCCCCCTTCGCTGACTGAACGCTCTGTCGTATTCAATCAATCTTGTCCTCACGCTGTACCGATTTCCTCCCTCCGAGAAACTGACCGCAGCCACCGACACTCACTCACCGTCATAATGGCTGGCTCTAAGGGAGCTGCCTTGCGTAGGTTACCCCGCCCCCGCGCGCGCAAGACTCCTAGTATAGCTCTGGCGGTATATGTCCCCGAACCACGACCCTGAGCCAAACTCGACGTCGGCAGCAATGCTGAAAAGCTTTTCGTGCTGCGGCAGCTTGACACATCGACCATACTGGCTTGTCGAGCAGAGCACCCGCGGAATCGCGAGAAGGTCGCTAACCAAGCTCCCAGTACTCCGTCGTGTACGCGATCCATCACCGGCCCAGCTCTGAAGCTCGGCAGTTTGATGCCGAACCTGGTTCACTGACTGCCCTTCAGGTGTTTCCTAGCTACGGACAAGAAGAAGACTGGGACGAGGTCAAGAAGAAGGGTGTGTTTCTTGCTCTCTGCCATTAGAAACTCCCGTGCTAATGACATCGGCAGCCCTCCAAATTGGGGCTGAGAAGGTATGCCGACTCGAAACATCGCACGGCCACTTGGGTATTACGAGCGTGACCGTTGCTAACGGTCGCAGATGATAATCGAAGACATCTCTAGGCAGTTCGTCGAGCAAGTCGGGACTCGGGAGTACGTGGTACGTTTACTAAAATCGAACCAGGGAATGGAAATTTGTCGCCTGCAATGCCATTTACGAAGACCAGTACCTCCTGGGAGTATGCTCGACACCACATCGTCAGGCAATACAGAAACTAAGAAGTGTTTTATCCAGACAAGTCTGGTTCGACCCGCAATCGCGCGTGCCATGAAAGTGTAATCGTTATCGATTCCTCAGATCCTTTGGCCAGCATTGACTTTTGATAGCGCCGAGCGGGAGGGATGTGACTACGTCTCGCACGGATCTGGAAAAGGGTATGTTGGCGCCTGGACACCACTCTGAGGCGCTTCGTCGTCAAAGATAACTCAATTAACGTGTTGAATAGCAACGACCAGGTTCGCTTCGAAGTATGATTTGTCCCACTATTAGGTATTTCTTGGCGAGAAACTCTCCTCCTGGAGAGGTTTCGTTGCGCGATGTGTTTCTGGGAGTTTTTAAAAAAAACGCGGCCTGTTGGAAGACGATCCCGAAGCTGACATTTGGGGTCAGCTGGCTTACTACACGATCGACCCCTCCATCAAAGGCAAGCTCCCTCATTGGTCCATTCTCCCATTGCTCTCAAGGAAACACCCGTATCTAAACATGGATCGCGTTTTAGTGATCACCCCTTGGCGTCAAAAGGCCTTCTTCACCCGCTTCCAGGGCCGCAACGATCTCCTGGACTACGCTGCCGAGAAGGGTTCGCTCTTGGACGTTCTGCCCGAGTTTTGCTGAGACCTTGTAGGCATCCCCGTCACTTCCACTAAGGCGAAGCCCTACTCGATGGACGACAATTGCTCCTACGAGGTAGGTAATATCTTAAAATTCGGCCCGTCAATTTAATACTCACCGAAATCAGGCCGGCATGCTTGAGGACCCGAACGTGACTCCCCCGGAGGACATGTGGACCAGGACCGTCTCGCCTCTCAAGGCCCCGGATACCCCCCGTCGACATCACCATCCACTTCGACAAGGGTCTTCCTGTCAAGGTTGTAACTCCCCAGCAGACCGCCACCGACTCCCTTGAGCTCTTTAAGCTCCTCAACGCTCTTGGCAAGGAGCACGGTATTGGTCGCATTGTAAGTTCTCGCCGATTCACCAGCTAGGAACGCAGCTTAACGTTTTACATAGGATATTGTCGAGAACCGGTATATACACATAACCGTCTACACGCGCTAAACTGTACTGAATAACTGACTGTTCTTTTACTAGATTTGTGGGCTTGAAAAGCCGCGGCTGCTGCACGAGCCCCCCCCCCCCCCCTTGTCGCGAAGATCTATACATGACGATCCTACGCCTTGCCCACATCTCGATCGAGGGCCTGTAAGTAAGCAACGCGGGAGAAGGGGTTTCCGCTGACATGGAACAGTGTTCTGGATGGCCGTGTCTGCGTTCTGCGTGACAACCTGAGCAAGAGCTGGTCGGAGCTGCTCTACAACGGCATGTATTTCAGCCCTGAGAGGTCGTTCCTGCAGCGTAGGTAAGTCGATCACCCGAAATTGAGGGTCTGGGCTAACTTTGGCAACAGCGTCTCTCGACTTGGCCCAGCAGCGTGTATGTTGAGAAGATCTGAATAGCGATATGGCACATCTAATTGAGTTTCGTAGGTCAATGGCGAGGTCCGGCTCCGGCTGTATAAGGGCAACGCTTATGTCCTCGGCCGCACCTCACAGGAGAAGCTCTATTCCGAGGAGGATGCGTCGGTGGGCTCGCTCACCACCTTCGGCCCGTCCGAGACGGTAGGCAGTACCTAAGGAGTGCCGACTAGTTGCAACGACTAACGGGATAAACAGACTGAGTTCATCACCATCAACGCCATCCGCCTCAAGAAGGTAAGCTACCGGCCCTTTCTGACGGTTCTCCGAAACGGTGCGCTAACTCTGTAGCAGTACAGACTTCAGATGGCCGAGGCTGGCATAGAGCTTTAAAGTAGCGAGTCCGGGGCGGCGCAGAATCAGGACGGGGGCATCGCATGATGGTCGTGGAGCATGTCGATGGTGTGTTGGCGCAGGTCCGATCTGACGAGTGCGGTCGGAACGGCGCAACCCGTAGGAGTGGTATGCAAGTAAAAAAGCTAAGGAGCTTACGGGCTAGAGGAATCTAAAGTACCTACACACAGCAATTAGGTACATATCTCGCGAGCGCTATGTGAGTGCGTAGAGCTTCGAGCTAGGGTTAGGTTCCATATAAGAGGAGGTGCCCACTCATAATACTATAGAGAGCTAAATGAATTATGGCCCGCCTTATACGTGCCTGGCAATGTGCCTGCGAGTGGCTAACTTGATACGGTCAGACACCGTATGTGGGTAAATAACTATCGGATGGATGATGGTGTGGCATGACCGCATGCAGTTTACCGCGCGGTAAAAACGAGGACATTCCCACATGCATATCCATCCCACATATCTATCTAACCCTATTGAGAGGGAGCCCGTATGATAATAAGGAGAGAGAGAGAGAGGCTCAATTTTTTACCAAGTGCAGCTGGAAGATGATCAGAAGATTATCCGTCGCCGTAAGACCGAGATGGATTGCCGTGAGCGCCTCAGGTAGGTACCTAAGGTAGGTAAACGGCCAAGCCTATTATCTTGTAAGACATACCGAGCTGCTATATTACTACCTTGGGTGCTTGATGCGATACTACCTAGCCTATATGTAATACTGATGCAGTCTGACACTGCTACTAGCAGTGCTAATAATAAGAATCCCTAGGTATATGCCTAGCTTAGGCCGCCTACCGAGTATTACCGTTACCTAAGTGCCTATCTCTCCTGTTTCTCGCATCGAGTCTACGACATGGTAGAGTACTTGGGTAACTACGGGAGGTAAGGTAGGTAGGAGGTAGGTATTGTTGGGATGCAGAGAGAAGCGAAGGCACAAGGCATTGATGGCATTGGTCTCTACGGGAAAACACAACATATAGCGTATATTGTTGCGTCGTATTCTCTCACCAAGCGTCTGGCTCCCAAGCAAGCTTGCCACACACACATTCCGGGCATACCTATTACATGCAGCGTGGCAGTTGGATGTCACCCGTCGAGGAGGAGAGGCGGCCCAGCGACTGACGGAGAGTAGCATGCGGCAAACGCGAGCCCGCACCGTGACCTCCCCCCCCCATTCACAAGCTCTTGAGTTGCAACTGGCGACGATTCCCGTACGGAGCATCCAACACCTACATGATCTCGGAGGCCATCCACCCACACACACACACACACACCCAACCAGTCCAGCTACTTACCCATCTCCCACGTAGGTAATATGCACACACGCGCTTTCACACTCGCTCGCATACGCACACCCGCAACGCCCCGGGACCAAATTTCAGTCGATGCAACACCCGCCTACGCATCGAGAAAAGACTCCGAGAGCCCCCTACCAACCGGATCCTACCGCAACCCTTCCAGCGCTTCTAGAACAGGTACGCCCGCCGCCCTTTTTTTTTTTTTCTTTCTTTCCCTTCTCCTCCCCTGCGGGCAGAGGGCGCAGCAAGGAGGGCCACCTCCTTTTTCCCCTTCCCCTCCGTCCCTCCCTCACCTGAAAGCCTACCTACATGTACCTACATTCACACACTCGCCAATACGGTAAGTCCAAGCGTGCGTTTCTGTGTCCGCGCGCACGCATACGACAATCTCAGGTAGCTCTAGATACCTACCTACCTACCTGACCTCCTCCACGGACACATGAAGAGGCCGGGCCGGGCAGGCAGGCCGGCATATATACCTAGGCACCTACCTACCTATCCTACACACTAGACACGTACTCGCAATGTACGCGCCCAAGACAGCCCAGTCCAGTCCTCCGGCTCGGCTCCCGCGCATGCGAGGACGCAGAGTTGGCGGCCGTTTTCTTCAGCAGCAGACGTTGCGTTGTTGTTTGGTTGCTGCACCTGGGCGTACCTAGCTAGATAAGAAGTGTGTGTGCCACGCAAGACGCACGAATACTGCATAACCTACCTACCTACCTACCTACCTACCTAATATCTGCGTCGCCTCCCTCGCCCCTATTCCCGCGCAGGACGGCGGGAGAAGGGGGGGAGAGAGACACCCATCATCCCTGGCGAAAATGGCGACGCAGCCGTGTCTTCGTCCATGTCTTGCTTTCTTTCTCTCTTTCGTTCTCCCCCCCCCCCCCCCCCCCCCCCCCATCCGCACTGCCGGGGGCTGACTTGGCGAGACGCGAGAGAGGGGGGGCCGCGGAATGGGAAATCTGGCCGTGCCTGCGTCCGCATACGCGCCGTCGCGACGAGGGGGGGAAGGGGGCGGGGGGGCGGACGCCAACTGGTATGCTTACGGCGTGTGTGCACACGTACCTAGGTAGGTACGCAACGCACGCACGCACACATGTCTACTTACGATAACCTGCCTGCGCGCGCGGGTATGTTAGGGTAGGTAGGTATGTAGGTAATGTGCGTATGCGCGTAGAGACTCAGGCACGCGCCGCAGGCTGGGCAGGCTGGGCAGGACCACGAGACGGCAGCGCGAAATTTCGTTTAATATCTCCGTTTATGCCTCAGCCGGGGACCGGATTGTCCACCCTCCTCCTCCTCCCCCCCCGCCGACCTGTGTGTGTTCGATGCCGTCTCGCCCTAGAGGGCTTCGCGTCCGACGGCGTGTTACGTGCATTGGGTGTGTTTATCTCGGATCGGCTGGACCCGTGCTGGCGAGAGCGAGCACACGTGGGCGGCAGGAGGTGGGTAGGTAGGTATAGCAGAATGGCACGCCTATATAGGTATTGGGTACGCGTGTGGTAGGTGGCTATAGGATATATATATATATATATATATATATATGCCTATAGGTATGGGTATATTTAAGTATATCGTCGTAGATCTCTCTCTCTCTCTATATATATCCTCTATACCTTGTCCGTATCCTTACGCACCTAGATCCCTTATCTAGGTAGGTAACCCTACCTGCTCTCATCCAGCCGCACACCTCGCGCTAGCGGGGAGTCCTCGGCGCGCCGGGAGCTGGCTGCGCTACGATTGGAAACCTCCCATGGCTCGCAACATCACCCTCGTCCGAGCGCGTGCGGCTCCGGGCCTGTCCGCGAGCCCGGACCTAGCAAGGTCGCATGCCTGCCTACATAGGTATATACATGCGCATGCGCATACCTACCTAGGTATGCTGACGGCAAGTGCTGACGGTAACTTGTTAGCCTGCCCGCGCTCTCTCGGCGACAGCGAGGCCTCCTCTCCCCCCCCTCCCTCCGAAACGCTTTACCCTTCTCCCCTTCCCCTCCTCCGCCACCGCGCCACGTAATATGGGCACACACGTACATGCACCAGCGGGCAGGCAAGCAAGCAGGAAGAAGCTTATCACCAACCCCGTCGTGTACGGCGCGCGCGCGCGAACGACATTCGCTGTGCTCCTCCTCCTCGTGGGGAGAGGACCGGGGGGGCGGGGACAGGGCCCGAGCCACGGAGCCTGTTTCGGGCACGCATTGGATAATTAATCATTACCTAATATCCAGGGGGTTATTAGCTTCAGCCTCTGCCTGGCCGCTGCCTACCTCCCCCCTTTTCCTTGGCGCCGTCCGAGCTCGTTCTATGGATATCTTCGTCCTCTTCTTCGTACAGGTAATCACGCCTACCCTCTCGTGCGCGCAGGTGTCTTGGGCACGGCTGACCCGGGCTAGTCTCCCCGATCGCGGCCGGGCAGAGAGGTTCTCGAAAGGCCCCCTTTCCCCTCGCCGACGGCGTCCCTCCTCCGGAATCGTCCGGCGTCGAGGAGCACGCGAAACATGTCGATGTGAAACATCGACGCCGCGCGGTGTGCCACGTAGCCCTGCCTAGGGGCCGCCGGCAGCTAGGCAGGATCGGGGCTGCCTGGGGCACTGGTGGGGATACCCAGACCACCGGTGACGTCTGCGAGAGAGACAGACAGAGAGAGAGAGAGAGCTATCGCCGTAGCTCGGGCCCTCGGTTGGCTCGCTCTATAGCAACGAGCTATACTGCCTTGGGCATAGAGGGAAGCCTCCTCTACGGCCCAGGTATTCGGTGCGCATCTCTCTCTCTGTGTCCCTCTCCTCGGGTATATGTAGGTATGTGATCCTTTGCCTCGGTATTCTTTCTCTTTACTTTCAGTATACCACCCCCTCCCCTATACTTAGCACGAGAGGGATTCCCGAACTTGGCGTCCCGATGCCCGGGTTAAGATTATATTCATGTGATATTTCGACAGGCAGTAGTAATAGTAGATCAGGGCGAGAATTCTGTGGAGAATTCTCATGCCACGCTTTTTCCTAAGGGACCTTCAAGATAGCCCTCGGTCCAAAAGCCCTCGCGAGGTCCCCGATCTCCCATGACTTGGCTCTATTGTATTCGACAGCACATCTTTGCTTAGCTTTCTTCCGCCCTTCTTGGTTTTCTTTTTTTTCTTCCTCGAGTTTCGGTTGCCCGTACCCTTACGCCATTCTTTCCATCTCGCCCTCAATCTATATGTGCTGTAATTCATGTGTATGGGGTATATACGTAGGTTGGAGACTGAGCTCGTAACCGAAACCGAAAAAAAAACACCACCATCATCAATCAAGACTGCGTTTTACGAAAACTCGGTCGGCTGTTATGGTTTGGGCTCTGACTCCTGCCACCGGTTGCTGCTTAGACTCTCTCACGCACTCGAAGACCCCTCCTCGGAACTTCGCCCTCCCCGCCTCTTTTCGGTCAGCGCGTCCACGCCCAACCCGATGCCCTTCTTCCGCCCCTTGACGATGGCGAGCAGCGCGCGCCCGACGGCCCCGAGATCGCCTAGCATCGTGATGTGGCCGCGGTCCGTGCTCACGCGCCCGCCCCGCGCGATCTCGTAGCCGGGCGGCGGCATCGCCTCGCGCGCCAGCACGACTCCGTCGCCGCTGCGGAACGCGAGGTCGTCGTACGTGTCCGAACACGCGATCGCCTCCCGCGACCCCACCTGCGCCGCCCACACCGTCGGCACCTCCTTCCCGTAAATCACCGCCAACGGCGGGTACGCATTCGCTGCCGCGTGGTCCTCCCGGTGAGCCGTCTCCGCTCGGAATCGTTTTGCGTCCGCCAGCGTCCGTCCCAGGTACTCTAGGTTGCGCGCTCGCACCGCCGCGGCGCTGCCGCCGTCGCGTTCCGGGCTGTGCTGCTGCTGCCGGTTCGACTGGGAGGCAGCGCTCCCATCGCCTTGCAGGGTGCCCATCTGCGGCGCTAGCGTCCGGTCGTGGGACACCTCAACCTTCCGCAAGGCGGTGACGGCGTTCTCCATGCTAAAAGCCCAGGTCGGAGAGCGAGACTCGCTGGCGGCACTATTGCCGCGGCTCCTCAGCGGCGTTGGAAGCTTCTCAGAGAACTCCCGCAGCGAGCTGAGAGCGCCGGTGCGGGACTTGTAGGCCGGCAGTGGTTGCCCGACGCATGGGCTCAGGCAGTATTTTGCCCACTCCTGCGGGTCGAAGAAGTCGATGGGATACTGCTCCCCGGTGTGCTTGTTTATGAAGCAAAACCCGTCTTCTGGCAGGAATATGAAGGACGTCCTTAGGGAAAAGTTGACTTGTGCCGTGAGCACCTTCTCGTTGAAGAGCACGGCGTCGCCGTTCCGGAATGGGCCCAGGATATTTATACATCGCTGTGGTGTTCCTGCATAAAGCACTCCCGAGACTAGTTCCGGTCGTTGGTTCACGGCGTGGCGGGTGATGATGCCGCCGAGGCTATGCGCGATAAGCCACGCGCCTCTCTTCTCCGGCGGACCCTTCCCCTGGTTTGACGGGAGCCCTTCCAGAAAGGTGACCAATTTTCGGGAGAGCAGATGAGGGCTCAGCCGCCAGTCGTATCCGTAGTCCCACACTCTGAGCTTTCCTGTTCTAGCGTTCTCACATTCCCTTAACCTCTTGAACAGGCGTTTTGATATGTCGATAGGTCCTATGTTCTTGAGCATGCCAGACGCATAGATGGATTCCTCCATCCTCTCCTCGTCTTCAGGATCCAGGCCAACCTCCAGATTTACCTTTCGGATGTTCAACCCGACCTTCACCGGCACCCAGACTTGGCGGTTGGTTTTCGTCGATCTTAGCACGGAGCCACGGTACCCGCCCATAATCACAACGTCGCCCGTCAAGAGCTCCAGGGCGCGGTCTAGATCCGATAAGCCGTCGTCTTTCACTGTGGAGGAGCCAGCTTCGAAGGTCGCCGAAGTACGCGACGTGCCCGATAAAGATGCCTCCGACTGCTCGAACCCTAGCAGCGAGTTTCTCTTTAGTGGAGTAGGGATGATGCTGGGCAGCTGGGGCAGTTTGAATGTCGGCCGGTCCCAGCTATCCGTGATGGCCTTGAATCGGCTGTTCGTCTGCTCTCGGGTGTCGTTCCATCTATCGTCGTCACCGAAGGACGACACCCTAGACAGAGAATGGTACAGCATGGACTCGTCCGATGTCGACCTGCGGACCGTTCGCGGCCTCAGCGACGGCGGAGAGAGTGCAGAGCTTTCGGCGGGCGGGATGGGTAAGGACATGAGGGACTGTCTATTTGCCGGCGGGGCCATGCTCCTAGAACTTACATTCCGCGTCTCGTCGAAGAGCGACGCGAGCTTTTTGGCCTCGGCCGTGCTACCGCTTGACAGAGTGGCCCGTTTTGCCTCGGATCCCACGGGTTTTGGCGAAGAGGGCCCCGAGAAGAATGACTGGAGGGAGATGGACGGCATGGAAGGGAACGCGTCGCGTATCCTCTTGAGCGCATCAGCGCCGCCGGAGGAAGAACGGCGGTGCCTGCTCTGGCCGAACACGGAGGATAACGTAGGCCGCGGACCCGACTCGTTCTGCACGACCATCTGCTTCGGCCCCGCCTGCCAAGGAGACGGGAATCTGACGGTCGGGGTTTGGCTCGGACGCGATGGACCCGGCGACAAGCCCCCAATCGGGCGTATCGAGGCCTTGGTCGCCGTTCGGCGGTATGCCTCGCCGCTTGATTGGTCCGCCGCCGACGAGGGCAAACTCTCCGGCTCGGCGGAGACGATGTTATCGATGACACCGAACAAGCCACCTCCCGGCAGCCGCTCCATTGCCGCCGCCTTCTCCTCCGCCGACGTCTGGGGCAGGGTGAGCCTCGTTGCCGCGGGGCTCAAGGACGGCTGTATGATAGATTGAGCATCATCCTCGCCAATTGGTATCGGCTCTTCATCCGGCACAACATCAGATGCGGGCGACACCTCTCCGTCGGAGACCACCAAGCTGGGCGTCTCCGGCGCGCCCAGCGGAGATCCCCCCCGGGCCTCCGGTGCCATTGTGATCGCCATCGGTGCTTGCGTCGATCCCGTCCTAGCTAGACAAGACCATCTGCCGTATGAAAGTAGTAGAAGTAGCCGGACTGCGGCTGCTCGGCGTGAGGTTATCGTGGAGGAAAAGTCGAGGGAGAGGGTCTAGTAGGTCAGATTAACTAGGAAATAGCCAGGGTCGCATGGCCGGAAGCGCCGGGAATCGAGTAGCTTGACAGACACTTATCCGGGCTCGTCCAGGAGAATAACGGGCCGGCCTAATTAGGTATTTTAGTCGGGTGTCGAGAGAGTCGAACTCGTGACTATGGGGAAAAGAGACGATGGGAGGCGAAAGCAGCAGGCAGGTTGACGCTAGCAGGGCTGGCTAGGGACGGATCGCTGTGTAAGCCAATTCGCCGAGGGACCCTTTTTTTTTACCTTTCTTTTTTTTATTCCTCCTTCCTTCCTCTTTTCTTTTCTCCCTCTTTCCTTCTTTTGCTTTCTTCTTCTTTTCTTTTTATCTGGTGTTATTTTGTTTTTGTCTTCTTCGTCCTTTCTTATGTCTTATATAATTTTCTCAAATCCGGGCGCTTTTGGTATCCCCGTCTTTCGGTTCCTGGTCTCCCCTCGCTCGCCTTTGTGCCCTCTGCTACCTACCCCGAGGACAGGTAGGGGACTGCTGCGGAGACCCAAATCGCGACCTGCCCGACCTGCCCTATCGGTTTCGTCTATCCAGGTGATGGGTCGCAGGGTATTATTGCTTTCGATGGGGCCGGCGCTGGCTTTTCACGTGTCAGGTCGCAGCACGATGGCTGGGATGGATGGCGTTTCCACGGAACGAACGAGCCCACCGCGGACGATAGCAAGCTCACTTATTGATGGGAGGGGCAGAAAACGAAGACACGGCGTTCGAGGGATTTGCATCCAATCCTCTTGTTATTATTACCGAACGTGGATCTGCCCATCAGCTTATCTCCACTAATAGCAATCTGTACCTATATAGCAGCTCGTCCACCCGTGTCGCCCCCATCTGGCGTGTATAACCAACGTACCGCTTGGACATGCCCTACGCCCATCTTGTTTGTAGTAGTGCGGCCGGTGTCCTGGGTAGTTAGTTGGTGGCCTTCGGCTGGCAGCATCTCACGGAGACGTACAGATGGGCATAGCCACCTATCATGCATTCCCAACCACAGCTTTTCCTGGTGACACGTACCCGGGGCCATCTGCGTGTCTCCTCTCTGAGACGGAAGGATTCGTCGTGTGTCGGGGGTGAATCCCTTCGCCATCCCCGCCTGGCCACAGCCTCCGCGCGGTCGTTGGCCCAGGCGGATATGGACCGTGGGAACCCTTACGAGGAAGCGCGCGTATGTAGGTTAGGTACGTCTGGACAGACACACGTACGCCGCCTCCGTACCTACAAATCATACACCCATCACAACGTCTCCATCCGGAACGGCATCCTGTTACACATAGCTAGCATGAAGTGAAATCGAAGCGACGGGGCGCAAAACTGCCAGTAGATAGATGCATGGCAACGGTGAAGGCTTGTAGTAGACTTGCAAATAAGGATAGATTTGGGGGCTGGCGTAAGCTTGTACCTATACCATCTAACCTTGACCCGGCTCTGCTAAGAGGTACTAAGGTAAGTACCTCGGTAGGGAGGAAGGCCGCGGCCGTGGGGGCCGAATTTCTAGACACTTCCTAATGCGGAACACCTGACGTCACATATACGCTGCTCCTCTACTCGTAGGGCAAATGCCAATGCGGAGGCGGTATCCGACACCCACGTACCTGTACTTACCCGCCTCTCACACCTAGGTGCCTCCGCCTACCACCTGAGCGGCGTCTCAGTCGAATAGCTTAGCATGTTAGGCGCCTTTCTACCTACCTATCGAACGGCAGTGCTCGGAACGGGGTATGCTGCTACGAACCTCCGGGACCTCGGCTCGGGACTCTCGTGAATTTCGAAGAGTGAGGTTACGGGCGGGGTTGCTAGGTTGACCGCTACTGTGGGTTCTCTCTCCCTCCCGCTCCCGGCCCATTCCCATATGATAGCATATATTATTACATTAGGTATCTCATGTTAGTACCTAAATATGCCCCGTCTATATCATAATATCCGAAAAGGCAAATCGGGCTTGCTCAGGTGTAAGATCCCCCCGATCATAGTCATCTAATAAGCGAGCTGGTTGTCCCTAGCGGGACGTGGCAGAATTGGTATGCTGGCAAGGGATATCACAGCGAGAACCTGATGCCTAAGCTCGAGTCTATCTCCTTGATCTTCGCCTCCGATTTCTTATACCCGGGGTGGGCCGCTAGCCTTTCGATATATGCGAACAGCCTGGGGAACAGCGTCTTGGGCCCGCCGCTTTCCCACGCGCCAAAGGACTCGAACTTGTCTTTGGCCGTGATGAGGCCGAAGCTGAGGAGCACATCTGCCGACGTAAGCTCCGGGCCGCACAAGTAGTCGCCCCCCGAAGTCTTCAGCTGCTGCTCCAGGAAGCTCAGCTGCGCCTTCACGTTCGGGAAGACGAGGCTGCTGAAGAGTTGCCTAGCCACCATCGACGTGATCGGGCGAAGGAAGAAGGGGATCGTGGGGCTGCTGAGCACTCCCAGCACCATGGCCATGATCAGCATCGGCATCAGCGACCCTTCGACGAAATGCAGATAGTATTGCCACCGTAGCCACTGCTCCGTCTCGCCCCCGACCTTGCCCTCCTGGCCGTCCTTCCAACGCCTGGGCATCATGGTCGTGTTCCCGCCGAAATGCTCGCTGAGGTATTGGGTGATGAACCCGCTCTCGGCGAGGACAATGGGCTCGGCAGACCCCACCGGCGTGACCGAGATGACGGGAGACTTGCCGAGCGGATGGATTTTCTTCAGTTCCGGCGGGGCGAACTTGTCGACTCGGCGGAAGGTTTCGAGCTCGTAGGGCACCTTGAGCTCCTCTAGGAGCCAGAGTATGTTTTGAGCACGGGACTGCTCCAACCTAATCGGGGCACGGTAAGTATGAGTACGGTCTAGATATGTCCCGCGATGGCAACGAAGAGGGCGTACCAGTAGAGCTTAACCTTGGGTTGATCGGCGGCAGCCATGGTTACTAAAGGGCCCGGACGGAGATTCGTGGAAATGAATAGCAAGAAACAGGGACTCGGATACGAAGCAGCAACTGAAGTTGAATAGGACGTGTGAACGATTCCCAATAGGTGGTGAGGGACCGGGTAGGTTATAAAGACATCAATTGCCGGCACGATGTCACGCCGTATCCGTCCCTTATAAACGACGTGCCTAGTCTTTACGGAAAGTGACGGTGCCACGGCATGGAGGAAAAGCCCTCATCAATACGGCGGGCTCCTTGATTGAAGCCCGATGGTCGACGTAATCGATATGCGGCTGTGAAGCACATTGTTGAACCTCGCCATAACATCGAGGATGCCGAGGCATAACATGCCACCCTTGTCCACAAGGTACAAAGCCTTTTATTGCGTCTCATATAGACTCGCCTCGTGTACCTACATGAAGCTTCACAAGAGGCCACTCACGTCTGCGAAGGGGATGGCCCACATTCCTAAGTGGCCGCAACATGGTCTTAGTTAGGTAGGTAGACCTGGTATCGGAGCAAAGTCGAGGTAGACGATGGGGGTGACCTCATGATCCTGTGAGCACCGATCGCGCTGCCACCCACAGGGTCCCACACGGGATTCGCACGCGCCGAAGCCGAAGCCCTTGGTATGGGTGACATGAAAGTACTAGTACCAAACATACCCGAAGCGCATTCCGCCACGCTGTGGCTTGACAACGTCGTCCGACGCAACCACCTGGGAATACAACCGAGCCACCAAGGTCTGGCAGAGCGCCGCATTGAAGCGTCCATCGAACCCAGACCAACCCGAGTTAACGACTCGAGAATCGCCTATCTAAGCACATCGCCATCTACTCCGTGGTGATTTCCCACCCCCGTCAAGATGGCCGGAGTACAGCACTACCGTACGCAACCCCAGACCCCCCGACGCAGCGCTTGGCGATGGCGATGCTTGTGCGAGCGAAGCAGAGACTAACGAACTGTCCGATAATGTTAGGCCTGGCTCTGGACCCGAGCCTCCAGAAAGCGAGGGGTACGTCTTCCCCCCCCCCCCCCCCTTCCCCCTCTCCCGACGGCGGCGACGGAGTGTACGTCGGAGTGTACAATGCCCGAAGCAGGAGGAGCTGGCCGGGAGGACGGGATTGCCGCTGACCTCTCCCGCCTCGCAGATGTGACCCTGGGACGCTACAAGTACTTCAAATTCAACCGACGGAGCGCCCACATAACCTTCACGTTGGTCTTCATCGTGCCGACTATCCTGGGCATCGTCGCGTACCAGACAGACGTGAGTACACCGACCTGATTCCCCGTCGTCTTCGTCTCGTGCAGCCTCCCCCCAAGCGCCCCTCGCCCGGGGCCCTCGCTGCGTATGCTCGCGAGGAATTATACTGACGCAGACCCGACTTGTCGCGACCTAGGGAAAATTCGACTTTCGAGCGAAGAGGCGGGGCGATAGCATTCTCGAGTACTAAGCTCATTGCGGGAATGCGTGGGAACCTGGCCGGTTGTACATAAAGGAGAAAGCATCCGACACTCGACGGCACAAACCCAGACGCTATATGGGCCAGCGGAGTCCTATATTACCAACGTGACACTGCCGCGTATTGGAGACGGAGGGTTCCGAGGGGTGGTGAGGGGTTATCCACCAAGGACGTAGGCATTTGTTTACCTTCCTCGACGGTCAGCAGCTTCTCGAGGCAAGGCTATTTCGGGCTCACGGAACAGAGAGAGCACCGGGGTTCGGAATCGGGAGGCCAGCCGGCAATGGCAACAAGCATGTGGTCAAGTCATCCTTGATTTACCAGTAGACGTCTATGTACTGCGGCTAGCCCGAAAATTCTACCCCCATAAAGACAGCCCCCGTAGCACCGGAAACATACATCGTAAATCGTGAAAAGCAGAATTCAACAATCTGATAAAAGGAAAGGCGGGCCAAGGGTATCTACATGCAATCTCTTCCCATGCTAATGCTGAACGCTGGTAAACAAAAGGAAGGAAGGAAAGCTCGTATCGTGATCTGCCCACGTCGAGTTAGCCATCCTCTCATACAGGAATAGCGTATTCGGGGACTGGGATGAGGGAACGCTGAGCGAAACTCACTTCGTCATTGGAACCAGACGCGCCGCTTTTTTTGATATTGTTTTTTTTTTAATTCCCCGTTAAGACAAAGGTGATATCCCTCTCCACTAGTACCGTTAAAACCTAGAGTTCAGTCGATGTCACCCCGACCGCCCTGGGGCTAGGATATTTTTCTTCTTTTTTTTTCCCTTCCTACCTCCTCTCCGTCTCCCGATAATATGCAACAATCCAACCGCCGCACCTTAGTATCGTCCTCGTGCTCTGCCCCGCCCCGAGGGTGGCACGTCCGGTAGTCTCTCTCCTCTCCGCCACTCGCCCATCGGTATGCCACTGCTTCGAGTCCCGAATCCGTCGTATGCCCTCCCGCTGTTCCTCCCCCTATTAAAACGCGGGTTCCCGTTCTCGTACTCCCTCCCGCCGCCGGCGCTGCCGGGCGCCCGTCCCAGGATGATTCGCGACTCGCCGACACCAGCCCCCCGTCCGGTCCTCGCGCTCGACGCCGGCGCCACGGACCCGTCCGGGAGCGCGGGCAGGATGGCACACGAGATGAAGTCTCCGGTGACGAACCGGGCCTCGCCGAGGGTCTTTTCGCCCTCGTTCTCGAGCTCCTTCTCGCCCTCGGGGTCGTCGGGGTCGAGGCCGGCACCGCCGTTGCCGATGACCACGCTACCCAGGTCCTTGACCATGTATTTCACCGGCCCGGCCCCCGCTCCCGTCCCCGGTTCCGGCCTGGCGCCAGGACCTGGCTGCTGGGCCGGGGCGCCGCCCCTCGTGTCTGGGAAGATGAGGCGGTAGACCAGGCGCGTGCCGATGGCCGGGTTGGGGAGGGCGGAGGTGTTTTCGGAGGCGAGGTGGTAGGTGAGCTCCGTCAGGTTGCAGTCGGGCCACGTGTGGAACGTTACGTGCGGCGGCAGCGTCGACGCGGTGAATTCGTCAGGTCTGGGAGGGCACAGGCGCGTGGTCAGTAGGCTACTCGACCGGCGAGGCCTCTGGGCCCGGATGGGCGAAGTAGCTAGGGGGGGTGCATGAACATACCTGTGAAAGGCTCCGGTTCGATAGAACAACCGGACGGTAAAAGGAGGTGTAGCGTAGCGATCCATAGTGACGTATTACTTTGCCCGCGTACCTAAACACCTTCGTCGTCGGGCCTGATGTAAGGGGGACGGGCCTTCAGATCATGTTCGTCTCGCGTGCGAAGTACGGATGGTATTAGTAGTGTACACGGGGAATGGGTAGGGAGGAATTGAAGAATCGAATGAGAAGGAGAAGAACAAAAAAGAAACAGAAATTTAAGCCGTGGAGTCGAGGCTCGAAGCAGTGATCGACGAGGCGGGCAAGTGGACGACCTACGTAGGTATACGTAGCCGCGGAGCAAGCTCGTTTGGAGCTTCGAGTGGCAGCGCGTACGTACTGTGTATGATGTACCTGGGCAGCCAATTTGCCTGGGGGCGGTACGGCGGAACGGGCACGTCGCGCAAGTACAACCTACCTACGTAGCAGGTGGGGATTGTAATCGAGAAGACGCGGGCGGTGACGGCTGGTGGGGCCGTGTCGTGGCCAGACTGCAATATTGGTGGTGGAAGGGCGCTGAAGATCTTACGTACCGAGGTATCCCTGGGCGGTCCCTCTATCGACTCTACCTGGCTGCTCCCGTCCACCTGGTACATTGCACATTGCACGGTACTTTGCATGGTACTTTGCATGCTCAGCGTATAGTAGGTTAGGTACCTCCTACCTCTCCCTGGCCGGACAGACCTCGCGTGCCTGGCGGTGTCCGTGATGTAACCTGGTAACGACCCTGGGCCCCCTTTTTACTTTTTTTGCCCCTTTCTATCCGCTCCGTCGGCTCGGCAAGTCGGCGTTACCTGTAGCGCCCAGCCACGCAGCCCTTCGCTGCGATAAGCGATAACGAACCTCTGGGTTCCGACCAACCGTTTGCCCGCTAAGCCTTGCCTACCAACACCTATTCCGTAAGGCTAGCCCGCGTCTACTGCTACAATACCATTGCTCTCTACTCCCACCACGCCAAGTTGCCAGCATCCAACCGACCAACCAAACCCTCCGAAACGGGAATAACAGATTGCAACCCTTTCCAACAGCAAGCCGAAGCACCCCCATACGCGAACCGAGAGAAGCAAAGAAAACTAGACCGCTGCCCGGCAAGATGGATTTCGCATCCCTCATGGCCAAGGAGCTCGCGAAGGCGAAGCCACCCGCGGCGACCTCCAAACCGACATCCTCCTCATCACCGTCCGCCGCCGAACCCTCCCCGTCGTCCGCGAACAAGAAATACATGCGGCGCTCCGAGGCCGAGGCGCAGCGCGAGGCCGCGTACCGCGCCGAGCAGGCGGCGCTCGAGGAGAAGCGGGCGGCGCGGGCGGCGGAGAAGCGCAAGCGCGAGGAGGAGGCGGCGGAGGAGGGGCGGGCGCGGGAGGAGAAGCGGCGGCGGCTGGAGGAGGAGACGCGGCGGCGGCGGGCCGAGCAGGCGGCGGAGGAGGAGCGGCGGCGGCGGAAGCGCCTCGGGCTGCCGGAGCGGCCGCCGTCGGGCGCGGCGGGCGAGGACGGCGCGGCTGCTGCCGCCGCCGCCGACGACGCCGACGCGCCCGACGACCTGCCCGACGCCGAGCTCGTCGCCGAGCTGCGCGCGCGCGGCGAGCCCGCCACGCTGTTCGGCGAGACGCACCGCGCGAGGCTGCGGCGGTACCGCCGGCTGACGGGCGCGGCGACGGCGACGGCGGCGGCGGCAGCAGCAGCCGGCCCCATCCCGACCACGCTGCGGCTCGTCGACGAGGCGGAGATGAAGGTGGACGCGGCGGCGATCCCGCAGGACCGCGCGGGGCGGCAGTACCTGTTCCGGCAGCTGGCGTCGTACTTCACGATGGTGCTGCGGGAGTGGGAGGGGGCGCTGGCGCGGGAGCAGGCGTCGGGGGCGGGGGCGGGGGAGCCGGCGAGCTTCGCGGCCAAGGCGGCGGTGAACGCGATGGTGTCGAGCCGGGCGAACATGGCGCCGCTGTTCCGGCGGTTCGAGAAGGGCGACCTCGAGGACGACATCCTCCGCCCCGTGGTGGAGATCGTGCAGGCGGCGCAGGAGCGCCGCTACGTCGACGCCAACGACGGCTACCTCCGCCTCAGCATCGGCAAGGCCGCCTGGCCCATCGGCGTCACCATGGTCGGCATCCACGAGCGCTCCGCCCGCGAGAAGCTGCACAACGGCGAGCGCGGCCACATCATGAGCGACGAGGTCACCCGCAAGTACCTCCAGAGCATCAAGCGCTGCCTCACCTTCGCCCAGGTCCGCTGGCCCCCCGAGGACATCCGCCAGATGATGGGCTGAATTCGCGCGAGATGGGAGAGAAAAAAGGTAGAAACGAAAATAATAGTGGCATACTTAGTTTTACCAATGGGAACAAGAAGAATAAGAAGGGGAAACCCCTCATTAACTATCTGGGTATTCATGAATCTCAACGTCGTCAACGGTGGGCGTGTGTATCGTGAACCGTACGTACAGTTGGGAACAGCCGCCTTCATGAAGCTCTCTGCGAGCATACTGATGCAATATCCGTGACGCCTCTATCCTAGCAACTCCGGGTTTCCTCGGGCATTCCGACGCACTGTATTACCGGCTACACATCCGGACCCTTTTTGCTTCCATCGGCCTGTGATCTCTCCACGCTTCCCTTGCCGGCTCGCGTTTTTAAAGTCCCGCATTAGGTTCGTAATGCTCCTCTTGATCGTAGCCAGGCTACGAGGACGCATCTGCCTACGACGTCATTGTCGTGTCTACAGAATTCTCGTTCCTCCTAGCTTCGTCCAGCCATATCTCGCCTACTCCGGGAAGAGGCCCCATTGACCCGTCAAGCCTCGAGCCAGCCGCCTTGGGAGGGACTTTGACCTCCAGGTTGGCTGCCGCAAGGCTCATTCGTCGGAGTCGCTCGATGGCCTCCTTCTCGTAGTTCTGGGCAGCTAGTAAGCCTTCTGTCTGCATCGCGACCCGAGCGTCGACAGAAACGGCAACAAGGAGCTGGATCGCAGTATCGTTAGTGACATACGGACGGTAGAAGGCACAATTTTAGCTTACTTTGTCGATGGTGTTGATCCGAGCGTTCAAAACACCGCTCTTGATCATAGAAATAAGCTCGTCTTGAAGGGACTCGCCGGGTTTGGCGAATGCGGTATTCAAGCTATCGAGAGTAACACATGAAAACGGTAGGAAGTATTGGATAATGCATTTGTTCCGAATCTGTGAGTAGAGGGGCGCGACATGTTTTTGAAGGTGAATGTCGAGAAGGTAATCGTTTCGGTAGGACTCTAGAATGTCTAAGCAGGACGAGTATCGGCCGTTCACGAACATGGAGACGGCCTTGCGGATGTGCGACTCCACCTCGAGGAAGTTTCTGAAGCTAGGGTTGTCCAAGACTCGGGATTGAAGCTCTACTCGGTCCATCGAGGCTAGTGCTAGCAGTCCGCCATAGGTGGCGATGTCGTTTGTGCTGGCAATGTCGTTGTGTTGCTGGCAGATAGACGGGTCTCCAACCTCGAGGAAGCATCGCGCAGCGTCGTAGTACTTAGCAGACCCCAGGTGCGCTAAACCGCAGACGACCTTCTGATAAGGCTGCTCGACGGTGTGCTCCTCACCAGCAAGATTCCCAGTCAGGGCCTTGCTGGCGTTCGCCAGAACCCCAGCCCAATCTCGTTTTTGCAGCATGATGCTAATAACGTGCTTGCCGACCTCCAGGATATGGGACTGCGTGCTCGCGTCGGGGCGCATCTTTATGTAGGTGTCGGCAGCCTGATTTAAGCTTCCGATAGATTCGAGATGTTCGCCGAGGTCGCGATGACCAATCTAAAGCACAGTCAGCATTGCTAGTGTCCGATTGCCGACGACTGCTTAGACCCGAGCCCGCACCCGAATGCTCTCTTTAACCAGGTTGTTCTTATAACCCTTGAGCTCGGCTTCGAGGCGTTGGGTCTCTGATTTATTTTCTTTTTCTGTCGCGGTTACCCACGCCTCATCCCATCTGGCTTCGGGCTCGTCAGGCGCGGCCATGCGGATGCATTCCCAAGCGTCGCGGTATCGCTGGACATCCTTGCCACGTCTTGCTTCGGCGATGGCGGCCTTCAGCGCATCGATACACAGCGGCACGGAACATTGGCCGATCAGGAGAAGTCGGTCGAAACGAGTACGGCCTGGTTCAGCAGGGTAAGCTACTACCGACACGAGGGCCGGGGAAACGAAGCGACGAACCCTTGTAGTTAGCTACGTACATCTCCAGGTCAAACTTGGGGGCATCTACGGCAGGAGTCAGCAGTGAGATAGGTAGGTACATCCCCACCCTCTAGGGGATCCGATCGAGGCGGCGACACACCTTTAACTATGACGCCTCCTTGGTTGTCCATGGCGGTAAAGTAGGCCAGGAGGTGCTGGTCTGCCATGATGACGGCACTGTGTGGATGTCTGCCGACGACGGAATGCTCCGGTTTGTGCGAGTGACTGGGATGCAAGCAAGTAAAGGCGATCGAAAGAGATTAGCATATGGCGACAAGTGGGTTGGTTGTTCTGACTTCTAGGAATGTTTGATGTCGAAGGTCAATCCAGAGGTCCAGGCACGTATCTGGAGGCAGGGGAGGGAGTGTCGGGTTTGGCGGGGTAGCTTAAGCCTCAGATTGGAGCTTCGAGGCTCGCCTCAGGTACCTGTATGTACCTACCCACCTAGGTACCTCCTAAGGCAGCGCCCCGTGGCCGGGTGCCAGATACCTGATTTGGGTACATTTTGGTACAGGTAATTTAGGCACGCTTAGGTACCCAATTTAGGTATCTATAGCCTAGGGTTTCAGTTAGCAGTGTTTACCTTACGGGCTAAAACAGGCAAGATCACGTTGTCTTATCGATAATATGATACGATGTTATCGCATTCTACAGAGGGGGAAATGAGTTGACATCCGGCATGACATCTGGGCACAGCTGCCAGATCATTACCTGAAGGATAGTAGGGCGTCGGGTATGATTTGCTGAGCTATCGATGGTGTGGTGGCATTTCTCGAGACGGCACAGCTGTATTGGATATCGATGTCGCAATATGTGAACCTAGAAGCTGTCACATAGATGCTATTCTCCAGGGAGTTTCCCCAAAGGCCAAGCTGCACGTGTTGCCGAAGGAGCCGCAATGATAAAATCATGTACCCAGTTAGGCTATTCGATGAGAATCTTCGTACCTACAAGGGGCGGCTGGCCTTGGCACGTGCCACTAATACACAACTGCAAACCGTTATGAAATGGTCTCTCTATCACCTACACTGGGGCAGAGTAGGAAAGGACCAATTGCTCGGCGGCCCAGCAGCTTAATCTACATATAGGGGTGCCGGTAGGTATGCTGTGGCGATGGTGGTGAAGATGGGTGACCGCGTACTATGTTGAAGATCGGATCTGTTGTTGGGGTACTGACGACTATCTTCTAGAGGTAAGAAATTTCCCCGAAACAGGCTCCCGTGAGGCCTCACAACTTTCACTTACACGGACGTCTATCATATGTATAGGTGCGCAGCACGGATAATCCATGTACCACTCACGCATAACGTCTCTATAAGTATGTACCTATATGCATACATAGGTACCTGTAGAGAACGCGGTTATACTCATGTTCCTACACTCTATACCTACATGGGCACATGTACATATGCATATACGGGCCTGTCGGTTTGTTATTTTGAAGACCGGATGAGAATCGTCGTCGTGAATACACCTACGAGATAGCTAGAGTATGGGAGCGGGAAACGCTGGCCATTCTACGTGAGAAACCCCATATCGACCAACTCTCTGCGGCGTTGAAAAAAGCGCCGTACTGAAATATCTCCCAAATTTGTACATAGATACCATGCCGCGAATAGTGCCGAGACCAAGGCACGAGCCTTGCGCTGCTGTGTGAGCTCCAATCATCGCGTACTCCGGTTCATAAGAGGCCTTGTCGGTGGAGAGGGCCAAGACAACGCTGTGCCGGTTTTCCGAGTCCTAGATACGACGATCCGAGAATGCGAAAGAACGGCGTTTCGCGCCAGCAAAGTAATCTGCAGAGGCCGAGGGCATACGTACATATACCTATACAGTATGCCGTGTCCAGGGCCAGGCACGTCACTGAGCTGAGAGCGTTGGCATCAAACTCATTACATACCGGTGTACATGGTTTCCAACACACTCGTCACTCATCACTCTTATCGCTAATATATCATACCAGTCTTTGACTGCACTTAGTCCTATCGAATTCTACTCACAACCCGCTGGGCAGGATACTGGCAGAGCACCTAACCTAAGGTAGGCCTATACATCTGTACGATGCTTATCCACTCCACTAGGGAATAAATGCCTTTTTAAGAGTCTAAGGCATGCCAAGACTAGCACAGACTCTCGGTGTACTACATAGGTAGCTACAGCACAGAAACCCCAAAAATGATGATAGCTAACGGCAGCACACTGTGTATCTCTGGCTGGTGAATGCGATTGCGATGTCATCGGCGTACTTGGGAGGCCTCCGTTGCCAAAGACCCATAGATGCTTACACATTCATATTACCTCGCGCCACAGTGGGCAACATCTTGGATATCACTGGCGAGGATCTCTCCAGAGGATATGCGCCCAGACAGACTTTAACCACGGACGTGCATACACACATACACACGTATATACCTGCCTATTACATGAGGGATAGCAAATAGCAAAAGACAGCGCGATCACCTTGTCCGTGATTTAGGTACTTTTACATATATATGGTGTGTGTGTGTCTACGTATTTTAGGCTGGAGACGGAGCACTTGCCTGGGTTGTACAAGAACGAGATGAATCTTAGTAGTTGTTACGAAGAGTTATCCGCATCTACACGTAGGGGGGCACGTATAGTAAACCCGGGTAACAAGAAAAGGAAGAAAAAAAAGGCACCCAGTCACCAGCGTTCGTGTATGGATTCATAAGTTCATACCGAACGAATCTGCGCCGAGATAGATTTGGATGTAGGCGCACATGTCGGAGATCTGTCATTCGACATCGAGCATGCCATGTATGTGTTTCCCCACGACCAATTCGAGTTTGGAGATGCGGTTGCGGCTCTGTAGGTAGGTCGGTTGCCACTATGTACACACTCGGCCAACCCGTATAGTATTACGTGGAGCACCACGTCCTAGAGGTCGACTCCGGACCACCGAATGCACCGGCGTGTTGACATTGCATTGCATCCAGCCATTAGTCAGACCCGTCGGCCAGCCCAGCCCGGAGGTGCCCAGACACGCATCCCACAGGTCTATTCTCCCCAGGTTCGGGGTTGGCGGCCTCCCGCCAACAAGCACCTACATATGTCTGTCCTTGCGCCGCTGGACATGCATAGGTACGCACGTAGGCGCCCTGGGGGCTAGTTTACGCAGGAGAGATGAGAGATATTTAGGAGTAAGGTAATGAGCAACTGTCTCGACTCGGGCCATTTCCAGAAACGGCCCGGGTTGATTGCCGCGGACCAAGTCCGGTAAACAGGGGGATGGAATCGGGTTGATGGCGTAGGCACAGAGAACGACTCCTTCTGGATACCTCCTACCTACCATAGCGGGAGGGGGGGGGTCTATCGGCAGTATGTCTACAATACTAACACGGTATAAAAGTAGTCTTTAAATGAGGTAATAATAATAAACGCTTTCTATAAGTATAAGATACTTATAGTAAAAGTTATAGTACAGATTTTATTATAATCTAATATAAATATTATGAGGTAATTACTATAATAAGATAGGTTTTTATTACCTTTTCGATATTATATTAATTTGAATATACTTTCTAGCTAGATATAATATATAATAATTATTTTAGCCTTAAAAGAGGTTACTAGATTAAGATAGCGTTCGTATTATACCTATGCCGCATCCTAAGTTTAATTCGTTTTAGCGTTATAATAAAAATACTTTTAGTTATAGTAATCCTTTTTAGGGATAGTAACAGTACTAGACATACTATCGATAGACCCCCTGTATGGTACCTAGGTAGGCAGCATAACCTCTGTCACTACAAGGATGAGGTTAGGTAGGTTAGGTACTTACGAGGCATGTATCGGAACCAGCAGGCTCGGACTCAATCCCGCCCACTGCCTGTATAAGGTTAGCTACCTGCCATATAGTAACCAGCCGGATAGCCTTCTTCACGGGACGGGACATATCAACGTCCGCGAAGATGGCCGGGATCCGTGGTCCTATGCCCAACCTACACAAACATCCGACACGCGTTTATCACAGGCACATCCTATGCTGCATACTTCTGGGGAGCACTATGAGTAAGTAGATAGGTAAAGCCATACCACAGGTAGTTGTTCAATCGGATGAGTTAGGTACCTACCTGCCTACCTGCCCCCTACAGGCGTGTTCGGTACGTTAGGTAGATACACCTAGCTAGGTACATGCGGAACCCATCGTGGATAGGAGGTACCTAGATACCTGGTACTCCAAGCTCGTACCTGCCTATCGATGGTACACAGGTGCCGGTAGAGCCAGAGGAGCAAGTGCCCCGCTCTTTTCTCCCTAGGGCTCAGGCTCAGTGGTACCACAGGCAAAAGATGTGGACAGGAGCCCAGCTTAGGTTAGATAGGTACCTAGGTACCTAGCCGCAGGTACCGCCAGAAGTTAGCCCCTCCATACCCGATAGGGAGGGGCGATGTATGGGGATACCTATAGCTACGCACGCCACGCTGAAACCGCAAGTACCGCAACGAGTGTGAACATACCTGTCTCCTCTATATGAGGGTACCTACTTTGAACCCTGAGTGCGGGTGATTGAGCGTACCTCTGTGTACTACGCAGTAGTGGTGTAGGTACCTGGTAGTTGAGTTACGCATCCATTTTGGCTGCAACTTCCAGGGCCTGTAGGCTCCCTCACCTCCCAGCGACATCCCGTCTCCCGCCTTTCCTGTCTATTTCCCACTCGCCCGCCCGCTCAATTACCACCTGCTTTCTCCTCCCACGGCCTTCCCTCCCCACACTCGAGCCACCATGTCTTTTCCTTGAACGTGTGTTCCGCCGTCCCCCCTTCGAGAAAACCCCCTTTGAGATGCCTCTATGCCTCTCAGAGCTAGACGAGTAGCCTCAGACTTCTTCGCATAGCGTGCATCCGTATCGATTATACTATCCACCTCCTCGAGCATCAGGCCGGGGCTCCCTCTGTCGGCGAGGCCAGTCGTGCGTCAGCCATCCGGCTGTAACTAGCCTCAACCAGCATCGGGCCTACTAGTTTGATATCCAACCGCGGACAGATACGTTTAGGTACCTACACAATCGGGTCCCCCCCGGCTCTTAGCTAAGTTTTTTTAAAAAAAAAAAAATCATTTCGATCCTGGATCCCGTTTTTTTATCTGGGTATTCGTCCAGTCGGGTCTCCATCTGTCGCGTTCACCACTCCTAGACGCTGATGTTGATACTGCATACCTGACCAACCTACCTATTTTTGTTACTGCCGCCACCTGGCCAGGGAGAAAAAGAAGCATCTGACCACCCGGACACCATCCGGGCAGCGAGAAAATACAATCCTCATCTGGTAGGCGTCCTCGAATACATTACTCTCCTTTGTCCCTGTATAGCCTTGCCATACCTCTTCTCCTCCCGCGCCCCATGCTGAAGGGTAGGCAGGAGACGGAGAAGAAGGGATCCAACCTATCCATATACACATACACACGATATATTCATACATTACACCTACACGTAATTTATTTGCCTACTACTTACCTGCAGCGCAGGGTGGCAGGCGTCCTCCAGGTCACGGTCTCTGCCCATCTACCTACTGTTGATCTCCTATGCTAGTCGGCTTAGGTGTCAGTCCAGCACCGCTGCCGGGCTGCTTTTCTACTACCCGAATCTTACCTCACCTCGCCCTGGGCGCTTTCTTATTATTTCCCTCCCACATAACCGCCCAGTAATACACCAGTAGCAGCCAGTCTTCCCCAGTTCTTGGTGCACGGATGATAACCTCATACCTGATTACTTTTCCCTCCCCTCTCCGTCTCCGACTTGTTTAAATCTGTTCCTATTCCGTCCTATTCTGCTGCCGGCCAACGCTGAGTCCATTTCGTTAGTCACCGTCCACGCTCGCTTGCCAACGCCCAATTGGATCGGATCCCTTCGGCGATAACTAACTTGCCACTGTACATATAGAGCTGATAATCTCTCTGCGCATCCTGGCGTTTGCCGACTCGGGTGGCTAGACGAAACGCAGCAAGATTTCCTCAAAATGCGCTGGGAAGGAAAGTCCAATCTTCTGAATAAGTGAAGAAATTGAGAAAGGAGACGGCAGCGGACTGTTCTTCGCGGAGGCAGCCAGCGTCGGCGCCCGCACCCGATCAGAGATGACACCGCTTTCTCGCTCTTCACAACCTCCTACGAATCGCGCGGCATCGGTTAAAGCCGAGGCCGCGGATGATAAAACGTCAGACAACGAGGGCTCCGTCTTGCAGACTTTAGGGACCGAGTCTCTAGCTGGGGATACGCCAGCGTCCGCCCCCCAAGGCAATCCCGCCGAGAGCTCCAGCGAAACTCCGTCCATTCCTCTCCAGAAGCGCCGGAGGGTCACACGCGCCTGCGAGTACGTGTTTCTTTTGAGGGGGGGGGGGGAACCGCCCCCTTTCGATTGCCCCTTCTAGCACGGCCCTCCGAGGTTCTCTGTGGGTCGCTTTCGAGCGGTCCGCCTGGGACGGTGCCTTGGTATCATATCACCGAGTAACATCTAGTGCCAAGATGCTGACGTTTTGGTTGGCAGTGAGTGTCGTAGGAAGAAGATCAAGTGCGACGGCAAGCAACCATGCACCCACTGTCAGGTGTATAGCTATGGTAACTCTGACTTCTCCTTTGTTAACATGGCAACCAAAGTCGCTGATGGCCTCTCGCTAGAATGCACCTACGACAAACCGTCCAATAGGCGTAGGAACCCAGCCCCGCAGTATATAGAGGCTCTGGAAAACAAACTATCGAGAGCGGAGGCATTGCTACGCAAATTCATGCCAGATGTCGACCTCAACGACCCAAGTCTGGACCCCGCGGTCCAGCAGGAGTTTCGCATGCGAGAGCAGGCCAGGCTTCGAGCTGCGGCGGCTAAGGGGAAGCAGTCGTCCAGCTCGTCATCACTAGACGCTCAATTGCACTCTATGATCGAAACTGTCGGTCAGCTCGACCTCGACGAAAAAGGCGACTATGATTTTCATGGAAATTCATCCGGCTCGGTCTTCTTCAAGAGAATGAAAGAGCATTTCCGCAGTCTTTTGGGCAGGGACTACCAGATTCCGTTTCTGCCTCGCCCGCCTAGGCCAGTTGGCATGACTGCCTTTGACTCTCCTCGGGCTTCAAGCTCGCGGGCGCCGCAAAGCAACGCTGGACACGCGTATGATTTACCCCCGAAGGAAAGGGCACTTGCCCTTTGCTCCGAGTCTCTTCATAATGCGACCTGTCTGCTACGGATTGTTCACATACCTTCTTTCTATAAGATGTTGGATGGCATATATGACAAGCCGGCGGACGCGTTTAAGAAGGACAAGAGGAGCTTAGCGCTGGCATTCTCTGTTATGGCACTCGGCTGCATGTATAACATGCCCGAGGATGACAAAACCGAGACGCCGCCGTACAAGACCGCAATCGATGAAGCGTAATTTGACGAGCCCTTCTGACGGAACTCGAGGATCGATTCGACTAATATTCTTACAGGGCCAAGTATTACAGCGCGGCCAGAGCGCTACTACAGGACATAACCGAGTGTCGAGACCTCACGTCGCTCCAGGCATTGCTCTTCATGATACTCTTTATCCAGTCGGTATCGAATTTGAGCACCTGTTACGGGTTCGTGGGAATCGCCCTTCGATCGGCGTTAAGGATGGGCTTACATCGACACCTACCTCACATTAAACTGAACCCAATAGAATCTGAGACGAGACGGAGAGTGTTCTACATATGCCGGCAGATGGACACGTATGTATCCGCGCTGCTCGGGTTCCCGTTGCTCCTCAATGACGAGGATATCGACCAACCCTTACCGACTCCCGTGGACGACCAGTTCATCACCAAAGATGAATTGCTCACGCCGATCCCCGGGACTCCGTCTTTCTTTGAGGCCTTCAACGCGCACGTGAAGCTGATGGACATCCTGGGCAAGGTTGTGAAGCACATATATCCGGTCAAGGGCATTGAACAGAGCGAGACCGAAGGCCTTGGGGAACCGTACGCGTCATATATGATCAGCTACGGGAAAATCAAGGAGCTAGAAAGGGAACTCCAGCAATGGAACGAGGAGTTGCCTGTTGCCTGGCGGCCGGATTCCGAAGGGCCCATCGAAGTCGTCCGGTAAGATAGCATGCTCTTTTAAGAAGCCGGCGAAGCCGAACTCTACTAAGTGGTTTTCCAGGGTTCGTAACCTCCTGCGATTCGCGTACGCCCACGTGCAGATGGTGCTATACAGGCCGTTTCTCCATTACGTTTCTCCGCGTATTTCCGCCGGCAAAGACGTGAACGAGCGCGCTTACGCCTGCGGGGCAGCCGGTATCAGCGTGGCGCGCAATATTGTCCACATCGGCACGGAGATGCGGAAACAGGTGTCTCTTGTCGGGCCATATTGGTTTACCCTCTTCACCGAATTCTCCGCCATCATATCCCTCGTCTTCTTCGTCCTAGAGAACCAAGACAAGCCAGGTTCTATGGAAATACTTGCTGATGCAGTCGCGGGGAAAGAGGTGATAGACGGACTGGCGAGGAAGAGCATGGTTGCAGATCGCATATCGGGCGCTTTGGATGTACGTGAACTCCCTGGCGACGGTGCCGATAGTATATATGCCTGACTTATCGCTAGGTGCTATTCGACCGATTGCCGGAAAACCTCAAGGAGGTGAAGGCCCGAGCTACACCGTCCCGAAAACGCCCTGCCTCGGGGTCGGGGGATAGCAACACGTCGTTGCCGCTTCGGCCGGCATATTCTGCAGACACGGCGCTTTCGCAGCCTGAGGAAGGCTCGTCACAAAAAGTCTCCTCGAAAAGGGCGGGGAAAGCGCCAGCCGACTCGGTAGAGCGAGACATCTCGATCGACGGCTCCCCCCTACCACAACCCGAGCTAGGCGGCTCGTTCACCTCCAGTTTTCACTTTTCGCCTCTAGACCTGTCGATACCATCACCAGATTCCGTGGCTGCTGGAGGTTTGCACGAGACGAGCCACATGGACCTACAACACGAGACAGCCAGTACGGGTGACCCGATTCACCAACTCGACGCCGTCATGTTTCCCTCAGACGATCCTTTGGCATACCCAAACCTCCCCCTGGTTGATTTCGGGAGTCATCAACCAGGCATCGCCGACGCTAGCCCAGGAAGCATCTCACACCACGACCCTTCTCAATTCTATATGCCTAACTTCTACGATGGGATCGAGGGACAACTCATGGGCCCTTTGCCGCCGTACTTCATGCAATCCCAGGTCCAACCAGGCTTCAACTTCCCAGCTCAGATGTACTCAGACCCTATGCTGCAGCAGATGCACCCGGCAGATCACCGGCAAGTGCAAGGGCATTCCCGGTCTCAGTCAGGTCAGTCACAAGCACTGCGACGACGACCCCAACAATTGAGCGATATGGAGGAATTGCTAGCTAATTCGCCCTGGCACGGATCGTTCGCCCAGCCTGGTATGGACTAAGTTTATGAATAGAGGGGAATACCTCATGCATGACGGCAACACTAGCATTTGCGCAAATCCGGAATTGTAAGACGACCGAGATCGATCACTAGGAGAGGCGTCTGGGGTAGTCCTTTTTTTTGTTCGCGCGCCTAAAAAGTTAACGGAAAGTCGAGGTGGAATATACAAGGCCTTTTCACAACTAGAGACGGCGAGGTGGCTTTCATAATGTAAATGTTGGCTGAGGTGAGATGTTGCGAGAGAGACAGGCAAGGGAGTGCGGGCGGGGGGTGGGTGGAGAGCATTGGAGGATAACGATAACGCGAGCTGCAGGATACGTGGCGGGGGGGAGGGGACAACGGCCTGCTGCATACGGGTGGCTAGGAAGGGTAGAATATGAGTAGACGCGCGAATCCAGCCTGTAAAGTAGGTGTAGCTTGCTGGCCGGCAGACAGGGCGGGTGAATGGTACGGCGACGACGACGTGCAGGCAGACTTGATACCCAAGCTGCTTGGGTATGCAGGTACAACGCTGAGCGGTGGATGGAACCGCGCCACGTGAGACCCTCTCGCTCGACGGTCGACCAGCTACGGCCAGCCACGCCATCAAGTGCCCTGGTCGAATCAGCGGTGCCGGGTCTGGGCCGGGCTGATAGGCGGACGCCAGGGTGTTGGCGCATATTCCGCTGGCGAACTAACAGGCTTCCCCCACCCCGTTAATATCTGTCTGTGTTCTGCGTTGCTGCCAGGCAGGTTCTTATACCAAACACCCCATCAGTATGGAGGCCATCGACATCGAGCATAACTTGGTTGTCGTGGACGAGTTCGACGCCCTGTACGTGCCGCCGCCATCATGTCTATAAATCACTCCGTCAACCTTCCCTACCTCCTCAACCTCTTCCCTCCCTACCAGATGGACTCTTCGTCACAGCGTCGCAGGCTGAGAGACCTTCCTACGATCTTGGTCCTCGCCATGGGTGCGGTCTTGTCGAGTCTCCCGCTAACTCAGGTCTGCCGCAGTTTCGTCGACGTCAATGTGGCGGACCCGGCCAAGGACGAACCCCCGAGGAAGTATCCCGGTGAGTTAGGACATGCCTTTCTTCGTCCCCTTTCCGCCGCCTCCCTCCCGAGCTGTAGGTCCGGGTTCGCCGTGAAGAAGAGGAAGAAGGCTTGAGGGGGCTCGATTGTGAAGTCGAGTCGGCGTGAGGACACATGGCGTATATGTGTTCGGTCGCGTGCGTCGAAGCGAAGAGGATTCGGGGCGCTGACGGCCGGCGTTGTGTCTTCACCGACTTTTTAACTCGGCGTTTTAACTCGGCGCGAAATGCCTCAACCTGGGATAGAGTTCTAACCGGTTTTACCAGCAAAATTGCACGCGAGGAAAGTAGCGGAAGCGCTCGGGGTTGAAAATGGCATCATATACTTACCAGGCCAGCTGGAGTCGACGTGGGAGGACTCCGATCTGGGACCGCCATTCCGGCAGCGCCGATAGTACGTCTGGACAAACCCGACCGCCTCTATGCTTCAAGGTCAAAACATGTCCCCTCGGTGTCAGCTAACATGGGCCTCCAGTTTCTTCTACTTGAGCGGGATCAGCTTCCCGGGCTGTAGCATCACATACGACATCGCCGCTGACAAGCTGACGCTGTGGGTCCCCTACACGCCTCCCGCCACCGTTCTCTGGTTCGGCACGACGCCGACGCCGGAGGACTGCCTGGCCCTGTCGGACGTGCACGACGCCAAGTATGCGTCGGAGCTGCCAGCTTACCTCAACGCGCGGCTACCGACCGCCGGGACGCTGTACGCGCTGCGGCCGGCCCAGCTGCCCAAGTTTGAGGGGTTCGATCAGATGCGACCGCTGCTCAAGGTAGACACAGCATCGCTGCAACCGGCGATGGACGACGCGCGGGTGATCAAGACGGAGCACGAGGTGGCCATGATCCGACGGGCGTGCGAGGTGACGGCGGCGGCGCACCGCAAGGTAGCGACGCTCGCGTACGGCATGAAGAACGAGTGCGAGATCGAGGCTGCGTTCGTGGCAGCGTGCACGGCGCAGAACGCGCACGTGCAGTCGTACCCCGTCATTGCTGGCGCCGGCGCCAACGCGTCGACGCTGCACTACGAAGCGAATAGCGCGCCTCTCGCAGGCAAGTATCTCGCCGTTATCGACGGCGGCGCCGAGTGGTCGTGCTACGCGAGCGACGTGACGCGGACGCTGCCGCTCGGCTCCCGGTCTCGCTTCTCGGCCGAGGCGCGTGCCATCTACGACCTCGTGCACCGCATGCAGGACGAGTGCATCAAGCTCGTGCGGCCCGGGGTGCTGTTCCGTGACCTCCAGCTTCATGCCACCATGGTCGCCGTCGAAGGCCTGCTCAAGCTCGGCGTGCTGCGCGGCGGCACCGCCGAGGAGATATTCCGCAACGGCACCGGCGCCGCGTTCTTCCCACACGGCCTCGGCCATCACGTCGGGCTCGACGTTCACGAGTGAGTGACCGGCCTATCCCCCCCCAACTCCCTCTCGGGTGTAGCACTCGCCGGACTAACGATGCATAGCGTCCTTAGCAAAGACCTCCTCCGGCCCGCCGGCGAAGGCATGTGGGGGAAACGGAGGCCCATCGGGCCCCAATCGGTGCGGGCTATGATCAAGCAGGCCGACAGTGACGCGGCCGCAGCTGCAGCAGCTACTTCTTCTCCCTCGTCACCCCGCCCAGGACCGGCGTCATCGCGCGCCCCGTCCCCTCCGTCCCGCTCATCCGCCTCCTCTCCGGCTCCGCCCCCGCTCCCGCGGCGCGCCTCCGCATCATCGGTATCCTCGTCGCCGACGCGACGTCCGGCGCTCAACGGGAAGCCCTCATTCTCGACCATGCACGGCGTCGTCGGTGGCATCCTCTCCCACCACAGCAACCATAACCCCAACCCCAGTTCGAGCCACATCCCCAACAACAGCAACAACAACGGCAGCAGCATCAACGGCAACGGCCACGCCGCCTCGCCCTCGCCCTCGGCACCGCCTCTACCTTCTAGGAAGCTCCAGGAGAAGCTCCTGCGGTCGGCACGGACGTACCGCAACGTGAGCGCGGCGATCACGCCGAGCAACGCGGCCGGCTCGGCCAACGGCAGCAGCGCGGGCACGGGCAAGAAGTTCCCGCCGCGGGCGCGGCTCGAGCCAGGGATGGCGGTGACGGTGGAGCCGGGCATCTACTTCTGCCGGCAGTACATCGAGGCGTACTTCCTCGGGCGCGAGGAGCACGCGCGGTACATCGACGCGGCGGCGCTCGAGCGCTTCTGGGCCGTCGGCGGGGCCCGCGTCGAGGACGTGGTGCTGGTCACGGCGGACGGCGCCGAGGTGCTGACCGCCGCTGCCCCCAAGGGCGACGCCCTGCTGAAGCTCATGGGGTTCGGATGACTAGCCGACCGCTGGTTCGACTGGCGGATCTTTGGAAGGAGAAGGGGGACGAGGGGGAGGTGAAAGGGGAGAGGGACGAGGGGTGGTGAAAGGGAAGGGGGACGAGGAGAAGGGGAAGGGGAAGAGGAAGAGTGGAGGAGGGAGAGTATATATGCAGCAAGTTTGTCCTGAAGGGGGAGAGAGTGCAAGAGAAAAGGAGAGGAGGATAGGAGGGCGAGAGGGGGAGGGGGAGGTATCGTCATCGCGTACGATGGGATCATGCTTTGAAGCATGCAACGTGCATATACACCACCGCACAACACACACACACACACACACACACACACATCTGGGTCATCACGGCGTTGGTATGGAAAGGCAAGGACAGGGGTCAAGGAAGGGCAAAGGGAGGAGGATTCTGTCACAAGAGAACGAATGAATCTTATTTAGGACACTGGCCCCTGATCACACACACACACACACATACACATACACGCATATATATAGACGAGTTGCAGTTTGGAAAACAGGTTAGTTCTATAGGTACAAATCGACACGCATGGATGCGAGCAAGCAGGGTATTTACAGACGGGAAGGATCGCAAGACGCAGTATTACCATTACCACCGCCTTCCCACCTGTCCCGAGCTCCGCCGAGCGTTTCTCACACTTCGCATACCTCCCCCGCTGGCCGAGGAGGGAGGAGGGAGAAGGGATGCTTGGTTTTTTCTTCTTTTTTTTCTTCTCCGCTCGAACGAGTCACTCAACTACCACACAAACGCCGTTTCTATGCACCCCAAGAACCGGGGGAAAAGGGGAGAGGGGGCCGAGAGAGCGCGCAACACGAGTAAGTAAAGCCGAGGCGGCAATGCCCGCATACACAGAATCGCGAGTCAAGCAGGGACGACAAGAAAAAGGCCAAAAAAAAAGAGAGAGAACACGCAAAAGGGAATAAAAAGACCGCCCCGACAAAAATACAATGTTAATGCGCTAAGAGTAGTCATGCAACATTCATTTCACATCCGAGTCTTTTTTTCGCCGCCACTCCCTCCTCGCCCCTTTTTTAATACAGACAAAAAAGTTCCCGCCAGCCCGCCGCCCGGCGGCCCCCGAAGAGATAGCCTCGGCCGCTGGCTCGCCCTTCCCGCTTATAGATACTTCTTGGGCGTAGTTTTCCTGCGCTCGTAGATGATGTAACCGGCCACGATGAGCACCTGGCTTCCGATGATGATGAAGATGAGCTTCCCGTGCTTCGGTGCGCTCTGCACCGCCACGTGTTCCAGCATGGTGCCGTGGTTCGTGCCGATGAAGCTCTTGACCGCGTGCTCCGAATCCTTCACCTTCACGTGGATGTCGTTCCGCACTTCCCTCATGTCCCGCTGCAGCTTGGTAATCTCGTTCTGCAGCGAGTCCAGCCTGTCGAGCTTCGACAGCAGCTGCTTCATCTCGTGTATGGCTTTGGAAACCTCTTCGTGCCGCTTCTCGCCGATGTTGCCTAGGCTCGAAACCTGGCGGAAGATGGTCGAGAGGTGGTGGTTGGTGCTCTGGAGACGGTTGTGCAAGTCCTCGAACTGCGCCTTGGAGCTCGTGATCGTGTCGGCGAGTGCGTCGGGGATGGTGTCGTCAAAAGCATCGTCTGTATCTCGGCTATTTTGGTAGTTTTGACCGTTCTGGTTGTTTTGGTTATTTTGATTGTTCGATTTGCGGCCGTAGCTTGTCTGCGCCTGCGCCTGCTTCTGGTTTGGCTGGCCCTGCTGAGGAGGCGCATCATGCTTAGCCTCGAGGTTTTCGGTCATGGTCACCATCTTAAAAATCTCGAAGGAGTCCGGGTTGTCTGCCGCGGCGGCCGTGATGCCAAAGTAGTATCCTGGAGGAATGGCAATCTTGTCGCTTTCGAAACACAGCTGGCCACCCACTTCCACCCTGAACGCCTGGGGCGTCTGCGTCAGCTTGATCTGCGAGGGCCGACCCAGGTTGCGGTAGGCGTAATTGCAGTGCCCAAAAGCCAGACTGTCGACATTTTGATGTGTCTTGAAATCGATATTGGCGTCGTTCAAGAAGCCCCGGATCATGCCTCCCGAGCCACCGTGTTGGTCGATGACGAGGGCTAGGCCGTCAAATCTGCTGACCGTGTAAATACTGGCTGAGCCGATCTCCTGGTTCCCCCGTCGCGCAAGCCAGATATTGAGGTTGCCACCACCCCTCTCGGGACCGTTCACCCTAAAGTCGACGTCGGCCACCCATGTCGCGTACTTGTTCGGTTGGTCGGCCCATATCGCGCCTCGAGTATTGCCAGGTGCCGGGGGAGTGAGGATGACCTTGTTCGACAAGACTTCAGGGACGTTCGGTATGCCCTGTATGGAGAAACCTGGTACGGTTGCCTGGCCTCGATCATTTATCCTATCGACAAGTTCAATTAGTCCCCCAGCTACCCCACAGGCGTAGCCGTGTCTCCCGAGCAGGCCTACCTTCCGGAGTATCCAAAGCTCAGCTCGTTAACGAGAAACTGTGCCTGAGCCTCGACCAATTTTGTCGCGGTAGCCAGCCCAAAGGCAAGGGTTGACGGCTGCAGGAAACGCATGCTTGGACCCAGAGGTTCAGATCAATTTCCGAGGTCGATATTCTCAGCACAATATAGCAGGACAAACGAATGCAGAATGCCGAATTTTCGGTGGTGGCAGACGGGTGCGCGAGATCGAAAGAGAGGGTCCCGAGAAACGGGTTGTGACGATACTAGTGTAAGCCCGTGAGAGGACACTTTGCACCAAGCTATCCCAGTCTTGGGACGAAAGCTTGAGGAGTGTGGGGGGGAGCTTCTAAGAACGGATCGAGTCCCAAAAGAAGAAACGAAAGGCGAACAAGATAGGGGGGGGAAAAAAAGAAGGGGTCAATCCGCCTCAAGTTATGCGCAGAAACCAACCAGCATCGGCCAGGCTGGCTATGAAGGAGAATTCAGAAGGGGGGAGGGGGAAAAGGGGGGAATGGATTCAAAAGGAGGTTCCAAAGGGGAGGATTCTGAAGATTCTGAAGAGAGATGGCTCGGCTTGCGAGTGGACAGAATGCGCATTTCGATGGCTGGATGGCACTTGCCGTGTGGTGATGGAAAGGTGTCCACGTAGGTAGTTTCCCCAGAGGCGTGGGCAGGTACCTGGCTGTACCTCACGAAGGCTCCCGGGATTGGTAACTACCTCCTCTAGTACCTGGGTACCTATAGCCTATAGGTACCTAACCTAGATATCTCAAACCCAAGGTGCCCTACCTTAGGCACCTTACCTTAGGTACCTAGGTACCTATGTAGGGCTAGGTAGGTACCTAAGGTAGTACGCCTCGGGAGGAAGGATTGATGTTCAGAGTTCCCGCTAACATTGGGAAAGAGCCCGTAGAAGGCAAGGCACTACCTCCTCTCTACCCCCGGGTACCTTAGGTACGGGACGCTAGGGGGAGGTACCTACCAAGGTACCTAAGATCATAGAGGTAGGCGGGTTTAGCACATCCGCCACACACCAAAATATGCAGAATAGATGCCGTCGCAGTAGGCATACATGTACTTACTGGGTACCCAGTACTAACAGATCTGATCCCTGCGGCACGTCCCTCGCGACCTACGTAGGTACGTGTGGTCGAATCATCGATCGACCAATGAAACCCGCAAGGCCGCCGAACAGCCACATGAGGCAAGCAGGGGTAGTACCGTGAGGCACGTACCTGGTGGTGGAGGGCTCGATTTGGCGGATGTCGCACATTGGCAAAGAGCGATACATGTATATACATCGGCCGGTAGGTACCTACATACCGACCCCTGTGGGGCTGTCCATCCTAGCCTCAATTGACTTCAATTCTTCAGCCAGCTCCGCTGCAGCCAGCTATCAACTACCCACCTACCTTAGGTAACCCTCTCTCTCTCTCACACAACTTTCACTCTTTATATGCCAGCAGATTGGTTCGCGAACACTTCAGCCACCTCGACGCCCACCCCTCCGACGGCCCCAGACTCGGCCATGACGCCCGGGACAAATGACTGAATTATACCCGACCATTGCGCAGTGCGCAATAGTTGCGACTGCCTTCAAGATCCTCCTCTTCCCAGCCTAGTAAGTGCTGTTGCACTCCCCGCGCCTCTCTGCTCCGTGGCATGATGCCTGACAGCCAAACCTGTCGAAAAGCAAATCCACCGACTTCGAGGTGCATCGGAATTGGCTGGCCCTCACCCATAGCTTGTCGCTGTGGGAGTGGTATTACGAGAAGACATCCGAATGGACCCTCGACTACCCCCCCTTCTTCGCCTACTTCGAATGGATTCTGTCCCAGGTGGCGAAGCTGGTCGATCCGGCCATGCTCCGGGTCCGCAACCTGGGCTACGATAGCTGGCAGACCATATATTTCCAGAGATTCACCGTCATCGTGACCGAGGTGATGCTTATATACGCTCTGCAACTGTAAGTGCAGATCCGTCCCCGTCCCGTCGTCCGACGTGTGGCACTGATACACCAACTCGCGTAGGTTTGTCGAGTCTTCACATGGCGCGGCCAAGCGCGCAGCTCAGGTCGCCTCCATTTCGGTTCTCCTCTCCCCGGGCCTGCTCATCATCGACCACATCCATTTCCAGTACAACGGAGCTATGTACGGCATCCTGGTCTTATCCCTGGTCCTAGCGCGCCAGAAGTCGAGCCTCCTCGCGAGCGGCTTCGTCTTTGCAGCGCTCCTATGCATGAAGCATATCTATCTCTACCTTGCGCCGGCGTACTTCGTCTTCCTCTTGAGGACCTACTGTCTCTCGCCCAAGTCCGTCTTCCGCATCCAATTTCTCAACTGCGTTAAACTGGCATCCGGCATCCTCGGCATCTTCGGCTTAGCATTCGGTCCATTCGCCCTGAGGAACCAAATCCCCCAGATCCTCAGCAGGCTCTTCCCCTTCTCTCGCGGGCTCTGCCATGCGTACTGGGCGCCGAATGTCTGGGCCATGTATTCTTTTGTGGACCGGGCGTTGATATTTGGTAGGTTACTCGTCTTACGGCAAGTTAGCCTAATCGTGCAGAGTAGCTGACCGGAATTAGTTGGGCCGCGACTAGGGCTGCCGGTCCGGATGGAGGCTGTCAACAGCGTCACGAGAGGTCTAGTGGGAGACACGGCGTTTGCGGTGCTGCCGGAGGTCACTCCCAGGATATGCTTCGCGCTCACCCTCCTCTTTCAAGTCATACCGCTTGTCAAATTATTCCTGTACCCTAACTGGGACGCCTTCATAGGGGCAGTGACGCTCTGCGGGTATGCGTCGTTCCTCTTCGGATGGCATGTCCACGAGAAAGCTATCCTGTTGGTCATCATCCCCTTTAGCCTAATCGCTCTCAAAGACCGAAGGCATCTAAGCGCATTCCGCCCCTTAGCAGTGTCCGGCCACGTCTCGCTCTTCCCTCTCCTCTTCACCTCTGCAGAATTCCCGATCAAGACGGTCTACACTATCTTCTGGCTGGTACTGTTCCTGATGGCGTTTGATCGCATCGCTCTCCCCTCCACCCGTCCGAGGTTCTTCCTCTTCGACCGGTTCACCATCCTATACATCACTGTCAGCATACCCCTGATAGCCTACTGCTCGCTACTACACCACGTAATCTTCGGCAAGAGCCTCGAGTTCCTCCCTCTGATGTTCATGAGCTCGTATTCGGCCATAGGGGTAGTTGGTAGCTGGGTAGGATTTATGGTGGTGTACTTTGCGTCGTAGATTGGTCGAGTGGCATATTGGGGGGGGCATCCCCAAGTTCTCATAGTCGCTAAGCTGTAGAGACAATCCTGCAGCCGAGTAAATTGACTTCGTGGTAATTACGGCCATTCTCTTGGCGAATGTAGATGTTCCCTAACAAAGGCTGGGTGGTGGTGTTCTCGGACGTGCTTTCATGCAAGGCCAGTTACCTGTTTTTTTATTATCCCACCTGGGGGTGTGCATGTGGGCTGCTTGGAGGTAGTGACCAAGAAAGTCCCCCCTGACAGGCTTGTTCGGGTCCGGCCTCGCCAGTCGCAGCCTGTCAGTCTCAGCAAACCCGCCCGGCGATCCAAACAGAGAGCTATATTAATTATTTCACCAAAGCGACGCGGCAGAGAGCACAGAGCCGTGTAGAAAAGGGAGGGGGTGCCCCGTCGGACACTCTCCGCACTGGTTGCATCTCCGCGGGGTGCTCTACGCACCCTATACGAAGCGGGTGGCTAAGAAGGTATGGCACTGATATATGGCTGCACTCAAGGTGAAGGGTGCCAGAGAGAGACGTGATTTGGCACGATGGTGAATCAGGAGACGGGCTTCAATTTGAGATAGCTACCGGCCTGGTCCGACCAGCGGCTGGGTTGGGAGCGGACGGGCGAGGCGGCGGTCGGGGTCGAGGGAACTTGCCGTCTGCGGACCTAGGTTTGGGTCCAGGAATCCGGGACGGGCTTACACGGGGTGCGGCCGGCGGCGGCGCGGCCAAAGACCAGCAGATGCGGGCTCGTTCGACTCGGCTGAAAGCAGCGATCCCAACGAGTATAAGAATGTGGATGTGAGCTGTGGTTGCGAGGATGACGGGTGGAAGAGAGTGAGGATGGGGTAGGTAGGAGTGGTTGTCCAAGGTGGACACGATTTTGAGGCCCATCCCAAATAAGCGAAGGGGGCCCACGCTGATTAGACCAGTCAGAGGGCAGGATTAGGTGGCTTCACCCCTGTCATCCCGGGGTCTGGCTCTTCTTGCTTCCCGCCTGCCGTACCTTAAAGGTACCTAGAGCTACGTGCGGTAGGGGTGTACGTGCGAGCCGCCGGTGGGTGTACCTGGACGTGTACAGCGGGATGCGCGGGTCTGGATGTATAGGCGCATGTATCGCCCGCGGCCGCGTGTACACGGGCATGTGCCGCCCACCCCCTTGCGGTGCGTGTCTTTTCCATCTGTACCCCCGTGGCTCCCTGGCGGCATGTACACCTACTTCCCAGGCCTCGCTGTGGCCGTGTATGCCTGGCGGCGCCGAGGTATCTCTCGATGTATACGGAGATGTACACCCCTACCTGCCTACACTGCATCCCTCCCAGCATGTATGTAGCGTGCTGCTGCTGCTGCTGCTGCTGCTGCTGCGTGCGTCCTCTCTCTTCCCTCCTCCTGCCCTTCTTCGCCTTATTATTTTTAGTCCTCGGCCCTCTCTCTCCTCCTCCCTCTCCTCCCTCCCTCTCCTCCTCCTCCTACTCGCTCTTCAAAAACTTTTACATCAACAACCTCCCTCCGCCGCCTCCCTCGCCCGACGCCCTGCCCTCTCCTCTCCCACCACCGCCACCAGCATCTTCACCAGCATCCTCCATGACTATCTTGACGCGTCTTCCCTAGCTTCAACCGCGTTCTGTCTATACTTTTGACAGCCTCGCATGTGAGTCGCCCTGCCACCTAACGCCCTTCCTACCCCTACCCTACCCCTACCGCATTTACCACCTTTTTTCCACCTCTCCCTCCCTCACCACCACCCTCTCCCCCCCCGGGCCGCCGCCTCTCCCTGCCCGCCCTCCTCTCCCCATTCCACAACAACACCACCAGACGAGCCGCCGCCATGCCCCGGCTCAACCCATTTCATCTCCGCCGCTTTCGATCCTCACTTACACGCGAATTGCCAGCTAGGAAGGCTGACTTTCAGCCTTGCAGGATTTCTCCGTGCGGCTGCTTCTCAACTCCCCTATTCAGGTAGCTCTATCGGCTCGCCTCATATAACGTAGCGGCTGCGATGGTAAGTCGTCGGCCGGCGGCCACCTTGCGCCAGGGAGGCAACAGCCAGGCTAAGCTTTTTGCAGGTTCTCTTCAAGCGCAAGCCGGTGCAGTTTCTGCAGACCCCGCTGGTGGAAGATGAGTCCGCGGAGGTAAAGATACCTGCCGCCCATTGCACACCCAACCCTTCTGCACTTATACACACCCGCGTACACCGCGATGCACTCCCCGCTGACGGCTGGCTCGCTTCCGCTCTAGGTCTGGCTCATCCCCCGGACGGGTGAGCTGTTCTTGACTTATGAGGACTACTTGAATCGGTAAGCGCTTATACTAATAAGCCGGACCCCCCCCCCCCCCCCATTCCCTCCTGGCATGATGCTAATGATTCTCCACATAGCATGGACTTTTATAAACAGGTCGGTGCCGGGGCTGACTGGGTGATGAATTGCTGCTGACCCGTCACTTAGCCGCGCTTTATATGTCAGATCACGGGCCACTCGGGCCTGACTTTCTTCGAAGCTCTTAAGAGCGAGGTAGGTCTTTCGTCACGCAGAGTCCTGTCGCCCCCTGTGCCGTGCCGCCTCTAACATGTGATTTAGCTTGCTGGGGCTCAAGAAGTTGAGCAGGCGTTCCCCGAAGCTCTCAAGGGGCCCATCCTTCGCCGTATTCAATTTCAAACCATCTCAAGGATTGATACCTTGGTAGATATGATCTATGATGAATTTAAGGCCGATTATTACCCAGGCGAGGCCGTCACCATTCAACTCCCCGACGGGCAGCGCTTGACTGGCGTGGTTAGAGACAAGTCTCGTCTGGGGAGTAAGGTTCTGCCTGATGGCACTCTCACCCAGCCCTACTCGCGCTATTGCACCAGCATCGACGGCCGACCTAACGATGATGCTGTCGTGGACAGTGAGCATATATACCGCGACAGGAAGATCTTTACGAAGTCCGTCTTGCGCTCTTTTATTAAGAAGACTGTCACGCGCGAGACTTGGACCGGAGCACCCTGGTTGGTAAAGCACGATGTGGCTGCCCAGTATCATATCGACACTCGCGTGCCGCCGCATTTGCGATACGACAGTAAGGTGCTCGAGCGAAAGCAAAACCAGGCCCAGAGGAAGGCATCCCATCCCGTCAACGGGGTGCAGGACGTGAATGGCTTGGCCAATAGTTTTCAAAACCTGGGGCCCGTCCGGCTGCCCGAACTCAAGCCTGCGCCGAAGAGTCACAAGCCGGTCAAGAGTCACCACAACCATCAGACGCACCGTGATATGGACGTCGACCATCACAATTCCGGCATGTTTCCGCATAGCCACGGGCCTCATCCGCCGATGCCGGGAAACAACCCTTTCCAATTCCCTGTCCCATTTAGGAACACGATCCCTCCGCCGCCTCCTGTCGTTTCCCCTCCACAGATAGAGGCGGCGCCGCCGCCGCCGCCGCCGCCGAAATACCCGATCGAGGACCTCCAGCTAGAACCTCGTGATGATTACGTCCGCCCCGCGCTGAAGTTTATGTGCAGCGACCCACCAGAAGGTGTTGTTGACAGCGGGGCTCGAAACGATAAAATTCTGATGCAGTCGATCGGGCCGTTGCTAGAGACATGGGACACGCTGAATGTGTATTGTGAGGTCTTCAAGCTCGATTCTTTCACGTTTGACGATTTTGTGGAGGCGATGGAAATCGCTAATGAGGATACCCCATGTGAATTGTTCACTGAGATCCACTGCGCACTCCTGAAGCAGGTGGTGGATTCGGAAAACGACGGAGGTAAGATACTCGTCGCTCTGCCGGAGCTCGACGAGGACAGCGACGAGGACGAGGAAGAAGGCGCGGCTCCGAGCCCGGAACCGGAGCCGGAACCGAAGCCGACGGGACGTGCGACGCGGAGCAGCCTGGCGAAGCTCGAAGCGGAGAGGATTAGGGCTGAGGCCGAGGCCGCCGAGAAGATGGCGGAGCCCAAAGCCAGACATCGCGCCCCTGACGCCCTCGCCAACTTTAACTGGATCGAGCAGTTGAAGAAGCGTGAATTCAAAGACGGCGGTTGGGAGTTGATCATTGTCGGGCTACTTAACCAGTTGTCTAAGAACACGCGGCAGACTGAAGCTTGTGAAGAAATACTTGCTCATCTCGTACCCCCGGACGTTGAACCGAGCCAGGAGACCGTGCGCGAACACTACTCGAAGCTTGACTTGAACCTGCGCGTCTCAGTTTTGCAGCTGATATGCATGCTTACGATCGACACTAGAGCCGTTCGGGGATACATGGAGGAATGTGCGGAAACTATGACAGGTTACCGCAAAGAGAAGATCGAGTGGCAGAGACAGCGAAAGCAAGCGTATGTTGAAGCTCCTCCTGCCCAATGCTGATTCGACATGCTGATATTTCTCGTAGTCTGGAGGACCTGAGGGCGCTTAACGACCAGCGCAAGATCCTCCTGCCCGACAATATGCCTCCCTCCCCCCCGGTCGAAGAGACCGACGTTACTAAAACGAATGGGGCAGGCGACGTTGACGTGAAGATGGCCGATGTCGACGACTCAGCCGAGGACCATAGCGAAGAGGTCGGCGAGAGCGACGCAGATGCCAACGCTCGGCGTAGTACTCGGCGAGGTGGTGTTCGAGCAGCCGAACGCCAGCGTAAGCGCGAGGAACAGGAACGTAAAAAGGAAGCCGAACTAGCCGCCAAGATGCCCAAGCAGTCGAAGCAGTTCGTGAAACTACTCAAGGATATCCAGAAGAAGGAGGATTTCGTCAAGAAATGCGAGGAGGAGATTGCTACGATCGATAACGATCTTCGAGAGGCAGATTGTGGCCGAACGCGAATTCTGGGCAAGGACCGATTCTGGAATCGCTATTACTGGTTCGAACGCAATGGCATGCCGTATGCGGGATTGCCTAATAGTTCAACAGCCGACGCGGGTTATGCGAACGGCTGCATCTGGGTTCAGGGGCCCGACGACATGGAGCGGGAGGGTTACATCGACATGATCCCCGAATACCAGGATGAGTACAAGGCCAAGTTCAAGATGACGGTTCCCCAGAGGAAGAAGATGGAAGAGGGTCGAACGAGCGTGTTCAACGCACGCCAGTGGGGTTACTACTCGGAGCCCAGCGAAGTCGACTCGCTCCTCAACTGGTTAGATCCGCGGGGCCTCAACGAGCTTAAGCTGCGGAAGGAAATACTGAGTTACAAGGACAAGATCGTCACCCATATGGAAAACCGACTGAGGTATCTCGGGACGGCAGACGAAGGCGACGAAGGCAAGGAGAAGCCCAAGGAAAATGGTAAGAAGGATGAACCTAAGCGCATGAGCACGCGAACCAAGACGCAGGCAAGCCCGGAACCTGCGCAGCACTACCGCTCTCTCAGCTGGACCAACACTGTGGCCATCGACGAGCTAGGACACCTCCACAGCGAGCCGCCCCCACCGCCAAAGACGAAGTCGCGCAAGGCATCGAAGAAGGGCCGAAGCTAGAGTACGAGATGCTCAGTCCCACGCCCTCAGGAGTCGGCTCGATTCCCGTCGAACGCAAACCCACGTTGAAAATGCTTCCATTACTATCCTTCCTCCACACATAACCGCATAGCCGAATGACGACGAAATGGTTGATTACGATGGAACGTTTTTGCGAATCCATAGAAAGGAAAGCATAAAGGAAAACGGCGTTTTTTCGGTTTACTTTCCGCCACCAGTCCTCCCCCTTTTTTTATATATACATCTCCATTGGTTGCACATAGAAGGAGGCAACGGAACAGGGCGAACCAGTCGATCTACCCATCATTCCGGGGAGAGGGAGGGGGAGAGGGAAAGATTGTGGTTTACGGCGTGGCGTTAGATGAGGGCGAGAAGAAGGGCCTTTTTTCTCTCTCCTGTTTTTGATGGGGGGGGGAGCAGTCCACGATTGGACGTAGTTCCGCTGCTCAACTCCATACGCGATCGCCTTCGTGTTTTCTGTCATGGTGCGCCGCTTAAATGTACATACACACACCACACGCGCGCGACATACACATGGTCAATTTATTCTTGTATACTTACCTTTTCAACACTCTCAAGACATCGTCCCCACGACATCGCGGGGAGGAGGATGGTAAGATGGGAAAGAAGGGATCCCGAGGAGGGGCGTTTTGGAATGGATCGAAAAAGAAGTAAAAGAAAAGAAACGAATACAAAGCCGCAATGGATTGCCGTGAGGCCGAGCGGGCCCTCGGAGCAGAAAGAAGCGTCCGTGGGACTAGTATATATGTATGTATTGGGGCCTACTCGCTAGGTGAGATGGCCGCGGGGAGGAGAGGAAAAGCAGAGAAAGACGAGCCCTAGCGACGAACGGCTGACGGGGGGGAATTGCTCGGCTTGCTAGAGGCCGAGGCGGGACGCTACGGGGGTCTTATAATTCATCGACTAGGTATACCTACTTTGCTGCGTGCCGTGAGGGACTGTCCTTTCTTCTACGCGGGCGCGCGGGGGATCACTCGATAATCCCTCGATAACGGGGTGGACCTCACGGAGCAGGCCCGGGAACTCTAGCGGAAACTCGGTAACGACGCTACCGAGACAATGTATGTCCCGCGGGGAAAAAAAATGCATTTATTTACTCGCAACTCCTCTAGATACACCGTGCGTGATGTCTCAACGCTCGTGGTCCGATGCCCTACGTCAGGATCAGTGTCAGGGGAGTGGGCCTATCCCTTTCTCTCTCTGTTGTGTGTTTTCTGTCGTGCTCTCTTGCTCTCTCTACATGATAAAGCAAACAGGGGTTGGGGGTGGGGAGAGGGGACAAGTATAAGAAAAGAAGAAGAAAAGGGGGAAACGTCGCAGTAGAGAATAACCATAACATCTTCCCTTCTCGCCATTACGAACTCCCCCCCCGGGGCACCGAGTTTTGGATCAACAGGCAAGGCCAAGAACAACACAGTTTGCATCCTGTCTAGGGGTAAGACGCTAGATAAAACTGGTGATTCCGGGTTGCCGTAGCCTATCTCGCCGGGAGCGCCCGTGTCCTGTTACTGTTCGACCAGGCTGTCCTACGGAGCGCCGGAAGAGCCTGGCTGGCTCGTGAACGATAGATGTTAAAAGAGTCCGTGGGTGTGTTAAGAGCACACACACACACAACACACATACGCCGTGCTATGGCCGCCTCCGGACAATATTAGGTTAGTATCAATACATATTGATGTCAGCTACAGCAGATCAGTCGGGGCCCGGGAAAAAAAATCAGGGTAAGCTGAATCGGGGTAAGAAACTGTTTCTGGCAAAGCACAGGCATTTAGGGCGTGTCCGACGCTCAGCCCGCCGCAACAGTAGTCGATGCCTGCAGGGCGGGCTGCTGTCGTTTCGCGGGGGGAGGGTTGGCCTAGGGTGTGAATTAGCAAACTCTCAAGAGTAAGAGGGACTTCCTTGAAAATATCCTGGTGATAGTCACGATATCGGCCATCTACCATTCATCTCTACATACTTCGGAAGAAGCATTGCGCTTCTTTGGGGGGGGAGCGGGCCCGGCGTTTGTAGCCGTCTTTCTGGCTAGCCGGGGTCGCGTCGGCTTGACCTCGCCCGGCTCGAAGACGTCGTCGGGGAGATTGGTGCTGGAGAAATCAAGTTAGTGGTCGCGGTGAAAAGGCTCAGAAAGCACTTACTTCTTCACGTGTTGGATGCTCAAGTAGTTCAGATTCGAGTCGAACTTGTCCCATTCGCTACACCTGGCCTTGAACGCGTTGACCTGAGAAGTTAAGTCCAACGACTTGGCACCTGGTAGGTTATCAAGCTTCGGTTAGGAATCACCAAAAAAAAAAAAAAAAAAAAAGGGACAACCGCTCGTCGATAGAGGAGAACCGCACGCGTCACGATACAAGATACGGGAGGTAAGACGAGAGAATGATGATGGCGACGATGCACCTACCTTCAGCAAGCTCGAGGCCTACGTAATGTGTCGTGGTAAATATCTTGGTTCCTAGGGTGGGGATATCGTCCATCCTGACCTCCGGGTCCTCGGCGTCGAACTTGACCTTGTGGTCCGCCGGTTCGCCCCTCCCTGCCTCGATCGAGTTCGGTTCTGTTTTCACCTCAGCCTTGCCCTCGACACCGTTCTCTTGCTTCACCGTAGATTCTTCTTCTTCGCGCACGATATAATTCAGACTTCCGTTCTGAACCTCCTCAGTCTCTTGGTCGCTCTTGACCCTGTGCTGCCTTTCATAGCCCTTGTTGAACGGGCGTGCGATGGAGACATCATGGTGCCGTTCTAGATCGCCCACGAGGACGCGGACTTTAGATTCGACAAATCCGGACCAGATTTTGTGCGCCTCTTTCGTGATGCTGGTGGCAATGACGGCAAGATAATACTTGTGGTCCGAGGTGAAAAAAGTGTGTTTCACAAACAAATCCTTCCATGGCAGTTTTCCCTCCCGGATCTGGATGGTGATGTCCACACCACGCTCGAGCTCGCGCTGTATGACGGCCTTGGTGGAATGGGTGATGTTGAAGGTTGCGCACATCTGAGGATACGCCGGGGTGATAACGGGCATCAAGTGGTAGCTATCGCTCTTGTATATCTGTAGTCCGTTAATTAGGTGCGAAGCTTCCCACTCCGCCGTAACACGGAACACCCACCTTCGGATTCCAGACGCGGACGTTCAGCGGACCATCGTCCATATGCTTCAACTGCACCGGCATAGGCCAATGCCAGGCCTTCATGATCTGAAAAAATTTGGTCACGATGTGGGCGCTGGCGGCCCTAGGATAGAGTTGACAGATCCGGGCTACCAACATAGCCCAGACCACGCCGCCCGGGAACCCGATGATATTGGCATATATAGCGCGCCGCTGTGCCCAGAGCTTGATGGCTCGAAGAGCAAGGCGGAACGTGCTCTGTTCCGGGACCAGGCTGAGGATCTCCTTGGTAACCCTGGTGCCGTTCAGGGACCGAAGCTCACGGTCATCCAAACCCCGTAGATATTCGTTGTTGGTCAAGGTAAGCTGACCATGGGGTGGGAACTGTTTCAGCGTAGCTATCCTTGAGAAGATCAAGTCGATGCTGATACCCCAATACTCGAATTTGATGATAGGCACGGAGGCGTCCTCGACCGCAGTGAGGTCGGTCACGGCGCCTTTGGGCGCCATCTCCTGTAGCAAGGACGGGAAGTACTGGAAGTAGTCCTCGCGGGTCACGTATCGGGGAGCGGTGACGAGGGTATCGATATCGGAGCCAGGGCCGTATACGCCGAGACAGTAGCTTCCATAGGTGAAGACCTCGCCGCGGGCGTCCCGGATAAGAACCTCATTCTGCGGTTCCTTTTCTCGCGCCACGCGCTTGACGAACTCGTCGGTGATTCGTTGGAGGTCGGCGAGAACCCTCTCCCTGTCGAGGACAAGAAAGAACTGTCAGATGCCGAGAATACAATCAATGATAACGTCACCCCGTTGTCGACTCACCTCTTCTTGGTCTCCGCCGCAGACTCGAACGTATTCTGGCGTCTCAGTTCCTCTAGAAGCAGATTCGTAGAGTAAGTCTCGTCGGGGGTTGGGAGAGCGGTCGATATCGGCGGTGTAATACCCCAGGTCTGCTCGGGGTTCGCCATCGTGGCCTGTTCAAGTCGGGCGCCGAAATCAGGCGGGCAGGACGGTGCCTAGGATGGATCGGTCGGGCCGGCGTGTATCATCCGGTGAGCACGGCGGCGACTCGCTAGGCCAACGCGACGAGGGCGCAAGAGAAGCCGGCTGGGGGGAGGCGAAGCAGCAACGAAGATTCACTGCAGATGGAATATAAGCAATGTTGCCATGGGTATGTTCGCGTAGGCACAGGCCCTCGGGAAGGAGCCCTGAATGTGATGCGGCGGGTGAGGCCACGAGTTGCGTCGCCGTGGGAGATTGCCAGCTACCCCCAGAGAGATGCCGCTCGTGGAAGGACGGCAGGCAGAGCTGTTAATTCAGATGGCGAAGATAGAAATTCGATTGACGCGCGTTTGGACAGGCGGCGAAAGAGATGATTTAAAAAAAACGAGGCCGAAGGACTGAGTTGGAAGAGAAGCGTGAGACTCGAAAATACGTGTATATGCATACAGAGCACCAAGGCGTTAAATTGTATGTGTGCAGGAGGTACCTAATGTACCACGTCGTACGTAATCATCTAAACACCCAGTTTCCGGCCCGGCTTAGTCAAGTCTTCGGTACTTTGCCAGCCGCTCCTGCTTCAGCCCGTCACGTCTTGGACTGATCTGAGTGGCGGGTACATGCATCTAACTCAGCGCGCTTAGCTAACTCGTTACATTAGGAGGTATCTAACCTAGGATTAGGAGGTACGTACCTATCTGCATTTGGTCTACCTGAGGTACCAGATTTAGTATCAGTAGACCTTCCCAGGCTGGTTCTAAAGATAGCATGTACCTTGGGTCCCTATAGCGTATGTAACCTTACACTCTACGCGCCTCCACAGTAGCCGTAGCGCTACATGGAAGGTACCTACCACTTAAGCGCAGCAGGTACCTTGATCGTCAACGACCGTAAAGCAAATATAGGAATAGGGCAATATACCGTCGACTTACCATATTGAAGTTAGTCAAGGCGGTGGGGGACACACGTCGACCTGTAGAAGGTACCTCCTAAGTATGCACACACGAGAGAAACCAACCAACCGCTCGAAAACCAGGAAGAAAAAAAAACCAGGGAGAAAAGCATGAGATTACTATATAGCAGTCTGGTCGAGTCAAGATTAATGTATATAACAGAGTCGAGGCCGTCAAAAGTGAGTAGAGCTATCACTACCCCAAATCACCCCTACGTAGGTGGTAGGTTACGCAACACCGTCAGGAACCCCTACAACAAGGCGCTACTAGGTACCGATGCTATCTCACACGTCCACGCCCAAATACCTTACCCACTCGTCAGTGAGCTGCATGGCATCCGTGTGCCAATGCTGCCCCGAGAGCCAGAGTGCCAACCCTCCAATGACGCCGATGCCTCCCACAACTTCCAAAGCGGCCCATCCTGTGGCTTTTAAGTCCGCCGCTACCTGCATCAACCCTAACGGGTCTTGTTGGTGCTTCGTCTTTCGAGAGTGCCCCCGTCTGGCCGCCCTCCTGCTCCCTGCCGATAACCTGTCTCTCGGCTTATGCAACGCGACCAGCGTGCCATCCTGCACGCATTCGTTCAAGCGCTCTGTGAGCCAAACTGCTCGCTCACCGCGAGCTAGTCCCTCATACCGGGCCCGCTCGCTGGCGAGACTGCGCTGGAGATCTGCCGCCCAGTCTGCAACGTGGAGCTGCGGCAGGCCGTATTCGCCCTGCTGGTCGTGGAGGCGTGCTAATGCTCGCGATGAGTATCGACCCACCGCGTTCCCCGGCGGTCGAACGAGAGCAGACGATACCGCTGGCTCAGCGAGACTCAGCGGTCTATATAAATGGCGCGGCCGCGGTGCACCCACGGCTCGCCATTCGAGATACTTTTTAGCCGCGGAGTGCCTTAACCACGATACTCCGTTCGGGCTAAATACATTCTCGACGAGATATTTCAGTTCCGACGTGATCAGTGGTTGCACATAATCCGGGCTCATCAGGAGGCTCGCGTCCATGACATCGTCATCTGAACCAGTGGCGCTGGATATGGCATATGGGGTGGTTGGGACGGGTACGGCAGAGCCCCTGCTGAGCGCCGTGGAAAAGCTAAAAACGTTAAGGCCTGCCCCTTGAAGCTGGCCAGTGATTTCGTCTTTGCACGCTGAGAGCTGCTCCGGCTGTAGCGAGTCGGCCCTGGCTACGATGGGGATGACATTGGTGAGAGGAACAAGACGGCGAATATACTCTAGGTCAACTGGTTTTATCTCTTTGGGGCAGGTTAGCCCTCGCGTCGTCTACTACTACGGAATGGGATGCCAACCTACCCTGCGAAATGAGGTAAAAGACGACATCGACCTGAAAGCCGCCGTTGCCCCCTAGCATGTTCAACATATCAGAGTCACTCAAGGCATCCGAAGACACCCTATTCAAATGAGACTCGATATATTCCACGCAAGGCATAATCGTCTCCATCGCCTACACTGAGTTAGTCTTCAAACACCAAGAGCCGGGGGAGAATAATACTCACCGAGGAACCATGCCGATAACCGGGCGTGTCTACAAAACAGACGTTGCGCTCTAAAACACTCTCACCCAGGCTCCTGCGCCTCTCAAGGACGTGAGGTTCACTAACGGCGGACCACCATTCGGGATAGGGCTTAGTGCTGGCGTATATCTCGGATATATTGTGCGTCGAGCTCTGTGGCCTTCTTGGTGGATTCGCCTGCCCTGGCCGGCTGGGTTCGGCCGGCGACGGGATCGGATCAGCGTGAACTATGTGCTCGCAAATTTGCACGATTGCCTTCACCATAGAGGTCTTCCCGACACCTGCAGCGCGGCAAAATTAGCCAGAGTCGGGAAACGGTCGCGCTAGGTACAATACCAGAGTCGCCGGCAAACAGAACCTTCAGCCGTCCTAGACTCTTGCCCGTCTCGGTGAAGGGCCGCCGGCTTGGCATTCGAATGCTAGGCATCACCAGCTGGGGGGCGCCGCCACCATCGGCCACGCTAGAAGGGTCGTGTTCCAGCAGATCATCTTCGAAGCTGACCGCATGCTCGGACAACGATCCCGCGGACGAGTTCCCCCGCGAAGATGGGCTGCTAATGGCAGACCCAGCATAGGATGTACCGAGCATTATGGGTGTTATCGGCCGTGATGGCGACGAGTTATTGTGGGATGTCATCGAGGCCGGACTGCGCGTGAAGGCCGAAGCCCTCGATGTGGGGGAGTAGGCAGGCATGGGGTCTCTTTCCGACTGCATCGCGGCTTGCTTCGACGGTTCGCTGTCTTTATCATCCCTGCGGACAGACGTAGCGCCAGCTTTGCGCAAATCTCTAAAGCGGCCGTGCGGGTTCGAGTGCTCGATGTACGAATCAATGGACGATTCGTCGGCGAGGAAGAAGGACATCTGGTTGCTGGAGGTCGAGGCCATCAGAGGAGCGGGATCGCGGTCGGCAGAGCGCTGACGCCCGATCCAAGCGTCGTCGCCGGGAAATGGCCGCATGATAAATCGGTCACATCTATGTAGGCTGGTCTCGATACTGGTAGCGATTCTGTCGTTTTCGTTGTGGTTTTTATTTTTCGGCCGCAGAGTCAGAGGGAGGCAGACAGGAGTGCAGTAGGTATGGATAGGCTCGAGCTAGGGAACAAAGGCAGAGGCAGAGGCGGAGGCGGAGGCGGAGACGTATCAGGGACGACACGGGATCACGAAATAGGATGTGTTGTGAGATGCGAGATGCGAATTGACGGAATGGCACTGGAGGCGGAGTGAATCGAAAGGGTATTGGTCTGAGGGGGGATTGGAGAAGGGAGGGAAAAGAGAGGGCCGTTGGAGGCAGGCCTAGTTGTCCTCTTCCGTCCTTCTCTCTCTCTCGCTCTCTCTCTCCGCCTCGAGCTCGCACCTCCCCGGCCGTGTGCGTGGTTGGAATCAGTAATCGCCCACGAATGGCCCGGGAATGACCCAGGAAGGGCTGATGAATGGCTGATGAACGACTAAAAGGGGCAAACCACCCCGCATCTCAGATAAGCTCAGGAGTCCCACGGAAGTTGTTGAGCGACTCCGAAGTACTGCACAGGTACATGTGTGTCTCACTCGCCTACCAAAACACGCGAGACGTCGCCAGACGTGGTACGCGGCCCGGTACATGCGTCCCAGATCCATGTGGCTTCAACATTTTGTCTCCCAGACGTCCTTCCGTGGATCGCGCAATGCGGTGTGTAGGCGCAGGTGGGTACACATTGGGAATTCGACCGCAAGTCTGCGCGAAGTCTCCCACCGATTCACGGCTCCGTAGGTACCGCCTACGTACATAATTCGTTGCGTCGTGGTCCGTCATATTATGCGTGTAATGTAGGTTGGGTGAGTATGGACTGATGGGCTGATGAGGTACATACATGTTCAGGTAGGGGTACTGCACGTACGTGGTACGTAAATGCACACAACTTGCGGTCGCTGGAAATACAGCGAGGCATCTTATACGGGTGCCTTACATTCTTGACATCCTCACAAAACATGATATCTGCTGTGGACTGTTGCCTGCTTGATGACACTGTGCCTACATAGGTACCTACGTAGATTGCACGTACGTGTAGAATACCTACCTACCTATGTACTACCTCCTCGGAGGTAGGTACCTGGTACTGTACGTGTGGGCGAGATGGACCTACGCGTACGCGCCCACCTTTACCGATGGAATCGTGTCATGACCTCACCACTCGGCGATGGAGCGCGTGTTTTACAATCCCATCATACTACATAGGTAAGTATGGCCTAATGTAACGCAATAATGCAATACCTCTCCCTATAAGGTACCTATAGGCAGGTAGGTAGGTAGGTACCTCCTAAGGAATGCACATTGTAACGAAGTTCTAGTACAGTGGACCTCGTCGGGTACCTTAGGTAAGGTAACCCTGGAAATATGTACCTACAGAAACCTAACTTCAGAATCTCATGTAGGTGGGCAACGGCCAGTTGATGCCGTGCCACATAGCTACCCGTCCCCTTCTCCCGCTCAATACCTAGGTACCTATGTTTCCCACATCAGGTACTCCCACCTAGGCTTACTTTAGGTACCTCACTCGAGGTCTTGTCGTCTACTATAAGGCGCTAGGTGTATAATCGGGTTAAGCGCATCGAGCGCCTCCGATAACGTGACAGGACACGGTGACGCACACAGTCGCGCTTACCTAGCCAGTAAGACTTACGCATACGCCGAGGGGGCGTGCTCGTGCATACCGGGCGGCGGCTTTTTGAGCGCCGGCAAATCCGTTTACTACTGGACGACATATATAACCGAATGTTTCCAATACCCAGGCTTGATAGGTAGCACCGTCGTCGTCTGCTTAGTTATTCGCACCGAGTAAATTCCCTGAACCGCCTTGCATCACGGCAAGGCCCTCTAGCATTCTTCTCTCCCACCTTCACCACGACTTCCAACGACGCCCCGACCGCGTCCGCCCCTGGGACAAACACAACAACCATCTCCGATCTTCTCAGCAAGACTTGTACTCCGGGGAGTGTTCTATTCGACCGTCGATACACCTCCCTCCCGGCTCCGACCTACCACAACATGGACGCTAAGAGGCATCCGAGCTCGTTCCAGCAGCTCGAGAAGTTGGGAGAAGGTACTTATGCTACGGTACGTCCGCCCGTACGCCCGCGGCAACGATGCGACCAAGCTCGGCCTGTGGATGGTGATTCTGACTCACGCCGGCGTTATAGGTATTCAAGGGGAAAAACAGACAGACGGGAGAATTCGTAGCCCTCAAGGAAATCCACCTCGACTCCGAAGAAGGCACGCCGTCGACCGCGATCCGCGAGATCTCCCTCATGAAGGAACTCAAGCACGAGAACATCGTTGCGCTTCACGACGTTATCCACACCGAAAACAAACTCATGCTGGTCTTCGAGTATATGGACGGGGATCTCAAAAAGTACATGGACAACCACGGAGACCGGGGTGCTTTGAAACCGGCCACCATCAAGTCCTTCATGTATCAACTGCTGAAGGGCATCGACTTTTGCCACAAGAACCGTGTCCTGCACCGAGACCTAAAGCCGCAAAACCTGCTCATTAATAGCCGGGGGCAGCTTAAGCTTGGGGACTTTGGGCTGGCGCGCGCGTTCGGCATCCCCGTCAATACCTTCTCGAACGAAGTCGTCACCCTATGGTACCGCGCTCCCGATGTCTTGCTCGGCAGTAGGACGTACAATACAAGCATCGACATATGGTCCGCGGGCTGCATCATGGCTGAGATGTATACGGGCCGGCCCCTCTTCCCAGGCACGACGAACGAGGACCAGATCAACCGCATCTTCCGCATCATGGGCACGCCCACCGAGCGAACCTGGCCCGGCATTACGCAATTTCCCGAGTACAAGCCGACGATCCAGATGTACGCCACCCAGGATCTCAGGGCTATCCTCCCGCAGATCGACCAGCTCGGAATCGACCTCCTGCAGCGGATGCTAGTGCTTCGCCCGGAGCACCGCACCAGCGCCCACGACGCCCTACTGCATCCTTGGTTCTCCGACCTAACCATGCACCATCAGATCCAGCAACAGCAGGCAATGCAGGCGCAAGTTAGGGGTTATGCTCCTCAAGCCGTACCCTCGCAGGGTGTGTACGACGCTGGCTACTAGGCTCGCCTCCTATGCGGATCGGCTTGGAGGCTCGTTCTTCGAATCGTGGCTCTCGCTTGAAGACGTAACAAGATTTCATGCATGATTATTGCATCTCCTCCTCCCGCCCCCGGCCACAAGATGGCCGTGACGTAGTTCTAGGTACGCCGCACAGTGGGGTCAGCGCATAGCGATCACGAGGTGTAATGCGGAAGCGAGGATAGGAAGGAAACGGGTTGGCGTTTTCGGGAGGGTTATTTTTAAACGCTCAAGCATAGATAACAGCTGCATCGGTGGGGGCTTGGAGGATGTTTTTATTATTGTTGAATTCTACGGCTATACCCTTCATGCTTTGACACGATTTCTAGCTCCGTAACCCCCATGTGACGTCGTGCGAATTTGTGAATATGGGTTGATCCCAGTGCTAACATACACGGTACGACGAATGTCGTTAACTATGTGTAGAGGCTGTATATGTAGCCATGGCCGCTATGTTTATGAGGCATTTAGTCGCGCTTGTTGACTAAGCTGTCATCGACGTTGCTTTTAAATCTGTCCGTACTCGGCTCCGCAGCCCAGGTCTCGGCAAGCTCGAAGCCGGGCCCGTCGTCGTCGGGGTAGCCCAGGCTCCGCCGGACCTTGAGGACCTCGTCGCGGACCCTGCGGGCGACCTCGATGCGGAGGGCGACGGCCTCGCGGCCGTACTTGAGGGCGTCAGTGAGCTCGCCGAGGGCGAGGGAAGCGCCGGCGCCGGCGGTTTCGCGGCGGACGAGGTCGCGCCAGCGGGCGCGCAGGTCACCGAAGGCGCGCTCGCCGTCGAGCAGGTCGCCGAAGGCGACGCGGAGGCGGACGGGGAAGCGCGGTACGAAGCGCGGCCAGGCGCGGTCCTCGGGCATGACGCGCTGGGTGCCGTCGACGAACATGGGCAGCACGTCGGGCAGGGGCTCGCTCTCGAGGATGAGGCGGGACACGCCCCACTTGAAGTAGCGCAGCAGCACGCGCGGGTGCTGATGCACGCAGGCCTCGGGGAAGACGTGGACCCAGGCGTGGCGGTTGCGCGCGTACGCAGACGGAGAGACGTACCGGTCCGCGCCCGTCGTCGTGTACGTCAACGCGCCGGCAGCGAACGGGTCCGGCACGTCGCGCGTCTGGTCCGACGGCGCTGGCGGTTCTGGTTGGGGCGCGGCAAACGGCGGGGACGACAGCAGCCGGATAGCCTGAGGCACCGTCGACTGAAAAAGGCCCCCATGAGGTGAGTGTTGTGCGCGGTGGGTGGGTAGCACCTGGCCTGCAGAAAAGAAGGCGCCGAGAACCCTAGCTGCCAGTGGTGGGGTGTAAATAATCAAGTCATCTGCCGGAGTAAAGGGAGGGGAGCGGGAGATGGGCGTGCGCACTTGTTATTGAAGCATATATCATGGGCTCCTAAGCTCCATCTATGATTTGAGGGGTTGAAGCCGTACCGTAGCGGCAAAACTCCCCAGATGAGGGGATCGTCGAGTCTGATAGGTGATCAACTCTAAGCCTTAGGTGGGTATAGAATAGGTGCAGAGGGAATCTAGATATCAACTCACACACTGAGGTGATTTGAGACTGGCGTTAGAATTAGTTTCCTGCTGTCAATCTCGCGGCATACGAACGAAGTAAGTGCGTCGTACCCGTTATGAGGCCCCTCTGTCTCTTCTCAACGTCTCTCCTCTTATCCAAAATGGCGAGGAACCGGTCCAGGCCGACGACTTCGACAGAATTCAGCCCGTACAAAAATCCCCTGACCAGAGCGGCCGTCACGCCCATGACGATGGAAGAAGTCATGCGCCATGGCAGGCTAGGCTGCTGAAGAGGCATCTTGTTGGGGTCAGACTGTGGCATATCGACCTGGTCAGATGCCATCGACGACTGCAAGGGGAGAGCGACGGCATATCAGGTAGAAATAGAGGATAAGACGCCTTATGCGGGAGGGTGACTATAGTTATAGCTGAGTGCCTACGACTCCGACGGCTCTCCGTACGCAAGGCGACGACAGGCAAAAAGGATCAAAAATAAGGAAACAAATACATAGGTACTTTGCCCTGTCGTCGCGCAGCGACATGGATGGATGGGACGCTAAGGTACCTTACAAGCCCCTGCATTAGACTACCTCCTGTAGATGCATAAACTGCGGAGTACACTATCCATGCACGTTAGGTGACCCCAAGGTTGGATAGCAGTACCTGCCTCTAAGTACCCAAGGTACCCACCCGATACCTGAGGCAAGGTGTATCTTGAATGAATGTATAAATGCATAAATAAATGCATGTATAAAGGTCCTCTACCATAATATTGCATCACTCGCGCGCCCTTATACATTCTTACGAGCTCCCATTGAGCTTGCAGAAGGCTTGCCGATGCGGTCAAGACCTCGCAAGCTGTTTAAACCACCCGAAATCTCAATCACGAATATTCTGCCTCTTCGGCGGGCATTTTTGGCTTGCGTCATACCTAGACAGCAGGGGATAGGGATACCTACAACTCCAATTCACCCGTCGCCGTCGCCGTAATGTCACATAGTGAGTGAAGCCACCTTCACCAACTGCCCTGACTGACGTCCCACCACGCGGCTCCAACGAGATGATAGCGATATGCTGACCATGCTGAACCACCAACCTCCTAGGCAAACGCAACACTTCGCGTGCCGTCTTTACCTCGCATGAGCGGGATCTTGCGCGGCGGGCGTGGGGTGAGAACACGGCCCGGCTGACGCGCGAGAGCTACCTGCCTTTCGCCTCATGCGTCCTGTGCCTCGAGGTCGCGCGAGACCCCGTTGCCTGCGCGCACGGCGACCTCTTCTGCCGCGAGTGTGCCCTCAGCAACATTCTAGCCCAGAAGAAGGAAATCAAGCGGCTCGAGCGCGCGCGCGAGCAGGAGGAGCGCGAGGCCGAGGAGACCCGCAAGCAGCAGGAGGAAGAGGCCCACGAACGCGCCGTTCGCGAGTTCGAGCTGACCCAGATCGGGCTCGAAGCGAAGGTAAAGAACAGGAACGACGCGGCTACCAGCAGGAGTGGTAACACTGTCAGGGGGTCAGATAGCAATGGTCGCGGCGAGGGCAGCCCCCCAGCGACGGAGAACCCCGACAGCAGCGCGAAACCGGAACGCAACGGGAAGCGCAAGTTCGAGATGGACGAAGAGGAGCTGGCACGGATAGCACGGGAGGACCGGGCAAAGGCACGAAGAGCTATCGACGAGGAGACGGCGTCGAGGCCCACGCTCCCGTCGTTTTGGACGCCGTCCGTCACGCCGTCCTCCAACACGAGACACGCGCTGCACGAGATAGTGAAGAAGGCGAAGAGCACGCCCATGTGTCCGGGGTCGCACGAGGACGCGCCCCATCCGTACTCGCTGCACACGCTCATCACCGTCAACTTTGCCGAGGAGGAGGAGGAGGATCCCGTCCAGAGCAGAAGCAGGGCAGGGGATGGGGACGGCAAGAAGAAGACGCGGGCGCGGGTATGTCCGTCTTGCAAGAAGGGCCTCAGCAATGCCTCGAAGGCGATGCTTGCGAAGCCTTGCGGACACGTCGTGTGCCGGAGCTGTGTCGATAAGTTCATGCGGCCCTCGCATCAGCATCGCCATCATCACGATCCCCACGCGCCCGCAGACGAGGCCGAACGGCTGCGGTGCTACGTCTGCGAGGCAGATCTCACCGAGGACAAGACGAAGAATAGTGGCAACAAAGACGGTAACAGGGAGAAAGGTGCTAGGAAGAAGGAGAAGGAGAAAATACAACCGGGACTTGTCGAGCTGAGGAGCGAAGGCACGGGATTCTCAGCCGGGGGCGCGAACCAGGTACAGAAGTCTGGCGTATCATTTCAGTGCTAGACATATCACGATATCAACACTACATTTGTCAAAGCTCTATGGCCTATAGGCGATTCCGAACCCATCTGTACCCATACATTAGCCATACTACCTCCTGGCTATCGCTTTTCGCGTTAAAATAACACCGGGGCAAGTTGCCGTCCCCATATAGCGGAGCGAATTACTATTATGCTGTATATATAACATGTATATATATGTATGTATCCCGGACCGGAAGAGTTGGCCTAAGCTGTCCGCCTACTTCCTATAGGCACCGCCTATCCGTACATCATGTTGCTGCATCGTCTCTCGTCTCGTCCTAATCTCATCAACCTCTTCGACGCCTACGTCGGGGGGGCAAAGGAGTGGCGGGCGGTGCCTAACTAGATTACAGTATTACAACCTCGTGAACAACATGTATCATGACCGAAAGCGATTCCCGCCCCAATTACCCCAGTCCGTTTCTCCCTTTTCCGGTTTCGCGACAAAGGAAAATGCTCGAGCGTTCGGTCTTATAGCCAGACAGGTTTTTTTTTCCTTTTGCTATCGTTTCTTTCTCTTCTCCCCCCCGTTCGTCACCCCCCCATCCAGTGAGATGGCGATAGAGAGCGTAATCGAATCCGATACGTCCTCGCCCACTCACGCTCGGTTCTCGCTCCTTTCCGCCCCCCATTATTTCTTTCTCTCCCCCCCCTTCTCCACCCCTTGGCGCGGCAAGGGTCAGACTCATCGGATCTTCCTCTGCGTGCCGTCGATCATGTTAGCGACGACGTTCACGCCGAAGTCCTCGAGCGAGGAGCTGCGGCGGCGGCGCCACTGGGCCACCGCCTTGAGCGCGCGGTTGGCGTTGGTGCCGGCGGCGCTGGGGCTCGGCGCGGGGTTCGCGGCGGCGCCGTAGCCATGGCCGTGGCCGTGGCCGTGGCTGACCGCGGCGCCGGCGTTCGCCGCCGCGTAGTAGCCGCGGCTCGTGTTGAGGCGGTACCGCAGGGCCGTGGGCAGGGGCTCGGTCCTCGCGGGCGCGGCCGCCAGCATCGCCGCGGCCGCCCGCTTCGCCTGCCGCGCTCGCAGCTCCGCGAGCACCCCGCCCACGAAGAGGTACAGCCTGAAGAGCACGCGGTGCGCGGCCGCCTTGGCCACCGCCGCCGTCCCGTGCCCCAGGACGCCGCGCAGCAGCGCCCCGCCGAGCCCCGAGTACAGCGCGCCGACGCCCTCGCGCCGCACCATCCGCGCCATCGTCTCGAGCACGCCTCTATGGTGGCGGTGGTGGTGGCGGCGGTGGTGGTGGTGTCTCCCGGTCGACGCGCGCCTCGCCTCGCGCCGCAGCTTGGCCTCGACCTCGTCCCCGGCGGCGCTCGCCGTCATGCTGCCGCGGTAGTACTCGTCGGCGAAGCCGCCGGACAGCTTCTGTTCCAGCTCCTCCAGCTCCTCCTCTTCTTCTTCGCCGTCGCCGGCGGCCCTCGCCGGCATGGTCAGCGGCGATATGTCGCCGGCGCGCGAGTACGACAGCTCGCTGCGGCGGCCGTCGTCGCGCGAGTACGTGCGGCCGCGCCGCGAGCCCGGCCGGCTCTCGCGCTGGCCGCCGCGGGACTGCATGCGCGCGCGCGCGACCTCGAACGGCCGCGTGAGCAGCGTCGCTGCCGCCTTGCTTGCCGCCGCGACCAGGAACACGGTCTGCGGTGCGGCCGCGTGGCGCCCCAGCAGCTCCTGCAGCGCCGAGGTCACGCTCGGGTTGAGCGCGAGCGCTAGGTCTGCCGTGTACCCGGACCACAGGCCGCCGAAGAGCCCGCCGCGCTCGTGCTGCATGTCGTCGAGGACGTCGTGCACGCTCGCGCTGCGGCCGGCCTCGGCCTCGCGCCGCAGCCGTGCCACTACGTTGGCCGCCGGCGTCGTTAGCAGCCGCGAGCACGCCCCCGCCGCTAAGCCGATGGCGAGCTCCTCGAGCGCGCCGAGCCCCGGCGTCCTGGCCCGCCGCGCCTGCGCCCGCCGCGCGGCGGACGCGAGCCGCGCGCTACGGATCCACTCGTAGAAGAGGAAGAAGAGGAAGGAGTCGAGCACGGACTTAGCAGCGTCCTGGGCGAGGCCGGCGTAGTATGCTTTGGGCCCGCCGCCGTTGCCGCCGCCGAGTTCTGAGCCAAGCATCCGCGAGAAGGCCTCGGTGGCGCCAGGATACGGCTCCGCATCTGCATGGTCTGCCGCGGCGCGGCCGCTCGGACTCGTGTTGCTAGGGGTGCTGCCGCCCGGGTTCGGTTGGGATCTGAGCCGGGAGGCTAGCGCGGAGAGGGGATATATGGCGCACGTCGAGATGAGAGCACCGGTGGAGCCCGACAAGGCGTGGTGCAGGGCCGGGAGGAGCGTATCGGTCGGGAGGCCGCCCGCGCTCGGATAGAAGCTTGACGCGGACATGGTGTTTGGCCGGATGTCCCGAGTGTTGGCGGTAGGGGGATTAGGGAGGCGGAGAGGTAGGGGAGGAAACGGAAAACGATAGGATTTATATCGAGGGTAGACTTTCGATTTAGCGATTGGGGAGTGAGCACGCGCTGTAGTAGGTCGTGTCGTCGACGGCCGGACGCCAGCCAAATCTCGCACGGAGCCTTCTAGTAGCGTGATATGGCGTGTTAAAGCGGTACTGCCTATGTCTGTATGTATGTATGTGTGTCGCGCAACCCTACCGTATCCGTGGTGTTTGTGGTGCCAAGAGGCCGGCGAAAGACAGATCACCTCTGGGAGGGGACGCGTCTATAAGGTCTTGTACGGATAGAATGCGTCGAAGTCCTGTGCTGAAGTGACCGTGATATCTGGTTGCCCGTCATTGGATCGTCGTCAGATTCGCACAACGCCGAAGGCATCTGGTCTGGGTACTGCATGGTAAACGTCCGTGGTGTATGGAGCCTCCTGGTTGAGGCTGGGGATACTCTCGGCGTAGCGGGTAACGAGGAGACTCACGAGCCGGTGACGCAGCAACATCACTGCCAGGTATGGATACGACCTGCTCGAGGCCTTTGGAGCGATGCATCGACGCACCCCGCTCCCCTTTTCCTCATTGAACCGTCGAGGCTGGTGATCTGTGGGACCGTTGCCAATCCCCTCCAAGCCTGGTCCCTTGGTTGTGTATATCCCCGTACAGTCCACGTCGTATAGATAGACGGCACCAAAACAGTATAAGCAAGGCCGTTGCCCCAGGAAAGCCCATCTATGAGTAGATGAAAAGTAGCCTAAAGGGATTTTCACGCCATCACCCGGAACGATTGGTGGCCTACACGTGTACCGCCCACCTCTGCCCTCTCTCTGTGTTCCTCTCCCTCTCCCTCTCCCTTCCTCCCTCTCTTCGCCCTACATACGTATAGGGTATGCAATCTTTATATTGGGTCTCGTCCACTGGGTCCCATTCCTCGGGCACCGACACGTGTGCAATAGGATGCCCTCGCCCTAATCAAGAAGACGCTATAGGCTGCAACAGTGTTATTCTGACCCAATTTGCCCCCCTCTTCCCTCTCCCCTCAATACAGGTGTGGTGGCATCGCGTGAATCACAAATTCTTCCGCCGCGGTTTACGGCCCTCGAGGCCAGCGCTCCCGCAACTCGCAGCAAACCAAAATGACTATGCCTGATGACTTGTCGAGCCCACCCAGCAACGCCCTAGCCTAGATATACCTATTCTTTACCAAAAGTGATACAAATGCGAGAGCCAGAACCGCCCGCTCCGAGTTGGTATTTCCGATATGCGCCCAAACAATGATAGGAACCGATCCACCCCAATGCTGCTGGCCCCCCCCCACCTCCTTCGTATGTGTGCCGTGATGGAGTCCCAGAGACTAATGGGACGCTCGTGATGATGTCGTGGGTAAGAATTACAGCCGATTCTAGCATATTTATTAACCCCAGGGATGAATAAATAGAGAGCGAACGTGTTTGCGTGCTTGACAGATGGCCGGCCGTGTGGCGCGCTGCGTGCACGTTGGCAGCCCCTAGGCATCTCTACGCACCGAGATCCTAGGCCCGGCTCACCACGGAGGGACGCCGTGAGGTGGCCTGCATGCTGAAGCTCGAGGACCTCCGCGCGTCCATCCCGCCCATCATTGCTAAATCTGGCTCTCCCGGTGCATCGTCCAGGTCCATCGTCGCGTCAGTGTGGTTCTCGGGAAGTTTCTGAGCACCGTACCCGACCACCTTAAAAATGTTGGTCCGGCCGCCATTGGTTGCCGTCTGGAGCTGCTCGTGAAGACGCGCGAGTTGATACGTCCGCCTGATGGGTGCAAATATGGACGGTGGTAGGACGGGCTGCGGATTCCACCGAGCTAGCGCGCCCATAACCGCGGCTGTCTCCTCGTCGGAGTCGACTGGCCCGGCGTTGGCGTCGTCGTCGTCCTCCATAGGAGCGTTCGCATCCAATGCAGCTTCTATTGAACAATTAGCCTCGAGGACCCAAGGGTCTGCCGGGTCTGGTTGTGCCTTACTCTGCTGCTTCGCCTGGTTTTTCTTTTGATACGCAGCGAGCAACATGTCGTATGGGAGCGACCTGCCAGCGACGGCACGCTTGGCTCCCATGCTGTGGCTCTTACAGGTCAATGACCGCGCACACGGTTGGCCATTAGGTAGTATAACACCACATTGCTTCTCGACATCCACAGGACCTAGATTGGTTAGACAGGGTCAACACCAGCACCGTCTACAATGCAAGGGTATGTAGCGCCTAGATACCTTTAGGTTTGGGCACCTTCGGCTTCGGTTCCTCCTTTTTTTTCTTATTCTTGGGTCCCTTGTCGGCATCGCCGTCGGCCTTGCGTTTCTTGCCTTTCGGTTCGCCGTCCGGCTTCTTACCTCCCACCTTCTTGGGCGCCTTGCTGGTCGGACCTTTCTTCTCCCCATCGTCGTCGTCATCACTGTCGTCGTTCATCTTGGCATCCCCATCCTCGTCCGCCTTCCGAGCCTCTTCTTCTCGCGCTTGCTCCTTCGCACGTTCTCTCGCTTCCCTCGCTTCTTTCTTCCGCTGGGCCTTCTCCTTCTTGATTCGTAGACATTGCGCGATGTGAGCCTTGGCAGCGGTCCTGATGATGCCCTTCTTGCAGTGCTTGCACTGTTGGAGGTTGAGGGTGTCTTCAAGGGGTCGTCCGGTCGGAAAGGTCTCTCGGGAGCTATCTTCGAGTTGGTTTACCACGGGGCCGGGGGACAGCGAGCCGATGATAACGGAGGGGCTATCTGTGCTTCTAGATTTCTTGTCATCTGTAGAGCCGGCACGTCATTAGTAACTGGCCTGCGAGGCGGCTCAGTTGCGCCGGGAGGATGTGGTAACTTACCATCGGCAACGCTCCCATCTCTCCAATTCCCAGGCTTCGTCTGCTTGGGGACGGCCTTCTTTAACTTTATGACGCCGGTTGGTCTGTCCTTGACGACCTTCTTCGAAGCGACATTGATGGTGCCTTCGTCGTCGGGGCCTGGAACATGGGTCGCGCGCATCGCACCCCGGTCAGTCAGCTATGCTACTACGCGCGATGCGAACCGGGCGCACCAACGTACCTTTTCGCCCCTCTCCTCCGGTCGCCATGCTCGGGATCACTGGTGAGAATGAGAAATGCGGTAGAGAAGGCGTCAAGAGAAGCGCATTAGGCGAAGCATAGACCGAGAGAGATGGGGAACGGGTTGGTAGTGGTGTCTTGATGGTTGAGGATAACGAATAGTGCAGACTGATTGAGGAGTCGTCGAGCTTGCAAAGCCGTCACATCAGACTCATTGGCACGGCTTATCGGGGATCTTATCGGTTTAGCCGCGACTCTGCCGACGAACGTCATCCTTGACCTCTGCGGTACACGGTTACACGGTACATAGCCTTAGGTACCTAGGTGTCTCTACCTAATGATATATTGCATTAGGTACCTACCCTCCCACCTGCCTACCTCTAGTCATAGGTACCTCCTAAGGTGAAAATGGATGTTAGGTACCTCCTGAGGTGGAAATATGTAGGTACCTAAGGTACCTACACGCCTGCGTGACGGTGTTACCTCCATGGACCTAACCCATCTCCGCACAGGTCCTTACCTAAGCTAGGTAAGATCTCTACTCCAGAAGGCCAAATATCCTCCTTACTGCGGAGACATGTTGATGTATAGGTACTTCTCGATAAGAAGATTCTCTACCACATCGAGGGAAAGGTTTCGATCGATGTGCACTATTATTCTCGCACCGTTCCAATGTATACGAAGAATAACCCCATAGCCACATCCATGTGACGTTTCGTCAACGTACCTAGTAAAGATACCTACCTAAGCCTCGGGGTTATATTGAGTTCCGCAATTACGTCCGCAACATCATTGACTGGGGCGGGGGCGCGCGGCTGGAAGAGATTTTCGAGTCTTTGGACAGCCTTTTGGAAGAGAACGGTAACTGATGTTGCGCGTTGGCGGCTGCACCAATCCACAGGCGGGAACTGTCTACCGAGGCGACTGACGCTCCATCTCATAGTCAATACTTAATAGCCCCGTTCAGGTAGATGAACAAATTCCTCGAGGGGCGGATAGGAGGTAATTACCCGTAGGACGTCTGGGGTTTCCCATTCTAAAAGACTTGGTTACCTACACATAGTATATTAACATCATGACTCCTTTAAAATTCTTGATCGTTGTAATTTGCTATCGATTTTGCTTGTCCAAGACATCCCATCCCATCCTCCTTTCCTCTGGCACGTTGCTAGCGTCATCAGCAACTGGAGCAAGCCCATAGGAAAACTCCTCCACGTTTAAGAGTCGTCCCAGGCTGTTCAAGTTGTGGATCTCTCCTTGCCAGAGATGCCGGTCGGACAAGCTGTCGGTTTGGCAGATGCGATCCCGTGACGCGCAGGCCGAGTTGAAGGGCCTCAATACTTCTAGGTGCTGGCAAAGCCCCAAATCAGGACACGCATTTTGGGCGACCGCGCACCCCAAGTCGGGTAGACGGCGACCCTCTCATAATGAACCCAACGTGCCAGTTAAAATAGGGCCCTCCAACAGCGACCACGGTCCTGGTTTTCGGCGTGATTTCTTGAAAACCATGTTTCTGGATTGGGCTTTATAGTTGTAGATATACCTATATTTATCTGCCCTTAGTCACCCTCCAACTCCAATCTGTGGTTGATTGCCGCTTTTTCCAGCCTGGCCCGGTGCTCTTGCATTACCTCTGATAGTGCCAAGGCGTGCAGCATGCCCATCTGCTTCCAGACGACCTGCAGCACGTTGTAGGCCCATTGCCAGAATTCCAACGGCACGTTCGGTGCACACCCAGCGGCGGTGAGTTGCCAAAGAAGGCTAGGCAGACCCACGGCACCGGAGCCGCCTTGTCCCTTCGACTCGAACTTCTTAGTCACCTCGGCGCTCAGCGTCGGGTGGTACCAATGAGACGGTGTGCTGATAAGGACACCTTCGGCAAGGCGCTCGATCATGTCGTAGCACTGCTTTCTCCTACCAGCAGGGGCGAACTTGCGGCTCGAGGCGGGATAGTCATTTATCAACTGGACCAGCCTCCGGTTTGCGAGGATCCGCCCCCATCGATAATGATTCCACGTTCGCGCGCCCCAGACCTCTCTGTACCCGTGCCACTTTCCGCGGAAAACCGCCTCTGGCGGATACTCGCCTTGGTTTTCCGTGAAGGGAAACGCTTCGAACAACCGGGCTTCCAAGCTTTCGAATACGTCGTCCAGGATTAAAAGTTGCTGCACGAGGTTATCTGTGGCCGAACTCCCGTCGGTAAGCGCGGTATTCTCGACGATAGACGAAAGCTGTAGGACCTGAGCTACGGCTAGCGCTAGGTCGACAGTGCAACTCCCTGGACTTCCGTTCATCAGCTCCTTGCTGAACCTGAGGGTTTCGAAGAAGACGGGAGGGAGAGGCTCATTTATCATCTGATACGGAATGAACTGGCTTAGGTGAGCAGCTGATACAAATAGGGGCCCTACGGGGCCATACCATGGAGAACAACAGTTGCAACGCCCCATGAGCGCCTCCGTACGGGGAATGTGGCAGAGGTAACACAGAGCGTAACACAGCCAGCGCCCCGTTTATATGTGTACTGGCCGAGCCCACCGTGCCTTTAGGACCTCTACCTTGTACGACCTGCATCCGGTGAGCACGTCATCCCGGCACACGCGAGCTTTGAGCAGGACCCTTACCTCGAATAGAGCAAGGGCTATGACACTTCGTATGCGAGGTATGAGGCCGGTCCGCTCGACGGTGGCGAGCAACTTCCCGGTGTCTTTTAAAGCGGTGACGTATTTAGAACGCGAGAGCATGTTGATGCCCCTGTCCCCTAGCACGTTGGACATGCCGGCGAGACCTACGGCGACCATGACGTTCTGAGCGGTGTTCGCCGCGGCCAAAAAGTAGCCTGCCACCTGCTCGTGCGTCCTTGGCGAATCGGGGTGGCCTACGAGATAACGACTGATGTAGAAGTGCAAACCCCGCTGTTCGATATTGAAATCTACCTTTCTCGGTATTCTCGCGGGAACCAGGTTGCGCGGTGGCGATGACGGGCCGTCAGAAGCAGCGCTCGGTGGCTGGCCAGCCCAACGCTCAATTGGGGTGGAGAAGGGCATAGGCGAGGGGGGAGCACTGGCAGATGGGGCTTCGGCCAAGGTTGAAGCCGGGTCGTCCGAGGACGGAACCGAGTCCGAGGCGGGAGCTGAGATGCGACCGACCTCGATAGGAGAAGGTCCCGATGAACCCCATTGCGCGTGCGCCTTCTGTATGACCTTGCTGCTCTCATCTCGAAACATGAGAGACAGCTGGTCCCGATAGCCGGGGCATTTTTTGCCTACGCGAATGCACTGTGAGCATTCCGGGCGCTTTTTGTCGCACTATAAGACGGCAGTTAATTATCAGCCTCATGGTGGATGGTTGCGGCGATCCCGACAGGCTGGGAGGACTAAGATCAGGAATTGGCAGCTATTGCAGGCGAACGTCGCGTTCCTCCCGAACGCAACGGCGCTAGGCACATCTCACATGCACGGTAGCGAAAGCGGGTGCGGGCGTCGACGAGAGGCTGCGAGCCAGCCGATGTATACACGCACCTTTATACGCCGTGTTCGACAGCTCTGGCACCCTTGGGAAGCCTTGCCACAGTAGACCATTGTGCGATGAGAAGGCCAGAATAGGCAAGTTCGACGAGCAAATCAGGAGAGCGGGTTGGCTCTCGATTCCGCGTATCCAGGACTCGTGTCTCCGCAAGTGGCGGTTGTCGTTGGTCGATATCGCTGTTGTCGCGCGTCGAAAAGGGAAAGCAGCTCGTCAAGGTCGTGGGGAACGAGAAGGATCATGATTATGCGAGGACTAGCAGGAGACGGCCCTAGCTTTTAGTTCCATTGTGCCCCCTCTCCCCTCCCCCTCTCTCGTCCGAGCCTACACATATATAAAGGACTCACCTGGACCTGGTTCACCTCCGCCAGATGTTGCGTCGACGCTCAGCAACGTCGACTTAGCGTTGCTGAGGCGTTACGCGAAGTCGGCACCGAGCCCGGACGACGGAGACGCAGTGGATGAAGGACCAACCACGGACGCTTACCTGCCCCAACACGGTGACGGACCTATTCTTTGTGTCGCTAGAATTTCTGGAGCATGTATCGGACTCCGTCCTCAGCCGGATCGCCCTAACGCTATATGAACGGACGGGCCAGGTACAAATACGACCGGGTCGGCGACGAGGAGCGTTCGAAGCTTGGAGAAGGCAGCAGCCTAGAGTGCTACGTAGGCAGCCAGTGTGTAGGTATAGAAGCCGTGCTGATGGAGGGTTGCCGCGATGCGGGCTCACGGTATCAGGGCATAGGCGGTTATACTGTATTATATGTGGTAGCGGTGGTAAGTAAGGCTTTGTCGACTCGCAAGAAAAGACTCAGCCAGGTTGGCCGGATTGATGATCACAATCCTTCAAAGTGACCAGTCCCCTATTGCCGGAGCAATCCGCTGCCTATCTCGCCGGCCAACCCGCATTCATTCGCTAGCGCGTCTACAAGGGTGTTCTCGCTTCTCTCTCTCTCTGCCGCGTCTCTTTTCTTTTCTTTTCCTCCGCTTCGTGACGGGGGCATACCGGGAGAGGGGGGGGGGGGGGGGGGGGCTTAGTTCACCTTGCTCTCGGAACTCGGGAACGTCTAGAGCTCGACGGCAACCTCGGGGGCCAGAAGAGGGAGCCAAAAAAGAACGGGGAAGAAAAAAAAGAACGCGAAGAAGCAATCTAGAACTCGACAGATACCGGTGTCGCCTCGAATTACCAGCGTGAATAACTTTCCCCGCTTTCCTATTCGCCCGATTCGCCGTCTGGTCTGGTCTGGGTCTCTGGTCTGGCCTGGTGTTGTTCGTGTGGGGGTTTGCGAGGGACGTCGATCCGTAGTTCTCGTCAGCCATTGGGACGCAGGGTATTATCTTCTGCTTCTTTATTTTTAAATTTTTTCACTGGATACCTACCTCGGCCGGGTCACCTAGGCCCGGGTGCCTACGTAATGCTGCGGAGAGGAGGGTAGGTAGGCATCTAAATTATTTATCATGCCGCTGTGGGCATAATAAATAGGGAGGTACCTATTATAAGGAGATGGGCAGATACCTAGGTACCTTAGGTACCTCTCTATAATCCATTGCATAATACTCTTAGGTACCTGCCCACCTCCATCCATCAACTCCCTGCAATGTCATATGGCCAGACGTGCATCAGTGTCCCGGGTACATACACGAGCGAACACGACGGAAGAGCAGGCCGTCGGCACTACCTCCCCCCCCCTCCCCCCGGCCTGTCGCTACATAAAAATAGGCGGTAACCTCCGACGGTTAGGTGCCTCCACGTTCCTCTAGGTAGGTACCTCTATCCCCTACAACCCTGGGGTGCCAGCCTGCCCACCTCCTCCTGTAGGTACCTACCTAAGATAGGGCCCTACTGCTACCTTGCAGTTAGCATCTGCGATCACGATGCGGCAACCCGCCCGTCCCGTCCGCTCGAAGATTGGTCCATGTACCTACCTACCTGCCTGGGTAGGTACCTGTAGCCTACTCATAGAGGCAGGTTATGTAGGTATGTACCTAATCCGTTAGACGTACATTGGGAAGCACACCACAGTTATGCAGAGGCGTTGCCGAGCCAGACGTAGAACCCGCACAACACCCCAACAGGGCCGGTATCATAGGTCACAGCCGTCGATCGCGGCCACGAAAGCGGACACATTATACGTTAGGTATGGGCAGACGCAACCTCCGAGGCACATTTCTAACCAGGAACTCGACGACTCGAGACGGGAAGCCAGCCTGCCTACATGTGTGCGTGTGTGTGCACACACATGTATGTGCGTGTATATGCAATGTGCATGCCACCCTTCCTCGCAAATTACGTATGTAGGCGTCGCTAAACCGAGTGGCCGGCTGCTACGTTGCGAGGAGGCGGTACCGCTCCCCGGCTCCTACACCAAAGTCCGGGACGCCAGCATCGGCAGGGTTCTTCAGACGGCTTCGAGCATCGCTACGAACGCTTCCACGAAACCTCGGATGCTTGCCCCGCCCGCCGCCTCCCCTTCGCTTCCGAACTCGCCAGCATGTGCCTGGCGCGAAAATAAATAATATTATTCTCCACGATGTGGTCGGCGCCGGAAGCGCCCTCCCGCGGTACATACTCCGTAACCCCCTAATCACACACTTTGCGAGGTACGGATGCACGGCGGCATACGCCAGCACTTAGGCATGACCTAGGCACGCACCCAACGCAGTGCTCTCCAGGCCTACCGAGGTGCGGTAGCGTCGATGAGTAGAGTCCTATGAGTGTGCGCAGTCATCTTACTTGCCAGGGTCACGGAAAGAAGGGTGAAATCCCGGACTGTCAAACTTGCATCTTTTGGGGCTTCCGGGATCGCTAGGAGATTTCGAGAATGGTCCGGCCCTAAAACAGGGGGAAGGGGGGAAAGGAAAGGGGAAAGGGGGGGGGGGGGGGGGAAGACAGGATACAGTATGACAGCCTACCCCTGACAGATGGTGGGAGAGGGCGGCAGCATCACTTAGGCAGCATCACTTTTCATCACGTACAGCGGTGAAGTCGGCCTTGCTCTCTTCATTTCTACATATGCACCTGTGTACATACGTCCGTACATCCGCCCATACGTACATGAGCAACATCCATGCCTCTGTCAAATCCCGACGCTCGAAAGACTCAACTCGTATAGGAATAGCAGAAGAGAAAGAAGTAGGGCGAGCTTCGGTTAGGCATGGTATTATTCGGGAGAGATCAGGTGGCGCGTTGTGGAGGGTTTCCGTTATAAGCCCATACGTAGGTAGTACCAAGGCATGTATCACTTCTATCTCCTTCGACACTCGTCGACCGGGTGGGATGGGATGGGAACAACTGCATACAGCGTCCCATTCGGGGCATGAGTCGCAAGTGCTAGCTATATGACACTGCACATTGCCTTACGGTGCATATATCCATCCACCTTGCCAGCATCGCCGAGACGATGATTGGCCCAAGTTCTCACAGAGGCCGCCACATGAGAGCTGTCGTCGTAACGTTTCTATCCTAGACGTAGGACTGCCGTTATATCCTATCCCGAACCGCTCGCGCCAAGCCCAGACACGAGAGACAGGCAGGTAACTAGCATTGCTTCCCGCGAATCCAACGGAGTTGTAGGCAGACACGCCCCCATTCACGTGTAGGCGCAAGAAGCAGATCACCTTCCCCTCCCCCTCGCTCCCTACCATCTCTAAAAGATGCCGTATGGGAGTTATGGTGCCACCCCTGCTAACAGGAGATTGATCTCGAGAACACCAGCAATATTGTGTGAGGAAGACGCCCTTCAAACCGACCGATACGGCTCTATACTTCGCGCAATGCGATAGCCGACTCGTTCTCGCCAGGCAACTCCCTCGCACCAGCCGGATGCTTAGGAACCCTAAACCCCATGAACGGAAGATAGGTACCAGGGAAGAAGATGGTGAAGCTGAAAACTACCAGGAACATAGGTAGAGTGTCTAAGACATACATGCTGCCGTGCCAAGCATTAGTATAAAAGGGGCAATCGCAGATAATAGAGGGAATAGATCTGATCCACTATTGCTTACAAGTACTCTTCCTGCATCACACGACCACTGGGGCCTTCGGCAAATTCGACTATACGGAATATAGACCGAGCCTGGGAAATGACATTAGGGAGAGTATAACCCAGACGTTCGGGGCGAATACTTACCAGTATCAAAAGGCAAGACCCATTAATAACGTATAGGAGGTGTCTCCAGTGAGGGTTTATTTCCCGCGAAGGCCGTAGAATGACGGCGGCCTTTTTGCCCTCCCTGGAACCCTCAAGCCCCGGTCTAAGGCTTGCCTCAAACCGCTTCGAGGTGAAATGAAAGCGGACAGCGATGACCGAGAACAGCCCGAACGCCGCCATCTGTACAGCAAGTCCTACGAGTGCCACGTTTTTTCCCGTTTCCAACTTGCCTACGGCGTTTTCATCCGTAGCCTTGGTGCTCGACACGACGATGGCGCCCAGGAGTTGGATTACCAGAGAGACAATGTCGAAGGTAACAAAGATGGGTGTAATCCAACGAGCTATTCATGTATCGGTTAGAATCGGGTAACGGTATTTCTGGAATGGTGAGGTCGTACCCGGAACCCATAGCAGCCTTGTGGTTCTCTCTTGCTCGGGAACGACATGAAAGACGATTCGACCAAAGACGACATATACAACGCCAGCCATGAGGACAGGCGCGAGGATAATCACGCAAAACTGGACCGCATACAGATCCAAGCTATCAGTACGCTGAGCGGACGCGATTCGACTAACGTATCCGACGACTTCCACTGTAAAATAGGTCAGTCAAGTTCCCACGTCAGGATTTCGGGCACTCAGAGAGCGTACTAAGTATCGCGACCAGCTGAACCGTCCACACCCAGGCTCCTGTCCGAATCACCATGAAAGTGGAGTAAATGAGAGATAAGCCGAACAAAGCGCAGAACACCGCTGCCGCCGCCTCTGATGGATCATAATGGTAGAAGGAGACGGTTCGGTTTTCGGGCGCCATCGTGCCGATTCGATGGATGGAAACCTACTAGAGCAGGATAGCCCGAAGAAATACAATGGGGTAAAGTGAGAGAACACGGGCTATAGAATGATAAAACGCCGGCCTACAGTGACAACAACAGACTATCACCAACACATTGGGGGGGGAAATTTGGGTGTTTCGGCATATAAGAACAAATTTCACGTCCAAGTCGGGAATCCGATCTTCCGACGGAGCTCGGTAGCCTCCCCATAATTTACTATCCCGTCGGCCTTACTAGCTAGACCCTACGCGAAAATAGGAGAAAGCTATACACCCATTCAGGGGTACAAGACGGATATTCGAAATGAGCTCCGGCATCATCGCCCGGTTCGAACCCGAAGAGGATTGACGAATCGGAAGCTCAAACGTGAGCTCCCTTCGCTCAGCCAGCTTTCTCGCTTTACGAGCCGACATTAGAAAGGGGTGCCGTGCACTCGCGGTTGAGGCTGAGCATGGCGCTGACGCGTCGAAGGATCGGTTAGGTTTCTCGTTAGGACTGAGGTTCTCATTAGCGAGGATATATATCTTGGCTAACAGCACAAACCCTCCGACCTCAATAAGCATATTAAATCCTCCGATCTCAATACGGATGTAAACGCAGCAGTAATAACAGGGCCTTCCTATCACCTCACTAATATGTACACTTCCTAAACAAAGCACCTATTGTTAGAGCTCAAGTCGTGGTAGGAAGAAATAATGGGCCAAATTGAACAGTTAGCACTTAGCACTGGGAAGAACTAATATCCCGTTTTGAGTGCCGGAAGCGAGATCTCTTACCGTTGCATCTAACTGCCACCCCTCCCCCCCAAACATCCTTAAGCAGCTTCAAGCTAATACCCCAAGGCTAAGCCCCATAGCTTTGACGCAGTAATGACAGGTGAGACTTCGATGTCGTGCAGATACCTAGAAAACCACCGTGATAAAATTCCCATCCCTGCACTCCCTCTAGTCCTTGCGCTACGGTGCTATCGCATCATTACCTTACCCTGTCAGCCCTAAGGAGAGTGGCTTGATTCGAGTGAAATTTTGGAAATATCAGATGGGTATTATGTTTACCTTCGCATGGAAGCCAGATAGATATCCCTGCTTGCCAACGCTAATACGGCGCCACGACCCCGTTGCCCCTTATAAGCTAGGTCACCGCTCCACGGACCACCCCTTCACAGACCGGGCCTTTTTATATATGTTTACATACAAACAGTTTTTCTCTACAAAAGATAGAGAGAAAATCCGAAAAATCCGAAAAATAATTACGTAATATCTATACATAATTATAATAATATAAGATTATTTTTAAAAGAAATTAATCAGTTTATAATATTAAGAATTATATAATTTAAATTTTTAATTTTTTCTACTAATAGTTTTTTATATAGAATACTAGTAGATCTATTAACTATACTTAAAATTACTACTTCAATGTTTTTTTTTTACTATTTTAAAGTAAGGTTTTGATATAACTTATAAAACTATAAATAGAAAGATACATAATATTATATAATTAAAATTTTATTATGTTTTAATGTTTCTATTTTCTTTTAAAATTTTCTTTTTCTTTTTAAAAAAAAAACTAAAACTTAGTTTTTTAAAGACAAAATATGTTAAGAGTTATACTTATTCATACTATAATAGTTAATTTTTTTAATATACTATTTTTTATATAGAATTATATTAGAAAACTAATTTAAAAATCAACGTCTTTTTATTAATAATAAATTAAATAAAGATATTATAAAATATAATTTAAATTATATAATACTATTTATTTTCTTATTTATAACTTTAAAAATTATATAAAACTCTTACTTTAATATGGTAAAAAATTTATTAAAGTAATAATTTTCAGTATAGTTAATAAGTTTACTAGTATTTTATAAAAAAGATTTTAATAAAACATCTAATAAGTAATAAAATCTAATTATAACTTTATATTTTATAAGAAAAAATCATTTAAAAAGATTATATATTAATTAAGTTAAGTAAACTGGTTATATAAGTAAATCCCAACTTTTTGATTTTTCTCTAATTTTTATAAGGAAAAATCGTTTATATGTAAACACATATAAGAAGGCCCGGTCCGCGAAGGGGTGGTCCGTGGAGCGGTAACCTAGCTTATAGGAAATATCTCGAGCCTGGCTTGTGAGAGTTTCGCGATGCCAACCAATACCTATTGACGCCGCTCTCGCCAGGCGCAGACCGAACACGCGTTCAATTCCACAGCCTGCTCCACAAGGCACATTTACTGCGTTGAGAATCCGGCTATGTTTGTTGGAAGTCGCAATAATTTCGTCGCCTTTATCATTTCTCACAGCAACTCCCTAAATACTACCTCCGGCATGGATACTCTTTACAGCATGTCGGCATGCCTTCATAGAGTTTTGGTTGAATCCATACGCTCATAAGTGCCCTTAACACCGTGGTTCTCGCTCATGGAGGAGAGGCCTTCGCAGGCTGAACCATCAAAACTTCCTCCGAACCTTCCGTCGCTTGGAAGACTTGCCCTCTTTTAGAGACTTGTACCTGGGAAGAACACCCGCCCCCTTGCAAGGATACCACCACGATGGCAGTGTGTCTAGGCTACCATACAGACATCTTGATTACACAAGAGAGCTTTGATAATTGCGGAAGTTTCACTGGAGAATGTAGACCTTTTGTATGGTATTTCTTTTGCAACAAGGCTTGATATTATCATCTTAGGTTCAGCTATATAATTACCTACTCCCGCGAACCACTAAGCTTCAACAACCTCGATACAGTATCTAGCTTAACCACAATACCCTGTGGGAAGGCTATTCAGAGGGCTTTTATATGTTTAACGCGAGTTTGCCATTTCCAAGCCGTTGCTATAGAGGCGCCCGTTCTCCCGACAATTCCTGACATAATACATATTGTACTTCGAGCCATTAATACCTAGAATTACGCCTTGGCTATCTGTATTGACGCTCCCGGCCTACCCCTTCGACGTCCCTGTAGGCGTTGTCAATAAAGACGGCCTGAGCGCTTCGGCTGGTGACGAAGGAAGGTTAACTCGCTACCGTGACCCAGCTCTCTCGTATTTATTGTTTCTCGCTGATGATCAATGCGTTATAATCGGTTAGGGTAGCTTTTAATATTCTCCAGTATTTGATGTTAGAATGAGATACCTAGCCCCATGTCGCAGACTCCTGATATTTTTAGTTCCCATGTTTATCACAACTGGCACGTGGCTTTAGCTTAGGCATATTGTTACACCGTATCTCGAGCCTCGTCCTAATTTTTGGCCAGCGCCTCGCCTCTAGAAGATCGGCTCCGAGTATGATAGTATCGTACCTCCCTCGCATTATAACCATATCCATATAGATTCCTGAAGGGCATACCCCTTAACCGTCATACCAAAGCCGGAAAACCAGTATTGTGGAAGCGTAGGTGTGTACGGTGCGCTCGCGACCATATTGTGAATTAAATATGTCTACTAGGAAAAGAGACATGCCATTGTGATACCACACCAACACCATAGCGCCTAGGTTTCAAATCCAGCGACCCGATATGATAAACATCACAATGGATTCAGTAAATGATGTGGCTCATAGCGATGTTTGTCTACTCAGCCTACACTCCACTCAACCGGATGTTCGCTCGTCGCCAACAGCGTAACATTTTCACCGTTTCCAAGGGCGGAACAGGTAATAGCGACACAAGAAACGAAGATAGAGCGGGAAGAAATTCCGGCTCTCGCCAGAGATCGCCCTTAACTTACAAGTCCACAAAGTCCTCGCCGTCCCTTTCCCTATGTCACGTACCGAATCAGCCCTTATAGGCCTACATCTGCAAGCCGTAGAATGTAGGCGTCTGCGTTTTACGCAACACCCTAGGGTATTACCTTTAATTAACACCTCTTAATATCGCCTCGAAAGTTTCGGAGGGGTGATGTTACCTAGCATACCTAGTCGGCATTATCGAGCTAGCTCCTGTCCACCAATAGGGACATAGGGCCCAAAGCCTAACCCGACGACTACTGATTACGTCTCCGGTCTGATATTCAGGTCCTGCGCAAGAGATGCATAGGCGGGATAAGGCCAAGTGTTAGTCTCGTCTCTCTGCTCGCAGTCGACGTTAACGAGGTCAGCCACATCTTACATTCAGGTATGACCTGACTAACTACCTAGGTATTGTTTATTTCTCTCTTTCTACCGTTTTAGCCTGCGTTGGGTATTATATTATTTCCAGGCTGGTGGCGGGGGCAAAGCAGTCACATGTTGCGCACGAGAACACATTGCCACCTTTTCCTAGAAAAGGTAGAGCCTCTGGAGCAGATCACGTGGAGAGAGGAGGATGGCCGTCTTTTACAAGGGCGTCCTTTCAGAAGCAGGTTGCAGCTGGTCATAGAACGAGGGCTGAGACTTTAATATGTGAGTCTGAGTCTGAGTCCCGGAGTCCCACCTCTGCCTACTCGTATAAGACAAGAAGCTCTCAGACTCTAGCCAATCGTCTATTAGTCTGTGGTTTCTCGTATACGATTCCCGATATTTATGACCTTGGTGTTAAACCAGGAATCACATGAACGAAAATGAGTTCAGCGTGCAGAGGGCTAGTATCTTTATTTTTAATTCTCTTTAATCTTGCACCAGATATTAAGTAATAATACCTATTTCACAGGAGTCGTAGATGACGTGGATATAATGTTACAGCACACACGTTAATAACTTATTGACACCGGAACATTCGTCGGCAACTAATATTATAGCCTCCATGGGCTTCAGATGCGTCTCATAGCATAGTAACTTTAGACATGGTGACCACTCGCCTTGGCCTAAACTTGGAGCCTCGGACATTCTCTTTTCAAGGTAACATTACGTCTCGACTGGATTAATAAATGGCTCCGGCGTTCCCAGCATTTTCCTCCATTGCGGACGTGAGAGATGAGAAATGCCCTGTGAAAACCGACGCGGGCGTATGAGGGATAGGTATTCGTTCAAATGGTAATCGCTCTGCAGCAAGTGATCTATTATCCCTCGAGGGCAAGACGTCGTAGGCTTTGTATCGGTATTTCTAATACCGAAGATTTGACGGCGCGGTCGGTTTGTACCCAAGGAGGTAGGGACCTGCCTGGAGCCGTGCTGTGCTCGCCAACGGAAGCAGGTTACATAATAGAAGCGGGTAAGGTACATTCGGTACATCCTAACCCACGTATATGTGTAGAGTAAGGTAGACGGGTACCTAGGTACCTAGGTAAGAAGTAGTAGGCACCACGTTAGGTACCTCCTGCTAACCTGCCCTAGCACGTATTCGCGAGCGTAAATTAACCCTACCGCCACCGCCTCAGCACGTATATAGGAAGTACATAGTACATGTCTGCACACACCACGATGGCAATCCCGGGTTCTGAGTAAGGCAGGGTATGGGTGGATCCGGCCCAGGCTTTGCGGCCCAAGCTTTTTTTCGGGGGCACGACGGGGTTGTGTGGGGCTCGGATGGGGAAGGAGCAGACAGCGGAGAGAACAAGGTGGAATCTGCGATGGCGGTGGAAAGGAAGAACGGAGAGGGAGGGAGACGACGAGAGGGACGGCGAGGGCGAAGAGGAGAAAAAGGGGGAGGAGGAGAGGAGAGGAGAGGGAGAGGAAAGGGGAGCAGGAGAAGGACGAGATGCCGACAAATATCCAGCAGGGTTGTACCACTGTCCGCTGCAGCAGGTGGGACGATTTGGGTTGGGTGTTGGTACCGGGAGCGCGCGAGGTACCTTGCCTTGGGTAGGCGTAGGGCGGGCGAGGACAGGTACCCCGGAACCTACGGTGCGATGCAATCGATTATTCAATTCGATTCGATGCGATGGAGCGGTCCATTGCTAGGCAAATCAGATCCGCATCCTGGGAAAGGCCCACTCCACAGCGCTCAACAGCGCCTCCACGCCTGCTTCCGTACCGAATCCCGCACCGCACCTTTCCCGCCATCGTCGTCTGTTCCCCATTTCATCTCCATCCCCCATCCTCTTCGCGAACGCCCAGCCTGACGAACAGTCGAGCGAGCAAACGACCAGGCCAGCAACCAGAGTTACGGGATACCAAGAAATCCACGCTCGCGACGAGAAGACGAAAAAAAAAACACACATACAACAACACCGCCATTTCGAACTCGGCCTAGCCCCAAAGCCCAGCCCAGCCCAGTCCGAGCCACGTTATCTTCCCATCTCGAGCCCTTTGGCGTACGACCTTTTTCGCCTCTACCTTTTTATTCACCTCCCACCGTTGCCGGCACCCATCCGACCTACTACAAAACTGGCAGACTTGTCTCGACTTGTTCTGTTGCCACCGCCGCCCCTCTCCCTCTCTCCCTTCCTCTTCCTCTCCCTCTCCCTCTCCAACCCAGCTTCGGCGATTCGACCGCACGTACGACTTGATCGTCCTCTCATCTCTCCTCCTCGAACAACCTCCCGCGCGAACCTACTTACATACGCCTTATCGGCCGCACATTGCATACATACACCTACATACTTACCTACCTACATACTTCATATTGGAACCCTTCCCTCCCGCCTGTACGTCCTCCAATACGCACATAAACACCGCCGCCACTAGCGTAGCACTATCCGAGGCTACCCCTACTTACCACTGTCCGCCGACGTCCTCCTGGGACTAGTCGACGTACCTAATTGCCCTCTGCCAGACCCTTCTAGCACTGGCTGTATAGGGTACCGAACCTTGGTTTGGTGCACCGCACGCGTCTGGGGCTCCTACCCTTGGTAATTGCATACCCCCTCTACCCGCATCGTTAGGTAAGTTTGCATTGCGAGTTGGGGTATTCTTCGCCTGCTTTGAAGTCTTCTTATCCCACCACCCACTTCCCATGTCAACCCCCTTCTCCGAACCCGCCATCTAAACCAAAAAAAGAGAGAAAAAAAGAGACTGACGGAAAAAAAAATCTCCAAATCCCAAAAATTACATTACATCCCGCCTTACTCCACCACAATCGTCCTCGTCGACCTCCGTCCATTTTACCCGTCACCCATTCACGCAGTCACTGACGGGCGCATATCCTCTTTTCCCACCACCACACAAAAAAATACCTCTCTCCCCTCTTTTATCGCCGACACGCTGACTGGACTCGGTTCCTCTCCTCCCCCCAAGTCTGTTCAGCCGTGCGTTTCCTTCCCGTCACTCGCCCCCCCCGGTGGCATTCAATCTCATCGTCTACCGAGTTCTCCAACTCACCACGCACATATACAGGTTGGGACGAAGTTATTTGTGCCTCGCTTTCTGTGCACTAGGTGTTTGTTGGGCTAGCAGCATTCTCACATAGAAGCCGTCTAGCTCCTCTGTTCTTGGGCTCACCCACCCACCCACCTGCCTCATTCTAGAATATCTACGATATCGTTTCCGTCCAACTAGGCGTCCTTCCAATCCAGCGCAAACATGGCAACGAACGGTAACCTGAACCACACCGACCAATCCCTAGCTGGCCCTACGATCGTGGCCCCCAGTACCGCCGCGCAAACCATCGAGCAATCCGGCGGCGCTGGCTCTAACAGCAACCTGGGCAAGGATGAAGTCGCCTGGTTCTTTGTTGAGCAGTACTATACCACCCTTAGCAAGAACCCGGAGAAGCTCCACGTAGGTCTCCGCCACATCTTGCGCTTGTTCACCGATCGTCCGCTGACCGTTTCTGCCAGCTATTCTATTCGAAGCGCTCTCAGTTTGTCTACGGCCTAGAGGCTGAGGTGGCCAATGTCTCTGTTGGCCGGCAGGTATGTTTCCCCTAATTATATCATATCGATCCCCTCCATTACCTGCTGACGCGTCACATTAGAACATCCAGGATCGCATCAAGCAGCTTGACCTCCAGGATTGCAAGGTCCGAGTCTCCAACGTTGATTCCCAAGCCTCCTATGACAACATTGTCATTCAAGTGATCGGCGAGACTTCCAACAAGGCCGGAGACCCCAAGAAGTTTGTCCAGACATTTGTTCTCGCCCAGCAGCCATCGGGGTACTTCGTTTTGAACGACATCCTTCGCTACATTGATGAGGAAGGCGAAGAGGAGCCCGCCGAGCTTACTCAGGATGAGCAAGTGGAGTCCAAGGTGCCGGTCGTCTCCGAAGCTAAGGAAGACTTAGAGGTGTCGTCAACCGAACCCGCGGAGACACCTGTTTCGTCCGGAACCGACGTTGCCGACAAGAAGCCGGAGGAAGTTATCATACCAGCCGCCGAGGACGTCGCCCCAGCCAATGGTGAGGTATCTACTGACACTTTTGACACTGATGTAACCGTGGTTCCCGAGGCTGTCAAACAACCGGAGACCGAGTCAGTCCCCGATGTCGAGCCAAAACCCGAAGAGCCCGCTCCCGAGGAGGCCAAAGAGGTCGAAAAGCTAGTAGAGCCAGCCCCAACGCCCGTTCAGACGCGTCCATCACCTGCACCTGTTGCTGCGCCTGTTGCCGCGCCTGTTCCTGCCCAGCCACCTAAGCCGATGACTTGGGCGAGCCGCGCCGCCGCAGCGGCCCCTCGACCTGTGGTTCCCCTCGCTGCTGCAAAGACCCCGACCCCTGCCGCCGCCCCACCAACCCGGCCTATTCCTGTTGCGGCTCCTCAACCGGCCGTCTCTCAAGCGCCTGCTCCCGCGCAAGCCCCCGAGACTCAGACTCCTGCTGCGCCAGCCAAGGACCCCTCCGCCGAATGGCAGACGGCTGGTAGCGATTCGAAACGGCAGAACCGACCTCAATCCGTCTCCGGACCCCAGCTCGAGAAGGAAAGCACCATGGGCTACGTCAAGTATGTTACTGAGAAGGTCAAGTACGATGATCTGAAAGCAGCGTTGGCCCAGCATGGCGAGTTGCTCTATTTCGATATCAACCGTTCAAAGGTTTGTTCGCCCATACTCCGTACGGCAGTGAAAAGGGTTTACCTAACAGACCCTCGCAGAATTGCGCATTTGTCGAATTCGCCACGGTGGCCGGCTACCAGGCCGCCGCCGCCGCCAGCCCGCACGTGGTTAATGGAGAGAATATCGTGGTAGAGCCCCGACGCCCTAAGGCTGCTGCCTATGGCGGCAGCAACTATACGGCGGGACGTGGCAACGGACAGAATCGCTCCGGACGCGGAGGCTTCGAGGGCCGGACCGGAAACCAGAATGGACGAGCTAATTACGGTGGCCAAGGTCGTGGTAGGGTTGGTGGCGCACCTCGGGGTAGAGGTGCTTCGCAAGCTGCCAACGCTTGAGAGTACTTGAGCGGAGGAGCTAGGTCTGGAGGGATCTCCCGTCTCGGAATCCCCTAGATGCTGAGAGTACTGCTTGATACCCTAGACAAGGGAGGGGCTGGGGGGAGGCGCGGGTTTTGGGGTTTTTAAGATTGGCGTTTCGTGGCTTGGGCACCGGTTCGCTCGGGCGTCTCCCGAGATGCCGTCCAGAGGGACTTGATCTGAGCAAGCATATGCCATTGCACGATGATCATTAGCTAATGCCACCTCTGCTTGGGGGACTTGTACATCACGATGGACGGCTGGAAAAGTTAATGCGCAATCTGCATGGAAAGGAGTGAAACGGATGTCATTGGAATTCGGGACCAGATTTGTATGAGTGTACAATACGGGCAAAGTGACCAAGACGTCTATACCCTATGTACTAGTGTAAATGTTATTGCTCAGTAATCATAACCGCCGGGTCCCAGGCCTTCAACCGCGATCGCGGCCATGACTTGGCCAAAGTGCAATTGTCTATCTTGAACATTCTGGGGGATTTTTACGGGAGGGAAGCTTGGAGGGTGAGCCGGCGTGCCGTCGCCTCACCACGGCGGCGGGGCACAAAGAAGACACCATCTTAGTAGCAGGCTGCTCGTGACCGGCCTACCTAGTCGTCTATCGCTAACGCTAGAGAGTGCTCGCCGGAGTGCTTGCGGGTATAGCCAAATCTACTAATAGACCCCTACCCCCCCCCCGGAAAGTTGACCGAGATTGCCGTCATCCACAGACGTTTGCGGAGTTACGGTGCCTGTGAGCTGCAGGATTGCTATTACGTACGTAGGTGCCCCCTTGGTATGCCATCGAGATTTGGGGCACAGAATATCGCACATCCCGTATTCGCCAAGGCACCGTACCTCCCGTCCGCGCTCACCTCGGATGTGCGCGTCCGTTCGAGAGACGGCGATTTGTGGCAGATTGAAACGGACGTCACATGTATGTAGAACAGAGAGATGAAAGCGTGCCATGTTTTTACCCCTCCACGAGCGGCAGCATAGGGTGAGCCTGGCCCGCTCGATGCTAAATAGGCGCGATTCCCTACAACAATGACCACATGCCCGCCCGATACGCCGGAACTCCGAGTCCGTGACCTACGGGACCGGCCTCGCCCGCCCCTTGCCAATCGCGAAGTCCCTGTATCTTGTAAATGTATATATACACATATCACGTACTAGACTAGGCCATGCCGTATAGCGCGCACAAATCAGCGTAGCGTAGCGTAATGTAAGGCGACGTCCCTATGAAACGAACCGACGAATCGCCTAACCATATAGGCAGGCCAGCCACCGCCGGCAAAATAGCAGCGTAGCGTGGCACACGACGGCAGACTGGCGGGGCGGAGCGAGGAGGCATCTCGCGACGGCTGCCGCGATCCTCTCCATCTCCCCTTTTTCCGGCCCTCTGGCCCCCTCGCTCACGGCGCGGCCTCAGCCATCTCGGCCTCGACGGTGCGGGTCTCGGCGGCGAGGTCGTCGACGACGTCATCGAGCATGCCGTTGGCGCCGTCGATGTCCTCGAAGACCTTGCGCAGGAGGGCGACGAGCGACTCCATCTCGGCGCGCTGCCGCCGCACGTCGTCGAAGAGCTTCGCGTTGTGCGCCTGCACCGTCTGCAGCTTGGCGTTGAGCTGCGACTGCTGCTGCGCCAGGTGCGGCGCGAGATGCGCGGCCAGGACCTGCTCCGCCGGCAGCATGTGCGGGCTTCACACCCTGGTGGTTAGCTAGAGAGGATAGAGAGGGGGGGTGGTGGGGTTGGCGGACGGGGAGGAGGGAAATGAGAGGAAAAAAAGACATAGAATAGAGAACAATATCGTATAAAGAGTAAAGTGAAAGAAAAAAAAAAAGTACAGAAGGTCATAAGAACAAGAGTAGAGGGAAAAAAGGGCAAAAAAACGTACAACACCAGGGATTCGCTGGTCGTCACCGACCCAACTACTAATCTGGCGGTATCTGGCTTATCTATGGGAGAGCGGACGGGATCCCGAGCTTTCCAGATCCTATGGTCGTACGTGGGAGAAGGCAGTGTAATGAGGGATTATAAGCGAGGGGAAGGGGAAGCGTAGGGTAGCGCTGCAGAAAAACAGGAACCTCTCCCCACTTACGGAATCGGCGCCTCGGCATCCGGGCCCGCCTCGTCCCGCCTGCGCTCCGCCTCGCTAACCAGGCTCTCCAGCTCGTTAAGCTTGGCCACCACGTTGCGACTCTGCAGCACCGAATCGAATTCTTTCTGTTTGGCGGGTGTTGGGTTAGCTTTTATAATGAGGGTCAAGAAAAGGGGGGAAAAAAGTAAAAATAAACAATAGAGAGAAACGAGAAGCAAGGGAAGAGACCTCCGCTAGAAGGGGAACATAGCACAGGTAACTATCGCGAGGAACGCAGACCGCATCTCCAGCTCGCAGGTCTCTCCCCTCACTCCCTCTCCCCTCCGCTCCCTCTCCTTCCACCGCCCCTTCCCCTTCCCCCCTTGTCCTCACTCTCCTCCCTCCCACCACAACCGCCAAAAAAAAAAGACGAAAGACGAAGAAACCAACACACGCACCTGGCACAGCTGGCCGAGGCGCTCGACCATCTGGCGCTGGACGGCGCGCAGCACGGCGGGCGCGCGCGCCGCCACCGTCGGGTAGCACGCGGCGAAGTTGTCCCAGCCGACGCGCGCCAGCGTCGCGGCGAGGCTCGAGTCGAGGACCTGGCGGAAGCGCGCGGCGCGGGGGCCGGGGGCCAGGGCGGCCGGGCGCGGGGGCAGCGGCGGCGACGGCGGCGGTGGGGGTTGCGCGCGCGGGCGCTGCTGCTGCGGCGGCGGCGGCGGCGAGGGCGCGCCGCTGGGGGACGGCATCGCGCGCGTCGGGTTCGGTCTGCTGGTCGGCTCGCGGGGTCGGGGCGGCCTACGGCAGGCGAGGCATGTATATAGTAGGTGTGGGCAGGCGGCCGGGCAGGAAAAGGTCGGTGGTGGTGGTGCGGGACACGGCGCCCGGTGCGCGTCCGTGGACGCGGTCGGGAGTCGAGAGAGAGGAACAAAGAGAGAGAAGAGAAGAAAAAAAAAAAAGGCGCGACGGCGTCAGCCGAGCGGGCGTGTGTGCCTGGGGGCAAGGCGGTAGGAGGCGGGATGTGTCGACGCCCCGCACGCGCGGTGCTGCTAAACTGGTGAATCCGTGTTGTGGTGCTGGGCTTGATCGCGGCGGTTGCCGGAGAATACGTACTTGATGTATATGCGTAGGCGCGTGGTGTCGCGATTTTGGGCTATCCCCGCCTTATCGATAAGTCGCGACCGCACGTGATGGCTCTCCCTATAGATCCTAGGGGTAGGTATCTACTCATCTACCCAATTCTCCGCCGCTGCGTACGACGTCGTATGCATTTCTTCCCTCCTATTGTCGTCCCGCGCCCCCTCGACGCATAGAGGCAGACATACACACACATGCATGATGCACGCCCAGGCCGTTGCACACCTACAACTTGTCAGCCAGGGACCTCACATGCCATCCTACCGCCTACGCAGCCAGTCACGGAGGCCTACAAGGCATGAGCGATGGTGCGTGCCTATTATCATTCTGTGATCTCCTCGTGTAGAATACATATCCCCCTATAAAGAAATGACCCGTCGGGATATCCTGAGATATTATGCATAAAACCCTCTACGACCTCGTCCGTCAAGCCGTCGCCTATAAACGTTACTCGCGTCATCAATGTCACCAGCGTCGCCGGCATCATGGTTCTCTAGTTCTCATCGAAGGTCGAGGTGCACCCAAACCGTCTTGCCTCATACATGCATGCATTTCATGGATGAGAAGAATAATATACGTCCGGACGCCAAAACACCGAGGAATGATTTTTTTCCCTTTTTTAAAAAAAAATCCTTTCAATCACCAGTACTAAGTTCCTGGCGCTTTAGCTGTAGTCCACAGTGTCGGAAGGCCGGGTGTCTCTTCTCTCGAGACGTCTCCGGCGTCTTCGGTCTGCTGCGGATGGAGCCGTCGAACCCGCTGCTCCCACAGGCCCGCTAGGTGTCGGACTCAGGCCGCCCCAATCTCCGTGGCTTTCTGCACCGCCGGTAACGGTAGACATGGTTGGTGGCGCCATCGGCGTCGTCCCCGAAGGACCGGGCTGGCCCGAGTAGTAAGCCGAGTCCTTACCCGCCCGCCTGCCTTGCATGGTAGGTGTTGGCGGGGATGGTGGCGACGGCGGTGATAGCTCGCCAACTAACCGCTCAGCCGCGGCTTCGTCTGCGGTTCTATGGGAGCTGGAATCGCGCCGGTATCGCCTACTAGGCGCTTCACTGTCGGAGAGAGTGCTTACGGAGTTCGACCTTCTTCGATGGTCACGTCGAGTCGCCACCGCTTCTTCCTCGGTGAGCCGGCGCAGTGTTATGTTTCTATCCCGATCGTCGTGGTATCGCAGTTTAACGCTAACGGGCTGGCTGGAAACCTGACTACGCTCCCTCCGCTGCCGCTCGTCTTCGTCCGCGGTGAAGCCTGTAGTGTTGGTACCGGCCGCGAGTGCCGACTTTTCGGCTCCCACTCGAAGCCGAGACGGGGGAAGCCCCTGGAGTCCACCACCGGTAGACGCGTAAGACTCGCTGTCGGATTCCGAGTGCGGGCGGAGTATACCGCGTGGATCCGCAGGCATAGGCGGCATCGAAACCGGATCCGTGATAGCACCACTCTTCGACCGCGATCTTGATCGTGAGTGCGAATGTGAACTCGGGCCCGGGACCGGCGCTGCCGGCGCTTTTCCAGCGCCGAGGGGTGGCATCGGTGGCCCGCTAACGCTAGTTCCGAGCGGGCGAGTTTCCAGCATCGAGGATTCCGATTCGAAGTACGACGTAGCCGTTAGGGCAGACGATGGTGGCGGTCGCTGCCGCGGGGGCTTTTTCGGCGACTTTGATGGTGAACTATAACCATCTCCAGTGTATTTTGATCCGCGCTGCCCATCCCGCCTCTCCTCCTCCAACCTCCGCCGCTCGTCCTCTTTCTCATCGTGTCCGTCCTTCGCCTTCTTAGCTAACCAACCTAGACCGAGCATAGCGAGGAAACCTTTGCCGGTGCTCTTGCTTTCTTCTTCTTCCACAGTCCGTCGCCTAGACGGACTCACGTATGACGAGTAGTCCGTATAGTCTGTATAATCCGTACCAGCCGGTGGTCGAGGGCGCAACGGGCGCGGCGTCATTGGCTCTGTGCCGCTAAGAAGTGTCGTGGCAGCATGGTTCCTAGGTGTGTGAGGCCTTCGGCCGTCGTGGAGCTCCGTTCGGTCGTCACTGAACTCGCTCTCCGTATACTGATCGGTAATTGGTTTCCGGTATGTCCGAGATCCGGCAGGCTTGGTAGATCGACTAGGTGTGTCTGTTGCGACGGCCGAGTACTCTTCATCATATCTTCGCCTTTCTCTTCTGTCTCGAGCTCCTTTAACAAGGGCTCCAGCACCGAGCAGACCAGCTATGTTGAAGAGCCAATTCGATACGCCGCCCTCGCGGCGGTCGGTTCTTTCGGATATTTTTTCGTCGTCGAAGTAGCTTGCCGAGCCCCTCCGAGAAGAAACCACCTCGGGGCCCCGAGCGCGGCTCCTTGCTTGGGATCCGGTGCCGCTTTGGCTCTGGTCTAGGTCACGATCCTTTCTCCTCCGCGCCCACGTCCAGAGACCGGCTCCTATTGCCAGCGGGGCAAGCAGCCCCATCCCACGTCCGGACTTGGATTCCGATGCCGTGACCCCACCTTCAGAGCGTCCACCGTGGATCATCAGGTCCTCGCGATCGCGTTCGCCTTCCTGCCTCCAGCTGAGGACGAAATATATCAAAAGCAAGATGGCCATCCATACGGCATACAGAATGAAGGTATACAAAGGAGACCCGTAGAGCGTAAGCCCAAGAGGAACCTGCACAATGCCTAAGATTGCGATCACTCTCCCGAGCCATCGATGGAGCATGAGCCTGAGCGACTTGCTGCGGATATTCTTGACCAGGCGACCACCAATGATCTGAACCATAATCATGGTATATATGGCCACTCCGATGCCATGGTGGGGGTTTGTCAAGCTCCGCCTTGGTCCCACGGCGAACCATCCCAGTATAAATAAGGCAGTGGAAAGCAGCATGGCGAGAACGTGTAGGTATGCGTGCAGCACGATGGGGGAGCCGTACGGCCTGAATCTCGCATACATGACGGCGGTCGGTATGATAAAGAGGAAGGTGATGACGGCGAGAACGCCGTGAACGGTGATCAATTGGTGGTATTGCTCCACCGTCGAGAAACGGTTGCCCATACCTAGTAGGTGTTAGGTCACAAGTATAGCGATAGGGTTGGTCGCGGATTAGGGCGCGGGTCGAGCTTACCATTGTATCGCATAGTGTCAATGTTCAGCCCTTGGAGATTGGGTAGCAGGAAGGTATTCTTGGAGAAGTCCCAGGTCCCATCTCCCACCACCAGCGTGTCCGATTCATAAGTCGCCGACCCAGGCGCAGATAGACCGTTGGCCGCAGCCATCTTAGCGAAAGTGCCTGCTGCCGAATCGCTCAATCTGTCTAGTTAGAGGGCGCGCCCGGGGAATGTGGCAGGAATGCGGAATGACGAAAGGCTCAAAGGTGCCGGAATACGGGATGCATCTGTCGTAAGCGGCACGAACCAATCGTCGGTGAAGCAGGAGGGCGCGGCCGATAGGTATGTGTGCGTCCGGACCTGAGAAAAGGCGCACAAGGGTGATCGATTGTGTCTTAGGTGTGGATTCCGAGACCTCAGAGGCCCAACATCAAGAGAGTTGGGGATCAAGGGGAAGCAGAGAGTTGTCCCTGCCAGTTCGAAGGCGGGATGGGACCATGTGGATGTGTTTATGGGTATGGGACGGACGAGAGACGAAGCAGAAAAAGACGGCGGGACGGTGGAAGAGGCGGAAATCCTGAGTGACATGGCACTGCAGGCGTATATGCATAGAAAAGTGCGAGCCGCCGCCATCTGGCAGGGGTCCCAAAAGCTGAAGAGCTGGCATTGGGTTGTTTTCACCGACGGGTTGCGGGGTGACGAGAGCAGGACTTGGCTCCACTGACACCGGATCTGGTAAGGGTAGGGCACGTACTTTGGGTACGCAGCAGGTAATCCGGTAACGGTAACGCAATTACCTACATAATGCATATAACGGCTTAACCTTATCCCTTAGTCAGGTGCCTATCCGTCTCCTTATGAGAATAGAGCAATGTACCTAGGTACCTACCTTGGGGATGCCTCATGCATATAGTAGAATATACCTACCTAGGTACCTAGGTAGTATCTACCTTATGTGTACTCATAGATTTGGTACTTGAGTTGAGTACGTGGATGAGGCCTAATACAGTATAGTATACCAGGTAGGTACCTACACCTAGGATGTACCTACCTATCTAGGTAAGTACCTAAAGCAAGTACAGGTACATGGTCAGCCAACCAGACACCGCCAGAATTGGCGATGGAGATGAGACCCCAAGCTCAGGTCCGGTCCAGTGGATCAGGTCCGTTCCACGTGGGGGCTTCCGTACCGGCTTTCTCTTGCTCCAGCTCGTCAGAGGGCAGCTAACTAGGGCTCCGCTTATCCTACTATGTCAAAATGGCCATGACCCTCTATGCTCTTTTTACTCCCTTCCGTCCTCTTCCAACTTCCCATGCCGAGTCCTGTCCTGTCCAGCATGCTGCTCCCTCTATGTTGTCATATTCCCAACAGCCATCTATAGTCTGCGATAACCAGCGACCATGCCCGCCGTGCCTACCATCCGATTAACATTCCTCTACCCTCACCTCTTCCGGGCCGCCCGCTTTGGCGAATCTTCGGCCCAGAGGGCGAAGCTCCGATGTCGCAAATCCTCGAGTAGCTCGAAGCCGCCCCTAGCGGCCGCCACCTTTTCAACTTCGACTTCGGTCAAGCATGCCGTCTTCGAGAGGCATGGCACCGCCGTCGAACCGCTACCTGTCCCGCCAGCCGCCGCCAAAACACCCCCTCAGGGGCCAACCCCCGTTCAGCCAAAGCCATCCAACTCCGCATCGACCAACAACAAGAGCGCGACAAATCAGGAGAAGGAGGTAGCACCAGAGCCCAAAAATGCAGAGAAAGCGAAAACGCAAGAACCCGCTGGGAACGCGGCCATTCCACAGGCGGCCTCCTCTGGCTCCTCGTCCGTAAACCCACAACAGGTCGCAACCGAAGCCAAGATACAAGAGAGCGGTCCAATGAAAGCCGTTTTACACACGCCGCCGCTTGAGTCGTCGCATCATCCGCACCTGTCGACACCGCCTTACGTCCACCACTTCGACACCTATACGCTAGTGAAGCAGCTGACGGACAGTGGGTACACGCAGGCTCAGGCCATCACGGCCATGAAAGCCATCAGGGTACTATTGGCCCAAAATATGGCTGTCGCTCGAGATGGGCTGGTTAGCAAGAGCAACGTCGACAACGTGGGTGTACCCCCCCTGTCCTCCAACCCGAAACCCGAACCAAGATCCCAACCGTCCGCAGTACCCTGACCTGGCACCTAGGAAACTTATCTCTTTCGTGCGGCTTGCTCGGAACTGAGCGCCGAAGTGAAGAACAACAGGAGAACAGCTGATGAGACGACACGTCAGCAACGGACGCAGCTGCAGCATGAGGTCGACATCGTGACCCAGCGAATGACTCAAGACCTGATGACGCTGAAGGACGACGTCAAAGGCATGTTTAACGACCGCCGGATGAACGTGAGAGAGGAGCAGAGGACTATGGAGAGCGCCGTTCGTCACCACTCCACCACGTCTCTTTTTTTTTTTTTCTCGGCTTCGCTATCGCACCTCGCTAACCCCACAATACAGATTCAACGGCTGAACTTGAAGATCGGTGTCGCTCTCAACAGCGACTCGAGGTCCGATATCGAAGGGCTACGGTGGGTGCTCATCCGCCGCTCGGTGCTCGGCATCCTGTTCATGGCCGTCCTGACGCTCGGGTCCCTCCGGTATGCGACGTACGTCAAGCACGAGCGGCAGAAGGAGATGGACGAGGCGGCCCGCCGCGCCGAGAGGCTTAGGCGGAACGTTGGGCGCGAGGACCACGCTCCCCCTGTCGACGCGGCCGAGATCCTGGCGGCCAACTAGAGCCGGATACCTCCTGGAGAGGAGCGGCTCGGACGGGAGAACAAGGCAACGCCAAGGGGCGCGGGGAAAGCGCGGCAGGCGGTCGGTTGTAGGCGGCATAGCATTAGCATCGTTTCTTGTGGGTGCGAACATATATACAACTAGCAGCAGCTTTTTGGATAGCGAATCCGGGAAGTAAAGTTGACGTGAAGGCTCTAGGGCAGGTACGAAGAAAATGTTTATTTATCCTAGGCTTCTAAGCGCCTTAGACACGCGCATAACGCCCAGCGCCTAACCCGTATGACCAGAGGTATATATATAGGTATGCAGATTCAACCCAGCCACGACGTTTCTTTTGTTTCTCCCGTGTAGACCTATTCCTAGCTTGCAAGCCTCCTCCCACTTCTCCATTCTCTAATCTCTGTCCCGGTCCCGACCCCGGTCCTCCGGCGCGGGCGCGGGCGGCTCCCTCTCGCGCTCGACGGCCTTGCGCAGGCGCTCCTCCTGGCGCTTCCAGTGGCCGCCCTCCTCGTAGTCCTTGCTGATGCGGAGGGCGTTGCGCAGGCGCTCGCTCTCCTTGATCTTGGCGTCGGCCAGCTCGTGGACCTGGTGCGCCTTGAGCTGCCGGCGCGGCGCGCCGTCCACCGCCGGGTCGCGGACCCGGCCCTTGCCCCCCGCCGCCTGCTTCGCTTGCAGCTCCGTCCGCAGCGCCGCGCACTGCTTGTCGATCTCGTCCTCGTCGATCCTGCGCGCGGGCCCCGGGTTAGTCTGGAGGTTTCCGGGGGTGGGAAATGCATATCGATAAATATATACGCGTGGGTAGGTGCACAGACAGATGGAGGGGGGTAGGGAGGGAGGGAGGAACGCACCCTTCGTCCTCGAGCCGGTCGCGCAGCTCAAAGACCTTGACCTCGACCTCGCGCTTGCGCTCGTGCTCGAGGATCTCGCGGTCCGGCTGGCGCTGGCGGTGCTTCAGGCTGTCGAGGTCGCGCGAGTGGTACGGCGCGGCGCGGTCGCGCGGCCGCAGGTGCGCCAGGTTCCGCTGGACATAGCCCGAGGTGCCGCTGCCGCGCGGCGTCGAGAGCCCGACGTTGTCGGACATGGCGGGTCGGTCTGGTGCGTTTGCTCGGGCTCGGGGCTTCTGTCTTGTTTCGGCTTGTCTCTTTCTGGGGCGCTGGCTGCTCTCGTATCCCCGGCGGTTAGTAGGTAGGTAGATGGATGGCCAAGAAGGGGCGGCCAGGCCGAGTAAGGGGTAAGGACGGGAGGTGATGATAGCTCTGGGCTGAGGCGGAAGGGTTGGGTTGGCGAAGGTATGTAAGTATCAACATTCGGGAGGTTATGTAGCCTCGATCAAGTAAACCCTGGTCAAGGTGAGAGGCGGTAACGGGGTTATCCACTGAGGGCCCGGTAGTGGTAGGTACATTAGGTACCTAAGGTACCTGTAAGACGATGTATGCACAACACCATCATAAGTGCACCCCATGTATGCATAAATGCAAGTATCTAGCGATGGTCCGCCCTCTCGCCCCGCCATCCCATCCCTTCCTGGTAACAGGCGTGCCCCGCCATGTGTAAAGGTACCTCAGGGTAGCTATGAGTCGCAAGGTATGAGTCGAACTTCCAACCCCCTGGACTCTCTCTGGCCACTCCTCTCGAACGCCATTATTCTCCTCGTTACTCACTTCCATTACCTGCATACGTCAACTTGCTATATGTTTGTAGGATAGTCTGAAAATACAAGGACCAAGAGGCCGGCGTCTGCTTGGTACAAATATCCGTGGCCAGGCGGCATATAGAAGATGCCGGCGTTCACCAGCAACACCCGGTCGTCCTCGGCCGCGGAAAGCTCCTCGCTGCAGTTCCCCCCCATCACTAGGGACCATATCCTAAATTGTTCCTACGACTCCTGGTTCCCCAAGTCCGTAACCCCCCCCCCTCCCCTCCTACGACCTGCCGCAGAGGTTGCTAACGAGATGCAAGATACCGCACGTCGTGTATCAAGTCGCGTATAATCCCACTGTCGCCCGAGTTCGTAGAGTACCTTCGCGAGGATGGCATCGTCCTAGCCGACGATGACGGAGCGGAGCCCGAAGATGACGAGTGGGAATCTGCGCCCTCGACTTTCCGGCCGCCCGTTGAGGAGGCCGATTCCGAATCCGACAGCGACGAGGAGGAGGAGGCTCCGAGGCTCCCGCCGAATCAGAGGTTCCCCGAGCTGCACCAGACCATCCAAGACAAGATCGCGGAGCTAGGCGGCGCGGTGGCACCGAAGCTAAACTGGACAGCGCCGAAGGATGCGGCCTGGATATCGCCGCACCAGAACACGATCAAGTGCACATGCCCCAACGACATTTATCTGTTGTTGAAGAGCTCTAATTTTATCACGTACGATCTGGAGCACGCATTCGATGACTGCACGATCCCCGTCGCTGTCACTACCACCGCCACTACTACTATTAACAACGGCAACAACGGCAGTAGGAATAGCACCTCCTCCGGTAGAGACGGCAACGGTAACAGCAATGCCAGCAGCATGCCGTCCTTCAAGCCGGTCTTAGTGCTGCGGTCGTACTTCAACCCGCACACGGCGATGGAGTTCCGCTGCTTCGTAAAGCACCGAAACCTGATCGCCATCTCCCAGCGCGACCTGCACTACTACGAATTCCTCGCGTCGCTGCGGCCCGCCATCGTCGGGCGCATCGCCCAGCTGTTCAACCACAAGCTGCGGTACACCTTCCCGGACGGCAGCTTCGTCTTCGACGTGTACCTCCCCGAGAGCAACGAGGGGGAGGAGGGCCCGCTGAGCCGCGCGCGCCTCATCGACATCAACTCCTGGGCGCCGCACACCGACAGCCTGCTGTTCGACTGGGCCGAGCTGCTCGCGACCGAGGTCCCGGGGCCGGTGCTCGGCGTCGTCGGCAGCGAGGCGGGTAGCAGCAGCGATGAAGAGGACGAAGACGAGGACGAGGATTTCGTCCCAGAGCTGCGACTCGTCGAGCGCGAGGACCCGGCGGCGCTCAACTTCAGCGTGCCGCAGTACTCCGCCCACAAGCTGCCCAAGGACGTGGTCGACGCAAGCGCGGCCGGCGAGGGTGGCATGCGCGACTTCGCGCGGAAGTGGCGCGAGATGCTCGACTACCGCCGGGACGTGGCGAGCTGGGAGCTCGACGGCAAGGAGGAGGCGAAGAAGTAGGCATGGGCGCAGCAGACAAGCCGAGGGTGAAGTTGACGGAGTAGGGAGAGGAGACTGGGGGAGGAGAGAGAAGGGGAGAAATCGAGCAGTGCCAGACGTCTTCTAAGGCTGGATGACCGCTCCGCCTGGTACCTTTAGAATAGAACTCGTTACTCGTGAGAGCGAATCTCCTTGCCCTGCTAGGGACGACGAGCAGCCATTCATTCGGCCCTTCAAACTCCCGAACCACTCCCCCGACCACATGCGAGAATCAGTGCGCCGGGCGCGACTTAGAACGGTGGATACCTAACTCGTCGTAGCGACTACCGGGCGGCAACCATGTCCTTCGCGATAACGACGTGCCTCCTTGGCTAGATCGAGACGGGGAGGGCGAAGGCGTGATCCAGTGTTGCGGAAGGGAAAGAGGAGGGGGGCTACCTGATGCGGTGCTACGGGTACATTACCATCTGCGTATTCAAAGCTGCACAGTGAGATTGAGGGGGGAGACAGGAACCAGTCGCATTGCGACAGACGCCAGGGACGCCCAAGCAGCTAGGTATTCCCTAGTTATGTTGCTGCGAAGGGCGCCAACTCGGGCGACGAAACCTCGTCAAAACGCACGCGGGACTTCGATGACAATGGGAACGTAGGGATTTCGTGATGCCTCCTCGCCGGGAGCTAGTAGCCAAATACCTCATAACCTAAAAAGAATAGAAATAAAACCTGCATCACATGCCGCATGATCGTGTCTGCCTCTGCCTTCGTAACATCGTTCCCCGCAGCTCCCCCGACCCCTCCTCATCCAGCCGCACCGACGACCCCCAACCAGAAACAGTCCCTCCAAACTATGCGCCGCCTCCGAGGGCGCGCTGCCCCACCACAAGTCGTGTGGGCAGCCGCAGCAGTAGCCCCGCCAGCGCCTCACATGACCACGCAGCAATCGCCGAGCTTGCGCACGAACCGCGACACCAGACGCTCGAGCTCGTCGGGCCGGTGGTCCTCCTCCGGCGGCGGCGGCTGGTGGTGGTGGTGGGATGGGCGGTGCGGCTGCGGTTGCTGGTGGGGGTGATGGTGGCCCTCGCTCGGGCGGTCGTGGCCGCCGTGCGGGGGCGGCACGGCCTCGCCGCCCTGGAGGTTGACTGCGCGCGCGGGGGGCGGTGTCAGCTGGCGGGCGGGTCAGGAGAGGAAAGGGGTGGGGGGAGGGAGAAGACGCACCGTAGAGCCGGCCGGCGTTGTCCTCGGTCGCGAACTTCAGGCCCAGCTCGCGGCACACCTGCTCGACGCGCGGCTTGAGCTTCTGCACGCGGTTGGCGCTGTGGTTGCCCTTGCCGACGATGCTGTGCGAGGGGGGGCGCCGGCGGGCGAGAGTAAGCGAGCGGTTCTTCATCGGCGCCGCGAGCAGGGGGGGAGGCGGGGGAGAAGGGGTGGGGGAGCCGAGACTGCTAGGTTGGGCAGATAGGTCCGGGACACGGTCACGGCCTGGGGAGAGGGAACGAAGGGGGGGAAGGTCCCGGCTTCACGTACACGTGGAGGTGCGTCTGGCCGTGCTCCTGGGCGTAGCGGATGCGGCGCTCGAGGATCTCCTCGGCCTCCTCGACGAACTGGCCGTGCAGGTCGATGGTGTCCTCGTCGACGCGGCCCGGCGCGTTGTTCTCGCGGAAGATGTACTCGCTCGCCTGGCGGTTGTACTCGTCCATCGCGGCCGCGTGCCGTTTGCCCTGGTTGCTCAGCTCCTTGGCCTCGGCGCCGTCGCCGCGCTCGTACGCCTGGTGCGCCTGTCGTGCCGTTGCCAGGTGGCGGCAGTTGGCCGCCGCCCCCCCGTCGCGTTAGCGAGTGCTCTTTGTCCTCCCGCCATCATGTATTTTATTTTCCATCCTGGTGATGTCACGATAAAGACGAAGGGGGGTGGAGGGCGCGGATCGAGCGGACGGTCGCGAGGCGAAGGGTCAATTTACGAGATCGAAAGAGGAGGGGAGCAAGGAGGCGCAATATGACGATGGGGGAGTGGCCGCACGGGCGAGCGGGTGAGTAAGCGAGACAAGCGAGGAAAGAGGGAACAGGCATACCCGATCGAAACAGCTGTTCCGCTTCGCGGCCTCCTCCCGCGCTAAGCCCCGGAGCCGGTCATATTCGGCTTCGGCCTCGAGGCTGGGGCGGTGGTTGAAGACTATGGCGTGGTTAATTCATCGACTTGGCGCGGGACCGCCCACGGAAATAAAACAAAAAAGGAAAAAACCCAGATGGCCAGGATACATGCGAACGGAATCCGGTGCCGTAGGCACTGCGTCACCCGATCCCCAAGCCGCAGAAGGATGATGGAGGGATGGTTTGACGTATTGATACCGTATGGGGTAGCATAGCAGTAGCGGCGGCAGTGCCAGCAGCAGTAGTAATCGTGACAGCAACACGAGGGCCACGCGAATCGTACGTACCTTCACCTCCCAGTCGAGTCAGGGGAATGGCCATTTTTGATTCAATCGGTCAAGTGTATTACCACGAGAGCAGATGCCGTCTCGCGCTACGTGCAAGTATGGTGCCAGGTGCGAATCGGTGTCGGGTGGTTTTCTTCAGACTGACACACGCAACGGGCATATACGCGCGATGGCACGCATCGGCAACAAGGTCGAAAAACAGCGGATGTGAGCCGGGAGCCGCAAGCCCCGAGACGAAGCTGAGGGTGTCTTTTGGGGGCGTCTTTCTTTTTCCTTTCTTTTTTTGTTTTTTGGTGAGGTGACTAGGGATGCATGAGAGGATCTGCGGCTCGCCCACTGGCGCCGCCCCTGGCCGCTCAGGTGGCTGGGAAGAAAGGCTTGTTTCTCTCGAAATTTCACTGAGACTTTGGATCGCAGCCCGCGAATCATCGGGTTACCGTTAGCACAGTACTCAGTGAGCCTCTGGGATCGTTGCGGCTTTGTCCGTATATACATGCATACATCATATGTCTCGACATATGGACGTGCCTATGTACGTGTGTAGACGAACGCGACGCCCGCCGTCGACCCGACGGGTCTTTCGTGACTCGCATGCTGAAGGATTGTGCGCTGTGGCCAGGCCGAGCAAATGGGGGCGATCTGTTTGACGCCGTGCCTGAGGCAGGTAGGCTGTTGATTCAGCTGGTAAGAGAGATACACGCTATCCCATAGTATGCACATACGCGATCTTGGCGGCTGTGTGGGATGGGATATGGAGAAGTGGGTATATTAGTACACGTACGCACATACATACCACCCAACGTCGTACGTATAGTACATATATAGCTGTGTAAGGACTACAGGTAACCAACCCCGTCGAGGTATCAAGGGTTTCTAGAAGGGTTCGAGACGTGGAATTCTGGGCAGGACCCGGGGGACCAGAAGTTGCCTTCCATCGAAGCCGGTAATCGTGTCAGCACCACTATGCGCGTGAAATCATTGAGAGCGACGGGACGGAGATTCGAGTATGTATCCGTGCTAGGCGCCTCGACTCCACTTGGGGAGGGCGACTAGGTCGTTAGATAGATCCGTCCAGACCGTCCCTCTCCTGAGCCGTTCAACTCTCCAAGCCAGCTACTGCGTAGTAGGTGCAGCCCGCGCTCTCGTGGGACCCGATGCTAAAGGGCCAGCTTGGGTCGGACCCTCGCTGAGCGAGAAGGGGGGATGGGATGGTGCCATCTAGCCGCAATGGCGCAAATTGCAACCTCGGAGAGATGGTATACACGTACTTGTTGGCTGGCCCTCTCTCCCTACCCAAGTGTGCTAAGCTTAAAATAGGAGACAAATAGTCCTCGTTTCCTGGTAGGGGAGACGAACGAACGGGTCCAAACCGGACCCTGGACGAGGCCGGGCTCGCGACCCGGCCACCACCACGCGGTTGACCCCAAACCTCGTGGCGATCTGCAAGAGACGAGTGTGCGAACCTGGGAATCTTGCGACCCCGGCTCTCTGAGGGGAGCACCTGTTGATGGGACAGTCTCGGCGAGGCCTTATTAAGTTATCATTGCTCTCACTACACGGTTCAGGTATTTTTTTTCCCTCGATCTGGTACGGGATAATACAGGACTGGTTACTGGACCACGGTCGAACAACTAACCAATGTGCACATGTGCCTAGGTACGTATGGATTTCGTGCTTGCCACTAATATATGCATATACGCGCATAAGCGTGTTGATTGATATATAGTATATGCGTATTCACGTATATATGTGTTGCTTTTACGAGGTAGGTGCCTCAATCTCGACTGTATATATGTATGTATGAGGTAGGTACACACCATGATGATCTGCTTGCGTACAGGTGGTGGCGTGTCCAATCTTTAGCTAGGTAGTGTAGGTATACCTAACCTTGGAGGCGTTTCAAGACGGGGTAGGGGGATGAGCGATTGTATCTTGAAACCCGACCGATCCTACTGTGCTGCTATTAGTGAAAAGGGGGGGCCCGAGCGTAGTAGGTATGTGCAGAGACCTCTCTCTCTCTCCCGGAGGCGTTGCGCACCTTGCGTATTGTGTTATCGTCGAGATCGTTACCGAGATATGTGTATGTATAGTACTACTGTTGCTGCAGCAGTAGCCGTTGTGGTGGTATGTTAGGTAGTTAGCCGTAGTAGAGAGGTCGTACACACACTGAGTAGTGGCATGAAAATCACAATCACCTTGTCTTGGGTATTCGTGGGAACCTGCAATATTATGCACGCTTCAGGAATGAATAGGGGCGCATGCCTGTCACCTCGCATTGCTGGGTGTAGCTGTCGCTATATGTGGTGAACCCGTTGACGGATGTTGACGGGACCCGTCCCTCGTCTCCCTTTAGGAGTTACTGCAATATCTCTGTGTCTACGTACATGCATGTGTACATACGTGAGTGCGCACCACCGTTTAGTGGCTGCGGCGGGTCTGGAGAAAATATTGACTCCAAGGGTCGGCCTAGCCGCCTCTTCCCAGATGGCGGACGATACGTAATTAGAGAATTCTCTAGCAGATCTCGAAGCTCATACTATGAGCGCGTATAGTAGGCCTCATTATATAGGTAGGGGTCTGAGTCGATTGAGAGACAGTCTGGGGGACTATGTAACAGGTGAGAGAAGAGGTCGATGATGATGATCCACGGGAGAGAACACAGCCCGATCTCCGGCGCATTAGGGCGTGCCCGCCCAAGACTCCGTTCGTTCGCGAGAGCGTGTCGGATCATGCACTTCGGAGCTCCTTGTCTTCTTTCTTGCCGCGCCGTCCAAGATCTGGTGGAGCACGTCTTGCTCGCTCGCGATGGCCCGGCCTCCCTTCATGCGTCTCTTCTAGAAGCACGACCCGTGCCACCCCCAGGAAGGAATCGATTCTCCTAGGGTGCTTGCTAAGCGCTTTTGCCCTTGGTGACGTACCGTATGGCAACCGGCGGTTTTGCGCATACTACATAATGTAGCTCACGTAAGGAAGGCATTGCGGACCTGCCGCCCATCCGGAGGGAGGGATATCCTCTGTCTGTCTGTCTGTCTGTCTGTGTGCGATGTGGGAGCGAGAGGGGGGAGTGGGAGTGATGGGGGTCGCTCATTTGCTCCATCGTACGTAGATTCGCAGGCGGACGGACCTGCAGACCGCAGTCAGGATCCCGACAGGGGTCGAGCATCCTGAAGTGCCATTTTCATCATAGGTATCTGACCATTCAGCGCCAGCGACCTGTCGAAATACCGAGCTTGTCTGCAGCCGGGTGGGAGAAGAGCAGGGGGACGGCCTTCTCTGGTCATGTCCTGGCCCCGTGATTGGTGTGCGTACCGGTGTGTCTATGTATTTGCGGCGAGTCCGGGGCGTTCTGGCAAGGCTGGAAATCTGTTATTTTCGATCCGTCACGCTCTGTTCGGGCATAGTACGTATTCCAACAGCTGGTGTGTCGTCCTATAGTGTGGATGTGTGGACATATATACATAGGTTAATGTGAGGTGTGGATGGTGAATAGGCGGATGATTGGTGGATGCATATCTGTATGTATGAGTATAGTAGGTCGGTACGTGGATATGAAGTATATGAGGTAGATACCTAGGTACCTAAGGTAAGTGTGGAAGGAAGGAAGGAAGGCAGGGTTCAACTTTCTCGCGTACCTCCTGAGAGGCAGCTACCTAACCTACCTTGTAGCGTCCTGCACAGCTGCGAACGCAGTAGGTACATTAGGTAGGCATATACACATATATATACCTGCGTACCTCCAACATTAGGTACATGGATACATCGCGCGCCTCCTCGTCGTAGTCAGCAAGCCCAGGGCCCTCTCTCTAGGTCCAACCCGGGCAGCTCTTCGGTCATCTCCTTAGTCGACCCAAGCGCGGGCAAATGGGGTCATACGTACATATATATATATGCAGGTATATGGATAGGAAGAATGCACGTACGTACACGTACATACGCGCGTAGTACATACATATGTCTTCTTCATCCTTCGGCAAGGAGACGTTTTTATTATTAGCCTTCCCGCAGATTCTCTCCATGGAGTTGGGTATGGGTCCGTAGCCCATCGTGATGAATCTCACCGCGATAATCCCATCGCCGAGTTATCGGTTGCCAATCATCTGGTGCTGACATGGTCGGAGCCTGCCCTAGCCTGCCCTGCCTCTGCCTGTCAGACGGTGTAAGCAGGAGAGGTAGGCAGGTATGATACGGGTATGGATATGCACTTTGAGGTGCTCGAGTATTGCCTATTGTAGCCCTACGGCGGGCCACTTACACACACAGATGCTCGTGTCGTACGCAAGTACGTATACCGATTGCATCAATATAGGTAGGGCCTGCATGTTCCCTACGTAGTATGTGCGTGCCGTGACGCTGCGGCGATGTGCCGTTGTGGTAGATATCATTCTAGAATGATGAGCCGCTAGAGGATATGTAAGCTTTTTTTTTTTTCTTCTGGTCGTTGATTTCTGGCCTGTCCCCATGTTCGTCTCGCGTGGCGCTTCCATGGTTGATGGCATCCGGAACGGCCTATATAGACTTGAAACAGAGTGCCACCTATACAACGCGAAGTAAGTCTGCTGGTTGATATATTATATATATACCACTTATATCACCGCATGTTAAGCAATATACGTATAATAAGGGACAGTTTTCAGATGATGGGCACGGGCTGCCGAGGAGAGACAGTGGAAAGGAAGGTCTTGACGGGCTAAGAGGGTGCCTACGTGGGTACCTGCCTTCCTCCACTCTCCTTAGCCATGTCTTACCTCATGTAGTAGGTGGGCCAGTAACTGTGGGTCTACCTGCCTAGTGCCCATATGTATGTACATCCTGTGGAGCCAATCTGCATTAGGTATAATCGGGATGTGCGTGTGTATGTGTACATATGGACCTGCTCACGTCCTGTGTGTGCGTGTAGACCGATGATCCGTCTATCGTAGAGCAGGCACATATTAACATATGTATAGGTAGGTATATACCTACCTACCCAATACATGGAGGGACGGGTCCTCAGTCCTGCATGCACCGGTATACTCTATTAAGTGCCTAAGGTACCTCTGACCTATGTATACGTACATAGAGGCATCTGAGGCACCGTACAGTGAGCGCCCCTAATTCGCAGCACTGGGCACATTCTCATCTCCCATGGCTTGATCGGTAACGGGAGATATCCAGGGTACCTTAAATCCATCCAGTGGTCTAGTCCCGAACAGGCATGGCTCCAACATGTTCCGCGCAGAATCTTTGGCATGTCTAGCCATTCTGGGCTATAGTCCCCTCCTCTGTCCACAATTCCTTGCTGCCCCCCGGGCTGTTCCCTGCCCGCCCCATTTCCGAATTGATTCACACGCCCCCCCGGCGCTTCCCCCATCTCTTTCTCTCTTCTTTTTGCCCCTTCCCTGTCTCTGTTAGGCCTGCCGGACTACACATAGCACATATTCCTCCTGGCTTCTGCACTTGGTAGCCAGGGGTTGACCGTCCGGCAACAAAACCAGAAAAGCTGCGCTCGCAAAAAAGCCAAAGCCGCTCCACTCTGGTTGTTCATCTCCCCGTCACAATCTCGCGGCCACCCTTTTTTCTTCTTCCCTTCCGCTGCCAGTTTTTTTTCCCATATTCGCTGCCTGCTGCCCCCCCCCCTGGCGAATATATCACCGTCTTTTCTACCATACCTTTCCTCCAATCCAATTGACATTCCTTTGGTAAGTGTTTTCATTCTCTCTGTTGGCTCGCGACGTCCATCTGGCTTGCGGTCCTATTCCGATAGAACGCCTTGAGCCCGCCCCGTCGGCCTATGGCGCGACAGCGCTTAATGCATCAGCAGCGGTCAGGTAGACGACGAGGCCTGGCGGCGTCTCGTGCGGCTCTCTGCAAGCGTGGATGGGAAACGCAGAATTATATATATATTTTTCCACCAGCGCCGCTCGGGTTTCAAGTAGAAAATTCTGGATCGTCCCTGACTCGCAACAGGCGTTGTGTCATTTTGTCAGCACGGGAATCGTCGAGGCCGTTCTTACTAACAGTCCCTCGTGTCAGTATAATCATCAACGCTTGAGCGTCAGTGCCCTCGCGACATACGCCAGTACCCCCACTATATCGTTAATTTACACAATCACTCGGGCGCATCAAATCCGGCAAGATGGGTTGTGGTATGAGCACGGAGGAGAAGGAGGGCAAGGCTCGCAACGAGGAGATCGAGAATCAGCTGAAGCGAGATAAGATGATGCAGCGCAACGAGATCAAGATGCTTCTTCTGGGTAAGCAACGGCAAAGGTTTCTAACCACACGCATTGGCATCGCGTCTAACGGCGGGCAGGTGCTGGTGAATCCGGGAAGTCGACCATCTTGAAACAAATGAAGCTTATCCACGAGGGCGGCTACTCACGCGATGAGCGAGAATCCTTCAAGGAAATCATCTTCAGCAATACCGTGCAGTCGATGCGCGTCATTCTCGAGGCCATGGAGTCCCTCGAATTACCATTGGAGGACCAACGCATGGAGTACCACGTTCAGACCATCTTCATGCAACCCGCCCAAATCGAGGGCGACGTCTTGCCGCCCGAGGTCGGCAATGCGATCGAGGCTCTGTGGAAAGACCGAGGTGTTCAGGAGTGTTTCAAGCGATCGCGCGAGTACCAACTGAACGACTCAGCGAGATAGTAAGCGTGGTCTTGTTGCCGAATATCCTGACTTCTCGTGTCCTAACTACGTCCGCAGCTACTTCGATAACATTGTACGCATCGCCGCCCCCGACTACATGCCCAACGACCAGGATGTTCTCCGATCTCGTGTTAAGACAACCGGTATTACTGAGACGACCTTCATTATCGGTGACTTGACGTACAGGATGTTCGATGTCGGTGGTCAGCGATCGGAGAGAAAGAAGTGGATCCACTGCTTCGAAAATGTCACCACGATTCTCTTCCTTGTTGCCATTTCCGAGTACGATCAGTTGCTCTTCGAGGACGAGACAGTCAATCGCATGCAAGAAGCTTTAACGCTGTTCGACTCGATCTGCAACTCGAGGTGGTTCATCAAGACGTCCATCATCCTATTCCTAAACAAGATCGACAGATTCAAGGAGAAGCTGCCCGTCAGCCCGATGAAGAACTACTTCCCCGACTACGAAGGCGGCGACGACTACTCGGCGGCTTGCGATTATATCCTCAATCGGTTTGTAAGCTTGAATCAGCACGAGACGAAGCAGATCTATACACACTTCACCTGCGCCACGGATACGACACAAATTCGCTTCGTCATGGCCGCAGTCAACGGTACGTAACAACTAGATTCCCAGGTCACCATGATCGGGAGAAACTAATCGGGACTCTAGATATCATCATCCAAGAAAATCTGCGTCTGTGCGGTCTGATTTAGTTGTCGAAATCGCGAGGGTCACCGGAGCAGTCCACGATAGAAAAGCAACCCACAAAAAATACCCCTTCCCCAGCAAACCATCAACGGCTGCCAGTAATGCTATCCATCTGGCTAATGACTTTACCTGTATCCTTTCGACGAACTGGCCGACGTATCTCCTTCCATGTTTGTTTTGCGCCTGAGTTGCTTCGCATCCTCTTGTTTTTTTTTTGAAACCACGATCCGCTGGGGTTGCTTAGCCGACCCGTCTTCGAGATGTCAGTGCGCCGCTGATCGCAGGGTCCAGGAGTCGTGGAACAGTAAGGAGGGCATTTGCATCTAAAGTCATGGCAAATTACATATCTTGTTTAATTATGAATTTGTGGTGATGCCGGTCTCTTTCATATTTCCTTCGTTTCTTTTGCCGAGGCACACGGAGTGCCTGCGTGGTTGGCCGGCGGGTGGTGGGCTGGGCCAGGAGCTGCGACCGAAGATGGCATCTCTCGAGACCGCCGAGCGAAGGGGGAGGATGACTGATGAAGCTATACCAGGTAACTGAGCAGGAGAAGGGATCTGGAGAGCAAGGAAGAGGATCCCGTGCAAAAAAGAGGTTGGGTCTGTTCGAGTATCCAAAATACCAACCATCATTCTAATACGCACAACCACATCAAGGAAGCGACCTGTGTGTTAGGATCATGTATGACAGGGTGTGTACGTTAGGGCGTATCTGGGGATTTTCTTCACCTGCCCAAGACCGGTCTGGACGTTCGTAACAACCAGCACTCCGGTATTGTGATGAATCCCGCGATGCTGCCTCCTGGATCTTAGCTTAGGCGGCGGGTTTGTCACCCGCAGCCAGCTCGAAAACCGTGAACTTTTCTTCAGCTACCCAGTCCGTGTTGATTTTCGATGCATGCAACCTTTTCGTTCCTGACTCTCGCTCTGTGGGCGGTGTCAGGGCGATGTTTTCTCGTCCTAAACACGTGAAGATTTTGTAGGATCGTGTCATTCGACCTAGACCGCGCGGTAATATGTCAGATACAGTCCCAGGCCTAGATGAAACTACCTCTACGCTGCACAGGTTCATGCAGCCTTGGACGCTTCAATACGGGCTGGTGGATTTAATGGACGCCCAGTCTATTGGCGGTGGAGGTTAGCGATATAGGTGGGCCTCGGTACAGTCTAATGTCGGTACATAGGTACATGAACGCCCGGTGGATGAAGGCATTGGGGATGTGCGCCTAGGAGTACCTTACATGTCGTAGGGGGTATAGAGGGACATGCACTAGTACCTAAGGTATCTACCTCCTCCAATATCAGGTACCTACCTAGGTACCCAGGCACATTTCAAGTACCTAAGGGATGTGCTTTGGGGACAGGGTTATTAAAGTACCTCCCAAGTGCCAACTTAATGTATATACATAATCTCACCCCCCGAGTCCATATATATAATTGTGTACCTAGGTACCTAAGGTAGGTACCTACCTTAGGAGACCTCTCCAGTTACATAATCAGATTATTTGGTAACTGCCAATTACGTAAGGCGCACCTGTCCGTTTCAGTTTAGGTCTGGGGTAAGCTCGGATTAACCGTCCGATTGTTTATCCGAAACCCACGCGCTGAAGCATCTCCAGACTCCGCAGCTGCCGACAGCTGGAATCCTCTTCATCCACACATCCACATCATCAATCTGACTACCAACTGCCAGCCAGCAGGCGACTCTTTCTTGATCACCTGGCCCGGCATGAAAGGCATCATTCAATCCGTTCGTGGCAGACCGAACAAAGTCACTAAGCCAACCGGCACTCCACGCGGCCGGCCTGCTCGTCGAGTCGGCACCGCCGAAGTTCTGGCGAACCAAGACCCTGACCTCGAGCAGCACGACGTCAACCCTGCTGACGACGACGACGACGACAACGAGGACCAGCACGCTGCCTTTGACCCCGAGGCCGCTGCCGTCGCCGCCGCCGCCGCCGCCCACCACCATCATCAACAGCAGCAGCACCATCACCAGCAACAGCTGGACTTGACAGCGGCGACCATTCTCGCGAGCAGTGTTCAGAACCCCAACGACCAGCACCCGGACCTCGGACCGCCCCACGTCGACGGCGGCGCGGGAGTCCACACTACGACCGAGGAGCTCGCGCAGCAGTCGGGCTACAGCAATGTCGTGATCGAGAGCGCTCTGGCGAAGCGGCTGGCGCGCGAGCCCGGCATGCGCCTCGCGCAGCAGCGCCGCCCCGAGCAGGTCCTGAACCTGGCGAGGCGCAGCAACGTCGAGGCCCTCTTCGCGCATATCGCCGGCGAGCTCGCCCCGCAGCCGTGCAAGAACTGCCACAAGGGCCACGGGCCGTGGAACAGCTGCGTCATTGTCGACGGCCAGATGTGCGGCAGCTGTGCCAATTGCTGGTTCAACGCATCCGGAGCGAGATGTTCTTTCCATGGTACGTTGTTCTTCTCCTCCTCTTTCCCCTTCCTTTACCTACACCTACGACCGAGGCGAAACGTTTTGGTCTGGTCAGCTAACCGTTCGCTCGCTCGGCTAGAAACGCGCAACCCGCAGGCCCACGGCGGGCAGGTCTTCGGCGGTGATAACCTCACGTTCCCGCTGCCGCCGGCGCCAGCGACGGCGATGGCTCCGTTCAACTTCGCGTCGATCCCCGCGTCCGCCGACCCCGTGGTCCGGTACACGGTTGAGCAGGCGATGGCGCAGGTCCGCGGCGCCGACAAGAAGACGCGATACATGCTCCTGATCGAGGCCACCGCCCGGCAGCTCGCCTTCCAGATCTCCCAGTACGAGGACGCCGTTCAGGAGGAGCAGAACCAGCACGGTGGCCCGTCGGGCCCCCCTCCGCCCGTGATGAGCGACCAGGACGCCCCCTAGTCGGGAGGCGAGGTGTCTGCTCAATGGGGGAAATTCCAGCCAAGCCAACAAGACCAGGGACGCTAGGCAGAGGCAGGGGTGAGAGGACGTACCCGGCTCGCTCTCCTTCGACTTCTTGGGGGGATCTCTCCTTTCTTTTTTCCCTCCTAGGAGTACCTCGCCGTTCTCGGCTTTGGCACGTCGCTTATATTCACCCCCATAGTTCTTGACTTTCAAGAAGCAGTCGGCGCGCGTATATCTCAGGGGGCCCACGGAGTTCAGGCTCGAGTTCGGTTTCGCTCAGTAAAGAATCTCTCTATCTCAAAAGATATAGGGAAGGCCGGAGGGAGAGGGGGGTTAACGACGAGGTTCTTGAGGGGCCAACAGTTGGTTGTGTTTTATGAGATCACGGGTAAAGATTGTGCAGTAATCGATATACCACGTAGTTGGGGCCCCGTCCAAGTTTCATTTCGGCCAAGATGTCAGCTTGGGATAGCCGTGAAGTCCCTTGTGTCTATATGAATTCCGACATGTAATGACCCCGCGTCTGCATGCTACACTAGGAGAGTCTATTCAGAGCTTTGATCCCCACACTGTACGGGCTTTCTAACGCGTAGTCACATGTACACATACATATTGTTCGCGAGTTGAATTAGGTGGCTCCCCCGCGATATAGTATGGAGAAAAGCTTCACGCATCACATGTCTCAAAAAGTAGCATTGCACCTATTAAGAGCTAAGGGGCAGGCTGGTTGCTACGAGAAGTAGAGGCTCGACAGGATAGTATTAGGTTCGATCGACTAGGTCTACAAGTATACATATGCACAAGACGGGGTCCCGTTCAATTCTAGCGACCTTCAATTCTTGTTCTGATAGGTGGCGGGGTGGCCGTGCTTCTTCGCATAGTTTCTGATCTTGGCGAATATGTCGGGGAGGATGAAGATCCAGGCCAGCGGGACGAGGCAGGACATGATAGTGTCGACGAGCCAGCTGTTCCTCGGGGCACCGCCCAAGGCGCTCCAGCGCATGGCGTGGCCGAGGAAGGCGACGGTGACGGAGTAGTAGCCGCGCTCGAGGCCGGCGATGGCGAGGGCCGCGACGTCGTCCGGGGTCTGGACGGGGTCGCCGTCCTCGATGATCTTGGTGATCTCGGGCTTGGTGCGGTTCTCGATCTCGAAGCCGGGGCTCGAGATGGAGCCCGGGTAGACGACGTGGACGCGGACCTTCTGCGGGTACAGCTCGACCTCCTGGACGAGGGTGTCGGCGAGCGCGCGCAGGGCGCCCTTGGCCGGCGTGTAGGGGCCGTAGCCGACCACGGGGAAGAAGGCGACCACGGACGAGGTGAAGACGAGGTGGCGCGGCGGCTCGTCGGCCGCGGCGGCGCCCGGGCCGCACCACAGCCGCAGCGCGGCGTGGGCCAGCTCGGCGCTGCCCCAGAAGTTGACGTCCATCTGGCTGCGGGTGGCCGCGAGCGGGGTCTCGATCCAGAGTGCGGGCGTGGACACGCCGGCGACGCACCACACGACGTCGGGGGCGCGGCCGCCGTTCCAGGCGACGGCCTCCGCGAGCAGCGGGACGGCGTAGTCGGGCCGGGAGACGTCGGCGGTGAGGTAGTGGAAGCGCTGGGCCTGCGGGTCCCGGGCGGCGGCGCGGACCTCGGCGAGAGCGCTCTCGAGCTTAGCGGCGCTGCGCGAGACGAGGATCACGTTGGCGCCCTTCGCGGCCATCTGCCGGGCGACGCTCCGGCCTAGGCCCTCGGAAGCTCCGGTGATGAGGACGGTCTACAGCCGCGAGGGGAGGGTCCCGGGAAGGCCGGGGAGAGAGAGGTTAGAAACGAGACGTTACCGCATTGCGTATAGGCCGGGCGTATATATATAGCGGTAAGGCAAAGCAGGCATCGAGGTGCGCGGCAGGACTCACCTTGCCCTCGACGGGCATGTGGTTTTTGCTGGGGAAGACGCCCATGGTCAACGCGAACGCGGACACGGACAGCAGGAGGACGAGGCCGGCGATGGCAAGTTTACCCCATAGAGAGTCGGAGATCACGTCCATCGAAGGAGAGAGGGCGCTGTATATTAGATAGGTATGCTATAATGCAAGGGCCTAGGAAAAGAGAAAAGGAAACAAGAGCAGATCAAGACATGATCTTAGCCGAATTGGACCTGCTGGATCCACGATGTGCACGGAAACAAGACGCGCGTGGAGCGGGAGGTATATCAGGGGGAGAGCAGCAAGGAGAGAGAGCGAGTTATAGCTATCGCGAGCTAAGATGGTGCTTGTAGGTACCTCTAACGTACTTACGCTGCTACAGTAGGTACCTACAGGTTACAGAGGGCTTGCAACTCCACTGAAGCTACCCTGCACCGACACGTCAACCGGTAGTTACAGCGCGTCCTACAGCACGTGTCTACGGGATATATATATATACGATCCTACCTATATGGTAGGAAGGTAGTTTATCCTATCCGGAGGATAGTTATAATACGTATAACCCCCTGTCATGCTAATTAATTACGGGGTTAAATACCCCTGTAAATAGCCCTGTAAATAACCCTGTAAATAACCCTATAAAGGGGTTATTTAGGGGAAACTCTGTTTTTATTAGCTAAAAAACGCGCTATGGGTCCCTAAAAATGCGTGCACCTAATAAAAACGGCGGGATAAATGGAGTCTTATAATTTGAAATCCTTACGTATATTTACTAACGCGTTTTCTACCCTTATTTCCTGACCTTTTCTAACGCGTTTTCTATTCTTATTTCCTAACCTTTCCTAACCTATTTTACCGTAACCTTTCCTAACCTTTCCTGACCTATTTTATAGTAACCTTTCCTAACCTTTCCTAACCTATTTTGCCGTAACCTTTCCTAACCTTTCCTGACCTGTTTTATAGTAACCTTTCCTAACCTTTCCTGATCTTTCCTGACTTATTTTACAGTAACCTTTCCTAACCTTTCCTAATCTTTCCTAACCTATTTTACCGTAACCTTTCCTAACCTTTCCTAACCTATTTTACCGTAACCTTTCCTGACCTTTCCTAACCTATTTTATAGTAACCTTTCCTAACCTTTCCTGATCTTTCCTAACCTATTTTACAGTAACCTTTCCTAACCTTTCCTGATCTTTCCTAACCTGTTTTATAGTAACCTTTCCTAACCTTTCCTGATCTTTCCTAACCTGTTTTACAGTGACCTTTCCTAACCTTTCCTAACCTGTTTTACCGTAACCTTTCCTAACCTTTCCTAACCTTTCCTAACCTATTTTATAGTAACCTTTCCTAATCTTTCCTAATCTTTCCTAATCTTTCCTGATCTTTCCTAATCTTTCTTAATCTTTCTTAATCTTTCTTAATCTTTCTTAATCTTAGATTTTAATCCCGTTAAAAATTATATATAATTTCTTACGTTTTCTATGTTTTTTATTATAAATAAAGTTCGTAAACGTAAAAATAATTATTAAATAAACTAAGTATACTTTCCATATCTCTCTATCCTCTGGATAGGTTATTATTTTTAGCGTAAACGCTAAAAATAAGCCCGAATTATTCTGCGAAGCAGAATAATTCAGGTCTTATTTTAAGTATATATATAGATAGCTTATACCTAATTGTATGTATCCGGGCGCATTAGGTATCTTAGGTACCTAACATGGGTCATCAGCTACCTAAGGTACCTCCTCTAGGCGGTCAGAGGAGGAACCCGCAGATATACCTACACGGACCCAGCTTGCCGATAAGATAAGACGAAAACTATCTAGAGGTAGGTAGGTAGGTACAAGAAAAAAATAGTTCTGACCTCAACTGATTTATCAATTCCCACCACCAACCCGTGCCCTACGCCGCCCCGTGGCCTGAGCTACCTATCTTACTCTAATTTCGAGTAGTAGATATCCCCCTCCACGAATCCAGCCATGGCCAAGAAGAGAAAAGCCTCTGGCGGCCCCTCCGCGCCAGAGGGTTCCCGCGAGTACGATCCCGCCGATGCGAGGCTCGGCCCTATCAACACCTACGAAGACATAGCCGACTCGCAGGAAGAATACTTCCTGAACCAGGACCAGATCCTCTTTGAAACTGGTCCAAGCTCCAAGAAGCAGAAGCGCCTAGAAGAGGAAGAAGCCTTCCTGGAAAACTCAGAGGAAGAGGTATTTGCTTCCGACGACCAGAGCGGCGACGACGACGACGATGATGACGATCAGCAAGATGACTTTGCTCCGAGGCCTACGACGTCCGCGAAGGCGAGAGGCGACGACGACGGCTCCGACCCCGCGAGGGGCGCCGAAGGTGGGGACGAAGGCTGGTGGGGTTCCTCGAGAAAGGAATACTACGACGCCGACAACCTCGAGACCGAAGCCGACGCTCTGGAGGAGGAGCAAGAAGCCCGGCGGCTGCAGAAGAAGAAGTTGGAGAAGATGTCGGAGAGCGACTTCATCTTTGACGAGGCCGAGTGGCTCGCCCCTGACGCCGAGAAAGCGGATCAGGACAAGGTCGTCACCGAGGTCTTGAAAGACGCCCCCATCCCCGCCGACATGGCCCCTGAAGAGAGATATCGCCTTCTCCAGACGAGATACCCGGAGCTGGACTACTTGGCGGACGAACTCCAGGAGCTCCAGCCCCTTCTTGTTACCACCCAGAAGCAGGCCGAAGGGCAACCACCCAAGTCGCTCGCGGTTGTTAAGTATCGCGTTCTTGGCTGCTACGTCGCTGCTCTCGCCATGTACTTCGCTACCCTGACATCGCCGGCTAGGGACGGCAACGGGCCCGCGAAGGCCCTCGATCCGGCCGAGCTACGTGGCCACGAGGTCATGGGAACTTTGCTGGAGTGCCGAGGGGCGTGGAAGAGGGTAGAGCACCTCGAGATTTCGCGGAGAGCGCCGGCGGTTGGCAGTATGCTATCGCCGCCTGCAGAAGAGCCCTCGGCGACCGAAGAGGGAAGAAGCCTCGAGACCGAACTCGCAACGAAATCGAAGAAGGGACAATCGGCTAAGAAAACCAAGCCTAAGACTTTGCGCAAGGCAAAGGCCATCGAGGGCGCGCTTGCTGACCTCGATGCACTTGTCGCTACGACGAGGAAACCGAAGAAGAAGGTCATTGCCGAGGCTGCTGCAGCACAGGATAGCGACTCGGACTTCGGAGAAGAAGAGAGCCTCGATGCGAAAGCGGCTGTCGAAAAGACAGCACGGAGGAAGAGTCTCAGATTCTACACTTCGCAGATCGTGCAGAAGGCCATCCGTCGCGCAGAAGCCGGCAGAGATGCTGGCGGCGACGTAGATATCCCGTACCGAGAGAGGCTCAAGGATAGGCAAGCCCGCCTCAACGCGGAGGCGGAGAAGCGCGGCCAGCGGGGATCGAAGGTCGGCGCCGACCTCGGGGAGGCCAGCGACGGAGAGGATGAGCACGTCGCCAACGCAGTCAGGGGTGGCGAGGACGAGTATTACGACATAGTTGCCGCCGCCTCGAGCAAGAAGAAGCAGGAGAAGGCGTCGAGGGCGGCCGCCCTCGCGGCAGCTAGCAGCACAGACCGGGTCGTCGAAACCGAGGAGATCGGCGAGGACGGCAAGCGCAAGATCTCGTACCAGATAGAGAAGAACAAGGGGCTGGCGCCGAAGCGGAAGAAGGACGTGAGGAATCCCAGGGTGAAGAAGAGGAAGGCGTACGCGGACAAGCTGAAGAAGCTGAGGAGCATGAAGCCTGTGTACAAGGGCGGCGAGGGCCGCGGCGGATATGGAGGAGAGCTGACAGGTATCAAGACCGGCTTGATAAAGAGCGTCAAGCTATAGGGTCTGTTCATAATAGCATTGAGTTTCTGAATTCTTTATCCTCTACAACATCAGCCTCCCCCTGAACAGACCAGTCGTCACCCAGCCTTGTAGTACTCCTTGCCCTGTCTATATCCTGTCCTGTCTCAGTCTATACTCTGCTGATTCTCTGCTGTCACACCTCGCCCGCTCCAGACATTGATGGCCCCTGCCCACCCATGGCAACACACACACATCGCCGCCTACTTCATGGCAAGAAGTAGACGGCGATAGTGAAGCGTTTGCTGGATTGGAGGTCATGCACAGATAAAAGTTTTATGGAATTTCCGGGGCCAGCAACCCATCCCCTCTTCCCCTTCCTCCTTCTCCTCCTCTCCTTCTTTGCTGGCCCCCCCCTCCGTCCCTCCTCCCCCTTTCCAGCCGGCTCTCATAACCACGCAAGCCTCATACTTGCCCACATCTACATCTGTAACCTCTCCTCGTCCGCAACGAGCATCATGCCGTCCCAGCCGCAGGATCCCCTTCCTACCATGGGCTCTACCGACGCGGATGTCGACCTCCCTGCGGACGCCCAGGACACCATCTCGTCCGTCTCGTGGTCTCCGACCAACCCCTACCTCGCCGCGGCCTCGTGGGACGGCCACGTCCGCGTGTACAACGTTGGTCCTGCTCCTGACCACGCTTACCGAGGACCGGCAGTGCTCCAGACCCAGAGGCCTCTGCTTGGATGTCATTGGGCCAGGGTACGTTGCTCTCTTCTGTCTGTCTGTCGTCTGTGGCCGCTGACCCGAGTGCCCACAGGACGGGTCGCTCGTTGCCGCTGGCGGAACCGACTGTAAGCTCTACATTCTGGACCCCGTGACGGGCCAGCATGACACGTCGTCCGACGAGCACGCCGCCCCCATCAAGGCGGTTCGCTTCGTCGACATCCCGGGGGCCGGCGGCGGCGGCTCGTCCATCGTGGCGTCCGGATCCTGGGACCAAACCGTGAAGCTTTGGGACCTGCGCCAGCACGGCCAGGTGATGAGCGTGCCTTGCACCGAGCGTGTTTATGCCATGGACGCCGCTGAGCACCTGCTTGTTGTTGCCACCGCCGACAATACCCAAGTCGACCTCTTTGACTTTCGTAACCCTTCAGCTGGTGTTACAACTGTCGACTCCGCCCTGCAGCACCAGGCCAAGGCCATCGCGGTTTATCCTGACGCTCTGGGCTGGGCTACTGCGGGAATCGAGGGCTGCGTGGCTATCACGGACTTGGAAGACGAAGCTGAAAGGTACTGTAGTTTTTTTTTCCTCCCCTTCCCCCCCTCTTATCCCGCCCGAGATGTAGCATCACTCGCCAGCGGGTCCTTTTCTTACTAACGAGATTCCGGTACTCCCCGCTCGACACTGGCAGTTTCACCTTCGAATGCCATCAACGACGCGAGGTACGAGCGGGCGTGTGGACGACGGAGATCTGGAGTGTCAACGACCTGTGCTTCCACCCGATCGATCAGAACGTCTTGGCGACCGCAGGATCAGATGGCTCGTTCTGCTTTTGGGACACGGGCACCGGCGACAAGCTGCGGGAGTACGAGCCAGGCCGTGACAGCCACAGCGCTGGTGGTAGCAGTGGAGGCCACCAGGCAAACATCACGCCGATCACGGCGGCGGCTTTTGACCACGATGGGGGGATCTTTTCCTACGCCATGGGATACGACTGGAGCATGGGCCACGCTCACAACTCGTCGGACATCCGGAACCGACTCGTGTTGCATACCGTGACGGAGGATGACATTCCCCTAGAGGATGACGCTTCCCTAGAGGATGAGCATTAAAGTGCAGAGACGGAGCTCGCGAGAGACTGGTGAATATCGCGTGTGAACCCAGGCGACCGAGGCGGACTGAGAAAGGACATGGCGGCAGTCTACAGGCAGATTATGTTTGCCATACACACCCAAGGTATATAGGTAGCTACGTACCTTTATACTAGTGGGTGAATAGGTAGTAATCATCGTTGCATTCCAATCTATTGACGTACCTGTGCAATGATTAGTAGAGAGACGACGGCGGTGGATAGGGAGATGATTCAAGCTTGAGTCTGTACTCGGTCCGTACTAGAACAATAAAGTAGGGGGGAGATACTCCCTAGGATCCCGACTACGCAACGGCTTCCCGTAGCCGCTGCATCGTATCTTCCCTCGGGCATCCACAACCTAGCCGGCGCGAGCGCAGGCGGCGGGCAAGCACCGAAAGCATCTCCTGAACATCTGCGCCCTACTCGCCTGCGATCCAAAGACCCAATGCACCTAAGTACATACCAACTAGAGTAGATCGATAGCCGTCCGTGATTGCGAGCAGAGCAGACCTACAGGCACGCACGCGCGGCCACAGCACATTGTCTAGTTGGCCGTGCCGAATGGGCCGCCGGATCCGAGCACCTCTCCCATTATAACCCCCCCCTTCCTCAGCCGACAGGCCGCCGGACGACGCGAGGGCGGATAGCGAATGCGCGGCCATTGACGCGGGCAGCCTAGCCCATTATATGCAACCTGCTTTCCTCGAAGCACGCGTGGATATCCCCCAGTCGCCCGCAAGAAACAATAGGGGGAAGACAATAGAACCAGCGGCCCCGATCCCCATTCAGACCGCCGCCGACTCGGCCTGCCGTCCGGTCTGTCTGCCGCACTATATATTGCGGTGCTCTCCGGCTCTCTTCCTCCTCTCTTCCCCTTCTCCTCCTCCTCACCCTTCCACCAGCATCTGCCACCGAGCACCTACCTCTTACCTACCTACCTACTACTTACCCCCGAGAAAACCCCAAATCATGCCTTGGTACTCGGGCCTCCCGCTGTCGCAGATGTTCTCGCTCGCCGCGGACGGATGTAAGTAGAGCACACCCAACCCGTTGACCGGGCCCGGCAGTTTCTGGGCGGGCCAGCCGTCGTCTCCCTCCTTCCCCTCTTTCCTCCCTCCTCCCCTCTCCCTGGTTCACCCTCTCTACCCACCCGCCGCAGCAGCACCCAGCGGGGCTAACCACCAGGGGGCGCGCGCGCAGACGGAGCCGCGCGGCGAGCGCCCTCGCACCACCGGGCGCGCGACGACCGCCACAGCTCGTACTACCGGCACGAGGAGCCGGCGGACGGGCGGCGGTACCACTCGCGCGCCGGCCGCGGCTACGGCCGCGACGACGCGTACTACGGCGGGCGCGACGACGCGTACTACGATGGCCGCGCCGTCGGCCAGCACCGCCGCCGCGGCCTCGTCGACCCGTACCAGCACCAGCCGCCGTACCTGTACCGGCAGGCGCTCTCGCCGCGCCTGTCCGCCTCGTCCTCGTCCTCGTCCTCCTCGTCCTCCTCCGAGTCGCCGTCCTGGGCCTACGCCGCCGCCGACGACGACGAGCGCGGCCGCCACCGCCACCGCCACCGCCACCGCCATCGCGAGCACGGCTGGGAGCGCGAGCGCCAGTGGGAACGCGAGCGCGAGTGGGACCGCGAGTGGGACCGCGAGCCGTCCTACTCGGCCTTCGGCGGCGGCGGCCCGCTGTACCGCAGCCGCAGCCTGGGCCGTTGAGGCCCGGCCACCCCCCCGCCCCCGGGAGGAAAGGAGGGTGGGAGGGAGGGATCTGTGACGGAGGGGGTTCGGTGCTTTTCGTCGTGCTCGGGGTCGGCTTGTGGGATAGAGAGCGATCGAGGAAGAGGGATGGGTAGATAAGGTTACCTAGGTCCTCAAGGAGGTAGCGTGAGCACGAGGAGCGAAGAAATTACCACAAAGCCGTATGGACCGAGACTTCTAGCGTGTTGGCAGAGACGATATACTTTCGGAATTCGCGATTTAGAGCGTGCACGTAGCGTAAGAGTAAGCGCAGACCTTACGTGACGTGCGGTGCCGTGTGGTGGGTAGTTACTATCATATTACACTATTCGCATATTCTATCTATCTACGACGCCGTTGGAGGGTATATCATGTCGAAGTGTTCGGCGAAAAAAAAAGGAAGAATGCTCGCCGAGCTCGTGCCTGCACAGTCGTATAGCAAAACCCCGTCTGTCATCCGTCGCCAAATTACCGTCCCCCCAGAGACCGCTCTGGTAACCATCTATCGTCTACTTATATTATCCCCGTCATAGCAGGCCCTGTTAACATGTCTGTGGCCTGCCCTTACGGTAAAAACGCATGCTAACTTATTCCAGCGTGCGCCATACCTCGTAGATCCGATTCTTTATAGTCTCCTGGCCGAGAGACCGGGGGTGGAACGTCTTGCCGTAGTACGTAGGGACGTACCACATCGAGTTCTCTGCGACGAAATCCCCGCGAGCCAGCCGTAGGGTCGGGTCCTGGCGTTTCGACATGGCCATGTAGCAAAGGGCTAACTCGCCCCAGTCTCCGGATCGCTGCGCGGGCTCGAGACACGAGACTGGGTCCACGAGAGGCGAGTACGGGGCTAGAGCAGAGAATTCTGGGACGTGATCCTTCCGTGTTTCGTTCCTCGCGTTATCCGGGCCCCCAACGAGGAAAAACCAGGTGTCACTACGGTTGTAGTCCGGCTCGGTGACGTTATTCTCGCAGAACCGATGACCCTCGAACTCCTCGTCGTAGTCGACAAACACTAGCTTGTTCTGGGTAAACTGGGAGTTGATAAGATCGACAGTCCTTCGGATTTTAGCGTTAACCGTCAGCACCATGGCGTTCATATTCGACCGCAGATCCTTCTTCAGCCTTGGGCCGTTCCACCAGACGCCGAAACTCATGTCGTCGCATTCGTCAGTCACGTCGTTGAAGAAGCGGGCGTACCCGGTAACCGTGATGAAGAAGGACGGCTTCTTCTCCCAACGGACCCTGTCGAGGATCTCGGTAATGACGATCAGCAGGCGATTCTCGAACTCGTCGCTCTCGATCTGGGCCCGGGTGTGTTCGAGCGCAGACTCGCAGGTGCCCGAGTAGAAGTTGTAGAAGCGGAAGACGCACGCATTCATGACCTCGAAGAAGCCGAGATCATTTCCGCCGATGGACAGGAGCGCAAAGTCTATCGGCAAGGAAGCGTTCAAGGCATCTATCTGGCTGTCCTGGCTGCCGGACAGGATCTGCTGGGTCGTAGCACCGGTGCAGGATAGAAACTGGAAGGTGGTAGCGTTCCGGCCCCCTTGACCGGCTAACAGATCGGCGGCGACCAGGGCGGCGTGAGAATGCAGGCCGTGTCGGCAGTCGTCCTCTTTGCCCTCGAAACCGGTGCCGATGCCGGCGCTGTACGAGTCGCCAAAAGCAGCGAAGCCGGTCAGGTCGTGGGTGCCCGCGGGGCGCGTGAAGAGTACGGGGAGTTGGGGCCGCCGGGGATAGGCCAGCAGGTTGTTGCCGATGACGCGCTGGGTCTCGGGACTGACTGCATGGTGCAGCTGAACTGCGCGGCCGGAGACCAGACCGGTCTGGAGGGCGAGGGCCAGCACAGCAGTCGGGCGCATGGCGAAGCCGAGCTTCATTGCTAAGGTAGGTGAAGTTGCATGACTCGACTCGGCTGTCGAGTGGCGATTTCGAAGAAAGGTCGGTCTGGTCGTTCCCGCAGCCGGTAAAAGCAAGATGTAGGCAGCCGGCCGATTCGAAACGGGCGGATAGCTAGAGGAGGAAAGAGACACGAGGCTCTACCGAAGCGAAGGTCGCGTGGGATGTACGAAGGCGGTCACGAGATAAGTCACAAGGCACGGCCAATAGCATCGGTTCGGCCAATGCTTTGGGCACATGGAGATCCGACTCGTTTAATTGGGGAGTGGGGATGCTGCTGCTGAGGAATTAGGGGGGCCGCGTGGGGCATCGGTAGAGGGGTCCGGCCTGGCTAGGGCGTTGTTTACCTATTTACTTGTGCTGTGCTGGTTGTCGGGTACTTTGCGGACGGTGCTGGCCCTCAGAATTGTCGCGATCTTGGCGGCGTATCTCTAAGCACCTGTCAGAGCATTTGTTGAGAAGCAGGAGGCGGCACACCGCAGTGTCCTGTTATAGGGCCATATGCCCAGGTTATCTACCTTCTATCTAGATAGGCACCTGTAGTATTAGGTAAGGCAGGCTATATCCGTCACACCAACCACGACGTTGCCAGTGGCGCTCAGTAAGCTCGGTAGCCGACTCGCAAGCAAGCTGCGGCTCTGCCACGAGCCTCGTGCTTTCGTGTTGCAATTAAATTTATCTTTTTTGCTCTTGTCCGTGCATCGCGTACATCGGCGTGAAGTCGCGATGCCACCATCCAGGAGGTAACGCAGCTGAATATTTCCTCTCAAGCGATACCAGAGAGAAGATGCCTATCGTTTGCCGCCCTTCTTCCGCGAGCCCGCTTAGCAGCGTTTCCGCCGCCGGCATCCAGACGACGCATGGCTAGTGGCTGGAGAGGTAGATGGGTCTGTCGAGTTGTGGTTTGGGCCGGTAGGCGTGGGATGGAAAACGGGTATGGTGGACCGTAAAAGATGATCTAACCTCGGGTAGGGACCGGAGGTACCTGCGCCTACGCAGTCCGAGATGTTTCTCGAGTCGACGCGACTCCGGAAGACGCCCTCACGGCCCCGAGCCTCCTGATTGATACCAACGGCGACCTCCGGTTGCCTACCTAGGTGCCTGCCTGCTCTGCGCGCACGTCGGAGGTATGGCATAAGTACGCGCCGAATAGGTGAGCAGGTGCGTACGACAGGTGCGTACCGTGACGTCAGCATGATATCTCTCTTTGACCCCCGCCAACGTCATCGGCAGCGTCGAGCCCCGCCTTCGTGTCTGTCTATGTGCCACTGTGAGAGAGATGTAGCACCAGTCCTAGGTACTCCAGGCACCCAGAGAAGGTACCTGGCAGATGTTCAAGTCGACTGCCCGTCTGGCAGGATATATATAGGCAGGTTACCTGACGCGGAGAGCAGCTCAGGTACCCTGCCTGCTAAGATACCTTGCCTGCCTACCTAGGTACCTCTAGAGGCTAGGTACCTACCTAAGGTAGCCAAAGAAAGCCTGTACGTGGCCTGGTGTGAGGTCAGTGGCGGCCAACGCAATGCCTCAATTCCCCCAGAAGCTGCCTCCCCGTATCACGTCGTCAACTGGAAGCTACATGGCCTATCCCTCCGCTCTTGCCGGCAGACGTGAAAGGGGCCCCTTTGTGCAGGCGCCATCCTATCCCCGCCCTGGCCATCCCTTCCCCGTTACTAGTCTACTCGAGGGGGAACAGCAAGAGGGGCCAAGAGGGGTAGGCGCAGTGACGGCACGTATGGAAGACGTCACCGATCCGAGACAGCTCGTTCCAGCCGGTCGACTCGACTCGACTCTTCCCCATATCGTCCTGCTGCTGATATGGATGTCGGCTGCAAGCATCTTCGTATAAAACGTACCGTTATCAGACAGCTCTTCCGACGGCCTAAACTTCCCGCCGTTCGATCACCAACTTACCTACTTTATTCCTCTCTGGACCCAGGCACCACCACCCTTTGTCATCGTACCTCCTTGCCGCGCCATCGCTTGCCTAATTCTCTGAATACACCTCCTTGCTCTTTAGCTACCAGCAGATCAGCCGCTCGGCGTCATCGCAAAGGCCAACCTCACGATGGATACGGTAAACAGTATAGCCAACACGGCCGCTAAGGCTGTCTGGGGTACGAGCAGCCAGCACGGCTCAGAGCCTGTCTCGGGACAGACAGGCGACACCTCCAAGGGCGAACCGTACGATGCCGGCAACATAGGTAGCCTTGCCCGATGACGAATCCTCTTCTCCTATTAGACGTAGCGTAAGGGGCTGATATATAACGTAACCAGAGGGCCCCCAAGCCCAATCCTCGAAGGCTAGAGTAAACAGCGGCCCCTACAAGTCGTCTAAAGGGACGCCAGCAAGTTCTTTCTCAAACTTAAAATCAAGGAAAGGCGCGCAAGCCCAGGAGGACGAAGGCTACGCAGAAGCTCCGCAGACCCATGCGAAGGCTGCGTCCGCAGATGCCGATGAGCGCGAGGACGGCGTCGAGGAGGACCGGAAACTAGATGGCCCCGGGCCCAAGCCACTCGACGAACTAGCACGGGAGCACGGCGGCGATGCCGGCGATCTGAGTAAGAGCGAGGAGAACCCTGCCAAAGGCAAGGGTGGTGGGGTAAAGGAGACCGGGAAAGAAACCAGCCCCGACAGTGAGAGCGCCGCTGAGGGGACCGGAGAGAAGTATGTTAGGAGTAGCGGGCTGCAGGCCGAGGGCGGCGACTTCGACGCCACAAAACCCGGGGCCGGGCGGGAGGCCGACCGTAAGTCCACATCCTCGGCCCAGATACTCACGCAGTCTTCCGTGGTTGCTGGCTAACAGGGTGGTGTCCCGGTAGGCCTTATGGAGGAGATGGGTATGCACAGCGCGAACGCGGCCGGCGGCCAGAGTGGGGGTCCTAAAGGCGGGTCGACCGGCGGGGCGGCCAACAAGACGGAGAAGAAGAGCCTCGCTCAGAAGATCAAGGACAAGCTACATCACCATTGACGTGCTGCTTGTCCCGTTGGTGGCAGCGCCGACTTATAGGTAGTGAGCTTTTGTTGAAGTGGGCGCGATGCGATTTCCTTGGGCTGTCTCTAGTCGTCCACGTGCCTTGGTTACCGGACGGGAGGGTTGGCTATGCTTGGCTTTGTGTGGGTATACTGTACTGTTATAAGCACGTGTAATAACACGATTCCTCCTTTTTTTCCTCCTCCTATCCCGGCCTTCCATGCCGATAGGTATCCATCTCGGTGATCCTTATGTTTGGTACCACCAGGAAAGTCACATATACCAACCTAGCTAAGACATACCCGCATATAATTGAATCTGATGATGCCCTATGTATGTGGGTTTCCCACACCACACCCTCGGGGCGGTGGCTCGGAGTGCAGGCGTGCAGCGATCTGCGGCGTGTACAAAGCGCGAATCCTGCGGACGAAGAAATATCAGATGCAAGCAGCCGGAGACTCCAGATGTCTTGGGGGGGATGTTAGAGTCCGGTTACCCAGGACACGGCATAACCTCGTCCTCTGCTCGGGAATACAAGCAGACAACAGTCCCCTCGCCCCCCGCCCCCCCTCGTAGCTCACAGCTAAGGGGAGGGGAGGTATCTCGATACCTACGGAGACGCGCGCATCTGCGGGAGCCTGGCCTAGCCTCGAGCGGTCTAAAGGGAAAGGGGCGAGGGGATGGGGGCCGGCGAGGCTCATGCATCTCTGCTCTGCCCGTCCCTCTCGTCCTCGCGTCCTTGCTTCCCGAACCCACCCAGTCCAGCCCAGCCCGGCCCGGCGGGTCTCTCGCGCCACGGCTCTGGAGCCGCTGGCCCGCCGCCGCACCAAGCAACGCAGGCAGCGCCAGCGCCCCCCAGCCGACACGCCTGTTGGGGGGGGGGGACCTCTCTGCCTTGTTCATGCGCTCCGGCGCTGGCACGCCGACGAGCTTGGGAGCTGTCGGCTCCCCTGCCTCGCGACGACTTGGACGCGGTGCGGCGGCTGCATGTAGGTAGGTAGGTAGGTAGGTAGGTAGGTACCTACCTCGTATGGAGGCCGGTATATATACCTACCTACCCGGGATACCGAGCTAGGCGTACCTATAGGCCAATACGGTATATTTAACCTATCAGGTACTGTAAGATGCAGGCCCCCTCTCTCTGCCTCTCCTTTCCCTCCCCGCCCTACAAAGTGCCTATCCGGCGGGTGCGGCAGCAGGCGTGCCAGTTGCGGCCGTAAGATGGGGGCGTTGCGCGGGCGTGGGCATATGACGGAGAAGGGGGGAGAGGAAAAGGAGATGTGTGCTGAGGGAGAGAGAGTGAGGGTGTAGGTGTGAGTGTGTGTGTGAGAGAGAGAAAAAGGAGAGAGAGTGTGTGTCGTGCGTCTGTGTGAGAGTGTGAGTGTAGGTATGTAGGTAAGCACCCTAGTGTGCGGGTGGGGGTGGTCGATTGGGTCGCGAGGCGTACGTGCAACACTGCGCCTCTCGGTGCGAATGCATGCAGACATGTCGGTATGTCTGCGGCCCCCTGCGCCCTCTCGTCGCGGGCAGTAGCACGACAGGCCGACATGGACGCGTGCGCGCGGTATATATGCCTATAGGTAGGTATATCATTCATAAGCCTTCCTGCCTACCTACCTACCTAACGTATGCACGCCTACCCTGACTGGCAAGGCATGTTGTCGTGTATGGATGTACGGGCGCGGGCGCGGGCGCGGGCGCGTGGGAGCATCCTAGACAGGCACCTAGGATGCTCTAGGTAGGTGTCCTTATACCTAGCACGGGAGCATCCGGGTCGGAATAAGCTGCCAACACGGATTCGATGGGACGGACGGATAGGCGGCTGGAGGGGCCATTGCAACCCTCCCGTCGCTACGCTGCCCCCCCCCTCCCCTCCATGCGGTGATCCCGCCCGTTCCCGGGCACCGCGCGTTTCCCGACCAGCCACGTTATCGCAACCTGCTTTCTCCTACCGGTCTCCCTCTTGGCTCCTGCGCCTCGCGCATCTCCTCCGCCGGGACGAGGCCGTCGCGCTTACGGTGCGTGCAGGTAGGTATACGTAGCAGGCAACCGGGTATGCGTATGTTACATATGCGTGCGTGTGTGTGTGCGTGTGTGTGTGTGTGCGAGAGAGGGGTAAGGGTGGTGGTGGGTGGTAAGAAATACGGTGGGATTAGCAGCGGGCTTGCATGTGACGGAGCTGGGTATGAGGCACGCGAGCACATCTTGCACGAGCGAGGCTAGCGACTGAGAAAAAAAAAAGAAAGAAAAAAGAAAGCGGCTAGGACAAGAACCTCCGTGACGACGAGAGAGGGAGAGAGGGGTGTAAAGGGGGAAAGGGAGAGGGGGAGAGGGGGACGGGGCGAGGGGGGGGCCAGAATGTACCCGGGCACTCCCATGGTCGTGTTTACTGAAGGAGAGAGATCAGCCGAGCGGTGGGAAGGGCTGGGCAGGTCAGTCGGTGGCTTATAGGATCATCCTAGGACTTGCTCTCGACGGTAGATGAAAAGCTCACTTTGGAGGTGAGGAAGGACGCGGACTTGTTACCTACCCAGGACAGTCCGGATCTATAAATATGGCGGAGGGTGTGAAGGGAGGCTGGTGGAGGGGCAGGGAGGATGAAGCCTGGGAGAGAGAGAGGCCAAGTTGTCGAGTTACATGACCCGAGCTTCGCAGCGTATCAGATGATCCCGATCTCCATCTCCAAACACGCCTTCTTTTTCTTCTCTTTTCAGCTCGGCCATCGTGCAGCGCCGGAGGCTCGATACGCGATACCTGCCACACCACCTACCTACCTACCTAGGTACCTAACCTTAGGTGCCCTTAGGTACCTCTAGGTGCTGCTCGCCTCCCTGGATTACCCCCTAGAGAGGTAGGTTACCCATCGCTAAAGCTAGGTACTAGCACGTTGCCGTTTTGTCCCCCCTCCCCTCTCCCCCTCTGCTACACGGGACGCGACGGAGGCCGTCGTCCACCGTATTTTGTTCCCGTATGGCGCTGTATTGCGCCGCCTAGATACCTGCCTATAGGATACGGTGCATGTCATACATCTAATTATACCTGCCCCGATGCCTACACATCTCCGAATAGACCTGCCTACCCAAGTAGACATACCTACCTTATGTACTTGCCTCACTCTCCTACACCGGGACGTAAGACCGATTCCATGACAACTCGTCTGCGACGCGCCTCGCACAACGTGGCATCCGCCCTCCCCCCACCGCTCCACCGGCGGCCCGAATCGCTATCTGTATGCTACCGCCTTACGTAGCGCGACCAGCGCCGTGCGCAAAGGCAGGCCGGAGCGTGACGTGCTGCGACGCAGGCCTCCAAAAACCTCCCCCCCACCCCCCCCTCGCCCCGCCCCCTTTTCCCCCCAAGTTTGTTGCGTTTCGATCCGCCGGGGAGAGAAGGGAGGGGAGAGAATGGGCCGTGGCTTGGGATCGGATCTAGGATGAAGATCTGCAAGGAGGCCATCGCACGAAGCGACGCGGGACCAAGATGCGCGTACCTACGATCCGCTGCGATGACAACGGCGAACAAATCCGATCAGTCTAGTCTGTCTTGCTGGCCGGCCGGTAGATGGGTAGGGTGTGCGTCCTGACCATCCGTCTGTGTCGCTTAGCGGCTGGCGTATACTGCACGAGTTGTCTTGGCCGAGAGCTATGAGGACGAGTTATCTCATGCATATGTTTACCGAAGTGGCCATATACCGATCTGAATCTCGATCTCGGGAAACGCAACACACTCACTCACACACACACGGGGAAAGAGAGAGGACGCGTAAGAGTTGAATTAGTCCACGATGATGCGCGAGCCACAGCCCGTTCTCGAATGCCGCTTGAGAATCACCCCGATCTATATAGCTCGTGACAAAAAAGGACCTCCGCCCAGGCTGATAGGTAGATCCGGCCGGCATTATATACTAGCCGTACGCGCTGGCAGGGGGGTTCCCAATCTTCCCCTAACTCCTAGACAACTATTTTCCACTGAGACAAAGAAACCCCTTTGGGCTGAATAGCGAATGGTGTCTATGCACACATGTGGGCAGGGCGGTGAACGGCCTCGGACCGTTCCGTCGAAGTCGCTCGCTCCATCCTTTTCCGCACCGAGACAGGCCGGTGCTCTACTCGACCTCCCCTCCGTCCCCCCCCCTTTCATCTCTCATTAATTATGTGCCTCCAGCTGTTGCTGTTTGCGATGACGGCCAACCATTTAAATGTCGCTAAGGCTCTTGTGACTCGGCGTTAACAATTCATCTTGCTCGATTCGCCTACGTATGCGTGGCACGCGGCTAAATCCCAGCCCTGGTTGCCTTTTTTTTTCTTCTCTCCTCTCTTTTATAGGTATATGTCCATTGCCTCTATCCCGCGTCTGCGTTTCGGCCGAGCGAGGCCAAAACAACGCATACTTTACTCCGCAACGCAACCGTTTGTTTGCCAACTGGCCGGAAGGTCCTTGGTGCCTTGAGCTGTGTGAATCTAAATTTCATCGAGGGTTACATTTCCCCAAAGCCTAGGCGTTTTGCTCGCGCCGACGCGACTTTAGATGCCCCTAGTAAACTGTAAAGATCATCTTTCTATAGTCATGTTAGGGGTGATAGTACCGGGAATATCGCCCCCCTACGGTATCATCGTTGACGTTCTTCTAGAACTGTTCGTTTGTGTCAGGGCCTCGGTGGGTAATGCCTCGCCAATTGTTGTCCAAGATAGGCCGCGCGGATAGCTGGGTAGTTATCTGCTGTGACGGCAGAGTTGGCTCACAAGAAGCCGGACTCAGCCAGAACCCTATTCCGGTGGTAAGTAATCATGTGGGGGCTACGAATGGCTCGCGAGGCTGACGTACCTGACGATCTTCTCGTCCTCGCGCTCGCGCGGTTCGACTGCCAGACTCTTGTCGTACATCTCGTGCACATCCCCAGCGGCTTGCATGTTGCTTAGTATGTAATCCTGTAGCTCCGGGACCGGCTGAAGAGAGTACGGAGCATTTTGGTATTGCTGAATGTCGCGGATTACTTCGGCCGTCTTGGCGCGCTTCGCGAAGTTGATCAAGTTGGTCTTCTTGATAAGCGAGGGAATACCGTCCTCGATGAACGTGAGGTCGGTAAGATAGACACCTGCAGAAGCCAGCGATTAGCACTAGGCGCAAAGGGATCCGAACACGCCCATGGGCGTCGGGCACGTACCAAAGAACGGAATGCACGGGGGGTTCGCGGCATGCAAAGCTTCTCGGTATTCGCCAAAGTTCTTTGTGCTTGCCATCAACCGCCGCATCGTCTCTAGGACGGTCTGAGTCCGGGCAGGGACTTGATCCCAGGTCCGTTTCAGACGAGCGATGGGGGCAGTACCCAGAGCGGAGATGATAGAGGTCAGAGTAGAGAAGTTGTTAAGACCCCGACATTTCTAATAGCTGTTAGCAGTGTCGACGTTACCACCCGGCTCAAGACCGAAGAGCATTGGCTACTCACATCCGCAACCGACACGAAATGCTTGATGACGATCACTCGCTTCTTCACATCCATCTGAGCCAGAATCATCTCGGCAACCCAGTTCGTCATCTGATTGGAATGGAGGATAAGCGCTTTTACGTTAGGCGCTGGCTCTGGCTCGTTCTCGCCAACCTTCTTCTGCCATGTCTTGTTGAGACATTCGGTGGGCTTGATCTTGCCGTAGAGCTTCGATTCTATAATCGTCAACTGGCGGGCGAATTCTGTCACGTCTATGTCGAGGAACTTGAGCTTCTTCATGTTTTTCGGCATGATCGGCGGCGGGAGGTTGCTAGAGACTGTCTGGACCATACGTTTGGACGAGATTTCCTTGCCGCCGAGACGTTGATCAAGGACGGCCATGAGGTTATTTGCGCCCGGCGTCTCTGTAGACTTGACCGTGTCTCTAGCGAATGCGTAGACGTCGCGGATGAGCTGTCTGGTCTCCTCGTTTGGCTCCTCCATCCAGAAATTCTCAAACCAGGTCTTGATGATGTTGACCACTCGGAACCGGATTAGTTTCTGCTTCTGGTCTCTCCAAATGTCGTAATCGGCGTTACTCAACCCTTCTGGCGGCTGGATATTGAACCGTTTAACGACCAGTTCGAACAACTCTCTCGCGGTCGTGAAAGATCGATATGTCAGTAGGAATGTGTTGTTAAAGCTGAAGTCCGATTTGTCGTGCCTCGTGAGTTGCTCAACTAATGCTAACAGCGAGCCACCCTTGACCGCAGGCGGGGATGTCTTAAGATCCCAGGAGAGATCGCTTTCGAGGTCGAGCCGCAGGAACGGAGGCGTTTCTTCGGCCTGCTGGATAGCACCCTGCGTGATGGAGCCCTCTCCCAAGAGTCTAGCAGCCTTAGACAAGTCGCCTGCCTTTCTGTGGAAATTGGGTGGCGTTTCCCCGTCATAGGACATGGACCCCATGAGAGGAGATCTGGTTTCTAATAGACTGCGGGAGTCGGTCCGCGTATGTATCGAGTTGTAAGGCAGCGTATCCCTCCTAAGCTGGTCTCTCAAGATGCTATCTTCGCGAGGACGTGTCTCATGATGCTGCTGCAGATCGATATGAACTTGCTCGGACAGGAGCTGGAGAGAAAAGCCGATATGTGAGGAATTCGTTTCCAAGGCTCTCGCGCATTGCCTGACGTATTCGAGCCGGCCTTCTAACGACTCACCGCGCACCTCGGCCCACTCGTCCGCCAGGGGGCCGGCGACGGCCTGGCACCCTAACACGAGGTCGGATACGTTATCGAACAAGCTCTGCTTATTAGTACTAAAGTCGACGAGTTGAGGAGTTTGGAATGTGTTCCCTAACGATGAGAGGTCGATGGACTCGATCATCGCAATCCAGGGCCTAAAAGTCTCTAAAATCTTGCCGGCGGCACCGCACACGTTATTGCCTATGAGCTCGTGCTTGTACGGAGAGATGACCTTATCGGACACCACGAGGGTCTTTTCCAGCTCCCTGATGCTAGAGACTAGCATCCTCTTGTACTCGTCCAACCTCTCAAGAAGCTTCCCATCTAGAATCGCGGTTGGTTCGGTAGAGCCCTCGTCGTCGTCGAAGAAATTCGACGTGATGGGATCGCGGGGGCGCAGCGCATTGTTCTGCCAGCTGCCTCCGGTTGTGCTTCCTATAACGAAGCCGGGGAAGAGCCGCGGGATCTCCTCGCCCCTTTGCTGCCTCGCAACCTCGACAAAGCTGAACACGCCCCCCAGCACGCCATCGGCCTCCTGCATGCACTTCTGGACGGACTCGGCATTGGGCCAGTCGGCGGCGGCTATATGCGACGAAATCACCAACTTCGAAAATTTCGACATCATATCCCGGAAATGAGGGTAGAGCGCCTTGTTTGTGGAGATGATAGAAGGCTGACCCGAGTGGTTGTCTGTAGTACCGGAGCCGGCGGCGAGAAGTAGACGCAAATGGTCGGAAATGTCCTCCGCACGGCTGACGTATTCGGACCGGTCGCCGCATGTGATCGCCTCCCGGTACCGGTCGATGGCGCGCTTCATGTTCGCGACGAGAATATTCCACGACAACGGCGGCGCAGTGCCGTCGTCGAAAAACGAGCGGGGTATCGTGGCCGCTTGCGGGAGGTTGAAACCAGTTCCGGTGAAGGACGTGGCGGATGCCAGAGTTGGCCCGTAGCCGGGGCCGGCTGACAAGGGGATGTTGGTGTTGATGAATGTTTCGGTCCGCGACCGTAATCCCTGGGAGCTGCCGTTGATGGAGTCCATGGACGGCGACGGGGAGACTCCGACGCTGTCGGTGCCGAACGCACGACGACGCGGGGGCTAGACAAAAGATCTCGTCAGCAGGCAACACGCAGGCAGACAGACAGGAGGCAGGCACGTACCAGTGAGCTTATGGAGCTCTTCATAAGCAATTCACCCTCGAGCTCCGAGGCCGAAGTGGCTTCGGAGTCCTCGTCCTCGTCTTGCATCAGACCTCTCGCCATCATCTCGGTGGGCACCCTCGTCTTTTCAGGCATGTTAACATTCATCCGGTCTCGGGGTCCGCTCTCGTTAAAGGAGCTCGGTGACTCAAGCGGAAGTTCCATGCTGCTCTCTCCAGTCATGGTATTATAGTAGTATAGCCTACCGTCGAGGGTGGCTTGAGGTATCCAGAAGTCGGCGCCTGATTTCCGGGAAGCTCTCGCTCCCTCGAGGGGCAATCCGTTCAGGTCGTCCTGGTCCGATTCGTTCCCGTCTTCGAACTCCTCCTCGTAGATGACTTGGTCCTCGAGTTCGTCTTCCGCGTTGTCCCCGTCGCCGTTCTGCACCTGCTCGGGAATCTCGGCAGGGTTCGTGATGATTTGGCAGTAATTACTCGGAAACCAGCCGCGGACGCCATTGATCACGCCATCCCACCATCCGCTTTCCAGCTGAGTGATGACCTGAATCACGTCGCCCTCGTGGAAGCTGAGACTCGTTCGATCGTCGGCTTCGTAGTCGTAGAGTGCTCGGACATAGAGCGACCCCGGGGGCGCGGTGCCTAGTATGCCGTTCATGGTGAAGGTATAAGTATTATAGTCACGGTCACCGCCGGAACGATCCAACGACGCCACGTTCCCGAGGTCGATAGCAGAATCGGGGTTGTTGTCAAGGGTGTTCGACCGCGATCTATTGCGCGAATTCTGAGCGGTTACTATTGCCGACACTGGAGACTGTGTCATAAGCATCGTGATATCCGGATGCGCCAACGGTGACCAGATCGAATTGGCAAAAGGCGATGCTATCAAGTCATATCCTAACCAACACGCACCGGGAGCAGAAGCAAAGGAGAAAAATAGGACTGAGTCTTCGCCAGCCTTAGCGTTGGCGGGTAGCCCACCGGGAACTAGACTGCGATAGAAAGGGGGTAACGAAGGTACGAGCGCAAGGGATGGGCGTTGATAGATATCGCCGCCGTCGCCGCCGCTGCCGATGGTGCCGTCAAGATCATCAATCGAAGGAAAGGATCGCGTGTTGCATGAACAATGGTGTTCACAGAAGCTGCAGTCGAAATGAACGGAATGAATGTACGGGCAGACGAAGAGTATCCACCGGGGCCAATTTCCCTCTCTGCTTGTTCTCCTCCCTCGTCCTTTCCTGATCTTGGCTTCTTCGCTCCTCTCGTTCAGGACCCCCGGGCGCACCCCCGGAATGTGTGCCTACTTTCGATTCTGGCTGCAAGCGCTAAAGGTCTCGTTGCCGGCGTCGCTGAGGCTGGAGAGGATATGAATGGTGGATGACTATTTTCGCTGGGCGGGTAGAGAGGGCGAGGTAAGGAGTGCAATTCGCTGACCAGGGAGGGCTAGTCGGTCGCTTTCGACGGGGTTTTCTGGGCTCCCTGGGCTTCGCCCGGGCAGAGAGGGCTGAGCTGAAAAGAGATGGATAGGCCAGGCCGACCTGTCTATGGGCGTAGGAGAATACGTATGTGCGATAGACGCAGGTAGCCGCAATGGACTGTCGATTGTCGTTGGATTGCAGCCTATGGGATCCAGCACTGCTTGTGGTCCTGAGATGCTGGATACTGGTGCGGCCGGGTCGAAGATGCGGTGCTGGTTAATGCGCGGGGGGGGGGGTTGCATGTGTGGTTGTGTTTTTTTCCTCTCGCCCTTCTCTCGCTCTCGCTCTCTCTATTTTCGTAACCTCCAAGGGTATGGCTATGGCACGAAGTTGGTGTGGTACATACGATACGACGGTACTACGGGCAGGGTGCCTAATGATGGTAGGTAACGGTAAGGCGCGGTACAGTTAGCTTTTACGGTACGGGCAGTTTTACGGTACGGGGCCTGCGATCATGTAGATTGGCCAGCGGTGGAGATTGAGATAGATCTGGGTCTAGGGTGATACGAGAGCGAGAGAGACGAGAGGGAGAGAGAGAAAGCGGGGGCGAGGGGAGAAAGGGGACGGGGATATTACATATAGAGGGGAATGGGAGGAGTAGTGCACATCTCTCGCTACCACCACCAATTACTCCGCTGTAGGCACAGGCAGAGCTACCTCTAAAAGCTGAGCACCTAGCCTACTACGAATACCTCTACCTATAGCAGTTCCCAACAGGCCAATTTATTTGGTGTCATCCCCCCTTAGTATATCGCTTTCGAACCCGCCGGCCCGTAAGTATCTTCCTAATCCAAGGTGGTGATTTCTCTGTATGGCCGAATCAAATACGGTGGTATCGGTGATCAAATTGTACTCGGTTCCCTAACCCCTATCAAGGCATGTACCTGTTTGGTATGTGCAATAGGAACTATCGATGGTCTCTACATCCCTTGGGTACCTTAGGAGGTACCTTGGGTATGGTGGCCCTTGGAGTCGGGTACTTCCATAGAAACCGAACAACCTTTAGAGTGCGTGTAGACGATCTCCTCTTTCCCTCCCGTCTCATCAGACGGCCGCTCCTTTGTGGAAGAACCCGTCGTCCGATCGCAGATATACAATGGAATTTCTATTTGTATCTGCTTGGATTCTTGGGGGGGGTTTTTTTTCACTTGGGAGGTGTGGGAGTAATGTACCTAGGTACTTGGGTTTAGAGGGGCCTACCGACCCACCTACCTAGGTACCTAGATACCTCCTACTTGGGTAGCTCGCCTTCGTCCCCTCAGATGCACCCAACACGATGGCTTTCCCTTTGAAGCTTCACACAGCTCCCGTGTCAAATGCCCTCAGGGGATGGAGAATTTGGTCGCACCTGACCTGCCCGCTCTAACCGTACCCGGGTCCGTTAGAATGCGGAAAGACGAGTGCTTCGACCACCACCAGATTCCATCAGGTGAGGAGGTGACGACGTCCCGTATTATCATCACAGCGCCCTGAGGGGAGCCGTACTTGTCGTGCGCATGTGCATGCATGCAGAGCGTTACTTGGTAGTGCTGGGCGAGATGCGATACCAAACCTGAGGATCGAGATTGGCATGCGGTTCAACACCCGTCCAGACGTCCTCTGGGAAGAGCAGGAGAGAGGTACAACGGCAACCCAAGACAATCGATTGTGCAGATATGTAGGGGTTACCCGACCTACCCTACTGAGACGTCCTCCAGTTCAAGGCAGACCGAGTCAGGTTACAGCACAAGCCCGAACTTAGACTGATTCAACTAACCTAGTGCTATTTAGTATCAGACCACCCACAGAACGGAAGGCTAGGTAGGATGCATGTATACGAGCGGGCTGCTGGCTTTGCACCCTTCAAGTTATGTAACGTTGGCCGACCGCTCATCCAACATATGCCGATTGTGTAGCGGGAAGTTGTCGTAGTGGGCAAAAGGGGTCGGATAATACTGAGTCCACACCACCATGGAACATTGCTAAGTTCCCTATATATTGTCCAACTCGCACGTTAGGAGGTAACACGCCCGGGCAGGCAGGAGATAGGTCTCAGGTGATCGTACGTTCATGCTACGTTATCCTCCACGGCGCAGTCGATTTGTGCGGCTATCCATTTGGACTTTCGCTCAGGGATACAGGGCCAACAGTAAGGCATAGACGCACAGAGGCGCCTAATGTATGAGTTTGAAGCGATCGCCTTTTACGCGCATTACACTGGTATGCAAAGCTGCAGTCACCTCGTGCTATGCCAGGTACCTAATGCTGGTGCTACTTGGTGAACCCACGGTGGCTGGACGGTGGCTAGGTATACCTATTTATCCGCAATTGGACATCTGCCCAAGTCAGGCCAAGTACCCACCACCCATCCGTGTACCTATTGCAGCCTCCTAACCCGGCCTATGTGCGTACATTGGGTGCATAGCATAGTAATGCATACGTCGACGGATGGAACGGTCGGGGGAGACGTGCACAAGCCTCCAGGCAGAATAATGCACATGAACAAGGCAGGGGAGGTACCTACCTAGGTATATAGGTACCTAATCTAACGTACCTAACCCACGGAATGATAAAGGTCAGGTAAAGGCAGGTTTTCTGTAACCGTCACCTTTGAAACATTGGGTAAGTTACATTCAATGCCTTTGCGCGTTGGCATAGACGGCTACTTACGATACGTAGACGCTCCTCAGGTAAGGCCGTGGGAATCGTTAGAACGTGCACGGAAGACGTCGAGGCTGGCTATGCCGACGAATCTTATCACATTACCTGCTATCAAACATTGACCTAAAGAGAGGGAATTTATGTGTACACTTACCTCCTGGGGATATACCTCCTAACGTACATACACGTAGTTACCTAAGGTCGGCGATGGGTACCTAGGTAGGTAACATACAGGTAGGTACCATTGAAGTTATACCCCTCGCCCCCAGGCAGGGCCCGTCCAATCGGCCAAGGCGATTCATACATACCATAGTAAGAGCAGTTATTACGCGTATATTCTTGTCGACCGGTGTGGTAGCGCAGAGGAGCGGCACGGAGGAGGCACGGCTAGTACAGTAATCCTCGTGGCCCCACAGCGTCTCGGGGATGAGAAGAGGACGAGAAACGCGAAGGATGGCTTGACGACGGAAACCTAACCCGAGCTGGAAAGCTTCTAGATAACACCACAGGGCCCGTGGAAGACGAAAGTACGGGAGGTACGGCGATATGCCCTATCTTAATCTCCCTACGAGGGTGTACCGTGAGCTAATCAATCTCGCGGGTCTCCGGGTATGCTAGAAGCAGCCTAGCCGTCTTCACTACGGCCTTGTTAGTGTCTCTATCGTCTGCCTGGTGGCTTTCCAAAATGTGCGGATGCCAACCCCCTGGTATAACTGTCCCTCTTAAATACACGCAATAACGATGTCGAACCCGCTCACCATACGGTGGCTGGACAATCAGTAAGCTGGGCACGGGGGCCCTTGTCGTCTCCTAGATGGGATGCGGTGTCGGGCGTCGTCGAGGTCGCGGGTTTGGTTGGCTGCGGCAGCAGGTGGGGACGTCTTATAAATCCTCCAACTCGGTCGCCGTTGTCGATAGGAACACCGTGCAACTCTCGGGCATGTCATCCTGCTCGATCCTGCGGTCGTTGGCAAACAAGATCGGGCGATGCGAATCAACAATCCATATCTGTTTATCTGCAATTGCCACCTCCGTGTCCCACGTGGGACTCCCTCACGATCCTACGGCCGGACGAGCGTGTCGATATTAGCCTAGGTATTATGCAGTTCAACCGCAGAGCGCAATAGATGTGCCCATAACGTTGCGTATGGCGTATATATGGCGCATACATAGGTTATAGCCTGTATCGATATCGGCCACGCGCCCACGTTGTGTACACAGACAGGTGCGAGCGGATCCGGGTAGGAAGGACGGGCCCGGGTTAAGATGACGGGAACTGCGGGAGTACCCTTCAGCACCCGCCGTCAGCGTGGGCGATGCATCATCTCAAGGCGGATCAGATCTGGCGAGAAACAAGGTGTCAAGAAGCAGGCCGCGTGCCCGGTGGGCTTGTGGTCAGGTTCTCGATAAGTCTGTCTATTATTATACAGCCCGGCCCCGAGCACCGTACCGAGTACCAAAAGAGGGGCTGCCGGAGCGTTGGATGCAGTCTGCGCAAGATACATTATCGTCAAATTTGCTCTTCGTCGCTCTGTCTGTACATGTTCGTGATCCTCATACATACCTACCTCATAGGCAGGCAACTGCTCTGCATACCCACATACATACTTGTATCCACAGGTCTGAATTCTGCTCTAGTATTTCTCTTCTTCGAGACCCTCCACCAATATCTCAGCCGAGTAGAGATTTCAGCTACACAACCGCCGCCGCCACATGATGGATAGTCAATGAGATCGATATTGAAGTTTCCCTGGAGTTCTGATTTTGAAACCCTCTCCCTCCCCACCACCCAGAATGTTATGGCGACTGAATACCTACGTATGCATGTATGAGTATAGCTGCTATGTACATATACGGATGAGAGGAGAGGTACGGTACGGTGTACGGAAGCCTCTTGGGAATGAAGATCTTCAGGGGAGATGTTCCACGGGTCCGGATGGCGGACGAGACAAGGGACGGACTATCGTCAGGCTGTGCTCCGAAATGCGCGTCAATGTTCACGATTCCCCGGGCTATTGGGACGCTAATCGCGAAAATATTTTCATATCCCCTTGCTTATGAGCAGCCAATCTACGCCCACACACACACACACACACATACCTACGTGCAATACCTCGGGCATCATCTACATCTGTGTTCCCTCGACACCTCTACGTGTGTGTATGTTTGTACCCAGGCTGAGGGCGTTGCGAGGAGATGGAGATGGCTTCGCCTAAGAATCGCGTCAAGTGGGCACTCAAACACCCCGATGTGGCCTTATTGATTGGCAAAAATGACAATTGTAGGACGTTAGACCGAATTGGGCTTGATGGTCAAGACCGATGTAGCAGCACGACGTGGGAGCACGATGTAGGGACCCTCCCGGAAGCGTCCCGCGGACCCCAGAACCTCGCTCTACCATGTTTTCGCTATTCTTATTTCTGCATCACTTAGAGGTTGGGACCGCCCGAGGCCTTATCTGGTCTGTATGCTTCGACTGGGGACATGTCTGATAGTAATAAAGAGAAGAACAGCCCGCATGCCGACTTACCTCTACATACTACGCATACATATACTTACGTTACGTGTATACCTGTTAGGCGCCTAGCCCTACGCTGTGCTCTTCGGTCTGAGGGAGTTCCGGCTGCATTTGCTCATTGCAAACCACATCGCTCAGCTATCATGTATACGCGCCTATACGCATTCAGAACCGGCCACGCGTAGGTGGGTTATGCACTAATCCCGCATCGAGTTCTAGCCGATCTGGACATTGACACATCAGGTATAACCCGACGAGACCCTCGAGTTGTACTTGTACGTGCATCTGTGTATGTATACCTAAGCATCCACACGCATTAGGTACACGGGCTACACATATTCCCTTCTGTGCGACGTACATATAGGTATAGTATACATACCGCTACCGAGCTCGCCAGACGGACAGACAAGACACACGGTAGCGGTGGGTAACGCTCCCTACAGAACACGCTCCACTTACCAGCCCAACGCATCAGACCTGTGACTCGTCCAAACACGCACGCACAATTCCACGCCTTACAGGTTCTATAATCGCGTCAACTCCGTAGTTTGTGATTCATCCTGCCGCATGGCATCATCCGTTATCATCCTGGTGGTTGAGATGCCTGACGAGTATATGTACGCACGTACGTGTGTAGTATGTGCGGAGAGAAGTGCGTGCATACATCTAGGTAGGTAGGTAGGAGGTAGGAGGTAGGCAGGAGATAGGAACCTCTTAATGCATCGTATCGGCGCTCATGCGGGTCATCCTCCCTCTCGAGATGCCGAGGCGCTTCGTCATTTTCGTAGATTAACCAGTCCGCCTCCATGAAGTAAACAACGAGCCCGACCTCCCCACGTATGTATGTACACACGTCTATCACGGGACGTTCAGGCCTCTGATATCCTGCCACGCGGTTCAGCAGGACGGGGCAGGACGTGAGAAGGCTTCCAAAGAGAGAGGCGTCCCCACTTGAGAGGGAACTCGAAGAGTCCGGGTCCCTAGTCCCGTGATGTTCACAGTATCCAGTATCGGGGAACGCGTCGTGGGGCGGTGGGACGACGGGCTTCCGGCTTCGCGGGTTTCGTAACAATGTGCCGGAGGTCAGGCCTTGGATTATATACCCAATGAGGCATCGAACGACCCAAGAGAAACCCCCCCCCCCTTACCTACACGTACGTGCGTACATACGTACATGGGCCCTACCCTACAGCCATAACCAGGATTATCGATGTTTCCGTAGCGAAGGGGCCTCTTCTCGATGCTATAGTATTTTGTGATATATGGCCTAGAATAGTATTGTTTCTACACGTACCTATGTAGGTAACGATTAAAAATAAGACGGGTGCACGACAAGCACGTACCGACGCATAAACAGAACAGATGCAAGATCACACTATTAGCGGAAGGAAATCAACGACTAGATTCCACGTATCTAGCATGCTTGGGTTGCACTGGGATCCCCCATCCGACGCGTACCTACGTATGTAGATAGCTTCGCATGTCTCAGGCACATACCGACGACCTACTTCACCGGCCTGCCCGCCAACGTATGCTTGTCGTACGCCTGCGCGGTATGCACATCAAAGGACCACCAATCCGGACGGGCCCCTCATCGAGCCGTCGGCTCTGCCCCGCCCTCCATTGGCAACCCCTCACCAAGACAGGATAGGGGAGGGGGTCCGGGCGAGGGGCGGCAGAGGGCGAGGCGACGTCGTGCAGCCGGCACGCCAGCCGCGGGCTAGGAATACACACACCGAGACGAGTTAGACACATGTCAAGCAGATAGGAACGATGCGGGAGGCGCGGTGAAGAGCAGCGGAGAGGGGTAAGTCTCGAGGGCAAAGGCGTTCTCTTCCGAAGAAGCATCGTCGGCAGCGAGGCGATGACTCGAACTATTTCAATCCGATAGCCCGCGGGGCCGTCAACTGGCGGTCGCCAGTAGCCTCCAACCATACCAGTCTCGCAACGTGGTATGGGACACTATGATGCACCACAGCATGACAGAATGTTGGGGTCGATATTGTTCCCCTTTATTCGGCAAGACTAGTCGCACTCCTCTGCCCAAGTCCTCTTGCATCATGCAAGTGCAGGTGAAGCAGGTGGTCAGCTTGCAGTTCGCGAAGTGGCAACCAGTCGGCTGCGTTGTTAGACGCTATTTTCGGACGGGCTTTGCTCTCCCGCTCCCGCCATTTGGTAGGTTATTGCACACGCATTCATGTATTCCTACCCCGGACGCTGCGTGTATCTATGCGTATGCTTGTAAGCCGGAATTCCCTGCCTCTCATCGTGAGCGCTTTTTTTTTTTCTACTGGAGGTTTCGGCTCTCCCCTCTTCAAGTTGATCCTGGCTGACTGAGAGCATGTCAGCCGTCAGCATTGGCGCAAAGGATGTTAGGGCGATCCCTCCTATCTAAAAAATCATCTATATACTAACGAACCATGGCAGCAGGAGCCTTTGATCAGAGGCGTTAGGCCGGCGCTGCTTTCCTTACTATACATATATATACAACAGCGCTGGTCTGGCAATGTGGTCTTATGCCCAAAGCAACGATGGCGAGACGAGACAAGGCAATGGTCGCCATCACGCCAGCAGAGGGAGAAGCCACCAGCAAATTACCATAGTAAGTATTAGTATACTATAGGTACGTGCCACCAGCAGCCATCGTACTGGCTAAACAGCGAGGTGTGGTTCAAAAAAAATGAGAAGATGAAAAGACGGGTGTTGGGGGGGGGGGGGGGGGGCGACCTTTGACGTGATCAAAGGAGCAGCTAATAACAATGTTAAGGAAATAGGAGGGGCGAAAAAAGACAATCTTGGTCAGAAACAGGTTGTCTTATCCCATTTTGACGGAAATGAAGCCCTCAAAAACTAGCTACCTCCTGAGGTAGGGGAGGGTGGGGTTTTTTGCTCGTCCGACATGTTTTAGCGGATCGATACACCTGCATAGGTACGTACCTGCTTGATGCTAGACGGCTTCCAACTTCTAACCTTAAGTACCCAAGGTACCTACCTCTACCTAACCTATAGCATGGAAGTGGAAGTTAGGAGGTATCGAGGTGGGACGTTGGGTACCTCGTATGTATATAAATATATACATACATGCGGATATATACATGCCTCCCGTGTCATAGGACCTTGTAGATACCTGAGTGCCTAGGTGCCTACCTCTTATAGCAGGCAGTTGAAATACATATACCTACCTACCTATGTACCCAGATGCTTGTAGGCACGGTGGGAAAGGTGGCTAATGTTCTCAGGGGCGCACTGGCAAAGGCGCAACACCCTACCCGCAAAGGCCCCTCTCTGTTTCCGTAAGTACCTAACGTACGTATGTACGTGAGTACGGATGTAGCTCCCTCTCTCTATTGCCCCTCGCCGAAGCGGGCACGTTAGAACAATAGAGCCGGGCAGCCCGCCTCTCTACCTACCTAGGACTTACTATTACCCTACGTACATATATGGGTGTATGTATGTATGTTAGGCCTGTATGTGTGTATGTATGTCAGGTATATTTGCCTTAGCATGTAGGTACGTACGTGTGTGTGTTAGCGTCAAGGGTATAGGGACGGGGCATCATGTACAATATAGACTGGGTTCTTTCTTTCCCTCTTTGTCTTTTTTTCCCATTTCCTTTCGGGCTTCCTTTTCCTTCTCCTCTTCTTCTTTTGACACGACCGACGACGGGGGTCACGGGTCATGGATCTGAACGTGGCACGCCAAGGTGGAAAGTGGAAATGGTGATGGAGACGTGTTCTTCGGGTTCCCTGCTAATGGGTCCCTCGATGTTGTACTCGCATGGGTGTTCTCTCGCTCCATCCTTCCACACCCCCCCCCCCCTCCCCCTCCGAACCCGAGCCCCCCCCTCATCTCCCCTTTTTTTTTTTTTGTGGCGGAGGAATCGAATTGAACCTGAAGCCAGCTGCCCCGCCAAAATGAACATATCTTCTCTAGAAACACAGCGAAAGACCGACAGAGTGTGCGCGCACGTATGGAGTACAGTGCTCTGTAATATACTAGCAGCATCTAGCAGCATCCCGACATGCCTCCCAAGGTGGTGAGATGGAACCCCTCCATCCCTCCTCCCTGTACCTACTTCTTAAGCTTAATAATAAGGACGTAGGTAAGTATGCATTTACCTGCCTGCCCTACCTAGGCACCCGAGAGCCGCCGTAGATCGTCGGGCCCGACGCTATTTTTCTGGACCTCTGCCTCGTAACCCGCTTGCACCGAACCTTAGGTACATATGTAGGCATGTCCATAGGTGCCAACCTCCTACCTCCTACCTCCTACCTCCTAGGTACCCAGGTAGGTCTGTACCTGGCCCCCGTATGCGACAGCGTCAGATAACCTGCCTACCTAACTAACCTCCACGCTGTCTGCACCCAACACCTAACCTTCAGCTCCGTACGCCAGCAGCTAACCTAAGACGAATGTGTACCTAACGCCAGCGTCATCCACCCTAATGCACACAGATACGTGTACCGTCCGATGCAGAACTGCCTTGGGCAGGTAGTATATAGATACCTTGCATGTAGATATTAGCGGTGTGAATAAAACCGGTAGTTTGCACACCGCATGTACAGTGCAAGAAAGGAAGAGCTGGGTGGCAGATATCGGTGAGGCCAGCGCTATAGGCAGGTCTGCTAACGTTAGGGAGTGCCTACGACGTCGGTCCCCACCAGAGAGTACCGGTGCCGGAAAGGCCTCTACCAAACCCACTGTCCAGGTAACAGCCAGCATCGCTGTCAGGCCCTGCATAACACCGCTAATTACAATGCCAGAGCACACGCCGACTAGCAACCCGTGCAGCCGGCCTGCATCCACTCGCAGCCCTCACTTGACCTGATCGGGCCACCTCCATTCCTACTCTGTCTACGGGGTAACCTCACGGACCCACCCACCCCTCCCACACCCCTCCCACACCCCTCCCACCTCAAAGCCACAACCCGCCTCGCCTAGGTAGAGGGTACGGTAGAGGGTACCTTGGTCGCGGCACGCCCGCACCCCTCCGCGGATCCGACTGGTCCTGCCCATCGTCGACGCCCGGTCCCCGGCACGCGCTGGCGCCCCGCCCGAGCAGTACAGACTTAGCGACACGGCTGTACCGCCCCATGCTTATCTGGTAGCAGGAGGTACGTCACGCCAGTTAAGCCGGTACGCGGAACGTCGCCGTGCGGCCACGCCAGGGTCTCCCAGTCGCCCGGCCATGGGTGCAGGTACATGGATGTCTTGGCTACATGGGATCTGCGTACCGCCCTTACCCGTCTCCAACGCCTCGCGACCTCCAACCCCTCCGGCCAGGAGGTATCTGGGTCGGGCACGGTACCTGCGCGCTGCTGCTTTGCTGCTTTCGAGCAACTCGCCCAATCATTTGGCAATCGCTCAATCGGCGTGTTTCTCCCCCTCCCCTCCATGTGTGGTGGTGTCGGCCTAATCCCTGTCTTGTCTCTGTCTCTCTCCTCTCTTTTCGGTGCCCCCACTCCTGATGTTCTGTCCAGCCTGGGCACTACGTACCTAGGTATCTACCTACCTTAGGTCCTCTCTGTAGACGTACTCACTTTCCATTCCCCCCCTTCCCCCCCCCCATTCACATTCAATCTCTGTCCCTCTCTAATCCATCTTCCCTTTCTTCCCCTCCCTGGCGCACTAGCCACCTTTGCGACGCACAACACAGCACAACGAAGCACTGCACGAGAACAACTTCCCGCATAGCGCATCCAAATTTCCCTCCCTCATCCTGTCCCGGAATTGTCCCTCCTCCTCCCTCCCCCCCTCCTTTTTTTTTTCCCTGGATTTCCTAAACTTTCATATTTTTCCCTTCTATCAAACCTCCCATCACCCCTCAGAAACCCCTCTTCAACTTTCCCACCGCCACAGCCCACGTTCTTCGAATCTCTCGCTTGTGTCGTCCAACATAAGACGACAGCAATTCCTCGAGCACACCCTCCCGTGATTCGAACCCCCCCCCCCCCTCTCTCTCCTACCCGGCCGAGGCCGCATCCCTTCCATCACCCAGACCGTTCCATGACCATACCGGTACAAATGACCAACTATCAACAGTCGAGTCAAGAAGACACACTTTAAATCCCGCGGGAGCGCGCGAGCGAGGAGACGGGCGATTTCAACTATCAGCCTGTGAAGGGTTAGGAGCACAGTTTTCGGAGAGTCGACCGTAGCAGTAGCCGTTGTTGTTGTCAAGCACGATCAAGAAGCAGCCAGCCCCCCCCCCGTTGATTCGGAGGACCTTCTCCCTCATCATCAGCCATCATTCCCTGACCAACGCGACAACCATAATTCAAGATGCCTGGCGCCAGCGTGGCTGTTCTTCCCACCTCCGCCTCGTCTACTCCGGCCTCCCGAAAGACCTCCCTCGCGCAACCGGAGCGAAAATACAAATGCCAGTTTTGCAACCGAGCATTCAGCAGAAGCGAGCATCGCAGCAGACACGAACGGTCGCGTACGTGGTGCGATTTCTTTTCTCCCCTCGTCCTCTCTCTCCCGCCCCGAACCCCTCTTCCTGTGTGGTGCTATTCGGCCTGGAGTCGATACACGCCCCTCCCCGTCGAGGATCACCAATCTGCTACCCCTCAACATCGATGCACAGATGATTTTCGCGTCTGCTACGATCCCACCTCGGAGAATCCCCCCTCCCCGCCCCCCTCCCCTCAAGAGAGTGTAAGAGCTGACCGATCAACCATCTTGCAGATACCAAAGAACGCCCTTTTAAGTGTATGAAGTGTAGAAGTACCTTCGTGCGACGCGATCTCCTGCTTCGTCATGACCGAACCGTTCACGCCAAGGACGGAGGAGTTCCTCTGCACAGTGACGGAAAGCGTCGCGCCGGTGGCGGTTCCAAGGCTCGATCTATCGGTGGCCCGTCCAAGTCCTCGATTGCTATCGACCCTTCAACCCTTAGTGAGCAGATTGAGGCTAGCAGTGAGGGAGTCTTCGACGTCGAGCATGCCGCTATGTTGGTCGCTGACCTGCATCACAAAGCGACGGCTGCGATGCGAGACAATGGAAGCCCCTGCGAGCCCAGTCCTTCGATGGCCTACGCTCCTACCAGCGCGCCCATGATGGATCCAGCAGTCACGTATCCTCCCAGTGCCGTTCCTCTGCCCCACAACGTGCCTTGGGACACGTTTGTGCAGCCTGCAAATATGGACGCGAAGGCCAATTCCATGCCGTCGAGCGCGTCTGCTTCGTTCGAATCGCAGTCTTTTGCCAGCGTGAGTGTCACCCGCACCCCAACCCCACCCGCGCTCTGCGCTCGGATCTCTGTGGCGATGGCCCGGTACCCGTGTCACAGTCCCCGGCCCACTCATAATCTCCTCCTACCAACGGAAACCCAGCAGCCCCCCTCCCCCTCCCCTGCACCCCGTGCTCCTCACTAACCGCTCCTAGGCTTCGGCGGGCTTCAAGGCTCCTCAAGTGCACAGCGACGAAGAGCGCAACATGATTCTAGATAACATTCGAGCGCACGACAGCGAGCACGCGATCCCGGAGGGTTTCCGTGTCCCCAATCTGTCCTCGCTGAATCGGTATCTGGCTACCTACTTTGGCCTCTTCCATCACCACCTGCCGTTCCTGCATCCTGCGTCGTTCTCGGTCACGCAAGTGTCTCCGGCGTTGCTCCTGGCGGTGCTGTCAATCGGTGCTCTGTACGCTTTTGACCAGGACCAAGCCTACATGCTCCACATCGGCTCCAAAGTCTTGGTCAACCAGTTCCTGCAGAACAAGGAGAACTTCAGCTCTCGCAAGTGTCCTCTCTGGACGATGCAGAGCTCCCTCCTCAACATGATCTTTGCCAGCTGGAGCGGGGACCCGAAGGGCCTCGAGTGGGCTTGCTCCATCAAGAGCCTTCTCGCCAATATGGTTGCGGGAAATCGTTACGAACTGAAGCTCCGGCAGGACGGTCGCGAGGATGCGCAGCCCACGCGCGCCGAGTGGATCGAAGACGAGGGATGTCGCAGGACATATTATGCCGTCTACATCTTCTTCGGCTTGCTCACGTTGACCTACAACCACACGCCTGCCATCAGCTTCAACGAGTTCGAGGACCTGCAGCTGCCGTCTCAAGAGGCGCTTTGGAACTCGAAGGTGACGGAGGAGGCGGCCTGGCAGGAGCAGTTGAAGGCGTCGCCTGCGATCACCTTCCTAGCTGCTCACACGAAGCTCTTCCAAGGAGACACATTGAAGTACAGCGCTTTCGCGACTCGTGTTATGATCAACGCTCTGTTCCTCGAGGTGTGGTACCACAAGCGTAGCCCCGAAGCCCTGCAGGACGTGGTAACCGAATACAAGCTTCGTCTGGCTCTGGAGACGTGGGAGAAGTCCCTGGATCTCTGCGAGCCGGAAGCCGACACGGTTCCCCTGAGCGCCCCTCACAAGGGCCACCCTCTGATCTTCAACGCCAAAGCGATGTTCCGCAACGCACGTGTTCGCCTAGAGGTGGATTTGAAGACGGTGCAAGAAGCACTCCGCTACCACGACCACTACGAGGTTGCCGCCGCTATGTCAACTGCGCGTGACAAGGTAAAGCGCTCTTGCGAGATGATCAAGGTAATCGACGAGTGCTACAACTGCATCGAGACTGCGGTCCGCCAAGGTGTCCGCTGGGTCGCTCGCACGTCGCCGACCAACTGGAGCATCGAACACCCCCTGTGCGGTATGGATTTGATGATCACGCTCACCTTGTGGCTTTACCGTCTGGAACATGACGAGGAGGCCGCTTCGGAGGAGGAGATGGTCATGTATCTCAAGGTCCGCACGCTCTTCGAGAAGGATGCCGAGGGCGCCATGAACTCGCAGCAGCTTAGCGCGACCGTGGCTCACCTATGGGGCTCTATGCTCGACGAAGTAGTCGTTTGGGGGTAAGTCGATCGCGCTCGTACCCACACCGCGTTGAACGTTAGGACTAATTTTCCTCTCTCTGCAGCATCACCAGGCTTATGGGTGAAGCCTTCCGCCTCCACTCTCAAGCCCTCATCGGCTACGTAGACGATGTCGAAGCATCGTCTAACGTCTCGACGCCGTCCATGATCTCACAGGGGGGCGACGAGGAGAGTGTGTACTAGATGTATTCTCATGAGACCCACGATTTCTTTTGTTCTCCTACTAACGGAGACGACGGAGGGGCAGGAGAGCCTCTCACGCATAGGCTCTCGCGATAGCGCCTGTCTGTCGCCCTTTGCTATCCGTCCCGGCATGGTTCTTTATCCTTTTCTCTTTTTTTTCACTGGTCCGGTTAGGCGTGTCGGGGTTGACGGGGAATTTGCTCTTTTCCGTAATGTTTGGTATCCGACGCCTACATCCAACGTCACTGGTCATATAGGGGGTCGGAAATATTAGGGCCCTCACGGCGACCTGGTGAAAAAAAGGGGTGGGGTGAGTCAGCGCGAGACATGCGCCATTAATGTGTGATGCGGTTGGCTGGCTGGACCATTCTCGAAAAAAATTCCTTTTCCCTCTGTTCTATTAGCTACGGCACTCCTATTCTTTTTTTAATACTCGAACAACTGGTGGTTCTGATTTTGTCTTTCCCGCCTGTTGCCGTCGTCGCCGACAGATACCTTGTTCTACATACTGGCTCTGTTTCCTGCTCCGTTCTCGTCGCGCTCCCCCCTCTCGGGTACATTCGGTCTCGACTGTTTCGTGCGTTGCGTTGCGTGTTGCGGTTCTCACGTTTCCGTTTCTCCTGATTTTTTTTTTCTTTTTCCCTCTCTCCTTCATTCCGTCATCTCGTGTAATAGAGCTGGCAAACCAAGTCTCAGGATGGGAACTCGCGTCTGGCAAATGGGAAGGCGTGGCGCGTAACAGATTGTTTAATCTCTCGAGGTCGGCGAGGAAGAGGGTCCCGTCGAGTATAGATACTAGTACTAAGGAGTCACCAGAGCTGAATATATTATCACTTCTCCCTGCCTTCGACTCGCGCGCGCAAGTTCAGTAGTCTCGGACGGGCTGGGGATGTGTGCGCATTGGAGCTCAGGGAAAATAAAATGCCTGCCCGTTCGAATATTCTTCCCCCTAGCAGTCCGTAGTCTTACCTGTTCAGGTCGGCGCTGCCACCACCAGCGTATCCTCGCCTTTCGGGTGTTCCTGCGCCGCGAGAGCATTCAGAGTCGAACGTTCTTCCGTTGATCCCCATCGGGGCTTCTTTCTGGTTGGTGGCAGGGACACTTCTCCTGCCAGGTCGGGAAGTTGTCTTCTCCCTCTCTTCTGGCCGCCGTGTTTATAATTCCTCCCATCTGCTTCTCATGTTTTTGGCCCATAGAAATTTCATCTTATCCCGATATATGCTAAGACCGCATCGCTTCTCCTGTCCCCGAGAGGCCACTCGCACTCGAGAATTCTTTGAAGCCAACAGTATCGGTATCTGTTTTATTGTGCTGGCACTACCGTGCGATGCACCACCGGACGCTTCATCGTGCGATGGCTCCTCTTCGACTTTTGGCTCTGCTATTCGGCGGCCTGTTCAGCCTCGCGCTGGCGGATTGTGAGTGCGGATACTCGATGACAACATCCGATAACAAGCAGCTCCTCTACCGATATCAACGAAATCAACTTTTTACGTGAGAATATCGTAGAGCAGGTCGACGATGACGACGACGACTGCAAGTACGACTGGCAATCAGTGGAGTACCAAGTGGCTAGTGACGCCTCGAGAGGTCTCTACGGCGAGTCTTTCGCCCGTCAGAACGTCGTGTCGAACACGCTCCCCGGCAACCCGCCCGGGAACGCGTTGGGCGATACTGGTCTGCACCTCGTGGTTAGAAGCCAGCTCGAGAATAACATGATCTCCTCCGCCGAAGTTGAAACCAGAAGCTCCCAATATTACGGTACCTTCAGAGCGGGCATCAAGATCACCGATGTGCCCGGAACATGCACGTCCTTCTTTTGGGTGAGCGATCAATAACCCGTGCCCAGTTGTCGAAGCATATACAAGAGAGAGTATGTGTGTACGTGTGGATTCATGCTAACCAAGCGTCGGCAAATCTCGCTCCAGTACATGAATGACACGCAAGAGATCGACGTGGAGTTCCTCTCGTCGCAGTTCGGCAAGGACAACGGCACATTCCCGGTCAGCCTCGTGCTGCGGGCGAGCACTCCGGGGGCAGCCTCCGCCGGGCCTGACAGGGCGAGGAAGACAGGCAGCGCCTTCAAGAAGGTGCACTTACCGTTCGACCCAACGGCGGACTTCCACGAGTACCGGTTCGACTTTTTGCCAGACGAGGTGCTATTCTACGCCGACGCGACGCTACTCGCCGAGATGAACCAGACCAGCGTGCCGCTGGGTCCCGGTCGCCTGCACATCTCTCACTGGAGCAACGGCAACGTAGGCTGGTCCTCGTCCTCGCACAGCCCCCAGCTGCCCCCCGCCCCTCCAGCTACGGACGCCATCACCACCGTCAGCTACGTCAAGGCCTACTTCAATGCGTCGGCCGAGCCAAGCCCGGACGATGATCGCCAGGCGAGGTGCCGGGACCCCGCTGCCGCTTCAGCGGTCTGTGCTATTCCCGTCAACAGCCCTGGATTCTTCTTCGGCAGGCGGCGCTGAGGACAGGGGGCTCTCGACAGAGAGAAACGGGGCAACAGGGGGGGGGGGGGGAGGTAGAGGTTGTATCTTGTACCGTACGGTGGTTGTAGGACCCGCTACAACGTGAGAGCGCGATGGACACGGTGAAAGACGATTTGCGATTCGGGTCAGGAGGCGTTGGTATTCATTTCTGGGTTGTGGTAAGGGTTGTGTGCCTGTCGTCTCTAGGTAGGTAGATGACAGGTCACCTATCACAGTAGCATTCTTTCCAGTCAGACGAAGTACACCCAATTATCGCTGGTGACCCCCTCTCTTGTTTTCTTTTTCTTTGGAGACCCAGACCGACACATCTAGCGAGTAGGTCAGTTCCCCCGAGGAAGCGAGCCGAAGTGCGACCTACGCGATCACTTGTAGCATGCGAAAGCCTGATGCTGTCCAAGGCACGGCTCCTCGTTCTGCTCTTCGGCTGGTCCGACACGGCCGTGATGCGCACGCATTAAGCAGGTATATTAACAGCCAGCTACGCCCATGTTTACCACGCACACAGGTACGTATCGCATACTCTGCGTGCGACCTTTGCGCCAGCGGGAGCGAGGCACGGGTCAGCAGGACGATTGTAAGGAAGACCCGGGTTGTCGATGGCCAGAGGAGGGGAAGGGGGGGGGGGGAGAAGACAGGGGATGCGGTTCGTTAATAAACCTGGAATAAATGAATGCTCGCCTACCTGGTCTGTTCATTATGCCGGTTAGCTACCCAGGCGCTCCGGGTTGGCAGGCGATAATAGGAGGAATAATATTGACTGAAAATAATAAACAAAACCGAGCCCTGCCGCCCCTCACCCACCTCTCTCGAGGCCGGGTCCAGTCAGAGCCCGCGACGCCGCTCTCCACCTGCCTAATCGGGCACACACACTGTATCGTACTACCGCGTCTGCGCCGTGCGCGTGGTCGGGTTTTTCTCTCTTCTTTTTTTTTTCTTCCTTGTCGGCCGTCGGAGAGGGTGGCAGGGGTAAGCAAGGGGGGGGGGAGGCAGTGCCTATGTAATAATAAGTTCTGGCTTGGGAGGGAGGGGAGGGATGCCTATCCGTTGTATAAGACACTCTCACGCATGCCTCTCACTCGCTCACTCTCTCACACCTCCTCTCACATGCGAATGCCGCCGAGATGCACGAGGAAGAGGAAGATGGTGGGACGGACGAGGGCCGACCTAAACCAAAAGGGCGGCGGGCCTAACTTCTCCTCCGCCTTCTTCCTCCGTCCCGCTTCCTCTCATAGGCTGGCCGCGATGCCTCTCAGGTGCCTGAGGTGCCTCGGGCGTCGCTTAGTGGCTGGCGGCTCCGAGACTGGGTCGATCGGATCGTGGAGAAGGCCGTGGAGACACGACGCCACCATCTCGTCTTTCTCATCTGCTCATTCGTCCGCCGGCTTTTATCGGTTAGGCGGCAGCAGACCGAACTGCCGCACTCTGCAATCGGGCTATAAACCGCCAAATGAATTAAAGATGCCAAGGAAGAAAGAAGTAAATAAATAGTGGAGCGTAGGTGTCTTGCTTTGCTCTTGGATAAATGCCCAGCGTCGGCGGTGGTTTCGTGTCGTCGACGGCCAGGCGTATCTTGTCGAAGAGGGCTCCCGATGATATATATACGAAAAGAAGGAGGGGGGGGGGGGGGGGAGCGGATAGCAGCCGTGTGATCGAGAGGGTGGATATTCGCCAGTCGCCCTCTGAAACCCCTCTACACGGGTAGGTATTGATAGTGTGCGTAAGGGGGGGTTGGAAGGAGGGCATCTTGTCTTATGAGACCGGCCCTATTAGGTACTTATCGTCACGCCTCCGGGCTACTCCGTGACGCTCTAGAGAGAGCGCGATACGATATACATAGACCGACCAACTGTCCATGTGCGCTCGTCGCCGCCTCCCACGATCCGGTCGAGACAGAGACAGAGACAAGAGGAGAAGTCGAGAGAGAGACAGAGAGAGGAGCGGGCACGTCCGCCTCTCTCTACGCACTTAAGCTACGGGTGAGACGTAAGGCGGACTGGCCTATTGATAGTACGCTGTACCACAGCGGAGGGCCTATCTTATCCTCTGCGCCCCCCCGACCGTCCACTCCGGCTTGCTCCCTTTGGCTACCACCTCCGAGACAACGAACCCGCGTGTCCACCTCCCCTCTGCCCTCTCTCGCATAGGTCATTTCGCTGGCACCTATGTGTCCATGCGAAACATCGTCGTCATCTCTGTCCAATCTTGGCTGCCGTCATTGCCAGGCCGGCACTGCGGCTGCTACTACTGTAGCTCTGCCACTGCCGGGTGGGTTCCATGACCCCGGACTTGGGCGGGCCCCAAGCTGGGATCTGGGACGCCATCCTCTTCATGTTCCAGTTCCCTCTCGCGATCTCATTCCCCTCCACCTCCCTTGCTCCTTGGTGGCCCCGGGCTAGCTCGCCGCCGTGCTCGTCGATCCCCATCAAGCCGGTCGTCAGCCGGGTAGCCATCTAGATACCAGGTACTTGGCGAACTGCCATAAGACCCTATTTGCTTTAGTGCTCATACCCCGGAAAATCACCCGTCACCTATTTACGGCACCCGGAGATGGCGGGAGGAGGTGGTGTGGAGGAGCCGTGTGTCGGCACTACGGCCGGGATTGTCGTAGCTCGTCCACACACGCGTTTGTGGGTACGGGAGCAGGTCACCTTCTCGTCACATGAAGTTCGTCACATCGCCGACGCATGACGTCCGCCCCCTTAGGAACTCAGCGAGGCGATCCCCGAATATTTGGCCTAGCTTCGTTGCCTTCTGGCTCCTTAGCCTTGCAGGCCTTACAAATGAAAGGACAAACTCGTCGATCACCAAGCTCCGCTAGGTACCTGCCTCCGGGGCTAAGGTGACTCGCTAAATATCAACTGATCTCGGGTTTGGCTCACAAGCCCAGCTCGAGGAGGGATACGTGGTTGAGCGATCAGTTTTCACCTCAGCTCGCCCGCCGCATAGACCGCCAGGCGTTGCTCTCCTCCCATCTCATCACTCCCCTCTCACTGCCTCGCGGCCTCCCCTCCTCATCACAAGTCGATGCTTGTTCTGCCAGGTCACAGGCTGCCCACCATCAACAAGGAGCCTCGACCACATGCTCGCAAGGCGTCCTCGTCATGTTCTAGGAATGCTAGACTTCCCATGCTCGAGTGCCTTCGTAGGGGAGACCGATTCGGCTTTAAAACGCGAGGAAGACGACGCAATTTTCCTGACAATCCCGAAAGCTTCCAACCTCACATTCTATTCCTCATAGGCCGCTTCGGTGTCGAGTTGTTAACAACCAGTTCGATCTCGGAGCCTCACAACCTCTGCCTCGGAAAGACCCATACCTACTTCTCGATCGCAGGAGCCATAATAGCGCATGCACGCTCGCAGCTAGACGCACACAGCACACCAGGGACTTTAGGACGACGACGGCCGCCACCATGACGAACCCCACGACCGACTTCGCCCTCAAGAACAACACGGACTCGTCCGAGGCGTTCGCCTACATCACGGGCCTCGACCTGAACCGCGACAACACGCCGGTCTTCATCCAGGCCGACGGCAAGACGACGTACCACCCGGCGTCGCCGGCGGAGCCGCAGTCGCCGCTGCAGGCCGACGTGGCGATCCCGCTGGGCGCGCCCGGGACGACGACGCGGGTGACGATCCCGCACATCGCGGGGGGGCGGGTGTGGTTCAGCGTCGGGGCGCGGCTCAACTTCCTGCTGAACCCGGGGCCGGCGGTGGTGGAGCCGAGCGTGACGAACCCGTCGGACCCGAGCTACGGGGTGGCGTGGGGCTTCTGCGAGTTCACGTACAACCAGCAGCAGCTGTTCGTCAACATCAGCTACGTCGACTTCGTGCCGCCGCACCCGATCGCGCTCGAGCTGCGCAACACGGACGGGGCGACGCAGACGGTGCGCGGCATGGGCCGCGGCGGGCTCGCCGCCGTGTGCGACGAGCTCGCGCGCCAGGGCGCCGCCGACGGCGCCGGCTGGGAGCAGCTCGTGGTGCGCGGGGCCGACGGCGCGGCGCTGCGCGCGCTGAGCCCCAACAGCGGCCGCGTGCTGCGGCCGGGCCTGTTCGACGGCTACTTCGACGCGTACGTCGACGCGGTGTGGGAGCGGTACCGCGGCGCGGACCTGACGATCAACACGCAGGCGGCGTGGGGGGACGTGGCGGGGCGGGTGGCGGCGGACGGGCTGCTGACGTTCGCGGGCGCGGGCGCGTTCGCGAAGCCGAGCGCGGGCGACATCTTCTCGTGCTCGACGGGGCCGTTCGGCAACTACCCGCCGGCGCAGCGCGAGCAGATGGGCGCGCTGGGCGCCCGCCTCGCCGCCGCCTTCAACCGCTCCACGCTGCTCGCCAACGACCGCCAGCCCGACGGCGAGCGCGTCGCCGCCTACTACGCCGCCTCCCCCACCAACCACTACGCCCGCATCGTCCACGCCGCCAACCTCGACGGCCGCGGCTACGCCTTCCCCTACGACGACGTCGTGCCCTCCGGCGGCACCGCCGGCCCCGACCAGGCCGGCACCGTCTTCGACGGCAGCCCCGAGCTGCTCACCATCACGCTCGGCGGGCCCGCTGACGGGGATAACGGCGGCGGCAACGGGGGCGACGGCGGCAGCGGTGGCGGCAATGGTGGCGATAGCGGCAACGGTGGTGGTAACGGTGGCGATGGCGGAAGCGGCGGTGGTAACGGCGGTAACGGCGGTAACGGCGGCGACGGCGGCAACGGCGGCACCCCGGACAAGGGCGACGGCGGCGACGGCGGCGACGACGAGACCCCCGGATGCCTCGACGGGCTGAAGAGCCTGTTTGAGAAGCTGAGGCAGCTGCTCAAGCTGTGAGCGAGGCGGCCCTGCCGGACTTCCTCTTCTTCTTCCCCTTCGTCTTCTTCGTTCCAACTTTTCCCCATACCCATCTGTCTATATATACACACACACATATACCCCTCGCATCGGTCGGTTTGGTTTTTCTCGCGCCTGGTCGCGGGTTCGCTGGCCCTGTTCTCTCTAATACGCCCGCGCACAGTAGGCGCATAGGTGGTAGCAGAGTCCTGGGACCCGCATATGTTCCCTTCTAGCACATCAGCCTGCCGCTTTCTCTCTCTTTCTTTTTCTCATGTATGCTCTTATATAAATCCCCCGCCGTCTTGGCGCTAGGGGCCTATTGCATGGACGTTGGTGTCTTGGACCGGTCGCTTTCTCCTCGCTGCTTCTTCCGCCGCCAGGGGCATCTTTCCCCCCTCCTTTCGCTCGTTGGGTTCTCGTCTGGGATATATATACCTATAGGCTGGTGCCGATCATGATATTCTTCTACTTTTGGCCGGGGCTTCCCGTGTCTGCCTCATCCCTTTCTCCCCCTTTATGGATTAGGTGTAAGGGCATGGCACGGCGCGGTGGTCCCTCGGCCCTTATAATTACTTGTATATAGTTTTGTTGTCGCCATGTATATAGTCATTTAGGCCCATCTCACGCTACTCATCACACATACTGCCTTTTATGCCGTCCGGGCGTGCTAAATAGCCGGCCCACAACTTCCTTCATGAATGGTTGAGGTTTGGCCTTCTTTCCGGAGGGGGTATAGGGGAAAATCTCTAGACGTCCACTGTCCCCTATCCGAAAGCGTTGTGGGGGGGCAAAATAGTGGCTTATCATACTCCGTAGTACGGCAACACCGAAATACTATCACAATTAACCGGGACGGTTTCTTGACCGATTAATTGTAGCATCCGTAATTTTTGAGGCCTTCGTCGGGCCTGAGTTTCGAAAAAGAAGCTAGCGAGTTGACTTATCGAATCTCTCTTAGCAACGTCGGGATGGTGATCGTCACCGCTCGATGCGGTCTCTCGCCTTCTGATCCCGGCGCCATTTTTCCACGAATTCGTCCATCTCGGCGTGGACGCGCAGGCCCTTCTCGCAAAGCATATTGTAGACCGATCTCAGTTCCGAGGAATCCATATCTCTAACCAGCGTAACAAACGCCTCCATGAATACGTCCTTCGACCAAGGACAGAACTGCAGTGCTCGGTAGAATACGCTCTTAGCCTTCGGTCTTAACTCTTTGCGCTCGTGGCAGAATCTTAAATAAGATATCCAAAGATCTGGGTGGTTTTTGCAGGCGTCGCTTGCCAGGGCGTGCTCATACGCCGCTCGCGTCGAATGTATATTGCCGGTGCGAGACTCGTACCGAATCGCGAATACCCGGCTGGTTACGCAATCGTATTGTTCGACGAGAACTGCCTTGTCTAAGATCGAGCGCACCCTGTCATCGATGCTAAGGCGGGCTTCCCTCCACGAAAAAAGGGCGAGGAAGATGGTATTGCGGGGGAAGAAGCAGACGTATTTCTCAAGTTGTTCCCGCAAGTAACCCGGTCTATACGGCCTAGGGGGGGTAAATGTGTTAGTTCATATGTAGCGCCTATGCATATAAGAAAGCACCGTCTTACCCTTGACTAGCATGATAGTAAAGCAGATGTGCGGCAGATTGGAGCAATCGCTCGTGGGCTGGGCTAGACCCGAGACCGCGGGAAACAAGTTCGTCCGAGCAGACGGTGATACTAGAGATTGCGGACCAGATGTCACCCTGACTCCCGCTAGAAGGCTCCCTGCCGCTTTGCTGCGTCATGTATTCTAGCAACGCAAGTCCTTCCGCATACAAGACAGCATTTTCAGGCTCGCCCGAGGTGAGCGAATCGTCACGGAATGATCTGAAAAATTGTCTCGCTTTGAGTATGTGGGCTGTAGAGGCAGCCGTGCTGGCAGACGCTGAAACTGGGGCCCCTTCGTCTGACAACGCACATAGTAAAAGGATGCCCCGAGCCAAGTTGCGATCCTCAAGTTCCATCCACACCGAAGCAGTGCACAATAAAATCCAGCTGTGAGGCGAATTTGCTATTTCCATTGCAGCAGCGGCGGTGTTGCGAGCGACAGCCTTGTTGCCTTTGGCCCATTCGATCATAGAATAGCCCAGATATAGACCGATATTCCCAGAATCTTGCTTTAGGAGCCGCTTTGCGGTCTTCTTTTCGTTTCCTGGTTCGTTGACCGACTCAAAAGCTAGGTAGTACGGTGCTAACTGTCTGACATCAAACGCATAAACCAACTGCTTTAAGGTGACCGAGATCCACTGATATTGGTGAGGTGGTACGGTATCGCGAATCCTGTTTATGCCCTGGAACCAGTTCGGCGGCGGGAAAAGTACGTCTGGAGTAATGCTCAACCGTTGGTAGTCGGGCGAGAAGTCTGGGAGATCTTTTGTCTGGTCCTCGGAGCCCGCAATTGGTTCAGTACGAGACTTCATGCTAACGGGACTGCCCGGGTTGCGAAGAAGAAAATCGTCCTGGAGCATATCCTGGACAATGCCAGCAGAGCAAAGAGCGGGAGGCAGTTGGCAGAATATCAAGAATGCATCTAGCAACTGGCACCGGACGCTGGGGATAGCCTCGGTTGGAATATACAGTATTATATCTTGTATATCTGCGAACATGGCAACGCGAAATGGGTCGTCGTCTGCCCCGTCGTCCAAGGTGCGGGCAGGATTTATGGCAACCCGGGCCCTATGCTGCTCGGTAAGCGACCAGGCTTTATAGCCGTCCCGAGTATTTGGGGGGGTGAACGGCACCGAGGATTTGGGCTCTGGGGGCTCTTGTGGCGCCCCACTGGCGTCGAAGGTTTCCCAACCGGAAGCGGATTCCTCTCCCAGTCGCGGGACTTCGCTTTCCCAGAAGTCCTGAAAACTGGTCGGGACGTTGAATCCCGACTGCTCCCGTAGAGCTGAGGGGCGCGAAAAGGTCATCTCTAGGGTGGCTTGCCAGGCTGCTGTGGCAAGCTCTCTATATCCTGCATCCGATATGAAGCGCGTAGCCCTTAGGAACACATATATCATCTGTTCATAGACCCGGCAGGGTTGCGGACGGGCCTGGTTTGCCATGGCCTCTGATTCCAGCAGCCTTAGACGAGCGACGTAAAGTTGCTTTATTTTATCATACTCAAAGGTCGAAAGCCTCGTCTGGCGGAAGTTTGTATATTGCTTCCATATTTCAAAGTTGGTACCGTGTTTCTCTAGGGCCGCATCCCATCGTCGGAGAAGCGTCTTGTCATCCCAAACTTTGCCGCCTTCTCGCATGATCCTCAACTGCAGGTGCTCTTGCTGCGGGCGAGTACTTGCGTGAGAGTAGGCTTGTTCGAGCAGTGATAGTTTGATATCCGCGAAGCTCTTGACCTCTGCCGGGGTGGGCTGGCGGCTATTTTGCGCGCTTATCCGCTGAAGAATGTTCTGATGATCCACTAGCTCGAGCCAACCGTCGATGTCTTGCGGGTGGTCTCCTACTTTCTTGGATAGCTCGATCGTCCTCAAGCTCACGGGATCTTCCACCCCACCGCTTACCAAACCAGCGGACGCGTCACTATCGTAGTCTACATCGCTGTCGGAGTGCTCGTGGTTCTTGCTCTTCCCGTTAATAGACCGGTAAGACGGCTCCTCTCCGCTCGACAAACCCCCAGGCTCGTCGCCGTCCCGTTTCCGTTTCCTCGACGACCCGAGGGGCACAAAATCTTCCGATCCCGTCACCGTCTGCGCTTGCTGTTGGCGGACCCGAACCGGCTGCGACCTGGAGTGGCCCCCCTTGGCCAGCATGGCCTTCTTGTCGCTGCCGAGCAACGAGCGGCTTTCGCCGCGGCCCTGCAGGAAGAATTCATCTTGGCTCCGGGTCTTATCAATGCGCATGTACCCATCGATCCCGAGGATGCGGCCGGAACCGAAGCGACGATAGCCGGGAATATCACGGCGATTGTTACAGCCGTACCTCCGAATGAGGGGGTCGCCTGTGCTATCGGTGATAAACAGGGCGTCTTTTCCCTGCTCCGGGGGCGATGGCCGATGCGGGACCTTGATATCGGCCGCTGAGCTGTGATGGCGCGGTCTCGCGGGGGTACGGTGCGCGCCAGCCTCGCCTAGGTCTTCGTCGTGCTGATTCTCGCCCGAGCCTCGGACAATCGCTTCGGGCTTGGGCTTGAACGAGGAGAATCTCGGCACGGCCAGACTCCGACTCTGCGTAGGCGACATGATGAGCAGGTGTTCAGCACATCCCTATCAGCTGGGCGCACATGACGGTGGTAGTGGTGATGGCAATGGTGGCACGCGCTACGCGATGGACCCCGCTCTCGCCTTAGCACCAATGCGCTCGCAGTGCCTAGGATGCCGACCACCTTACCCCCTAGTCAGGCCGGTCATCTCTGGGATGATGCGAACCGTCGAACACAGTAAGATGGCTGGGCAGTTGGGGTTTCGCGGGTGGTGGAGGTCGTGTGTATTCTGTACCTGTTGAGCCGCTTTACCTAGTAGGCAAGTGTAAGCCGTCGATTCTGGTAGGGCATCCAGCGAAGCTCGAGGTTGGATTTAGGGAGCGGGTGTAGCACGATGGGGGAATATTGTCACGGAGAACAATTGGTCGATATTGTGTAGGAGGCTTGGGCCTTGGTGGCTTATGGAGGAGGCAGCGGTTCCAGTGGCTTGTCGACGGTGGCTGGCATGTGCCTAGCGACCTGTCACGGCGTGAGGCGGTGGAACTAGAGACACGCGCTGCGCTGCACTACGACGGCCACATAATTAGGTACCTAGGCGCCTGTAACAGCGGTTGCTTACCTACCTACGTAGTACCTGGGGATACTCCAGCGCACTGCTGCCGGGGATTTCTTTAGTGGCTTGCGACGGTTTCAAACCCTGCATCTGCCGCATCCACCTAATTATCACGAGGACCCCCGTGCGTAGGTAGGTAATTGTGCCACCAAGGTACATATGCCTCCTCTCGTCGTCGTCGTCGTCGTCGTCCTCATCCCAACCCAATTCGCACAATAAGATGTCGACGGCCTCGGAGACCACCACTCGATGCGTCCTGGTAATGCAGATACGCACACACATGCTCGTGCATCCTACATCGTGTCAGCCACTTTGCATCAAGCGTGAAGAGTTGGGGTACCGGCTCTATTCCGTGGATGGCACCATCTAATATTAGGTACTTGGACGCAGTTAGGCACCCTAACCAGAGGGTCTAGCTTCGGTTGCGCCATTGTGACTGGACCCTGGCTCCCTTTCTCCCCCCCCTTCCTCTCTCTCTTCCTCTCCGTGCCCCCATGTCGATCGCCAACTCTCTCTCGACAACCCTGGTAGGAAGCCGGGGGTGGCTATGGCAAGGCACGCGCGCTGATCGCACTCATACATATTACCTACATGGACCTCCCATCCGCTAAAGCCTCCGGTCTTGATTATGATATAATCGCTGCCTCCTCGTCCTTTCACCACGGCCGAGGCTAACAAATCATCGACAGAGCACCCATTGTCTGGTCTCCTGTCTAAGATTGCCTAGCATTTTACCAGCTCCCCTCCCCACCGTTGATCGTTTGGCTGTCTAACCTAAGAGTCCTAGTGATAGATCCCGAACCGCCGCGTCCCTTGCGGCCGTTGGGTCGGTTCGTAGGCTGGTGGGCTGGCGGATCGCTTCTCTTCTCTCCTTGTCCGTCCCCTCCTTCTCGTCCATGATCGTGATTGTGGCCAACTTGCCGTGGTGCCCCCAAACCATGAGCCACCCGTAAGACGCGAGAATCCCGTCTTCGCGCGTCCGTATTAATTCGCCGTTCACTTTGTCCGCTCGTTCCTAGCTCGCTGGGCCCTTCCACGTATCCGAGCCGCGCCCCGCCGTCCTCGTTGGGAGAATCTACTGTTTTTGCTTATAGACGCTGTACTGACCAAGCGCTCTGCGCCGGACACCGCGGAGAAGAGTGCCCGCTGAGAGCTTTCGTCGCCGTCCGCCCTCGACCTCGACGAAGCCTTCCTAATATAGCGCCGTCCCTCGAAACGTGGCGAGCTGCTCGTCCACCATCGATCGCTCACTATGGCCGATGCGTCTTCGCGCAATGCCGTACCGCCCTCCTCTCGAGACCGTCGCCCGTCCACTCCTGTCTCTCCTACACTGCAGCGTCATCGTTCTACGAGAACGAGGAGGCACTCGCCGTCGGACACGCCGGATGAGAACACCGCACTCCTGCGCCCTTCGCGCTCCCGCATACGCGTACATAGCCCCTTCGGCACCCCGAGGAGTTACCGGTCGAGGAACCACAGCTCTTCCGGTTCGCCTACCTGGGTTTTATACCTTTTCCATATCTTTGGCGGTGGCCGTGCTGACTAGACCGTGCGTGTTGCTAGGAACTCCCTATGGCTCGCGCCATCACACTCGCCACGAGTCTTGGGGCCATCGCTTAATCCAAGCGCTCTCAGATCGTCAGGATTCCATGGCGGAGTCCAAAGGCACCAACCTCGGTGATGATCGCATCTGGTACGACCAGTTCACCTCCACGGACTGGGTGCAGGATATTATCGCCGATGCCTACCGAGCGAAACAATTACGCTGCCGGAAGGACTTCTGGGGCAGGGCCATTGTCCTGTTTGACAGCGCCCAAGGTTGGATACTGAGCGCCTTGGTTGGCGTCCTGGTAGCCGTGGTCGCCTACTGTGTCGATGTGGCTGAAACCACCCTATTCGACTACAAGGACGGCTATTGTGCTCGAGCGTGGTACCTGCGAGAGAAGGTAACCGACCCCTCTTCTACGTTAAAGGTGTTCCTGTGCCACCGTCCATGTGCTAATGCTGACGCCTATACGGACAGAGATGCTGCCCTCATGGCCCATGTACCGATTGGCGATCGTGGTCCGACGTTCTCGGCGGCCGCCCCTTCGGTCCTAAGGGGACCGCATTTACTATCTATATTGTAGCCGTGGTAATTCTCGCCGTTTCGGCGTGCCTACTCACTCTGACGACTAAGACGGTAGTCCCTTCAGCTTACCGAATGTCGACCTTGGATGAGAACCTTGCTGCCGAGTATTCCCTTTCGCCGGCCGAGAGCTACGAGGACGACGACGAAGAGGTCAGTCCCAGGGAGGTTCGTCGGCCGACTTTCGACCCTCCACCTCCCATGGTGTACTACTCCGCAGCGGGAAGCGGCGTTGCCGAAGTTCGCGTCATTCTTAGCGGATTCGTCCTACACGGATTCCTCGGCCTCAGAACTCTGATCATTAAGTCGGTTGGATTGATCCTGAGCGTCTCTTCCGGGCTGAGCCTAGGAAAAGAAGGCCCCTACGTTCACATTGCGACTTGCATCGGCAACATTTGCTGCCGAATCTTTTCCAAGTACGATCGCAACGACGGAAAGAGGCGAGAGGTGTTGTCTGCCGCCGCCGCTGCCGGCGTTGTTGTGGCGTTTGGTGCTCCCCTCGGTGGCGTCTTGTTCGGTCTCGAGGAGGTGGCCTATTATTTCCCGGCAAAGACGCTTTTCCGCACCTTCTTTTGCTGCATTGTGGCAGCGCTCTCTCTGAAATTCCTGAACCCCTACGGAACAGACAAGATCGTCATGTTCGAGATTCGGTACAAGATTGATTGGGAGTGGTTCGAGTTGGTGGGATTCATTCTGGTGGGGGTATTGGGCGGTGCCGCTGGCGCTCTATTCATCAAGGCGTCGCGCCGCTGGGCCCTCTCCTTCCGGAAATGGCCCCCCATCAAGAAGTACCCGCTGGTCGAGGTCATTCTTGTGGCGCTGGTAACCGGGCTCATCGGTTACTGGAACACTCTCACCAAGCTTCCGGTTGCGAAGCTCCTGTTGAATCTCGCCGCGCCCTGTGATGACGATAGTAGGGACGATGAGTTGGGGCTCTGCCCATCGACTATTGACGAGATACCTGGTACCCTTCGGATGCTACTCGCAGCCTTTGTTATCAAGGGGTTCTTAACCACCATAACGTTCGGTATCAAAGTCCCCGCCGGCATCTACGTTCCCTCGATGGTTGTCGGCGGCCTCATGGGCAGGATTGTTGGCCATGTGGTTCAGTGGATAGTACTTCGATTTCCTCACTGGGGTATTTGGGGAACCTGTCCACTTCTTCGAGAGTCCACGTGCGTCCAGCCGGGCGTCTACGGGCTCATTGCCGCGGGCTCGACCATGTGTGGAGTGACGAGATTATCGGTCACGCTCGCCGTCATACTTTTCGAGCTCACTGGTAGCCTGGACTATGTCCTGCCCTTTTCCCTGGCCATCCTCGTCGCAAAATGGACAGCGGACGCCCTAGAGCCCCTGAGCATCTACGATTTACTCACGAATATGAATGCCTACCCCTATTTGGATAATAAACATAAGCCAATCTTCACCTCGGACCTTGCCGACATAGTCCCCCGCGTTCGCCGCGAGCGCGTCATCGATATTACCAACTCGCCTCTGGTGCCGGCTACAATACTTCGCTCCCAACTCGAGCTCCTACATCGAGCGGGAGAGCTGGATGGAGGATTGCCGATTCTTAGAGATGGCATTCTCGTCGGTTTGATCCCTGCCCCAGACCTGGAATATGCCCTGGACAATCTCGACGACGAAAGCGGTAGTCTGTGCCTCATGGCCAAAGTGCCGAGCATTGACGACGACGAGCCTTCGGAACGGGACCCGACAGACTTCACACCTTACATAGACCCGGCCCCTGTCGCATTAGATATCAAGTCCCCGATGGACTTGGTGTATGAGTGCTTCGCCAAGCTCGGCTTGCGGTATATATGCGTTCTGAGAGAGGGGCGCTACGCTGGAATGGTAAGTTCACGGCTCGCCGCCTTTCTTAGCTACGTACTTACCACCTATCACAGACTCACAAGAAGAGGTTTGTTAAATATATGCGCGAGCTTGAGGAACAACAACACGGGTTTTAAGCATCGTTTTTTTTACTAGGCCACCATATTTTCCTCTTCTCTCTCGCTTTGCATAGCCTGCGATCAGACACTGCATATATTTAACGACGTTGGTTTTAGCCCTCCCTACGTGTAGGGATGTGGTGCCATATTCTAGCGTCGCCGCATCATCACGGGGTCGGCGTCATCTGCATAGTTCAGGTTCGGGTAACATTTGTTTTCAACCGTATTGTCGTTCCGTTTGATGAAGCTAGGAACTTACCAGCTGCTTTGAGAATGCTGAAGAGCCGTCGGCTCAAGGCAATAAAATTGTCGCTAGATTTGCGTGTGGAAATTCTCACGATATTCATGTGTAACCCTAAACTAAATACGTCATCACCATAGAGTAACGCTTTCCGAGATGTATCGATCGGTAAAGGTTGGCGAGAGGAACCACACGAGCGTTTCCACCTTTCTATATTTCAGCCCGCCCTCCTCATGTCAATTGTTTTCAATATATCCCCGTCTTCCGCTTTCCCAGCATTCGATGGGCACCCTCCGCTAGACACTGTATTTACAGAAGAATATGGTAATATGCACAGTACTACGCACATGCGTATTTGGGTATCTTCACACCGGGTATGCCAGCTTAAAAAAACACAAGTGTTTGTCAAAACACGGAGATATCAACAAAAACACACTCCCTTCGTGCTCTCTCTCTCGCACCTAAACTGGATACGAAGAGTTGGGGTCCTGCTACCGAACTAATATTAGTAGCCGTGGCCAGCCAACCGGTCGCGACGGCGTGGCAAGACGGGATGGCAACTCTCGGCTTCCAACCGAGCGGGAGCAATCTCGGGACCTTTCTTGCCCCTCTACCTCTGCCTCTCTTTTTTTCCTTCCCCTCCTCCTCGTTTACCAGCCCTCCCCCCCCATCGTCTCCGCTCCCCGCCACGATCCCAAACATCAACCTAATTCGGCCGGGCTCCGCGGGGGATGATAAGAATACGGCGGTCCGGGAGAGCCGTACTTGTTATTGCCGCCGTAGCTGCTCACAGTGCCGGCATTGATGCTGTGGCAGGCCGCGCCCCCAGCGTCCAGCTCGGCGGCAGGCTGCCGCCACCACCCCTTGGCCGGCGCGGCGGCCGTCTCGCCGCGGGCTCTCCGCCGCCGCGCTAGCAGCACGTGGGTCAACGCCCGGCCCGGGCCCCGGGGCCGAGGCCGGGCGCGCTTGGCTGCCCGCTGTCATCGTCGTCGCCGTCGCGGCCGCTGCCGTCTAACCCGGCTGCCGGAGACGAGGACGAGGAATCTTGCGTTGGAGCCAACGTGGGCGCCGTGCTGGTGCCGCCGCGCTCGGGGCCCGTGATGACGGCGTCTCCGACGGTGTCCGTGCTAGTGCTCCTGTTCGGCCCCGTGGGGGTGGTCTGGGTGGCTGTGAGGGAGGGGTCGGGTGGTGGCGACGACGTTTCCAGCGGAGGCGGGGAGAGTGATTTAGTAGTCGCAGAGGGGCTTGGACGCGACGACGCGCGCGAGGAGCTCGAGGGTGCGGGAGGCGGCTTCTCCGTGATGTTGAAGTACCGCGTCGTGAGGCTGAGGGGCTTCTCGTCCCCGTCTCCACCGTCGAGCGGCGATAGCCATAGGAAAAAGACGTCGGAGTATTTCAGATCGAACCCGTAGACTTGCACCGACCAGTCGAACTGGGTGACGGCGCCGGATGTCGTTTCTAGGTAAGGGGGTTCGGTAAGTGCAGATTCCCAACCCGGGTTCCCTCTTCTGATAAGTAGGTATCTTTTTCTATTTCTCGCCCCGTACTTTCTCTTCCGCGTACGTATATATATATGTGTGTACATACATATACATTCATGGGTATGGTAAATGCAAGACTTGAGCTACGTACGGAAAATGGCCGGGCCCATCGTCGCGAAGGCGCCCTTGAGGTCCTGCTGCCAGAGGACGATGTCGTAGTCGGAGTAGGTGGTGGTGAACTTGATGGTCTCGACGTCGCCGACTCTCCACACTGGGTTGTTCGAGAAGTCGAGTTCGGACCCCCCGAGCGAGTTGGGCGGGTTGAAGAACCTGCCGACACGGAGGGACTCTTGAGCCGAGACGGTAGCCGGGCTGGTAGCGAGCGCGGCGAAGACGGCGAAGACAGTGGCGACGGACGCCCGGGAGAGGGGCGCTAGAACCATCACGGCCATTGGTGTCGTCGTGTCTCTGTTTTTTCTTCTCCTTCGTCTCGGGGGACGGGAAGGGGAAGGTTGGGGGGGGATTGGGAGGCTCGAGAACGCATATTCGCTACACATGAGAAACACCTAACGCGCCTCGCAGGCGAGAAGAGGAAAAGGCCGGATATAGGACAGCGGAAGGGATGTCCAAGGGGGCTTTCGTCACGCTGTATCCATACTGTCGAGGGTAGTAGCGTCTGCGGCGACGAGCTACGTCCCGGGCAGCCATCCTGTTGCACGGGGGTGGGTTGCTCCTTGAGGGTCGCTCTACCTTGTCTAAAATGCCGCCCGTACCTACGAGCGAAGGTGTGAAACGGATGTGTGGTATCCGAGCGGTTATGGCATAATGTTATTCGCCTACGATGTTCGTGTTGGTGTTGGTCCGCTGGACTGTTCGGCGTTGGAAGTATCAGACCAATTCGTTGCTTATTATACCTAGGTACGGATACATAACGATAACTGACTCGCGCTCTCCACTCTCCACTTCATCAAGTTGTCGACGGACCGACTCGGTGAGAACAGAGGACGATAACGTAGGCCCCCGTGTAGAGGCGCCGGTGGATCGGATGGTGAGCAGTACCTGCATACATCTTGGAATGCTACTGAACCAGTCAGCCGCGAATGCCCTAGAAGGAAAGCCTCGTCGCACTCGATGTTTATGTGTATTCGAGGCAGGATAAGACTAGGTCCTTTCGCTTTTGCACCAATGCAAACGAGTGGGCTGTTGCTCACCCACCTAGGTATGTGGTATTCCCGTTCTCTTCTCGCATTAGCGAGGTGGCGGTACCAGACCGAGTTCTCGAGGAGTTGTTGGGGGGCGTACACGAGTATTAACCCTTGTAACTACAGAATGTGACGAGACGACAACCAACATGCATATGGGATGTCTGGATGCGGAAGGGCGATACAATGGCGGGAACTGTTGTCTCTGGATGGATGGGTATTCTGAGCTAGGAACTCACGGCCTAGCCGCCGTCCCCTTGTCAGTGGACCATGTCAAATCATCATACCGTCATGGAAACTTGGAGCCAGCGCACCGCGAATATCTTCTTCAAAAACAACCTATGAGTTGGTGTCTTGAACGCGTCTCTCGCCAGCTTCGTTTCATTTCTCTTCATCGATGCATTACTCTTCCTAGATGGGTTTCGTAGCCATTCTCGCGTCGGCGCGGCGGCTCTGCAACTTGACTGCCATCGCGATAAGCGCCGTCCTGTTCCTGCTGCTGTACCTGCTGTCTTCGAACGCGAGAGGAAGAGGCAGTGGTGGTAGCAGCGGCGGCGGGTTCGCCTATTTCAACGCCGGCAAACCCTCCTCCTCGGCACCGAAGATCACGGAGGACATCTTCAACAGCACACTTGGCGTGAGCCCTTTCCCTGTTCCCCTGATGCACATCGCGTAAAAATAAAAACAAGGAAATATGAGAAACATGAGATGTAAATCAAGAGAAAAAGTTCCTGAGACCAACTCTGTCTATAGTTCGAGAAGATCCTCGTCGTCAACCTGCCCTCCCGCACGGACCGCCGCGATGGCATCGTCCTCGGCGCGGCCCTCAGCGACCTCGAGATAGAATTCGTCGACGGCGTCGACGGCAAGCTCGTGCCCGACAAGGCGCTGCCGACGAGTCCCGACCACGACCGCCTGCCCGATGCCGTCATCGGCTCGTGGCGCGGCCACATGAATGCGATCCAGGAGTACGTAGATCAACCCCCCGTAACACCATTCATTCCCCCTTTCTTTCGGGTTTCTTTCTATTGTCGTCGTCGGTGCTCTTCCTCGACCTACCGATGCTCCCCCAGTAGCAGTCGCAATCGCTTCTATCGTCGTTGCCAATAGCCGACCCTGCTTACCCTCCCGCGCGCAGAGTCGTGCGGCGGAACCTGTCGTCGGCGCTGATCCTCGAGGACGACGCGGACTGGGACGTGCGGATCAAGACGCAGCTGCGGGACTTCGCCCTGGCGGCGCACGCGCTGACGCAGCCGCTCGCGGGCGGCGGGCCGGCGCGCTTCGCCGACGCGACGTACCCGGGGGGGCTGGGCGACCGGGCGGGGCTGCCGGCGTCGGTGCCGGAGCTCGCGTTCGACGCGCTGCCGGCGACGGTGGCGCCCGCGCACTCGCCCTACGGCGACGGCGGGTGGGACGTGCTGTGGCTCGGGCACTGCGGGATGCGGTTCCCGGAGGCGGCAGACGCGGCGCTGCCCAAGGGCCGCGTGGTGCGCGCGGGCGACGCCACGGTGCCGCAGCCCCGGCACCTGTGGACGCTGACGGCGCCGGACGGGCTGCGCGACGGCTACGCCAACCACACGCGCGTCGTGCACCACGCGCGCGACGGCGTGTGCTCGCTCGCGTACGCGGTGTCGCGGCGCGGCGCGCGGCGGCTGCTGCACGCGCTCGGCCTGCGCGACCTGCGCGCCGCCTTCGACATCGAGCTGCGCTGGTTCTGCGACGCCGCCGGCGGCCGCGCCTACCACCCCTGCCTCGCCGTCCAGCCCGCCCTCTTCCACATCCACCTCCGCGCCGGCCCCAAGGCCAGCAACAGCGACATCTCCGACCACGGCGCCGGCCACCAGCACGCCGTGACCCGCCTCGTCCGCTACAGCGTCCGCATGAACGCCGAGGCCCTCGCCGACGGCCGCGCCGACCTCGCCGACCTCGTCGACCAGTGGCCCGACGCCGAGTGACCGACCGACGCCACCCCCGCCGCCCCGGCCTAGGATGTCGAGCCAGGCGAGAGAGGAGGAGAGAAGAGGACGAAGGAAAGAAGGGATATCCGTGCGTAATGGCCTCTCGTCTGGAAATAGTATGAGTAGTAAGACGAGCAAATAGACAGGTATACGAAGAAAGGTATCGGAGTAGGAGGAGAAGAAAGGCACCACTAGGGCACACGCATTGTGCCTAATTACCGGTCAATATGGCTAGCATGCCGAACTCGAAACCCGACGACAGAAAAGAGGATAGGAAAGAGGGCGCTTGTATTGTACGCATGTGTATTTATACAGACCGAAAAGTTACTAGAAAAACATCACTGAGAAATAGAATTAACTCGGCTTAGGTCCAGGCAATCAGGCAATCAGGCAAATCAGGCCTCTATCACGTAGGTATACGAAGGAGGCGACAACACGCACGTTATTCAGCGCCGCTGGGGCAAATTCAGAGAAGTCTTGTGAACCTGGACATCGTAGGCATTAAAAAACCGCGGCGACAGGATATCCGCGAAGCCAAAATAAAAACATGTCGCTCTCGCCCTCCGTCTACCAATGAAGGGGGGGGGGGGGGGGGGGGTCCTAACCAAAGCCCAGCTTCGATGGGTAGTAAAGAAAAAAAGAAGAAACTCCTCCCGCCCTATGGGTATCATTGACCTGATCCGTTAAGTCCGACGGCATTCTCAGACAGAGTAAGCCTCATATCGATATCTCGTCCCGTCCCGTTGCCGCCTCCAGATTCCTGCCCTCACTTCCCCCGATCCGGACCTCTGGCTCCGCCAAGGGGCCTCGATAATACCGGCGCCTCGCATGCCGGTGTGGGCAGCCGATGTAGGCAGCCGATGCTTCTTGTAGGTCTCGAACGACAGATCGCAACGCCTGGGTGTAGTGGTTTCGACCTCGCGTCTGGTAGATAAGAGGGTGAGAGCGGTGGCAGCTTGGTATATATGATTGTTGAGGGGTGGGAGGGGAGAGTAGGGAGTGACCCCTTATTATTACGATGGGTCGCGCACATATCGCACGCATCCCAAACACAGTTGTGACATCGCCAGCCTGGTGGTCGCCTCCTCTCCTTAGTTAATCAGGGAGCATGCCTTGCCAAGAGAGTAATTGTTAAAGATGCTGCAGTTCCCGCCGCTCTTGCCCTCCCCTATCCACCTAGTGAAGGTGAGAAGGAGGAGGGTCCGAAGTAGTTAGAGAGGAGAGTTCCTTGGGGCGCCTTTCGACGTCGTCGATCCTGGGCGGGGTTTTCCCCACAGCAAGCACGTCTGTAGATCCGAGAGATAGGGGGCCGGATGCAATCGTGTTCGACGTGAGCCCGCGCTCGAGTTCCGAGAGCTTAGTGTTCGGGCCGACCATTATACTGCCGAAAGGGAGTTAACCGCTGGCCTCGCGCAAGACCCAGAAACAATCCGAGCTCTTCACACGTACGTACGTATAATGGATGGTGTGGTGTGGTTCCCCAATTATCGTCGTCGCCACCGCGAAGTTCCCCCTCGTAGTCGCGTCACGTCTTATATATGAACCATCCGAGTTCTGGCTGTATCGTGTCGTTGCCGACGTCCCGCGGCATGGGCAGCCTGCCGTCGCGGGCGGCGGCCGCGCGCAGGTCCGCGTCGGCGGCGCGGAACGCGTGGATCGCGACAGACCCGGCCACCATCTCGGTTGTCGTCTCCACGCCGTCGCGCACCAGCGTCACGGGCACCTTGGCGAAGCCGCTCGGCAGCTGGCTCCGCGCGAGCCGTGGCGCCTCCGGACCCGGCCCGTGCAGGCACCGCCCACCCTCGTCCCAGAAGCAGAATGCCGTGACCCAGCCCGAGTACGTTGTCGCGCCGCTGCCGTTCGGGACGTGCTCGTCGCACACCCCCCGCCAGAACCGCCGCGCCCGCTCCGACCCCGGGTCCCGGAAGCTCGCGATGAACCCGTCGAGGACCGGACGCAGCACCCGCAGCCACCGCGCCGGCTCCGCTCCGAACGCCTCCAACCGCTCCGCCCGCGCGCGAATCTCGGTCCAGTCGCTCTCCTCGCCGAGCAGCGTCGCGGCCGGGATGCCGCACCGCGTCCCCCAGCTGTAGGTGAAGTACTTCTGCATCGTGCCCATGAAGACGATGCTCGCAACGGCCTGGTCGACCTTGGTCGTCGTGGTGAAGGCCGGCAGGACCCACCGCTGCAGGCCCTCGTCACGGATGTGCCCCTGCATCAGCTTCGTCATGTCGAGCGCTATCTTGCCGTGGTCGGCGCCGTCCAGCTCGACCTCGATGTGTAGGGGCTGCTGGCCGTCGTGGACGCAGAGCCGCTTGCGCAGCTCCTCGGAGTGCGCGTTGACGTACGCGCTCAGCTGGGTCAGGATGGCGAGCCAGACGTCCTCGGGCCGTATCACGAGGCAGTGGTGTTCATTGTAGGCGTCGATGCAGGCGTGCACGAACCCGTTCTTGGCCGCGAACACATTGTCCGCGCGCCCGAGCCCCGTGAACGAGGTCTGGACCAGCTGCCTGGCGCGGGGCGGGCTGGTGCGCGAATCATCGATCAGCGTGTAGTGCAGTAGGATGTCGGGCGAGGATGCGTGTCTGTATCTACGGCCTGCCCAGGATGTCGACCCGTGATCGGAAGGCCTGACGGTGACGGGCATGTCAGGCGAAAAAAGCGCAACTACATCTGAGTCTCTCTCGCTCGATGGAAGGAGGGAGAAGAAAAAAAAAACTCCCACAGGGGGTTTAAAGGGCGCAGAGAAAGGCAACCGGTTCTGTTTTTGATACGTAGTGAGCGGCGGCGCATCGGCTGAAACTACGGGGATGGCATCGAAGGGTTCCCCTTCACGCGCACACCCGAACCCGCACCCGCTTCTCGCTCCCTCTAACCTCTGTGCGCCGTCGTGAGGACAGAGCCAGATTAGGCAGCCGGTGGGAAGAGAGCACAATCAGGGCCAGGGACGGATAATTGGCCCACCTGGCGATGCCAAGCGCGGCCTAAGCCGTGTGCGGTGACCGAGACACCATGTAGGCTACGCTGCAAACGGTACAGATTTGCCGCGGCAGTGCCCTCAGAGCGCCACTCAGACCCTTTCTCTGCCTCCCTCCTCGATCTTCCCTGTGCGCCTGGTGGTCTTAGGTCTCGTCGAATGATGGGTCACCGAGGCAAGCCGGCGTCCATCTTCCACAGATCCGGGAAGGCGAGAAATCCAAGAGAGGAGGCGTGAGAGAGAGAGAAGGAGAGGGCGAGAAGAGGGAGGAAAACAAGGACGGAGGAGGGGGGCGACGGGGGCGACGATATTGCGCTCGGTAAAAAGAATTCCAGCCTGTCGTTTCTGATTCGTCACCGTTAAGGTGCTCCCTGGCGAGACGATGATGGCGATGGGGCGACGGACTGAACGGAGTGGGCGACTTACGAGGGCCCCGGGGCGCAGCTAGTCACGGAGCTGACCGTCGTCGACCCCGATCACGTACCTGTGTAAACTAGGTTAGGTAGGCGATTATTCGGCTTCCCGACGCGGCCTCGCCATCGTAATCTACGAGAAGACCTCTTCGAGAAGAGCCCCGAGGGGTTATTCCCGGCAGGGTATTGCAATTCGCTGAACACAGCCATAGCATATGAATAGTTAGCGATTGTTCATGTACACGGGATGGTCCTGTGGGCCAGCGGCCCCGTCGTCGATGAAGGATTTTCGGTCTGCCTAGCACAGCGACGAGTCTGCAACGTTTCGCCCAGGAACGCGTCTACGTCCATTGCAAATCCCGCCGGTAGACCCGCCACGTGTTGTACCGGCCTAGGAATTTGGCACCCTCTATTCCCGAGGGACAACCCCATAGCCCGGCCGCGAGTCTGGTATGGGAGCGATCCAGTGGCCCAAACTTCCCAGAGCAGGCCCCGAGGCCAATTTGCGATGCGTCGTGCCGCCTCTAGACCTACTCGGGACGCGCGAAGTCGGCCCAGCTTTTCTATAAGGATCGGAATGGAGATCGACTTGGCCGAATCCACTGTCTCTCTATGTGCTATGAGAGAAACGGGTGGGGAAAAGGAGATGAGTCGTTACGGGGGAAACAAGTCCGTCCTCGGTATCCAAGTAACCCGCCGGCCGAAACTCGTAGGGGTCGTCCGTCTAGCCACGGCACACGCGTCAGATGCGAGCAGAATAGATCGCCTGAGCATCCGAGTATCATTCACCCACCCACGCTGCCGTTTGGTTGAGTAAGATCAGCGGAGATCGACGCATGCATAGTTGATGTCCGGTCACACGAGAGTAATCCGGAGAGGTAGTAGTACTAAGACTACGTGTCTTCCTATAGGTCTGTTGAGCTTACCTTGGCCCTTTCGTCGAAGTGGTGGGTAACGGGCGTATCTGCACCCGCTTCCCGTTGCCCCCCACGGAATACTTACCTGGATCTATCGGCCAAGGAAGCGAGAGGGAGAGGAGGAATCCGTGGCGTAGGCCCAACGCCAACTACGATGAGACGATCTTGGTGATGTGATGGCATTGGCCCAAGAGACGGCGTGTTGTGGTGGGATGACAGGACGAAGTGCTTGCAGGATGAGGATGCACATAAGGCTGGAGAAAAGGGCCCACTGGGAGGGTAGCCGACTCGTCACCGCTCGGTGATGCAGTCCCGTTGCGGACCTCGGTGTACATATGTCCATCGTAGCGGGTCATGCTAGCCAGCGCTACACATCCACAACATCACGACAGACCGACATCGCCCCCCCCCCCCTTCTCCGAAAGGCGCGGTTGGGAGTGTCGTGTATGACGGTAATCTTCGTGGGCCAGGCCTCCCCTGCACCCCCGTTGCTCGCTTGCATGTGCCTCCTTATAAGACGGGCCTCGAGACTCCTCCCGCCAAATCTGCCTATACCCTGACGTCCTCCCGTTATGCGAGAGTTGAAATGTAGCATACGACGCTCTCCTAAGTGACAAGTAGTCTCTCGGTGCACATAGTACGCCTTCCCCGTGCCTTACTCCACTAGACGATACGACCCTCGGCGGGCTCAATTCTGTATCTGGATCGGCAGTGTAAAGGGGGTATATATATGCGTATACCTATTGGCTGACGACGCTACTATAAGAGTGGTTTTTTTCTTAGTCGAGACCTGATTAGATGCCATTCCACTTTCCGAACTTCGTATAATCCGCAAACATCTGCCTGAATATAGCGCGTCCGTTCGCACCCAGCGACTCGTTCAACACCCTCCTGCATCCCTGGGGTGTGATGTCGAGGATGGAGTAGACGCCCGGCTCGAGGGCCTTCCTTATGCCCCGAGGGACACTCACCTCCAGCTGCAGTTTTATGTACAGCTGTAGAACGATGAACATGTCCTGGCCTGCAACCCGCTTCGCTACGTCAATGGCCGACTCTAGCTCGCTTGACCGCGAGCGGGCCACCGATGCTGCGCTCGGCTCGCATACCAGTGTGACGAGACGGGCGAATCGTTCTGCGTGCCTCGGTTGTAGGCGCGATTCCAACCACGGCGGGCGTCTATCCAACGACGCCGTGTTTGCCGAGGAGGAATGGGGGTCCATGAGGAGCGTGCTAAGCAGCGCCCGCAATCCTGCGATGAGGATCGGGAAATGGCCGCCGAGCCGAAGCCGGTGGCGCTTAAGCACGACGGCTACAATCCTGTAGAGCTTGTCGTAGATGTCACCTGCTACCCTAGGACCTTGGATATTGGGGCCTGTCTGTGAGCATGTCTTGACGACACTGCCAATGGTTGCATCAATGTTGAACTGGGTCATCAGGTTGGCGTGTTTATCAAGCAGTATCACTATAATGTCCGCCAACTGTTTGAAATGGCGGAGGGATTCGGCTTCGCTCAGTAGAGAGGCAAGCCTCTCGTGCACAGTACCGAGATCAGGGACATATTGGCTCCCACCATCAGGCAACGAGGCGCCGTAACCTAAATTCGTCAATGAGATGTGATCTCCGGGAACAGGAATCCTTTAGTTACTCACCCTGATGTTCAACAAGCCTTCTCACAGCCAACAAGGGCCCGATAGGCCCCTTGGTCAGCTTGTTGCTACCAACCAATTCGCCGAGCAATTGGTCTTTAGCAGCGCGATCTCTAGTTCGGATGAAGGAGTCCACTAGGTCGTACACCAAATTCTCGTCGATCGCCCGGGATGCTTGATCCAGCTGTGTTAATAGAGACTCCATGTCATACCGATCTGGGTGATTCCTCAACAGGAAACCCCGCAGTTTCCAACCAAGCTCGACGCCCCTCGACACACACGATGTGCTGATGTCCTCTAATTGGAGGATTATCTGCTCTGGGAGCTCGATCAGGATTTCTCTGCGGTCTTCAGCAAGGCATGCAGCGCCGCTGAGTGCTGCGGAGATCTCGAGCAGGCGTGATTCAGTTTCCGCGACTTCTTCTACTGGTTTGCCTTTAGATGCGAGCCTAGTCAGGTTTTCTTGTACCAAGTGTCCCAACTTCTGTGAGATCTCGTCGACAGTAACGACGGAACGATATGGATTATTTGGCGACGAGCTATGCAGCGCTGAGAGTAGGGCCTTTACCAAAAGCAGGTGAGCAATTTGGTGATTCTCCCCCTCCAACTTGAGGTCCTTCACATATTTCGAGGCATCTCTGAGATATGTCTGTGAAGGACCTTCGACGCCAGTGACCATTTGTCTGAAGCACTGTTAGGTTCTGGGAAAGACCCGAGAGGCGATTATACGCATAGCTAGCGGCTTACCTTAACGTCAAGTCGATAAGCTTTTCAACCAAGGCGTGGATGAGCCTGTTTTGTGTGGCCATGGCCGAGGAGATGTAAATGAGGTCGTCGAACGCCATACCCTAATGGCCTAGTCAGCATTGGCTGTAGAAATGCCGAATAGAAGCGACTTGCATCATAAAATGTCGGCTGTTTCATTACTTGGATCATCAACCGCAGCACAGCTACTGCAAACTGCTCGTCTTTCGATGCACGAGATGCGATTTCCGATCTCCACTTCTTCAACGAAGACATGACACGCTTGCGGCGTGCTTTCGTCCACGCTTCGCGCGGAAATTCTAGAAGGACCATGAGCAGCGAGAGGCTCCGCGGCTGCGTCCACCCAGGTTGAGCCTCCGCGCCATCAAGATCGTTGAGGGGGTGTGATATGAGAGCATCTAGCAATGACTCGTCGTCCTCAAAATCATAATTGTGCAAGAGTGACCGCAGAGGAGTGCTCAACTTCAAGTCACTTTCGATCGAGAATTGCCGCTCGACAAAAAGGAACAGATCAACGATCAGATTCCTGAGACCGTCGTCTTCTCGTTTTGAGAGTTCAGTGAGTTTCGGCAAGTAACGAAAAACGTAATCTACGTAAGGTCGTAATGTAGAGAAATCAGGTTGGGCCTTCGTCGCAGAAACGAGTCTCTCAAGAAACAAACTTGTCAGCTTGGCCAGGCGCGATTCGTATCCGCCCCCAGGGTGGTTAGCAAGCCAGAGTTTGTGACAGCAGCTGAAGGCTTCGAAAGTGGCGGGTTCAGTCAATGCTCCTTTCTTCAGGATGCGTTTAAGGGGCGATTTTAATTCTACCCAAAGTCGGTCGACCTCGTCGGATGTTTCCCAGGCGGCCATCCGGCCGGCAATGCGCCACCTCAAGGATACAACCGGGGACGGAAGTTTCTTGTAGCCCCTGTCGTTGCAGACGACAGAAAACATCTGCGAATCAGCATGGTTGACGAATTCCTCTCCGGCAATTCCGGCGGAAATCCCGTCGAAAATGATTAAGAGGGCCCCAATATCCGCATCCGATGAGTTGATGCTCTCCAAGACACGTAGCAACTGCGTGCCCGTTAAGGAGCTTTCGAGGATGCTAGCAAGCTGTTCTCGGATTCTCGGGTCGAACCATGTTGATTGATCCAACGAATCTTTGGCCCTCTTACAGAGACAATTGTGCCATTTCTGGATGAAGCCTGACAGGTTTCTGGCCTTTGCGAAAGCGTCTTGCAAAGGAAGTATGGCTTTGGACACTATGTTCTCTCTGAGGAGGAGACCACTATTTCCGGGATCGAGCCTACTAAAAAGATCTTTCATTAGGGCGTCATCCATAAGGAACACGTCAGCATCACAAGCAACGATTTTGGAAATTAGGTCCCAATCGATTCCGTGAGTTGAAAGTACGTGTTCCCGGCATACCCTACGGAGAATCTCCGTGTTGGGAACGGCGTTGGTCCGCATTGCTATATCCAGCAGCTGGGCGACGATTATGTTCCGATCTAGGGATATCATGTGCTTTACGGCATCAAGCAAGGTTTCAAAAACAGTTTGGGTCCATGAAGAGTGCTCTGCTTTGGACTTTGGATCACTCGAATCCTTAGGGGTTCTCGCCGCCACCTCCCATATAACGATAGCCGAGCCGCCTATATTCCTCTTTGACGCCTCTAGTGCTTCCCTCACTGCTTCGACGGTCTTGTCGGTAGAAAACATGCGCCTCGCAGGGCGGATGAAGTAGGCACCGATGAGCTGTCCCAGCTGTCGGATCCAGAGGGCCTTCACGGTATCATCACCGGCCTGCACAGGCGCCACCCCGGTGATGCCGCGTAGTCTCGTTAAAATCGAACATGCTGGCCAGTATATGTGATTGGCAAATTCAACACAGTCGTAATTACTGTGAAGGCGAAAGCTCCATAGGGTAGTGATAGTTCTGATCCACGATTCTTGATCTTGGCAAATGCCTGCTTCCAGCACACTTAGTGAGCGGTCGCAAGTCAGGAGCAGCTTGGCGGCGATATCCTTGGTCTCTTGACTGGAGGAAGAGAAGAGCGATTTGATATGCTCAGCACCGATCCTCCGTTCTAAAGCGCTGGATTCCGTGTGCTGGCCTCCTTGGGTAAAGAGGCAATTCAGCGCCGCGAACAGCGCAGTCGCTGACTTCATACAGCCTTGCGGAGTGCGGAGATCGTCAATGTCGGAAGGAATACCATCGTCTCTTTTCCTCTTCCTCGTTTGCGGGGTGTCGTTGTCGCCGTCTACGGTAGCTTCGTCTGTCCGGCCTAGTCCCTTACGAGAAGCGGTCGTAATGTCGGCTATGACTCGCTGCAGGACGGAGACGAATCGGAGGTACGAGAGGGACCTGCCCAGTGCTTGCGGCGGGATCTTGGGGAAGACGTGGCTTAAGATGGTCCAGGTGAGAGGGTAGCGTCGAACGTGCTCAGCGCGGTCGGCATCGCCGCTCATCTGGTGGAACAGCCATCGCAATATACTCTCTTCGACGCCGTGGAGTCTCGTTTTCTTGGTGGCTGAGAGCAGCAACCAAAGCTGGTGGATTTTGTCGGGTATGGGAATGGTAGAGTCCTCGTCGAGGGATCTCACAGCTCTTATAAGAGTAAGCCGCCGCCACTAGACCAGAGAGTGGATTGGTTAGTATTTGCATGCGATCCTGACACATTCGATGATGCATCCAGAAAGGTTGTGGGAGGGAGCAATATACATGGCCATCGCTGACGCCCTCGTCGCTATCCCCCACCATTGTTGGAATTGGACAATCGTTGGCATGGGCGGGTGGCTCACACTCGAAAAAAGGGAAGAGGGAGAGACGAAGGGCCCCATCTAGCACCTACCGCGGGTAGGTAGATGCGATATTCACTTCTTGTGTGGTTACGAACTTTTATTTTTTTATTTTTTTTTAATCCGCCAAGAGACACCACGTTAAATTCTGCCGTCTGCGCTAACCCGAAGCTATCTTAGAAAACTCACCGCCTTCGGATCCTTGACAAATTGATCGCGGGTATCTTTTTTTTTTCCTCGATTTTAATATACGGACAATGATGTACATTTGCAGGTACCTTATGTATCCCTACCCAAAGGTACCTACCAAGATATCCATCTATGCGAATTCCATCCGGGACGGGTTGGCTGATCGTTTTGCCCTCGTGCCGAGAAGAACATTTACGATCCTTTACCTCGCCTACCTCACACTCGTTCTTTAGGTATTCTTTCTCACAGACCCGAGACGGCGACGACACAATTCCGCCGCAACCTCCTCCTCGCAAGAAAAGCAATAGCTGCTAGCCCGCAAGCTGTGAATGTCCCAAGCCTCGCCTTTTCTTGTTCCTGTCCATTTCGCCCAAACTGGGACTAATTGGCCAGGTACACCGAAGGAGTCCTGCTCGTCGCCATGCCAGAACCGACGTCCGTTCCCGCGCCGCCCGTCACGGTCTCGAGGCCCGTGAGCGAAGCGCTCCTAAACGAAAAGGTATATATATCTATAGATATTATCATATGCCGCCCAGCGCCGATCCTCCGCGGGCCTGTTGTCTTGCGCATTTCGCCCCTCGGAAATCCCGTGCCTGGTTTTGCTGAATGTACGCACAGTGGGACCGCTGCATCTCGAACATGCTCATAAAATCCACCGTCGGCCTCGGGTTCGGCATCGTCTTCTCCGTTCTCCTGTTCCGCCGGAGGGCGTGGCCCGCATTCGTCGGCGTCGGTTTCGGTGCTGGCAGAGCCTACGAAGAATGCAACTGGAGCCTGAAGCAGGCCTCGCAGGAGCTCAAGAGGAAGGCGTGAAGTTTTCCGCGGACGAGAAAGGGGGGCGAAGGTGGCGGATCTACCTGCTTCGGCCAAAGGGTAGGAAGGGGAGAGGAAAAAAAAGAATGAGGGGGGAGATACTGTTCGCGAGCAACAGCATACATATAAATGTATAATAGAAGACAGGACGGATAGACGGCTACCCTGAGACGTGGGTAATTGGAATTGCGATTTCCAGTTTTCTCTTACATGCAAAAGGGGAAACAGGGGAAGATAAAATTATATAAAGCCAGCACCACGGGTTGGACTCCGCGGAATTGTTGTGTGTATATAACCAAACACTCTCATAAGCAGGGGAGGGAGGAGGGAGGAAACCCCTCGACTAACGAGCAAGCCCAGTACCTAGAAAACTATCACCAGAAAACATCATCTCCGATCTCCCAAGCACCCCAGAATTCCTGCGCTCAAACCCCACTGACACGCCCTATTCTAGCTCATAGCCCAACTCGATGCCGCTACCACCCAGAGGAAATCCTCACGTAGCCTTCGGCGCCTGCCGTAGCTACAGCAGTCGCATCACCATACAGAGCGAAAGCAGACCCGCAAACAACACCGCCGCGTCTAGGGTGTCGGACACGGTGGGCCGCGGTGCAGGGTGCTGGCTGGTGGACGGCGCTGCTTCTTGTGCCCCCATCACCGCCGCTAGCTCCCACGGCGGGAGGTCGTGCAGATATAGCACGGGGCCGCCGTCGTTGTTTCGGGGAGGGGCCGCCCTGGCAGTGCCCGTGGCGTGCGCGTACTGCAGATAACGGGGAGGGTAGTACCGGATCACCATAGCCTCGTCGGTCACGCTGCTCCTGCTGCTTCTATCCTACGGGGGAAAGTGGTCGAATAATTTTGTGCCGGGGGGAAGGGAAGCTTGATAGGAGTTCTTGGTAGAGCCTGTTCTAGTGGAGTCTGTGCCTGTAGAGTTTGTGCCGGCGGGCATGGGTCGCGTTTGCGAGATATCGTTCTGGTTAGGTCGAGGAGAGCTACCGCGTGAACAGTCTTGTGTGCGCAAAGGAGGACCAGTTTAATAATGTGCGAGGGCGAAGGGGAATGGAGGTGGAACGGATGGGAATTGCTAGCTCGCACAGAACCCGGCGCTTTGGCTGTAGATGAATAGACAACTTAATTATGTGATCAAAGTTGACGCAAGTATAATAAGCTACCCAGCTCAGCTTTTGGGCGTCGCGCTCACGTTTTGATTTACGAACTTAACCCAGCCGCTACCGTGGACGGCTGTCCGAAGGGGATGGGGATAGGAATTACCCCGAGCCCTTCGCGAATTGACAGTGCGTCTTCCGTTTAGGTCTTTCGCTTCTTCTTGACATGCTTATCCATCGGTCCCTCCTTAACCACTGGATTCCGAGCTTTTTTGTGCCGAATGCCATCCTCGGTCCCGTCTCCATGATCACCGACGTCGTCCGCATGCTCTCCATCGGCGTCACCAGCATCGAGGCCTTCCATTTCCGTCTCGCCCGCTCTCTCGAACAGTTCTTTCCACGTCCCGTCCTCGACCCTTTCGTCATCCCCGTACAGCCCGATGGAGTATGCCCTCTTCATCGCGGCGAGGCATGCCCTCCTCCTCTCCCCGAAGTCGAACATCGGGGATGGGTAGACCCCGTCCCGCTTCTCTCGTAACCCGTCACCTTCGACCCTTACGCCGGCCTTGTCAAGAACAGCTTGATTGGCCGTCCACGGCTCATAAATAAATTTCTCATCTAGGTCCTTCAGTTCCGGCACCCACCTCCTGATGAATTCGCCTGTCTTGTCCCACTTCTGCCCGAAGGCGACAGGGCTGTAGCAGCGGTAGTACTGCGAATAGAACGCAGTGCAACTCAACCACTGCCAGTTTCCGGCATTGCAGGCCGGCTCATGATCGAGTAAGAATTCCTCAAAAACGTCGGCTCCGCGCTCCCAGTGTACATAGCATCCGCCTCTGGTGAGGAAACAAGCTACCATGTGGCGGCCCAAGTGATGGATCCAGCCCTCCGCGCGCAACTGGCGCATCAGAGCATCGACGAATGGAAATCCCGTCACACCGGCCTTCCAGCGCTGGAACCACCTATCCGCCTGCGGCGAATCGACATGGTATCTGCCGGCAATTGTGTTGTTGGCTAGGCCCGTGGGCTCTACCTTTGATGGCAGATGCCAGGGGATAAAGCGGCAATGTCCGTTACCGAGAGTCTGGGCTACAATAGACCGTGTTAATGAAAAATGGACACGGTTCGAATCTCAGCTAGAACGAGCACAAATCCAAGACCGGTGGTCCTAAACAAAAAGCTAAGGGGGCACTGGATGACTCGGAAGCATTCTCACCAAAAGAGGGGCCGATAGCAGCCTGTGCGGCAAAATACATGTCTCGGAATAGCAGCTGCCCCGTTAGACTTTCTGGTGGTGTCGACGCTCCCTCGCCGTACTTTTCCACTAGGTCTTGCGCATGCCAGTAGAAGAGGCGGGGTGAGAGGGCGCCGAAATGCAGAAACGGGGATAGCAAGGTCGTCGACTGGGGTTCAAAGGCCGCCGGGCTAGTCTTGGGTTTCTGGAAAGTGGCGGCGTACTTCTCATCCGAGAAGATCTCCTGCAGCCTCTCGAGGGCGATGGTCTCGCCGCCGCGGTGCGGAGTGGTGGCTGACACTGAAAACCCAAGCTCCTCGAGAGATGCGACAGCGAATTTCCCGGCGGGTCCTGCAATATGAGAATAGCACTCGTCCGGTGTGCTCCGATACGGAGCATTGATATCCGGGCTGGCCCCGGGCTTATCCTGTCCGAAGCTGACGGGCATCTCTCCCGGGTCCGGCAGATGCCGAGGTGCGGGTATGGGCCTGGGTATCCCCCCAATTTTCCGCCCGGCAGCTTGCAGTTGAGTGATGGACATGGTTGGCTTGCCTCCGTTCTTAGCAACAAGCTCGTCGCTATCCCAGAGAGTGCGCCCATATCGGGTGATAACTTGGACGCCAGCTTCTTCCGCCGACGCTACTACAGCGCTGTCCCTTTCCCGAGCGTAGACGTCCGTGTCCTTCTCGAAGACGAGGTGCGTCACGTTCCAGGCTTTGAAGATCTTGGGGAAGAGCGTCTGCGGAGCTTCGCGCAGCACAAAAAGTTTCGACTTGGGGTTGAGCTTCTGTATGGACCGCGACAGATCTGCCTGGCAGTCGAGCCTTATTCACGTCAGCGATCTGCCCTCGCGGGCCAGCCGGGCCAGGGCCAGGTCTCACAGATACTGCCACCTGTTTACCCCCCCTTTCACCCGGTAGACATAGTGAGGATCCCACGTGAAGATGGGCCACAGAGCATCCGGGTGCAAGTCGAGAGCTGCTTTTAAGGCGGGGGAATCATGGAGTCGCAAATCCGTTCGGAACCAGTAGATAACCCGATTCCCCATTTTCCGAGGCTGCGGCGAGCTGGATGCTGGTGAGCTTATCGGTTTCCGTTGTTCGTTACACGTGTCGCGAGAGACGATGGCACTATGCAGCTTTAGCTGTAATTCTGCTATCGACGTGATGGGATGACTACGACGTCTCTGGGCCCAGTCGAGTCCATGATGTCAGTATCTCAGCCACAGCCGTTTTTGGTCCGAGCCGACGCCGAGGTTGAAAGGCCCTTGCCACCTAGTTGGGCTTCGTGTTCTTCCCATCATGCGGAGTTGCGGGCAAACTGTCTCACGACGAAGGGCTGGTGCGATTATCGGGTTGGTCGGCGTTTCCAGCTTTTCCTACCGGGGCGCGGAAGTGAAGACACAGCACGCCGTCGTTGTTTTGGCCCTGCCGCCCCTCTGTGTGGAAGAGACGGGTGACCATTGGTATGATGCTGTGCGAGACATATTTCATCTTTTAGGTGTTCTGGGTCGGGACGTGGATGCCATTCGGTAGGTATATTGGGACGATTAGCTGCAGGTCGCTGGACTCGAGGTCGTGTATCCGGGTACCTACACTTTGGTTGACCTCAAGATACGGCACATTAGGAGGTACCTCCTGCGTCGACCTATTTCGCGGCTGTTCTAAATTAGGTACATGCTACGTAGTACTGCTGCGTACACCAGGCAGGCAAAGTGATTGGATTAGGAGGAGGTTAGACCATAGGCATCAATTCCACGAAAATCGCGGCTTGATCCAGCCCACCGGTCCCAATTCTTCTAGCAGTGTAATATTGCCTACTTAAACACCTGGACATTGAATATGGAGCAGCCCAGGAACTTTCCTCCAATCCTTTGGGACCCATGTATCTGGTGTGGTCCAAGCTCGGCGCTAGTGCAAGGTACCGAAGCGGCCGGGTTACCTATACGGCTAGCATGAGCTGCGCGGCAGGGGCACCCACCAGCCCGTACCGAACGCGCTGAAGGTACAAACACGTTGGCGGCGGCGATAACCTTAGGTGCCCTAATCTTTGGTATCATAGCCCCGAGATTCAACTTCTAGATTGTCGGCACACATATGGGCACGCGCATACCCAAACGAGACATGCATGCCTTGGACACCACGCGAATGCATACACGGATCCGATCCAAATTCGAACGCGGCTCCAACAGAGGCGGACGGCGTCGTGGAACACCCGTTGGTAAGCGGGCAATCTACCTAACCCAGACACATAACATTCATGTTGGGGCTGGTCTCCTCGCGAGAGCGTATTTCTATAGACGCTATATGTTAGTATCGGAGGAACTAAAAGGACGCCGCGACAGAGCTTATAGGCGGACACCTATGAAACCTCGTAATGAGGGAAGCAGGCTGGTAATTTCCTTGGAATGGGGAAGAGAAACACTCAATGCCTGCCTGCCTGGCATTGGCGACAAGTCTAGAACATATATGAGTATACACGACGTAGTAGTATTGGAATATCCATAGATGTGGACATGTACGGCGATTGATGGTTGACTTACATGCCAATATTACATAATGCACCCTGTTATGCATACATGTACATGTCTCTTACCTTTGGTTTCATTGGCACCGTGTTCCGTCCACCATGACGATGGAGCAGGACATGATATCGAGTTGAGTTCGCTGGCTGCTTTGCGCGATCATGTGCGTTGCTTCCCCCCTCTCCCCCAAGGTATCTATGAGTTGTTATTATTATTATTATCTTGGTTTTGTTTCTATCTCAATATGTATAACCTACCTCGCACGTTATATAGGTACACATGCACATCGACAATCGGTACCTAACCTCTCGCAGAATGGCCCCACCTATTCCCGCCGGCCCATTAGGTACCTAGTGTAATACAGCATCTCTGTCCGCGGGCGTAGATGTGCACCCGGCCTAGGTAATAATACAATGGCGGGTTGCATATAAGTAGTACAGTACCGTATAAGGTAGTTAGGTAGTCAATTGCAGGTGGTAGGCAGAGGGAGGGCAGAGGTTACCTCTGGGTAGGTCGTTTCGAACGTAGGCGTCTAAAGGATGCGGGACGTTACCTTGCCTTCGGACCGGAATGCGATTATTGCTGCTGCTGCTGCTCATGCTGTCTCGCCTCTCTGCTCATACATGCATTGCTATGACGACATTGAGCCCAACCCAAGGTTGGATTCCGCCGGCGCGATCTCGAGGATGATGTGGCAGAGCGTCTATGGTGTGATGTATACTGCTGCGCGTAAGGAAAGGGGCTGGGAACTGGTCAACCACCTCCCGCCCATTGCCAGGCAGCACTGGAAGATGCATGTACGGACGTGACTCGTGCATATATCGATGCCCGCGCCGCCTGGGTTTAGGGTTCTACCCACGAATTCCCGCCACCAACCTTAGTTATAGGAGGCGGGTGCCTCAGTGCCTTGGAGAGGTACTGGATATGACAGGGCGGTAGGCCGAGAGAGGCGAAGGGGGTTAGGAGGTACCGTAGGTGGTACCTATGGAGGATAGGCAGGTCACCGAATCACCCAGGTATCGATACCTACTATGACCGCCGTGTTGCCGCCCACGTCCTATGAGGTAAGTACTGTGTAGTAAAGGTATATAGGTAGTAGATTAGGTAGGTACACACTCAGATATGTCGGGAGAAACATGCACGTAGCAAGCACCTACATATCTAGGTACCTACCTACCTAGGTAGGTATAGGAGGTACCTAATATAGGTACCTAACCTCCTAACCGCATTTCCCAAAGTTTGTATTGTGTACGGCAGGTACCTTATTGTTGTGCTGTGTCACGGCCTCTGCTAACAGGTAGGCCGATAATAGCTACTACGTACCTACCTAGTTAATGCACGGATTAAGCCTATCACCCTTCTTCACCATCTACCATCTACACGCTCACTCACACACCCCCAATCCTCCCATCCTCCATCCATTTCCATTCCGCGACCCCTGCCCCGTCTTATGTTTCAAACCAAGCCCAATCCGACCGCAATCTACAGGGCCATCCTTTCGCATTCTTTGCGTTCTGTTCACTTCAGGGAAGCCCTTCCAGCTTGGGTGACCACATACATACCTACACAGTAATACACGTCTTATTTTTTCTTCCCTCAATCCCCCCACGAGAGCACATGGTTAGACCCGTCAATACACCTCGTCTTTATCTATGTCAGCCCCCGCGGTTAGTGGTTCCCGCTTTATTTCACCTTTGGTGCGACGGAGAGATTTTGCCCGAAGTCGACGATAGTTTCTGTCGCATGCCGATCGCCGACGAATTTGTCGACTTATAAATAAAGTTAGGCAGGCATTTCCCTGGTCCGTGGCCGAGCCGTCCCCCAAACCAAGCCGGCCAACCTTCTGCTGCCCCCTTGCGATAGCCTGGCGTGGACGAACAGGCTGAGGGCAAGGGACTAAGGACCGACCTAGGACAAGCCAGAAGGGCCGGAAAGAGGGTCACGCTTGGGGAGGAAGCAGAGGAGAGAGACGCAACGAACAGGAAGGGCGAGAGAGACAGAGAGAGAGAGAGACACTAATAGATGCAATAATAAAAACTCAAGGAGCGTTTAGGTAGTGCCGATTGATGTCCCGGGCGAGCAGACCGATATCGAAGTCAATTAGGACGGGTCCGCTGGGAATTTGATTCCACGGACTTCCCAGACAAAATAACGAAGTCGCCAAAATGACCAGGCCCCAGATGATCCGTGCTGGTAAGTGGGAAAGGAAGTCTGATCTACGTATTGTACACACAGTCCACCACCCTTTTTTCTCCCATGAGGACCGCAGGGGGATAAAAAAATTATTCCAACATACAATACTCGTCTGCTTATGAATTACTTGTGCTCTTTGCTAGTGCTAACATTTTTACCCCTTTGAATCAGACTCGATAGATCTCCAAGGTGACGACGCCCTCTCTGCCAAGGACCGCAAACTCGCCTCTTCGAAAGCAGCACCGAACGGATTACTTGCACCGCACCAGGCCGAGACACTTCGCGAGGTCGAGGAAGAACGGGCAGAAGAGGAAGCTCGCAGTCCGAGAGTCTCGTGGATCGATGGTAACAACGGCAGCGACTTGCAACAGTACGCCGCAGAACTCGCGAACGGCATTGCGAATTCCTTGAATGGCAATAAGATGCCGTCTGAGGATGCGCTCGCGATCGCGCAGAATGGAGGAGTCATCAACGCCGCCCCCGACGATGGAGATATGGACGGCGATACCAACGACGACATAGATGATGACATGGACAAGATATCGAGCTCTCCTTCAATTGAAGATGGTGGGTGCACCCTCCCGCGCGTGTGGCCGAAGCGCGTCGGTTCTCTACATCCTTTCTCCCTCCCTCGCAACCCTACAAGATTCCTGGTGCTCGGCAGGCCGAGATCTCCCTCACCGTATCTCGAACCTACCGAATACCTACCTCTACAACCCTCAGACCGGCAGGCAAGCAAGGCTTCCGCCGGTAGCCCCCGTTCTCGTCGTCTTCTTCCTGGTGAGTATGCCGGATCGGTCAACTACGAGAACTACGGAAGCCACCGCGGCGTTCGGGCGGACTATACCAACAAACCAGAACAACCAGCATCGCTCGGTACCGAGTCGGACATGTAGGGAATGGCTTATCGGACACACTGGTGCAAGGGGCGAAACAGCATACCGAATGCGAGGACGAGCCACGAGTGCGGACTTATGAAGCCCAATCCAGACTAGAGGACGCTCTCCTGCATGTCCTATCGGGCACACGACTAGTCGGACCCAGCTTAGACGAAGGAGGCATCCGCCCCCTTTACAATTCAGCAACACCCCTCAGGGCCGTGGAACGGGGAGGAGAAGAAGACGAAGAAGACCCCAATGACAATGACATCGGCGGTATTTCCTTATATCCGTGCACGAGACCCGTTGGTGTCGGTTGGGGCTATGAATGCTTACAAAATCTAGAGGACATCGATTTCGAGTTCGTTTACGCCCTCCATACCTTCGTCGCTACGGTCGAGGGCCAAGCCAATGCCTCGAAAGGCGATACGATGGTGCTTCTCGACGACAGTAACAGTTACTGGTGGCTTGTCAGAGTGGTGAAGGATAGCAGCATAGGTATGGATCCTATGCGCGACCGGAAAGTCATGCTCATGGCTCACATCTTGGTTGGCAGGATACTTGCCTGCAGAACACATCGAGACACCTACCGAAAGGCTGGCGCGTCTTAACAAGCACAGGAATATTGACGTATGCAGTCATTCCCCCGCGGGAAACAAGACCTAAATTCTGACGGTGAAGTAGTTATCCATGACGATGCTCGGCGATCAGGCAGAGAAGGCTAAAACCCCTCTCATAACCGCTATAAAGAGGAGGAAAATGAAGACTGTCGCCTTCGCGGCCCCGACTTACGTGGATTATTCCGATTATTCTTCCGACGAGGAGGATGAAGACGGCGACGGCGACGGCGACAGCGAACTCGACGGCGACAAGTCATCTCAACAGCAGGGCGCGCAACAAAAGGCCCAGCAGCAGCAGACGTCATCTCAGCAAGTTGATGCCGTAGAAGACGAATCTGCGAAGGTGGAGCCTCTCAGGCCCCGAAGCCAACAGAAACAGACGAAGGCTGAATCTGTCAAGGCCGAGGATGGAGGGAAAGCAGAGTCAACTGCACAGGGCGAACCCCGCAGGAATAGCGACGAATTGTTCGATGGAAAGGCTGAGAGGACCACGAGAAATGGTACCGTCAGAAATACGGACTCTTTCTTCAAGGACGAGACGATAGAGACCAAAAAGATTACGCTAACTCCCGGTCTGCTCCGGGATGACAATGAACCACGAATGTCGAGCGACTCGAAGGAATTCCAGCTACGGCAACGGCCCAGCCTAGAGAAAGAGCTTAGTCCCGACAAGAACAAGGACGACAAGAAGAAGAAAGACAAGGATAAGAAAGACAAGGAGAAAAAGCCAAGCGCTATTCGGAGTTTCTTCTCGCGGAAAGATAGGAAGAAGTCTGTCGAGGAAGAAGACGAGTCGTCCAGCAAGAGGTCTTTGGACAGCAATACTGACATGCCGGAGAAGGACGCAGAGGAGCCGCACGCCGCCGACGCAGATGCATCGCCTGAGAGGGCGGTGGGTCCGCAGCGGAACCCGAGCAAGCTTCAGAAACACCAACCCGCTAGGGGCGACCCCTCTCCGACCCGCAAATCGGCCTCTTCGGCGCTGCAGACAGAAGGCTCGGAACGCGGTCCCATATTAGGTCCCGAAGTCAGAACTAACAACGTAGCGAATGTGCCGCCGGCGACCCTCAGAATGGTGGAGTCCGACCAGCTCGCAAGCAAGGATCGGACGCCGCCGAAGGACGAGAAAGCGAACCCTAAGCCAGTCGTCTCTCGGGAAGGTAGGCCACAGAAGGTTACGAAGGCGAAGTCGCGAGTTGAGCTTGACGACTTCGACTCGCCCGACGAAGGAGAAATCGGTCCCGTCGCAGCTGGTAAACCGCAGCCGTCCGAGGAGAGAGAGCCGCGGTACAACCCGCCGGGAGCACAGCCAGACAGTTACGCCAGCGCTCAAACCCCCGCATCCGAGCCGGCCGATCAAGCGGCCAAGGCCCAACGACCGGAGGAGGAGCGTCTGTCGGAATCGCCGGTTCAGGTATCGCCCATTACTTCCTCAAATCCGCCCGCTCTCGTGGGAGATACTTCCAGCCAGGATGACCGCTCGTCGCCGGTATCGTCGCCATCGCCAGAGCTGGTGGGTGCCAACGGCCGGACGCACGGAAAACAGGATTCGTTGGCGACGTCGACGTCGACGGCGACCACGTCGACCTGGAACGACACCAGCCTCCGCGCCTTCTTCGACTCGGGTTCCGATATCCGTGACTTGCTAGTGATTGTTTACGATAAGAGCGACGTCCCACCTGCCGGGCCGGATCATCCCGTCGCGGGATCGCTGTTCCGGGAACAGAACGCGAAGCTGGCCGAGATTACGACGGTAAGTTTGGCCCGCCCACTCAACCGCCCCGCGGTGGCGCCGACTCGAGACGGCTAACACGTACGCAGCAACTGGACAACTTGCTCGGGGATTGGCTGGCCCGGAAGCAACGCCTTCGAGGCACAGTATAATCTCGATTTTTTCTTCGTTTCGTCCCTCGCATGGAAAACGGCGTTCCTCCTCGAATCTATGCCCATTGTATAGTCTGCGACTTGTTCGTTATGACCCCCTTTCCCCCCCACGATTTCTTCCCTCTAGGGAATCCTCCGAGGGGGTTTTTTTTCCGGCCCCGAGAGTTCACAATGGTGCGGCGCACGGAGTCGGGGATGAGTTGAGTCCGCATATTGGTGGTTAAGGGAGAGAGAAAGAGAAAGAGAAGATAGTCAACATACCCTGGAATCCTACCGTCTGCTTTTACCCCTCTCTTTTTTTTCTTTTTTTTTGGCTCCCGGTCTCTTTTGTCTACCATGATCCCACGAGTATGCTACTACTGATCGATGACGAGGCTTCATCTCGGGCGGATGGAGGGCGGAGGGGCAGGTCGTAAAGCATCTCTCTCTCTCTCTCTTCTTTCTCTAGGCTTTCTCCCCACCCCTCTCCCAGACCCCTCGGCCTGGGTGGCCCCGGTGGTACGAGGCACGGAGGAGCCCGGATTCGCGCAATTGGCCCAGAAGCTGTAAAACTTGTTAGTTTTCGTATATAGCAACTGCGCTGTATATATGTATATCGGTTTTTTTTTATCACTCAATCACGTCTTTTCGTCCCTCCCTGGGACGCCCCCCGCGCCAGGTGGCGACGGCGCGGGCTGGAGCGCGACCTTCTCAGTCATTACCCCCTTTTGTCCTTCTCGCTCCTTTTCTTACCTTTTCGGCCCCGACCGCGGGGTGTCGAATCAGCTAATGCTACGCTTTTCAACCCGCCCTTGGCCGTAAATCTCGCGTCGATGATGATGATGATGATGATGGGCCCTATTATGTTCTCTTCCTCCGCATCCTCACCCCTCTCCCGTCAGAGCCGCGCAACCCGGCACCCCCAGCCCGCCACAGCGCAGGAAGGGCGGCAGGAAGGGGGGGGAAACTAAATAAATTGGAATCTGGACTGGAGTGCATGCAGCGAGTGGGCGCCGCGTTGCTTGGCGCGCAGATCGCGAGCGGGGGAGCGTATGGGTACACCCTCTCATGTGTCTATATATATAGGGCGCCATCGCCACTGCGGAGGCGGGCCGTAGGGCGGTAAAGGGGGGGGCCACATATGTGGGCAAAGCGGTGCGAGCGGGCGAATGCGGGTTCGACATTTCAGCGAGTATCTAGGTATATATATATATATCTAGGCGTGCCGGCCCAACTAAACGTACACGTATCTCTGAACATTCTCCCTCACTCTGCACGACGCCAGCCAGCCTCGGCACGCAATTCTTTACCGAGACAGCGCGGTTCCGGGGCGGGGGCGGGGGGCCAAGACAGCGTCGCAAAGGGACGCTTGCCGTGGCGCGGCTAGGCCGTGCCGATGACGTTCTTCTCCGGCACGGTGGCCAGCCTGCCCGTGCGCTCGTTCCGGATCTGGCGCCGGGGGGTGTCAGCGACCCGTTCGTTCGGGGGAACCGTTTCCCCCCCTTCTCTCTCTCGGCTTGCTGGGGTCGTAGTGGCGGACTCACCTCGTAGCGCGGCTGCTCCGCGCCGGCCCCCATGCGGCGACCCGCCTGGGCGCCCGGCTCGGCGAGCAGGCTGATGATCCGGCCCGTGCTCTTGGAGGTGCTTGCGTCCCGGCCTATGGGTGGGTGCGTGTGTGTGTCGGTCAGCGTGTGCTCGGATGATTATGCTGCTAGCAGAGAGGGGAGGGGGTGGAAGGGGGCAAGGGCAGCGGTGCAGGGTGTTGCAGGAGAGAGAAAGAGAGAGAGAGAGAGAGGAAGACGGTGGCCCGGTTCGCAACGTACCTCCGGCGGGCTTCCGGTACCAGACTATCTGCCCCGGCTGGTACTGCGGCATGGTGAGGATGTCGACCAGGTGCTGCGAGAGCGTCGGGTCTAGCGTGGCGACTAGCATGGAACTGAGTATGCTCACCATGATCTGAAGGTGTTCTGTATGGTCTGGCTGTCTGTATGTCTCTGGGCGAGTCCTATGGCGTGTTGGTGGTTTGGCTCGAGGTGCTATGCTATCCGAAGACAAAGCACCTATTCTCTTTGAACTTGGATTGGGGGGGGTTATATCACATACCTACCCGTGGGGGCGCTGGATGGGTAGGATGGCGCAAACGAAGAGACGAGAAAGGAGAGGCCATCGTGAGGTCACGATCAAAGGCTAAGGTAAGGCTGCTCGCCGTCATGCTGATCTCAAGGGCCCTCTCCAGGGTCTCGTGGCCATTTCTGCCAAAGCCAGAGAGGGAGATCCGCTACTGCATTGCTTGAGGGTGACGGTGCACAAGGTAAGCATGTACGTAAGCCAGGTGGCCCGCCGTAGCCATGATAGCCGTGACGACCCCTGATGATCTGGACGTCAAAACCACGATGGTCGGGTTTGGCGTCGAAGTTGAAGTTGCCCTGGAGCTGGATAGGGTTGACGTCGTCAGCCTTGGCGTCACATCGCTGCCACCGTTGCGTCACTGTGACCGTACTGATAAACAGGCAGACAAAGGGGTGTACCCATGTACTTAGACATTGGTATGCGTATATGCAGTATAGAGACTAGCAGACGGGCATATATCAATGCCTCGAGGCACCTCTATGTGCTACTAGAGGTGCGATGATACAGAAGGGAGGACACTCGAGTGGCTAGAGAGAAAGCAAAGCGTGATATCGTCAACGAAGGCAATTACAGCACTACGAAGAGCACCACGGTAACGGACCCGGTCAGCCCCTTAAGGTGCCTCGGTGTTGACTATAGCCATCGAGGGAAAGAATGGCAGTACACCCAAGTCCATGGGCATTGAACCCTACCCGATTTGAACGGATAACCTTTCGATGAGCTGAACCCGTTGGATTTCCCTAGCTGGAGTCGAACGCGCTACCGTTGCCGGGAGGGTCCTCAATTGGTGGATGCCCAAGCAAAACTACGGCCTATATATCCCGTTCTCTCCCACCTCTGGCACCCACATCCAGCCCTTCACCCCGTCCTACATACCTACCTCGACTGACCGCCTACCTACCATACAAACAGGAACGGCGCCGTAAGAGAGCAGGTAGAAATGAAGACATACCCGTGCGCAAGTCTCGGCAAAGAGGCCGGCAATCGCGTGATAAGTGCCTATGCCAGATTCCTACACTATGATACCTAACTTCTGCGTCTCCATCGTCACCACCAGCGGCCCCGGTGCCTCCGGGGGCCGGACTGCGCCTCGCTGCCCAATGTCATTTGCATGATTGAAGTTCCCAAGTAGGGGGCAGGGTCCATGGCGTTGAGATAGACGGTACCGACAACATGCTTACCGTTCCCAGACTGTCCTCTTCTGCAGGAAGGCTCCCCAGTTCGAGAGGTAGGCAGTAGATAGCAGTAGGAGCAGTGCCCGGCAGCAACCCCTCGACGACCAACCTGCTTCCCACTACCTTCGCATGTCCACGTACATGTGTCTATGTGCATCCGCATGTCGACCCGTCCAACAGAGAGACGCTTATATGTTATAGGTACTGCAACGGCGTAACGCCCAGCACGAAGATCGCATCTAAGTATCTCCTACCTGCCGATGCCTATGCCCACGTAGAGATCGGTCCGCGGTAGCGCCTACAAGACGAGATGCTCCTCGGCGATGGCCCTGACGGCCTCGATATCGCCGCCCGCCCAGCAGATCTGCTGGAGATTGTACGCCGCCTCGCGGCTGACGTCGTTGCTGCCCATGATGCCCCCGCTGCCCCCGTCCCCGCCCTCGTCCGGCACGTCTCGGAGGGCGCGCCGGTAGAACTCGGCCGCGATGTGCGGGATGCCGACCGCGTGGTAGCTCCGCGCCAGGTTGTAGTGCGCCTCCTGCCGCTGCGCCGCGCTCGCCGACGCCTGCTTGATGTCGTAGTACCGGTGCAGGAAGAGAAAGCCCTGCACGAGCAGGTACTGCCGGTTCTCCGACTGCCGCTTCAGCGCGTAGTGGACGTAGCAGTGCCCGACGCTGAGGATGACCATGCCATTCGACGGGTCGAGGCTGTACGCCCTCAGGAAGTAGTCTACGACCGTGTTAGCGATCGTATTTGGTCGTAGCGGGTACTGATATCACCCCCCAAGATCCGAGCCGTTGCTGCTACGGTCATTCCGACCACTACTTACTCAGTGCGTATGTGAAGCTGTTGGATATGAATAGAACGTGTCCGTAGAGCATCAGCAGCGTGATGTCTAACTCCTTTCCCGCATAGACTCTCCCGCTAGGCGCGCCCTCTTCGTCCCCGCTATCTTCCGCCCCTCCCGCGGTCATCGCCCGATCCATCAACTTGATCTGTCGCAGCATATACTTCTGTACGGGGCCGGAAGCATACCACGACGCCGGCGATGGGCACAGTCTGGATAAGGCGGAAAACAGCCGGAACGGATCTGTGTCGAACTGGTATTCTCTCATGAGCCAACGGGCCGAGGCTACGCACGTCTCTTCGTCCCGGCCGCGCAGCGCACATGCTGCCGGTCGTCAGCCGCAGCTACATATTATGACGGGAAGACGGGCGAGAGTACTCACCAGCCCACGTCACGTGGATCAGAAACATGCTTTCCTTCGATTTGGAAAATATCGTAGCATCCCGCGCCGATTCGCACACTTTATACGCGTCCTGGAATTTTCCGGTCTGGGCTAGGCCGAGGGCGCACTCGAGGAAAAGATCAAGCCATTCGTCGAAGGGAACACCCCGGTAGCTAATAGCAACTTGCTGGGCGACAGGCCTCTCCGCGCCGGCACTCTCTGGGTTGAGGTCTGCAGATATGGTCAGTGCATCTTCTCCCACCAACACCCGCTCGCTCGGTTAGGCTTACTGTGTGATAGACGTTCTGCCATCGCCAGGAGGTTAGGGTTCCGAGCCACGACCTTCTGGCGGGCTTGGTCTATGCCAAGGTGTGCTAGGTATCTATCCCACGAGTAGAACTCCTTGTAAGACCTAAAGTCGTCAACGAGCTCCTGGGCCGCGGACATGAAGACACCCGAAGGGCCTTCGGCATTAGCGTCGGAGAGAGCCCGACTGGTACGAACCACCTCCCACGCTTCTTCCAACTCCTTTGCCCTCCTCTTATCTTCCATCTGTAATTCTTCGGTTCGGGCAAACACCTTGCGCCGCCGCCTGGTAGGATATAGCCTCGCATCCGCTCTAAATCTCAACTCGCTGGGTTTTGCTCTTGAATTTGGCTTCTCGACCTTGGGCATTAGTGGTCGTTGCTTCGATCTCGCCCCCGACTCCCTCCCGGCTTCCAACACCTGAGACATCGTGGATGATCCAATATCGTCACCCTCTCCATCTTCGTTATCGTCCTCTAGGCCATCTTCGTGTGCCCATTCACGAGCCTCCTGTAGTCTGATGGCTTCATTTACGAGGATATAAGCCTCCTTCTCTTCCCTCGCCGCTTCGTACATCTTCGCCAATTCATACCGCGCGTCGATACAGGCATCGCTGTTTGATTCGTCCAAGTCGATGGCAAGTGTAAAACATTCCTCGGCTAGTCTTTTATCTCCTATTTCTAGATAGCATCTACCTGTCCGGACTAGGGATTCGGTATCAAGTAGGTCGGAGGCGCGGAGTGGCTCATAATACCGCAAAGCCCTCCGAAGGTGACCCGCTTCGTATAGCGCAGAGGCTATTTCAAGCAGGATGTGTGGGTGCTCAGAAGCTACCTCGGACAGGTTGGAACTGTCTGGGTCGATGAGTTGTATGTGACGCTGATATCCGTTAGTCTGTTCGATGCCAATAGAGGGAGAGGGAGGGAGGGTTGTGGGGGTGGTTTGTTCTGATAATCTTACCATAGCCTCGTCCTCTCGACCGAGCTTGAGGCGACACACAGCTAACTTCGTCCGTAATTCGAGCGGAAGCCCACCGCCGTATGACGAAGCCGGATGTTCTCCGTCTCGGTAGCCTCCTACTTCCAGCCTTCGGGTGTTTGTTATATCCCACTCACGATCGTCGTCTTCGCCGTCCCAAAATGCCTCGTCGGAACGGGCGAGGAGCCATCTAGAGAGCGATTTTAGTTCGTATACGGCGTCTCCGTACCATTCGAGATGGACAAGAAGGTCGACGAAGATCCTAATATCTTGCCATTCAAAGGGGTAGCGAGAATCAAAGCCGTTGTTCCGAAAATGGGAGATGCATCGGCGATATGCCACCATCGCCTCCCGGGGTCGGTCCGCGAACTGAGGCTTACCGGTGTCGGCGAGGAGGACGGAGATCTCAGCTAGACCACGCAGAGCATAGACATCAAAGTAGCAGCGCTCAACTAGGAAGGCATAGTCCTTGGCTGCAGACCTCACGCGACCCATTTCGAAATACAGTGCCGCCCTCCCGTGCCGTGCCGGTCTGTGGGTAGTATCGGCCCTCAAAGCACTCGAGTAACAAAAGATAGATTGCTCGAGAAATGCATCCGCCTCCTCTGGAAATTCGTCGCGAAGCCCGATGCCTATCTCGGCACACTGAAGCCATCCATCGATGATCTTTGGCTGGAGGTGCGCGGCATAGACCCTTGCGGTGAAGTGACCCTTTTTGTCGCCCTTTTCTTGGAGAAACGAGGCCAGTAGCACCCAGGCTCGGTAAGTTTCGGCATTGATACGGATAGCATCCTCGACAAATTCAATAGCATCGTCGAGGCGACCGTCCATGTACGCATTGGATGCCATGTTGAGACGATATTTGATGTCGCCTGTGGGCTCGGCCGCCTTGCGAGGCCCGCGCTTCTTAGTGACACGTCCACCCCGATCTCCTCGGCCGGATCGACGTGGCTTATCCCCATTGCCGAAGTATTTTCCGGATAACCCACGTCCATGAGGGAGACTTGGTAGGGGATGGCCCATGCTAAGGTCATTTTGCCGCTCTAGAAGCGCATCAGTCGTGGAGTCCGTCGGGGGCGCCTCGCCCCTCGTCATCGTTGTGGATGTTGATCCATATAGCGGGATCGTCTCCTCCAGACCTGCTTCGCGGCCGTAAGGTGTGCCTATGGATGGGTGTGCTGGATCCGGCAGGACCGTCGGCGGTTCTAGAGTTCTCGGCCAAGGCTCAGACTGCACAGCGCCGGAATCTGAGGTCGGGGCGACCGCTTGTCGTCCGTTTCTCGAACAAGGCTGGAGAATTGGAAGTGGCTTCCGTTGAGTCGGCGCGGCGCTCGATGCTGCATTCGGGGCCCTGTCGCCTCGGCGCGGTAGGGGCGCTGGCATATGATTCGGTTCTATATCTAGCTGCCGGTCACGCGCTAGATCCCCGGGGTTCTGCGGCAGCTCAAACCCCGATATGTGCCGGCGTTGTGGCGTCAGACTACCCGGCGGATTGTGTGTGTGGATCTCTGCGTCGTGGTCCTGGGTTTTCTCTCGGACACCATGCCCCGGTTGGGAGTCTCGCTGATGAGTGAAGTGGGCCTGGAGAACGTCGAACGTAGACGAAAAGGGGTGGCTCATCGTCGGAGAAGTCCAAAGGCGCAAATACTATAGTCAGGGAGACAGGAAAAACTCCCTTACGACGACAGGCCTAGATCACCAGGGGACCCCGAGACAGCGAGACAGATGAGAGACGGATGTCGGCGTTGCCACGTGCGGTTGGCCTGCCTGGGTTACGGATAGTTGTGCTTCATCGACAGTTTGCCGGTCTCTCCCTCTGTAGGCTTATTTTTAATGAGTGCGCTTCTTTGGGTCTGTTGCGAGTCGGGTCGAATGTATGAGTAGGTTAGGTGTAGTTGTGTGAAGTTGTACTGAGGCAGGTCCCTACAAGGCATTATCGGATAGATAGGTAGGTAATACCTTAGGTACCCGATAAAAGCTTGGGGTTACCTAGCATACGGGGCATGCAGTTATGCAATTCACCTCCCAACTTAGGGCACCTTAGGTACTTCCAGGTACCTCCCCGTCGTGTAGGAGGTACCCACAAGAACAAGTGAAGAGAAGGTACCTATGTATTGTATGTAGACATAAAATACAAGTAACAGGCTAGAGTTGCTTGGCGATCCCTTCCGACGGGAACCAGATGTTGCGTTCGTCCATCGTCTCGCTTGAGAAAAAAAGCTTGATTCATGCGGACGGAGACGTTTACCGCCATCATCTGTATACAACAAATATACTTACCCTACAGTTGTCGGCTCGTTTTGCGACCGTTTCCCGATGGCTAACAAACCAAACTGCGAGCCCGTTCTCTTTTCTTTTCCCATCTTCATATCCCACCGTCCCCTCCGGCCCCAGAATAGCCCTCAAATTTGCAGTCGAGGCCGAACAGATGGCGAAACCCCCCACAGCATGCGACGAAACTTTCGGTTCTTGGTAAATGGCAGGTAGATCAATGCTGGCGGGCTCATTACGTTCATCATTACGTCGCAGCGGTTAGCCCAGCTTACCGTCTGCCTTGGCCTCTGTCTATCCGTTAGCAGCAATCCTAGGTAGCGAGTCTCCGTACGGGGTCGGCATTACCCTTGACTTGTTCAAACACCTTGAGCATCTTTCTTCGTGCTCCGAGAGCGTTGACGCCGCGATCTTCTAGAGCTTTATCATCTAGCTCCACCAAATCGGTCCATTTCATATCCTTCAAATTATCCGTGTATTTGTGCAATCGGAGACTTCGCAACCAGGCTGGTATATCTTGAAGGAGGGTCGGATCGGTGGGATCCTCCGGGGGCTTCGAGTTGCCGCGACGTCCACGGGGTGATCGGCCCCGATTCATGTCGGAGTGATCCGAGAGGTAGCCCTCCGGAACACCCACGCCCAGCTGGCCCATGCTGATCGCGCCGAGTCCGTTGTTGAGGAGAGGGTTCTGTCCGTCGTAGGCGCTGAGGAAGCCATTGTTCTGCGGGGAGGCGAAAGGTATCTGCCCAAATCCAGTTTGCATGGCGATGCCCGGCGAATTCGGACGAGACCGGTGGTTCGCGAACCCGCCCATGATCTGTTGGTTCTGTAGAGCAAGCATTTGATCTCTGCTTAGCATATGGCCGTGCTCGTTCACCATAACAATATTCGCGCCAGGGATGTTCCCGGCCTGAGGCCCGGGGATGGAAGCCTGTCCGGGCGCATCATTTGACCGCGCTCTTCGGTACTTGCGAACGTCATCCAGAGCAAATCGGTTATTGACCGTAGATAACGCTGCGAGCTTCATGGCCGTGGCATTGGCAACCATGTCCGCCTGGTTGGGAGCACCGGTATTGAACGTTGCAACCATGGGGGTGTTCACCATGGAGGCCCAATTCCCACTTCCAGCAGTGTACGGCGAAAACAGGGGCAAGTCAGTAGATTTGTCTGGGGCATTCAGGGTAGTGCTCTGAATGCCGCTGCCGCCGCCGATCGGCGGACGAGGTGACCTCAAGCCTGCCGAAGGCGGTGGCTGCACAAACTGACCCATGGGGGTCTGACCCGATGCGGATTTGGGCCGCGAAGCACCCTGGTCATGGCTGTTCACCCAAGGCGACGTGGGATTCTGAGCGTTCGGATCGAGCCCTTCCAAGGGAGCCGAGATGGTGGGCGCAGCCAAGGGGCTCCGGGCGTCGATTGCCGTGCTGTTGCGGTTCGACGGAGGTTGGTTCCCGGTTTGCTGAGTAAATTTGGCTTTCTCGGTAGCGATGGCCGCCGCAGCATCGGGAAACATAGCATTGATAGTCGAAGGGTCGAGTCCGGAGTGCCTCTTGGCCGACGCCTGCGGCTGAGAAAGGGAGTTCCTAGCCGAACCTACATTCAGCTTATTCATGGCATCGCTCAGTCGGTTCGACATCGGATCTTCACATAAGTGACGTTAGTAAGCAGTTGCACGCAGGCCGAGGGTATATCCGGCCGGCATACCTTTGTCGAAATTTGCAGGCGATAGCACGCCCGACATGGGGTGGTTCTTCCCCATCTGCTGAAGCACTTGGATGAAGAAGCGAATCTGGACTTGGGTGGTTTGCTGCAGTAACGCGTACAAAGCCGCAGTTCGCTCAGCCTCAGACAGGACCCGAAACCACTGTTCAATAGCACTGAGTTCGTCCTTGAAATCCTGGTCCAAGGTAGCAGCGGCCATCTCTTCCAGAGTAGTCTCATATTGGTCGATGTCGGCAATCCACTGCTGGGTCACCTTGTCCTGCGGGTCCGAATCGGTAGCGACCTGGCCCTGGCCCTGCTGGCCGTAGAAATCCGACGAGGGGCGGATGCGATTCGAGGTCGGCGGACCAGCGAGGGCTGCCATGTCAGCGGACGCGCGCAGGTGGTGGTTGTTGGTGGCAACGGTCCGCGACGTCGGTGGGCGTAATGACGAGGCGGTCGATGCCTCGGGGGTGCTGTTGCGGTTCATTGTTGAGAGTTACTTTGCAATCCACGCTCCAAGCCTGGGGGGAAAGTAACCGACACTCTGTTAGGTTCCCGATTTCTGCCAATGCCGATGATCGCCGGGAGAGGCTGTTGTTAAGGTTAAGATAAGCGGGAAGCGAATCTTATTTTATCCCAAAGCAGATGAAACGGCTTGTGAATTCAATGCGGAAGATGATAGAGGGGTGGCGAGTGGTCTGTGACATATGCCTTTAACCGCAATGGCCGGAGATCTCAAGTCAATGCTAACCGAAGCGCACAATGGAAACAGAGCGGTAGCGACAATGCTTCTCTAGTGCCGCATATATCGGAGCTACCGCGGCTGTCGGATCGGGGGGACGGCTGGTTTGAGTATGTGGCGATGTCGGTGATAATGCCTGCTGTCCCTATGGTTGGATGATCTCACGCGACGATTGTGCGGTCAGACCAGGCGGACCTCCAGAGAAGATACCGAAGTAGTCGAGTTCGATCTGTCAAGACGCGGGCTCAATTGGAAGCGTAACGCAACGGTCTTCTGAATTCGCAGCGTCGTATTACGATAGACTTGCCAGGCTCGAGTTCAACTCCCTTGTAGCAGAGAAGGACGACGGGAACGACTTGTCTCTCGAGAACTCCTGCAGTAGCCTGCTGACCTCAAAGGAGTCTTTGAAAGGAGGCAGTTCGGAAGGAAGCTATTACTGGTAATGGAGAAAATTAGGTAGATAGCTGCGAATGGAAGAAGCGTTAGCCAGAATGACAGCGCTACGAGACCAGTCTCGGAATTGAATCCGTTGGCCAAGTGTGGATGTTGTCTCAAGCGATTCCGAACAGCCTGGGGACGGCACGGCAGCGACTTATGAAGACACGAGGGAAGAGTAAAGGTGGCTCGGTGGAGGGAGAGGGATTCCAACGGCGCGGCGGGAGAGGCGCTGCCCAGGTAGGCAATGACCTGCTGGAGGAGCCCAGGCAAGTCTAGCCACCACGAGATGAGGGGGTCGATTTGTATTTCCGTATCCCTCACGAAAACCACATAAAACGACGCCTACGGCCTCGACAACGAAAAGAGGGCGTGTTGCCAGCCGGGGAGGTAACGAAGCACAGACGAGCGCAGCTCAGAGAGAATATCGAAGAGGACTTACCAATACTGACGTTCGGATCGACGTCAACTCCAAGGCCAAAAAGAAAGAAACCAGTGGCAGGGTTGCCCTCGAGCTCCTGGGGAAGAGGATGTGAAGTGAAGGAAGGAGGAGGAGGAAGGAAGAGGAAGAAGAAAAAGAAGGAGAAAAAAAATCCCAAGAGGCCGTCAAGACTAGTTGGAGCAACGGGGACAGCGGGCTACGGAGAGAGGCCGAGAGACTGCGACTCGACCACTCCTTCGGAAGGACCCTTGGCACATGGATACAAAGAAACTACCTACAGAGGAATTTTGCGAAATTTTCTGGGAATTTTCCAGGCTAGGATCCGGGCCATCCCTCCCCAGGCAGACCAGTAAGTAGTGGACCTGCCAGCGCCTTGTAGGTATAAAATGGCCTATACATAGGTAGGTAGGTGTTTTGTAGTAAGTACTAACTTCCACCCCAAGTTGCTAGGCCCACCATTAGGTTAGGTACCTACATAGGTACCTCGCAGGTACGCCTTCCGGTACCTACCTCCTACCTTAGGTACCTCTAGAGGTAGGCGGGTACCCACCTGATATATAGGGAGTAGGAGGTAGACGGGCATGTACCTACCTAGGTACTACGGAAGGAGGTTTCGCCTTATCGTCCACTTATTGGATGTGCCTCTTCTCATAACGTGTTCTCCATAATACTATTCGTCAGCGCCTCTCGGATCGTAAGCTCCATCCTGTACCCATTTTTAGATAGGCTCATGTACCTACATATGCCTATTCATATGCGTGTACAGGTACGCACTGAGGAGGACTGACGGGCTAGAGGCTACCGCCTCACTTACCGAAGAGAGGTACCTAACCCAAGATATATGAGTACCTAACGCTGCACCCGAACAATACCTATTCATATGTACACATCCACGCATGCGTCTTAACATCCATACTTAGGTACCTCATACATAGACGTATGAGGTCAGGGAAGGCGCCGAATGTCATGTCAGACAGACTTTCTGCGGGTGTCTTGGGACTGTTGTAGGTACCCACCTAGGTACCCATCTAGCGTGCCTCTAGGTGGCGTATGAGTACCTCCTATTGTAGTATACACGTATACCTCTTCAGGTACCTTGGGTATGCTAGGGCTACCTCCTAGATGGAATATGAAGTGCTACCAACTAGGCAAAAGGTAGGATGTAAGCGATGATGTGTCTGTAAATGTCCTTACCTTAGGTGCTGGCTGACGGGATGCCTAGCTCGAGGATTGATGTAAGTAAAGCTTTTCCCTCCTTTTCTTCCTTCCCCTTGGCTTAAGTTGGGGGCAAGCATCCCTTGACGGCGGTGGAAAATGCCTTGAGCTATCCCGCACGGGGCAGACCGGCGGTTCGCGACCTAGAATGTAAGACCACCTAACGTATGTAAACGAATGGCAAAGCTGTACGATACGTTGGTTGAACACAGCCCGTCCTGGATTACATATACACGAATGGAATGACGGTATGTCTGTAGGTATATATGAGCGTATATATATGCGCACACATCTTACGTGCCCAGTCCTGCATCAGCAAAAATCAGGCGGATGGGCAGTTGATTGTTGGCCACTTGTGACGACAGTTAGCCGTATCTTCAGGGGCCTAAACGAACCATCCTGGCAGCCTTTTATAGGTAGGGACCAGGCCACATGCCTGCACACGCACACATACCGTAGAGGAGGCTAGGCTTAGGAGGTACCTAAGGTAACCCGCCCTAAAGCACCTAACCTGTCTGCGAAGTTTAGAGGGTACCTGTATGTACATATAATATATGTACACATAAATACTAGCGAAGGTATACATGTACATACTCACACATATCGATGCAAGTACCTGATGATTGTAAGTTAGGTACCTAATGTACATGCCTCTCAGGCTAGGCCCTAGCCCCTGAAAAAGACTGTCCACGCCGCCCATCGCGCAGATCCATCGATCCCAGATGTCCGCCCATCTCTCTATCCATCCCATCCCATCCCATCCCACTTCATCCCATCCATCCATCCATTTTTGAATGGAGTTTCAACTATCTAAACCGAGGGTGGCCCCCTACTACCTACTACGTAGCATGTACATACATGATATGGATGCATTGTACACCTACACACCTACAGCTACATGCCCATATCAGCTCTATAGGTACTCTATATAATATGTATGTGCAATACGAACCGCCGGTCTTCATGCCGGTATACCTACCTACCTACGTATAAATGTACGTAGCTAGAGCAACTCGAAACGTCGAACCTACCTAATGTAACCGCTGACACGTATGTCATCCCCCCCCCCCAAATCGACCGGGACGCGAACAAGCCAACTCGATTCGTATCGGTGGCATAGGGTGTCCCGTCGCCTCGTTTCTTCCGCCGTCGGGGCCGTTGGGGATACATGGCCCGGGCGTTTTTGTTGCAACTTCACGGTCCCCAATGTCCAACACAGGAGCCCATACGAGGCGGTGGGTACGTGTAGCGTGATATCCAGTGTGGGGAGGTGACTCGTGCTTCGTGCTTCAATGTTGATGTAAAACTCTCCGTGTTGGCTAGCAGGCTGGGCCTAGCTTGGCTACCCGTCCAGAACAAAGGGACGCCATTTTGACCTATACACATCGGTAAGTGCGGACGTGTTAGAATAGAACTAGAGTATAGAGGTCTATACCTAGATCAGTATACCGATGAGAGGTATATAGTATACCTGTGTAGAGGGCTACAGCACGGAACTCGACCGTCCATGTGTCGCTCTACCGACAATTAATGTCGGTATGTAGTCACTCGTTTTTATTATAAAACCCTCCTCTTCTTCTGTTTCGCCCTCGTTTTCCCTGTAATTGCGGTAACATAGATCCACGCACCGACAAGGTATATAGACCCATAAACATCTGATACCTCGGTTACTTCTAGAAACGTCTTCGTCTGAGAGACAGAGAAAAAGGCGAAGCATGGCCTTAGTCATTCGTGAAGTATCCCAAGTCCGGTTTCCTGGTTAGTGGCGACGAGCGAAAAGGGGTCAAGTCGGGATATATTCGAGTTCGCGATAGCAGCAGGAATTTGATGTCAATTGATTTCACAATGCCACCTACCTGCTAACTCGCGCATGGAACGAAGGTTCGAACATGCTAGCCGCTTGCCTACGGAAATCGGCTTGTGGGTTCACCAGTGAAACAACCATGGAGACCACACGACAGGAGCAGGCAGAAAGCCAACGAATCCAGATTTATCCAGGTAGGATGAGCCGCCTGAGATGTTGCCTAGCCTCCATGCACCCTCGCCTTGGGAAAAATCGAAGCACGGGTGTTTGGTAATAGACCGGCAGATTACTCTCGGCACGAGAAGAACATCCTTCAGCAGATAGGCATAGGGTTGGCCTAGAGCTGTACACACATATGCCGTTTCGTTCACTCGGAATCGACCCCAAACAATGTCACACGAGGCTCACCGGAAGGTCGGGAGCGGGCGGTGGTCTGTTTGGTAACCATAGCTTATTTGGTGACCTTGTCGTCTTCGTCGTAGACGATTTACCTGGATACAAGCAGCAAACGCATAGCCTTGACTCCGTGATCATGCCTGAATATCCCTCCCCCCCATTTTGCCCTAATGCGCATTCGCGGTGTCGTGTCTCGGAAATCCCATGTCGGCCGCCTCAAGCCGTCTCTCGCTTGCCTTCCTTCAGCTCTTTCTGTAGTCATCGTCAGCGCCCGTCCAAATAGTCCCGGCGCAGCCGATTTGTGTGTCCGCAGCCGTCCAAGTCACATACCAGAGCTCGCATCGTGCCGTGCAGGGCATGTCGATGGTTTCTTCGGAACTTCGGGTCGGTTCCCTTCAGCGACGGGTATCTGTTGGTCTTGGGCTTCTTGATACTGCGCGTTGCGTACCCGTTAGGCAAAGTCGACAAGCAAATACGGACGCATCGCTGGGGGCGGGCAGATTAAATATCTGGATTGACATACCCGTTACGGTGGGCCTTGCGCGACTGGTTGTGCTGCGACGAGTTCTTGGATTCTGTGGCCGGAACATTAGAAAGCTGCATTTCCACGAGTGGGGCTATGGCAGTTCGACGTACTCGCCATTGCGACTGAGTTTCCGTCGATTTATCTGGGCGCGCGTGGAAGTCGACGAAGATGGATGTTGTTGTCGGTGAAAGGTGAGAAGTTCGTTTCGTGCGTCCGGTATTACCAAGTTGTGCGCAGAAAATTAAGCGAAGCTAGATAGTCAAGCCACTCAAAGCCACAGAACCATAGTTAGGTGGCTTGGCTCTCCTGACAGGTACCTCCTAGCTTAGGTGCTTGTCTGTTTATGTAATCAACATCTCAAGACAGGGGTTTGCTTGCTCTATTGTCGTTGGCAGCCTCATTTGTGCCTGAATTGCCTACGTCAATTCGAGACATGCCGGGAAGCCACACATTGGCGAATTCGATAATTAATTTCAAGACATGTCGGGAAATGCGCCTTCGTATGCTCTGTATGAGTGCCAGTTCTACGCAACCCACTCAAAAAGACAGCCAAAAAAAGGGGAGCCCTAGTATGTACGAATACATGTGTCTTATCCACCAAAGCGAATACCTCGTCTATCCCCAGTCCACCCATCTAGACCTTAAAAGTCATCTAGAGTTCGACCCTTGGTGAGGTCACTATAATAAGCCGCATTTACTTCGTCGTGACAGGAATGGCCAGTTTGGCTTTAGAGGCGGTAGCCGCTGCCAGTGCTGCCGCTTTCGCGAGGTGTTCTGACCGAAGTTTTCGAATATATCTAAACAGGAGAACGAATAGAAACTCCATTCTGAGGCTGATTGTTAGTCGCCGAGGGTTGCTGTTGGTGGTACGGTTCCCAGTTTGCAACTTACCGCTCTTTGGTCATCATAAGCAATCCCTGTACTAGGAAGCCTTTCACGATCTGCGGTCCCATGCCTTTGAAAAGACTCCTCACTCCCTCGTGCTGAATTATGAATTGCATTACTTCGATAAACCCCTTGAACGGCTTGCCTTCCCGTTGCGGAGGGGGCTTCGATTGCAGTCCGACCTTGGCGACTATCAAGGGCTGCGTGACAACGGTAGCTAAAGCCTTCGACATAGCTCCGAGGACTGGAGAACTGCGGTCAGTCCGATTTTTCTCGGTCGGGCCTGGTGGTACTCACGAAAAGCTTCCGGCGCAGTCAAGCGGGTCTTCCCCGGGAAGAGGGCACCCTTTAACCGTTCGTACGCTCCGTACGTGATGGCAGGGTTGACGACCAACACCAAACTGGCCTTGAGTCCCCTCCACAAGCCAAACACTCCATCTTCGCTGTGGATAACCTCGCGGGCCGTATCTATCAGGCCCTTCCTGTCCTCTTTGCTCTGCGTCTGCTGTCTCGTCGTAACCACAGCGACAGGAATGGTGCACAATTGGGCTATGGCACCTGCTATGGCGCCAAGCACCAGCTCGACAGCGGTAGTTGGTGGTGCAGGGACCTTCTGCGACTTGAAGTAGAGCTCTCGCACGATCGAGTACCAGTAGAAGTAGGCGAAGTTGGTGGAAGCGACTCCGAGCAAAGCGCCATTCATGCCGGCATATAGCCCTTGAATCCCCTCCTGAGCGACAATCTTGGAGATGGCATCCCACGTCGAGGTGTAGTGCGGATCGGCGGCGGCGGCGACCAACGTTCCCGGTTTTCGTCTGACCTGGACCTGTAGGCGTGTCTTCACTCTGTCGCGAACGCGCATCGGGTCAGCGGTGCGGTCCCACGCAGCATAACCGGCCAGCATCGAGCCCACTTACACGTCCAGAGGGTATACGAGAGCATTGGCTAGAACAGCGCCGGTAGACCCGGCGATGGCAAATCCCCACGGCGGGAGCGGAGCGGGCTTCGACTGCACCGTCATGGCGACCAAGGAGCGGCGTTCCCTCTACCAGGTATCGACTCTGTCCGGCGCGGAGCGTGGCGGGCGGCGTCGTATGCTACTGTCGACTGAGACGATACAAGGATTCGAGGATGCGAGGATGCGAGGATGCAAGGATGCGAGGCACAATTGGCAAGCTGAGGACGAGATCGGTGGCCTACGTCTTACGGATAAAGCCGGATGGGATCAAAGGCACCTCGAGTACTTTAATTGATACGGCAAGACATGGCAGGAAAAGCAGGTCGGGTGTGTGCATACATCTCCAGGCGATACGGCAGCACGGCGATACTGGGGCAGAGGCAGCTTAGCTGAGTGGCTGCGACAGGAGGAATGGAGGAGAAAAGCGAGCTGCTCTAGTTTCAAGGTGCGAGGGACAGGGAAGCGACCCTGACGTCGATGATGCGACCGTCGGCGAATCCAGCCCAGCTCGAGCCGAGTTTAAAAAGAGGCTTGTGAGCGATGGACCTCGGCCATTTAATCGGCCTAGACCCTCTTTGTCGGCACCTGGCAAGGAGCGCGCGCGAATGGAATGTTGGGAACCGCCCGGCCAGGGGCTGAGAGGGTTCCACCGCGGGTGCAGAGTCCGTCAATCCGGGGTACGGGTGCGAGTACGTAACGCGACTCTCCCTGCGTCTGGCCCCCTTCCCTTCTATCCGTGCTGGGCGGACTGGGCGAAGGCCTGTTCGTCAGCCGCTGTCGACGGGCCGCACCGCCGTATCGCCAGCTGTCGTTCGTGGCCGTCTAGACCGCGGGTCGGCTGCGTGGGGTGCAGGTAAGGCGTATTACTCATACGTGGTGGGGCATGCACTTATGCAGAGCGAGCCGTTGTGAATTCGTTCATCACCCGCACGGCGCAATGCGGGCTGCACTGCTGAGTACGTGTTTTCTGCATCTTCTACGCGGTACCTCAGCCCAGCAATGCAGCCGCCATCCACCAGCGTCAAGTAACGTACGCCTCGGTACGCCTCGACGGCCTCGCCCCCATTCAATACTCCTTCGATCCCTCTCGGTGCCTATGCCATACCCACCTATATATACACACTACCCGGGTGGGAAGCCGGGGGGCCGGAGCAATCTCTCGATGAGTAGTCCTACCCAGGCCTCCCTCCTCTTGTGATGGTGGTCTGGATCGATACCATATTTCGCCGAGGGAAACGATAAAACCATCCCCTACGGCCCGTCTCGCATGTCCGGTAGCAGCTCGACCAGCCATCTGAGGGTTGGCCGTGCTGTTTTCCTAGTTCCCTAGCACCAGTTGGCCCAGAGTTCACCACTCTGCTATCCGTCCTCCCGAGCCGTCAGGTCTGCAATCAGGTTGCTTGCTCAGTGGTTATGACCGATTCAGATGCCGTGGTGAATCGATAGAACCCCCGATCATGGAGGTAGAGGCAAAGGTGAACCATCCGGCGAATAGCTGACATCTGCAAGTCTGACCGTATCTAGGAACGGGAAGCGTTAGCCTCTAGGACCTACGGCAAGGATGCCTTGGATCACACTATAGCTGCCGCGGAGCTATATATGAAGGCCGCCCGGGCGGCGTCTATCCCAGGGGAGAAGAGCCGCCTTACCAAGAAATGCCACGAGGTTCTCTCGAGGGCTGAGGCCCTTAAGAAGCTGGGTCAGGACAGAAATAGTGTCGAGATCGTGGAAAAACGCCTGAAGCTGCCACGACCGACGCGCCAGGTCCCAGCAAGTGAACAGGCCATCTTGCTTCGTAGTTCCCGCTTGCATGGGAACATCTTTCCGCCTTGGGAGTCGGATCCCGACCCCAACGAATTCAGCGACGAGCTTTTCGGCGACCCCTCGGAGTTCTCCCTTTCCGAACGCCAAAAGGCCGTCTTCGCAGGCTGGAAGAGGCCGCTGGATATCGTAGGCTCAGGCGCCCAACCAGATCCCAACAGCCAGGACGATGGCTTCCTTATGGAGGCCAAACTCGACTACGACTTAGTTCAGGACGTAACAACAGACTGTTCGGTCGTTGCGAGCCTCTGTGCTAGCATGAGACACCTCCGCCCGGGCCCTACGTCCATCTTACCCACCATAATGTTCCCTTGCGATTTACAGAGTGGGCAGCCGAACATCTCTCGTAGTGGGAAGTACGTGTTTCGCATGTTCTTCAACGGCTGCTTTCGAAAAGTAGTTATCGATGACCGGCTCCCTTCCTCCTCCAACGACCGCACTCTCTACGTCGTGGATCGTCAGAATCCGGGCCTCGTCTGGCCCGCCCTGATGGAGAAAGCCTACCTCAAGGTTCGGGGCGGCTACGATTTCCCTGGAAGTAACTCCGGCACCGACTTGTGTGCGCTCACAGGTTGGATACCGCAGCAACTGTTCCTGCAAAGTGACGAAATTGACTGGGACCGAACATGGAAACGTGTTAAGAAGGCCTACGATTACGGCGACGTAGTAATCACGTTGGGAACTGGCCGGCTCTCACCTGATGAGGAGGAGACTCTGGGCCTGGCCGGCGAACACGACTATGCAGTGCTCGATATGGCCGAAACTCAAGGGAACAGAAAAATGCTGGTCAAAAATCCGTGGTGCGACGGCCTCGTCTGGAAAGGGGTAGGCTCGTCTGAAGCAGCGTCGCAGGCGACGGCAGATGGCCATCCTGTCAAGTTGAAGCCTGGTTCGTTCTGGATTAGCTTTGACGACGTGACACAGAACTTCGAGTCGCTGTATCTGAACTGGAACCCGAGCCTCTTCACCGAGCGCCAGGACCACCACTTTACGTGGAAACCCCCGCAGGCAATCATCGCCGGCTCGTTCGTGCACAACCCGCAATACTCGATGGAGGCCGCGGCAGACGGCAGCACGTGGATTCTGCTGAGCCGTCACTTCCAGGATGGTGAGCTGGAAATCATGCGTAACCACCAGGTCACGACCTCGCTGGCCGCCGTCTCGAGCAAGCTCGGTTTCATGAGTGTGTACGTCTTCGCCGACGGCGGGGGCAAGCGCGTGCAGTTGAGCGACCGGCCGGTGTACCGCGGCGACTTCGTCGACTCGCCGCAGATGCTCGCGCCCTTCGAGGCGAAGAAGGGCGTCCGGTACACGGTCGTCGTCGCGGCGCAGGAGCTGCCGCTGCCGCAGTACTCCTTCACGCTGTCCTTTTTCTCGCGCGCGGCGCTCGCCGTCGCCCCGGCGCAGCCGCCCTTTCGCCACTACGCCGAGGTCCGCGGCAGCTGGACCCGGCGCACGGCCGGCGGCAACGCCGCCGCCCCGACGTACGTGCAGAACCCGCAGTTCGGCGTCACGCTGCCCCAGGCGGGGCCGCTCTCGCTGCTGCTCTCGACCGCGCGCGACGACCTGCCCGTCCACGTCGACTTGGTGTGGGCCGCGGGCCGCCGCGTCGTCGCGGTCGGGAACCGCGACCTCGTCGTGACGTCGGGCGACTACCGGCGCGGCTGCGCGCTCGCCGAGAGCGCGTCCGTGGACGCGGGCGCGTACACGGTCGTCTGCTCGACCTTCGAGCCCGGCTGCCTCGCTGACTTCGTCCTGCGCGTCGGCTCCGACTGCCCCGTCACCATCGCGCCCGTCCTCGCCGACGCCGCCGGCCGCCTGCGCACCCACCTCCCCATCCTCGCCCCCGGCGGCGCCGGCAAGGTCCGTGCCGTCGTGTCGGCCGCGCGGCTCACGCGCGCCAGCGTCGTCGTGACGCGCAGCGGCGACGGCGGCGGCAATAGCAGTAATAATAGCGCCCAGCAGCAGCAGCCTCTCAACCATCCCGGCAGCGGGAGCAGCACGCCGCGCCCGCGCCCGACGGTCCGCGTCAGCCTCGAGTACGGCACGGGCCCGGACAAGGCCGTGCTCGCGTCGACCGACGACGACGGCAACTACTACCACCAATACGACGTCGACGGCCGCGGGGCGGCGGCCCCGGGGGCGGGCCGGACGGGGACGCTGGCTCGGGCGGCGGCGGCGGCGGCGGACGTGGGGTCGGCGGCCGGGCCCGGCGAGTTCCGCGTGGTCGGCCCCGCGGGCCTGCGCACGCCCGAGTTCGACATCGACCCGCGCGCCCGCGGCGGCCGCCCGCTCTGGCTCGTCGTCGAGCAGCTCGGCCTGTACCACGGAGGCGGCGGAGGAGGCGCCGCCGACGGCCTGCTGGTCGAGATCCTGAGCGAGGGCCCCGTGCGCGCCGGCGCGTGGGAGGCGGTGGACGATTGACGGATGGCGGGATCGAGATCGGTCGGTTAACTAGTTCGCCGGTGTTGGTGGAGGTGGGTCGTAGATGCGTAGGTGATCAGGGGGGAGTAGGCCAGGGGGGTGAGGCGAGGGAAGGCGGACGGGGAAATACGATAATACTAAATCTCAAACACGCCTTGTCTCTTTACTACACAGAAGGGAACTGTATAGTCTGCGAATTGCGGCTGGCCGACAGGCCTGCCTCTTCTTTACGATAGGTCTAGGACGCGAAAAAAAAAAGGGGGGAAGGGGTATGTATAGCCATTTCTTAAGACACCAACATTGGGCCTTGCGTATATGCGATCGGTCGTCTTGAGGAGCAGACATGCCTGCCCGAGGACTTGCTGCTCCGTGCCCCCTTTTACCGCCGCTAGCGACGGAGCCGCCGGGTGGGAAGCGGATTTTTCGTTGTCGAGGGTCTTTTTTTTTTTTTTCCTCTTTCCTCCCGCAGGGTATTTTTCTAGCTACATCCCGCCTTCTCGCGCCCTATACCGATAACCCTGGTTTCTGCTTCAAGTATGAACATGAATGGACAAATAAAACAAGGTAAGTACTCTCTCTCTCTCTGTGCGATGACCAGCTAGCTGTGCCGTCCCTCTTAATATCATGAACGGTCGTTTCGTAGAAGTAACCCCTCCAGGTAGCCTCCGCTTTCGAAGAGAAGAAAAATTTCTGGGCTGGGCGTAAGCGAATGAGTATAAAAAGCAAAGGCGGCAGAAGGTTAAAAGAAATACAATCCAATAACAAAAAAAAAAACCGCTCCCCTCTGTGGTATAAGTGGTCTACGCCGAGAACGCCTACTCCTTTCCGTTGAGGTATGATCCGTGACGCGCGTCCATTTCTCTCAACCAACACAACGATCCCTACGACGGGTTGTCCGGGCTTCGGAACCGGGCCGCCCTCCAGGATATCACCTACCCCGTATGTACATGTCTAAGATTCGAATAGCAATCGTCGTAGCGCCGAACGAAGTCGCTCCTCAGGTTCTTCTCAACCTTACCGCCGAACTGCTCCGTGGGCCGATGATATCGTCATGGGCCGCCTCGACGTCTCCGCCCCCTGTTGGGCCCATCTGGGCGTTGGGAGAGCACATCGCGAAGGAGAGGATCGTCTTTATCCTTATCGACATGATGGACCCGTACGTGTCTGATCCCGGCATTAGATGCTGTCGGGCCTCATTTAGCTAGGGTCCATAAGAGAACCTTACCTCTGTAGATTGTCCGGCCTGGGGTATTTATGCTCTCGATCTGGACAGAACGGGCACACATACCCAGGCGAATCGTGAACGAGCCCGTGCCGGATCATCTCGTTCTTCCGCTTAAACCCTTTCCCGCCCTCACTTCGCGGACACCCCTTCACGGGACAGTAGTGCGGACGGGCGGAAGAATGCACGTTCAAGTGCGAGTTGAGCAAATATTGCGTCTGGAATGGAGGCGCGTTGCAGCCTTGGACCGTGCAAACGAACACGCCGACGGGGTTCGTCATGTTGTCGATGCTCATCCGATCGGTGATGGAGGTAGCGGGAGTCGACGCGTTTTCGACGGCTGGCGTGTCCGCGTTGCTACTACTACTGTAATCCAGACCGGCGCGATGATAGCCCGCGTTGCTGGCGCCCGGGTGGTAGTAGGGGCTCATACCAACCCCGTGCGGAGAAGACATGCTTTGGTGAAATCCTTCATTCGGGGAAATCGGGGGCGAGGCGTGGCTGCCGGGCATCCTGCCGATATGCGGGGGGGCCCCCGGCGGCGAGTGAGGGAACTGAGGGCCGTGGCGCAAGGCCAGCTCCTTCGGGTGGTCCCTGAACTGATCTACCAACTGGGCTCTTATGGGGGGCAGCGAGTCGTGGGACGTCGGGTCGAGGTTCGGGGACGGGGCGTGGATCGGAGGTAGTTCGCCGTGGCTGGAGGCAGTTAAGCTGGGCGGCGACCGTACGTTGTTCGGATGCATCAGAACCTGGCCCGAGGTGTAACTCGGGGGCGAGTACACCTCCGGGGTGGGCTGCGACGGATACGGGGAAATAGGCGGGGCGAGAACGGGCCGGTTCAGATCTTTCAGAGCGCCGTCGTCTCGCGCACCGTTGATCTTGAGCGCCTGCGATGGCGTCACCCTCCGCGCGTGCCCGGCAGCGTCGTCGGAATGTCGAGAAGTGTCCGGGTCAATTGTCTTCGAGGCCGCATTGACGGCGGCAAGCATGCCTACGGCGTTTGTCGCGAGAAACTGCAGGTCTGCGTTCCCCGATCCCGACGTTTCGGCGGCGCGTGTGGAGCGGCGCGGCGTAGGACCGGGGGACATCTCGTGGCTCCTGGTATCCTCCTCATGCCCGGACTCGTCGGCCGACTCCTCCGAGTCCCCTTTGCTCTGATCGTCGTCTTCGTACTGGGCAAGCGGCCGCGACCAGGCCTCGGCAACAATTTCCGGGCGCTTCCCACCGTCGAGATAGTGTATCAGAACTGCATCGCCTAGGCTGGGCCGTATCTTTTGCCGACGATTAGAAGACTTCCGATTGGAACTAGGAGGAGGACTGACTTTGGGGAGAGGTATTGCGGGTGGGGAGGGTGACGGTTCGAGCTTGGGGCGGTGAGCTTTCATCAAGGGACTGTTTTGAGGAATTACTTCATCCGGATCGTAAAAGTCGCTAGCTGGAGGGTCGTGAGCGAGGGGTGAACCGACGGTCGCAGTCATGCTTTCACTGGCTGGCATGGAGCGGCCTTTACTCACGCATTTGTCGACTCAAGTCATCATCGAGAAACGAGAAGATGTGCCAGTTGCGAGCAACCGAGAGAGCGAGAGGGAGGGAGAGGGAAGGGGGGAAGAGCGAGGGGACAGAAATGCGCCGACGTGATTTAATACGATCAAGGCTGCTCGCACGCTGTCACCCGCCTCCCAATCGTGTGCGAGCCGAGTTTCCAAATTCTGTGCGAGAGATTGCCCAAGCGCACACTGTCCGACAGACCGACTGCGAGTGGACGACCCGGTACCGACGCGAGGTGGGAGAGTGACACCACGCACTGGGCTCTGACCACAGCGAAGAGAGCCGCACACAGATTGGTGGGTACTTTGGACCCTACGGGGTGATGTACGGGACGGTCGCGCGCTATCCAGCTTGGAACCACGCAGCTCGCAGCTCCTTGGCCAGACAGAATGCGCGAGATGGCAAAGATCCGGGGGAGAAGTGCGAAGAAGACGCAAGAAGGGGGGGGAACGGAAATTCCCAGGCGGAAGGGGTCGAATTATAAAAAACCAAACTAGGCCGCGAAGAAGGATGCGGCTAATGGTCGATTCGAGGTTAGACGAGCTACGGCACGGATTGGCAGTGGATAGACGGCAAGTAAATCTTGTCTCCCTGGTAAGAGGGGAGGGGAGGGGGGGGGGGATGGGAACCCCGGAGGCTAGCTTGTATACTGGGTTTCGAAGCCGTCGCTAAGGCACCTCGTGACCGTCGAAGAGTTGGCCTTATTCCTGGGTAGCGGGCAGGTAGAGGTAGTTAGGTATCTTTGTCGGGGGTGGGAGACCGGGGAGGAGGGGGGTGTATGTATGTGCGTAGGTAGGTATGTAGGTATTGGTGTCAAGGCCTATTGGTACGGCGCGGTATTAGCAGCTCTGGTTTGATGTGGTGGTGGTGGCGGCGATGGTCGCAATAACGGCCTGTAGGGCAGGGCAGGGCAGGGCAGGGCAGGTAGGGTGCGGCGCGGTCTGGCGCAAATAAGAGGGAATGTAAGGCGGGGGGGCGAGGATTATGCTGCGGAGCCGCCTCTGTTCCTCTTTGTCCCTGGTCCCTTTCTTCCCGCGGTGTTTCCTTTTTCTTCTTCTTCTTCTTCTTCTTCTCCTCCTCCTCCTTCGTCTCTTATTCTCTCCCCGTCGCAGGATTGGGGGCTTGCTCGACGGGACACCAAGCCGTAGTAGGGGTGTGGGAGGTGGTGGTGGTGTCCTGGGGCTTGGGGCTGGTAACTCGATGGGATCCGATCAGTCGAATTCCAGATTGCGCGTGATAGGCAGGTCCGAAGATAAAACCCGCATTTAATACGACCGGGGTTATAAGCTTTCCTGCCTGGTCGGGCTTACAGGGGTCGGCTCTCCAGAGAAGAATCCTGTTAGGAGATCAATGTCAAGTCAGAACGAGAAATCTCCCTTCCGTCATGTCTGTTCTGGGACGGGGAGGCGAGGGGTAGCAGCGGCGGCGGTAACAGCAGTGGCAGCAGTGTAGTAGTTATAGCAGTGGTAGTAGCGGCAGCACTAGCAGCAGCAGCGCTAGCAGCAGCAGTAGTGCCGTAGCAGTGGTTGCTCTCGTAGTAGGAAGAGAGGTAGCATCAGAGTTAACTAGCACCAATATGTACGAGCTAATGACAACAATCGAGCACGGCGGAGGACGGGGGGGCTAGAACCAGGATATTGGGACGAGACGAAAAAAGAAGGGTTGTTTGGCCGTGGCGAGGAGGGGAGGCGGAGGACAAGGCACGTCGGAGAGGGATGGACGACAACAGATGGAGGCGGGATGTGTGTATACACATCGAACACGGACGTGCCGTGCGTGGGCAAGCGCGTACTCGTGCGTAGCGTGGCTATCGACTCGCGCGGTTATGCGTACAACTAGAGGGCATAAAGAGGTGCCCAACCCCGTAGCGGTAGGTTATGCGTGCCCTGGGTTATGCGTATATGCGCGGATTGGCGTGAGCACGCACGTACGCAGCAGCAGGTCGGGTAGGGAGGCCAGCGACAGTGCCTACCTAGAGACGTGTGCGTGTGTTTGTGGGGTGGGTATGCACATTTGTGTATACGGGCGAGAGACAGAGACAGAGAAAGAGGGAGAGCGAGAGCGAGACGAGGGGAGACGAGACATACACACCACAGAGAGAAAAGAGAGATTGGGGGGGGGGGGGGAGACAGAGTGAGTGTGTGTGTGTGTAGTGGCCGTCTGTAGCCATCGATGTCTGTCCGTCTGTCTGTACGCTTGTCTGTACGTATGTATGCATGGCACATACACACGTTATCATGCGTGGTAGCAGGCCATTTCAGGGATTCGCTCGCTCTCTCTGCGCGGCCCAGTCGAGGCATCAAGTCTGGGGGTGGTTCCACCGATGGCAGCGGGAGGTTGAAGGACCAAGAAGGGGGAGAGGAGGCGTGCGGCGAAGAATGCGGCTGCGAGTGGATGGTCCAGGAAAGAGATTCGGGCTAAGACGAGACGGGCTCCAGCGGTGGCTTGGTGGGGGGGGGGGCGTCCTGGCTGCATCCTACCTAACTATCTCCTACCCACTACATCATAGCATCCCTCGTGTATGTGCCGCGAGCATGTACCCAGGTATACAATGTGTGGAGGCGCGTCCACTAGGTGCGCTTCCGGGCCCACTAGGCTGGAGGTTTGAAGTTTGGGCGTGTACCCGAGGCTAGGTACGGTATATGCTGGGGGGAGGGGGGGGGGGAATGCTTGCTCCCTACATCTCTCCCTGGACTGACTTCGGCGGAGGCACCGGGGGGGCAGGCGGTAGGCCTGCACTGGATGCCGGAGGTGTGCTTCGCTGAGCGTGTATGTGTGCCTTGCACGGGATGTATCTCGGGTACAGATATGCTCTATACCTGCGCGTGTGCTAATGTATATGACGCATGCCAGGGCTGGTGGTAGATGGCGGCAGCGTTGAGAACAACGAAAGGGTATGTAGGCGGGTAGATAGGTAGGGAGGTATGAAGCGCGTGTCGTACGTACCTCTGACTTCTGGAAGCAAAGGCCCCAATGCCGGACGGTGGTGAATTAGGAAGTACACCCGTATCTGCGTCCTCTGAAAACGGGCCTCGATGATTTGCGTCTACCTTAGGTACGTGTATGAGTAGGGTTGTCTCCGGCTCGTACCCAACACCCAGAGATCTACCTTACCTAACGGATCAGATAGCGTGCGTCGTAGGCAGGCGTAACCTCTTAATGAACCCGCCCGTACTTCAGGTTCTGTATAATATATATGTGTGCGTGTGTTGTGCGTGTGTGTGTGTGTGTGTGCAAGTGAGGGCGGGTATGTATACTCTCTTTTCTTTCTGTCGAGCCCCCCCCTGGTCGGTACGTGCGTGCGGCGGGCGCGGACTGCGGTAGGCGGGTGTGGATTGTAGTGGTGGTGGATTGTTTAGCAATTGAAGCCTCATTCAGTTGCCCCCCCTCTTTTCGACAATCCCTCCACCCCCCCAGATTACGATCCTACTCTTTTCTTTTTCTTCTTCTCTTCCCCCACCGCAAGCGCGGCAACTAACCGCCCAGCAGCGGGCGCAAATGGAGGCAAATGGGTGTAATGGATGCAATGCAATTATGCACTTTGCAGCCGTCCACCAGTCCAGCACTGCGTTCCCGTTGCTGCCCTGTTTTCTCCACACGACTCGCAACTGGTCCTGCTTTTGCAAATCGCTCGCGCTCTCTGCCCTGCCCGGTTTGCGACGCTACCCCTCGTACGGATACGAACCCGTGTGTATGTATGTGTAAGACGACGCAAAACCGGCGATGAAGGATGTGTCTCCGAGCCAGAAAATCGAGCAGAGAGGACCCGTCCGCTGGGGTAGGGTATGAGTGCCCTAGGTGTGGGATGTGACGGTATGCGTATGCGTCAGATGCGATATCTCGTCCGGCTTTTTGCGGGGATAAGGATGATCGAACGGCTAACTGGGAGCTGCCACCAGTCATGCAGGAGATTGCCTAGGGGAGCGAGTGATGTCGTGGTATTGGAAGAATGCGGCGACCCTGGCGAGGTGGTCTCAAACGGTCCAATGTCGTTTATTCGGACGTCATTGAATACACGACGTCCACATGACAGTTGCTGAGCGAGGGGCCTTTTTTTTCCTCAGCGAGGCGTGATAGGGGGGTTGGTATAGGCCGGAATGTCACGTCTATAGCCGGGAGAGGGAAAATCGCAGGCGAGAGGTAGAGAGAGAGAGAGAGAGAGAGAGAGTATGTGAGTAAGTTTGGGAGAGGCAGAAAGGGACAGCTAGGGAGAGAGAGGAACAGGCGATAACCATACTACGTACGTTCTACAGGCAGCTGAGTGAGCAGTAGCCTTCTCCCCATCATAGTTGGTTACTCAGCTACACTCTTACGCTCGTCTACTCTCTCCCGGATATCTAGGACGATTCACATTTGGGGGTTGTAGTATCAGTCGTGCGGCGTTCCGCCCCTTGACTACGTCTTAACCCGCCCACGTATACATGTGCGAAAAGCGAGCGAATCCCAGTATGTTGAGAATTCCATTGGGGGTGGAGAAGGGGGGCGAGCCGCTTTACATGTGTATCCACGGCTTGCGTGGCGCAAAAAAGGGAAAAAAAGAAAGCGGCGTAACTGAATCCAGCAGGCCATATGAAATAAGTATTCAGCCCCAAATGTGCCGACGCGGTTCCCTTCAGCTTCCCGGGCCTAAGCAATCTTGGCGAATTTGCATAGATACGAGAATACTAGTAGGGGAAAAAGGGGGAGGTAGAAAGACTAAATTGAGAGGGAGAAACATCCTCACTCCGTTTCCGAGGGATCCATCAGCGATACGGGGCAGATGTTTAAAGGCCGCATATCGCCAATAACAAACAAAGCGAGAAGGTAGTTATGGCATATCGCCCGAGCCCGAGAGGAAAGAAAAATGTGGAATCCCACAGATCGGTAGCACTTCAGGGAAAGAGGAAGAAGGATAAAAGCCACTTAGGACGGACGCATGGAGGCATGGAACAAGGTCTGGCCTTTCAGGTTGTGACGTGGACTCGAAAATCTAATATCGCATGATGATGATACAGCCGCATCTGCAGCCGCTTACCGCAAACCCGACGGAGCCTGCATGGGGGGGGGGAGGGGATACCTACCTACAGAACACAGAAGGGTATATGTGTCTCGTCTCTCATGTCTCATTAGTCACCTCACGTAGCCAGGCTTCTCTCGCCTGGCCTCTCGTGCTCTCTTCTCTTCCCACGCGTCCTCTCCCCTCTTGACTCTCGACTCTGCTCTTATCCGGATTCTCGAAACTCATAACAGGAGCTGGTTAGGCACAGTTGCACCTCTCCTGCATCTCTGCCAACCAAAAGGGAGCCTGGCCCTGACAAATTCCACCGAGACCGCAAGTTTATTAAACGTCGACTCGGTCGACCATTATGCGTCACTTGTGAATCTTGGGCTGTGAACCCCCCGGTCGCTCATAGCGGAAAGAGGAAAGAGTTGACAGGGACTGGTCTTGTTCCGGTGGGGACGCTTGGGAGGCCTCTTAGAAGATTTGGACGACGTGCCCGAAAAAGTGCGTACGCGAGGGAGAAGGGAACCTCGTCATGGCCTCACCACGCCTGCCGCCTCCCCAATCTTGGTTCGCCCGCTCGCTCGCTCGGCTCGACTGGGGTCCTCTTCAACCTGCGATGCCGTGTGGGCCGCAATCCCGGGCACACATACATATTACATTGGTTAGGTGTATTGTATGTACGTATATATGTAGGTATGTATGATGGACTACACCCAACGAGCCAAGGAAAGGTCGTACCCATGGCCCATAGGACATTCGACGGTGAAAAATAGTCCGCGGCCCGTCCGGATAGGGAGGGGGCGGGATAGCCTATAAGGTGCAGAGGGGCGAGTGAGTTGATGAGATGACAAGGTTATCTACATATATTTAGAGTGTTCCCAAGAGAAGACGCGAGCGAAAGAGGGAGGGGGGGGGGGCACACACACACACAGAGCGAGAGCGAGAGGTGCTGCCTACTGCATGATGAGTGAGAAAGAGTCGGAGAGATTGATTACTTGGTGGAGAGGAGAGGGGGGGAGTTGGAGAAGGGCAGATGAGTCCACGATTTCTCCGGCTCCACGACCCCGTCCCCTCCCTCCAGTCGCCGCCTCCATATACCGCTATCCAATTAAGTAGGACTGGCTGGGAAATTTCGCGTCTTCTCGCGTCAGGTACGTACCTCAATACTGGACCCGCATATACCTCATTCGGATACCTACCACGGTATCATATGTTATGTACCTTGGGGTAGGTACGTGAAAGCGCATAAAAGCTGCCCGTATAGCAAGAAGCGCATGCAGATAGGAAGTATACAAATGCATTAGGTATCCTATATAGAGATAGGTCCTACCTGGGTATATCTAACCTGCTTGGGTACCTCCAACACCTACCTCTACCTAGAGGTAACATCTAAAGGTATTAGATTGCGGGAGGTAGGTAACCTCAGTGACCCGTAGTAGGGGAGGTACTTCTTAGAGGAGGTGCCCAGCATCCTAACGTAAGCTATCCTATCCCGCAGCGGAAAACAGGTACCTTAGGTAACCTCCTATCTCTAGCCTTAGGTACCTAACCTACTAGAAGCCAGGTACTTAGCCAAGTGCATGAACGGCTTTATATGACTGTTAATAATGAGCCCTCGTAAAGTCCCATCCTTTTTGTTTCACATTGCCTCTCTATCTGCCACATGAGGGAATTCCTGGGAATTATGAGACCCCAGATGTTCATATTCGCTGGCGAATGACAAATCGCGGCATTGACCCGTCGAGGGCGGATCGTGGATCTCGTTAGGTACGGAACGCCGACGGACGTTGGCGATGCTGGGATCTCCCGACGACCAGCCTACGTCGACGCATACATACGTCTACTCACGCACTAGCATGGGATACCGGCTTAGACTAACACATTGAGATCACGCCTCTGGAGCGGGTTGGGATGCAAATCTACCCAACTATCCCAAGTCGCCTTAGTAATTCTCCTGCAAATCTGCCGCCTCGAGTGGGAGAGTGGGATTCCTCCTGCTCCCCCTTCTCCAATGCCCGGCCGTCACATCACCCGGCCTAGGCCCGTCAGGCAAGATGATGATCGATCGCGCTCATCCTGTATGCAATGGCATCTCATGACTAGCCTGACTGGCTGGACCGGAAGCCTATCAAGCCTACGGCCTGCACTTTACCCCATCACAGAGAGAAAGAAAGAAAAGATAATTTTGCATTTGCATTTTTTCCCCGGCGTCCGCGGCAGGGCAGTCCATCCCATCCACTCCTTCATTATCATGTTGATCCATTGGGATACAGCCGATTGCGCTACGAGCGCATCCCCCTTACGAATGGGGAGAAAAAAAAGACACCGGCATCCCATACTTCCCTTCCCGGGGCAGACCTACGTAGGTATCATCGTCTTTCTCCGTTAGGTTGAACGAGCACTTCTTCTGGGCTGTAAACCAGAGGTCACGGACAAGCAACAGTTCCCAGCTTATTCCTGCCTAATCTGCCAAGTAAAACGAACTCGACGTATATATGCGATACGAGAGGGATAGGGAGGGCGACACGCAGAGAGACGGAGAGACTAGGAGAGAGGAACTAAGGGGCCGAGAGAGACCGAGACCGAGGAAGACCGAGAGAGAGAGAGAGCGAGAGAGAGAGAGAGAGAGTGTGTGTGTGTGTGTGTGATGTGAGTGCACATACCTTCGTCTCTGTACACGCAACCAGGGAGGCGGTGTCCGGCTTGTCGGTGCGGCTCAGCACACCAAGAGGATGCAGTGTAAGCCTTTACGATCTTCACGATTGGTCCCCTCGCATCATGTTTCTGAAAACAAACGACCAGCGTCGCCTCGGCTACCTGAGATCGCTCCCGAGTCCCCTGCCGTCATGATTCATGTGCGTTTGTATTACAGCACTAACATACCAACATACCACCACCACCATCGTCATCATCACCATCATCACCACTATCACCACCACTAGGTACTACTATCGTTGTGACTGGTAAGTTACTGCTGCTAGTTACGCCTACCAGCTGTCATCACCAGCATCCCCTAATCTTACTCCCTTAGTTCCCGTCGATGCCCCCGGACGTTGGGAGCGCCCATCTTACACGTGGGGGGTTGCCCGGCTTCAGATTGCTGGCAGCTTTCTTTCATTGAGCCGCTTCGGGTGACCTGCATCCAGGGGGGGGCCACATTCTTCTGAGCCTCCTACGAGCCGCACTTTACTAGCACACGTCCAATGAGGTTGGGGACAGAAGGGTTGCACCAACAGACGACGTGCAACGTCGAGCCTAACCCTCTAGCCGGTGGCGTAGTGACCTACGTTAACAAGCCGATAAATACCCTGTCTTCGCTTGCCTATCCCTCGAGAATAGACAAACCACCTGACAAATGGCGCGGGCCTAGCGAGGCTCGCCTTCGACAGCCGCGATTTGCCCCCCCCCCCCCCCCGCCCCGGGAGGAGAAGAGACAGAGAGACCCTGGTTTCGTGGCAGCCCTTGGTGGGGGGGGGGGGGATCTAGAACTGGTATCTAGAACCGGGGCAGACGAGGGCAGCAGCTCCATCCTTTTTCTGATGCCTATGGCCAAGGTAACCTCGGTAACCTAGACAGAAAAGGGAGCGGGAGCGGGAGGGGGGTGGAATCGGCCTCTGTCGACGATCTCCTATCACCTATCCCATCGGGAAAGGCGCGACTGTGATAGATTACACCGTCTTTTACACGTGGAGGCCGATTGCTTGCAGCATTCCATCCCCCTCCCCAGTATCGCACCACCAAAGAGATGACAACACATTTCTCTCCCCTCTCCCTCTGTCTCTCCCTCGACCTCTCCCTCGACCTCTCGTACGCAACGAAATTCGTCCTTGTGGCTCTCTCCCCAGGCTAGGCTCTGCGCCCTCCCCGGCTGGCCGCTCGGCTGTGATGTTATATCTATATCATCACGCCGCATATGCTATGCCTACGTGCGTGCGTAGGCCGGAGTGAGTGAGCGGCCAGCCCCCGGGTTGCGCGCGTGCCGGCGTGCTGCTCCTCATGTGCCCTGATCGCCGTAGGCAGGTCGGCCTCGCTCTAGATAGGCGACGCCGCGCCTGAGCGTACATGGAATACACAGCTTCCTAACACCGTCACCTACGCATACAGGCACAGATGATGACGGCGCAGCGGCCGCAACGTATCGGAATTGACCCCCCCCCGGCTACCCCTCTGCTTGCGATCGCTTAGACCTACTCCCGTCCTCGCGGGCGGTAGCAAAGTGCAAAGATGTGGGTTGAGATACGACAGCAGATCGGGACAGGCTAGACTCCTTGCTTGCATCGTTTTTCTTTTGTCGGGATCTCCTTCTACGCCTGCGTGAGACTAAGCAACGTCAGCGGCAATAAGAGTCAGGCTGCCCGACTGACCCAATCTGCATAACCTACGTATACGATAAGGTCCAAAGCGGTGTCAGCCAAGCTATGTGTTAACAGGTGAAGAGCCCGCCGCCCAGGTCCGTATGCGACATCTCAGGTAGCCACCGGCCCGGGTGGCATCCATTCCAGGGCCCAATATAATGTAGATAGCGCCTGCGAGAGGTGATCCCACCAAGGGGCTCAGGACAGGGCCTCCCGACGACGAATTGTAACGTATCCGCCTGACGGAAATGCATCCTTCACATACCGCCTGTGGGCTCACGCGCACACGTCTACACACATGCATGTATTCTATATACCTATTATATATGAAATATGTAGGTACGTGTGAACGATGAGGAGATCGAGGAGCTCGAGGAGATCGACCGAGCACCTAGGTACTACGCTGGGCTTGTTGAACTCGCTTTTCTCGCGGGGACCTCGCTGTATTAACTTGCCGGCGTAAGCGCAAACGTACACACAAGTTGGCGGATGGGAAGGATGGATGCCCCTTACACACGAGAAAGAAGGAAAGCAAAGGAAGGGGAAGGGGAAGGGCGGTATTCGGCATTCTCCCACGTACAGCCTGCATCGCTATCCACCCCTTGCGCTACTTCACCCCGAGCCAGAAGACACAGTTAAGCTGGACATCCATCGCACATAAGCTGTGCGCCGTAGGTGCTGACTCGAAGCTAACTGGCGTGACACGCCCGGGGGCATGGATGCGCATGTACCTCCATGGCAGTCATTAAGACAGGCCGGGCCTGCGTTACGCCTAACGTATAAGGTGTTGGATTGGATGTTAGTCCTACCATCGCACTCAGCAGCACATGTACATCAAACACGGGCTTCGCAACGGCGCGGTCTGAGATCCGATCCAATCCAGGTACGGGGTTCCGCCTCGTCGAATCCTATCGAGGCTTGCTTCCCTGTTTTTTTTTCTCTTTCATCCCATTTTTTCACACCAGCCCCCAGCTGGGGAGGGAGAGGGAGACAGAGTGCTGTAGTAATAATGGACATATTAATTAATTAATACATCAGCATCAGCAGAGGAAGCGGAGTAAGATCGGCACAAGGCGCAGAGAGAGGAGAAAGGCGAGAGAGAGAGACACACACACAGAGAGAGAGAGAGAGAGAGACAGAGACAGAGATCAGGACCTGCCTTGGGTAGCAGCGCAGTGCGTTCCCACCCCACCTCGACACACATCCCCCGCATCCCAAGTCGCAGGACTTGGGCCGCGTGCTGGACCACGTTAGGTACGCTAGGTACCTGACCAGTCTCCCTATTATAGCACGGCGATGGGCTGTTATACGCGCACCGAGATAGCGATAACGCGATAAGCTACCTAACCTGCCTAGCCTATCCATCCCCTAACCCAGGTACCTCTCTCACTTACCTAAGGCAGCAGATGCCGCGGGCCGTACGCATGACAGGCGAGTGTCGTCAGTCTCGACCGGAGGCGAGCGCGCCGGACCGGACGGTGTAGACGCCCAAGGTTTTTTTTTTTGCTACCTAGTGAAGAGGGGGCAGGCGGGAGGAGGACGAGGAAGCCGAAGGCACACACACACACACACACACACCCATCACCACCACCACACATCGACACGGGGCCGCCGCAGAGCCAAAGTCGGGTGCGAATTGGATAGATAGTCAACTATCGCTGTATTTATTTATATTTATTTATTTATTTGCGTAACCCCTCCCCCTTCCCCCATCTTCATTGGCCATCGTACGACCCGTCGCCCGCCCGCCATGGACCCGCTTCCGCTCACCATGAACGCCGTCGTGTTCGAGGGCCCGCGCAAGGTCTCGCTGCAGCAGAGGCCTGTACCGAAAAGTGAATGCATTTCCAGCTGGCCCCCTCCCCCCTTTCCCCCGTTTCTCAGCTCCCCCCCTTCCTCCCCGACCCTTGCCGCAACGGGAAATCCGACGCGACTCGACGGCGTCTGACATCGCCGTATAGTACAACATGACGGCGACGTCATAGTCAAGGTCAACGCGACAGCTCTCTGCGGATCGTGCGTACCATGCTGCCCTCCCCCCCCTTCCCCCTTGCCCCCTGGCATCTACGTAGTTACGTAGACGGCCTAGGCCGTGCTGTTCCAGCTTCTGATCCCTCCGCTCCTCGGCCTACGTAGGGAGCTCCACGTCTTCCGCGGCCACCAGCCCTCGGGCACCGGCTTCGTCATGGGCCACGAGTTCACCGGCGCCGTCGTCGCCGCCGGCGCCGCCGTCAAGACCGTCGAGATCGGGGACAAGGTCGTGTCCCCCTTCACGACTTCCTGGTGGGCACACCCGCGCCTGCATCACCGCCCTGCGCAGTAGCCTGTTAACGCGTCCCCTCCCCCCTTCTCCCCCCCCCGAAGCATGGACTGCTTCTACTGCAAGAACGGCTACACCTCGCGTTGCGTGCACAGCCTGCTCTTCGGGTCCGAGAAGCTCGACGGCGCGCAGGCCGAGTACGTGCGGGTGCCGTTCGCCGACGGCACCGTCGTGCGCGCGCCGGCCGAGATCGACGACCGCGCGCTCGTGCTCATGGCCGACATCTTCCCGACCGGCTACTTCGGCGCGCGCAACGCCTTCGCCGCCCTCGGCGCCGCCCAGGACCCGACCGACGCCGTCGCCGTCGTCGTCGGCTGCGGGCCCGTCGGCCTGTGCGCCATCGTCTCCGCCCTCGAGTACCGCCCGCGCCACCTCTTCGCCGTCGACAGCGTCGAGAGCCGCCTCGAGCTGGCCAGGGGCCTCGGCGCCGAGCCCCTCAACTTCGCCAAGGACCGCGACGCCGTGATCCGCCGTATCCGAGAGGTCACCGACGGCCGCGGCGCCGACGTCGTCGTCGAGGTCGTCGGCCTGAGCCCCGCGCTGCGCACCGCCTACGACGTCCTGAGGCCGTTCGGCTTTATCAGCAGCATCGGGGTGCACAATGCCGAGGTGAGGCGGGGGCGACACTGGGGGGCGTGCGCAGCTGTATAGATGGTAGTGGATCTGACGTCGCTGACTCTCTGCTCCCAGATCCCGTTCGATGGCAACGACGGGTATAGGTTCGTCGACCCGCCTGATACCGTGCGACGAAGCCCAGCCCCCCCCCGACTGACTGACCGTGCGTGCAATAGCAAAAACATACGACTGCAGATGGGGCGATGTCCCGTCCGTGCGATATTTCCCGACGCGCTCAAGGTCCTAGCCAAGAACCAGCATCGCTTCAGGTAAGTTGGCTTCGTCGTCGGAGCGCCACCCACGTCATTCTCGGGCCAGCCGCATGCGCGCACCCGTCGGTCGACGGCAGCTAACCTCGGGCTCTGCGCAGCTTCATGTTCGAGAAGATCATGCCCCTCTCGATGGCGGTGTCGGGATACGACCTGTTCGACAAGATGCAGGTGCAGAAGGTGATCTTCACGCCATGACGGGGCGCGGGTAGCACCGTGTCGCCGCGGTAGGGAGATCGGGCGCTCAGTTCTGCCGGGGCTTGACGATGCCGTCGTGCATGAAGTAGTAGACGACAGTAGAGTCGGCGTGTACGGTAGCCAGTAGCAGCCTCTTGACGCGGCCCGGGGCGGTCTCGGCCGGCGGCGGCATGGAATCGAAGACGCTTGCAAACGCCCTGAGCGTCCACTCCTCGGCTAGGTGCGTAGGCAGGACCCATTCGACGGCGGGGGTCTCCGGGATGCGGCCCTCTGGGCCCGGGTAGGCCTTGAGCATCTCGATCTGGTCGTCCGGGTGCAGGTAGAGGCGGCGCGGGGGCAGGCCCGAGATGAGAGGTCTCGGGAGGGGCGAGTTGTCGACCGGAGAGTGAGTCAGGATCTGCAGCTCGGTCCAATCGTGCTGGCGCCGGAGATTGTCGAGCACGGATGCGGCCAGCTGCTCGACCTGGCCGCTCGTCTCAGCCATGGTAGGTCGCGCCGCGGTAACTGTCGTCGTCGAGATTGCGAATGTCTTGCTTGCACAAATGAATAGACGGGTGCTACGATGGGGTTGTTGTTGTTGTCGTGGTTGTCTTTTTTTCGATACGGAGAAACCTGGCCGAGGACCCTGCTGGCAACGTCGAGCCCGAAGACTAGAAAACAAACGCTGGATTAGGTAAAGCCTTGGACGACCTAGGGCGGTGTGCTGGGGCAGTTCCGGGGCAGTTCCGGGGTGGCCTCGTTAATTCGATACCTGTCCCTCAATTGCATGTGCATTTTGTGTAATGGGCAGGTAGGCATTCCTGGAGGTAGGTAGTGTAGCTTCGTTCAATCTATCGCCCCTCTTCAAGCCACCTACCTAGGTAACCCACGGTAATTTAACCATTATCTAGCCCGGACGACTGCTAGATTAACTGGTGTCTAGATCGCTGCCTCGATAGCTACTACGTGCGACTCATATATCTCCATAAATGAAAGCGTTAGACACAGCTGCTCATCAGACCTCAGGTGTATTACCTGCCTATGTGGTTGCGTGACCAGCTCCGTGTCGCTTCTCCACCACCCATCCCGCTTGGGTAGTAATGTGGCGATACGCATAGATAGATTGGCTACGTAGATCGGTAGGCCGGTGTCCCTTTCGCCTCGTCGGACCTGCATTCGATGTGAGGTTTACTAGATGACATCACAGCCCGCCGGGTTGGGACCGGCTTCCGCGGTCGCGGATACGGACACCCTGGGTGCGTATAGGCCTGCCGACGTGCGGACCTAGGTAGGTAGGTAGGTATGTAAGTGGGTTGGTTGACTACCTACGTAGGGAGGTTAGGGCCTAACATCACAGACCTCCATCACACCTCATCACCACTTGCTAACCCGCCTGGGTCGGTAACAGGTTACCTAGGTATGTAGGTGGCTACGATGGGGTGGGCGTGTGTGTGCTCAGGGTGTCGGGAATCGCCTTCTCGATGCTTTCGACACGTACCTAGTAGAGAGGGCCGACCGAGTGTTCTTGAGGCGGCCGAACTTGCGTTGCGTGGCACGTGGCAGCACCAAGTGCCACCCACCGGCGCATGCTACCCCAAGCCTATTGGCACATATTACATAGAGAGGTAGGCCTCGATATGTGTCTACCGTATCCGATTTGCACGGTTTGGGAGGCGGGGAGGGGTGGTTGTTTGAAACGCGAATCACGTCGGCGCAGGGCGTGCTGCATACCTACCTAGGTACCGACCCGTAGTCGTGGATGTCGACACCAATAGCAACATCCATCATCACAGCGACGTGGGTGGCGCAAGGCCTGTCTCTTCTTCCCTGCTCCCCCTCTTCCCTCGCCCTTTTGGCTAGGACGCGGGCGGAGCGGTAGCGTATGCAGTACGGAATCTAGAGGCGTGTATGCGCTCTTAGGTGCGCAGTAGGGCCTCTCTCGACGACGCATCGTCGTCGTCAGCAAAAGTCCATCCGCCCCCCGCGCGTAGGTGTGCCCGATGACGCACGCAATTGGCCGCAACCAGCATCCCACACCGCGTGTGCGTGTGCAATTTGCGATTTGCGCTTGAGGGTTCCCGCGGTTCGCTCCCTTCGCTCTCGCTTTCGCTCTCTGGGTGGCACGGGGCCGCTATCGTGGGTGTAAAAGTCTAGCCCCGTCGATGGGCCTCACTTCATCTTACTGACTCTCGACGTTACGGCCTTTACCTTGGTGCAACTTTGACATCTGCCTCCTGTGTATGCAGTTAGGTGCTATATCTTACCTTCTGTCCTTTATATCTGCTTTGACCCTTGCCTTAGGTAACTTAGGTAGGTAAGCAAGGTATATGATCTGGTCTCTCGGTGTGATCCAATCCAACCTAAAGGGCGCACATGCCAAGGCAAACGCTGGATTATAGAATGATGGGCTCCTAGATACCTAGGTAGGTAGACAACAAGTGAGTATATGTAAATTATACCTACCCTACCAGGTAGGTATCTGTTTGTAGGCAGGTGTAGGCCGGTATTATACTGTAGGCAGGTATATTTTCGTACCCGACTCTAGAATAGGTGGACCCGGTCCGAACCTCCAAGTCTTGACCAACTCAAAAGGTCCTGACTCTCTCTCCTCCTCCTCTCCTCTCTCTCGTCTGTCTTATGCGCCAAGGGGACCGCGCCCGTCGAATCCCACCTACGTCTATCCCTGCTCTGTACGAAAAAAAAGTGCGAGTGTAGACGGGAGGTAGTATTCGTATGCACGCACTACGTCGTACATCCTCTTCTCTTCGTACTACGCCTCGCTATTCTGCCGTGTTCCTGTTTTGGTCATCATTCAGCGTTTCCCACCGAATCGACCTCGTTAGTTTCCGAAATCGACCCCCGTTCTGGCCGCTCTCTCTGCCTCCTTGTTCTTCGGCCCTGTCTGTCTTTTTCCTGTTTCGCTACCCGAGTACGATATGATCTCCCGAGATCTGCTGTCATAGTTCAAATAACATCCGCCTCGCTCCCGAGTTACTCGATTGCCACTACCGTCTCGGCTATCCTTGCGCCGCTCCTCCATCGCGCGCGGCCGACCATTGATAAACCCCCCCTCGTTCGTTCTACTGCCGCCCCCATCGCTGTCCGAATCCCGTCTCCGTCGCTCAACGCCCGCTCCACGACTCGAGGTCACCTGAGCTACCCATTTCGAACGCAGGCACAACCACAGTCCGAAGATGACCTCGGATTCGCCAAGGGCATCCAAAGATGGACAAGACGACAGTGTTGAACGAGCCACGACAGTCTCGACGGCAACTGAGCCGAGCGCCTCTATTCATCAACGCGCGCTGATCCCGCCGCTGCAACCGCAGGAGGGAGTGGGCGCTGCGCTCGGCTCCAATGCGGCCGCGCTCGATGTTCGGATGCACGAGTACCCCAATGGCTACCACTTCCCGCCGAAATACCCCATCAAGGAGAAGGTCCAGATGGGGCTGGTTGCATTCTGGGAATTCTACAACACGGGCTTCGGGTTCTTCCTCGTCATCTACTCACTCAACATCATAGCCTGGGGCGGCATGCTCTTCCTCCTGCTGTGCAATGCCGCGCCGGCCATGTGCTGGGTAGACGGCATATTCGACTGCGACCACATCGATTCGCCGCGACGGATATGGATAGAGACCACGTCGCAAATCCTGAACGGGCTGTTCTGCGTAACCGGGTTTGGCCTGGCACCCTGGCGCTTCCGCGACTGGTACTTCCTGCTGGCGTACCGGCTCCGCAGGGACCAGAAGGCGTTACGGACGCTCGCGGGCGTGCATAGGGGCTGGTTGCGTCTGGCCGGCTCCGACCAGCTTCCCGTACACCTCGGCCCCAAGAACATCGAGGAGACGAACATAAGCTATCACGTCGATGCCGTTCCCTATCCCCTCAGCGCTATATCCGACCCGCCACCGACCGGCGTCCGGGCGCCCCCCACGACGCTATGGAAACTAGATTTCGTCGTGTACTTCAACGTAGCCAACACCTTCCTCCAGTGCGTCCTGTCGGGGTTCATGTGGGGCCTGAACCGCTACGACCGGCCGAGCTGGTCCACCGGCCTCTTCGTCTGCCTCGCGTGCATAGCCGGGGCCATCGCCGGCATCATGACAGGCGTCGAAGGCAAACGCGTCAAGGCTATCGAGGGCGTCCCCCTGACGAAGAGGGACATAGAGCGGCTGGCACACGATAAGGAACTGGGCATCACCCATTATAATAATATCAACGACAAAGACCTCGAGGCCGAGAAGGACCGGAGGAAGAAGGGCAAGAAGTGGTTCGGCAAGGCCGAGAAGCCGGGTCTCGGGACCGACAACGAGAGACAGGCGTTTTGCGATTAGGCCCGGCGTTAACGGGAGGGTTCATACATAGACAGTATGCCTACATCATATCACTATACCACTGAACTGAACTACATTTTCCCATCTGACGCGATGTAATCAAGCTCCATGCTGTCCCTCTACCACCACGGCTGCCAGCGAAAGCGATGTAAGTACATATATATGCATGCATACGTAGAGGTCCTATGAGCAGGCAGCTGAGCATCCGGGATTAAATTAGCAATCCCCTAGTACACCTCTCAGTGTTCGAGAGTGATTCTTTTTCTTCTTCCCCTCTCTCTCTTCACAGGTGCTCTAACGCTCGCCTACTATGTATGTCGGCAGTAGCGGTCCGCCAACCGCAAGAACTAGGGACAAGCTAGCTGGCTACCTAGGTAGCTAAGCTCTCGCAGGTGCCGAAGGCGACTTGGGAGGGAGATTCAGCGTGCAACCGTGGCTGGCGGGACGACGTACGCATGTGACGGCGAAAAGGGGGCGGATGGCAGACGGCTCGCTGATCACGAGGTGGCTCGCGAGACGGAGGGGGGCCGTCTTCTCGCCAACCACCCCGTCTCCCGCGCTCGGGTCATCAGCCCAGCCCCCAGGTACCCGATAATAAATCTCCATCCATTAGGTAGGTGTGCTTCGTAGGCAGACCCAGCGGCGAAATCTGGTCCTGATAGCTAAGTCCCCTGGCCACCTCGCGTCCTTCCTGGCAGAGGTGGAAGCTGAGAGAGGGTCGCGTTACGGCGCCGAATTGAGCCCGCGGATTCGTCGCCAGGGGGGTAGAAATACCCACCTAAATCATCAGACGCTGCGAATATTGGGTGCGCCTTATAACCTTGTACACGTATTTATGCAACAGTCGGTGTGCTTTGCATGGGATGGGCACCCAAGGTAAGGAGAGGTAGGTACTTCTCATGCACCGAGCTGTAGGTACCTCCTCCTAGGGTAACATCCTAGGGTGCCTATGGTAAATGCCTGCGAACGGAAACCCCTGTATCCGGCATTGCCTCTCCAGATTCCCCGTAGATTCCACTGCCATAGAACAAATGAGGCGAAGGCGGTAGGCAGCTGACCCAAGCGGCGGACAGCCTGCGGCTCTACCTCAGGCATGTACCTCGTACGTACCCTGGGTACCGAATAATTGCATGCTTTGTGCATGCAGCGAGAGAGGCACGGGCGGATGGCGTAAATGTGCGAGGGCGCCCCTTATCTCGTCAGCTTATCAGCCACTCGTCATCTTGTCCGCCCCTAATCCCGAATCATGACACCGACCTGAGACTGGTTCCCCGTCCCTTCTCGGAGGGGACATTGCCATCTCGGAAGCTCCTCTTAGCTCCCTCAACCCATCCTCTAACTTGACCTATCCATCATCACTTTTGTCCTCTTTGGTTCCTTACTTTGGAAAGCATCTATTACCTGTCTAGTCTTCGAATGTAGAGAAGGAGGGTGTGCATTGGACTAGCCTTCTTCTAGTCTCCGCCTGTCTTGTTGCTGCCTCTGATTCCGTCACGAGACCCCGATCTGAGAGCGCTGTAATCGCCCGCGGTTCGAGTCGCCATGACGTCCAGGGCGCTCGTCCCCTTCTTGGTGGGCATGATGTTGCTCACCGGGGTCTGCAACACCCTCTTGACCAAGTACCAGGTAGGCCTGCCGCGAGACGGATAGATGGGGCGTCCAAGAGAGCGATCGCGTAGCTAACCGCGTTTGCCCGCCTCGTGGGCACCGCGCGTCTAGGATAACCAATGTGTCCGGAATTGCGACGACCCCGACCCCGCGAAGCGCCGGTTCTTCGAGCAGCCCGTGCTGCAGACCGCCCAGATGTTCTTCGGCGAGGCCGGCATCTGGCTCGTCGTCGGCCTGAGGGTCGCGTACCAGCGCTTCGCCGAGTGGAGGGCAGCCGCTGCCAAGGGGTACCAGCCGATTGCCAGCAGCGACGCCGCCGCCGCCGGCCGCGCCAGTGGTGACGACGACAACGACGACGCCGCTAGCGTCACCTCCGAGAACGCGCTCATCCAGCCCTCGACGAAGCGCCGCCGCGCGTCCCGCGGTCCTGACGGCCTGCTGAAGGGCTTCGGCATCCTGCTCCTGGCGTTGCCCGCCTTCAGCGACATCATCGGCACCACCCTCGTCAACGCCGGCCTGCTCATGGTCGCCGCCTCCATCTACCAAATGACGCGGGGCGCCCTCGTCCTGTTCGTCGGCCTGTTCAGCGTCGTCTTCCTGCACCGCAAGCTGCACCTGTTCCAGTGGGTGTCCCTCGTGGGCGTCGTCGCCGGCGTCGCGCTCGTCGGCCTCGCCAGCGTCATCTGGCCCGACACGAGGGTCAAGGTCGTTGGCCAGGTCCTGGGCCAGGCCATCGAGGACGCTACTACCGACGACGCGCTCCGTGCTGCCCTCGGCGTCACCTTGATCGCCGGCGCTCAGATCTTCACTGCCACCCAGTTTGTCCTCGAGGAGTTCCTGCTCGAGCGCTCCAACATCGAGCCCATCGAGGTTGTCGGCTGGGAGGGCCTGTTCGGTCTCGCCGCCACCCTGCTCGGAATGCTCGTGCTGCACCTCACCATCGGCAGGACCGACGCCGGCCGGTACGGCATCTTCGACATGGTCGAGGGCTTCCGCCAGATGACGGAGTACCAGGTCGTCTGGTCCACCAGTCTCCTCATCATGGTCTCTATCAGGTAAGCTATCCCCGTCTTTCTCTTCCCGCCGAAGCAAGGAACCCCCCCCTTTTTTTTTCTTGCTAACAGGTGGATTAGCGGTTTCAACTACTTTGGTTTGTCGGTGACGCGCAACGTCAGCGCAACGTCGCGGTCGACGATCGACACGTGCCGGACGCTGTTCATCTGGATCGCCTCGCTGGGGCTCGGCTGGGAGACGTTCAAGTGGCTGCAGGTCGTCGGGTTCGCGCTGCTCGTCTACTTCACCTTCCTGTTCAACGGCGTCGTCTCGCCGCCTTTCAAGTTCCTCCGCCCGGCCGACGACGAGCCCGTCGAGGAGCTGCTCCCCGAGGAGCCCATCGAGCACAACTAGAGCCGGACTGGTCGATAGCTACGACGCGGGCTTACTGCTCGAGCGGCTTGCTGGTTAACGTAAATATGCTTACTCGCCGGCATTCGTCCGCGGGGCCCTAGCACGAGCGCGACGGGCCCGGCTCGGGTCACTCATTTTGGAAGAGAGCGAGGGCAGGCTGCGTGTTCGAATAGGGGTTGCCGAGCGCTCTTTTATCGCTGTCGTCTGAGGGTAGGGAGGTGTTGTTTGTGTCTGTGTTCCTGCATCATCTCTGGGCGTTGGAAGGCGTTGTCATATATATTTTCGCCGTCAATCCTTGTTTTTGGCCGGGGGGGGGGAACCTCTGCTGTCTCCATTATTGTGTACCAACACGAGGGTTATGGCCGAACGCGCTCCCCCCACACACACATCCGCTTAATCGACCTTTTCTATTCCGATTTGCGTCGTTTGCTTCCACGCTTGCTACTACCTACTACTAGCCACTGCCGACGCTCGCCCGCCTTTGGATAGGATAACGAGATAGAATTCTTTGCTTTTCTTTTCTCTCTTCGTATGGCTAAGGCTGGGGGGAGTCTTTTTCGGATGGGTTTGTACCGCTACGCTAGACATACACGCACGGGAACGTTGGAATCAAATCAGTTTGCCTAGTTTGCCTAGCTACTCTCCCCCTTTTACGGGGAGTTCCCTTGACGTAGATGGTGCGAGTGAATGGGTGTCCTGCGTGTCTGCGATTTGGACGTAACATGCCTCATATCCCTCTGCGCGGGTGTAGAATCGACCAGGCCACGGAGGAGGGGAGAAGTTGAGAGCCAGAGACCAGACCCGTCCTGCTCCGAGACTAGGGCCTTCCAGGATGCGTAGGGACATGCTTGGTGGGTTACGTTGGCATGGGACGCGTAGACAAACCTACGGCTTCCTCTACGGCGCTACGAGCCCACTCACACGAGATGTACCGAGCTCCCGAGAAGCAAGGGGCACGCCAGCTAGGAGATGTTCCCAATCTATTCTGCTAGTGATGTCGAGATTAAAAAGAAAAGAAAAAACTCACTGCGGAGCCGCACGAGGGCCGCTCCTAACCAAAAGAAGACTGCTCAGAAAGAGCCCGTAGCCGCTCGTCTAACCCCTAACCTCTAGGGACAGTCTGCCATAGGCTCACCACAACCTCCCCCCCGGCCTCAGGTGCTGACGGAAGCGCGCACGAGAATGTATGGGGAGGTGAATGCCGTTTCCTTGTCGCTTTCCCCCTGCTGCCAAGATCCCGCGGAATAAATAAGCAAACCTTCTGGAAACCTGCAAACGCCTGGCCGATGCATGCTTCAAATCCCCCCCCCCCCCCCCAAAAAAGGAAACACAACGCGTTGACTATCTCTAACCTCTTAAAACGTATAATATCGCCACCAATGATGATCACGTGGCGCCAGCCATGGGGGTGAGGCTGGCGTCGTTGATACTTTCGGACCGTTTACTCGTTGGCCCGGCCGCTCTGGCTCTAGTCCGGCCGGTAACATCGAAGGCCGCCCAGCTAGCGTCTAGCTGACGTTGCAGAGCAGCTCGGCCTCGAGGATGAACTTGCCCTCTTTGTATTTCTCGCTCGACTCGTAGGCGCGGTCGTACTTCCAGCCGACCGTCTCCTTGCACTGCTTGCAGGTGATGTCGCGCACGATGTGGCGGCCGGTGGTCATGCTGCGCTCCGAGGGCTCGCCCTCGTCGATGTTTACGACCGTGTTGAAGAGGTAGGCCTTGCCGTGCTGGCCGCGGAAGTTCTGTTTTGGTGCGCGAGAGCGGTAGGTTAGCAGACGAGGCTCTCACCATCTTCGGTTTTTTTTTTCTGGCTGTCTGGCATCTGGCAGGGCGTGCGTGAGTGAGAGAGGAGGGGAAAAGTGCGTCATGGGATGCAGATTAGGATGTTAGCTCGGCGGAGGAAAGCAGGAAGAAGAAACGGAGGTCGTACTCGACTAATGATCTCCTCGTGGTTAGCGAGGTGAGCTTTGCATTTCTTGCATCCGTAAATCTTGCTGCTGTTAAGGTAGGTGTTGTACTTTAGACCCATGGTGCCGTCAAGGTGTGCGTGTAGAATCGAGTGAGGGATCTCGCCGTGGTCTGGTTAGAGCCCTGTGGCAAGTACCACGGTATGCTGCGTGTATCGTAATGCCGGATGAGTGCGTGGGTTAGTGGGCGTCGGGGCGAGATGATGGAAAGTAAGTCGGCACGCCAGACGTGGGGTAGAGCCTTGCGTGTAGGAAAGAAGATGCTTAGCCGTCGTGAGGAGGGGGGGGAATGAGAATGAGACGCCGAGATGTGCTAAAGCGATGTTCTGATCGATGTTCAGAGCGACCTTCGGCGTAGGTGGTGAGGCTGGCGCAGGCGGCGGAGGCGGGAGGTTGTTGATGGATGTGAGGTCGAGAGGTGATAGGTATCGAAGCCACCGGGGCTCCTTCCCCCAGGTTCTTGGCCTACACGAACGTCAGTGCCTGGAAAGACATAGGTACATTCCAGATGTACCCACGATAAGGCCCCTGACACGGGATGGTACGGTCCTACAGGTAGGTAGAGGTACCGTAAGTGATTGATGTAATCTCTCCACATGGCATTACATAAGAACCTCCTATTCATTCACCATCCGATAACCTCTCGTATGTCTGTCCCGGGCACCTCTGTAGATTAGGTACCTTGGGTGCCTCGTATTTATATACATGCCTAGGCACCTTGGGTACATACAGGGCCCCCCATACCTCCTAGGTACCTAATGTGTCGAGCCTCCATCGCTCAACCCGGCCCTTCTTGTATGATAGGTACCTGCCTTCCTAAGGTATGTAGGTAGATAGGTACCTAACCTACCGCTACCAGGTACCTACACCTGCCTGAGATCTACCTCGTGGGTGCCAGTCCACACCCCATTATAGGCGAAGGTTAGGTAGGCACATATTGCCTCTATAAAGTGCCTGCCTATAGTATATAGAGGTACCTCTCTATATAGGAGGTATGTCCCTAATATATGTGGACTGCCCCCAACACAGGTACAGCATCCCTACCGCCGGCCCGGCTCGAAAACCTCAACTCTTCCGTAGAATGTTACCTGAGGGTGATCACACACACACACACACACACAAGACTACAGCTCGGCCAGTCGCAGCGCCGCGTTCGGCCCAGAGATACGACCCAATCCTGCCAAGGCCTAGCAGCTACTCGGCACGCTCAGCACACGTGGCGCCCGTGGTATAGCGGGAGCCCGCCGTGGCGTATTAGGATGCCGTCGCCGTAGACCTGCCCGCGCACGGCGCCAGCTAAAATACGCTACCATGTATGCGCCCACACACCTAAAGTACACACGTAAGCTATCGCCGAAAAACAGGGCACTATACGGTTTCTCGCATTCTAGGTTCTTGATGCAACCCACCCCTCGTATCGGTACGCTCACGTATCTCGATCCGTGTGGTAGCACTGGGGAGAAAGGGGGGGTAGGGGGAGGGCACCCCAAAGCTTCTCTACACGTAAATGATCCGTCCAAGCCTCACTTGCTACGCGTACAATGCAGGCCAGGCACAACAAGTCCAACAACCTCGAACCCCCGCATCCCGCTTATCGGCTGCGAGTCGACTAGGAAGAATTCCGTAGCGGAACTCGAATCGTAACGTCACGGACCTCCTGTGCTTGCTTAACTATCCCCGACAAACGGGTCGTGTTCGCCTGGTGAGCTAGATAGGAGGAATATGTGTGGCTTTCCCGTCCTACCCAAAACATCCAGGCATACGTGTAATGCGTCGACGAACACACACAAATAAGCCGGATTCAAAATCACTCAGGAGCGAGGAAAAATACCACTACGTGCATCTTTTTTTCTCTTATTTTAACGAGGCCGCACAATGTTTCGGTTTCATGGGGAATTCGCTATTGGGTTGCCCCAAGGTGGGCGTCTGTAGTGGTGGTTCGCTCCTGGTCGTATCGGTCTATCCGGTCATGGCCATGCACAGTCTGCATCGACTGCGATCGCCGCGGACGAAATATTTACATGAATCTGCTTTCGCACTAAGGAAAAAGGGGTTGAAGAAAAAAGGAAATATACAATCAAACGTAACACCCGTCTTATACAGAATAGATCTGGATTCCCAAATGTAGATCTTGAGTTTCCAAGGGGCTCAGGGGTGCTAACTAAGCCCGGCAAACGCTCCCTCTACCACGAGAAGGCCTCCTCGATGAAATCGATGCTGCTGCCGTATTGGTTTTGGCGCACGGCTTGCCGGACCTCGTCGCTCAACGCGCCGGGTCCGCACACCGTCACGCCCATGGTCCCAACCTGGTGCTCGGCCTCGGACGCGATGAGATGCTCGATCTGAGGTCTGCCGGGGAACATCTGGACCGTAGACGAGGGGCTGTGGATCTCCTTTGTCGAGCGCGGCCTGCTCACGAATAGCATGATGCGCAGTACGTCTCGGCGTTTATCCATCGCTAGAATCTCCGTCATCCACGGCCGAATCCACTCGAGATGTTCGGGGCTCTGCAGGATCCATACGAGCACCACTTTCCGCGTCGCCACCGTCCCGTTGGCGAAACCCGCAACCAGGTCTCGAACGTGGGGGACTGCATGAGTCACGCCCACACCGCCCGCGAAAAGCATCACCGTGCCGTACGAATGCATCATGTGGTCTCCGCCGTACGGCCCTTCGACGAAACACGTCGTTAGGAGCCGGCCATCAGGAGACGCTGCGGCCCTTTGGTACAACGTGTTGGTCATTCCGGTTCTGGCTCGGATGATGAATGACATGCTAGTCTTGCGCATGGCGAGCACGTCCTGGCGGTTCATAGCTAGTTTATCCGCAGTAAAATCCTCGGCTTCCTCGCTCCACGCCACGGAGAAGGGGTGGGACTGCCAGAAGCTGATGGCCGGCATATACAAGTACGCGTGTTGGCCAGGGCGGAAGGTCCAGGGCCGTGCCATCGTCACCGTCAGGCGAACAGCATTGCCGGGCAGCGCCTCCACCAGCGTTCTCGTCCCGCCCCTGCCGATGTTGTGGTAAAAGACGCGTACCATGCGGAGGAACCTATCGGCAACCCAGATGGGGATGACGGGGATTAACCACTTGATGGCTTCGATCTCTCCCAGGTCGAGATGGTACCAGAGACCAGCGATCGCGAGCGCGGCGAGCGCAATATGGAAGAGCTTGAAAAACTCGTAATAGGCATGCCTAGCAATGCTAGCAGCCTGGAAAAAGATGGCCACGAAAGCGCAGGTGCCCTACACAATGTTAGCGAAATACATCTAGAGAAAAAGGGGGGCGGGGGCGGGTGGTAGATAGAACTTACAATGAAACCCCACATCAGGAATGGACGCGTAACCGAATTCTTCAAGGCTGCGGCCCATCCGTTGGTAGCTGCCGATCCGGCCCAGTACGCGAAGGTGTGGCATACCGCCTCCAGCACCACGATGCGTCCAAACCAGCGATGCAGCAGGTTGAAGGTGTCGAACGACATGCCGAGAAGGCCGATGAGGGGGTTATTCCGACCGGCCATGATGAATAGAGGAATCATGTTGACGGTGGCTAGCGTGCCGCTCCGGTTTCTCAGCTGCCTGCAGGCATCGACGTAGGTCGCGGCCCAAGGAATGTTGATGACGCAGAACGCGACGTTGGTAGCCAGGTAACCCAGCAGGAAGAGGAACTGGAATCGAGTAGGCAGTGTGCCGACATTGATGGCGCTGCTCAGCTGAAATTCGCGATTGTGACGTTTCCTGAAGAGAGGAGAGTAAAGGATGTTCCTCTTGATCCACGAAGACTTGGTGGATGGACGGACGTAAAACCGCTGTGTGCTATTCGTGAGGCTCGTGACCGTTCGGATGTACCGGACAAGACCAGTAGTTAGACGCCATATTACGAGGGCACCCGAGACGGCGCCGCACACGATCAGTAGATAGCGGGAGAGAGACTCGTTCTCCATCGCGGGAGTCCATCCTGCCGCTTGCCCCTCACCGGGCGCCGGTGCTCCAGACATGGTGAGTGTTACGGCTGTAAGTGAATGTGATCTCGAAACCAGCCCGTTCGGAATCCCGACCCCGAGTCGATAAATAGCCGCACAATCGATGATCACTAGGATCAGACAATCGTCGCAACAGAATAGGAAGCCGTGCCTCTCGGAATCTCCCGCCGCGGAATATAGGGAATGTACGAAGACAGCAGCCAAACAAGGTCAACTCGAATGGCCGATGCGATTTAACGAAGGCAAGTAACAGCCAGCTGCCAGTAAGTCGAAGTGAACGAGGCTCGAGTCGTCTCCTGAACGGCAACCTGTTGCGGCTTAAAGGGGAGGAGGGTGGGGAGCTTCGTAGAAGGGCCAGGTTAGTAGTGCCGGACAAGTTTGTATTATAACAATAGACGTCCTCGGGCGCTTAGATGGTGACCCTGGCTTGAAAGGAGCGACTGGATGCTCAGGAAGGATGTGCCCACTAGGAAGAGTGCTTCTCAAAGAAACACACGACAAGGGCTTTGTTAGAAATGAATGAAAACTGGCGATATCAACCCCCCGGTCAGTCTGGCAGGGGAGGAGAGAGAGAGAGAGAGAGAACGCGAATAACTTGGTTGGAATGTGGCGAAAGGTAGCCGTGACGGGAAGAAGCCAGGAGGATCGGGGCGGGCGAGGTCGAGAGAGAGGAGGAGGTGGTGGTGTTGTTCCGTAGCCAGCGCTTGCGCTTGAGATATATGGGATAGGGAGCGGGATTGGGTCCTGAGCAAGGTGTGCCCACCGGCGGCCCCATTAGGAGGGTGGAGGGTTGGAGTGTGGGCCTTCGAGATAATACAACGCCCGCACGAGAGAGAATGGCGCATGGGCTGGTAGAGGGGGGAGGACCCAGCAGACGGGGGGGACCCACCACGGCCGCGTACCACGTAGCAGCACAGACATATGCGGTGCCTCAGCCAACCTGGGGCATGGGCGGATTACGTAGGCTGGGCTTGGCCTGGCGATCAGTGCCGGTGATTGGCGGCGGGAGGGGAAGGGGACGCACCTATTATGCGGTTTTCTCACGGGTAAGCAGGTACCTCTGCAGGTACCTCTGCGGCCAGTTACCCGGGCAGTACCCGGATAAGTACCTACCTACCTTAGATACCTACCTAGGTACATCAGGTACCTACACGCAGGTAGGCACAGGTAGTCAGGCAGTCAGGTACCTGATGCAGGGTAGGGTTACCTACCTAGGTAGGTATCGCACACCAATCATCGCAGGCCGTCCCCTGAAGATCCGAAGAAAATTGGCCGTGGGTGCGCCCGCTAGAGATTACGCGATAACCTCCGGACGCTGGTGGAAAAGCTTCATGCAGGCGACCAGAATGTGCGCATGCATACTTGCTGCGGTACCTACACTAGGTATATTCGGTACATCAGGGAGGGCTCAAGTCGCATGGGTACCTAAAGTACCTAAGTTGTACTACCTACGTGCTAACGTGGTGCCCAAGGTACACCCCCTCAGGCACGAGAGGTACCGTCTATCTTCGCCCGAAGGAGGTATTGCCGCATGGGGAGAGGCTGGCTGAGACAAACCACGCCGGTCTGAAAATCTGAATTTTCTTTCCCTGCCAAAGCATCGGTCCCGGCGCCGATAGTCTAGTCCCATCCACCGTCCCTCGTTTGTCGTGATCGGATCCGCATGCGAATCGAAAAAGCAGGCAGAAACCGGGACGACACCAACTCTACCCACGTACAGGTACAGCCCACATGAATGCGCGGGGATGCAGGTATACAGGTACGATATACTACGATATACTACGTAGTGCATATCTGCATCTCGACAGGGCCATGTCCGCCGCATAAGGTGGGATGCTGCGCCCGATGCCAGGTAATTTCGCCTCTGCTCCCCTCCGCCGCTGGCGTGGGCTGCCAAGCCCTGACTAGGATGGGCCGTCAGAGCGCCAAGGCGAGGTACGTTTATTAGCTGCGGAAGGAAGAGAAAGATTTGCCGAGTGCCTGGGAAGATCGACCCAGGCCCCGACGCGGTAGAGGTACATCCCTGCCAGCTCTCTTCCTTTTTTTTCCCCCTTCCGCGCCAGACCCGAGGTGGTGGAAAGTATCCTCTTGTCTTCCCAGTCTTCCACCGTTCGTCGACCACCTTCGTCTGCACTGGACCGGGGCCGATCTTGGAGACCCGCGTACGTATATACAAGTGTGCCATGCGTTGTGCACTCTCCAGCCTCGTACCCGTGAAAAGCATCGCGATCGAAAAATATGGCTTTTTGAAACGAGCCCAGGCCGCTTTAGAGGACGGGGATTCTCTGCAGCTAATCACTGCTCGACACCGCCCCGGCACTGGCCTTTAGACGGGACAGGGAGCCGTCGCCCACCAGCCAATCATGCCCGGCTGGAGGCATCCTGCGTGCGCGGCCGTTGACTCGAGTACCGTCAAGACTGAGACGAGAAGAGAAAAATCACCACGAAAGCAATCCGTCCCATTGCTTAGACTGTATCGTGGCGCTATATACGCGTGTACATACGTGCTCATACGTACTAGTAAGATATCTTACTATTTTCCCCTTTACGACCCCTTTACGACCCCTTTCCACACGACAACGAGAAGCCACCTAGATACACACGCGCTGCGCACGCTGTAGCATACGGCCTGGTCAACCCGCCTCTAGGTATTTGAGACACACCCTGGGACAACTCATCTCTCGCCGTCTGTTCACATTCGCACACATCGACCACACTCTACCCCAGGCCAATCCTAACCCTGCCTGGGTAAAAAAAAAAAAAAAAAACAAATATATATAGCTCTACAGTGGTCGTGGAGCCTAGGCTGCCCCGACGATAGTGAAACGCGCTGTTGCGTTTCCGAGAGAATATCTACACACCACCCATTTCCAATCAGACAGTGCCGCCGTGCTCAAACGGAAAAAAGGCCGCAAGGTAGGGTCGGGTGAGTATGCCTAGCACACTTTCTTTCGGACTAACGCGACGACGACATTGCTACCATGCACATACGCAAGTAGTAATATGCGGATCGTACCAGTCTTCTAGTCGAATCCATACCCTTCCCTGATCCCTGACCCGAGACCGTGTATTCTGCATTCGACACGTTACGAGCCTCACGTTGCTTATGCGATGATTGTGCACCAAGTCAGTTTCCTCCCAGTCTAATACGTGCCCTCACGCAACGCATAGTGGCGTCTACGTTCGTCATGTCCCACCAGGCACACCCGATGCTGGCAGAACAAAGCTATACCTGTAGAACCACAGGCAGGTATGCATGCTATACCACCCATAGTATGTATGCCTTGCAGTACACACACCCATACACCCCCAAACGGAAACAAAACACCGAAGCCCAACATTAAACCGACAGAATTGCATTTCAAGTCATCACCAGCTGGCCACGAAACCGATCGCAAACCGGCTGCAAAACGAGAGCAACGGACAGATCTAGACCATTGTCGACGGCCTCACACTTATCTACTAGCGTCCTCAACCCACCCCCCCCTCGTGTTCGAAGAAGGCCGGGCCAACGGCCAACGTTGTTGGCATGGCAGAAGAAACACGGTACCGCTCGATATCCCACGAATAGCTGAGCGCCTTTCCGTCCCCTGAAAATGAAAAGGGAGAAGAGCAGGATGTTGAACCGACTTTCTTAATTCGACCTGTTTCATGTTTCACTCACCGTCCGACTCTCTCGATCTCCACAGTTGTTTTTCTTCTCTAAGGATGAGCACATGGATTCCATTTCTGGGTCGTCGATCGGCCCACCACCGATGGCCCGCCTACGAACTATGACCTGATATCGGAAGAGGTTCTCTTTTTTTAATCTCCCTAATATCAACCATGCGACCTATATGCCATAGGAGGCTCCCCCGCCGCTTCTGACTATCTATAGTATATGTGCACATGCACACCTTGTTTATTCAACGGCGGGGATACCGCCCAGGATGCGAGATCCCGTTCCCACGGAACGCCGTCTTCATATAGTCCATCCTCTCCCCACCCCTCTGAGAATTCATCTCATTTACATGCGAACGCTCCCGGTCCCGAACTTAGTGACTGTTGGGGACGTTGAGTATGCGCGAAGATAAGCACTGGTGGTAACAGGGTGTAGGTACAGCATGCCGCCGTAGAATTTCGTGCAACGTTTCTTCCCCGACGGGCAGCAACCAGGTCGTCACATGCAAAGCTCGTCGTCGCTGTACTCGCACCCGTTTAGACTGCCTCTCTGGCTTGCCAGGCGCGACCGCAACTTAGGATTTCGCGCAGTCCCCCCCACGCTCTTCCTTCCTGGCTTATTGGCCACGCCGCATTGCTGGTTCTCCTTCTCCGAGTCGAGCTCGTCCTGCGATAGGTACGCAGATCCTGATTGAGAGGCAAACCCGAGACCTTTACTGTCCCGGCGCGAGGAGGAGGTCGACGACGCGACGCCGCCCGTGGCCGCCCGTGGCTTGGTGTGGTGTGCGTGTTTCTTCAAACGAAAGCGCTCGGCTACAACTGCCACAGGGTCCTGGTGGGCCTCGCAGAGGCTCGGTTCTGGTCCCTGTTCTATTTCGAGACTTGGAACGTCATCTGCGTCAGCCCATACCGCGTCCTCGGATTGGAATGCTCCCTGTTCGTCGCTGATGCTACGATCCACACTAGGTGCGGATGGCGATGGACTACCCCTCGCCCTCGCCAGTGCCCGTGTCTGGGGTGGTCGTCGAGTGATGACGGGGCTTGTCGTCACCCATTCGCCTATAGTTTCCTCCCAGCGGTAGCCCGTGAACAGCGAGCGCGAGTCCAAACGAGAGCCTGCGCCATTCCCTGCGGCGGCCAGGGAATGGTTTGCGGCTAGCCTTTCGGCGTAGATGAAGTCCTTGACGTTGTTGGTCTGCTGTGCCAGGGAGAAGGCCGCAACCGCCTTCAAACTGTCCACGACTTCTCGGTCGAGCTCGAGACGTTCGATCTGTCCGAATATAGTATCGAGGCAGTTGTGAGATGCCTGCGACATGCCGCGTCCGCAGTTGCGAGCCACTGCCGATAGGAACGAGGCCATATCGTTGAGACGGTGTCTCGCCTGACCTCTTCGCGTAGACTTGGGCTCGACATTCTGACGCCAAGCTTGTTCGACAATGTGTTTGAGCTGCGAGCTGATGGCGTCACTCTGGGCGTGACTGGAAGATAGGAAAAGCGCCATATGCAGTAGGTCTCTGCCTAACCCGTGCCGCGTAAACCTTGACGACTCTAGATGGGCTAAACATGATCCGATGATGTACCTGAGCCGATCGCCGATGAGGCCTATCTTCGCGATCTCCGCCTCTGATACGCTGGGCGAGCGGAGCTCAATCTCGCCCAGCGAACACATAGCGGTGAGCACCGTCAAGGCACTCATCAACGTATGGTTGTTGGCGATAGCCATGTCTTTTTCTTGCCGGGCTGCCTCGACCCCGCTGGCGGGCGTGCGCCTACGGCGACATAGTAATAAAACGGAGCGATACATAAACGCGACAGCATCGATAGCCGCATCCGCCATGGACAAACGTCGGGTAGCCAATACCCATACCCGCTCGAATCCCCGCGTCGTAAGCCAGTCCTGCGGAAGGTTTCCATCAGATAGCAACCGCGAGTACTGTCGAAAAAGGAAGGAAGGGCGATCGAACTTGTTAGCAAAAGTCCACAGCACCGACAGGGGCTGGAGATGGGGCAGCTCTGCGAAAGAACTGTCCGGCGTCTTCGGCTCGGAGAATTGGCGGCCGGCCAACGCCGCAAGAAGCTCCTCCGCCTCCAGCAACGCGCCGCTTCGGACGCAAAGATCAAGTAGCAGCTGTGAGAAGTCATCGTCGAACAGTCCTTCCTCGATCGCCAGTCTGACCGCGTTCAGTCCGTCGGCCCGAACGACAACTCTGAGGTGTCTCCACCCCCGGTTGGACCCGATCGAGTCCAAATAATCGTATATATGCGCCGAAGCGTCGACGCCATCGAGCGTAGATACCGTGCCGTTGTGTTCAGCCTCCGTCCTCTCCCAAGCCTCGAGCTCCCCGATGTATTGCGGCACTTTCCGTAAACAGATGTCGAGGAACGACCGCGGGCCCCGAGCCGGGCCAGCATCGCACCGCGTCGCCTTTAGGAGCGCTTCCAGGCTCCTGTAGATTGCCTCTAGATCGCCGAACCTGCTAGGCGTTGACCGGGCCCGTAGCTTTGCCAGGCGCTGATCAAGTTCCCTTTGCCGTGTCACCGGCCTATTCTTCCGGCGTGGCTCACCGCCACCGTCAGCGCCCGAATTGTCGCAGTTCGCAGCGGGCTGGCCAGGGGCCGCGGGGGATGGGACGATGTGACCGCGTGCACGTCGCAGCAACGGCGTAGCAGCGACGATCTCACCGGGCGCTGGGATCCTTGGTTCGGGTCGGTTCAGGCACGTTGCCGATTCTGGCCCCTTGGGGTTTTTGGCCGGCGCAGACTGCTCCCCCTCGAGGTGAGAAGACCGCCTCTGGGAGTAGGTGAGGCGGATCCTCTTCCGTGGCCTGAGCCATCCGCAGTAGGCAATGCCTTGCTGCTCAGCCGCGTCGAGTTCCGCGTCTTCCTGGGTGAGGTTATCTGCGGCGGAGACTTGTGTCGCCGCGGCGGCGGCATCTCTCCTGAGAGAAGCAATACGCGAGAGCAGCGGCCGAAGCAGGCGCTGGCAGCGCGCCGCGGTCCAGGGCTGGGAGATGTCGCCCGGCTTATCCGGCCTGGACACGAGACGCCTAGGCTTACACGGGGTGGTGGGCTCGTCGGGAGCCATGGCGGAGAGCGGCAGCGGCCGCTAGTATACTGCAAAGCAATGCCTACGGATTTTCGTATTGGGTACGCGTATTCGTTAAGACTGCATATAAGCTCGGGTGGAGCGCACTCCCCGTGGACGGCGATGATTCCAGCACCGCCAAAGCATACCAGCGAAGCGTGTTAGAGCGCGGTAAACTCGGTAGAAATAGGCGTCAAAAACGGTTTCGCCCTGCGGTAGGCAGGGGATGCTTCGCAATAATAGCGATGCGGCGTAGGGAGCCAAAGGAGAATACCACCAACCAAGCAAAGGGAAAACGCGGCGCCGATGCGCATCGCGTAAAATGCGTAGGCAGGGAGGTAGTAGGTAAGCAGGCATAGATACGATGCACATACCAACCTACGCACCCGCGCCTATGTTTAGGCTGGGATCCTACCGGAATGTTTACTTTGTTTCTCAATTGGGAATGGGGTTGTTTTGTTTGCCGGATTATGTAATGAGACGGAATCCCATTGGCTCTACTTCCAGACGGCAACTCTGCTGTTATCGTGCCTGGCGTAGCCTGCAAGAGGTACCTATGTAGCACCTAACCTCGGGTGAAGTGGATAGGGATGAATCCCATAGCAGAGATAGGCGCCTTTATATATACGAAGTACATAATGTACCTAAGTTAGGGTCCGCTAGGTGTAGGTACCTAGGGTATCTATATATCCTGTGTTAATTCTATCCGGTGCTAAGGTCTGGCAGCTCGCTAAACTAACCTATAGAGCCACACGTGAATACCCCTATCGACGCTCTGCCTAGGCATTAATTCCATGGCCGTAGAGCGGCTTTCTTCCTGGGCTTCTATGCATGGGACGTGCGGCCATCTAGTATAGGGGGTACCTACCTAACATACCTGAGGCGTAGTCATAACTACCTCCCTAGCAAACCCCCAAGTAAGCCCAGATGAGCGCATTCACACAGTAGACAATGGAGCACGCCGAAAGGCGAACCTGAGAGCAGAAATAGGAGGGGAGAGCGGCCATGGAGGGGTTCTAGCCAATGAGCACGGCGGCAGTTCCAGCGCCCCAGCGACATCCCACCCCTCTATGCAGTGTTACGTACTGAGGGTATCATTGAATGCCTCCTCTGTCGAGTTTGTGCGAAGGTGTGCCATGTACCGGCCAGGCATGCTCGCGGTGGACAGGTACTTGCCAAGGCCTCTCTCGCGTTGAGATGGTTGAGGATTGGCACCCCACTACCTCCATGTTACTCCCAGCGCGGTCCAGTGAAGGACCCCCCTCCCCCCACAAGGCGCCTGACCACCGCCGCAGCTCCGACTGTCCGGGAACAGTCGGGCTTTCCTTGCCGTTGAAAAAAAAAAAAATTGAAATTTTTCGAAATGTGCTGGTACTAAGAAAGCTATGATAACCAATGGGACTGGACTTGCGATGTTCTCTCTCTCCCTCTGCCTGCCTACTTCACTCTCTCTTCCCATACCAACTGCGAGCTCCCAGACACGGAGTCAACCTGACCAGCCTCCCAAACAATAGTTGCGAGATCAATTGGTCCGCCGTCCCTTTTCCTTACCTCTGTACACTATTTCTCGGACCGGGTTCGTCGCTCTCTAGAGTGCTGCTCCCTCAGATCCCCCCGGATCCCCCCCGCTGAGCTCACGTCGGGTCTCGTGCATTCTTTTCCGTGTAAAAATTCCAAAGCATTCTACGCCGTCTTGCCAGCTTCTTACGGGCGAACTTGTTTCTGCTTCTCGTCTCCTCTCCGTCGGCTCACCATGGCTCAGGACCCCAAGTCTGTCGGTACGCACAAGTCTTCCGCCCCCTCGCCTGTTGTACGGGCGTGTCCGTCCCATGTTAACAAGAGGTCTCGTGATCTAGCTCAACCTTCTGGCCAGGAGGCCGACGTTCCAGTGGACCCGCCTGAGACTGTCAAGGATGAGGCCAGCGCACAGGCCGAGGAGGACGCCGGGGAGGACGCCGGGGAGATCGCAGATGGTAAGGCCCGGGACCGAGACTGGCAGCCTCCGGGCATGCCATACTGCTGCCCATCTTGAACTCTCGTGTTACTGACTCCACCCAGCGTTGTTCCCCCTGACCATTCATCTTCCACGCGAACCCAACAAAATTCATGTTATGGTTAGTCTTTTTTTTAGGGGGGGGAAGGTTTAAGATGGCCCCTGTTCCGTTCCCGCGTCTGATCCTTGTGCAGGTCTCCCCCCAGGAGCAAGTCCACGAGCTGCGCCAGTCTATTATCGAGCTGCCTGCCGCTTTCCAATACTCCTGCTTTCACCTCGAGCACGCTGGTGAGCGAATCAATGACTTTGTGCAAGTCTCTGACGTAAAGGGACTCGGACCCGAAGCCGAGATACGCTTGGTCGAGGACCCCTACAACGAGAAGGAGGCTAGAATACATGTCATCCGGATTCGGGACCTGGTGGGGGCGGCTGGAGACCGGACCGATACTCTGCACGGGGTTCTTCCGGGAATCTCCCTCTTCGATGCGGTTACTGCGAGTGCCAAGGACACTGACAATGTCCAAGCCAGCGCCTACGAATTTGATGCCCCCGCGAATCCCTCAACCCTCATACCGAAAGCGGAGGAGCCCGCCCCGAAGACTATCAAGTCTATTTCCCTGTCACCGTGGCACCCGCCACCCTATCACTTTAGACAGAAGGGCCATCTGCTGTACCTCCTCGTGACCACCAACGAGGGGGAGCAGCACCAGATCACCTCCCACATTGGTGGGTTTTACGTGAACAAATCGTCGAATAGCAAATTCGACCCCTCGCCCCGAGCCGCACCCAAGGGCCATTCCGCGCATTCGTTGTTAACGCTCCTGTCCCAGATCTCGCCCTCGTTTGAGCAGTCGTTCGAGCAGCTCTTGCAATACAACAATGTCAAGGATCCCCTCGCCACCTTCCAGATGACAAATGCCATCCCTGCGGCACCGTGGTTAGTCCCTCCGCAATCGTCGCCGCTGTGCGCCCACAGCTCAGATATCACGAGGACGCAGGAGGGCTATCTGATTGCTGGCGTTGACAATACGGATACCTTACGCGACTGGAATGAGGAGTTTCAGTCGGCGCGGGAATTACCGAAGGAAACGATCCAGGATCGCGTATTCCGAGAGCGGTTTATCTCGAAGCTTTTCGCGGACTACTCCGATGCTGCCGCCAGAGGAGCGATCCTGGTTGCTCGCGGAGAAGTCACACCTCTCAACCCAACCGAAGGTCGCGACGCTCAGATCTTCGTCTACAATAACGTCTTCTTCTCCTTCGGGGCGGATGGGGTCGGCACTTTCACCTCGGAGGGCGGCGACGACGCCGCGCGTGTCGCTACGGGCAAGGACGTCAACGGGGTACGCACCGTCAACCAACTTGATATCGACGGGCTGTACACCCCAGCCACTGTGGTGGTTGACTACCTCGGCAAGCGAATTGTCGGCCAGACGGTCGTCCCCGGAATATTCAAGCAACGGGATCCCGGCGAGAACTCGATAGAGTACGGCGCGGTAGAAGGCAAAGAAATCGTGGCGGCCGACGAGCGCTTCGCGCCAACCTTCGAAAAGCTGTCCAAAGCGCTCAGGGTCAAGAAGCATCCTGTGTGGGACAAGGACGGCAAGCGGTTTGATCTCGAGGCAAGCGTCGAGACCAAGGGTTTAATGGGCACGGATGGCCGAAAATACGTCCTCGATTTGTACCGTATCACTCCGCTTGACGTCCTGTGGCTGGAGGAGAACAGCACCGCGGCCGAGAGCGAAAAGAACGACCTCGAGTATCCGCACCGAATGACGGTCTTGCGGCCGGAGCTGGTGGAGTTGGTCCGAAATCAAAAATGGACCGAGTGGGTCAATAAGGAGCTCGCGCGCCTGAAGAAGCAATCCAAGACCCAGGACGACCAAACGGCCGACAAGGAGAACGAGGACGCGGTACCGGCAGACGAGAAGGCTACGAGGGAAGAGAAAGCAGAGGGATCCGAGGAGCCGAAGGATGCTAAAGAAGAAGGCGCGGCGACCGAAGTCGAGGATCGTATCGATGCTTCTGAATTCCACTTTGCTCTCAACCCGGACGTGTTTAGCGGCCAGGTCCCTCAAACGGACGCAGAAAAGGAAGAGCTAGCTGCCGACGAGCAGGACGTTCGGGGTGCGTGCAAGTATCTACGAGAGTCGGTAATTCCCGAATTCGTCAACGATATCAAGGCCTCGGACCTCCCTTTCCCCATGGATGGCCAATCGCTCACCAAGATGATGCATAAGCGCGGCATCAACATACGGTATCTCGGTAAGATCGTGTCTCTTTGCGAAGGGCCTAGGTTGCTGCGTCTTCGGGATCTGTGCCTGCAAGAGATGATATCGAGAGCGTTCAAGCACGCTGCGGGAAAATACCTGCGATACTTGCCAATCCCGTTGTCCTCCGCTTGTATCGCCCATCTCCTCAATTGCCTCCTCGGAACTGGTTTGAATAGCAAACCTACCGCCGACGTCGACGAGTTCCTGAAGACTCTCTACCCCGACGCCGACCTCGCCTTCGTGAGCGTCGCGCCGGAGAGCCTCCGGAAGGAGGTTGAGGCTCAGGTCGCCCGGCGGTTCAAGTTCACCTTAGAGTCGGATTGGTTCAATAATTTCAAGCACCTGCAGCTTCTTCGCGAAGTAGCCTTGAAGCTCGGTTTGCAATTGGAGGCGAAGACCTTCGCCTTCACGAGCGATTCCGCTGCGCCGACCATCATCAACGGCATTAACGGCCACGGTAATGGCGAAGGCAAGAAGAAGAAGAAGAAGGCGAGGGAGGGCTCCCCATCGTCTATCGCCTCTACAGGTACACCGACAACCTTTACTCCGGATGACATTGTCAACGTCGTCCCCATCGTCAAGGATTCGGCTCCGAAGAGCGCCATATCCGACGAGGCGCTAGAAGGAGGGCGCCATTCCATCATACAGAACAACCGGAAAATTGGTCAAGAGTTATTACTGGAGAGTCTTACTCTTCACGAGCAGATCTACGGCATCCTGCATGCGGAAGTTGCGCGAGCATATTCTACACTGGCACAGATTTACTACCAGCTCGAGGAGAAGGACGCCGCTGTCGATCTAGCTAGGAAAGCTGTCATCGTATCAGAGAGAACCCTGGGCGTCGACTCTGCGGAGACGCTGCTCTACTACCTCAACCTCGGCCTCTACGTGCACGGATCCGGCGACAGCAAGACAGCCCTTGCGTACGTCAAGCATGCCCTTGACCTGTGGAAGGTGATCTACGGCCCCGACCACCCGGATTCCATCACCACCCTGAACAACGCGGCGGTCATGCTCCAACACATGCAAGCATACCACGAGTCCCGCGTCTGGTTCGAGCAGGCTCTGGCCGTATGCGAACGTGTGATGGGCAAGCAGTCACTCCCCGCCGCGAGCCTCCTCTTCCAGCTCGCCCAGGCGCTGGCCCTGGACAACGAGTCCAAGGCGGCCCTCGGCAAGATGCGCGAGTGCTACAACATCTTCCTCCACCAACTCGGCCCGGAGAATAACAACACCAAGGAGGCCGAGACGTGGCTAGAGCAGCTGACCCAAAATGCTGTCGCGATCGCCAAGCGAGATAAGGACGCCCAGGCAAGACGTCTGCGAGCCGGTATCAAGTTCCCTGCTAGAAATGTTGCCCTCGGCGGCGGCGCTGCGGCCCAGTCGGCGACGTTGAGTAAGCCGAGCTCGGATGGGCCAGACGCTAGAAGCATCGACGACCTCATCAAGTTCATCGAGGGAAATACGGCCCAGAAGAAGAGCACCAAGAAGCGCGCCGGTCGTACCGCGCCCAAGACTCGGGTAGGCGGCGTACCGTCGTGAAAGAAGGCCACAAAGGTTACGGGCGCGGGCGACGGGGAAAGTGGATGGTGCCCCGAACCGCGGCCGTGAGGGCCCGACGATCTTACCTTGAACGATGGTACGGGAAAACATGGAAACATAGGGTCTACTACCTCGGTTACATACCTACATTTTCGGATTCGGGGCGTCTCGGAGGCAAGATCTGCCCGCCTTTTTTTTTTATTTAAGAAAATTTCTTCTCGTTTCCCGAGACCCATTTGCATAGACATCGGAGTGGGTTTGCATTACGTGACATCGCTCTCAAGGGCCCCCCCCCTCCCCTTTTTTTTTCCTTCCCGCCCTTCGTCTCTTCTCCCTTTCCGGCTTCGGCGAGCTCCACAGGTCCGGTTGAGGGAAAAAAAAAGAAAACTTGATTATGTCATCGGACATCGGAACTCTCTAGGTGGAGGATAAAGGGAAGTCCGAAAAGAAGAAAAAAAACGCAAGACTTCTCGTGTATATAGTACTACTAGGAATGCATGTTCGATACACAAGGGGGGGGGCAGCGTCGGCTATACATACATACGAGACTAGAAGGAGGGGGAGGAGAGGGAACGGTTGTTGTTACTTATTACGATGCTTACGCGGAAACCCAGGGATGGGCGAAAAAAAGGGAGGGCAGGGAGGGAATGGGGGTCGCGGGTGTGAATTGCCTACATACCTGCGGTAATCGGCACGGATACACAGGCGGGCGGGCGGACAGACGTAGCTACGCGCGCGCGCGCGCGCGAGAGAGAGAGAGAGAGAGAGAGAGAGAAGAGGCGGGTGAGGGTGAGGGGCGGCCCCTATGTAGCGCTGTCGCTATCTCTGCCGCTGTCGCCGTGTGTGTGTTCCCTGCCAACCAGTTGTTTATGCCGGGCTAATACGAGAAACATCTTCACTCAACCCTCCCCGGCCATCCCCGCCCGCTGACTTACTTTGCTTGCGCCTACCGTAGGCGCGCACCCGATAGACGACAGAGGAGATGCCGTAGGCCACCACCTCCCGGCCGCGCGCTCATGCGGAAGCTGTGTTGCGTGCGTGCGTGCCGACGACTCTGTATAGGTATATCCACTACTTCCTGCTAGGACGGCCGGCCCCCCCGCCTGCTTTGCTTGCCGGCCCCGGCGCAGGCTCCTCCTGGCGGCGCGGGGCAGGACAACACGGCGTAGGCAGAGCGGGCCGGGGGAGGAGGCGGGGATAGCACACGGACCCGAGGGGCTGGGGCGCCCCGGAGCCGGCCTCGTCGGCGACGGCACGGTATCACGCGAGACGCAGAGGCCGGCGGGCCAGACAAGAGAAGACGCAAGAGTGCGGAGGGCAGGGCCGGGGCTAGAGGAGTCTGTATAGGTATATGCTATTTCCTTCCACCCGTCCGTCCTCCCTCGAGTGTTGGACACACACACACACACACACACTACAGACAGACAGTCGGTCGGTCAGAGTACCCGTCGCCCATCCATCCATCCATCCATCCATCCATTGATCTAGGGCCCCCACCAACATACGTACGATGTATTCGCGCGACGTGATGCGTCTATTACTGTACAGTGCCGCCCCCGCGAGTCCCGATACCGTAAGACATCCTTGGGAATCTGTGATAAGAGAGGCGAGAGGAGGCTCTCTGGACTTGTGTAGATGCGTGGGCTTGTGTGTTGGCACAGGTAGGATAGGGACGCCTAGGGAACGAGAGGTGGTAGCCCCGTCCCGAACGAGACCGACTGATTGACTCCCCTACGCGACGGGGGAAAAAAAATAGAATATGACATAGAGCCAGAGCGAGAATACAAAAAAAGGAAGAGCAATGATCCCAGGTTAAGCTCAGATAAGAGCCATCGCGCGCCATTTTACACCGTCTCCCTCTCTCCTTTTTGCCCCCCTCCCCGACTTCCGAACTTGCACCCCCAAGTGTGATTCGAGTTGCTCCCACTCCGTTACGCGCGGCAATGGTACGCACGCGCGAGAAAATCAAGACAAGACAGGTCTCCTCCCGCCCACACCCCCCGGAGGAAAAGAGAGAAAGAAAGAAGGGCAAAAAAAAAAGAACACCCAAAACGCCAAGTCTTGTACCTAATCATCGTCCCCACTCGCCTCATCGCCCTGCTGACCGACGTACAGACGTAAACCCATGAGCCCTTCGTTCGATCGAAATCGTCGTGTTGTTGTTACATGTCAAACCGTCCCGGACGCCTCCCGACCCGCATTCACCCTTCCTAGCCGGCCGACGGCCGGTCGGCCCGGGGAATAACACCCCAACAGGTAGATCAGACCGCCCGCGCGCACAGTAATACGCCCGAGGTCATTCCGAAACTCTCAAAAGACGTAAAGGGAAAACACGAGTAAAGAGAAAAAGAGAAGATGGAAAATGTTGGGAAGAAGAGAAGAAAAGAAGAAAAAAGAACCCAAATTTGACATAACACCGTCAACACCGTCGGAAGAAAAAAAATGCGGACCGAATGAAGGGAGGAAAAAAATGCCATGCTAACTAGGTGACAAGCTGTGTGGATACTGTCACGATGTATATGAGAAAGAGAGGGCAGGGGAGAAGAAAATGAGTCCAGAGCTCGCTCACGGCGCTTTCTGTCCGTTACCTCCCCGGTTCTCCTCGTAGTTCCGAGAGAGGGAGAGGCGGTGGATGCTCAGTGATTCTCATCTCACGCTCTGCCGCCATTGGCTCGGGGGACCAGGCCGCCGAAGTGTACGGGGGCGTGGTAGGAACCAATGCTCTGGAAGCCCCTGTATTATTGCCATCACCGTTAGCATAATTTCTCCCGGGGGGGGGGGTGTTGTCATACTTGGTCAGATCGAAGCAGCCTTCCTCTTCGTCCTCCTCGACGACCGCGGCCTTTTCCTGCGACTCGGGGCCCGCGCGGGCGGACCTGGTGGACCTGGTGGGGCTCGCAATCGGGGAGCGGTCGCCGGCGGCGGGCGGGGGGCTGCTGCTGCCAGGCAAGCCGCGGGGCTTCAGGGGGCTCACGTCGTATTGGATCGACTTCAGCGGCGTGCTGTTGATATCAGCGTACTTCCAGAACGGGGCCGGCGAGCTGGTCGGCATGTGCTGGCTCGGCCTCTGGGCCGTGCTGGGGGGTGCGAGCCGTGGGTGAACACGGTGAGGCGCCGGGGTCACGAATGAGGTACCTTCATCTTGGAGGTACGACGACGAGAGGGTCGGTGGGGACTGCGGGAGGGCTTCGGCGCCGTCGAACGAACTAGAGAGATCTAGCGGCTTGCGGCGCGGGAGAGGACTGCCGTCCTGGAAGCTCGCGGGCCCCGCCGGTAGGAACTTGCGGTCTGGTGTTACGTGGGACAGGTTCAGGGACGACTTGGGGGGCGGCGAAGCCGTTGGCGAGGCCTTGCGCTTGCGTGCCGATGTGGGCTCTCGAGCTGAAACGTCCCTGGGCCCTTGTGTGACGTAGCTCAGCTGGCTAGGCTGATTGGGAGACGAAGGGGCAGAAGAACCGCGATGGCCACCTCGTCCGCCCTTGTAGGCGACCTTGACCATCTCCTCGCGGGACTCGGGGACGATTTCCCACTTCATACCTTTGCCCGGCTCGTCCGTCGATCGCGGAGCCTTCATGAAGGATTTATTCAGCGACAGGTTGTGTCGAATGGAATTCTGGGGCCCAGTTAGCGCGGCGTCCTGCAAATCGGGCGCGGGATATGTATGTGTATATGACTTGCCTGCCAGCCGGATGGCGGTTGGTTCCTGTAGTAGGAGTAATGGTTCATGATGTACTGGTAGATGCCGGCAAGGTTCAACTTCTCCTCGGGGGTGCTGAGGATAGCCTGCGTGATCATCTGGGCATAGCTGAAATGGGGCTTGATGTGCTTATTCTCGTCCTTGCTCAAGTCCACATCGCTCTGGTTCATAATCATAGTTCCAGAAGAGCCGTGCGTAGGCGTCTTCTGCTGGGAAGTGGGGGGGCGGCTCTTAGCCGAAGGGGGTGTTCCCGGCCGCCTGTAATCGGGGGGTGCGGGAGCGATCGGCTGCTGGAAGGGCTGGCCGCGGGAAGAAGACGGCCTGGCAGCAGGCTGCGAGGAGGAATGGTCCGCGGACGGGACAGTTGGTAGGGCGGTCCTCCCCGTTTCGCGTACAGGGCTCGACCGCGAGGGTTTGATGCCTGCCTGCTCGAGGTACATGGGGTGTATGCGAAGGGGGCCGAGGCTTCCCGGCAAGACGAACATCATCTCGATGCCACCAATCTCGACGACCTCACCACTAGATAAGGGATGTGGGTCATCTGACTTCTTAAACGGGGCATTGTCGATCTTGAGTCCATTGCGGCCCTTCGCCTGGATGAACCACTTTCCAGGATCGGAATCGTAGTAGATGATAGCCGTCTGGCGCGAGAACGTCTTGGAGGGGCCCAGGTCGATATGGACGAAGTCCTTGTCGTTGGGGTCCTGGGTGGGGGGATGGGAGTGAGAGGGCTCGGAAGTTCTACCGATGTTAATCGATAAGGACTTGATGAAATAGGTCCAATCTTGCGCGGATATCTTGGCATACGCCTCTATATCCTCGGTCTTGGACTCGTGGATAGCATTGGCATGGTCCTTGCTAGCCTGCGTGTGAATGCTTCGCAAATGCTGGGTTACTTGGGTGATCAGCCGGTCGTCGTCGGTCGAACCGTCAGCGGCGATGTTGTCAACCGTGAGGCTCGAGCCCTCGTCCTCGACGGGTTCCGACTGGGGTTCCTCTACCTAAACATGCAGTCTGTGGTCAGCAGCTAAACGCGGGCAATGGGGCAGGCGCGGGCAGACGACGTACCTTCTTTCTGCGCTTCGCAGGGCGCAACGGCGAAGACTGGTCCAACGGGGTTGGGCTGGGACTAGGATCGCGGGCGCGACGAGCCCTCTGCGGTCGCTTCGAGGAGGGAGGCATGGCGGATACGCATTACTCGAAGGGAGGGGAAGGGGGGAAGAGAAAATAGTACGCGACGGCGCGTCTAACGGCGGGTGGAGGCGCCTCGAGGACAGACGGGTTATGACGATATACAGATGCGGGCGAGGGGTCGCGGGTAAATCAACCACTCGGCGCAAGTTGAAGACGCAGTCGGCAGTATATCGCGCGGTTTTTTTCCCCCCGTTGTCGCGGATGTGGAAGCGGCAGTGTGATCTCAACCGGGGAGAAAGATGGGAAAGATAGGTCGGGTTTTATAAGGGCGCCGAGTCAAGGGGACGGGGCGACCGCAGTATTGACGCGGGCGATGACAGTGAAGCGCGCCAGGGGCGGAAGGGCGGCAGTCAACGATCACACTGTAGAGGGTGAGGTTGAAGGGCGGCAGAATGGGACAAACACGGTCGGACGATTGCTTAAAAGTAAATGCGCTGGAAAGAGGCTCGGTCAGACGAGAGCGCCGCACGGTGGACTGCGCAATACAGTACGTGTAGGGCCGCAGTGGTGGAATGGGGATGCGCAACGATTTGGTGCAGATGGTGATTTTTACGTGCGTGCGTGCGTGCGTTGCGTGTGTGTGTGCGTGTGTGTGTGTGGTGATATTCAATATTGACTTGGGACCAGGTGAGGTGGTTTGTTTAAAAAAAAATAATAATAACGATTTAAAAAAAAAAAGGACGTAGATCGGTCGCGCCTCCCGCTTTGTTACGCAACTTCATACCAACTGAGCTCGCCGCAAACCCATCCCTGCCTGGCGCCTTCCCGCCTACCGAAGCGCGTCGCTTCCTAGATTATTTTAAAGTGCCCCCCCTCTTTTCCCTCTTCCCCAACCGCGATAGCTCCTCCCTTTTTTCCCTAGGTACCTACCCATACAGGCATATGATAAGCAGACAGATACCTACCTCCTAGATACCTACCTACCTCTAGTAGCTTACATGTACCTAGGTGTACCTTAGCTGTCTGTCTGTCTGTCTGTCTCCATGAATCAACAACTCTCTCTCCCTCTGTCCTCCTCTCCGTGCTCGTATTTATATTGCATTGTATTGTTTTGTTTTCTTGTTTCTTTTGCTGTTTTATTTACCTACGTATCTCCCTTGTACCGTAGGCAAATCGCCAGCCCCTCGTTGTCGCGTCGCATTGCATCGCATCGCATCCTATCGCATCGTCATCGCGCCCGTCCCCCCCCCTCCGCCTCCTCCAGTTCCCTACCAGACGGCAACAAACTCCACTGGGGCAATGCTATGCACATCTGCATGCATATCTCTATTTACGAACCGCGCGATCTCGTCAAACAGCCTTACTGCCATACATACCTCTCTAACTCATTACTACCCAGCTTAGCTTAACCCTCCACTCTATCTGCCAGAAGTGCTATTATTATAGTATGACATTGGTGGGTGATGTGATTTAATATTATTAGCATGGCCGGCGCTGTTGTTGTTGTTATTATTATCCGTCATTCAGCCTCATCCTTTTTTAAATCAACCGCCGACCCTAATACAATGCCCGTCTTGCTCGTGGCGCATCTGTGCCAGATATCTGACGTTTCCGCCCATCTGCCTCCTCGCCACCACACTGGCTCCGCAACTGCATCGAGAATCTTCCCATTTACGATATTCATATGCCTCGGTTCTCTCTATTGGTCCCGCCTGAATTCCGTTCCTGCGCAACATTGCGGAGCAAAACCCACTCCGTGCCTTACGCTATCTCTTGTCTTTCTTTTTCCCTCCTCTTTTTTTCTCTCTGTCTCTCTCTTTCGCCTTTTTTCGTGACGCCTTTTTACCAAATATTGTATGTGTGCTAGGGGTAAAAGTGGATGGTTTAACCCCTCCAAGTACTTTCGCATCCAAACTTGCCGTCTATCTGATCGTGCGCCTCTGATCGGCCGATTGCGAGGCTGCGTATGGGTCTTCTAACATGATTTCATCCTTGGGACTCGCGCCTCCGGCTCTCGCCCACCGCCTTACCGGTCCCGTCGTGATAGAAAGTACCTACGCTTCGGCAGTCTCCGTCGTCTCCGCAAGGGAGAGACGGCCTCTTCGTTTTACCCCACGATTACAGTAGGCGATTCTACCTAGGAGTAGGACTTAACGCTGCCGACATCTTCAAATTTCTCTACCAGACTCACTATGTACCCAAGGCATTTCCACCCCTAGAAGGCAGCCTTAGGAAGGCGTATCTGCCTAGCATGCGCGGAGATAAGAGATAGCAGCCTACCTAACATACCTACCTTCCCCTATATATACATACACGTTCCTGTAGCCAGAGCTTCGATTTACCACCCTAATAATAACCTCTTGTCGCTTAGTCTGGTCCTCAAGCTGACTGACATGACAGCTGATAGCAGCTGATGGGAGATGGCGTATACGGGCACTTATAGACGTAAGCTCGCTGTTGGCGTCGCCGGAGGCTGATCCGGTTCCGATAGCGTTTTGCCGATCTGATCGAAGGTACTCCGAAATCGCAAAGGGCCTGCGCTCGGGAATTCTCTTCAACTCGGCTGCTACATACCTATGCACTTGAGGTATCCTACCATGTGCCTATGCATGTTAGTTTAGTCGTCGAGTGGTGTTGGTGCATCTAACGCGGGTCACGGGCCCCCTTGAATATGACAACATGGAACGGAGACATACCCGTTTTTCAGTTGGCACCTTATTATTAGGTACCTTTCAGCTTTGGCTCGGGCAGTCTACAACGAGTATACTGGCTGACGCTAGGTACGTAGAATCTTTACCGCGCACAAGAGGACCTAGTCGCCCGTGTATACGCAGCAAGTGCATAACCCACGGGGCGACGATGTACCTAGTATATACCTAGCAGCGTTGCGTCGGCAAATATCGAGTCATGTTATCCACGAAGCTTCGTCAACATGAGTGTAATAGCGGGAAGCCTTCCCGTCAAACCCCGGTACGATCTAGCTGGCCTCCGATACTGGGCTGGTATACGTGGCCCTCAAATCTCGACGCCGCGCAGAGAACCGGGCCGTGGCCCTTAGGTGCCGAGGCCGAGCTAGTCAGGCTCAGCCGTGCCGCAGGCGCCCCCTCATTCTTAGGCAGACCGGGCAACCTGCATTTCGCGTCACTCCAAAACTGGGACATCCGATGCTGCCGAATTGCGGAATTAGTATCGTGCCATGAGTTGGTCCTGCTAAGCCTTGACCTGATGATTCCACAGCCTGCCCTAGCCCTTCGACAGGTGTTACAGCTACAGATCCATTGCTTTGAATAGCTGAGAGTTTTTGGGCCAGACTATTGGCGCCGTTCTTTATGTTAGAGATAAAAAAAAGTAAAAATAAAAGTAAAAATAAGTGGCAGTGGCCTATTCTCGTAGACGACCCTCTAGGGGCCGACGAAGAACGTTGAACCTATCGATTGGGGTAGGCTTGCGCCCTTTCTAAGTTTCCGACTGGGCTCGGGGAGCTGGGGTTCACGACGTCTCGCGGATTGGGAAAGAAGCTCGCCATAACGAGGGGTGCCCCGTTCACGACGATCGAACATGCGAGCTGCCAACTGGGAAGAGGTTGCATAACCTATGCCTTTAACTAGGGTGCGGCATGTGGGTGACCATTTCTTACTGAGATGAGATAGCTACGCGGAGAATGGCGTTCATTTCGGGAAGAGTACCCTGTCCCCCTCCCTCCCTCTTTCTTTCGGCTGTGGTAATAAGACATCTAGCAGCATGTCCAACCCTATTCCTGCGGGGTTGTCCCGGAAATGCAGTATCTTAGCTGCCGCTTCGAGGCCTCGATGCGGCGGAACAAACCACCGCCTGTCATGTAGGACATGCGTAGGTTATGGCATGTTTTCGGACCAGACTGCGCGTAGAAACCAAAGTCACGAGCAGCGTACCCGACACGACGATAGAGAGTCAGGAAGTCCGCTCATCCTAGCGCTGCCAGCCGAGCCGCGAGTTTTGCTGCCAGGGTCAGTAGGACGAATCAAGCAACCGGGGGGAGTCCCGGTGGTGGTGTCTCATTCACAGGCGGCGTATTGCATCGTGAGACTCGCAGGATGCGACATGGAGATGCGGAGAAGCCAAATATATAGGACAGACGCGTATCAGCCTTGCCATCAGCCAAGCCCAACCACGTATCAGCGTCGAGAGCTGCGGTATTAGCACGGAGGGTGGTAGCATAGGACGGACGGATCGTAGTAATCCAAACATAGAATGGGGCAGGTCGCTCGGCGGTTGCATAGGTAGATCGTGACCTTGATTTCTTGGGTCAAGAACTAGCGGTACACATCAACCCATTCGCTCACCACCCACGGTACCAGGGCGTGGTGGTGGTGAGAACGGTGATGACGGTAGAGTAGCGCTCGATAGGCGACGACCTCGAGAACGACTAGGTAGGGAATCATGTCAGTCACATAACCATCGCCTATAGGTCGCAACGACACTCGCCAAGAAGTAGCATCTCGCTGAGGAACCAGTTTCACGAGCCCACCACGCAGCCGACGATGGGGAGGAGAGGGTAAGATACGGTAGTAGGTGGGTACAGGGATGCCTAATTGAGAGAGAAGTGGCCCGTCGGCTGCACAACCAGGTCGATGTGCTCGAGACCGAAAAGGCTATATCGAGGATGTAGGACGAGAAAGCTCCTCGCGGATCCTCGGATGACCGCCTACCAGGTAGCCTCCTACCTAATAGAGGGAGGGACTACTCATAGAGGGTCCAGCCGGCGGTTGGGAACGGTCTCGGCTAGAGGAGGGTACCTTAGGTACCGGTGGGCACCTAGGTGTGTACCTGACTAAGTGCCCAGATACATCCTAGTAGGTTAGGTCAGGTCAGGTACCTAACTCTATTGGATGCATGTGCCACACGGCCGACCTACCGTAGGAACGCCACACGCGTATATGATTGCATGCGGTCATAACAAGTGAAGGCCGTGTGCACCGCCACAAACCCCCTCCGACCAAGGGGATTAATTTCTGGTCCCGGCCCAGTAATATGTAATAATAAAAAAGTAGAGCACCGTCCCAATCCGCCTTCGTTCAACCTCTCACCATCCAAGAAGAGGTGTGTGTGGTAGAGGTCCCATCATTCCCATCGTCCGTCTCCCGAGTCCACCTCGACAGCGGATACAGACGATCAGAATGCTCTCCCGCACAGCTCTTTCTCACTCTCTCTCTTGCGTTCGAGCCTGGCCTGGCACCATCCCCCCTGCAACACCACATAATCCGTGCGAGGAGCAGTCCACCGGGAATTAAACACCCATGCCAGCGACATACCTATCTTCAGCATTTAGCTTGCATGTGGCGTGGCAAGTGTGCATTGCCGAATGGGACTCGAGGCCCCTCCGGTCGGCCTAGGCGCCTCGACTGTCGGCCCGTATCACACCCATGTCACCAACGGGCTGCCTCGGCCGACCCTTATCCAGCTGCTAGCCAGACTCGGTCCGGGTCCTAGATCGTGCATTTCTGGCTCACGAGAGACGCCCGGGATGGTGGAGGGCCTGGCAGTATTCATCCCCAAGTGCTTACCTGCAGCAGCCGGCCCTCGCGGATCGTCAACGGTCGCTCATCCTTCAGCTGGACAACGGCGCAGGAGCAACGGGTGACACCGGTCTTTCAAGTTAGGCCGCCCAATCCAGGTAGACGGGTGTCTCTCGAAGGAATGCTTCATGCGAGGCCCGTCTCCCCGATTCGCCCTGCTGGCAAGCGGGTAAACCTCCGGCTCTTGGCACTTTGTTCTGTGATCTCGACCTCTATGTTGTGCCGACGATGTTACCCTCACCCCCCTACTCTATCCGGCACGTCGCACTAGGAATCTCCTTGGTGGGAGGGACGAGGAAAGAGAAAGAAGGAGGAGATGGCATCACTATACGGTCATCTGCTTCGCCCTGCATGTATTCGCACCTTCGATCCTCCTGCTGCAACCACTCCGCCATGTCGGACGGGCAATGGTTGCTGAAGAAACCGCCAGCCCTGTCGGGAAGAAACCCGACAGCCCATCACACCCAGCCAACTAGGAGTCGTCACCCGCGAGGCGCTTGTGTGGGAGCCAAGGAAATCGCAAGGTTGCTTCAAAGTCTAACCAATCAATTTGCACCCTACCGTATAACACTCTATGGCGGTGAAGTCCGTGACAATCACGGCATGTCGGAAGGGCTCCAGGTCGACCCGGCTCGGTCTACTACATACGAATCCTCGGTTCCCTAAAGTTTTGTGGAGGGTGAGAAGTCCTGCCAAACAGATGCTGGGATAGCTTCCGTCCAACCCCGTATTCCCTAGGACATCTACGTGTGCCTCTCTGGGCCCTTGTCCTCAACGGCACCGCAAAGGTTACGATATACAGAGGGTCTGCTTTTACACCTTTTTTTACGCGCTATGGCATATAGTGGCGCTGGTTACTACCTCACCTCTCACCAACCCCACCGACTCACTGCGTCCTATCCCGTCACCCCGCTTAGTGTAGATCTCGCTATCTTTCATCGACTGCATGTCGTCTCCCTCCCGTGATTGGATGCTACGGTTCTAGTGGCAGCGCATTTCAGGGCCGTGAGATGCTGTTCTACTTTTACCGTAATAGGTTCGGCCACCTGACGATCTTGTGTAGATATAAAGCGTCTATGTTCACCCCAAGATCCTTTCTCGATGGATATAGGCGAACCTAACACATCTGGGCCGACTCGCTCTAGATATACCGAACCTCCCCTTTGCTGCTACCGATAAAATCATGCTGGTTGAAACGCCGAGATTAAACCCGGATGTCCAACTGGACAAAGGGACGAACATGTTATGGCCGTCCTCGGAATCTAGGACGGTAAATCTAGCACCCGAACTCGACGATGGCTCTACTTCTACCACTCCATCGTCTACTCCCACGGCGCAGGACGACGTCGATCCGCGCCGACTCCTTATCGTCGGGGGTCAAGGCAACTACCTACGCACGGTAGATGGGCGTGATATATTAGACGCTTGTGGAGGGGCGGCAGTGGCCGTAAGTCAAGCCTAGACGGCCCTGGACTTAACCCCATATCCAGTCGAAACCGATTACCCGGGCATGTCTCGTCCATCTTACAGAGCGCGGGAACATGTATTCCCCCACGAGTCTCACTTAAGCAAGTATTTTATTAACCTCAAGCCTTTCTAGTGTATTGGGCACGGCGTGAAAGAAGTATCCGATGCTCTAGTCGCTCAATCCGCCGTCATCTCTTATCTCCCTTGGGGGTTCTTTGATAGTCAGAGCCGTCGGGATCTGTCCAAATGGCTATCAGAGAGCTCCGGTGGGCATTTCACCAAGGCGTATATCACGTCATCGGGTACGTCAAGTCTCCGACGAGGGACTACAAGGGCGTCTGCTAAAACTCAAATGGGTCCTAGGGTCTGAGGCAACCGAGGGCGCAATGAAACTTGCTCGCGAATACTTTGTGTGGAAAGGGGAGCCTCAGCGTATTAACTACATCGCTCGGGAGGTGTCGTACCACGGGACAACCCTCGGTTCGCTTTCAGTGGGGGGTCATATACCTAGGAGGGCCCCATTCGAGTCCCTCCTGCTGCCTAATGTTTATCGTGTACCGGCTTGTAACCCTTACCGCCAGAGGCTACCAGGAGAGTCCGACACCGAATTTGTGTCACGCAAGGCGAACGAGCTAGAGCAGGCGTTCCTCCGAGCCGGACCAGAAACGGTGGTCGCCTTCGTCGCGGAGCCGGTAGTCGGGGCCGCCTCCGGCTGTATCCCATCTGTCCGAGGCTATTTTCAAGCTATGAAAGCTGTGTGCGATAAGTATGGAGCCTTGCTCATACTGGACGAAGTTATGTGCGGTATGGGAAGGACGGGGACCCTCCATGCCTGGGAGCAAGAGGGCGTCACCCCAGACATACAGGCGATCGGCAAAGGCCTCGCGGGCGGCTACCACCCCGTCTCCGCGATTCTAGCTAGCAGGAGGATTGTGCAGGTCATGGAAGCGAAGGGGGCATCCTTCACGCATGGACATACATATCAGGACCACCCCGTCGCTTGTGCGGCAGCGTTGCGGGTACAGCGGATCGTCGAACGCGATAATCTCCTGGCCAATGTACGGGACCAAGGCCGGGACCTGGAGAAGTTGCTCCGGAGCAAGTTACGGAGCCACCCCAACGTCGGCGATATTCGGGGCCGAGGTCTATTCTGGGGCGTCGAGTTCGTCCGCAACAAGGATACGAAGGAGCCGTTCGATCCAAAGCTACAGCTCGCACGCCGGATACACGAGACTGCCCTCAAGCCCCCTCACAACATGGCGGTCTATTTCGGTCAAGGATGTGCTGGCCAGGGCAGAGGCGATCACATCATGATCATGCCAGCCTACAATGTCACGCGCGATGTTATCGAGACGATCGTCGATAAATTCGTATCCGTAGTCGACGAATTCTTCGTCGGGTTGGAGGAAGAGATCGCTGCCGGCTTGGACTAGGTGCGCAAGCGTACATAATGTAGCAGCAGCTTCTGAAGTAGCGCAAGCCACCAAACCCCCCAATACCACCGATACCACCTATATACTTACTACATGTACCCACCGCGCCTCGCCCGCCGGTTCTAGCTCCTCCCGGGTCTGTCAAGATAGGTACCAGCCTTCGACCGGCCGCTTAGCGAGATCCCGCATCTGTAGCGGAAACCCGAATTACGAGATGTAAACCTGGGCCGAGGCTGCGAGTTGGGGGTGTCTATATCTCTTTTTTCCTTTCTCGTTCGGACTGCCTAACACAGCCTACCTGCAGAGACATGCCTAAATATACACGTATGATATGCGCACGCGCCCCCCTCTGTGCCTGATTCAGCAGCAAGGAAGTCGTGTCGCGGCGGATAGCAGATAGCCGCGCCGATTGTCCAGTCAGGAGCAAAGGAAATCTGATTTGGGTTGTCCTTGCTCGTCTCGTCACCGGTAGACGGCCCAGTCCCCCATTTCGGCGCCGCATTTGTTGGGGAGAGAGGGGGCGCGCGGGGGGAGGGGGGTGAGCCTCGGGAACGAGGCGTTGCTATCCCATCCCATACCGTGCCGTCCCGCCGCGCGGGATTGCGGGATACATATAGCCGTGTCTGATTCGCCTCGATTGCGCAGTTTTGCTTTGCTAGGCTTCGCGCCTTGCCAATCCTCCTCCGGGAAATGGGGGCGGAAGGCGTTCCTACGACGTCGAGTAGAACGCAGCGCACGTAGCGTATAGGCAGGTCTACTATGTGACGTTGTGTAGGCATGTAACGTGGCGAAGTGACGTCCAATAGTAATGCCGCAGAGGAGGGAAACCGGCCTCAGCAAGGAATGGGCGCTTCATGCCGGCCGGCTGCGCGAGGGTGCAAGGGGGGAGAAGGGCGGGGGGGGGTTGAGTGGTGGGAGGGTGGATTGGTGGATGGATGTGGACAAGGGAGGGGGAAAAGGGACAAGAGAGGAGGAAGGGAGGAAAACCGGGGATCGTGGGACAGCGTTCCTCTCCCCCTCCCCACCGTGAGGCTTGCTCGATATGCAGCGCGTGCGGGCGGGCGGGAGGGCGTACGTGGGTACATGCATCGGTAGGTAGGTAGGTATAGCTGTATGCGTGGGCGGAGAGGGGCCGAGATAGAGAGCGAGGCGAGAGGCGAGGAGCGAGAGAGAGAGGGGAATTGGGGCCTTCTCTCTCTCTCCTCACCCTCTCCTCCCTCTCCCCCCCCCTCCCTCTCCCCCCCCCTCCCTCTCTCTCGTCTCTTTCTCTCCCTTCCTTCCCACTCTCTCTTCAACCACGGGTCTCGGTACTGCTGATCGGAACGACTAAAAAGGGAAATCCTTGCCGACGGCGTTGGACGAGTAGGAGAGTGCCGAATGGGACCTTTGCTCGCTCGCTCCCTCGTGCACCCACAGGGCCACGCACTCACCCACCCGCTCAGGTCAGGTACGCAGGCCGGCCGTCGGTTACCCGGAGGTAGTTATACACAGCGTGTGGGTATGTGGTATACATCTCGTACATGCGTAGAGAAGGACCCGGATGCAAAGAGGAGGAGGGGGTGGGAGGGGGTTGAAGGACGTAGTAGGAGGGGAGAGGACAGGGTGGGAAGAAGCTAGGGTAGTCTTCTTCCCCTTTCCTTCGCCTCTCTCTCTCTCTCTCTCTACTTCTCTCCTTCCAACCATCTACCCGGCTGGTCGCTCTCGCTCAGTCCTCATCATCGCTGTCGCTGCCGCTCGACCAGCCCTCCCTGTAGCCGTCGGCGATCTCGGCGAGTTCGTTGCCCACCATCTCGCGGTCCTCGAGGCTAATAGAGCGGACGACAGCGCTGCGCAGGGCTCGTATCTTATCGGCCACCGTGGAATCGGTCGACAACGCCGTCCGCACCGGCAGGTGGCGGCGGTCCTCCTCGCCATCCTCGCCACCGCCACCCCGGGAGAAGATAGCGGGGTAACTATCGATGAGGGGGAAGGCGACGCGCGAGTGGTAGCTAGCAATAGTTTGAAGCTCAAATTAGCACTAAGTCGAAAAAGGGTCTTGGGGGGGCGGAGGGAGAAGGGAATAAATTAATAGGTAGGTAGAAGCTGCCTGGGCTGAAGAGAGTTCGGGATGCGGTGAGGGAGGAGAGGGAAAGGTAAGGTTGTCCCAATTGCACTTACTTATGGACCTTAGGACGGCGTCGCAAACCGTACGTATCTCTGTCCCTCATCTCCGCGTCGCGACGGCCTGCTTGTTCTGGATCCTGTAGAGGCCCTCTATCGGCTATAACCTGGCTGAAGACGTGACGTTTCCGCCACTTCCGCCCCCGGTTGGGATCGAGGCTGAGGTCCTGGGGGGACGACAAGTCGATGTCTAGAGCCGCGACACCCTTCTGGGAGCCCGAGTCAGAGCCGTCCTCCTCCACGTCGCCGCCATCTCCCGCGCGCTCTCCTCGCCCGTTCAGACCGTTAGAAATCCCATTCGTGGCGCCGTTCTGGCGAGGCGCCTGCGCCTCGGGGATGCTCATCCCCAGGTTTGCGATGGTCTGTTTTCCAAACACATTGAGTAGGTCCGTCATGTCTCCAAGATTGCTCGAGTAGATGCGGTCGGACGTCCTCAGCCGGGTGTACAGAGTCGTGCTCTCCAGGGCGGCGGCGAAGAGGGCGGACACGTGCCAGGGCGACGAAGGGTTGAGCCGTACGCTCGAGGGGAGGGGACCCTCCGGCAAGGCGAGCGGGATGACGAGAGATGCCTGGGAATTAAGCTCGGTGAGGGCTCGCGCCTTGTTGACGAGCTTCAGGAACCGCTTTTCCTGCGCTGCTATGTAAGCCGCGAACAACTTGTGCAAAGATCGGGATAGCAATTTAGATAAATGTATATACCCTCGGAAGCCCCCTAAGGGGCTCCTGCACGCCGAAGACCCATATGGGGGCCTTGCCGTACTCGTCCCTGAGCCGCTCGGCGTACCTTGCGGCGAAGCCGCCCCAAGCGTCGTCGATACCAGTCATGACCTGGAGCCCCTGCATCTGGTCAGCCTCCTCGACAAAGGGGCGCAGATCCCGGTCCAGGAGGTCGTGCTCCTTGTCGAGAGAAGCGAAGAGCTCTTCGCCCATGTTCCACTTCTCAAAGGGCATGATGGCCGAGTTGAGCTCGTACTCGCTCAGCTGGACGACAGACCTCGGGTGGAAGAAGACGCGGTTAAAGTCGGACCAGTACCTCACCGTGCTGGTGGTCAGCTCGGGGGGCGTCTGGCCGGCGTCGAGGCTGCCCTGGTACGCGCTCGCGTCTATGGGCTGCTGCTTGTGCACTACCGGCTGGCCGGGCCACAGGCTGCTCGCGGCCGCATCGCCGTCTATCTCGTATAGGGCGTTGATCTTGCGTAAGGTGCCGAATCCTCCCTTTAGATCGTAGATGACGGTCCGCGGCATGAAGGTCTCGGTGCCGTCGGTGCCGATGCCCGGGCGGAAGTGGACATCGTGGTCGACGGGCGACTCCTCCTCGGCGCCGTAGGTGAAGTAGGACTCCTGGGCGTTCCAGAAATGCGTCGCCAGATAGTTGCTCCGCTGGCCGAGCTGGAGAGTGATGATCTCACGCATCGCGGAAGAGGAAACAGGGCCGGTATTTCTGTGGCTAGTATATCGGTTCTGCGTTATCTAGGTAGGATGGAATATAACAAGGCTAGATAAAAGGTGCCTGTAAAGCTCGAATATAGGTAGGTAGGTATAGGCGATCCAAAGAGGAAGAAAAGGACCCATCCATTATGTCATGTCGCGTGTGTGTCGCTAGGTAGGTACCTATTGCCAGAAGATGCAGTGCCGCTTATGCATGGCCGGGAGTATGCAGCAATCCGTATACCTATACCTACAGCGTGGGAAAGACGGCTTATAAGCACTCCATGCCTATAGCACTAACACCAGCTGGCCGGCGTGTCGCCAGCTGTCCCGGGATGTTTATTGACCGCTGCAGATTACCACCGGCAACGACGACCCGTTCTTGCTCACCACACAACACCTACGTACAAGTTCCTGGTTGGCCCAAAGCAAAAAAAACCATATACCTGTCCTTCTCGTGCACCATTACTACCACCGCTTTGACTGCCGATATACCGTCACCTAGGCGCTTGTTCCGCAGAGAGGAGAGGCGGATATCAGGTCAAGCACCGCCTTAACCTACCTGCTTACATGCCCGCCATGTCGACCCCAGTGTCGGAGGAAAATACCCCCAGGATAGCTCCCCCCATGGAAATATCACCCGTACCGACGGTCGGCTCGGAAGCGCCGGTGCACGTCAACCTCGAGCTACCGACCGACCGGCCCACCATCATCGTGTTCCTGCGCCACTGCGGTTGTCCCTGTAAGTCGGCAGCGCGAGCCGCTCACCCCCACCCTCCCCTCTCGGAGCGGTGTCTCCCGCGTGGGCTATTCTAACGATTCCTAGTCGCCGAGAAGACGTTCAAGAACCTGACGGCGCTGTCGGTGCAGCACGCGGGAGAGGCGCACTTCGTGGCGGTGTCACACTCGACGCCGGAGGCGACGGAGCGCTGGGTCGTACGCGCGGGCGGCAACTGGGAGGTGAACGTGGTGGTGGACCACGAGCGCGAGCTGTACGCGCGCTGGGGGCTCGGCACGTCGACGACCTGGCACGTGATGAACCCGCTCACGCTGTACCGCACGCTGCGGCTCGTCACCGACGACAACATCTGGGGCGACGGCGCCACCGCCGAGAACGGCTCCCGCTGGCAGACCGCCGGCGCCTTCGCTGTCGATCCCGCCGGCATCGTCCGCTGGGCCCGCGTCGCCGCCTCCGCCGACGACATACCCGATCTCGACAGCGCGCTCGCCGCCGTCGGCGTCCAGGCCAAGCCCCGCCCACCGCCAGAGGTCCGCACCGCCGGCTTCTTATGATATACCAGCCCCTCTCCACATTTTCAACCTCGGTTCCGGTCTCGCTCTCTCTTCACATACTTCTCGCCCTCATACGAGATACATGCATAGCGAGCGGTCGTTTGGGCGCAAGAATGTTCGTCAGGGCGGCTCGGTGTTGGCGACGACGACGTTCCCGATTACCATCTTTTTCGAGTATGGGCGGAGCAGCGGGCTAGATAGGACTACCTTCTAGCCTAGACAGCTGACGGCGAATACCCATATGGACTCCAAAGTGGTGTCGTCTGGGAGATGTCCTGTTAGACGGCTTCGCCAACCATCGATGACCAACCCCATTTTAAAATGGGACATGAAGTGGAGGATTGATGAGAACAAGATCGATGCCTCCGAGCACCCCCAGAATATGTTTTGCCCCTCCCTCTTCGGTTACCATGGACATTACAGCTTGGCGAATGTAAACTCATACGAAGCAACGGCGCCAACCTTCACCATACACCACCATACTTTTATCTACCTACTTCACAATCGCCGCGTACCAGATATGCCTATATGGTAGTCACTATTAGCTTTCGGTCCTCTCTGTATGGCTGAAGCCTCCCCCCTCCTCCCTAGACGTATGTGCACGCGCATGTGCCTACGCGCCCGCCTAGTTAGGTAGATTCACACCCCCATATCGTTTTAGCCAAGCTCGCAGGTCAGTACACGTACAGGGGCGAGAGGCCTTACCGCATCTCCGTCACACCGGCCTGTGAATCAAGGATTAGCCTTACTCGTAGTCTAGAGAAATCCAACTTGGAAATAAATAAACAATGCCCCGCGAGCTTTACGTTGATAGTCTAGCTATATCGTAGAATGAGAGTAAACTTCTCTTTGCTAGCGGAGGGAGGCCTGGCGAGCCTCAACATCGCTTCTGCTGTCAAGTTGTCTTCGACGACGGGGCGAGCGCGCCGCGTGAGATTCGCACAGAGCGATGCTATTACACCACGCTCTTATCGCAAAAGGCAACTGCGCTACTCCGAGACTCGCGACGGGGGTCCCATCTGGCGACCCCGCGCGGGACACGATGCCAACGCCCCCGCCGCGAACTCGGGGGGCGTTTCAAGCCATCGCATTTGACTTCCTAGCTTTCCGCCCAAGCAGCAGCGAGCCACGCGCCGAGCTCGGACGCAGAGAGGGCGCCGCGGCGCTGGTACCGGGCGACTGGGTTCGACCTTAACCACGTGGCTCTCGAGTGTCGAAGTCGCCTTGGGAGCAGTATAACGCCCCGAGTCTGGTTGGGCCAGGCGGCGAGCCAGTCGGTCCCGGGAAGGGCGGCGTACCTACGTGTCGTCGCACGACGTCGCTGCCCAAGGAGACCTCCCGCCCGCGTGGCTCGCGCAGCGCGGCCCACGATAAACACAGGCAACGACTTGCGTGCCAGCCGCGTCGCCAGATCGAGATTCCCGTGCGAGTATAATTGCAGCTCAACTTTGCGGGCCCGAGGCTGGCCGCCGATCGTCGGCATCCTAGAAGCACTCGCCCCGCGGAGGAATCGGTCGAGGCGTAAAAATATACTTGCTAGAAACATAAAAATAAACGACGCCCCAGGGAAGCAGGCGGGCAGGCATAAACAAATATAGATTAATTAATACCGACCGCCGTCGGATCCCTACGAGAAAAGCTTAATCCTCAGATCAGCTACAGGATTCACATGGCATCCGCCTTTACGGCAAAACAGGGCCCTGCTTGGCGATCACACGAAGCCATCATCTACCTACCTTCTGTACACACGTATGTACAGACACTGACTAGGTGTTATCCCCAACCCATTCGCATCTGTCTGGCCGAAGGCCATGGGGGACGAGTGAATCTTACTTAGGACGCGCCTAGGTCTGCTCCGGGGATCTCGGAACGTCCTAGGTAGGTACCTAGTTCATGCGATGTCACAGATATCACACGTATTAAGCCTCCACGTCTACGTATAATACCTAAGCGACGATATAACAGAGAGAGGGCATGTATAACACGCACGTATTCCCAGTTGCGGCGTGGCAATAACTTTACGAAACTGACGTACATGGAGGTGGTAGTACAGACGGGCATACATTGCCAGCCGTGCCGTGTTGAGCCAGCAAGTGGTGTTCGATCGATTGCGAACGGACGGCAGGCTGATAGGGGCTGCTGCCAATGTGTATGTTGATGCTGCTCTTGGTGTTGCTATAATAAGCTGATGGTAACATATCACCATCACCATTGGCTAGATGTCTTGCCTCAAACAAGCAGGTGAATTTGCCAGATAGCCTCATTTCCACATCGTCTTCCTTCCCAGTGAATGGATTCGCCAATGGAGCACAATCCTAATGAGGCTCCTCGCGGCATCCTCTTTTGGGCGTCCAAGTCCAGCAACACCGCCTTATCGCGAATCTAGATTTGGAGCTGTCGCGCCGGCGGGACTCTCTTATTATTCTCTAGCCTCGACCCCGGCCTTACGGATCCCCGAAATAGCATCACCCAGGTACCCGCACTGATGTGGCTAGTCGGGCCAGCTGTTCGGACTAAGCTTACTCGAGGAGGATTCCGGTCGCCCACGCCTGTTGTGAGCGCCAGAAACCAGGTACACCATGCACCACTGTGGCGCGGCATCAGTAGTGCTCACGGCCAGCATAGGATTTCGGGATCTATGAAGAATTTCCCACCAGGCAGTTTTCCCGTCGTCTACGACTCCGGCATAGACGCATCTGGATCTTTAGCCTGGGATACACTGATCAGAAGGGCAAGGGGTCCAGCGGAGGTTACGAAAACCGAACTCTCCCCACAGGACTCGGCCTGCCGCTAGCTTTCGCGGACTGGACAGCAATATCTATTTCCCTGGGCTGACAGCATCCGTCGTCTTCCATAGCGCGCCGGCAAAGGCGAGGTATGCACCGCACCGCACCCTCCCAGGACTGAAATTGGAGGGCGCGTTAGGCGACATTCGCACGCTAGCAGCAACCGACTTCCTACGTGGCCTAGAATCTAACACGGTGTTATCATAGACGGGATCTGGTGAAGGGAAGGGGGATAAACTAGGCGACGGGGAGGTGAGTATGCGCGGTCCTCCCAACAGCCATGGGCCGGATGATCTTCCGTAGGAGAATCTCTGCTCTCGGAGCGACGGGACTGCGTCGTATAGAAGCCGGCGTCGATACGACGAGGAAGGCGACAACAACTGTCACGGTGCCGACCACCAAAAAGGCTGAAACGCAGGGCACTCGCCTGCCAGCGTTTCAGAAATTAGTCTTGGTAGGGGGAGTCGGGAGTCAAAGCACCCAAGTCCCACGAGGGGACGACGTGGTTGCTGCGTACTACGTAGTAGCGGTTAGCTCAACAACAGCGTCGTATCCAAGTGGAGACTAATAAGCCAGACTTCTTCTGGCTGTGGTTAATAATACAGGGCTGATATCGATTTCGGAAGGTGTAAATTGTCCGAGAGGATGAAACAAGTCGATCTCTGGGGAGCCAAGAAGGTCCCTGGTCGAGGTCATCACGAACTTCGAAGGAAAGACATACCGAAATATGAAACGATGACAAACAGACCAACATGATGAGCGGTTGCAACCGGCACATCGGACTGTTCGACTAAGACAAGCCTGATGGCGCCGCCTCGGGGCATACGAGAATAGATCATCAGCTGACCAAGGCCACCTTTTTTTTTTCTCCCTTTCTTTGGGGCGTCGTCTTGATGCTGCTGGCGGCCCCGATGGTATGTGAACGGGTTGCCGTCTCACAGCGTTATGCTCTTATGCACCTTGCCGCTGGTGATGGCATCTAGGCTCCGAGGGCCTCTCCCGGGGCACAGACCAACGAGAGCCCGTATGCACGCGCCCAAGCGGCCTGTGACTCCAGCGATCCGCTCGGACGGGAGAATACCAGCATCCACCAGCCAGAGTGGATACGTTGCGGGTCGACGACTCAATTCGAACCATGCTTGATAGCGACGGGCTAAGGATGCCACACTGGGAATGGACGGCATAATAGCTCGGGAGGTGCTCAACTGATCACATTTCGTAATTCGATGTCCTTTCTGGAAGCACCTGTGACGGAGCTATGCCTGTTTCATGTACCTGGCTAAAGAAAAAGGGGTCGCCCTCGGGAGAGGCCACATGAAAATCGACGGCGCCTGTTTCAGAATTCTTGCGGGCGAGCCCTTCTCCCCTCGAGAGCTGACCGCTTGTGGTAGAAGTCGACCTGCAAGGTACGGGTCGCGAATGTGGTTGGCAGAGGGAGGGGGGGGTGCCGGTCTTGGGATTGTGATTCGATTCGCACCGAGTCTGTGAAGGAGAGAGAGACAAGAGCGGGTTGCTTGGTGCTTTGGCTGTCGCATGTTCATGCATCATCCAGGCACACCAATGAGATATATGGCCGTCCCTTGCCCTGATCCTCTGGCGCCTTTCTGGGTAGAGGACTGACTGGGTAGGGGAGTTGGGCACGACGATCGAGTACAAGCGGGTGGCGCGCAATGTCGAGATGTTTCGATGGGGTTGGTGATGTCGAGCCGGTCATGTTTCAGGACCTATCTGTGCCATGCAGCACACCTACCCTCGCGATTTGCGATATCCTATTCGACGAGCCGTCGTCGTCGTCGGATATCGATAACAAGCCATTGGCGAAGAGAACTGAGGGTCCCAAAATGAGATGTGATGGGGAGTTGGATGGAGCCGCGGGCTGGCCCGCTTCGTGCCTGGGACGTAGTATGTGGCTTTGTGGCTGGGAGCGAGGACCGGACACAAGAGGCGGGCAAGAAGGAGCGGATGTACCGCGCATACCTGCCTATGGTACATTAGGTGTTGGTACCTTGGGCAGGCACTAAAGGCAGAGTAACATCTTCTGAATACCTGGGTACCTATGCACGAGGGCATAATTCAGAGCCCTTCTGCTCCTCCGCCGTTACCGGAACAATGATTCCCACGTACCTAATGCACCTACCTAAGAGGTACCTACCTTAGGCTAGGTACCTACCTCAGGTATCTACCTAGGAGGTAGGTATGCTAGGAGGCAGGAGG